ATGTTCGGTGCAAAGAATGACCCCGTACTCAGAGAGTGGTCGCAAATACTGTGGCGCGCCGGCCCAGACGGTGGGAAAATCGGATAAAGTGGACGACATAGCAACGCCGGGGTTTGGTGAGCTCAAACTCGGCCCATCGGACCAGAGAGCCATCGCGACGGAACGAAAGACATAATATTGATGATTATCGATGATGGGGGGGTGTACTGATCATAACCCTAACGGTGAGACTTGGGCGTGTTGTGGTGCGGGTGTTATCGTGCGGGCGTTATCACCGCCAAGACCATTTTAGTATGTGTTGTCCTGAGGGTGACACGGTCGAATATAGATAGGGTGACACGGTCGAATACAGATAGGGTGACACGGTCGAATACAAATAGGGTCCTCTTGGATAGGTATTGAAAGTGTGTGACCTGCCATCTGCCTTGGGCCTCAGATTGGACGATGCTACGCGCGTATCTCACCTGCCTTTGATAAAGACAGACACGTCATCTGTGCTTTATGCTGGTAGGATATACTCAACCAGCGACAAACAATTCCTTATGGAGATTCTTGACTTCCACTCATTGCCTCCGGCTGGAGACTTTGTTGCGGTATCCGACAGAAAACCTTCGATCAGTTCAGCGTGGCAATTCTTCAAGCGCGACGCTTTCTTCGAGTACTTTGTGCCAAGGTCTCTTGCTTTGGATCAACCAACGGTCATGAAGACATCATCACTACAAAAGTCCGACAAGACATGTTTCTTTATGGCGTTTGAGTTTCCGCACGACTACGACTTTGTGACACCATCTTAAAGCCAAGGGTTTCTGGGGAGATATAAGGTGAGACCAATCATCACCCGCCAGCATTATAGTACTGTGCCCTGTGAGCCCTGTCAGAATGTACAATGGGCGATCTTTGTCTCTTAATTGGATTGGACTTTGAGTCTACTGGTTGAGGCAGCCGGGAAGAATATGAAGCACCAGTTAGAACCACTCAGCCGGGTAGTTGGTGCTTTCCAGCAGGCTCTGGGATCCGTTACAAGAGGATGTACGGCTCAGACAGCCCTGGTAGAGATGCTACCCCCTCTTTCCGATGTCTACGGAAAGCTTGAGCAGATGATGGTGCAACGCGTCAAAGGCCGGCGGAGAAAGTACGATGAAACGGTGGAGACAACCATAAAGCTCGTTGATTCGGTGTTGGTGCGTATCAAGGAAGATATACACAGGGTCACAAGTAACGAGTCGGGTTCGTAATGTACACTTATTTGCGATCGCCACCCGGGAGATGATTGCAGCAAGATAGTCAAGTAATATTTCGTTGTACGGTAATTATGTCGAGGTTATTGCCACGCCGTTGTCAGCGGCAGCTGATGGTGGTTGACTTCATCAGGAGTTATCGTCGAAGCCCAGTAAGAGTTTGGTTGTCTCCCTCCCTCAAGGTGTTACTTAAATGACTACCATGCCTCTATACCTCCAAACCTTTTTGGTTTTCTCGCATACTTTCGTTGACCAGTATCCAGCTGGCTGGAGCCACACATTTCCGCCGGCTGATGCTGCGCGCCCACACTTGTACCTTCATTTGAGCAAAACATCGCTCGTCCTTCCAACAACTCGTTGAACGCTGCACGCGCGCCTGCCTCAGCAATGACTTCAATCTTGAGCTCAATCATGGATTTGACCTCACCGGATACCGCAATTCCACAAGATTCAATCCTGGAGCTTCCGCATACCGAGTCGAGCAGAAGCAGCAGTATAGCAACGCAAGAAACTGTGTTAATACCACCCGAGCTCAGAGATCAGCTTATAATATCCGAGCTTTCACTCAGCGAGGAAACTCCATTTGCCTTCGGACCGTTTCCCTTTCCCTTCGAACGGTTTCCCTTCGAAGCATTCCGATTGGCAGTTCTTCTGAAAAGACATTGCTCAGAGCCATTTCCCTATCAGGAATTCTACGACAAGAGTTTGGCGGCGGTCAGGCGAGCTTTCGATAATGCAAAAGCTTGCAAAAATTACGAGCAAATTGCTCTAATCACACTTCTGGTCAAAGGAAGCCAATGTATAACGGTGATAATGCCAAATAGGCATCACGAGGCTTAATTGAGGAGTGCCCGAAATGGGGATCAAAATTTCCACTGTCTGTTTGGTTCCGCTCAAAGACCTCAAAAATGCGGTACCAATTGGTGGTGAAGATTAAAGCATTTGTTCCCGGTGCGAATCTTGAAATTGATGGCATGGACATACTGAGACGGTACGCAGATACCACCCTGTTTGTCATAAACGCGTCCAACATACATCGGTTATGATGTTCCCACCCCTGGGATTCTGCAAATAACACGCATTATCCGCGCCAAGTACCAAGTTCATCACGTATGGTGCAAGGCTGTGGCACTTACAATCTCACGTGAAGAAGCACATGACCGGTGTGATTTCACGGAGGACTTGTCCTATTCCAACGGGGCCGGGGCCTCGTCAGACTACATAGCTATCGAAGGAGGGGCGCTTTGTGGAGAACCCTATTCTGTAAGAGCCCTACTACGAGCCCTATTGAGAGTCCTGTTCTGTGAGAGCCCTGCGAGAGCCCTACCTTTCCTTTATTGTCATAAGATCATCCTAATAATCTAGAAGTGAAGTTTGTTGCCCAGAGTCCACGGCGGAGTCAGAGAGGAGAAAGGGGAGGGGGGGTGGGTGGGAATGGCGGCGGTCGATAATCCGTGTTCTAGGTAGATAGTCCACATTTTCGATTTGAGGAAGGGTTTAGTAGGAGTAGCAACTAAGTTAGTATATAATCAACAAAGTATTACACTGGTCAAAAGTTCTCAAATCCATCATCATGCTACTTCTTGTTGTTAGTTTCTTTATTGCGGCTATATTGCTCCTTGCTGTTGAATGTTGCCCTCCACTTTACTGGGTAAAGAAGTGTTCAATATCTCAAGTTTGGACCTATCAACGCGTGCAAAACATATTCCGTATAGCAGAATGTATTCTTCCGTCTTCTATCTTAGACAGCCTTACATCTGTCAGAGACATAGAAATCAGATGTCAGTTCAGGCTCCTTATGGCAAAATAGTGGCAAGAGGAGGCAGGATTGCCGAAGGAGCACGTGAAAGCCTCGCAAGGCAAGGCTGGGTCACGTGACACTTTATGCTCTGTGCTCTGTGTTGCTCTGCTGAGCAGAGCAACAGAGCATAACAGAGCACTACGAGTCTCGTATATCTATATAGTCTTTTATATTTCTATAGCGGCTTATAGTCTCTCGTAGTCAACTTCGTCTATAAGCTAGACGTTACTATCGCGTTGATAGCTTTCGTTCTGACTTACTCTTGTGCCCTAGAATACTGTCCTCCTGCCTTCCCACACATTAGGAAACCCTGATCGACATCGTGACCCGAGGAACGATTCGTGACAAGCACGTTACGTTTACAGGGAGTCTCTTGTCACTTGCTCGTGATAGTAAATCTAGTGAAGAAAGCCGCGATGGTTATTAGCTCTATATAGAGTGTCTTCGTGTTTGTGAAGAGATAATCTCTACCTTGCTGAATCTATAGGCCACCCTTTCACTTTCGATCTAGATCGATTTCTTCTGGGACTCTCGTTTCCAATTCATGGTCTTGGACAGGTCCTTCCAGCGTCGTTGTCACTGTCCAGATAGCCGGTAGTACAACCACCAATGCGCCCATCGATAGCCCCCAGTTCATCGCCAGTTGGGTCATTGGCGTCTTCTTAAGCGCATTGATCCTCCAGGCCATAGCACCACCAGTAGATTGGAACGTCTTGTATGCACCCACCAGAACGGCTGCTCTCGAACTCAAATTCGACTCGGTGCCAATCAGCCAATAACAGTACCCTTGCCAGAAGGCGTCGTACATGCCGTAGAAGATGTACAGGAATATCGGTCCTGTCGAAATAGACCCTTGGGTATAGTCGATGTCCTGCTTGAGCCCTGCCGCTAGCCGACGGTCCTCCCATTTCTGGAATGCATAGCCCCCGCCCCAGATGGCCATACCAGTGACGACGAGGAAAACCCAGCCAAGGCGAGCACGGTTTGGTCGACTCAAGAAAGGTAGATCCAGCAGCACCCCTATGATGAGACCGCCGAGCATCTGGGCTATCCAGTACAATGCGCTGTTCAGTGAGCGAGAGCGAATATTGAATGTCAAACCGTTGACGTCATTTTGCTGGTACGAATAAAAGACATTGGCGCAAAAGAACAGAGGCAGCATGCAGAGGACACGCCAGGAGCAAATGGTCTGGGCAGCGATCTTGACGGCGGCCTTGAGAGAGTATTTTCCCTCATTTTCCATGACGAGATGGACCTGAGTCAGGGCGACATGGTTGGGCGAACAGATGAATACACCTAAGGCCCAACCGAAGAGCATGATGACCATCAAAGCGATGTAGGTAGAGTCGGATACGGTTCCAGACTTCGAGTGAAAGTTGAGTCCGAAACTTGCCAGCGCACCTACGCCGCCACCTAGGTTGAAGATGATCCAAAATGTGGCGATGGCACGTCCTTTCTGTGATTCCGGCACGTACGTCGTCATGATTGCACCCTGGACTACCCACAAGAGCGAGGCACCGACACCGAGAATAGCTCCGGATGCGATGACAAAGGCGCCGTTTGCATGGTCTGACAGGTTGTGAGTATTGCGACCGAAGTTGACCGCGTGGACTTCTGGTACTCACGATTGAAATTCAAGAGACTACCGCTGTAAAGTGCGTATGTCCACCCACCCAGTAAGAGGCACAGACGAGGACCGACATAGGAAAAGAGCGGGCCGACGATGAACAGGGCGGTTCCTGCCGTGCAGGACAGCAGGGCAACGGTGGCGTTGGCCGCGACGGTAGAATCAACCTGACCGCTGCCACCCAAACCACCTAAGGCATTGTACATCTACAATAGTCAGAATTCTGAATATTGTTGGGGATCGTTGTGCTTACTCCTGGGCAGCAGAAACAAATAATACTGATCAACATGATTTGCGTCCACGGATGCGCGTAGAAGGACTTTAGGCGGTGAGATAAGTCGTGTGCGTCGCCATGCTCGACATCATTAGGCGTGGAGGTGGCAATCGGCATTGCTTTATGTTGATCAAGATCTTGTTTTCCCATGGTGTATCGCACGTTGTCGCTTTAAGTCGCGGGATGAGACCTTCAGAGAGAGACGGATGTTGTCTTAAAGACTTTCTGTAACCAAAGGTTGATGCCACAAGATACTGGAGTACCATCCTAGGACAAGAATTCTACCATCACTTTATATCATGCCAGACTGCTGTGTACCTTGGGTGCTGAGTCGTTGGCATCGGAGTAAAGGAGTCTCGTAGGATGTTTTCTTATCTGAATCCCAGAGATCTGGATTGGCGAGAGATAAGCGTGCTCTCACGCCACCCACGGCGAGCTATCGGAGTGTTTACATTCGGATCGGAGTAGAGCAGATCATTCATGCGACACCTCCACTCAAGCGGCACAGGACGACGACAATTCTCGGCCGCCTCGGTCCTTTCACTACAAGCCACTTTCTCCCAGGGAGGTCGACACCCGGTGCCTTGCATTAGAGCAGACTTGCGCACCTGTCGTGTGCTAGAAGGACACTCTACACCTTGCATTCGGAGCTGAGCTGGCCATAGAACGGCTCCAGACCATTGATTGTCGTACTCAAGCGCCATTGCTCACAATTATTGGTTGACTGCCCGAGTGGTACAAGTCATAAGTGTGTAGAGCCTTGGCCGGTACCAAATTTTATTTCTCTAAAGAATATAAACTATCACGCATAGTTTAGCAGGCTCGTGGACTGAACTTGCAAGGACAAAAAGAGGGATGCATACCATGATTGCTCAGGACGACCTCGCCTGCTTGCAGACCGAGGAAAGAAATCCAAAAAGCTTCGACATCGATCAAGTGTCAACGGTCGAGCTGTGTCAAATCATCAATCACGAAGATGCGACTATTGCGACAGCCGTTTCTCGGTGCATTCCGGTCATAGCAGCAGCCATCGATGTACTTGCTAGAAGAGTCCGACGTGGAGGAAGAGTGATATACGTGGGCGCTGGCACCAGCGGGAGGTGAGGGATACTCTGGGCCATCAGAAGGCTACTCATTGAGGTTGGCAATATTGACGATTGTGGCAGATTGGGGGTACTGGACGCGTCGGAGATACCACCCACGTATTCCGCTCCAGAGGGCCAATTCATTGGCCTGATTGCTGGCGGGGACGTGGCAATACGGCATGCACAAGAGGGTGCGGAAGACGACGTCGATGCTGCAGTGCAGGATCTACAGTCTATCAAAATCGACGGCCGTGTTGACTCCGTAGTTGGTATCGCGACTTCCGGCCGTACGCCGTACGTTTTGAGCAGTTTGTCGTTCGCCAAAAGTCTAGGTTGTGCCAGTATTGGAGTTGCCTGTGTCGAACCCTCGGCCATGAGCCAAAGCGAACATGTCGATTTCATGATCAGCCCTGTAGTGGGTGCTGAAGTGGTGACGGGCAGTACCAGAATGAAGGCCGGCACGGCGACGAAAATGGTCCTCAATATGTTGAGTACGGGTACAATGATCCGAATCGGTAAAACCTATGGGAATATGGTATGTATTGTTCACGGACCGGACGATATTCAGCTTACCAAGGTTAGATGGTTGACCTGAAAGCTACGAATTTGAAGCTCCGGCAACGAGCTCGAAATATTCTCCGCAGTGTATGCGGGCCCTTGTGCCCCAACTCAGACACAGAACTCGACGCCTTACTTGACAGCTGTGGTGGAAGTGTGAAGCTTGCCATTGCGAAACTTTCCTTGGGCCTACCTGTATCGGAAGCACAGGAGCGATTGACAGCAGCCGACGGTGTGCTTTCCAAAGTGCTACAGCCAGCAAGCTTAAGTCCTGAGCTAGGTTTGCCACATGAGGCCCGGTCAGATTTTGTCCTTTGTGTAGATGGAGGTGGCAGCAAATGTGCTGCCGCAGTCATTTCGCTGGACGGCACTGGTACTCATGGATATGGAGAGGCAGGCGGCTGCAATGTAACGGATGTTGGCGTCGATAAAGCCATTGCAGAAATTGAGCTCGCGGTGCAAAGAGCGTGTTGCGCTCACCCACAGATACGAGGAAGACCATGGAAGCCGAGTCTCTTTGCCACCGCCTGGGTTGCTCTGGCAGGTTATGACCGAAAGGAGATCGCCATTGCGGTCGATCAGACGCTGGAAGCCCTGTTTCAACGGCCTATAGGTAACAGTCTCAAGGTAACAAACGATACTCAGCTTCTTGCAACCTCTGCTGCAGGACAAGGTGAGGCAGACTCTGTGGTGGTTCTTGTTGCAGGGACTGGTTCCGTAGCAATGTGCTACCAACGAGATCAAGGCCGCCTTGTACGTACAGGACGGTCCAATGGTTGGGGTTATCTCCTCGGAGACGACGGGTCAGGCTTCGACATGGGACGACAGGCAATCCGGGCTGCATTGCTCGCTTTGGATAAGTGCAATCTCGAAAATCATGTCAACGGGTATGTGGACAAGCTGCCACTTTTGGTTCAACGCGTGCTGCAGTACTTTCAGCCAAAAGCTTCGGACGACGCTAGATACGACTTGCTTGGTGCAGTGCTCTCATCCGCGTCAGAATTGGACAAGAAGAAACTTATTGCTTCGGTCGCACGAATCGTGATTGAGCTGAGTGGGCAAGATCAGCTCTCAAGAGATATTCTTGACAACAGCGTCAGAAGCCTCACAAACATCCTGCTTCCGATCGTCACTTCCAGGCGTGTCCAGGTAGAGAAGTCAATCTTGGTCTTGGCAGGCGGGCTGATGCAGAGCGACATATTTGTGAGCGCGGTCAAAAGTGCTTTGCTCCAGGCCAAGATGAGCTTTAAGACTGTTGAGGTTGTGCAAAATCCCGCACTTTCGGGCGCTATGGAATTAGTGAGACAGGTTCAAGAGTCATGTTGAGGTCGTGCCGGGCACATTGGTATATGGCTGCATATTACATAGCATTGGTACTGGATTTCGTGGTGCATAGCCGGTAGGAAGGAAGGAAGAGCTTCCACAAGCATAGAGGCTGCTACGAGGCCGATGTCTCGGGATGTGGGGACTAGCTTCCTTGGCAAATACTCGACTACTGCTACTTCACCTCCCTGGACATCTTTCTTCCGACGACAAAGGTTTAGGGCAATGGAGCAACTCGAGATAATCAACGAGGCATCGCTATAATCTACAGATTTCCTCCCCTAAATGTTGCCCTAGTCACTGCAAAGATGTCTTCAGCTGGTCACAGCTCGGGCCAAGCCAGTCCGGCTAGGCATCCGGTAGCTTTGCGACGTTCCAAGCTTGCCTCGTGCGAGCCATGCAGGCTCTCGAAGCTGGCTTGCGACCACAGTCGGCCGGCATGCTCCCGTTGTATTCGACGAGATATGAGCAGCCAGTGCGTCTACAGACAAAGTCCGTTCAAGAGGCGACGTTCCGTAGCACCCACCCAAATGTGAGTCTGCGAAGCCTTCGCGTGCCTTTGCTTATGGCATGCAGTACACCTATGTTTGAGTCGGTCATTGGGCAGCCGGTCAGATCTCCGTCAACATTGGACTTCCAGATGAAGATATATCCCAATCCAGGGTTCCAAGGACCTTCTTCTCTTCAGACAGTGTTGGACGACCTGGGTGCGCATCTTGCCGTTGGCAACAATGCACGCGCATCCAGCTCCAACGACCAGCTCTCGTCCCGAGATGGTGTCATGAGAGAAGATGCCCGAAAGTTGATTGATGAAGGAGTGCGACTACTTGACTCGTTCCTTCAATACCTCGCTGATGATGCTTTTCGGCGCCTCTTCTTGAAGTCACATGGAAGTGGATTGGAAAGCCATCTGGGGAATTTCCTTATTTACCCATTCTTCAACAGTCTTATCAACGAGATCAATGTCATCGAGAACTCGCAGGACCGACAGGCGAGCCTGAAAATTCTATCCCAGCGACTCTTCGAACAGGCTCAACGGCCGGTCGAGATTACTACAACAATGACCCTGAACGACTTCACAAGCCTCTACACTGGTCCAAATCTGAGATGGGAATCGATTGGCCTGATATTGACCTTGGCAGGGTAGGCACCTGGTTCGTTCGAGTTAAGACAATCTAACTAAGGACAGCATCGTCGCCCATGAGATTCGTGCGCCGCATCCTGTCTGCAAGACCGAAGAGGAGAAACAGGCTCTTCGGACCACGCTGGTGCATCTCAGCAACAAGTGTTTGGCCTTCTGTGACACATTGGATACGCTCAATGATGTTACCATGATCTTCTTGTACGAGTGCTTCCTCCTGGCTTCGGCTTTCTACGGTGATCAAAGTAAGGCCAGTAACGTTGAGGGTTCCCATTTTGTCAGTTCTAACATTCGCATAGGCTTCAGGGTATGGCGCCGACTCAATCACGTATCCAGTGCTCTTTTCGCGCAAGGCTTGCATCAGATTTCCAAAGGTGAAAGCCAGCTTCCATTCTTTTTGAGACAGCTCCGCAAGCGAATTTTCAGCCAAATTTACACGTCGGACATCAGCTTTGCAGTGTTCCTTGGACGGCCCTCACGGCTTAGTAAACGATTTTGCTATCCTGCGATGCCGTTGGATATGGAGGATGCGAATATGCAGAATATTACCACTGTCGCCTTGAATGAGCAGTTACGTCACCTTGATAGCAGCGGTTGGAACACGTTAGGCGAAATCCGGAAGAGCTCGGTCATGAGGTGGTCTGTGATATCTGCCATGATTCTGGAAGACGTTCTAGAAGTTCTGCTGAGCCGCAACCTTACACAGGTTTCGGACAAAGTCAGGTATGCCTTCCTGTGAACCGCTCTGACCTCAAACATATACTTACTCAGCCTTAGCGACCTGCGGTCCAAGGTTGCCCAGGCCTGGGCTGATCTTCCGAACTTTCTCACAATTCCCGAACAGGAGGTCTGGCGAAGAGGTCGGAGCGGCCAGGAAGCTGATACACTCCATCAAATTCGATTATCTCACTTTCATACGACTTTCCTGGTGGAATGGGCTGCTTCACGCCATGGAATGCACCAGGCAGGTGCGCTCTTTGCCAGTGCAAGCAAACTGCTTACCTGGGTCAATGCCGCTCTGGTCAGACGAGAACAACTAGGAGAGAAGGGAGCCATTTCTCTGTGCTGGACTGTATGTTATCCTTTACCAGAATGGACAATTCCGCTTCACGGTCGGATTCTGACAGTGTAGGTGGCGTCCTGTGGTTTGCCAGCTGCAGGCGCACTAGCATGGTGCCTCCTGCAACCTCCAGCTCAAACAAACATGAACGCTCAGCTAGAGCCGGCGGCACGACGGCACGGCATCGAAAGCCTTTCTGTCCTGCTAGCTCACATAAGCATCCTGCAGGAGCCTGGCGATGGCAATTATCAGCTCTTCTGCCAGGCCGCCACGGCTCTTCAATCAGCAATGGATGCCATTCTATCCCCACCATCTCAAAACTCGACGGACAGTCCACAAGATTTCCTAACGGACGCTGCCATGGGACAACCGGACTGGTTACTCCCGGAGCACTTTGGGTTTGGGATGGACTCTTGGTGCGTACAACCCTGTTGGCCTACGCCTGAATCTGTACTCACGCCGTTTCTTGTAGGGTCGGTCTACCAGATCAAGGGTCTGTGTTTGGACTGGACGATAGTTTGTTGTACTGAGGAGCTGTCTTCATCATATGTGAATCCACCCGAGCTCCAAGGCTCGCATGGAGTTCCCATTCTGATATGCACACAGAATGAGGATCATCCCTTGCGCTGACATAAATATCTACCACGGTTGCAGCGTTTCGATGAATTGGCTTTCAAGCCGAGTACCAGCAGCCAAGCGGAGCACGGTGCTACTTTGCGTACCAGATGATGAGAACCTTTTATATGCATGAATACCCCAAGGACCCTGGACCTTTCAAGTGTACTATGACAGTACTTAGCTGCTGCCTTTCTCTCCGCCCCTTTTGTTCCAATATCCACCATCTCAATCAAGGATGATCCATGTTATCATTCGTCGTCAGCGGTAGCAGTGTGCCTATTCAGCAATAGCCGACGCCTCGATGCTCTTGAAATACTTGACCGTCTTGACCTGAAGCTCGAGCGTCGCAGCATCATCGACTACCAGTATGGCATGTGGGTGAAGTTGCAAACAAGATGCCGTCCAGATGTGACTGATTCCCGATTCGACGCAGTGCTTCAGAGCCAGAGCCTTGTGCGCACCAGTGGCGATAATAATTACTTCTCTGGCCTTTGAAAAATGATTGATCATGGTCAGCCTTCTAACATTTCAAGTCCTTGGTGGCTAAAGGCGCCCTCCAACTACAAGAGCATGCCTGGTGATGTCATGAAAAATGATGGAGAAACACTTGTGGAATCCTGACTCGTCCGAAGGATTCATCACGTACCTCCATGACCGTCTGCACACCGACGGTGAGCGCCATCTTCGGTACCTTTTCCACGTCGTTGTCAAAAAACCGCGAATTCGCCAGGATTGTGTCGTCGGTTAGCGTCTTAATCCGAGTTCTGGAGGCCAGGCTGGACCCGGGCTCATTGAAGGCAATATGCCCATCTGGTCCGATACCTCCTAGGAAGAGTGCGATACCTCCGACGGCAGCGATCTTCTTTTCGTACTCTCGGCACTCGAGCCTGAGGTCGGAGGCGTTGCCGTTCAGGATGTTGACATTGGTCGGGTCGATGTCCACGTGCGAGAAGAAGTGCTTGTACATGAAGCTGTGGTAGCTCTGGGGGTGGTTAACGGGTATGCCGACATACTCGTCCTAGTAGACTTGATTAGCTAAGTGCGCTTATGAACATAGCCCATGAGGGATTTGGATAAAGCAAGGTAAGGCAAGCGTAAGCGAGATTCCTGACTCGTCTTCGGTGTTCGATTCACGATAGGGTACTAGCCGTAAAGAGTGCTCTGTCAGAGGCAACCGGGGAGTGCAAGAGAACTTACCATGTTGAATGTTATGACATGCTTGAATGATATATTGCCTGCCTTGTGCTCTCGGACAAGTATTTTGTACACATTTTCTGGGCTGCTTCCCGTGGGAAGGCCAAGAACGAAAGGTCTTGTTGGTGTAGGCTGAAATGCTTTGATGCGCTCTGTATCAACTCCTTGTTAACCTTGAACCTACTTTGTTACGGGTTCTGCTACAAACCGATAATGTATTTCGCCACGAACTCAGATGCCGCTACACGGTCGTCTCGGATCAGAAGCCTCATCTTTTTGGAGAAGAAATCGCGACTATAATTTCCGATATGGCCTCTAATATGTGCATGTGAACGACTGTGTCTCTTAACAAGACTGGACTGGATGAGATTAAGAAAGAATTGGCCATTAGACCTCTCCACCAAGCTGATGCTACTACTTCGTGGTTATCGTGGAAGCACCACTCATTCGAGCATACCGACATAAAGTCGGAACGCCATCGGGCTAATCATGCGTAGAGCTAAGATGCTAACGACTTTGAGAGAGCCAATAGCCTCGTTATACCAATGCGACATAATCTGAGTTCGAACCCGCTCGGAGTAAGTATTTACGGACTCCGAGTGGCTAATCAATACTCCGAGAGATGGAAGAGCACCCGATATCACCACCGAAATGTAACTTCTCTTGATTCGCTTATGGTTAACCCTCTACCACTGTAGACCGAACCGCAGGTCGATATCTCGAAACTGAATGAGTGAAATCTCGACACACAAGGGGTCCGCGAATTTGATAGTCTCATCATATACCCCATTGCCTCCTTCTTGACTCCGATAGGCTCCACATCTTCGCAGATAACGTGGAAACATTGTGCCTTCGGAGTTGTTGGTGAAGCCAATCCGAACTGAAGATCTACGCGTGTTGAGATCCCCTGGGCGTTGGTGAATGCGAAAATAAACCAGAGAAACCTGGATATACCGCAGTGCAGGGTGGAGACCTCCAGATCAATATGGTGAGATTCGGTTTTCTACAATCGTTAAAAACAATCCTGTCCCCAAAATCCACAAAATCCAATGTGTCGGAAAGCTAAATGAATTCCAAATAACGGACACACTGTTTCGTGGCACTGGTACCTACACAGTTCTAGAAACGGCAACCACCACTTCAGACTTTCTTCCTTTCCGTAATATGAGGCAGTTTAGGATGTCCTTGTCAGGTGGCGCTGCTGCCGGCATCTTCGAGGGTGCATTCACCAGTCCAGAACTAATCCGACTGACAAACGGGCGACTGGTGGTCGGTGACAATCTGGTAGAGGGCGAAGATCTCTGGATCTGCTCGAGAACGGGGAAAATTGTGGACGGCCGCGATATATTCTTCAACTCCCGCACAGTTGCCGGAACCGTCATTGATCTCCAGAACAAAATAGTGGCACCAGGGCTAATCGACGTCCAACTTAACGGATCATTCAACTTCGATTTCTCCAACCCCAAATCACTCGAGTCTTACGCGGACGACCTGGTTCGCGTGAACAAGAGCCTTATCACACTTGGCGTCACGTCCTACCTGCCCACGCTGACCACGTCAGCAAGTCAGACGTACCATGACGTGCTACGGTTTCTCGGTCCCTCTGGAGTTGATAGAGATGCCCATGCAGGCGCAGAATCGCTAGGTGCGCACTGTGAAGGACCCTTCATGAGCACGAGCAAGAATGGCATTCACAATCCTGAACTGCTGCAATCCGCAGCAAAAGGCTGGTCGGATATCGAAGCATGCTATGGTCGTGAGAATTTGGATGGTGGGCGTGTGAAGATGATCACCGCCGCACCGGAGGTCGGACTTGTCAGGGACACCATTTCCGAGGTGGCGAAGCGAGGAATTGTCTTTTCGATAGGGCACACCAACGCAACGTACACAGATGCCTGCGATGCTGTTTCGAGGGGTGCTACGATGATCACGCACATGTTCAATGCCATGAGCCCGCTTCATCACCGCAACCCGGGCGTCGTGGGTTTGTTGAACGGTTGTGAGGGACTTGAGCGACCATACTACGGCATAATCTGCGACGGCATCCACTTACACCCGATGACCATCAGATTCGCCTTCACCGCCCATCCGGAGGGCTGCATTCTGGTCACGGACGCCATGCACTTGGCAGGCATGGAGGATGGGGTGTACGATTGGACAGAGGGCGACCGGATCGTGAAAAAGGGGCCACGTCTCACTCTGGAGCATGCACCGGAAAAGATCGCAGGAAGGTGAGTTCTTATGCGTGCCAGGAGAATTTCTCGGTCAACTCAAAGCGAGCAAGGCTGATTTGAGACTACATTCTTTAGTTCGGTGACCCTCCTCGAGTGTCTCAATAATTTCATCAAGTGGACTGGTACATCCGTAGCGCAGGCCATCAGCTCAGTGACAGAGAAACCTGCGAAAATGCTTGGACTTTATCCTAAAAAAGGATCGCTCATACCTGGAGCCGATGCGGACTTGGTTATACTTGATGAAGTGCTGTCTGGAAGTGGCGACAAGTCGCTATATGTTGATCGTGTCTTCAAGTTTGGTCAAATTGTCGTTCCACAGTTACACAACAAAGCGTGATTTGTGGCTGGCCACTAATCGTATACCTCTCTTACGGACGACTTCCAGTGAGGATAGTGGTTTGGAGAAGGCATGGGGTTGATACGGAAGCTAACAACGATATTTGTATCAGGACATACTCGCCATTAGATATAAAAGTAGTCGACCATGAAGTCTTCTTCTAGTAACCTCGCTACTAAGTAGTCTATGCTTGTGCCAAATACTCCTTGCTGAACGGGTAGTCGGTGTATCCCTTTACAAGCTTTGGGGTGTAAAAGTACGTCCTCTCGTACTTCGTTAGAGGAACTCCCGACTTTATCCTGAAGACCAAGTCCGGATTGGAGACAAAATACCTTCCAAAGACAATGCAGACATCGTAGTTGGCATACGTTTGGTCTACCGCAGTCTTCGCTGATTCGGCAGTGAAACCACCGGAGAGGAACACAGGAGTCGCATTATCCCAGAGTTCAACCAACCACTTGACTGTTTTCTGTCCACCACAGTCCGCATCATCGTTCCCTCGAATGCGCGCCTCGATCAGATGAAGGTATCCCAATCCAAGTGGCTTCAGTCTCTCGACCATCCTCTTGAATGTGGGGTCCGGGTCCTCCATCAGCATACCGAGAAAGTCACTGTAGGGACTAAGACGCACGCCGACTCGCTCAGGCCCGATAGCGGTAGCAATGGCCTTGGTCACTTCGAAAAGGAATCTGGTGCGGTTCTCGATGCTCCCTCCCCATTCATCGGTGCGCTTGTTACACGTATCCTGAAGAAATTGGTCCGGTAGGTAACCATTGGCTCCGTGAATTTCAACAAGGTCGAATCCTGCGGCAATGGCGTTCTTTGCTGTAGTTGCGTAGTCGTCAATTGTCCGCCAGATCTCGTCTTCTGGCATGGCAACGGGAACAGGATCGTTAGGCGTAACGGGAGTTGCACTGCTTGACCACAACTGGCATCCTTCCGCTTTGAGAATCTCGGGATCGCCAGCACGTCCCTGATGCCAGAGCTGACAGGCAAGCATACAGCCCTTGGCATGGACACTGTCAGCTATCTCTTTCCATGCCGCGATCTGTGACTCAGACCAGAGGCCTGGTACGTTGCGGTTGCTGATGGCTCTTTGAGAGACCAGCGTTGCCTCATTGATGATAAGAGTGCCTGGTACGCAAGCCCGCTGCTCATAATATTCTGGAAGAAGGAGCGCTCGTTAGTCATATATCGCTTTGGGGTAGAGAGAGCCCGGACAGCAGCTCGGGCGCTCTGAAATTTGGCTAACCGTACCTCTTGTTATGGCCGTAGGAGTCCACTGATCATCACAACGATATCGTGTCAGCGGTGCCATTACCACTCGATGGCCGAGGGTAACTGGCCCGACTTTCAACGGTTCGAATAGTTTTGTCATTGTGGTGAATGGTCACCGACTTGCTTTCGCTTCTATTTTCAGGAGATTTACGCGATATGGTTGTCGTGTATTGAATGCAAACTTGATCACTGACTTATGAGTTTCGTGCCAAACCCACAACAGCGTTGGGTGTAATTGTCGCCGGAATCGTCGCCGAATCCAAAATGACGGAAACACATGAACGTGGTAGGATGATCGGGCTTACGAAGTTACAATTTTACGGAAGACTTTACGCTCCCCAGGTGCAAAAGATTTTCTGTCGGCTTATCTCCGGGGCGAGACCCACCATCGGCTCAGAATCTGCCGAAGAGCCACATCTTCTTATCATGACCGTTCATATTTGCAAAGTTGATCGGATCTTAAACTGTGATCCTCTGACAACAGAAGAAGCCTGCCTTCTGGTCTACGATGTGATCGATGCCACTTTATGGACCGTCCGAGGGTTTGTCGGCAGAGCTTGCCCGTGGAAGAGCTTGCCCGCGTTTATGTCCAGCCCCTAGGCATGAAGCCCTTAGTCGAAACTTGGGAAGGGCCTTGGACAAGGCAGGCCTTCGCCCCATCCGAAACGCAAATGAAGAATTAACGCATGTGGACACTGAATGATGGACATGGCAGTCACTTCCATTGTTTCACAGCATTTATAGTATACGTCCTGGTCACCGGCCACGTATCGGCACTCGAACCCCCTGTACATCTGCAACGCTGCGAAGCCGACTGAGCGTCATCGTAAGGGTTATCGAACCCCAAGCTGTGAAGAGTCATCAGCATGAACAATGGAACAACCAACCCAGAGAGCGGGTCATACCGCCATACAATGTCTGGGCACAGCGAGAGGGCGACCGCGGAGTCTTCGTCCTGCGAAGGCGAGTCTGGCCATATGGCTGAATCGTCGCCAACAACACCGGGGCAAGGACTCAGTCGAACCGACAGTGATAACGAGAGCATTGGAGGCCAGCGAAATGAAATGTCGAGAAAGAGTCTCATGATAGCGATCCCTGCACTCTCGGTGTGCCTGTTCGTCTCGTTTCTGGATCAGACGTCTGTGGCAACCGCGACGCCAGCAATATCCGGGGATCTAAACACTGGAGCTGCGACTTCATGGGTTGGTGCTTCCTTCCTGATTGCATCCACGTCGTTCCAGCTCATCAACGGGAGACTGTCTGATCTTTTCGGGAGGAAGAACCTACTTCTGGTCTGCCTGGCATTGATGGGAATCGGGGACTTGGCATGCGGGTTTTCCAAGACAAAAGTGCAACTCTTTGTTTTCCGCTCCATCGCTGGGGTTGGTGGTGGCGGCATCAATAGTTTAGCAATGATCATTGTCAGTGATATCACGACACTGCGGAACCGGGGAACATATCAAGGTGAGCAAATGAATTCCTTGGCTATTCTTTCTTCGATACATGTATAACCTGTCGACTACAAGGTGTTCTCGGTGCCATCATTGCACTTGCAAATGGAGTTGGGCCTTTTCTGGGTGGCGCACTTGTCGAGTCGGTGACATGGCGATGGGTCTTTTGGTTGATTCCGATCGTGTGCGCACCAACGACTGCTGTTATTTGGTTTTTCCTGCCGCTCAAACATCAAAAGGGAGGCCATGTCGAAAAGATCAAGAAGATTGACTATGGTGGAGTCATACTGAATATCGCCTCGACTCTGCTGGTGCTCGTCCCCCTCTCTGGCGGCGGCGTGACATATTCCTGGAAATCAGCGTTTCTTATTTCCACCCTCACCATCGGTGTCCTGTTGGGTGTCCTCTTCGTTCTGTACGAGTGGAAGCTCGCGACACTTCCAATTATGCCTCTGCGGCTATACAAAGCGCCACACTGCAGTGCTCTCTACGCTCAGTCTTTCCTGACCGGTCTTGCATACTTTGGAAACCTTTTCTACCTACCCATCTACTTTCAGTCCGTCCTCAAGTACTCGGCCCTTGTGTCCGGTGCGTTGATTTTACCAGTCATCATCACCACGTCCATAGGCTCTATCGTGTCCGGGCAGTATATGAACCTCACTGGCCGCTACAGAGCTTTAATTCTGACTGGGTTCAGCCTATGGACGCTCGGCAACGGTCTTATGCTTTTGTTCGGACGACATACCGGTCCGGGCCCTTTAGTTGGTATATCAATTGTCCAAGGTGCTGGCATTGGATTGACTCTGCAACCAACCCTTGTTGCAATGTATGCCAACAGCCGCAACGACGATCGCGCAGTGGTTACCGGCCTCCGCAACTTCATCCGCACCATTGGAGGGGCCTTCGGGCTTGTTATCTCGGGTGCTATTCTATCCAACACCCTCCGGAACGACCTCTCAGCTTCAGGCCTCGTCTCTAATGACATAATCACACAACTTACGTCGTCAATCTATGTACTCGACCATTTGCACCTATCGCAAGAGGCCGAAGACGAAATCCTTCAGACTTACATGAATGGGCTGCATTTTATTTTCGCATTTTTCGTCGCCTGCTCCGGCCTAAGTCTTCTTCTCACCGCATTTGTTGGCAATACAAACATGAAAGCACAGAAAACCTCTCAAGTGATCAAGTCAGACGGCCAGGCGTCTGATATTGGCCAAGTTGAAAAGGGCCCGGTGGTCAGTGATAGGTTGGAAGTGGACGCTTCTGAGAACAGAACAAACAGCCCCCAATCGGATGAGCAACCTTGATTGAAGGAAAATCTGGTTAAGTCATACCTGTCTTGAGGTGATGAGCATATGATCATATTCATATCCGACAACCTTCTGTGTCGGGTCTAAAGACAAACGGGATGAAAAGTCTACACAAGCGAGTTTTGATTTATAAAGCGGCATTTACAAGCATAACTTAGGTTTGACTGAGGACCTCTAGCATAACAGGATGGAGAATTGACGAGAAAAGGGTTTCTGCATAGTCACCATATGAAAAGCACGAAGACATAGCATGTATTGCCACCATGAAATGAATCCATATACTATTTGATTACTTCATTGCCCGAGTACAGCCATGTTCTTCTATGTACATTGGTCTGAAAACGCCCAAAGGCATTCCTTCAAAGTTCGCTTTATCGCTTTGATATGCTTTCATCCAGCCTAAGGTAGTCGAAGCAGAATGTTACACACAGACTATCAGATCTGTCTGAGCCGTCAAGCCACACTACAAAACAGGTAGCAAGGCTAGAATTTTGGTAGGGGCGTCAGTCAAGAAGTCAATGGTAGGTACACCAACCTTACAGACTACTCATTTTTTTGCGGGGTCACTTGTTTGTTAGGTGGCCAGCCGTTTCGTATTCTTTGCTTCTGCGTACGACCGCTGCTACTCCATGGACCGAGAGATGTCTGTCGTACCATGTCACTACGTACGCGGAATTTGCGGCTTGATTTCTTGCAGGATCGGAATTCCGATATTCCTCCGAACAAGTCTGCGGCCGTTTATCTTCCGGCAAACTGACGAATAAATGGCTGGCTCTCTGTGCTCCAGGTAGTTTAGTTTCGCCGGGCATGCAGCTAAAGTTGACTGATAAGAGTGGACCTGCGGACGACCGATCACCTCGGAGAAGTCCTTGCCGATAACGACCAATGCGCCAACTGCAACCCCACCGGTCCGAACCCCACGGGATAGTTGGTCCGTCCAGAACCCTAAAATCGTCCGTTGGATGGGTCTTCTCATCAGCCAGTACCTAGGCAATTTCTGGAAAAGACGTTCACGGCCTGGCTACATTCGATCCGATAAATAAACGTTGAACGCGTGTGTCCACGTCTCTCTGATCATTCACCGCGCTCAGAACTTGGTGATTAACGCTAGAGATTGGTCTCGTTCGCGATCATTTTCAACGTTGTCCAATCCAACCACTTGAATCACTTCTGCCCTTTCTCGCTTTCTTCCACCGAGACTTGATTGTTACAATGCCTGAGATATACGCCGCACACCCCGACTATGGTTTCTCCCGTGATTTCAAGGGTTATGGTGAAAAGGGTCTTCAAGGGTTGAAATGGCCAGGAGATGCAAAGATCGCCGTTTCTTTTGTCATCAACTATGAAGAGGTACGCTTGGGCTGCTCAAGCTTACAGTCACTTCCATGTGTCATAGAAGCCTAATCAGACTTTCGTACAGGGTGGTGAACGATCTGTCCTTAACGGCGACGGCGTTGATGAGCCGAACCTGCGTGAGGCTCCAGGCGCAATGCGCATCAACGAGCGAAACTACAACGGTGAGAGTGAATACGAGTACGGCTCACGCGTGGGCTTCTGGCGACTGTTCAAGTTGTTCAACGATCACAAGATGAAGTTTACGCTCTACGCCGTGGCCCTGGCGGTCGAACAGCAGCCTGAAGTGGCCGTCAGATGTGTTGAGGAAGGCCACGATGTTGCATCACACGCATACCGCTGGGTCGATCATCATGACTGGTCCATCGAAAAGGAGAAAGAATATATCCGCAAGGGTATCACCAGTCTCAAAAACTTGACGGGCTATGCACCAAAGGGTTGGTATTACGGCCGGCCATCCCCCCAGAGCCGCTCCCTGATCCCACAGGTCTACGAGGAGATGGGAGAGGAACTTGTCTGGGTCAGTGACACCTATGCGGACGAAGTGCCTTACTGGATCGACCTGCCGATGGAACGCAACAAGCCGAATCCCAAGGGCTGTCTCATGCTCCCCTACAGCTACGACTGTAATGACTTCAAGTTTCACACCGCCAACTCCGGCTTCCGCGATTCCACCGCCTTTTTCACTCATTTGAAAAACGCCTTTGACATCTTATACGAGGATGGACAGGCGGGCCAGCCTAAGACGATGACTATCGGCCTGCATTGCCGCATCATTGGTCGTCCCGGTCGCTTCAAGGCCTTGAGAGATTTTGTCGAGTATATCGAGAAGAAAGAAGGTGTCTGGGTCGCCACTCGGACGGAAATCGCTCAGTCCTTCCGGGAGCAGTTTCCCTACAAGAAAGGCCAACTTGCTTAATATTCTTGCTCGATATTGATCAGAGATTGGGAAGGGCAGCATTTGTATGACGAGCTGATTGGGGTATCAGACCACGATACTCCATGCTTAAGAGCGGATGACGGGCGTGTTATATCACCAACAAGTCATCATGACAGGTCAAAAGCAACGCCGGAATGGGCACAAGCAATCGCTTTGAATCACTAGTAGACAGCTTCCTCCTGCCAAAATTGAGCATTTTGGGGTTCTCTTCTTTTTTTCTGTTCTTGACTTTTCCGTTTCTGCTTAAGTTTATGGCAGCTTTGGGTCTAACGCACTATACTCTTCATTATATATGCTTTCCGGGGCCTAGAGCTTTAGCAACAATCCGCCCATTGATCAGCTCAAGTATTATGCGAGCGTTATCGGCCACTACTATGGCAAAAAGGGCGGGCACACCTGTTTCGGTTCCCCACAGCTAACAGTCTTCGATTATTAGGTTTGGCATAGAAAGCTGTCTTACAAAAGTACGGGGAAGTCATGAGTGGTTTACTTAAGGGTGAGCACTTAGACAATATAATAGGCTTATCTCCATTTTCGAGCCTTAAATTACTGTACCTAGTGGCTTCTGGACCGTCCTAAGGGATGGCATCCATTCGCAGCTTTATGGAATTTGTCCATTGGTTCTTCGTCTAGTTTCGCATATCATTTAGGGACGCGGCTCCCTAGCCTAGCATCCCAAGCTCGGTATAATCCCAGCCGGCCGCTCCCATTGCCCCGTACTGATCAAAGCTTTCGACATTGGAATTCTGTTGCGGCATGTTGGCTGCGTACAAGGCATTATTGTCTTGTTCGGGCCACCAAGCCGCCGACGGCTCACCTCTTGCGGCGGTTGAACCAGGAACGAAATTGGTCTCAGCATAGCTCTCGTGCTCAGTGACCATTTCGTTCCACATCTTCCAGCCCTGCCAGCCGCCAGGTGCCTCCTCATCAACCTCCATGAACGCTTCTTTTACGGCGTCTGAAACCATGTGGATCATTGTTGGTTTGGAAGTTCCCGGCCACGTTTGCGGTTGCGGTTGCGGTTGCGATTCATTCAAGGTTGGAGTTTGCCTGGATATGGCGGCCGTCTGATTTGTATCTGTGTCGAGATCCACGCGCAGCGGGCCGAGATTTGCCGAATTTGAAGTCCCCGTGGCAGGGTTGATTATCGCTTTGAACAGGCTTCCTGATAGTGCGTCGAAGATATCCCGATACTTCACCGCGCCTACCCATTTTTCTCCAAAGATTGTCAAACTCTGTGAGCACGCTCGAGACGCTTCCAATACATCAAAGCTAAAGAGTGAGCCGTCACGCCAGAGGCAATACATGAGCGTAAGACCAGCAACGAAGCAGCTGTGAAGTGATATCATGGTGTAGCTCAACGTCTTTTGTTGGTTCAGCCGCTGATATGCAACGCAGACGCAGGCAGCTGAGCGTGCTGCCGTGACGAAGCGGGGATCTGTTGAGTCAAGGCGTGGTAGGAGAACGGTGAACAAATTGAGCACAGCCTTGTGATATTGTCTGTTTCTTTATCAGCTCCAATCCACGGCGTAAACACAAGGGAAGACTGGCAAACTTACAAATTGAAAAAGTCGCGTGAATCATGGTATGCACTCTCCGGATCGTACATCCAGGTGATCCTTTTTGCGTCTTTGGGCTGGTAAGGGATGGTTCGTATCCACTCGTCCAGATCAGCTCTCATCCTTGCCATTTTCCCGTCGAGCTTGGCCCTCTGCTCGGGCGGACCAGCAAACGCATCCTTATCAACTCGGAATACGGTGCGGTGAATGCGTGATTGAATTCTCTCCAGCTTGATTATGTGGACGAAAGGCGCAATGTTGGACCAGGGTGTACCTCTTGAAGTATCGGGGGGATCTCGGTGCGTCAAACTCCAGTACTCGACGCTCAGACTGGGAAGCTACTCTAGCGTAAGCAGATGGATGGATACAAAAGAGAACAGTAACACAGATCAGATTGGACGAACCTCAACGTTGATATCCCGATCTGCAATGGCGAATGCCCGGCCCAGCACGACGCTGGTCCCTCTATCCAGACAGTAACACGACCAAAATGCACGTCGGCGTAGCTCGTTGTCTCGAGCCTCTTTGGTGGAGGTTGCAACCTTTCGCTTTCTGTGCAGACCCAATTCGATGCATAGTGAAACGGCGTACCTCACCTGACTCCATGCACCTGCCCCGTACGGCGACCGTTGACCATGAACAGCCAAAAGAAGAAGGAACTGGACCGTTGCCATGTTGTGTTGTTCGAGTATGTAGTCCATGGGTTCAATTGCTGCAACAAGGTGCCGCTCATGATCAACGCCACATATCTTCCCGGTGAGTTGCAGGAACCTTGCAGAGATCGCATAGATGAGGTGCATGATGCTCCGCTGGGTGATGGACAGCACGCCTTTCTCGTATTGCTTATTGAACAATACAGAATACTCTTGTCGATCCAGCATTGGCCACCGTGTGTGTAAGCGATCAAAGAAAATGTCAAAGAGAAGCTTCGACTGCTCAAGAAGTGGGAACTCAGACACCGACCCATCTGGGCGAACCGACAAAGGCACCGACGGGAGTGCAGATTCTGGCACATCAAGCTGGTGTGACTGAGACGCAGCTATTGCCTCGGAAACTGCGGTGCCAGACGAGCCATGGAAGATGGCACTTTGTATCATCCGTGCGATGGTGGCTCCGGAGCTTGATCCAAGGTAGAAGGGCTCTGGAGCTGTATCGGTAGTGCCCGAAGCCCTTAGTGACAAATACGCAACACCGTCGACGAGCGAGGAGTGGTCTTCATCATCCACCGCTTTTGAACGAGGGTATTGTCGCGTTCCGGTCGTTGATTGGGTGTCGAACGCCGGCGCCTCGAAGTGGTCTTCGGCATAGTCGGGTAGGCGCGCTTCCAAAAAAGCGATACGTTCTTCCAATGCTTTGATATAACTATCTCAGCGTGAGAATGAATTTTTTGACGGAATCATTAGCAGGAGAGACGAACAGTGACTTGCCTCCGGGATACTGAGGCCGAATGGTTTTTTCGTATATACAGGATGATCCAGCTCTCTCACATGATCGACAGGCAGGGTAACCGCCATCACACTGTTAGCATGGTGTTAGAATTTCTCCGAGAGCTTGATACTCTTGATTGAGGCATCAGTAGCGGGGACTTCGATTGGGAAAGCAGCGGAACATAGAGCAGGTCATACCCGTTGTTTTCGTCTTTTGCATCTTTTACAAGCCAAGGTCGCACGTGTCTTTCTGGGTTGTTGGGGGACACCCGCCCCGTTACTGCCTTCGGCGGTGCTTCCCCCTGAATGCCGCAGTTCACCTCCCGACAGGGGACTCACGGGACTTCCTGGTCGAGACATAACGGTATCGTCCTGGTGTCAGTGTTAGCCAGGAGTTCTCTCTATGCGTCAGCTGGGTGAGATTACAGTACGGCGGCGCGAGCGATACCTAGAGCCTGAAGAGTCAGTCGGCAAATCTGATGCCGGTATGTAGGCGTGAGGGAGGTCTAAGGACCGTCACAGCTTGGACCGCGACTTCGTCAACAAACCTCCGTGTATCCCTTCCTTATGGGCAGGCGAGAAGCGATTAGGTAATGCCGGGGAGCATACAGGTATTCTTCCCACTAAGACACCGTACAACATAAGTGGCAACCGCTAGATCTTGCTGAGCGCGCCGTTGAAAGATTCAATAGGCGGTAGGTGTACCCACGTCGAAGAAGAACGCCTGTTGTATCAACCTTACGGACTGTTTACGTACCAGGTAAGCTCCTATCTCAAATTTTTGCGGTACCACTTCTTTTGTAAGGTGGCTCGACGCCTATCAACCATGATATCAACCTACATTGTACGAGTAATTTCAATTGGTAGTCGACCGACAACTGATAAGATCCCGCTTACTTAGCGTACGGGGGCAATACGATACGTCGTCACCATATACTGTGACAGTTCTATTCCCATTGGTGCAGGAATGTGCCAACTCGAGGCCTAGATGCGCCGGTGCCTTTTCTGCCGATAGGGACCTCCTACTTCAAGGTCTGGCGCTAGCTTCTTATGAGAATGTCACAGCTTCAGTATTAGTTGATCGCCTCGGTTTGCGGGTATCGACAAGAGCCAGGCAACTTGAAGATCAACTGAGACGTCAAGTTGAATGATCCTATCTTGGTGGGGCCATTTGGACACCGTTGTAGGATTTCTCCGCAGCACTTGGCGAATATCGGGCGGGAACTACGCGACAGATCACCATGGAGGCAAGGCGATCATCGACATCTGAATAGTGGTGAGATGCAGATATGTTTCGAGCATCTCAATCAGCATATCCAGTAGCCTGGTCTTTCACTGTGGCCCTTGCAGAGGATTTAGATAGCGCCGAATCCCCTCGACGATTTCGACTTCCCACAAAGAAGCAGGTGAAGGTGTCAGAATACGGTTTGCGAACGCTATAACCTTGTTGTACCAAGATCTGGTATTGAATACCTTTTTTGGGTTTCACAGAAGGCACCATTCCAGTCCAAAGAAGTCTTGATCGATTTTCCCCGCGCACCAGACAGCGTTGAAGGTCATGCTCAAATGAGTGACTCGAGATGGTCCAACAGGGACCTCGAACCAACACCGCCGGAGCACCGCAATTGGCCCTGGTGTGAAATATCCTCGAGATGTCAAAGGTGGTAAGAAGAGGGGAACTTATGGCGTCAGGTACAACCTTTCTCTTTACTAGTTTTCGAACCAATTTAGCCTGGATGGGAACATCCACGTGTCTTCACTGTACGATGGCAGTAAGAAAGGCCTGTACTGGCTCTGGTCAGGCGTGAACTGGGTCGGTGTCTTCGCCTGGCTCGCCGGTACTACCATGGGCATTCCGGGTTTGATCGGCCAGCATCAACCGCAGCTCCTCAGTGACGCCGCTCGTCGCATGCACATGATGGGTGATATCCTGACTTTCGTGACCGCAGCCGTGGTCTACTTTGCTTTCACATGCTTCATCCACTATCGAGTCCTTGCTGCTGGTCGAGAAGATATGACTCGTCAGCGCGAGTGGTTGGCAAAGGAGGGTCGCGAAGGTTTTTTTCATGGGGAGAAAGAAGGACTCGCGATTGAGGCACCGTCCACACCACCCGTTATGGACATCGAGGAGATCTATCTGGAGGGCGAAAAGGGTGGCAAGATGTAGTAGGAGGACATCGAGTATCGTTCACTTTTCAAGCCTCGATAGAGACACTTTGGACCTTGACAAAACGCCGCGCAATGCCACACGCCTGTCGCATTTCCCACTGCCAGTGTTGATGCATTCAGCTACGTGCAAACCCCATACATGGTAACAAAGGTCTTGTGCCCTTCGCTACCAGACAGGGGTTTCGGAGGTCACGGAGATTGATCTTGGCAGGCCGGTCATCTCCCCGGCCCCGAAACATACGCTAACCTGTTTCATTCTGGTGAGTCCGCTCACGCTTATCATCTACTTATCTCCCTCACACTCTTGTCGCTAGAAAGCCGTCCCCTACCAAAGGTCCAATCTAGGGGGCAAGAAGGGATGTGGAGTCGCTCCTCTATCGGCGATTAACGTGCCGATGAGAACGACGCCCCGAAACGTTCTACCAAAATTCGATCGCAACTTCTCCATATATCGCGACTGCCTTACAATCATGCATCGGCGGTAATGTATCGACCGACACCCGGCGGCCCAAGGTTTAAAATCAGAATTTCTTCATTCCAGGACTCTAGAGGTCAGAGGAATCACGCTCGAGTTGGTACACTCACAGTAGCTTAGTCGCCTCTACCCAAACAATCAACGATTCGTGTCGCGCAACAAATACGGTCCACGTTGTCTTCGTCTTTCATTGTCATACTTTAAAAGAATTTACCACAAAGGTGGTATATGCATACACGTCTCGATGGCCACAGAACCGTATCGTCAGACAGCGAGTGAGGTCCTTGCCAGGATAAATAGTGGTGACTTGACCGTGGAGCAGTATGCTCAATCACTCCTGGCACGTATCAAGGCCAGAGATGCCGTGGTAAAAGCATGGGCGTACCTGGACCCTGCGCGGGTCATTGAAGAGGCGAAAAGGCTGGATCAAGTGCCTATTGATGAACGTGGTCCCCTTCATGGAGTGGCAATTGCTGTCAAGGATGTCATTTATACCAAAGGTCAGTTGCAGACAGCACTTACTATGCTTTTCAGGGTTTTAACGAGCTGCCCTCAACAGACATGCCAACCCAATTCAACTCTCCGGCCTATGAGGGTCATGGGCCAACAGTAGATGCGGCATCTATCATGATTCTACGGCAGGCCGGCGCCCTGATCTTCGGGAAGACCACAACGACCGAATTCGCAGCTACGACACAGGGGCCGATAACAACCAATCCTCATGACTCGTCCCGCACACCCGGAGGCTCTTCATCTGGGTCCGGGGCTGCCGTAGGAGATTTTCAGGCTCCCATAGGACTGGGCACGCAGACAGGAGGCAGCACCATCCGGCCGGGCTCATTCAACGGGATCTATGCCTTCAAGCCGACTTGGAATTCGATCTCGCGTGAGGGCCAAAAAATATACTCTCTTATTCTAGACACCTTAGGGCTCTATACCCGCAGTGTCGATGATCTGGAGCTACTTGCCGATGTCTTCAAGCTGGAAGACGATATGGCCCCAGATAGGGACTTCAAAGTCATGGGTTCCAAATTTGCTGTCTGCAAAACAATGGTGTGGCCGCAGGTCGGTCCTGGCACTGCTGCTGCCATGGAAAAGGCTGCTGAGCTGCTTCGCGCACACGGCGCGGAGGTAGACGAGATCGGTTTTCCGGAGGACCTGAATGATCTCCCGCGGTGGCACAGCACGGTCCTTAACTCTGACGGGCGGGTGGCCTTCCTCCCTGATTATTGCGCGTCCAAGGGCAAGATATCGAAACAGCTGATCGACCAGGTCGAGAACCGAGGTCGCATCTCAAGAGCCGCTCAGCTGGAAGCGTTCGACAAGATTGCCACAGCACGACCCGTTGTGGACGAGATGGTTGGAAAGTACGCTGCAGTACTAGTTCCCAGTGTGCCAGATGAGGCACCTGAGGGCATCGACAGTACGGGCAGCGCTGCCTTCAATGGCATTTGGACGGTACGTTCGGCTACCCTGTCTTCGAAAGGGCGGTACTAATCACAAACTCTATTCAGGCACTTCACAACCCGGTTATCAATATCCCGGGCTTCCACGGGGGCAATAACATGCCCATCGGCATCTCCCTTGTCGCTCCACGATACTATGACCGGCATTTATTAGCTGTAGGTAGAAGGGTAGGCGAGATCTTCGAGCAAGAGGGTGGCTGGAAGCCGAAGAACTAGCTTTTGCTCACAAGCACGGTGCTGTTGGATAAAAAGATTACAGGAATGGGCTGGTAGGAAGCCCACATGAGCTCAATATAGCAGGAAGGGGCAAATCACAAATCAGATATACTCGTGACCATGAGAAGCCTTTTCTTTTTGGAAAAGGCATTACTTCTGGGCCGACCTTTGAAACCGACCCATGCTGGTTAGAGGTTATATTGTCTAGCTTGACGGTCGTTCCACACTTGCATGAAAGGTGACTGGAATATGCATTTGTAGGTTACCTTATATCCTGCTTGGTAAAGAACCTGTAGTTAGGAATCTGCCCTAACTAGTATCAGGTATTTTTGACAATAGACCAATTATGCAGCAAAGTGAGCAAGGAGATCTATTGGTGGATTTGGAGAGTTTTAGCCTAGTAAGAATTATCTCATTATATTGATTTCTCGATGTGCTAGCGTCATTAGTTGATGACTAAGTCTTGGCAAGATCTACCTCTAGCACTGCACTGACTAAGAGTCTCGTTTGTTGTTTATCCCAACCTCCCTCTTCATGCAAAATCATCATTTCTTTATTGTTATATCCACGTTCTTGTCGCACCCAGCTTCACATATATCTGAAGTCCTAATCTAGCTCCTTCTCCCTCGATACTACCGACATGACAAAGCCTATCCAAGATCCATACGAGGCTGAACCATCGGCTCTACCTTTCAGAACTGGAGGCCGGCTACGCCGGAACCAAGAATACCTGATCTTTTACTTCTTCGCGATCTCTTCGTGGTGCCTGGAGATTGCTGCTGCGTGCCTCGGATCACTCGATGGAGCGCAAAGTCATTACTTCATCGCTACTATCTCACCGTTTATGGCCACTCATTGGTGAGCAAACTCCATGAAGATTCCCCGCACTTCAGAGACCATCCAGGTTGTCTAATATATTGCAGGATGGCTTTCCTACAAACATGCTGGATGATGGCGACTGCTCCGCGCAGCACAGTTCCGCATCGTATTGCCTATCTCAACCTGGCCTGTCGATTCCAGCGACTCTGCGCAGTAAGCAAGAAGTTCCTTTTTCAACTTTCGTACACTAATTGTCCAAGCCAACTGCTCTAATCGGAATGATCACGTGGGCAATTGGTTACCGATATCGTTACAAAGCTTCCAGTCAAGCGTACTGGATTATCTGGCTGGTGGTGTGGATTGTGGACACCGTGGTTTGCATCATGAACGTTTACAACAATATCAGCTGGGAAAGCGACCTGCTATACCAAATCGCTCCTCACTATCACCAGGGAAATTTCTGGCTAGGCGTTCTAGGCATTCGGGACATATGTCGAGCCAAGTATGACCCTTACGAGAAAGAAGGCATAGAGCTGGAAGAACCCTTAAACAGGGGGGTGTGATTTTGGAAAAGGTCTTCGGAGTCACTACAGGCTAATTAAAATATCTCGTGTCGTCAAATTTATTCCTTGTCATCAATATGGTTGACCGGCGTGAGTGGCTTCCCATCCCGAAAGAAAGCCTCAAGATTGTCTAGGTTAGTCTTTTCGAAGTTTTGCCAACTTGTGCGCGAGCATACACCGATATGTGGCAGCACCGTGACCTTCCAATTTTCCTGGAGTTTAGGATTGATTCCTGGTTCGTTTGCGTGCACATCAAGGCCGACTCCGACGACTCTTCCGCTGTCAAGAGCCGACAAAAGCGCCTGTTCGTCAATCATCCTGCCTCTTGCGATATTGACGACCCTTAATCCCTCACTTTTCGCCAGTGAAAATTGTTTTTCCGAGAGCATATTGTGAGTCTCGGCCGTATATGGCGCAGCGAGGACAATACAATCGATCCCAGGGATCATGTCATCCACGGTGGAATGATAAGATGCCCCATGTTTCAAGGCTCTCTCAGCATCCAGTTTCCGCCGCGGTCCTTGATAATGAATACTCATACCGAAGCCGGCTTCGCATTTTTGTGCAATCGCAAGACCGATATCACCTAGGCCCACGACGCCTAACGACTTCCCACAGGGGTCTACTGCTTGATTTCCCAGCTCACGACTGGCGTTCCAATCATATCTTGCACACCATTGAGCATAGGTCAGGAAACGAAAAGAGTCCAAGACCAGGAGCATGGCTGTATTGGCAACGGCTTCTGTGCAGGCGTTGGGAGTATTGCAGTACCAAATGCCACGAGCTGTAAGACCTGTGATGTCTGCGGCATCATAGCCATGCCCGCTGCAACAGATGATACGTAGCGACGATGGGAAGTGCGGCACGACATCGGGACCAAAAGGCAAGTGGGTGGCGAATCTTCCCGCCTTCAGCCAACCATTGCGACAGATTGCCGCCACCTTTGAATAGGGGCCTCCAGGCTTCAGACGTTCTATGAATTGTGCTTTCGAATCGCAGTCGTAGTAGATGAGGTTGAATCTCTCTGCCAGCGCCTGTCGGCGAGCGACATCAACCGCTTGTACGGAAGAGTCAATCAGCAGAATGTCGGCCTTCTCAGCCATCGTATACGCAGTGGTTCAATGCACAGGGAGGTTCGGGGCAGGACGGTTGTGTGGTTGAATTCGATGGAACTTTTGAGGCCATGCATTGACTAGCGTCGACGGTACAATATCATCATAGCTAGCTCCCGTAACTTGCTAGTAAGCCGGCGATTTAACAACTGTCTTATTTCTGCAAGAAAATGGTTGTGCTAGGAAAAAAGGATACTATTGAAAGTTGGGTAGGATGTTGGAAGTATCGGCAAGAAATGGGCATAAGCCGGTATCAGCTTCTGTTCCGTCGGTAAACTTGGCCTGCAGCCGGATGGCCACCTTCGACTCGGATATACCCGGCCGATACCTGCAACCGCTCATTCATGATGACTGATGGCCTGCTTTACAGAACGAGGCTTACTCGTTGAACAGCGTTGACCGAAATCCAGTCTACTGCGTCTCCAGTAGGTCGCAAGATGAATATGGACGCCTCCGCCCTCCAAGTTCAGAGAGCTGCGGTGGTCCATAATTCAGTCGAGGATAATGAGGCTCATCAAGTGGTCGTCGCGGCCCCTTCAAAGACCATATCAGGAAGAGGATGGGGAATTTTGTCGAAGCTGCTTGGTGCTGTTGGCGCTCTCGCACTAGGACTCTACGTGTCATCTGGCTATGGATATGAACGAACCGTCGACCCTCTTGATTTCACAGGCCGGACTGAGCGAGTCCTGAAGACAACACCACTAATTGATGGACACAATGACCTGCCCTATTTACTGCGACTTGAATTGAAGAACAGAATATATGACGAGGGCAAGTTTACGTTCCGTGAAGGTGAGAAGCTTGCACCCAGACTTTTATCTTACCTCATTGGCGCGATAATGGAATTGACTAATATAATGTTGCGCAAAAGGCCTCGCCAGCCACACGGATCTTCAAAGAATGAAGGAGGGCAGAGTAGGCGGACAGTTTTGGTCCGTCTTCGTCGAGTGTCCAGAAATTGTCCATCTTGATGATCCCACCCACTCCGTACGAGATACACTCGAGCAGATCGATGTGGCCAAGCGTATGATTGCTTACTATGACGAACTACACTATTGCGAATCTTCCAGCTGCGTGACCACCGCTTTCAAAAGAGGGAAAATGCCGTCCATGCTTGGAGCAGAGGGGATGCATCAAGTGGGCTCCTCTATCGCAGTCATCAGGCAGCTGTTCGACGCGGGTGTGCGATATATTACTATAACTCACAACTGCGACAACCCGTTTGCCACGGCTGCGTCAACTGTGACAGAAACTGGCAAGGACGCTGGCCTTTCTGACTTTGGTGTTGCAGCAGTGGTCGAGATGAACAGACTCGGCATGATGATCGATCTGTCTCATACGTCTCACAATAGTATGCGTCAGATACTCGACATCACGCGCTCTCCGGTGATCTTCAGCCACAGCGCCTGTTACCATCTGGCTAGGAACTACCGGAACGCTCCTGACGATGTCATAGCCAGACTCAAGACAAATGGTGGCGTTCTCATGGTCATGTTCGTCAAACGCTTTTTAAATGCCCAAAATCCAGAAGCTGCTGACCTCGAAACGGCTGTCGACCATATCATGCATGTGGTTGAGGTAGCAGGTTGGGATCATGTCGGTATCGGAGCCGACTTTGACGGAACAGTGACTCTGGCTAATGGTATATCGTCTGTTGCGGACTATCCAAAACTGATAGAAGCTGTCATGAGAAGGGGCGCCACTGATGAGCAGGTCCGAAAGCTTGTGGGGGAAAATATCTTGAGGTACGAGCCCAAGAATACATCGTCGCTCATTCTTCTTGATTACTAATGACTGTGATAGAGTATGGAGGCAGAATGAAATGAACGCGAGGGTGTTCAAGAATGACTTACCTGTGGAGGATGTATGGGACGGTCGGCGATGGACAAGGTGGAACAATCCACTCCCACTCATGATTCCTGGAAACCCCGAGCGTATTGCAGCAAAAGACTTTCCCTAGATTCTTACATCATACATCACGACAGATAAAGTTGTTTCTGAGAGCGGGCGGTCGGATCAAAATGCGTTATGACGCGTGCAACACCCCAGCGTACAACAAGATATGAACTACAGCTCCGGGATCCCCAGGTATAAGTGCATACCATTCAAGTCTTTCAGGGCGGGCCCCTTACGACCGTGAACTTGTTAGTGACAGAATGGCTGGGATTCCATTTGTAGATTTCGAAAGTTTTATTCTTGGTGCTCCCCTAATCAATTCTTACACGATTTTGATTCAAATTCCCCCGACCGTCTCTAATTGCCCACCGCTTTGGCATTTCTCTCTGCCAAACTTCCCTGAGTTCTCACATTGTTGGAGAATTTATCGCCAATCTTGAAAGCCCCAATGATAGGTTTACTTACCACTGCATTTGGGTCTGGACCATAGCCACCACCACCGGGGGTGAGAACGATGATACGGTCTCCAGCATTCATGGGCGTGGTTGCTTTACCACCCAAGCTGATGGTTCTCGTAGTGCCATCTTCCGCATCTCGGCGAATCCACAGATTGATCCCTCTCTTTCCTTCCTCTCCTCCTGCCATGCCATAAGGAGCAATGACTCGGCGTTCGGACAGAATCGAGACCTGCATGGGTATTCGAAATTCAATATCTCGCACGCATCCATCTCCTCCGCGGTGAAGACCAGCGCCACCACTGCCATGACGAATCGAGAACTCATGAAGAATGACTGGATAACGCCGTTCGAAGATCTCGGGATCTGAAATCCTCGTGTTGGTGACATGTGTGTGAACGCCACTTTCACCGTCCCAGTCAGCGCCAGCTCCAGAGCCTCCTGCAATAGTCTCATAGTATCCAAATCCTTGTATGACTTTCCCAGTTTTTGCATCAGTTCCTCCATAGCCAAAGGTCAAGTTGTTACAGGTTCCTTGGGACGCTGCGCAAGCTTGGAATGCTTTGAAGATCAAGTCGACGATTCGTTGGGATGTCTCGACATTCGATCCCACAGTCGCTGCTTTTAGTGAGGGTGAAAGAATGGAATTCTCCGGCACTTTGATCTTGATTGGTTTCAAACAGCCTTGGTTTAGTGGAATGTCCGAGGAGATCATCGACCTTAAGCAGTACTGCAGGGGACAGTTAGTATGAGCAAGGCATGTTGTTCCTTTCACATCGACTTACCATGATACCAGAGTACATCACTGCTGGGGGACAATTGAGATTTCCAAAGTGTTCCGGACCACTACCATTGAAATCAAAGACGGCATCTCCTGTTTCTTCATCGATCTCAACCCTCAGTGCGATTGGTGTACCATCATCGAGATAATCCATCGCCTGGAGATCGGTCCCCTGGAAACGCTTCGCGAAGACTTTGAGCAACTCGCGCACGGATTGTGCTGCGTTATTCTGGATGGCATCCATATAGAATCGGACAACAGGCCACGAATATTCGTTAACCAGGCCTCTAATAAGCTGGATTCCTCGATTGTTGGCCGCCACGGCAGCTTTGAGATCTGCAATGTTGTCCCGAAGAGTGCGTGTACCGCTACACCCAGGATATGAGGCAGGAATATCGACCAGAATATGCTTCAGTCCTGCTTCATCAAACACCCCTTCTTTCACCATCTTGAAGGACTCGACAGCAACTCCCTCCTGCCACAGCTCCGTGGAGTTTGGTGGCATAGAGCCCGGTTGGATCCCGCCGATATCAGCGTGGTGACCTCGATTGGCGGCAAAGAAGAGGATTTCGGTGGGGTTTTCGTCATCGTCAAAGACAGGTGTTGTCACAGTGAGATCGGGAAGATGTGTTCCACCTGAACAGGGGTGATTACTGAGTAAGACATCTCCAGGCTTCAGCTCGCCCGGCTTGTATAAGCGAGCCTGGTATGCAATGGCATAGCTCATAGAGCCTAGATGACCAGGAATGTGAGGTGCGTTGGCCACCAGTCCACCATCTGCAGAGAAGACGGCACATGAGTAGTCGAGTCGTTCTTTGATGTTCACTGAGATGGAAGTCTTTTGCATTGTTTGTCCCATCTGTTCAGCCACGCTCATGAATCGATGGCCGAAAACACTCAATTGCACCGGGTCGACAACGTCGGTGGCTACCCGACCCTTTTCGACATCCATGATCTCGAGGATCAAGTGCTCCGAGAGAACGGTTGCCTCACTGGCCAGGTCAACGACAATCGTCTGCGTCTTGTCGACTACCATAGCAGGACCTTTGATATGGGTGCCGATTGGGAGGTCTTGGAGGAAAAAGACGCCCGTGTCTGTCCATCCTTGAGACTCAAAATACACTTTGCGCATTGACTCCGGCTGAACTGGAGTTGCAGGGGGAGACGTCCGCAGACGCTGCAGCTCCTCAAAAGGACTTTTCAGATGCAGGTCTGCGCCCTTGCCGATGCTTCTGACTCTGACATCCTCGATCAAGATATCACGTGGTTGCGTGAAGCCGAACTCTTGATAATGGCGCTCCGTGAAAGCTTTGTCGAAATCGAAGCTCTCTGTGGGCTGCTGAATCATGAGCGCAGTGTCACTGCCTTGATATCTCATGCTAAGATAAAGCTCATGCTTGATCTGCGACGCGATGAAGCCTTGAGCAATCAGACCTCGAACGCCAGCCGCACACAACCTCTCGAACCGAGCCTTGAGCTTTGGCAACACGCTATCCGCCCACGTAAGGGCTTCTGGCTCCTGGTTCTCCACGGTGACATCAGCGAGCGCCATTCCGTAGGCGGAGAGAATGCTCGAGTATCTGGGGATTATCACCCGTCGAATACCCAAGTCTCTGGCAACGGCGACAGCGTGTTGACCGCCAGCGCCACCGAAACACCCCAGATTGTGACCCGCTGTCTCAAACCCTCGACCTTCACTTAATGTCCGAATTGGTCGAGTCATGGTTGCGTTTGCAATGGACAAAAACCCTGCAGCAACCTCTTCGGCGCAGAGCTTGGTACCGCCCTCCCTGTCATTGTTGATTTTTTCGGTGATCTCGGCAAACTTCTTCTTGACAACTTCAAGATCCAGAGATCGAGGAAATAAATCCGGGATTATTCTTCCCAGAAAGAAGTTCGCATCAGTCACCGTAAGAGGACCTCCTTTTCCATAGCACGCCGGCCCGGGGTTGGCTCCAGCACTGCTAGGACCTACTTTGAACAAGCCGTTCTCCCAGAAAAGCATCGAGCCACCTCCAGCAGCCACTGTGTTGATATCCAATTGGGGTGTTTGGATCGTCACCTCTGCAATGGTGCTCTCGAAAATATGTTCAAGGGATCCTGCATAACGGGCAACATCCGTACTCGTGCCGCCCACTAAAACGACTGTTAGCCAACCCCAAATCGCAGGAAACAAGTCACTCACTGTCAAATCCGAGAACTGGAGTTCCGTCAAGTGGATCGTAACATGTTTTCGAAAGACCAACAACGCCACCAGCAGGCCCGCTGAGAACTCCTCGGAGGCCAGTAAAGTTATTGAAAGTCGTGAGTCCACCATCGGACTGGTTCAGGAACAATTTGTTGGCATGTTCATCTTCGAATCTCCCGAGGAAACCCTTTCGGAAATTGGTAAGGTAGTCGTCGGTGATAGGTGACAAATAGGCATCAGCAACAGCCGACTGACTTCGAGGTACGATTTTTGCCATAGTCTGGAGCTCGGACGACGATGAGACCTTGAATCCCATGTCCCTCGCGATTTGAGCAATGGCCAATTCATGATCCTGGTACGTATACGAGTGCAGCATAGCTACAGCCACACTTCTATAGCCCTGGTCCCATAGAATCTGCAGATCTCGACGCACGACATGGTCATCTGGAACTTTGATTACTCGGACGGCCTCCCCGGTGAGCCCAGTCCTCAGATTAGGATCTGAACCAACGTCAATGGGCTTCGGGTCTGGATCTTCTGCAAATCCCTCGATCGTCACTCGCTCGTCAACTTCGACAACGGTCTCATATAGTTTGCTGAGTCTGTGTACTGAGAGATCAAAGATGTTTGGCCGGGCCTGGTTTCCGATTCTGAGGATGTCTCGAAACCCTTTCGTGATCAACAAGGCTACTCGCTCCCCTTTCCTTTCCAGCAGAGCATTTGTAGCCACTGTCGTGCCCATCCGGATGAACTCGATGGGTTTGAGATCGAGAGGCACCCCTCGCGGGATCTGGGAACCGGTTGCAATTTCCAAGATCTGTCGTATACATTCCGTGGGAGCATCTTCATACTCTTCGGGGCATTGTGAGAGCACTTTGAACACCACATCTTGTTGTCGACCAGGGATTTGGGCCCAAGCATCAGTGAATGTCCCGCCTCTGTCAATGGCAATTCGGATTCCCTTGGTCGACATCATGAGCAGACCAGCATGTGGTGTAATCAGCTCAAAGTATAGGGGATGTCACTCGAAGACGGAGGAGAGTATTCGAGCCCTTCTTATGCAAGACGCTAACCCATCAACGGAAAACAATCAATCTGCCATAGCTATTGGCTTTTACCATTGTCAAGCAATACTACTCAAACATATCTTTAGGGCGGTGCCCAGATCCAATATCCCGAAGTCGCAATTGCGACTCGTGCCGACATTTGCTGATCTGGTGTGGTCCACACACACCGTCCTCGATGTCACCCCGGCATCCTTGTTGGAACTCTCCACTACTTCGGCGAGTGGTCATTCCAAACCGATCAGCGGACGGTTGATAACTTATCAAGCCGGCTATGAAACGGAGAACCGCGACCGGCGTTGTATCAAAGTATCTTACAAGTCTTTCTGCCTATCGTTAATCTCGGCCACGCAAATCCGATCCTTGGCTCTCAAACCTTGAACATCTGCAGCGATTTCACAGATACACCGTTGTGGGACTTCTTATCTCAGATATCCGGACCATTCGTCTTGTCAAGCGTAATTGAATGATGGTGTGAGTGGCTAGGGACACGCGACAACGAGTCTCGAACTATATCAAACTATGGATTCCGCTGTTGAGTACATGGAAGTTCGGGTACCCTCTTACAACTGCATCCTCCTGTGCGGTTAAGTCGAGCTTGAAACAGCTCACCTCTTGTTGCTAAACAGCCCTCTTGTTGAACATCCTTGACGTGGCGCTCGAGAAACCCCTTCGTGGTAGCATTACGACCATGGCCGAAGAAGTCGCAGGTGTCCACGACCACGTGGGTGGCCTGTCAACAGAGAAAGCTATGACTTCGACCACCGAGCCTGGCACAAAGCAGGATCAAGACGTTGGCTATTCCCTTTACATCGATCCAGTCAAGGAAGGAAAAATGATGAGAAAGTTTGATGTATGCAACCAAGGGAGACAAGAATAAAAAGGCTCTTCTGACATGGTCTCTAGATATTCGCCGTTACCGCTATGGGATTGCTCTATATGATGGCCAATCTTGACCGCAGTAACCTGGGAAATGCAAACATCGCTGGGATGCCTGAAGACATCGGCCTTGTTGGCAACCAATTTGGCACGGCTACGACCCTCTTGTGCGATGCTCGTGGTGTGGATGGCCAGATCCAAGCTGACCCTCGACAGATTCGCTACATATGTCCCATTTGAAGGCCCGGTTGCTGTCCTACTCAAGATCATTGGTCCCAAAACATTGATGTCGGTTTGTGCCTTCTGTTGGGGATGCGCGACTCTCGGCATGGGTACGTCGATCTCCCTGCGCCTAGAACTTGAGCACTGACGACAAATGCAACAGCTTTCATTCAAAATTGGAAAGGCTTATATGCCTGTCGTCTGTTGATCGGTTGCTTCGAAGCTGGACTTATTCCATGTATCAACGTGTACTTGGGCTGGGTATACAAAAAGTCGGAACGTGGAAAACGTTCCTCCGTCATTTTTGCCTTCAGCGCATTTTCCAGTGCATTTGGGGGCATCCTGGCATTTGGCTTAACGCAGATCCGCGGTCCTAATGGTTTCGCAGGTTGGAGATGGTTGTTCTGTATTGAGGGGATCATGACTCTAGTGTTGGTGCCGCTTTTCTATTTTGTCTTTCCTCAATCACCAACGACCGCTTGGTTCTTGACAGAAGAGGAGAAGGCAATGATGGAGGCACGTTATATGGCTGACAAGAGCTGGGGCCATGATGAACCATTTTCGTGGGCAGAATGCTTGAAAGCGTTTATCGATCCAAAGTGGTACGCCTTCTGGATCTACCAATTCTCGGTGGACGTCTCGCTATACGGCATGACGACTTTCCTCCCCGCGATCGTCAGGGGACTGGGCTATACTTCCGTCCATGCCAACCTTATGACGGTCCCGATCTACATATGTGCGCTGATCTTCTTCCTCGGCCTCGCTTATTTTTCCGACAAAATGGGTATAAGATGGCCTTTCCTTGCTGGCCCATTACTCTGCCTGATTGTCGGATACGCTATCCTAATCAGTGTGGACAATCTGAAAGTCAGGTTCTTTGCGTGTTTTGGTAAGATACCCACCTCAACCTTCCACGAAACATAAACTGACATCTTATCTAGTCACCGCATTGGGCGTTTATCCGACCACGGGTTTGTCACTAATGTGGTTACAAGACAACGTTGCAAGACACTATAAGCGCGCCACCATGGTCGGGTTCACGCTTACCTTTGCCAATACAGCTGGTGTTGCCGTGGGACAGATCTTCACCACCGAGTCTGGACCTCGTTATATCAAGGGCTTATCTATCAGCTTGGGCCTTGCTGTCCTCGCTCTGGCAGTGGTCCTTATCATCGTCGTCACGATGACTATGGTGAATAAGAAACGTGCAGCAAAACTTCTGGCTGCGGAACAGGCAGGAGATCCGATTCAGCCGAGACCAGATTTGGGGGATTACGATCTTCATTTCAAATACTCGATTTAGGAACAGAATGTGTGGAATTGGCCCTTTTGTGTGAAGGTCGGGTTCTGCGTGCGTAGCAAGCCCTTGGTGTGAGTGTTCTGTGGTTCAAGGGGCTAGGTTGTGTCAGAGAGAGAATATCTTTCAAAGTCGAGCAAGGTTTTCCTTTGACCAGGTCATCCTTTTGCAATCAATAATTCAACGTGAATGACCAGAGTGGTCTCTATATTCGGATAAACAAATACTTTCTAGGAGCTCTCCCAGCGAAGGGCTTCCGCTTTTGTGACCGGCCGAACTAGACGGCCGTGCTGGATACAAGCTGGGATTCTAGAATCAAAATGATAAAGGCTGACAAATTTGGCCAACCAAATAAGGCCAGATCTTTGGCGGGAGGAAGTTGGTAGAACCGAAGCTCGGTAATGTGAGCCGGTAAACTGATTGTCTAAGACCGATATCACCTAAACATCCGTTAAAGTCTCCTTCAAGTACCAACAGTGCTATTGGACTAGTTGGAATCTTTTTCCAAACCCTCAAACGACCCTATCCCATCCACTATGGTGGACACACCGGTGGTCAATCTGCTGAGACAGTTGATGGCGATTCCGTCCGTGAGCGAGGACGAATATGAAATTGGCCAATTTCTTGAGAAATATCTTGAATCCCGTGGATATACTGTGGAGTTGATCCCTATAGATCCAAGCAGCCGCCGTCATAATGTGTACGCCTACCTGGGGTCAGATCGAAAAGCGCACACTTGTATGACTTCTCATATGGACACGGTGCCACCACACATCGACTTGCGTATCGAAGGGGAAATCATCTACGGCCGTGGCGCATGCGATGACAAAGGGCCCCTTGCCGCACAGATTATAGCAGCCGAAGAGCTCAGAGCTGAGGACATTCTGAAAAATGGAGACATCTCTCTTTTGTTTGTTGTTGGTGAGGAAAAGGGGGGGCCTGGAATGCTTGCGGCGAATGATCTGAACTTGTCATGGGAAGCAATTATCTTTGGCGAGCCGACTGAAAGCAAGATGGCAATCGGTCACAAGGGTCATTACGTCTTCGAGCTCTACTGCAAAGGAGTCGCTTGTCATTCAGGGTATCCCGAGAAGGGGCAGAGTGCGAATTCGACCCTGGTGTCGCTGTTGGGCGAACTTGCGTCATTGCAATACCCGGTCAGCACTTTATTGGGACCATCTACCTTCAATTGCGGCAAAATAGAGGGCGGTGTGGCTTATAACGTTCTCGCCGCCGATGCCTACGCCCTCTGCGGAGTTCGCGTTGCAGCAAATCTTCCCGAGATAGAACGTCTCGTGGACCAAGCCGTGGCAAGATATCCTGGTGTGACGCTCAAGAAGAACTTTGCCTACACGGAGACGTTACTGGATTATCAAGTTGAAGGTGAGTTTGGCATCTGAATGGCATGATGTGATTCACGGTGCTAAATGACATTATAGGTCTAGAGTCAATCCCGGTCGCATTTGGCACAGATATCCCTCGTCTTCGTGGTGATCATAAGAAATATCTGTATGGACCCGGATCGATTCTTGATGCACATGGCGAGAACGAACAAGTACCCATACCAGACCTTCTTCGATCCGTGCAAGTATACAAGCAACTTGTCAAGATGTCTCTGGGCATCAAGTAGTCGATATTTCAGGGGAATGATTGATATACTCAGAAAACAGTGTACCCCTCAGAGATAAATCTATGTAAAGCAAGAAGCCAGGGGAGCAGATATGCTAGCTAGAATGTCACGAACAGGACCACCCTAGCTAAGAGGCGGCGCTGAGAAGTGCTTGTGTCTCTGAATCCTGGACCTCTAGTCAATCTTGTTATCCTCCGGGACGTCGCCTGCGCCTTAACATAGGATCTATTCTACTCGTTCGTAGGCGCTCAGCCCGTTTTCTAAACCTATATCAGGCGCCGACGAAGAGATGTGGGAGCTTTTCCCGATATGGAGCAGCCGATGTGAACATGGAAAGACCATCGGGACCACTCGGTTCGTCGACTGCGTAGCCGATATCTGACGTGAATAACTGTTCCACCCAAACAAGCCAGGACATAAAGTCCTCCTTCCTAAATGGATCCAATCCTGTCAATGCAGTCTGCGGTGCAAATAGCAAAGCACGTTAGTCACGAGAGATGGGTGTCGGTCTCGCAGATGTACCGGTTTTGCCTCTGGATGAAGCCTTCGCTCTAACTGCCGAATTTAAAGCAGACGGATGTGCGCAGAAAGTGAGTCTTGGAGCCGGAGTATACAGAGACGAGCAGGGTGATCCATGGGTTCTTCCAAGCGTAAAAAAGGTACGTCAACAAATTTCGGTCGAGCCTTCTTATATCGTTCAAGACCTAACGGGTGTTCTCTGGGCAGGCAAAGGAGAAGCTCCATCAGACGCCTAATCTTGACCATGAATATCTCCCAATACAAGGATCAGAACCCTTTCTCAAACTAGCGAGAGATCTGATACTCGGAGAATCGTTAAGCCCCAAAGGCAACCTAACCTCCATCCAGACTATCTCCGGCACTGGCGCAAACCACGTTGGTGCGCAGTTTCTTGCTCGGCACCTTCACCCGAAACATGTGTTTATTTCGGACCCTACCTGGAGCAACCATCATCTGATCTGGACGATTGCGGCACCGAACGTGACCCGGAAGACTTATCCGTATTACAACGCGGCGGACCGGTCGCTAGACTTTGAGGGCTGGGTCGCAACTCTCGAACGCGAGGCTGTCGAGAACGACGTCGTGGTCCTCCATGCATGTGCTCACAATCCTACCGGTCTAGATCCAACTCATGCGCAGTGGAAATTCCTCGCAGAGCTCTTCAGACGGAAAAAGCTCTTTGCCTTCTTCGACTCTGCATATCAGGGTTTCGCCACGGGGGATCTGGACCTGGATGCCTGGGCGGTACGCCACTTCCAGGAGGTCCTGTTTGGACTGGAGGAGTGTCCCGACCATGAAGAAGGGCCTTCAGGACTCTGCATTGCGCAGTCCTTTGCGAAAAACTTCGGACTTTACGGAGAGCGCGTGGGCGCGTTCCATCTCAGTCTGCCACCCTCGACGCCGACATCAGGTGCATACAGCCAGTTGTTGCAATTGACGCGAGCAGAGATATCGAACCCGCCTTTATTTGGAGCAAGGATCGTGACAACAGTCTTGTCCAATCTAGAATTGAGGAGTCAGTGGGAGCAGGACCTTCTGGAAATGGCTTCGCGGGTCAGAAATGTGCGTGGTCTGTTGAGGAAAGAAATTGAACATCGACTGGGAAGTGGCAGCTGGAGTCACCTTGAGTCGCAGACTGGCATGTTCAGCTACACAGGTTTAAGCGAGGCCCAGGTCCTTCGACTGAAGAACATGCATCATGTGTATTTGATGCGGAATGGACGGGCAAGCCTAAGCGGTGTGAATGAAAGCAATGTGAAATATATTGCAGAGGCAGTCAGTGAAGTTGTCAGCAACGAACCCGAGTAGCGGGATCTATCAGAACGAGAGCTTGTTTGTCACGAACAGATCCACGCTCGCTAGGGAGCCGCCCTAAAGACACTTGTGTTCCAACAACTCGTGCCGGGGAATCCTGGACCTTGTAGTTAATATCTTGTTATGCGCCAGGTCGCCATCCACGCCATAACATTGTTCCTCGCTGGGCGATGAAATTACCGTCTTTCCCAATACAAGCTGCGTCGGCTTTGCCATTGTTTTCACCGGATGAAGGGTCGGCAAATCGCCGAGCAACCGACCTTCCACAATCGGGAAAGCACAATCACAGCTCAATCCCAAGCGGTCCGTTCCAAGACAACACGATTCCATGACCTGAATTCAAGCGACAAAGTGGCCAACCGCTGTCTGATATTGGCTTTATACATTCAGCCACGATAAGCCCGGGCTCTTCTATTCAGACTGGTCAGAACCCGTTTTGCCAAAGGAAATCTGGTCCTTATCGCGTTCCAACATCAAGCAAAGCCCGCGAGTGTCCCGCGTCATGGCTTCGTATCAAGACAATCCGCAGCGGATGGTGACTGTTGCAGCCGCTCAGATGGGCCCAGTGCACCTGGCAGACAGCCGCGAGGCTGTTCTGAAACGAATGTGTTCACTCCTGGATCAAGCGGCCGATCAGGGCGCGCTACTAGTCGTGTTTCCTGAGCTCGCCTTTACCACATTCTTCCCAAGATATCTGCTCACACCCGAAGAGCTTGCCCGGTATTTCGAGGTTGAGGATGCACAAAGCCACCCGATTGAGCATTCTCGCAATGTCAAGCCGCTGTTCGATCATGCACGGAGGTTGGGAATCGACATCTGCGTAGGGTACGCCGAGAGAAGTCCTCAAACAAACGATTCGCACAACGACTACAATTCGTGCGTATACTATTCGGCCCAAACTCAAAAGATCGTGGGGAAATACCGCAAAGTGCATTTGCCAGGTGCTGTCAATCCGTACACCGCACCCGGCGCCTTCCAGCAGCTTGAGAAGCGATACTTTCGCGCCGGGGACCTAGGGTTTCCTGCATTCCGAGCTCCTGGTCTTGTTCAAGGCGCTCTGAAAAAAGAAAACGGATTGAAAGATCCTGCCGTAACCGCCGGAAAAGGTGATCCAATCATTGGCATGTTGATTTGCAACGACAGACGATGGCCCGAGGCTTGGAGGGTCTACGGCTTACAAGGAGTGGAGATTGTCTGTTGTGGTTACAATACCACAGCATTTGCCACCAAGGATTCCGGTGAAATGGTGGACATGAGTCCCGAAGAGGCTGAAGAGGAGGTACTCCTTCATCACAAGCTCTCTTGTCAGGGCAACAGTTACATGAATTCCTGCTTCAGTATCAATGTTGCGAAGACGGGTGCTGAAGACGGCAACCCTTTGGTCGGCGGGACCATGATCGTGCATCCAAATGGCCATATCATCAAAGAAGCAGAGACTAAGGAGGACGAACTGGTGGTTGCGACGATAAATCTGGCAGATTGTTATCGCGGCAAAGGCAAGACATTTGCGTTTGCGAGACATCGACGACCAGAACACTACGGCGTCATTGTTGAGCGCGCAGGGGTGGTTGAACCGGACCTGTTGTGATTCCGAACGATCAAAATTGGCCGAGCTTGGTGAAAACATCAGTGTTTGCTCTCTGAATGCAGTATTATTATATCGAATCAGCTTTGCCCAAGCTAGAAAGCTAGCTGGATGATAGGTGAGAGCAACTTTATAGCCAACAAAAGTTGTATCCCACGGTGAACCTCACACCGCGTGTTATAGGTCTCACAGTATATCCAATAGGGCGGTCAACTGGGCCGAGAACACAATAAATAATAGTAATCTAGAGCATTTAAAGGGTATAATGTCGTTATCGTAGTACAGATAGTCGTCAATATCGCATATATTGAACTGCGATTTTGGAAAATGGGATCATATTCCTCCTGCTTCCGAGTAGTAGTGCATGTTAATCAGAAGCAAACAGCCCAGGTCAGGATAAACAAGTTCGTAATGCCGAGGATGCTCACCGACTGTTGTCCGGGCCCGCAGCATTCCGCAGTGATGGATTGAATCAGGCAGGACATCTAAGTTCAGGTTATCTCTGCGCCAATCACGTCCATGTTCTCATCCCATGTGGTGTCTGCATGGTCCAAAAATGTCTGAAGCATGGGATTATCGAGAGGATCCACGATCACACGGCCAAGACCGGTCCAGTCATAGGTGGCAAGATCTGGCATGGGAAAGTCGTTCCAATCGTAACTATCGAAATCCAGATTGTCGAGCGGTGGCAGCTCCGGGGCACTGAGGCCGTTGGCTGAAGAGCTGTTCTCTGGAGCGTTTGCCGGCAAGGAGGTCTCATTTCTGGCAGTGACACGTCCGCGAAGTCGTCCAATACTCCATTGAATGTGTGAGAGACGAGGATAGAATTGTGCAGCCGATACATTCCCACTATCCCGCATCGTTCGCAGCAAGTGGAAAGCGGTCTGGACGGCATCCGAGTCGCTTGAATTCGGTGAGATGATGGCCGAGATGATCAGAACAAGAGTTGACGCGAACAAATAGTGCGCATCAAAATGACCAAACAGAGCCAAGGCGTTTTCGACATATAATTGTGACAAAATGCTGTTGGAAGTGCGCGCAGCAGAAACACAGGAGTCTGCCAGCATCATCGCTGTCTCCGAAAGCGGTTCAGTGGAAGGCCCATTTGTGCCAGTATCAGACTCGCCGAAAGGATTCTTGGCTTTGAGAACATGCAAGAGGACCGGGCGGGTGGTCAAGATGATACACTGGTTGAAGTGAAGCTGCAAGGAGGTCACCGGTCTGTTTGCGCCTGCATGGGTCAAACGCAAACTCGGGGCGACATTTGCATCCCATTTTCGCAGACTTTTCAAAATGGTACGCACATTATGCAAGAAGCTGCCCCTGAGTGAAGATGATGGGCTGTAAATGTCGCGCATGATGGAGCCCGTGATACGTGCTAATTCGATGTTTGCACACAAGTGCGCCGGTGATCCGAACTTATCCTGATCTTCAGGGGGCAAATGATCAGAAGATGGCAACCTGACATCAATGTCCTCGTCCCGTATTGAAAGGGGTAGCCCCAGCCGTGAAGTTGTTGATCGGTCAAAAATGTATGCCGTCCACCACAGCCGAACTCTATGCTCGAGTTCGACTGGCGTCAAACCTGCGTCCTCGGGCGGATCACGATGCAGCCCAAGGCAAGTACTCAAACGCAATGCCAGGCCACTGTAGACATGTGCAGATTTGACCCTGCCGAGCGCGTTTGAGTAGAAGCACTAGATATTAAGTCAGCTCTAACTGGACTGGACAGTGTTCCTCGATAGCCACAAGCTTTGGTGATGTGCATGGGGGACGACTGTCAGCCCTCGCTCAGGGTAGGTGACTTACAAACAGCAACATGGTCTCGATCTGTGTTACGCTCGGTTCTTCGTAGCCATCTTGAAGTAGATTGACGGCATTGACGAAATAATCCGTACCGGGCACCCCAGGAGGATGGCTCGGGACTGTGGCAGAATAAAGCTCCCCGAGTGCCAGAACAACAAAGAACTTACATGCCCAAGCGTTCTCCGCATTCTGGGCTTCTTTGGAGGCATATGTTCTTTCCAGCTGCTGCAAGAATTCTTTTTGTAGAAAGAAATGATAGTCTTCTCCAATGAACCGCAAGGCAACACGAACGAGAAGAGTCGCCCGAATGCGGTCAGGGAACTTGCATCCATAGAGGGTGCCTACCTGACGTGCAAATTCAGGCCTCTTCACATAATGCTGTTCAGGAGGCGTTGCTGTTGACGTTCCTTCCGGTTGAAGGCATTGCAAAAGTCGGTTGGCAAACACCGCGCATGTGGATTCACCGACAAAGTGCTGATGAGAAAGGCTGCGAGACTCTTTGAGCGGATTCGCAATCTCAAGGTCTGCTGAGGGCCTCTGACCCGAAGGTCGAGACTGACCAGCGGCAACCGTATGAGACTCGTCGACGTGACCAACCTCGACCTGCCCGTCTGACTGCCCTCCTTCACGGCTGCTGGCTTGCAGCTTTTTCAAGTAGCTGTTGAACTGCTTAGCTCGTTCGCAAGCCGGCGACATGGTCCATACCTCTCAGCCACTGCTACCTTTCGGTCTCGTGTAGGGTACTCGCATGCAGCAGCATGGCGAGTGCCTTGGCACCTTTGACAGGGCTCACCCCCAGAGCATTTGACCTTTTGGGCATGACACCGGCGGCAACTTGTACGGCAATATTAGCTGCGGCCAACAATTCTAGATAGCAGGACAGCAGCATACGCCACGTAAGACCGCTTGGGTCGCTTTCGACCCGGCCGGTCGAGCCTTGTGTCAGGAGTGCGAAGTGAGCTGCTCGGAGACGATGACATTTGGGCAAACGTGTGTCCTGAGACAGTCTGCCGGTTGGACGGCCGGTCAAGATGTCGACTAAGGAGTGCGGACGATTAAGGAAGTTGTCGGTTAACTCGTCGCAAGGCCAGCCGAAGAACGGCTCATCAGGTAGGGCTCCTGGTTTACCTGCTCTGCGTTGATAACATCAGGCCACAGTTCACCTTGGGGTTCGGCTCAATCTTGGGCCAAGCCGAGCCGATCATCGGGCCGCGTATCGGGTCGCGATAACCCCAGCCGCAGGACAGTAGACCGATGGATTTCTTTCACTCTTGCCAATGAACCAGCGTACTTGTTCTCGCACGATACTTTAGATACATGCTTCACTGAGCCGACTTCTACCCAGGCATTCCAGGTGGCGCGTGTCCACCACACGACGTATCTAGAACATATCTAGGTCTAGATCATTCAGGTCCATATCAGTTCCCTGCAAGCCATACAGTGCATCAAAATTCATGTCGGCGTCATTCGAGTCCATATTCCCCATTGCAGCAACTTCATCCAACACCTGGTCAATACCATCCGTCTGTGTAGGATCGGGTTGCAACTCCATGCTCCCTGAGACAGTAGCACTTCCATCCGGATTGGGATTTGTCGTATCGACGTTCGTCAGCTGCTGAGCAAAAGAGAACGTGTCCAGATTGATTTCATGGACCACCAAAAGGTTTCTGTAGGCCTCCACCAGTCGATAAAGTCGTACTACTGCTTCCGCCAAGAGTGTGTCACCTTTCTTCAAGAGGGTCCCAATGGTGGAATGGCGCAGCCGTAGTATGTCGCAGAGCTCGTCGCCAGTCATTGACACAAGAGTGGCAACCACATCCAGGGAGAAAAGAAAATCAGGGCTGTCGCTCAGCTGCAGCAGAACCCCAATCAAGATTTGTAAAACCACCTCCACGCCATGTACCTGAACCGCGCGACGTACCATTGCAGGCACGCTGGGTTTGGGTGGATGCTTATCAAAGTCAAAATCGCCGTGAGACGCGATCACTGTGAGTACGTGGGAATGTAGTTCATCCAGGAGTTGACCTTTCTGCGATCGTAGTTCCAAATCCAGAGCGGAGGAGAACGAAGACTGGGAACATTGGTCTAAGAGTCTGAGCACTGAACCAAACTTGTCGGGGTCACAGGCTCGAATGCTGTTCTGCAGTTGAGGTGCGCAGGTTTCCAGAATAGTCTGATGAATCTCTTGTGAGTCGGCGCTTCCAGGCGATTTGACAAGGACTTCGAGCACGACTCCGGCAGATATAGGATCTTCTTGGAGTAGTGTACCAACGCAATTCAACGCAGGGATCAGCGATGGTAGTAAAAAGGGCTCAAGGAGATCTGCAAACACGTCAATCGAGGCAGAAAACAAGGGGCTGGTGACTCACAATCTAAACCGGCTTTCAAGGATTCCTGGGACAGTTTCCCTTGGTGGTGGGCGGCCACCGATTGTTGGAGTAGACTGGGTATCAACAGATAAAAGTCGTGGGGGGAACAGCTGGTGAAAAGTTCGTCACTCAGGCCTTCGGCAAGGTAGAGGGCGTTGATCCAGTTCCCAAGATGGGTTGTCTTCTCTGCCGAGGTACCATTCAAGCTTTCCTCAGAATATTCTTGGTCAAAATATTGAGCCAGGAATCCGTCCTTCTTGCGGATTCCAAGTTCCGACTTGGACAGACCCAGTCGAGTTTTGGTTACCAAGACTAGAAGGAAAACTGCCCCAAATTCGTCATAGACCGGTTGAGCTTCGCCTTTCATAATCAACTCGAGAACTTTCCAGTGTAGACATCACTTACCATGGATGTCATCCCAAAGCCAGTCGTCCAACAGAACGCAAAGAGGACCCAGCCAGTGTGCGGGCCGGATGAACAGTGAGATGCAATCGATGGCGGCAGGCTTCCGAAGGATTGCATTTGCAAGTTCTTTGAGATACTGCGTCTCCTTGTTTTGACAATAACTATGCATAATCTTTGAAGTGTCAGGAAGAACGTCGGTTGTTGAAGGAGTCCATACCTCAACTAGACCCTGGCTAATGAAAAGCGCACTTCCTTCGCCGCGCACGAGCTCGTCCACAAGTTTCGGGCCTCTCAAGTGGCTAGCGCGCACTTGATTCACAACTTCATCCTTTGCGTGTAAACCCCTGCTCACGTTGCTCGGCAGGCCCTCGCTTCCTAATAGCTGTGTAGCCGCTTGCGCAGCCATCAGATTGTGCAGGCTACAGGTGTGTAGGAATCGGGCTCCGGTCAAACTCAAGTTCTGGTCGGACAGTTGCGGTGCGATTAGGCGCCACGTTTCAGTGATTGCTTGCTCGGTATGAAAGCTGTTGAAGGAAGAAGCCGATATCATCGAGAGGATGATAGGTAGTTTACTTTGAACAAAGAGCTGACATTGCTGATAACAGAGCCCATGCTGCGAGTGCGTGGCTTGGGTTTTGAGGATGTAGAAAGACGCACCCAAAATATCATTAAAAGCAGATTGGTATTCATTCTACTCTTGATCAGAGCAAGCCCATGTGGAACAACAGCTCGGACTGCGCTTACCTGGTGGCGGGAGCACATGTAGTTGACCGTGCTAGAGTCGTCGATTGTTGCACCTGTCAGAAGCTATTTTATCAGTCATCTTCCATCCTTTGGCGGGCTTACACTTACCAGTGCTTCGAGAAACATGATCGTGCCTGCTTTTGAAGCCACCATCTGGGTCTCTGGAATCGCGACCTGAAAATGCAAGGCTTGCATTGCAGACGACCGAGCAGATGAATCACCTTCCTGTGAGTCCCCGTTATCCAGCAGATTGACGTGTTTGAGCACTGTGTTTAGGCGCTCGATAAGATGTGCAGAGAGAGCTGAATATAAAGGCAAGCATAATTCAAAAGCATGCCTCACAGACTCTCGCAGTTGAAGGCCAGGACGAGTTTGAGAGCTTCGTTCTTGGGCGTCGTCTGGAGAAAGAGCTTCGAGGCCGCCGTCGGTAGCTGCTACCGATGCGACAAGAAATCCGAGAGCTTCAAGGACATTACTGTGGCCGACACTTGATGGTTCGATGAGGTCTTGTTGGAGTGTGCGAGCCACAGACGAGAGCCATCTGGAGGATACCGCCAGAGCTATCCGTGCTTCTGATAGAGTCATCTTGCATTTCGGCGAGACCACAAGCATTGTGAGGTCCTGCAAGGTCTGACTATAACAGTCAAGCCAGTTCTGAGGCAATGGTGTTGCGGCTGCATTCCATCTGCTGACAAGAACCAGAAGCGCGTCGGAAATGCTGACAAGGCCGGAGCTTGCAAGGTGGTCGATATATAGCGAAACAAGAGGGTCGCCGGCGACGCAGAACGTGGCCCGACATTCTACTAATGCGCCAAATATTCGCTTTCCATCAACTTGACTGGAATCTTGGAGCAGATTACCGAATTCAGACACGGAGAAGCGCCTCTGGAGGGATTGTCGAGAGAGACTCGTCCACTTCGTCACCGTCATGGTTGCCCTCGACCCTGCCTACCTAGTGCCTATGCGCGAACCAGTAGCAGGATTGATCAAGGCAGTGTGCAGCGAAGGTCGATGTAGATGGTAAATATGTCAATTTTGGCACTACAACCTGCTGCAGCTCCGGCCGACATGTCGTCTGAACCAAACGGCCCGGAAATAGACGCAGGGAGTGACGAGTAGACAACAAGTATGAAGTTGGGCTTCAAGAATATTGCCTTTGCTGGTGACATCGTCCGAGTTGAGCCTCAAGAACCAAATGCTTGGCGTGAAGTCAACAATCACTGCGCTGCACTCGAGCTTCAAGTTGACCTTGAGGTTGAACTCGATCGCCGGCTATTCGTGTATTTCAAACTACATACCTACTATCCTCACCCTCCACAAACATCTATCGCGGTACTCAATACTTACTGGCATGCCCGTTTCCTGTCGCTGGAATCCATTGAGCAGGACTCCTTCGAACCTCGCCTCGAACTCATAGATAGCCCGTGGGCTGCTTCCTTACTCCACACAAGATGCAAGCGCATTGAACAATATAATGATGTTTAACGTCCTCCGAGTCCTTCCCTGCCGACCAGCGTGCTGGCGACCTCCGTGATGCCGGTCCTCGATCAGCAGCTCGGGTCACCTCAACGCCAACATGGCTTTCGTCTCTCATTCCATTGCCCTTCTTTCGGAAAACGTCTGTCAAAAGATCTCGTCGTCTCAGCAGATCACGTCTCATGAAGACGTCATCGATGGTCTTGTTGAGAACGCGCTGGATGCGGATGCAAGATCGGTCGTGGTCGAAGTAGATTTTGCAAAGGGTTATTTCTCTGTTCGCGACGATGGATTTGGTATCGAAGGTGTTGAGTTCACTGAAGCTGGACATTTGGCGAAACCACACTGTATGTATCCCTTCCCTGGTTACCGCACCACTGACGCCCCCATCCAGGTACCTCAAAGCTCAACTCCAGTCGCGCTACCTTCGGTCGATATGGTCGGTTCCTACCAAGCCTGTCCTCCTTGTCACTGCTCTCCATAACCTCTCGACGGCAGTCCGACGCCCGCGCGAGTAGGTTGATTCTCTCTCATGGCGAAGTCATTTCCAGACAGTTGGCTTTGGACTCGGAAGATGGTGGAATTGCGGGACACGGAACGACAGTGGTAGTTCATAATCTTTTCGGAAATATTCCCGTACGGTCGCAACACACGTTTCAGTACTATTCATCTACAACAGAAACTGGCAAAGCTTTCGACCAAGTGAAAAGGAGGCTTGTCGGGTATTTACTTGCCCGGTCCGGAGCATTCGACCTGCGACTTTACGAAACGCATGGCAGAAGGCAATATGTTCATGTCAGTCCGAGAGACGCAGACACTGGCGATGTCACGATTGAGAGCACTGTCTCCATAATCTTTCAGGCCAGGCTTCTGCCCCATCCTGACTCGACGTCATGGAAGCTGGCATCGATCCGATCTAACGAGTTCTTTATACGCGCGGTCTTCTCACTGAAGCCATGTCCGGTCCGGGATATCCAGTATATTTCTATCGGACAGATTCCGATGACGAATGCTGCGGGAAACAACGAGCTTTTCGAGGCCATAAACAAGGCTTTTCAGCGCTCAAGCTTTGGCGCCGTTGGCCTAGATCAGATTTCCCGAAGCCAGGTGGCCGGACGTGGTGACAGGGATCGAGGTCGAGAAGTTTTGAATAGGGGAAAGCGCATCGATAAATGGCCCATGTTCTACATTAGGGTGGACCCGATTTCTGATAACGTCCGATTGTCGATGGGCTTGGACGAGGCCCCTGCCGAGATCCAGGTCGGTATCGACCGTTTGATCAAAGCTCTGGAGACGCTTGTCTCATACTTCTTGCAGTCGTATGGATTCGAGCGTCCGTCAAGAGGCCTCAACCCGACTGAAACTCAGAAGTCCGCGATAAGTGCAGGCCACCAAGGGCAACAGCCTCTCCAGCAGTCGATGTCTGCTCGCCAGTCACAACAACTGAACAATTGGCATCGCATCAAGAGCGGACGCCACTCGTTCCACTCGTCTGGTCGGCCTCATATCCCTAAAATGTTTTCGAAATCACAAGTATCAACCGCTTCCGGCGGAAAAGACCAGTTGTCCGTCGACATTCTTGGAAAAGACCAAGCTGACTCTGACAATCTTGACGGCCCTGAAGGCACTCTCCTCAATGAAATTTGGCTGGCTTCCAACGCACCAGGTAATGATGATGCGGTTTCTGCCCTTCTTTGGACGGACCCACGCAATGGTCGGGTTGTTCGCCGTCATCCGCGTACAGGAGCGGTCTTACCCTCCAGGAGCAGTGACTTCAGTCCATCCGTTGGACTTTTTCCAAGTCATACATGCTTGAGCTACCGTGGCCGTACAACGGACGGGTCGTCGGCACTTGCACGGTCGGGTAATCTCATCGGAGGAGCAGCAGCTCAAATGCCTCAACGGCTGTCCAAATATTGCAAGTTGCCAATTTTTCATCGGTCAGAGTCTGCAATCCAGTCTCTCGATTCAGCACAGAGAGCAGAGGCAGTGACAAGCAAGCATGCTAAGTCTGGAAACTCCTTGATACTGCGTGACAGCAGCGGACATGTCACGAAAGATTCCCTTGCCCGGTCCACCGTTGTCGGGCAGGTTGACCGAAAGTTCATTCTCGCCACCATAGTTGCAAAGGACGACGAGTCGAAGAGTCGGAAGCCGCTTCTCGTCCTTGTCGATCAACACGCTGCTGACGAGCGTATCATACTGGAGAACTTGTGCAGAGAAATGTGCATGCGGAAGCACTCGAGCCTTGATAACCCGATCATCTTCGAAATTGATCCTGCAGAAGCAAAAATGTTTGAGGAGCAACGCGAGTACTTTGAAGAGTGGTGTTTCACCTACAGTGTAGAGTGGAATGCTGAGCATACAACGACGGGCGGCAATGACATCGGCGGCCACAGTTGCGCGATCAGTGTCACAACATTGCCAACCCTCATTGCGGAGCGCTGCTATGCCGACCCAGTTGTCTTGGTCGACCTCCTGCGGAGGGAGATATGGTCCAAGCACTCTTCGAATTCTGGCTCACTCGAAAGCAATAAGAATAGGGTGATTCAAGAGGGCACACATTGGGTGACTGCTATCGCTAATTGCCCGACTGGTGTGCTTGAGATGCTGAAATCACGTTCGTGCCGTACTGCAATAATGTTCAACGATGTTTTAGACCCCGACCAGTGTGGCCAAATGGTCCGCCAGCTTGCCCGATGTGCATTCCCTTTCCAATGCGCCCATGGGCGGCCAACTGTGACGGTACTAGGGTCTTTCACTGGTCTTGATGGTTCTTCTGGATCGAGAATCCCAGAAACATCTCCCCACAATGGTGACCAAGTCGGGTTCGGAGTCGGCTGGAAGACGTGGACGGTCGATGAGTGAGCTTTGTGGGTGTGCTTGAATTGGATCCCTGCAGGAAGAGTCTTGGTGAACTGCTTGGATAGCGGCACCTCATTGGTTCATTTTTCACCTTGGAGAATGCATTTAACTTACATCATGCGCGCTGGAGCGGCTTCATTATTGTTGGCTTCTCATGCTACGTCTCATCAACCACCAAGTACCGGCCAGCTCCCTGCGCGGCAAGTAGGGTCGGCAAGGTCGGTAACGGCGTCTAATGCCGTTTCACTTGCCGCGATCTCACGTGACTGGCCTGGGCCTGTGCTGAAGGTGTAAGCGAGGTGATATGCACGCGCAGAATCCGTCGTCACAATCAAGAGTCCAATGATGGCACTGGCAAATGTGCCGCGGAGCAGGCCCATGTGTATCGTCCCAATAACAATAAACGGTGAGACATCAACCAGAGCAAGGTCTTGATACGTACGGCGTACAGCAATTGACAACCTTGGAAGGCAGTCTATACGCTAGCAGGACGTACAAGCTAAGGGCGGGCCAAAGTGCGTTTCCGCGTTCTTTGACAGCTGGGTGCGCCCAATCCTCGACCATGATGCTGATGCGCCCTCGAATCTACTAGGCCGGCAAGAATGTCCGCTCAAGATCTACCAAAGTACTACGTAGTAGGCGAGGATGAGGCGGCGCGGCGACATGATCGGATGAGCGCGGTGTGCTGCCTCTCTTACGTCCTTTCAAGCCACCTCTTCTGTCTGTCCTTCAATACCCAATCATCCGGCTGACTAGTCAATTCATCACCTGAATCAAAGACTCTGCTCCAGGCCGATTTGGGCCGAAATCCTGGCGTCACCTCGCCTCTTCTCTGGGACATGCAGTGCAGCGGTGGACAGTGCCAGCACGTCAGTGATTGGATAGAAGTGATGCCAACATCTTTGACTGCAACAGCTGGACGCAGAAAGAGTCTGGGAAGGCAAGGGTGGACATGGTGATGGCTCAGCAGAGTTGACCTTGCGCACTCCACAAACCACACACGATAGCAGGGAACTCGGAAATGTGCTTTCTGCGTCTTGTGCTTCGAGTGAAGCCTGGATATATAGTTCTCTTCAGAAGCCTCATCTCTATTCTTTCGCACGGAAGTGTACGCTAGATTTCTCTTCACCGCCACTATCTATCTTACCTACATGTACCTAGTAAGGTCAGTAACTAAATTTTGCGCTGTCCTCTTCAGCCTATAATTATCCGATCGGCCCCAGTTGAGAATGGCGGGAAGGGCTCCCTGGGCCTAAGGCCTACCTGGGAGCGCCAGCGTATGACGGGGGACTTTAGTACTAGTGGTCAAAGCTAAGAGGTGATGCGGCAGACGGCAAGCGCCTCCTTCAAGCGCCGGACGCTCCCCTGGACGTTTTCGTAGTGCAGCGCATTTGCCAGTGGCGCCCTTGACCACTTTTTGTTCGTCCAGGGCCAACAGTTGTCTCTTGGAGTTTGAGGCCCCAGCAACTCTTGCCGCTGGCTAGCACCACTAGGCAACAAGATCAAGACCACCTATCTAGGTCCCTATCTACCTACCGCCCAGCGCTGGCCTCGGTACTGGCGCGCCAATGCAGCTGCTCGCAAAATGCCACCGCAGTCCCAGTGCGATGTCCCCTCCTCCACTGGACCCTGTTCCGACTCTCCTCACCCTCGTCGGCAGGCATCGACCTGCTCCCGAGCTTCATCTCTCTTCCACTGCCATTGTCAGAGTCTCTTGTTCGACGTAGAAGGGCGGCTTGGGGCTTTTACTGACCTAGAAACCCATCTCACGCCTTTACTTTGCTTGGTCCTCAGTCGACACAGGGGTTACGGACTGGTTCGTCTGCGCTGTTTCCACTATACCCATTCGTCCAGCTGCGGCAGAGTCCATCCTCAACTGGCTCCGCCTGCGCTTCTCGCGGCTCCAGCTGACTTCCCATGCATGTATATGAGACATGACCTCCAGTGAAGCTCGACTTCCTTGATGCCGTTCAGCTCTTTCCTCGCTGGTAGCACTGGACACCGGAGTGCTCTCCATCAGAAATAGTGCCGCCCGTTGCGTCCTCAGGCAGGCCAGGGTCCTACGTGTCCCCGGCGCTTCCAAACTTGCCGCTGGTGACGATCAATAAGCGCCTGGTACCACTCGCCGGCCGCGCGTGTTGCGCCGTTATATGCTTCCAGCGTCACGGACATCTCTGAGTGCGGTTGAGGCCTCCAGGCGTCACTCGCGCGGCTGCGGAAGAAGAGGTGATCGGTTGAAGCGCCCGCGTTGTCTCAGTGTTCCATGTGGTGCTGATCCCTTTTCAGCTCTGTTGACCCAGGAGCACTGAACAAGAGCAACGTCTTGCGAGCACTTATACCTTTCAGTTCCGCCCACGAATCCCAGAGCGTGGAGGATTTCCTTTACAGCTCGCAACAGCCATGGCTCCGGTCAGCCGCAATGTTGCCGAGAAGGAATTGGCCCTGAGCCCAGAGGCTGGCGCTCGCGGGTTTGTGGCAGTCAATCACGCCTCTAGCAATGGTTGGTCTTGTAATTCCAACGGAGAACATGTTACTGACCAAGGTATAGACAGTGCCGCCTCCAGTCAGCTGTCGTCTCCGCAAGATAATCCTCGAAGAGGAAGCGAGTTTTCCTCACGGACGCCAAGTAGCATCTATCCCCATAACCAGAGCAAGGAAGGGTCTAGTCACAAGCGGAAACGCTCCGACTCGGATGAGCAAGAAAGATACAATGAACAGCCGCCGTACGAATACAATCCTTCGCAGCGACCGGAGCCGCAGCATATGGCCAATCGAGCACTCCATGTTCTGGGAAATGCTGATCAAAATGGGGGAGGCTACTACCAGAATGGCAACACATCCAACCAGAATGGCCATACGTGGCAGCCTGAGAGGGCTGGTCAGGCTTCAGGCTCCGCCAACGGGGTCCGGCCAGGCTCGCCCGACGCTCATTTAGCCGAAATCCTACAACAAGAAGGGAGCGGGCCAGATGCACAGAGGTCGTGGGATCCATCACCGAGTTCCAATGGAGAGGCAGCCACGGTTGGTTCCAAGCGGAAACGCAATTTCAGCAACCGAACAAAGACTGGATGTCTAACATGTCGAGCGAGAAAGAAAAAATGTGATGAGCAACATCCAACATGTAAGCCCAACACATGTTCCATCTCTCTTCTCTCCATAGTGTGACCGGCACATGCTGACCCTCAACCGGCCCAACAGGCGCTAATTGCATCCGAGGCGGCTTCGAGTGTAAAGGCTACACACGGACAAGCCGACGCAATATTTGGCCGGCCAACGGCGGCCCAGCCAGGCCTGTAATGCCTTTGCAGTCAAAAGATGCTCCAAGTGACGTGTCCGATCCCCAGACTCGTTCGGGCACCAACATCGAAGCCTCGAGCACGAACGTTGCTCCGCCGTACGATAGCGGTCATATTCGATCAGGCCCAGTTGACGACCCGGATGGCCAACGACAACAACAATATGCAACTAGCCCTTCCCAGAGTGAACCACGAGGTCAGCCATCCTATCCTGGACGACCACAACAACAATGGACGCAACAACCAGCGTCATCGTCTTATACTTCAGAGCATCTCCCTCCTCTCTCCGAGCTCGGCCGATCCGAACAATCCTTCGGCGGGCAACCCAGAGATATACCACGACCGCCTACGCAGGGCTCGGTCCATTCTCAACATTCAGCACCTCCTCTTTCTCAGCCACCATCGCACATGTCTCCCCAACGCACGACTACACAGGCAGGTCCTGCGAATTTACCACATCCTCAACCTCCTCCACACCCTCATCCGCCTCCGCCCCCGCCTCCGCCTCCACACCATCCTCCTTCCGCGGGAGCCCCGCAGCAAACTACCCACTGGCTGCCTCCTCAGCCGCCTGAATATCGACCAGCGTACGTCAGTGCACCTGTAGAACATCATGATTCATCGGGCCGTGGACACGTGCGCATGGCGTCCGCGAGCTTTGACAATCCCAAGTCCGGGGCCAAGACTTTCACCAAAGAGGACGTGGAACGATCGAAAATGTTGCGGTGCACAAGTTACAACCACCATGACCCCACGTTGGTCAACGAACGTCAAAGGTGCAAACAAGCTTTGGCACGGTATAATCAGGCATGTGCACTCGATAATGCAGCCAGTGAGGATGAAATCCGGGCAAAGTTGTTGAAAGTGTTTGATCCAAGCAAAGATACCACCCACAAGTTTATCTCGCATCCCCTTGAGAAGGGGATGATCGGCCATGGGTCAAAGATCGAAGCGCCTTTCAAGTGCACTTACGGCTACAATATCAAGATCATGGAGGATGTCTTCATTGGGGAAAATTGTGAGATCGACGACTGTGGCAAAGTTGATATTGGGCCTCGGACCTTTATCGGTTCTGGCGTGACCATTTTCACGCAGAATGTCGGTAAAGACCTGGTGGATCGTAAAGGAACTGGAGCGCCCTGGATGGCTCAGCAAGTCTCCATCGCATCAGAAGTGATAATCGGCAAAGGCGCCGTCATCTATCCCGGCGTGACGATCGGAAGGGGTGCTACGGTGGAGCCATTTGCGATTGTGCGGGATGCGTTGGGGGAGTTTCAAACGCAGTTCGCGGCTGTTGGACATCGAGCCTAGGCCAATTTCTCGGTATTGGCTTCGATGGTCGACGAAGACTACGGTTTCCTCTTGTGGACGTATACCTCACTGACGGCAGAATGGGGGATAGGATGCCACCAGACTGCAGGTCAACGTGATTGGCCTTGCTATTTCGTGGTGGTTTTTTTTCATTTATGAGCATTCTGATTTAGGATTTTCAATGATGTGGTCATCGATAGCAGGTCAGCCAGGGGAGCTTTGACCGTGGTGCCAGACACATTACCCGCCACGGACGAACCCAACCCGATATTGTATCTTAGGACAAGGCTTTTCAGGGCCAGGAGCCTTTATCGATCGTCCCATTATATTAGAGACTCTGACGATCCGTTAGGCAGAATGTTTTAGATCAGCCGTGACTCCCGCATAGCGATATTGTCGCCTATCAGGAGTGCAAAAAGCGTGGATTGGAGATTGAGCACAAGACAAGAGACGCAGCGGCCCTGTGATACGCAAAAGACGAAGGTGACATAGATTAGACTCGATACACTCGAACCATGTTGCAACTGCTGGCGGGAAGTGTGCAAAGTCTGGGGTCTTCAAACACCGCCGGGACTTTTGTGATTTCCTACTACTACTAATGACTGTTTCGAGGCAACAGCCCCTGACCACCTGCAGGTTCGTAGCTTACCGAGAGTAGATACAAATAAGTACAAGGAGCCACAGGAGGCGTGGAGATGAATCCAAGGTATCCGCCTCCTAATCCGTCGCAGGACATTGGATACTATGATACTCCGCCTCGCCTCTTGCCGACCGCGTGTTAAATAGGAAGTAAATGCTAATGCGACTCGTCTCGATCATCATTATTGTTCAACTGTCGCGTGTGTTCTCGTCACTGATTTGTCCTCATTCTTCGCTCCTTCAAATTGTTGTGTTGTGACGCGAGCTGCAACCTCCGCTTGGTCCTTGCGTCTGCCAAACGGCCAACAGCGAAAACACCCACCCCTCGCCTCGACATCTGCTCTCAAGTTCCGGCCCCTTGTTCTATTGGACACGTCGGCCTTCTCACACTTCCCTACTACTATCCGACTGTATCTCTCTTGCTTGTCGAGCTTCACCCGTGTGTTCTCCTCGACGAAATCCGACCTTGTGCATTCTCACCCATCCGACTTCCTTCGTCCACAATCTACTCCCGAGCACTCACTTCAAGGATCGCTGCGCTACCAAGAGAATGGGCATATTACAGTCAGGGTTGGAACAATAGTGAACACCATGTGCGGCGAGCGTCTCCAGCATCATGCGCGCCAACCATACCTCGGGCATTTATGTAGCTCCTCTTGGAATATGTGAAGAGGAAGTTGATAATGTGCATGGCACAATGGTTGACAGTCCTGCCCATGTCGCCAACGGTCCAAGCCCGGCCATCGTGCTGGACCCAGCCGGTCTCGACGATGCGTCCTCTCCTCGATCACGCTTCCACAACTACCTTCGGGCGCTTTATCCATTTCAGCCTGCCGCTTCCCACGCCTCGACCACGGTCACCTTGCCTCTGAATACCGGCGACATAATCTTGGTGCACTCTGTCCATGTCAATGGCTGGGCCGACGGCACTCTGCTGGAGACGGGCGCCCGCGGCTGGCTGCCTACCAATTATTGCGAGGCTTATGACTATACTGCCATGCGCCCGCTTCTTAGGGCGTTGACCGACTTTTGGGATTTGGTCAGGTGTGGCACCGACCTCAATCTCAACCTTTTCCTCAACCAGGATTACATGAGAGGTCTGGTTGCAGGTGTGCGCGCCTTGTTGGAAAGGTGCGGGTGCCTCACTCGAGACTCAGCCTTGGTCCAGCACCACGACGCGATCCGGAGGTCTCGCAAGACTCTTTTGTCAGACCTCGCCTCGCTCGTCCGCAGTGCGAAGCTGCTGCAGCAGAAGGTGATGGTCCAGTTGGACTACAAGGATGTCGACATCAGACTAGATGATATGCTCCTGGAGGCCTTCAGGATCGTGACGCGGGCCGTCCTCTTCTTCGATGTTTGGAGTGAGCAGACGGCAACTGTATGTTTCACCCCAAGGCAGTCTCAGGATGTCGAAGGCCAAGCAAGACTGGAAGGACTGCCATCGTCACAGGCGATTAGTAGCACACGACGAATTGCCCACCCAACTGGCTTGATTCCTGTCAGCACAAAAGCCATGGAGGCCTCAGCTCTTTTGCAGCACGACAACCGCGTCTCTACGGAAAAGCCTAGTACGGTGCGCCGGCAATCTTCCATGACCCATCGCATGTCCTATGCTCGAGTGCTGAACGAGAAGCACTCCTCGCTCATCTCAGAATATCTGCATACGTGTTATGATGACTTTTTGACCGTCCTCGCGTCATTTTTGGGTTCTCACATGCAATCTCGCTCATCTTCGGAACTGTTATCAACAACGCAGAATGCCGTCCGTTCCTGCCGCCAGCTGTTTGCAATCGTTGAGACTGTCATCGAGCGAGATTACAGCACTTCGCGGCCTTTGATACAGGCGAAAGACGCCATGTACTACGCCATTACTGAATTGGTGCACGCTGCCCGAGAGGTATTTCAGCCGGTTCATTCCGAGGACGGAGATCTGGTTTGCCCACCAGAAGAGGCTCATAACCTTTTGCAGGCAGCTACCGCTTGTGTGAGTGCAGCAGGCCGATGCGTTGCCAGGACCAAGGCCACGCTTGAGGAGATTGGCGACTTCGAACTCGAGGGTCCTGGGCAGATTTTGGGAAGGAGTTCTGATGGAACCAACACTCCAGAGCCCATTCATCATGAGACGAGACCTTTTGCCGCTCCCCCAGCCTCGTTGTCGAAGGTATCGGCTAAAGAAGTAGCAGAGAGTGTCAGGGAACGACCTCGCATCTCGATCTCCCAGGGAATACTGACTCCGCCACTTTCCATGAACGCAATGGGGTCGCCCTCGACTGGATACGGCAGCGCTCCGCCTACGCCCAAGGATAACACAATGCCAAGCTCCGTCCGATCCTCTGCCTTAGCATCTCCATCTTCGCTGCACCAAGAAAGACCCACCGCCTCCTCAGACTCCAATCGACCCCTGGCTGCGAGTGGAACATTGAAGCCGTCTGCAAGAGTACACGGTGGAAGTGTCAGCAGCGACAGCAGCTTCGATCGGCTTCGCAGACGCTCATATCCGAGCAATCTGTCTACCACTTCTACGCGAGTCACTTCATTCCTTGGTGAAAGGATCAAGTCCCGAGCAGGCTCGTTAACGGAATACTCGAATCTCAAGGGATATACCGTGCTTGGTGGGGATGAAGAAGACGCAGAAACGGAGGTTTTGATGAACACTTTCGCCCAGGAGCTCGTTTTCAACCGTGAGGGTATCGTCGTCGGTGGAACTTTGAATGCACTGGTGGAACGATTGACGACACCAGATCCCGTCCCAGATGTGTCTTTCATCAACACGATTTATCTGACATTCCGACTGTTCGCGAGACCGGAAGAGTTGGCCCAGGCCTTGTCGTATCGATTCGAGTATGTCGGATCACACCCGAAAATCGCCAGTCCCGTTCGACTTCGTGTGTACAATGTGCTCGAGGGCTGGATGGAATTTCATTGGAGGCACGACTTTGACGACACAGCTCTGCCTGTTATTGTTGGGTTTGCCAGGGAGCAGCTGACACCAGTGCTTCCGATGGCGGGAAGGAGGATTCTCGAATTGGCTGATAAGGTTTCGTCCGCCACCAGCCCCATCGCCCCCAGTTGGGCGCCTGTCAACGGCAAGGCAAACACGTCTTCGGCTGCATATCTTGACCAAAATGCACCCCTGCCGTCCCCCGTCATATCCAAGAGTCAGCTCACCGCATTAAGAGCTTGGAAGATGGGTGGGAGTAACATCGGCATTCTCGATTTCGACCCTCTGGAGATTGCTCGTCAGTTCACCCTTAAAGCCTCCAAGACCTTCTGCTCGATCTTGCCTCAAGAGCTCCTAGCGACTGAATGGACAAAGCGGACGAGCTCGTTGGCCGTCAATGTCAGGGCCATGTCCACGCTCTCGACCGACGTCTCCAATCTTGTTTCCGATTCTGTGCTCCAACTGGATGAGTCCAAGAAGCGGGCCGCTATGATCAAGCATTGGGTAAAGATTGCGAATAAGTGCCTGGATCTGCACAACTATGATACGGTTATGGCTATCGTATGCGCCCTGAATTCGACCAACATCAAACGCTTGAAAAGAACCTGGGATTCCGTACCGCAGAAGACAAAATCCGTGTTGGGCGAGCTGCTTAAAGTGGTGGGCGTTGCAAAAAATTACTCCATTCTTCGACAGCGTATTCAGTCGCACCAGCCTCCGTGTCTTCCGTTCATAGGGGTCTACTTGACGGACCTGACCATGGTCGATACCGCCAGCCCAGCAACACGGCCTTTGGCCACAGATGCTGGCGAGATTTCCGTGATCAACCTCGACAAACACATCAAAACAGCCAAGATCATCTCAGATCTTCAAAGGTTCCAGATCCCGTACAGACTCTGCGAGGTCCCTGAGCTTCAAACATGGATGCAAGACCAACTAATACGAGTCCGCTCCGCTGGCGAAAAGAGTTTCCAGATGCATTATCGACGATCCCTGATTTTGGAACCGAGGGAGCCGAACAGAAGTCCAAATCCGGAAGCCTCGCACGCCAGTAAAGAGCGGGAAAAGTTTGACTTCTTGCACTGGACGCATCTACTCCAGAAGGAGAAGTCTGTCCCCGTCTCAGGTTGATACACCACTTCGGTTGGAAGCAGGTTGGATGCTGAATTGGCTCGTCATTTGACGAACTATTGCTTTTGTTTCTTTGTGTACAGTATTTAAGCTTGGGAGGCCTCACGATTTTCACGATACCCGCAACGACTACGTTTGCTTTTGTTTGTGTTTTATGATATTGGAGTGTGCCGTATCGGTCAAGGTCAATATGAGGTGTCAGAGCTTGCCAGGTGCTCGGTTTTTATGCGGTACGAATGTCCAGGTATATGGGTTATGTCGTTCAGACTGGAGTCCTAAAGGACAGGTCGGTCTCGCACTTACACGATCGAGTGGTTGGGTTCTCGAGAACCGCGTGCTCGCATCCTCTGTCGGCTGCAGGGCATGGAGCGTTTGTAAGGTGTTTGTGAAGCAGGAAAGCGGTGCAATTTGTTTCATACTTCTCACGGGACTCGGTTGGACCTGGCTGCTGGTTTGGAATGGAAAGGGTCTGGATGACCGCGAGCGCTAGAATGTAATATGTACAGCCCACAATATATTGTACATGATGGTCATTGAAACAGGCATAAGCAAAGTTCTTTCTCGCGACAGTGGTTAATCTTACAACGGATGTGCCAAAGTACGACACGTTCGAGCACAGTGCACAACACTGTTGTCTTTACCAGCCATGTCCAAAATGCCTCCGTGCCCAGGGTTGGTAATAGCCCGAGTAGTCGCGCGCCCTCGACAAGCCGAACTGATCAGCTACATTGATGTATCCTTCGGCACTGTACGCGCCGGCGGCTTTGACAGTGGCGGCATCTCCAATGTCCATCTCCCAAGGGGCCCGACAGTAAACGCAGCTGACCTGCCCGCCCGCTCGAGTGGCTGCCCACTGGTCGAAACAGGATTTATGCATGTTGTGCCCACACTGCGCCTTGCACCAGACGAGCCTATTGTGACTTTCATCCAGATCCATGTAGCAAATTGGGCATTCCCCGTCCGCGGGCTTCCGCTTCCCGTTCAAGTTGGTGTCTGAACAGACATCGCCGGGGAGCGGTGGAGCGTTGGCGAAGATGTCCTCGAGCTCGGAGGTCAGGAGCGCAAGCTGATACTGGAGGTGTTCGGGGGCCCTGAGGACGGTGTGGAGGGCGTAGACTTTGTGCTTGCATTCGTTGCCCTTGTAGGAATCCGGGCACGTGCAGACAGGTTCGCGCGAGACGGTGACCTGGTAGACGTTGCCGGTAGATCCTACGATTTCAATCTCCTCGTACGGCGCACCGTCCACTGTGCCTCGCGTGCGACCGAGAACGACCATGCGCTGTGTCCTTGCGCGTTCAAGTTTGGTCAGGAAAGACCCCGGCGGCTTCGCCCTGTATTTCCGCAGCCTCTTCTCCTCGCCGGGTGATTTGGCGACCTTCTTGGAAGGGGCGCGTCTTCGCGGGGAGATGCTCGACGGGCTTGATGGACTGCGATGGCTACTCTTCTGGATCTCGTTCGACTTCGATTTCTGCGTCGTCTTCAAGCTATTCAGAGGGTCATCTTCTTGCAACTGTTTAAGCATACGTTCGGCTCGGGCTCGTATGCCAGCCGACGGCCTCTGCGGTGGAGAATAGGACTTGGAGGTCGGTTTCGTGATAGCGCCACTGCGAGAGACGCGCGAGGAAACTGTCGTGGATGGCATCTTGCGAAGCCTGCACCATATACGGCCCTGGATGATGCGACAGCCAAGAAGGGCTGACAGCCGAATGTATGTTCGCGATGAGTGGCGTTATCAATTAAGGGGCAGATTGAATCTCAATAGCGAATACATATCTTATCATCATCAACCTGCGATGTAATAATGGCCAACTTGAATGCGGCGATTATCCCAGATCCATTATTATATTATTTATTGTTCCGGGGCACCACTGCCTGGCAGCCAATCTGGGGCATCACGGCATCAGGGCATTTTCTTTTTATTTACAGCAAATTAGAAACATCAATGAACCTGCTTAGCTCTGTACAGAATCATACCCATCCCCGGAAGGCAATGATTGTCCTGCGTTGACATTTGATGGGCAGAAGAGCTCGCTTTTCTGCTATGCTATCTGACGTCCCTCGTGTGGCCGCCAGGGTTTTGTACGGAGTCTGTGGGTAGTCAGCAATGTCGACACAAACTTGTCCTCCAGGGAAGCAGACTTACAATCTGTCGTTACGAACGCGCGGTCAACCTCGTTTAAAGCTTCTGCACAGTATTGCAATGTCTCTGCGATATCGTGGGTACGCCGCAAAGGCGTTGATTCATCCAACAAGATGTCGTATTCTGCCCATACGCCATCGCCGGCATGATACGCGGTGACCGACTTGAAACCCGACACCACGTTCCTAAACCGGAAGGCGAGGTATATAAGCTTCCTTTGGAAGGTGTCGTCCACGGCCAGTCCACAGAGACGTGTCACGTTCTCGAAGCATGTGTCGGCCCAGTCGTAGATGATGTAGAGAGAAAGCAACGCTGCACCTAAGGGATCCAACCACCAGACGCCCGCCTGTTTGCCAATGAGTGGGAACAGCAGCGAGAGGGTGTTGAAATAGACGTCCGTCTTGCAGTCCTGTGCTAGTGCTTGCACCTGAGTAGTCTTAATTTTAATGCATCCCAACCCAATGAGGCCCTTAAGACCGACTGTGCCGGCCATGGACGCGATAGCCAGTGCAGGGAGAGTGGCAATCTCATGGTTCCCACTGGGAAGGAGTCTCCCGACGGATTCTTGCAACACCTGGAGAAACGAGATGACCATGATGATGGCAAAAACAAGTATGCCGATCGGTTCAAATCGGCGGCGGCCAACAGGAAACTTCCTCGACAGAGCAGAAAGCCTCCAGGAGACCAATCGGTTCGTTGTCCAGACGATGGCTGTGCACAGAAGGTCGAGTGCCGAGTCCAGGAGGGACGCGACCAGTGACAAGGAAGAAGACCTCAGAGCAGCTACGCCTTTGGCCACGACAAGAAGTATATTCGCAATGACATTGATGTTGATGGCCCACCTGGCCTTTCTTTTTGCCTTCCTTCTCTGGTGCTGTACTTCATATGGTAGCATCTCCTCCACGTGTTCCTCGACATGTTGCAGCTGGCCTTCCCGCTCTCTGATTCCATCATGGTCCGCATCGGTATTCATACTGTCCATGACTTCGTCAGCCACCGCAAGGACTATGGTATCGACCTCGGCCCAGTCGTTGAGGATCGCGTTTTGACTCTCGTAAAACTTGCGCAATTTCTTGTTCTTTATAGCCTTTAACTGGAGCAGGGATGTTCAGCTTCACATCCTAATGCGGTGATTGAGTTGTGCACGCCTCACCTCCTCGTCACTCTTCCTGGCATGCTCGAAAGCACCCTGCTTGACGCCGTTCCGCAGCTCATCCTTCAAACTGGCCGTCTTACGGCGATCCATGGCGTATTCCACCGTATCTCTGAAGCCATTGAAACGTCTGTGCTTGTGGCCTGACTCGAGGTCCAGGTTGTCTGGATCTTCGGCTCCATGACCTCTAGGATGGTTGAAGGCTCGCTTTCCGACCATGGGAGTTGATGCGGCAGGAGACTAGCAGGGTGTCGAGGCAGCACCTGTGCCGAGATCACTAATGGAAACAGTGCTTGCTTTGGTGAAAGAGGGACCGAAGCGACAAGAATTGCGATTCTGCTCTTGAAGCCACAAATATGCCAGGACATGTAGGTATCTTGTGCAACATCAAGAAACAACCCCCCAAGAGACCCAACTGGTTGTTTTATGAACGACTTGAGGTACGTAGCTTGATGTCCTAGACTAGGTTGATTGTGTTCCCTGTTCCTGGTGATTTGTATGACGGCATCAGGTCCCTGGGCCCCATCTTGCCATTCAGCGAGCTCGATGACACCTTTTCCCGCCTTTTCCCGCCGGGCCGCCGCTACTAAGTAGTAAGCTTTGGGGTTTCGATTAAGCGCGAAGCTTGGTTGCGGACAAAAAGCTTGGGTCATACATAGTACGTACCTACTTGTTAAGTGCTTATATTGTTTCATATCGTTCTTGCCGCCACAAAGGATTCATCGTGTACCTACCACGTTTGACCGTACTGTCTACTGAAGGTCAACCTAGCTTTGGCAGCGCACCCGGCAGAGGCATGCCCAAGAATCGTGGATGAGGATCATGAGCAGAGGACTCTGCTAATCGGATCACAAATATAAGCCCTTTCCATCAGCCGGCGATTGGACGTCACCTTAGATCTATATCTGCAATATTGCCACACCACTCGACTGGACCAGATATGCAGGAGGACATCAATGCGACGATACACTCTTCATTTGTCGGGTGAGGGACTGGACACCATCGCCTTGCGGGCACGGATTCTTGCAAGAAGTCGGTCGGTTCGAGTTGTCAAGCCAGCCACACGCGCTTTTAGGATAGTCAGATCGGATTTTTCCATCTCGTCTGAAGTCACACCAATTGCCATGTTTCGGTCGGACGACGATGTTGGAGGGCTTGCTGATTCGGCAGTCGAACTGTCTGCGCTGTCGGAGAATGATACAACCGAGAGTCTTTCCGCACTGTCCGTCTCGTCCAAAGCGTCGATGTTTGACGGTTGTCGATGTTCCTCTTTCCACGCTCGCAGCACTTCGAACTTTCCGCCAGGCTGCTGATCAATCCAGCTGGCAATGACTCCGTTTCGCTTGCATGGTTCGCATATGTCCGGGAAGATATGTAGGTTCTCGCTCAGATCGTCGCAGAGATGATGAGAGATCCTCAACTGCGTACTGGACGCGATCAGTCTGTCAATCATGTCAGCGCATTGGACAATGGTCTTGATCTTAACATGGCCACAGATGTGGTGGATTATATGTGACTCGCACATCCTCGGGAGCTTGAGTGTTAAGAAGTATTGTATAGTGGAGGTCTTGCTGATGCTCTCTTACTCGCAGGTGAGATGCGATGAGGGCATGATGAATCCCGGGGGGCAAGGTTTCCTCTGATGCTTAATATAACCAAAAATAGTTAACCCTCAAAGACGATCGTATTAAGGTGCTTCATGCTGAGTTCTTTGTCGCAGACTCGAAGAAGCCAGTCCCATGCAGCTTTTGTCGTGGGTGAGCATGGGGGCGGTGTCCTTGGCCCGTTTCTTTGTGATATGCAGCTACTAATAGGAGTGCTGCTGGGTTGAAAGCAAATAGGGCTTTGTGTCTGCTTTGTCTGCCATAACACTCGCCTGAATCGTTGAAGACAAAGCAACACGGTGAGTGGCATCCTCAGGAGTTTGGTATGTCGACCAAGAGATGGTATGTTGAATACCTCCCTCCCTTGGCAGCGTCGACTCTTCGTTATACTTGACCATCCAGATCACCAATCATGAGCCCGTGCGCTCCTCTTTCCATACATATGAATAGTGTTGGCGACCATGAACAGTACCATTTGTTGGTTCCTCCCAATACGTGAAGCCCGGCCAGTGTGTGAGGTGTAAGACCATGTCGCTGGCCAGTGGCAACGGCACAGTTCGTTGCGCCATACTGGAGCCCCGAAAGTGGTAGTATCCAGTGGGTCTTATCAGACTCTTACGTGTAAAGGTGACACTGCTCGGTGGATCCTGCCGGAAGCCAAAGCTGTGCTCATATGTAACAAGCAAAGGAGCTAAACAGCCGGATATATGTCGATGCTGGCTGTTGTTCCGAAAGCCGAGGATGTACTCACCAATATTTCTTCGAGTCATGGACATGGTCTGGCGGATTCCGCAAGAGGTGACAAAGAACATTACGGCACACACACACAGTGACACAATTTGTCGTGAAGATGGTAAGATGGCCATCCTAGAATGTTTTTTCAGACCCTGTCAGTGGCTTGGTGGGTCCGGGGTCCTTCCTTTGTCTGGTTTGAGTTGCCTCTTCGAGCCACGCCTGTCATTCAATCTGCTACCACCCTGGGGTTGGCTGGCTGTGAGTGATCCTGACAACTGACGAACTGGTAACTGGTCCCTACCTACATACCTAGGTAGGTAATGTGTGGCAGCTCTGCAGCGACTGACGTATTCGCTTATGTTGCGCTGATGTCTTATTCAACAATTTTTACATCTCCGCTGCCTCCCACAATATCTTCTCGTAAGAAAGCACCCCAGTTTACGACATTCATTCTGTCCGCCCCAGCCTGGTGATCTCTGTATTTCTGTGTCTCTGCCCACGTAATTTAGCGTGGACGTTGTACAACTGCAAGGATGTCCGAGGAACGACGGCGTTCGTCGAGGACAGTTCACCGGCGCACGAGCGTCCAGGAGGATGCGGCCATCTTGGCCGGGATGGGGGTGAGACAAGAGCTAAAGCGCAATTTCTCCCTCTTCTCCATGCTCGGATTGGCGTTTGCAATCCTGAACTCGTGGACTGCCTTAGGAGCCAGCATGTCGTTGGCCTTGCCCTCCGGAGGACCTGACGCCGTCATCTGGGGGCTGGTCGTTGCAGGTATCTGCAACCTCTGCCTCGCAGCGTCTCTGGCCGAGTTCCTCTCCGCCTATCCAACAGCAGGCGGTCAGTACCATTGGGTCGCTGTCATCAGCTGGAAGGGATGGGTCGCCATTCTCTCCTGGATAACAGGTTGGATCAACACCGCCGGGTGGGTGGCGTTGACCGCTACTGCTGGGCTTTTGGGGAGTCAGCTCATCCTCGGTGTTATCTCCCTTTACTCTCCTTCATATGAGCCCCATCGATGGCATCAGTTCTTGATCTACATTGGTTACAACCTCGTGGCCTTTGTGGTAAATGCCTTTACCACCAGGCTACTTCCCTGGGTCACCAAGGCCGCCCTCATTTGGTCGATCACAGGCTGGTTGATAATCTCCATCACGGTCCTGGCTTGCTCCTCTCCCGACTACCAGTCGGGTGACTTTGTCTATCGCACGTTCATCAATGAAACCGGCTGGCCAGATGGTCTCGCCTGGCTTTTGGGTCTGCTGCAGGGAGGTCTAGGGTACGTGTCCCTGGAAGACCCATATTTGGGCCATCCACCTGCCTGTCAAGAGAACGAAAAGACTAACAGATTGTCCTTGTGAAGATTGACCGGTTTCGACGCGGTATCACATTGTATCGAGGAGCTTAATGACCCCACATACGTTGGTCCTCGCATCATGATTGCTTGTGTTGTCATCGGCGTCTTGACTGGCTTTGTTTACCTGAGCGTGCTGCTGTTCGTCACCAAGAACGTGAACACGGTCATCAGTTCCGCCGCAGGCCCGATGTTGCAAATCTTTTATGATGCCACCGGCAACAAGGCGGGTTCGATTTGCTTGCTCATATTCCCACTCGTTTGTTTGCTTGTAAGTTCCTGAATCATGGCATTTTTCGCCTCCATACCTGCTAGGCCGCAGATTTCGGTACTCGAAGCTAATCCAGATACAGTTCGCCGGTATCAGCATCATGACCACCAGCAGCCGCATGGTCTATGCATTTGCCCGCGACCGTGGTCTTCCGGTATCACACTTCTTCGCCAGGGTCCATCCGCGCCTCGATGTGCCGCTGAATGCTTTAGCCTTGACTTTGATCCTGGTCGTCATCTTTGGGTGCATCTTTTTAGGCTCCTCGAGCGCATTCAATGCCATTGTCTCTGCCTCTGTGGTCGCCTTGGGAATCACCTACGCCATCCCGCCAGCAATCCATTGTCTTCGAGGTCGCAAGATGTTGCCTCCATCTCGTCCATTCGTACTGCCGAGTGCAGTTGGCTGGGCATGCAATCTGGTAAGCTATCTTTGCTGGTACCGATGAACGACGCTGATGCCTCAACAGATCGGAATCGCGTACACACTCCTCACCACTGTCCTATTCATGTTCCCGCCAGTCACCCCTGTGACAGCTAACAATATGAATTATTGCGTGGCGGCATTTGCAATCGTCCTCGTCATATCTGTCATCCAGTGGTTTGTCGATGGTCGGAAGAACTATACCGGGCCGCAGATTGATGTGGATGCATTGAGAAGTGGTGCAGTGGTCGGCATGGCCCCAGTGGAGAGCAGAGCAGAGCAGAAAAGCGAGGATACCTTGTTTGGAGATCAGAAAAAAGAGAGCCCACGGATCTGACCACCATTCTCCATGAAGTGAAGGTGTGGCCTTGGTGTCGTTATTCATGACAGTGAAAGTCGCTCATCAGAGGCCTGGCAAGTCGCCTGCAGCAAGCGGGTATGCATGCTGTAGTCAGTGAGGCCACTCGGGGTTCTCCTTCCTCCTGAAGACGGCAATGAATTTCTGCCCTCCATTCCTGGTGACCTTCTTCGACTCCTCGGTCTCTTCGCTCATGATTTTGACGCACGGATCCTCGTCGAGCTCTTCTTGAGTTACTCGTTCCCACAGTTCTCGGGCGTCTCCGGCTTCCTCTCCGTCAAAGTGTTTCACCATCCATTGATGCAGTTCTTCGACGTCCGTGATCGTATATACTAGGCCGCCTGGTCTGATCACGTACGCATATTCGGCATTGAGCTGGGCTGACACAATGCGAGCCTTGTGTTTTCTCTGTTTGAAATGGGGGTCGGGGAAGCATAAAAAGACCTTGGACAGCTGCCCGTGCCGGAAGTAGTTCGGTAGAAACTTCATGGTGTTGGTGCGGAGAGCAGATATGTTCTGATACAAACCTGGTCCATCGTTGATCGACTGAGGGTTGTCCCTATTTTGAGCCCGCAGCGCTGCAATTCTGGTAACCACGTAGTCGGTCACTTGAAAGCGTAGTTCCATGCCTTGGTGACGGTGAGCCCAGTGAATTAGTTGACCCGGTGAGTGGCTTACCGATGATCAATTTATTTGAAAATATTGGTGAGAGTGCAATCAACAGGCCGCCAAACCCGCAGCCAATATCTGCTATCTCAACGTCTTTGGACATTTTACACGGTGCGCCGGCCTCCGGTTTGGATTCCACAAATGCAGGGTAGTGTGTCGACCAATCCATATCCGCCGGACTCGCGGGGCTGTAAAAGGGCAGTATCAGAATGGGATCGGGAAAGACTTATCACACGGGCAAGGTCGGTTCAACTCACTATTCCAACGCATGGTCTGAGAAGGGATTTGCATGTGCGCGTTGGCGGTAGAACTTTTTCTTGGGCAGTGCGATCCTGCTGCCTGCAGAGGCATCGCCGCCAGCTTTCAGGCTCTCGTGGATCTTTCTGTATTCCTCCCGTTTCTGGCGCTTATTTGGAGCACCTGCCATGATTTGTGGTGCAGCCTCAAGCGGAGCGGTCGTTGTTGGGTATTTAGTACCTAGGTATGTTCTTCTACTTGAGACTTGAAGTCCGTGTCCGAACCTGCGATGACTCGGATAAACAGATAGTCCATGCTTGGCGTACCATGCCCACGCCGCTTTAGCCAGGAAGATCTGAACCACACATGTACGTACTATATAGTGAGTAACCTGTGACAATCTACCTCGGTGCTCTACTTTGTATATCAGAAACAGAAAGTGACCTCTCTCCTCACCTTGTTCGGTTTCCCTGCAAGGCTACATTTGCTTATGGGCTGGAAAGAAGATGGTCATTCTCGGGAAAAGATGTACCTTGTGAAGGCTGCGACAGAGCCATTCAGATGGTATCGAACAAGCCGGTTTCGGCACTGCAGTCCAGGCAGTGCCCGCTGCGGGTGACACACCATAGTTACTCATGCCGATAGGACCACAATTCTGACCCTTCTCTTTCCTTTCTCCCTTGCACCGCTCTTCTCTTCGGAACTAACTCTAACCTTCAGCTGTTGGAACAGCTCAACCCGGACTCCCTGTTGTTCGCGATCCTTTTCGAAGACTGTCAACCGGTAGTTATCCGCGTCAAAGCTGCTCTCCCTCTTTGTCCCTTCGTCACTCTTGAGTTGGAAGTCTTCGAGACGGACCAATCCTTCGATGCCGAACTGGGGAACGAATACTACAGCCCCATTCTCAAACACTCGCATGACATAGCCGTCAACATCGATGGCGGCACCGGGGGTCTTCTCGGCTCTGGCTTTCAGTGCCTGTCCCACATAGTACTCGATGCTTGCTCGACCTGCCATTTGCGCGTTCCGGTGCCTGAAGTTGAGGTTCTGACAGACTCGTTCCAACTTGGTTTTGTTTCGAAGACTCTCGTCGGCAACTTCGCTTCCTTGACCTTCGTATCCGATCGCGTAGGCCAACTGTCGGTGAACCAGCAAGTCCGCGTAACGGCGGATTGGGCTGGTAAAATGCGTGTAGATCTCGCTTGCCAAACCATAATGCCGGTACTCTGGTTCTGCGTGAGATCCGCTGCAAAAGTACTCGGCCGAAGTCATGCATCGTGTAGCCATGATCCGAATCAAGGTGTTGAAGAACGGATGGTTGGGATCAACACAACGATCCAGAGAATCTGCGAGCGCCTTGGAACTGGACACGTCTAGCTCGAACCCGCGCATCCGTTTCAGTTGGTCACTGAGATCCGCAAAATTGGAAGCCGGAGGTGAAGCGTGGCGCCTGAGTAATGCGGTCTGTGGGAATACCGATTGTATCTTCCTCGCAACGGTGATATTGGCGAGAAGCATGAACTCCTCGACGAGTGAGTTTGTGGCGAGGTGAGCCTTTGTCTTGACGTCGGCCAGGGAGTCTGAGGACTCGTTGTCCGCTTCAATCCTGACCTCAGGGCTGGACAAGTTCAACGCTCCGGCATCCATCCGCTTTTGACGCAGTTTTTCTGATAGTGACAATAAGGTCCTCATTCCTTGAGTAAGTTCATCTGTTGCGGTGGGGTCATCGATTCTCTTCTGAGCCTGTTCATATGAAAAAGCCTCCTTAGACCGGATAACCGACTTGGTGAAAGAGGCTGAGACGATCTCTGCGTCAGGTGTGACCTCCCACAACGTAGAGAACGCATATCGCTCAACATAAGGTTTCAATGAGCACAGGTCGGTACCGAGGAGCATGGGCAGCATATCGATTCTTTTGTCGACCAGGTAAACTGTTGTGCCACGTGAAGAAGCTTCAACATCCATGGGGTTGTTGGGCTTGACAAAGTTGGAAACGTCCGCAATATGAACACCCACTTCGAAATTCCCGTTGTCCAGTAGCCTTGCATGGAGTGCATCATCAATATCTTGACACCCGGGAGGATCGATTGAGCACACAAGAAGATTCCGCAGATCTCGGCGATCCCGCCAGCCTGGATCGTCGGTGTCGGCTGGGACTTTCCAGTTGTGACCCTCAGATGGAAGACAGTCCAGCACAGCTTTGGGGAACGGCCGATATTGAACATCATATTCTAGGAGCAGTGCTTCAGTCTCAGCCTCTTTCGTCTCTAGTTCACCTAGAGAGCGGATATAATGCCCAACAGGGTATCTGGTATCACGGTCCCAGGAATCAATCGTTGCCACGATGCGTTTGCCGACCAACTCTTCGACTTGGCGTGTTCGGATACGTATCTTCGGGATACGCTTGTCCATTGGAACCAGGAACACGGTAGTTTGGCGACCGCCAGTTCCGGCTCCGGACACGTTGTCAATCGTTCCAACCAACTGTCTCCAGTTACGTTTCATGACCCCAACCACGCGACATGTAGGTTGCGCCCGAGTTTCTGCGCTGGCAGAGTGCGCCCGCCTAACATCTTCCAGAAGGGCGCGTTTTTCGTTCTCGGTGACGACACTTTCTTCCTGCTCCTCAGTGTCTGGATTCTCATTCTGGTCCAGGGTGTCTTCGTCCAAAATCTGGGTTGATGGTGCTTTCCACTGGTCTTTAGGAAGAAGCTCCACAACCACGACATCTCCCGATATTGATCGGTTGCTGGCTTCTCTCCCTAGAACCAACAAAGGTTTGTCGAATGCTGGGACCTTGACAGTGCCTTCTAAATAGTTGTAGGGAGACACACTGAAGACGCCTTGATGCAGCGTCCCAGCTTTGATGCCTGTCATCATCCGGCTCATTGAGTAGTACTCTGGGTAGAAGAGCTCTCCTTGCAACGCACGGCTTTCCTGGCCCTCGGCACTCTGGCTGACCATATCAAGCAAACGGTCAGCATCGTCCAGGCCTTCGACGTATTCGCGCAGTGACAGTGCATTGATGCCCTCCTTTTTTGCTTTTCTCCGATTGTCCTGGTCGTTGGTGAGTACCACTATGACAGGAGGCTTCTTTGTCGCTCTGGCCAAATGGCTCGTGTACCAGGCGGCTGCATTCCTCACAGAACGGTCGTTTCGGTCATTGATCGTCTCGCCATCTGCTCGGCGGACGGCAGTTTCAGAGCGGAATTCGTTGAAGAACAGATAAAAGCGCTTTTCCTCGCTTCGCGTCAATGACATAAGTCTGTTGTAGAGCGGAAGACTCCTATTCTTCAACTCTTCCAGGACTGTCTGCAAGATGATCACATCGTGGAAGTGGCCCGACTCTTCAAAAAGGTCCATCCCGCTGAGCAACACGTTCGTGTCTGGCATAAGGTAATGGCCGTTGGGAAATGCCTTCGTTCCGGCGGGTCGCTTCGAAAGAACGAACTTCGGAACTGCGCAAGAGTCAGCTAGATATGTTGCCCATGGGTGGAGGGCTACTCACCAACTCCATTTGCATCAGCAACGGCCGTGGAAGCGCATGATGAGCAAAGCAGAGAGGAACAAGGTATGTCTTTCCTCAGGTATTGTTCTCTCACAACCTTCTGAACTCGCCCACTCTTTGTGGATCTGATAAACACTTTGCTGGAGATATTTGCGGCGTTCGGGTCGGACGCCAGGCCTCTTTTAAGGCTTTTCATATTTGCAGAGGCCCCTGGCTACGTCTCTGGCTTCAGCGATTCTAAATGTGAAAGCTGGAGGCAGTTGGCGCTCTTCAAAGGATGTGCTGGGTCAAAATTGGAATGCAATTGACCAAAACTTCTCCCCACGTGCGGAGGCGTGAATACGGCAGGTTTTACAGACACGAACGCAGGTAAACGCCAAAGCAACCCTCCTCCAACTCGTCCAATCGTCCAATCCTCCGATCTAGCAAGCCCAGGTCATACACGGGTCATCTGCGCTACCATGATTGAGGTGCCGGGTACGTATCTGTCTCCAAGCCATTTGCAATCGCAGGACTACGAGTATTTGGTTGTTCATGCAACAATGATCTGAAAGGCACTCCGCTCGTCCCCCCGTCCGCCCCAGCCGTCTTCATTCTCCGCTCGTCGGAGGATGTACAGATTGGTACGAGTCAAGTATATGGTGTCGCTGTTTCCTCCCGACCACTCATTGCTCTATTAGATACTGTCGCAACCGCCCTTGCGGATCCTTTGCACACCCTCGAATCCTAACGCGCAGCTCGCCTGACGTCCTGATGTCGGAAAAGCCGCCGTACATCGTGCGCCCATCCGCTCCAGCATCTTCCCCTTACCGAGCGGCAACATTGATCTTTCTTCACGGCTATGGCGACGACGCCGAGGGTCTCCCGTTGGGGCTCGCTCAACAGTTCCAGTTCTACAACAAGATGGAGCATCTGAAATGGGTCGTTCCTAATGCGCCCCATAACCATGAGGCGATGACCCGAGCATGGTATGTGCCCAAGGCACTGCCGAATGCAATGAAGCCTCACGTACCGGGCCACGAAGAAGATGAAGATGAAGGCGGGCCGGATGATGAAGCTGGCATCATGCAGAGCGTGGACTTGGTTGATCAACTGGTCGAGCAAGAGATCAAGAATGGGACGCCAGCGGAACGGATACTTGTAGGTGGCTTCAGTCAGGGGTGTGCTGTAAGTATGGTCTGGGGTTTGACGGGACGCCTGAAGAATAAGATCGGGGGAATGGTATGCCTGAGCGGCTATCTTCCTCTGAAGGACAGGATCGATCAATTGATAGAGGAGAGGCAGCCGGAGGAATCAGCAGACGAAATCTCGCTGCACGGAAAAGGCAGCAAGAAATGGTTCTACGTCCACGGGACAATGGATATGCTGATCCCTACCAAGCTCTTCGTGCAGGCCAAGGAAGATCTGACGAGATGGGTGAGTAGGGAGGATATCGAAGAGCATCTCTACCCGGGCATGGGTCATTCCACCTGTGCAGCGGAGCTGAGAGACCTTCTAGGATTCTTTGACAAAGTGGTGCCACCATAGCCAGATGGAAATATCTTCAATTCAGCTTCACCACGAGGTGTAGGCTGCTGATTGTTTCAAACTCTCGGGCAGTCATCGTCATGTTGTTCGTATTCATTAAAGCCAGCTGACGTGGTATCAAAATATTGCCCTGCTATAGACATGCCCTTTTGATTTGCAGCTCGTCTGATCATCATCATCCATCATCATATCGTTGTCAATCATGGTGGTCCATCCCAGTTAGCGATCGTGCAGTCTCACAATTATCGACCCTCTCTCCGATCATGGTCTCGTCTACCGCGGACAAGTCTAACAATGAGGGCGAGGTTAGCAGAGGTCTCTCGTTGTCTGTTCGAGGCATTCGCTCAGTGCAGGAGAAGAAAGTAGCTGCATTCATTATGCTTGCCACTGCATGCATCCGGCGGTGTGTTGAGGGCAGTCGTATGGACTTACCGCGCCGCAAGATCCACAGGTTTTGCCCCCAGTGACGGTGGCACCGCATTTCGGGCATTCGTTGTGAGACATGGTCTCGACTTATCCAGACAGAATAGGTGCTGGTGTGAGGGGACAGGAGGCTGAAGTGATGTCTGCTGTCAGCTGTCGAAGATGTGATCCGTTTACGACTGGTCGACGAGGTTGAAGTATGAGCGGTCAGTATCAAGACTGGGGGTGGAAACGGATGAAGGATTTGAAGAGAGGTAATAAGGTAGTACGATGGACAGCACAGAGTTGTTGCCCCTCAATTTAACGATAATGTAGGTACCTTATCTTGATGACCCGCCTAGGCACGTGTAGGTCCGTCCCTGCCGCTTACTCCACCGGGTCCGAGAAAGAGTGGGTTGCATAAATAATTGACTACCAAACTTCAATAGGCGGTAGGTTCACCTACATTAAAGGGGACTCCTACTATATCAACCTTACGAACTGCTTGCCTACTAGATAGAAACTACCTATCTCATTTTTGCGGTACTAATTATTTTGTAACATGGCTTGACCGATGGGTACAAGAATAGGTAGTAAAGACAGGATATCTTATGCGAACTGTTCAGCCAAAAGCCTAGGTACTTTGAGACGTCTATGTTCAAGAACAGAATTTGTACCATGTACAGAATCTGGGTAGGTGTCGTAGAAGCGAATGGGGATGGCTGTACAACATGACAGAATAATTGGTTCCCGACCGACTCCTTGCTTTGCATGCTGCAATGCTTCGCTCCGCAAATATTTCCGAAGCCAGTGGAAAGAAGAAAGACTCTTTTTCAGGCCGTAAAAGTCGTCAGAAAGACCTGTTAGTAATGAGACGTGACAGCTCGCGACTCAAAAATTCACTTGGAACCTCGGGTGCGTCCGAATCGTCTCTCCATAACGGAAGAATATCCAGCTGACTGGGGCCATTGCTAGGGCGATAAAGGCAAGAAGAGAATTGCCCCATCCAAGGCCCAATGTCTTGTACATCTGGGGTCCCGCCAGCGGCAAGAATGCGCCCATTAAACTTCTCATCACAGAGTTAGCAGCAAGTGCCGAAGCCGCATGCAAATGGAAGGCATCGACCAGATAAGTCTGGATAGGCATGAAGGTCGCCAACATGCCTAGACCGACAAATGCCGTGCCGATGATGGGCATGATCCAGTGGACACCGGCCTCGGCGGACCAGCCATACCAAAAAAGACCTATTGGGATCACGGCGCTGCCAGGTATCAAGGGTGGTAGACGATATTCGGGTTTCATGCCGCCCTTCGCCGACATTCTCTTGACCGTCTTGTCGGACAAGGCGCCGAATATAATAAGCCCGAACACAGAACCGATGCCAATGCCCAAGTAGCTTAGCCCGACGGCCCCCTGGCTGAAGCCATACTTGTCTTCAAAGACTTGCGTAAGGGTAGTGAACAGTAGGTAGAGGTAGCCATAGATGATCGCCAGGTAGAGAGACAGGACAAAGACGATGGGCGAAAAGATCAGCATTTTGCTAGGTCGGATGATGGCAAGCCAGAAATATTGGCGCATGGAAATCCCTTTGTCGAGCTTCGACCGTAGGGCCAGATTGCCGGTCTCCTTCTGCAGGCGCTTGGTACGTCGTCGGAGCAGGACTGGCTCGTAGGTTTCGCGCATGAAAATAAGGGAAAAAATCAAGGCCGCACCGCCCTGTAACTTTGTCAATACCCCTACCCGAAAGAACGAGGACGACGCTTCTTCAACTTACCGCAATAGTGATGAGCCAAAACACCCAGCGCCAACCAGCACCTTCTCCTAAATATCCGCCCGCCACAGGCCCTACCACGGGACCCAGGAGCGGACCCAATGCAAACAGGGCCATTGCGATGCCCCTCTTTTCCTGGATAATCAGATCTGCAATGGAGCCGCCGCCAATTGTGAGGGGGCAACTACCAGCAATACCGGCCAGAAGGCGGAATGCCAGCAGGGCGCCAATGTTAGGGGCCAGGGCGCATCCCACTGACCAGATCACGAACATGAAATTGCACACGTGATAGACGGGCAAGCGACCATAGACCTCTGACAGAGGGGCCAAGAATAGCGGTCCGACTGCGTAGCCCAAGACGTAGATGGACACAATGAAACTCGCAATAGTCGAATCGGTCGAGTGAAACTCGTCCATGATCAAGGGTACAGCGGGTGCGACCATGGACGATGCCAACGGCGTTAGAAATGTGACAGAAGATATGACAGCGATGTTCGCCCATTTCTTCTTCTCCGTCCAGTTGAGAGCTTTCTCTGGGTCCGTCGGGCCGTCCCAGTCAACGATATTGGGGTCCTTATCGGCAACGGTGAGTGGCGGTGACTTTTCGTCGGCGTCTTCCGTGGTGTCAATTATAGGGATACCTCGTTCCACGTCTGGATCAGGGCGGTTGGTGGACGAGATTTGCTCCTTCTCCGACAATGATGTCGCATCAGTAGAAGAGAATGTGTCTTCGTGGTCTGGGAGTCCATGGTTGGACCCGCCATGATTGGGAAGCTGAGAAGTTGCCATGAGCTCTAAATGCCATAAAGTCAGCCTTCCTCTGCATAAAGGGATCCATGATGCCGCATGAGGGTTGCAAATTGGGGCAGGCCTTGTGAAAAGATAATGAGCAGCGTACCAAGGACGTTCTGTGGCTTTAACCCAGGACGATGCGCCCGTCAGATCTGTATGGTGGTCACAAGGATAAGACCAGTTCTCGCGTTGCTGGTGGGTGTTGTTATGCGGGGGGGCGTCTTGGGACCAATTCTGGGTGACTGGGAATGTAGCAGACAGAGTGAGAAGAAAGGGGAAATGGCAAAGAACGACTGACTGGAATGAGTTCGATTCCAGGGATGGCTGCCCGACCAAGAGCCCATCTAATATACCTGTCTATGAGTGCGATCCCCGACCCCTTTGACTCCACCATTACTCTTCGGCTGCTTTGTTGATACCTTGGTGGTAGCGGCTCCCGGAAGATGCACACTGAGAAGTGTTCCATGGACAAAGATCCACCGGCACTCCGCCTTTCACCCTCCACGGAGCGGCATCGGGCGTCTCCAGTATCCATAAGTCGTATTTTACGGACGATCTCGAGCCATGGACTATCCGATGCAAATCACAGCAACACCGACATAGATCCCTCAGCGGACATAGCAAGAGCCTGAGGTGACTACACACCAGTGAAAGGATTTGACCATGAAGGGCAATCAAATAACCATTTGCTTATGAATCTTCATAAAATATTATACGGATAATGCAAGCCCACCAGCTCGTATCTTATCCCTAATTGGAATAGCCGCTGCGGTGCTCTATACCTTTGATTGGTTCATGCGGGGAGAACAAGCATTCGGCCGGGAGATCTTGTTCACCCCGCTCCAAAGTACCGCGGAGATTCCGTGCAGTGTACTTACCTAGTAGTGTGTCAGTGCTGCCCCGTGGACTCTCCGACGTCCCCCAAATCTGTACGAAACAAGCAACGAGACATGTATAACCAATGTGGACCAGTGTTGCATCAGAGAATATTCCGTACGTCCACCATGTAGGTTTTGAAGACCTGTGCTGCTAGCCTTGATGTGCTATGGATGGTTAGTGCATTGGGAAGCGAGAGCGGAAGCTTTGCCCAGAGGAACGGGCACAAGGCTTCCGAAGTCGGAAGGCTGTCGCATTGGGCCGCGAAGCTCAGAGGCTTGCCCAACAAGGGGGCAGAAGGCTATCCCAAGCACGCTAGAGCGCATCAAGGGGCACGGTGGCGATGCTACCAAGCTGCAGCGGCAGATTCGTTGGACGGCCTAAGTCGTTGAAGGACGACGGTGCGCGAGAATCTAGCGACACCGCAAAGCTCTGTGCCCGATCTTGTAGTCTGAATGTGCCACGCCCTGCCTATATAGCGTAGCCGGCTGACGAAGCCTGGCGAGGTTCGCCAGCGGCTTCAAAAGTCCCATTCGAGAGCCGGCGCAGACCCTGGGCGGAGCTCTGCCCCGGGTTGATCCACGTCACATTGTGACCTCGGGATTTCAGGAAGGCCACTGTCTCGTTGTTGTAGGCATACTCGAAAGAGACCTGATTCGGGATGAGTTGGTCATGCAGACGAGGCTCTGCCAGCGCTTGCGGCACGGTCATGTTCCGATCGAGCACATGCACCAGGTTCTGAATGGTCGCCGTGATGATCCGCGAGCCGCCAGCTGCTCCAATCACGTAGTACAGGGTCCCATTTGGGAACTCCACAATTGTGGGCGAGATCGATGACAGAGGTCGCTTCCCTGGGCGGATGTAGTTGCTCGGGCTGGGGACGTAGCCAAAGGCGTTGGAGGAGCCGGGGATGGAGAAGTCGTTCATCTCATTGTTCATTATCACGCCCGTCTCCGGTACCATGAGGTTGGATCCGAACAGCAAGTTCACAGTTGTGGTCAACGAAATGGCCAGTCCTGATGCGTCCGCGGTCACGATATGGGAGGTGCCCGGAGTTTCCAGGGACTCGATTCCAGATGGATTGTAGGCGGATACGTTCAGCGTTGTGTAGTCGGAGATTTTGCGTCGAATTTCTGCTGCCGACTCGGGCCTCAACATGTCATCTTGGTAGGCGGATAAGTTGGCCACGAACGATGGATCTCCAAGGTTCGTTCGCTCTCCGTATCCAAACCTGATCGCCTCATCCATTCGGTGCGTACTTAGATTGACCTGACCGGCGGCAAAGAAGTCCGTATACCCTTCCAAAGTCTTCATCACAGACAGCGCAACCTCTCCCGAGCTCGGCGCACTGCAGCTGAACAGTCGATAACCACGGTAAGTAATGTTGACCGGTGGTCGGATTGCCACGGTATAGTGAGCTAAATCCTCCAGTGTCATCGTCCCGTTCTGGGCCTGCAATGCAGCGATGGTAGCCTCTGCGATAGGTCCCTTGTAAAAGGCATCTGGCCCTCTCTCTGCAATTGCCTCCAACGTGTTCGCGTATCTCTTGCGAGTAATAGTGTCACCCAAACCGACCAAAGTCCCATTCGGAGCAAAGTCAAGAGCCCAATTGGGGTCATCCACGAGGAAGTTGGGTACCTGCGCAGAAGCATTTGCCGATTTCATGTACCTCACAAGGTCCTGTGTCACCGGCCAACCATATCTTGCGGTCTTGATTGCACCTTGCATAACTTGTTTCCATGGAAGCTTGCCATAGTTTTCGTGCAAATGCGCCAGACCCCGAACCTCGCCTGGGACGCCACTAATAGGTGTCAGTATGCAAGTCCTTTCGTTCCGAAGCGGTTGAGCGCATACCTAGCCAGACCGCCGAAAATGCTGGCATCGGTGTTGTTGTTGTACATGTCCTGGAAAGCGGCAGCTGGCGCCGTTTCTCGGAAGTCTATGAATTCGTAACTCCCATTCGCACTGCGAACAATCATGAAGCCTCCACCACCAACGCCGCTGTGGTACATGCCAACCACGCCAATGCAGAAGACGGTGCTAACCAACTGGAAGAGTTCGTTATTGTGGGAACCGGTTGTTGTCTTGATAACACACTTACTGCGTCGGCTGCATTGCCGCCCTGCCGCAAGAGATCTATGCCAATTCCACTGCAAATACTGCTTTCGCTGGCCACGGCGCCCATTGAATCGGGCGCATATTTTTGGTGCACGGTGGGCACCGGATTGGCCCCGACCTGATTCAATAAGGGCGGCACCGCCAAGGCACACGCGAGTTGCAGTAGCGACAACATCATAAGAGGGTAGAGCAAGGCCGTCGAAGTAACAAGACGCAACGAAGGAAGAAAGGGAAGCAGAGAGAGCTTCGTCGCCATTCTGCAGGTGTTGATCGTGTAGCTCTACCTCCAAGCTCGCCAGTCCAAGGGTAGACCCCTGCGAACATCGGCTGGCTCTAGACGAATCCAGGAATCAGCAGAGCTCTCCAAGCTCTGGGCCACTTAGAAGATGGTGGGAGCACGCGAGCGTTCCCACGGCTTGCACTGGCGGGACACCAAAACGGGAGTACTCTGTCGTGCACAGCGTCGTTGAGCAAGAATGACGCAACCAAAGCCACGAGCAACCCCCGGTCACTTGGGTTAAGGATGGTTACAGTGCATAACGATCGACAACTCTCTAGTATGGCGACGATTCGATGGTGATAAGACAGCAGAAAGGAGCGTTCTGATAGCAAGCTGCCAGCTGAGTATGTATAGATACAAAGATAGAAGGTGTGTTGCTTCCTCTGTTTAGACGGCACGCACCGAATCTTGTCTTCGCTCCACCGGCGGTGATAGATACGATAACGAGACTGCTTCGATCACTCGGTATGAAGGGTGCCAGATAGTGAGTCAGGACAAGTACTAGATAAGGTACCTCACCTGAAGATGGGAGTTCGTATCTGTGGATAGGCGGAGTTGACCGCCTTTTGCTCAACCTGGAGTAAAGATCTTAGGTACCTTAGGTACCTTATGGCGCCCCGCGGGAAAGTTTTTATGACAGGGTAGGCATAAACCGTGGTTTATTATAAGATGCGGAGTTTATACTAAAAAACGAATGTCACGAATCGTTCATCGGGGTCACGATATCGATCAGGGTTTCCTGATGTGTGGGAAGGCAGGAGGACAGTATTCCAGGGCACAAGGGTAAGTCAGAACGAAAGCTATCAAGGCGATGGTAACGTCTAGCTTGTGAACGAAATTGACTACGAGAGACTATGAACTGCTATGGAAGGATGGAAGACTATATAGACATAAGAGACTCGTAGTGCTCTGCTGTGCTCTGTTGCTCTATTGAGAGCAGTGCTGTGCTCTGTTGCTCTATTGCTCACAGAGCACAGCAGAGCAATACAGAGCACAGAGCATAAGGTGTCACGTGACTCTGCCTTGCCTCGCAAGGCTTTCACGTGCTCCTTCGGCAATCCTGCCTTCTCTGGCCACTGTTCCTGGTTGGATGTCGTGCCTGGCCTGCCTCTGCATGAATCCTAAAACTTAGGCTTAATTTATGCCAAAAAGTTACAGTGGGAACTCTACTAGGTAGTAGTGACACTGCATAACTTTAAGCCATAAGTGCCTGAGGTTCAAGTTGAGACCTCATTTAGGCACCGCAGGAGGTATGGAAATAAGGTATATCACCTCCGGCACCTGTGCAGCAGGTTACTAGTAACCATCAAGCAGGGCATTGAGGCTGGACGATACACCTGTTGTCTGCAGGGATGATAGGGCATTCATCAGGTCGTCTTCGATGCCGACAGAATCTGGTCGGGCCCTGGCACAGCTCGAGCGTGCGTGCCTGGATGGGCTGTTCGGCATCTGAAGATTTATACCCATGCAGATATTCCTTATGTAAAAGCCACTGGGACTGTCCTACAGTACGTATTGGCTTTTGCTGTCAATCCCTTCACCACTGAAGGCTATCTCTCCACTGGCATCTCTGGCAGGGTTGATTTGCTTTGATTTCCTCTCAAGAGCAGCTACTCTGTAGTTAGTACGTAGTAGATGCCAAAGAAAAAGCGTTGATCATCCTTTTCCGGGGAACGCCTGGCGGCGCCTTCACAGATGTCACCATGACCGGGGGCTCCAGGCTCGCTCCAAGCTCGTCCGTAATTCCTAGGCTCAGCTTCCCTCTAGCGCTCGTTGTAGTCAACTCTCGTCGCTGTGGTCGCTTACTACGAAGTTTGTGACAGAGATAGACAAGCAGTGCTGGAGCACTAGCCAGATTTCATCCCAGGCCGATCGCTGCCGTAATAACCGAGTATGATGTCAATGGCGCTGCGGGTGGACCCTGGCACTTGAGTCTAGAACATTTGATGGACATGAGATAATTCCCCTTTAGGAAATCTGGACGTGTCACGTCTCACGCCCCTCACCGTCCAGTGAGACTCCAATTTGTCGTTGGACGCCTCAGCTGTATCTAGCATTCCTATATCTCTGGCTGGATGGCTGCGGAATCCGGGAAACGCAGACGCTTGTATCACAATAATCTCACGGCAGGCAGCTGTGTCGTGCTGTAGTTGATCACGGCAGCTGCTCACAGACTAGCTGGACTGATGTGTTCTGCCTCAAGTTTGGGGTGCGTTGGTCGGATCAAACATATTTGAGTCCCACTACTAGGTACTACTAACAATACCTTAGATGAGGAGACTAATCATCTAGCGCCTATTCCCCACTGCCCACTACCCACTAGTACTACTCTCGCCTCACCGTTCTCCCTTTTTCTTCAGGACATCGACTCCAGTCAACTGGCTTCCTTGGGACCTGGCCTCCTTAGCCTGCGCCCCATGCGGTCTCTCGTGGTCCAGATGCGTTATCGCCCCGATCCTTTACTCAACTGCGGGACTCATGGCGCGGTCGTCGACGGACGAACTCCCTCCCTACCTACCTCGCTGGGTGCTCACACTGTACTCGATCAATAAGAATAATATTTCTCATGATTATCAACATCGTCGCCGGTGAGACTGCCCTTCCCTCTTGGATCCACCTACCATCGGCGCCGGTGAGAAGACTAAGGTACCTCCTGGACACGGCTGTTTCCATCCTGCCTATTGAATACCTTGAAATGCAAGGGCAATCTTGGAGTCCAATTGTATAGAGCAGGCACACAGGCAATGATACTCTCCGAAACTGGAGAAATGATTAGATACCAGGCAAATACAGGCTCCGATGTCTTGTTTGATAAACCAGACTGAGGTACCTACGTATTGTGCCAGCGGTTTCTCTTCCGGTTCTAGATCACTTTGCGTGGATGCCGTCGCCAGAATGCACCGGGATATTAATATGTACCCTACAACTACGTCGTCGACGGCTGCCAAACTAAGATACTAGTAGCATGTCTTGGGCTCCGAGTCCTTCGAAACGTCAATTAGTGCTTGAGGGGACCCGTCAAACTCTGCATCATATTTCCTGAAGACCTTTTGGTCCCTTGTGATCCGTCCGCCCATGGATATGCCTCCCTTCAACCAATCATCCGTCAGCATCGGTTGTGCGCTGGTACAACTCCTCTCGGTACGCACAGGGCCTCAATCTTGCCCTCGTTTCCTTCCCTTCCCTGCCTTAGTTGCACCCTTATTAGACCCTGGTTGTGGTTCTCTTCTCACTTGAACCCTGCAGTGGCATCCCCAGACTTGCTAATCACGCACACGCTGGCCAGGCGTCTTCCATCTGCTCTTCTGTTCACGCCGCTTCATCGACATTTTCAAAGCATAAGCATTAGATCTTTCATTGGCGTCCATCTACCTATCCTCCGCCATTGCTAAAAAAACCACCGACGCCAGGTCAGACTATTCCTCGCTTTCTTTCAGCCTCACCTCGGCGGCTACATCCTCTCGCCGACGACCCGGCGTCCCACGGCTGTCCTGTCCGCATACGAACTGTGCCGCCTGCCTCGCACCACGGCGTGTCAATCCACTCCTCCAAGCATTCAGTCCACCATTGCCGCCGGCCAGTCCTTGAACTTGGTGCGGTGAAATTGGAACATCTCGACTTTGGAGAGGTGATGCTGTTGGCGAGATCCAGGCACACCCAGGGGATATATGCGGTCGCTCTGGTCTGGATTATGCATTCAGAGTAAGAGTACAGCTCTTCAACTGGCTCGAAGCTCCTAAGATATCCTTTCATCTATTGTCGGGCCGCCGGTCGAGCCTGGCACGTGAAACTGGACTGCCAGTGATGGCTCCAGGGGTTGACAACCCATGCTCGTCACCCATCATCGAGCGACGGTCACTCTGTCTTTCATCTGATGTGCCTAGCACACCACTGCAATATGGGGATCATGGCTTCATCCAGACTATAATCAAATATTTCCCCTCTGCCGAAAACAACGCCATCGAGCAACTGGTACGTTTGAAGAACGAACTGAAGGATGCGGACACGGAGGTCTTCTGGAAGAAACTGATGGAAGGCATGACGGAAATATGTCAAGCACAATGTGGCTTCGTCGCGAAGAGAGTCTTGCCTGATGGTAACAACCGAGTAGCGGAGACACCCCCGGTTGGGGAGCGAGGCTCGTGGCCGTTTGGCGTGGCCTTATACTATAACGACGGTGACAAGCAGAAAGGCATGCACCGCGATTACGAGCACAAGGCTCGGGGAGCGCTTGGTGCCCAGTTGGAGCACGACAAGGTCTTCCTCATTCCCGAGCAAATGAGCTCCTTCATCACCCACGACTCCGAAGTCCTTCCATTCCCGGTCGAGGGCTACTTGGCAGTTCCCCTATTCCACCACAATAAGTGTTTTGCCCATTTCGGTATGATGTGGACGCAAGAAGGCTTGGACCGACGCAACACGTCATGGAGTTACACCGAAATGCTCCTGCATTCCCTGGAAGATATGGTCACTGCGCGCCTTGTCAACGGCCGAGGCCAGCCAAAGCCTCTACCTACTCAAACTGGAGCGATGGGCCATGTCATCCCCCAAGCAGTCATCACCCCTGCGACCCAGTGTCTTAAACCCTTTGCTAGGAGTCTCTCACACGAACTACGAACGCCAATGCAAGGCGTAGTAGGCATGCTGGATGTGATGCATGCCACCGTTCAAGAACAGCTTGAAGGTCATCTCCATTCTTCCACTCGACGTGTGTTCCAGACATTGAAAGAGAATATCGAAACCGTCCAGGACAGCGCCAAGCGAGCGGTCGAGGCTGCTGACAACGTTGTCCATGCCTACGACATGGACATGCAAATCCCGGATACTCCTCAACACGAACATGAAAATCCCGCCGTCGCCTCCGCAACCACTGGGTATTTTGACTGCAAACCTTCCATGCTCATCGAAGGCAGTGACATCCATGTCACATCGTACAAAAGACAGCGGAGCAGTCCTACGTCCTGGCATTTTGGCAATGCCACCAAGGTCCGAAATCTTGGTTCGTCCACTCGCCTCGATGTTTCTCCCAGAAGTGCTTTGCCTCAATTTTTCCCGCCGTCTACCTTGACGCCGCAAACGACCGCCTCGGATGATCCCAGCCCTATGGTTTTTACACCCATGCAAGATCGTTCGACACCAAGCGGGTTGACCACCCCGTCGACAAGATTATTCGGCGAGCTCGACACACTGCCAACTCCAGGGATCAAGCAATGTAGGATCCGAGACCTGATACCCCTGGTGATCCATGAATCTCTACGGGTTGGAGGTAGGCCAGATTCAGCTATTGGAGAGCCCACGGGCTTTGGAGAGAGGATAGTCGTCAGGACACGGTCATCGAATGGCAATGTTTCACGAAGGACGGTCGAGTGGGCGGTTGCTCCGGATGTCCCACAGACTCTGCTTGTGGATGAACGTGATCTGGCCAAGTTGGTATCAGCTGTGTTTCTGAACGCCGTCAAATTCACGGATGAGGGGTTTATAAATCTCAATTTTCAGCTCTCAAAAACTCTACGATATCTGATTGTCAATATCAGAGACACAGGCGCTGGCATCCCCGAGGATTTTCAACCCGAGCTATTCAAACCCTTCTCTAGAGAGGACGATACTCTGACACGCACAAAAGAAGGGCTCGGGTTAGGTCTTCTTGTTGCCAAAGGTTTGGCACGACGACTGGGCGGAGATCTTAATCTGATCAAATCAGCCGTTCATGGACCTGACAAAGGTTCCGAGTTCGAGATCAAGGTACCGCTGGACCCGACCGATGGAATCAGTCGGGCTTCTAGCCCAGGCCTTCGAAGCCCGGACGCGTCCAGAAGTGTCTCACGCCCGCCGACAACCTCAAGGCCGTTGGAGCCCGCTCCGCAGGTATCAGCCTCTGGAACAGCCCAGACCACGGTTCCAAAAGGTTCCAGACCCCTGGTCCCGTCAACTGTGACCAAGATCCACCAAAGCCCTACAGCGACTGGTGAAGCCGGCCGCCCTCGTTCCTCCCCCCGGCTCCCATTGCATAGGGACTCGTACGATCGAAATCTGGCGCAGAAGCATCCGCTCACATTTCTGGTGGCTGAAGATAACAAGATCAATCGAAAGCTGCTCGTGAACATGCTAGGAAAACTCGGTTACAAGGATGTGCACGAGGCTTTTGATGGTAAAGAAGCCGTGAGAGTTATGCGTGAGATTCAGGACGGGGGCAGCAGATACGATGGCTCCAATGGCAGGCACCCCAGAAAGAAGGTGGATGTGATTTTAATGGATCTCTGGATGCCTGAGATGGATGGCTACCAGGCCACCGAGTGCATTCTGGACATGTTTCGGCATTCGGATGGTCGCAACGGCTCCAACTCCGAGCACGCGGCACCACCGATCGTGTTGGCTGTCAGTGCTGATGCTACCGAGGAGGCCATCGAGCGGGCCACCAAAACCGGCATGGAGGGCTTTATGACCAAACCATACAAGTTGACGGATCTGCAGAGATTGATCGTTGAATTCTGTGGCAAAAGCGATGGTGTCAAGGGTATGGCTTGATTTATATGAAGATATATATATACAGATATATCAAAAGAGGAGGACAAGACCTCCATGTTCATTCGGGTCAACCCATGAGCTTTTTGCGACTTGGAGTTTTGTATATGTATTTTTGGATGCACTTTTGTATGTGACGACGGCATGATGGGACGGATAGACCTGATAAATGAGATAGATACCTGTAATCGAAACTGACTGTCACGAATAGCAGGCCTACGCTCGCCCAGGGGGCTGCCCTGGCAAAATGGACTCGAATACAGGTACCTATCTAAGGGATTCTGCCTAGTAACTCTGGGCCTGTAGTTGATATCTGAGTATATTGTGATATATTTACGCGATCCCTCATTCAGCATCGTGTTCAAGCATGGACCAATTACAACTGGCATCCAACAACAAGTCTCAGGACGTAGTGAAGAATGAACAGTGCGCCGCTTCCGTTCCATCAACCATTTCATCTCATCTCGCTATACTTCTTTGACCGTCTGAAGTGATTGTACCTAATCAATTGCGCATCAGAATCAAGCACTGTATACTGCGGCAGTTTCTCTACGAGGACCTCCACCCTCCCTTACCGATCCGTACGACTAGGCGCCACCGCGCCATCAGGCAGCCAAATATGCCTACGCCCCTGGACAAAGCGATGCAATCGCGTGTACGTGGCTTCTTCCACCCTCTTGCCGGGGGAAATCCTGCCCTTGCTCGCCTACTCGGGGCTACCAGAAGATGCGGCGATTCTTTCACAATATCTTACTAACCGTACTTCAGCATCTATTCTTCGGTGTGTCTCGCCCTGCTGGCGACTGCCTCTGCAACAGCCCCAAATCGTTTTAGGCTCAAAATCACTCCAGATGCAGAGGTGTCTAGGTGTTAACGCCGAAGTCGTTTCTTGTCTTTCTAGGGTTTGCGGGCCTAGTCACCATGGCGTCGTTATGGAGTATGTGGGGAGGTGATATGTTCCCGGCCGAGAAGGACCCCAAGGGCGGTATGTTTCTCCCATCCGACGTTCTTTTGTCTATTGCCCTTTTTCAACCTTCTCACTGGTCTTGTGGTTCAGATCCCAATTACTGGACCGAGAGCGAGCTCAGACGATGGCTGAAATCGGTGAGTTTGTCATGGGTTGCACCAGGCAGAATTACACCCGGCAGAGGACACGAATAACTCGTTCCTAGCGAAATCTGGAACCCGACTCGAAGATGACCAGAGCCGAGCTGCTGGAACGCGTCAAGGCGAATCTGAGGCCAGACTCGAGCGCCTAAGCAGAAGTGACGAGGTTGGAGAGGCAGAGCAGGAACCACGCACGGTGCGATCGTGGTTACACGTTATAATTGCCTTCATAACGCCACATTTACTATCGCACGTGAGAGGACTGTGAAGTGCGCTGACTATGGGTGGCTGGCTTGCGGGTGGGCAGTACCTCATGATGACCTTCCGTTTGATATCGATCGTGTCATCTATGACATACGCGCAGCCGATGAAGCTCATGTACGGCATCCCTTCGGCCCCCTTCGGGCGACACAGCAGATTGCATGGGTTTTGAATGTATTCGGGAGTCCTGGCGGCGTCGCAAGAAGCATCATGCTCGATTGCTTGGGGCGAATGAGTGTTCGCCCTCCATCGATCCTTTCATCGTTCGATGAGCGAGCTAGAGTCGACATGATCGTGAAGGAGGCTGTTATTCCTAATGGGGCTTGACATGGAGCGCATGATGTTCATGAGTTTACTTGACTATGACATGTAGCAACATGGAGAATATATTGCGCATTAATTGTTCATCGAGGCCGTACTTACCACCTACCTAGGTAGGTACGTTGCTACTACTAGTAGTAGTAGTACATGCTACCGTTGGTATCGAGACAGTTGGGGAAATCAAAAAATGTGCGGAGACAAATGTGGACAGCATCACATCACATCACATACCCAAATTAGCCATGTAAATTCTCACCATATAGAGTACAGTCAGTACACAGCAGCCTTTACCGTCAACTTGTATCACGGCTTCAATCCACAATTCTCGACATCAACGTGTGCTCGCTCTTGCTGGCGCTGCCACGCGGTCGAAAGAGCTATGCTGGCCATTGAGCACCACGCTCGAAGCTTCTTTCTCCAATGTCGAGCTTCTGCGCGGTGCATACCTCTGCTGTCGACCCGTCCTACTCGAGTCCTGCAGAGACGCGGATTCGCAACAGTCGTTGAACCGACCCCTCCATCCCGTACAGCTCCGGAGACCAAACCATATTATGTGACGTCTCCTATATTCTACGTCAACTCGGGTGAGTGTCGCTCTCTGTCACGTCTTCCTTCTCAGCACTACTAACTGCGGAGTGCCCAGCACCTCACGTCGGCCACCTCTATACTCTGGTCCTCACGGACATCCTCAAACGATGGGCGGTTCTCTGCGGCGATGAGAGGGCGACTCTGCTCACAGGCACAGACGAACATGGCATGAAGATTCAGAAGGCCGCTCAAAAAGCAAACACCGATGTGAAGTTGTTCTGCGACCACCATTCGCAGCAATTCAAGGCGCTGTGCGACGCCGCCAATATCAGCTACGACCGTTTCATCCGCACCACCGACGAGGACCACAAGGCTGCGGTTGCGCACTTCTGGACCGAGCTGAATCACGCGGGTTATATCTACGAGGCCAAACATGAGGGATGGTACTGCGTCAGCGACGAGACATTCTACCCCGAAACCCAAGTTCGGAACATCCTCGACCCCTCAACCGGCGACACCAAAATTGTGTCCATTGAGACAGGTAAAGAGGTGGAATGGACGTCCGAGACCAACTACCACTTCAAACTGTCGGCTTTCCAAGAACCACTGTTGAAGTATTATTCGGAACATCCCAAAGCCATCATTCCAAAGCAGCGTATGGCATTCATCTTGAAGGAGATCCAAAGCGGCCTGAATGACCTCTCGATTTCACGCCCGACCTCCCGGCTGCAATGGGGTATTCGAGTCCCTGGCGACGAGAGCCAAACAATCTACGTGTGGCTTGATGCCTTGATCAACTACTTGACCATGACAGGATATCCTTACCATGACAGAATTGATCCGAACTGGCTCTGGCCTCCGAACTGCCAGGTCATTGGTAAAGATATCATCCGCTTCCATACGGTCTACTGGCCGGCCTTTCTGATGGCTCTGGACCTCCCCCTCCCGACCCAGTTTCTCACCCATGCTCACTGGACCATGAACAATGCAAAGATGTCCAAGTCTGCCGGTAACGGAGTCAACCCCTTCTTTGCCATGGACCGGTACGGGGTAGATAGTATCCGGTTCTACATGGCCTATAACGGTGGCATCGTGGATGATGCCATGTACGAGAACTCAAAGGTTGCAGAAACATACAAACATATTCTGAGGGACGGATTGGGAAATCTACTGCATCGCGTGTTCAAGAGCAAGAACTTCAATGTTCGCGAAGCCGTCGAACTGGTGGGTGAAGACCAGGACGCCTTTTCAGAGTTCCTATCCAAGGATGAGCTGGATGGACATGGCGACGATTTGAAGTCTCTCCATGTAAGTATCAAACAGCTGTGCAAACAGATCACCTCGACTCGGAATCATGTGAGAAAGTGGATGGCAGAACCAAACCCGCGGACAGCGGTCAATCTCATCACTGAGCTGATCAGAAGCGTACGATTTCGCGTTGCCCCTTGCTGAAACAGACCAGTATGCTGACACTGCGCGCAGATGAACAAATTCTTCCACAACTCTGCGTTGTGGAAACGGATCAAGTCGGACGAGGCCAGTGAACGGCGCATTGCACAGTACGGCCTCTATGCCAGCGCCGAAGCGATTCGCATCATCTGCATACTGCTGCAACCATTTATGCCGGAAAGAATGCAATTCGCGCTCGACCTAATGCAGGTCCCAGATTCGAAAAGGACTTTTGCGTACAGTCAGCTATGCGCCGATTTCACCTATGGGCCGCCCGCGGTAGAGCCTGGCATCAAGGGATCTCCAGAAGTCATCTTTCCGGTTCTTCTGTCTGCCAACTAAACAGCGTCGGAATGCCGTATATGTACCATGATTATAGAACAACCGCACCGCTTGTGGTTCGAAAGGAGGCCATTCGCTGACGCAAAAAGAAAATATCTCTTCGCCAAACAGTCCGGGATTCCTGGCTCCACCCAACTACACAAGTAGTGTCAAACCGCTGCGAGCGCCGATACCAACGTCTCCAATATCGCGGCGCATAGCGCTCGGGCTGGCCAATCAAGGGCACGAAACATTCAACTAACCTCTCGTCCGACGTATCTCTAATCCGGGGGGTCCGTCGAAGCCTCGCCCTGAAGTCCGCTCGGAGAAAGGCGCGATATATCCCATCCATGCTTCACTATGCTCCTACATTTTTGGCACCTGTTGTTGCCAGAAAATAAAGTAGGTCATGATGCAGCAATGTCATGTTAGACGAGTCGAGCGGCTCTTCCTCTTCCACCGCTCGACTAATTCCAACGAGCAGCACGTCCTTCTCATGGGACGAGACGGCCATCTGAATGGAAGTTGCTTCTGGACGTACTGCAACCATGGGCTCGTTGGGCGATGCAAACAATAAGAAACCTTGGGTCGAAACCCCATTGCACGAATCACCGACTCTTTCCCGTGCCGCTGGCTGGTACAAGACACACTGACTTCTTGCGCTGCTGTTCATCGGTACTAACATGTCCACATAGCCGGATATTCCTGAAGCTGGAGAATCTGCAGCCTTCTGGCTCCTTCAAATCTCGAGGTATTGGTAACCTGGTCTTGACCGAAGCGGCTTATCACAAGGCCATTGGCAGCACGCGACCTTTGCACTTCTTCGCCTCGTCTGCCGGGAACGCAGGCCTGGCCGCCGTTTCCGCAACCAGCGCTCTCGGATACACCTCTACCGTTGTTGTACCTACGACCACCGAGGAGTCCATCGTCGAGAAATTGAAAGTCAATGGCGCCAGCGAGGTCATTGCACATGGCCCTACGCTCTTGGAAGCGGATCTATATCTGAAGGAGGTGGCAATGCCTCGTGCGGAGGCCAGGGGCGAGATCCCTATATACGTCTCACCATTTGACAACGAAGCCATCTGGGACGGCGCCGCGACCATGGTCGAGGAGATACATCGGCAGATGCCCGACGGCGAAGCGCCTGACGCCATTGTCTGCTCTGTTGGCGGCGGGGGCCTTTTGGCAGGCCTTGCGAACGGAATGGAACGCGTCGGTTGGGGGAGCGAAGTGCAGCTCCTTGCTGTCGAAACCAAAGGCGCCGATTCACTGTATCAGTCCTGGCAAGCTGGTCAGCTGGTCACCATCTCCGGGATCACTTCCATTGCCACCTCCCTCGGAGTCGTTCGGGTGTGCCAAAGGGCTTTCGACCTCCTGGCGCGCAAGAATGTGACTAGCCTTGTGCTCGAGGACGCCGAGGCCGCCATGGGCTGCTGGCGGCTGGCGGATGACGAGCGCATCATTGTTGAGCCCGCCTGCGGAGTCAGCGTGGCGTTGGCGTACGACGACCGCCTGAGGCAGGTTTTGCGCCCATTCGACAAGAACAAGAAGGTGGTGATCGTCGTGTGCGGCGGCAGTAAAATCTCCGTGGACGCCTTGGTCCAATACAAGGCTCAATATGCAGAAAGGGCGAGGGAGCTGGCGGCGCAATGGGCCGGCATGTCGGGCTAGCCTTCTGTTGCTGGTTAGTGGCCTTGGAATGATGGGATATCGCTACCATCGCATGCGGTGAAGTAGGGGACCAACAAGACAAATTGAAGCCTGGCTGACGGGGCTCATGCTCTTGGGGCGCGAATTCGATAGAGAGCAGCCGACTTTACAGGATTTCTTTTGCGTTGGTGTATAGATAGTTCAACAATTCGATCCATATACGTCCACCATCGCTGTTCCGGGACCTGTCTAGAACTTTCTGGTATCTGGCGAGATTTTCCCTTATTGTCATCCGTCCACTCTCGTCTCACACGTCTCGGAGCGTCTTTTCTCGTCCTGCTACGCATCTTCAGTCCAAATCTACCAGTACAAAGGTAGCTTGTGACGAGTCCCGAGCCCTGACTTAGTATGAACAGGGTGGCGTAGACTTTGGGGTCGAGTATAAAGGAATGGGTTTCTATTGTGGTCATCAAATCGGTGACAGTGGACGTGATAGAGAAACTGACTGCGGACTGTAGTCTTTCCGCACGTCGGTCTGGTGTAAATAGTCTCTAGTTCAGGTCTATGTCCATACGCACCCGAACGATGAACAAGTGCAATGTAAGCCCAGGCTCATCAGGCTGTGCCCAGGCCAACTGCACGAACTCTGCTATACAATATATGCATCCATGGCGTTCGACCTTTGCCCAAGTCCCACAGTGTCAATCACAGTATCCAGGCGCTTTGGCTGACCCGCCGGCAGCCCACTGCTGCACGGTCAGGACCGTGGTATAAAGGCAGCCCACAAGCCCAAAAATGCAGACCACATAATCCAACCCACGCTGCCATGGCTTTCGAGCTACAGCTCTCAAGTGCAACATCGGTGGATACACGTATACCAACGGCACACACGCGAAACTGCCCACCAAAGCAACGAACTTGTCCAGATCGCCCGCTCCACACCATCCGACGAGTGCACACAGGCAAACCAAGAAGAAGCGGAATACGTTCTTCTGCCATTTGATGTAGGGGTTGTACTTTCCCGAACGGCTGAAGAGCTCGTTCTCCATGATTCGGACGGCCGGGAACAGTTGCAGTGGTGTGCTAAGCAGGATGGCGACGGAATACAGGAACTGGACGACGTTGACAATCTTACTGTCCTGGGGCAAGTTGAGGATGACGACGGTCTTCGTCTTGGACCCGTACGCTGCATACGACAGCGCTCCGATCGAGGTGAAGAGGATGGTCACAATGACCATGACAATGGCAAGAACGCCTGGGAACTTCTGAGGGTTCCTCATTGACTCTTGAATCGGAATGATCAGGCCAACACCCTCGAAAGTGAAGATTGCCGTGCCAATGAACAGGGTCCAGGTCGATGGATTGAACAAGGCGATGTCGGCCACACCTCCCTGATAAACAATCTCGGAGATGTCATAGTAGTACAGATAGATCAGCCCCAACATGATGAAAGCATCGGCAATGAGAGCAGTGAAGCCGAGTTTGCTGATGTCCCGAATCAAGCTCAGGGGCAAGAAGATGATCAATTGCATCAAGACCATGTACTTGATGTCGATGAAACTCTTGCACTTCGAGACAGCAAGCACGAATGCTTGCAAATTCTCCGCGGTGAAGACAATGTAAGCCGAGACAAAGCCAATCTGACTGAGTACGATCGAAGAAAGAATCAACTTTCTCATCCATTTTCCGTACAGAATGCCTCCCATCTCACCAAAGGATGCCTCGACCTTGTTGCGGGTGTTGATGAGAAGAATGAAACAGTGGAAACTCAGAGCGGCAACCCCCAGGAGGACAAGTGACGAAAATAGCATACCTCCGTTCAGGAATGCACGGGGCAAGAAGAGCACACCGGTACCCACAAATGACTTGAGAAGGAGTAGAGCAGCATTGAAACTGCTGTTGTTACCTCCCGAGGGCCTCTCCTTGTGCTTCCTCTTGCGGAGTGTATGCGTGCTGGACGCCAGCAGAGCACTATCTTCGCCGGCTTCTTGGTCGCTGCCTTCGTCCCAGGCGTCGGAGGAGAAATACTCGTCCGGTCCAAGAGCTTCGTCGTCTTCCTCCAATTCTTCACCCGCGAAGTGCCCGTAAAGTGTAAGAAATTCCAGGAAATTATTGGTGAATAGCTTAGGCTTAGCATTTCTCGTGGAACCTGCACCGTCACCTTGTCCCGCAGATGCTTCAGCATCCTGGTCTTCACCTCCAGCACCCGGACTTTGCACGGCTCGCCGCAAATAATGGCGGCGGAAACCCCCTGGCACACGGATGTTCTGAATGTCAAGTACTTCACTTTCTGGTTCCGGTCGCGGGGCACTGAAACTCTTGCTTCTCTGCGAACGACCTGGGGGGTTTCCGGCCTGGTCTTCGGCCCAACGATAAACAGCCCGTGTCATGTCTCCCCCTTGCAAACGGAGGCTCGAGAATTCATCAGGGCCAAGGCCAGTGCCCGGCTCGTTTAGATCCAAGCGGAGAGCACGCCCATGCCGGGCGGAACCTTGATCTGGCTGCACCAGATGGCGCTTTACCACTTCCGGATCCTCCGTAGGTGCTGGACTTCCAGACGGCTCTCGAGCATCGAAAGACCCATAGTTGCTCCTCGGTATTCTCTCGTGATTGCCTAGCCCACCTCTTGCCGTCGCCGACGATTGTCTTGAAGTGGACTCGGTCGATGGCACAGGAGGCGTCCTCCCCCTAGGAGGGGTGCGGTTGTTTTTATCTGCAAGAGCTGTGGAAAGGGCAGACTGGCCCGGGCCGGGTAGAGAGCCCGCACTGTCAAGTTTCGGAAGGTTCGAATCGGGGTGGTGGTCGGCCGCTATTTGCTGAGGAGTAGGGACCTGTTGAACACTAGGGGTATTGAGACGATGAGGGACAGGTGAGGACAACCGGGCTATGGAAGCCTGTCGAGAATGTTGAGACGAAGGAACCGGGGAGCTTGTTGCCGGAGAAGAGCCTCGACTCCTTGGACGGATCTCTAATGGTCTGGAAGCCTGCGACGACATGGAGAAACGGGATGAGTCAGAGGACTTCGCAGCGACATATATTGGGTAGAATACGAGATTTGGACTGAGGTCGGCTGAAGATGAAATAAGCAAAGGATTGAAAGTAAAGATTTGAAAGTGCACTCCGAGCTGGAGCAGATGAGTATATCACAGCGGAAACAGATGAAAGCCGATGCTCGTAGGTTGTACCACAGCAGGCTTGTGAAGACGGTTTTGGAAGGAGAAATAAGAGATGGGACTAGATGTCAGTCTATGGGTCTGTTTCTCTCCCAATGGGCAGTGGGTGCGACAGCTTCCAGGCAATAATAAAGAGCCAGCGCCCCTGCTAAGCATGACGCAGGCATCCTACGGCCAACTATAACAGCCCCATATAGGCACGATAGGTCCCGACCCACCGCCTCCTTAGCCTAGCTACAGTACCTACATTACCTAGAGTACCTAGTAGGTGCCTGGCCTGTTCGCCTAAGGTCGCCCAGGGAAATTTCCGCGTACCTCAGCCCTGGGGCACGCAGCCCAAGCCCAGGTCAAGCGCGAGTAATAGCAGGGCTCGTTTACCTAATCGCAGGGTTCCTTTGGTTTTTTGATAAAGCCCACCATGCCTAAAAACGCAGGTATATTTCCGCCCACCAGACTGTTTTGGCCTTCTGCTCACCCACGTCACAGGCAGGGGACAAGCCAAGCCTTAGGAGCTCCAAGCCCCCCTGGCCCCGTAAAATCTCTTCAGATGCCGACTGGTACGTACTGACATCGGCACCGCAGCCCTCTCTTCCACCAACTCCATCATCCCAGGTCAAGATCCAAAGTCCTATCGTATTATCGTTCTTCTTTTTCACGTCTGCTCTCGTAATAATATCTCGTTTCTCTCCACCGCACACAGACAACACCCAAAGCCACACCCACAGCGGCGTACGAGTTTGTTGTCGGCCTGAAGGGCAAGATTCACTGCGATTTCCACCAGCCGGACTATCGAAGAGAAGACCGCAGGATCACCATCTCACTTGTTGAACCCCACTACGCTTTGAAGCCCATGAGAACACAGCTCAGCCTTATCGCTAGAACTTTGCCCTGATGGCATGATCATTCTATAGGGATTCGTGCGTTCTCATTGGTGCGGTCTGATGATGGATTTGGATCCCAGACGACCTGCTCAGAGATCTCATGGCTGGAACAGAAGGAAAGGCCTGGCCCAGTCTGGGGCGAGGCACTCTCCCACGAAGTCGTCCCACGTTCCTTGCACGAACAGCCACCGATGATGCAGCCCAGCTGTTGAGGAGAACCTCCTATCCGAATTCGCCCAATGGACAGGAACGGCCGGTGTCCCAACCGGAAGACTCTCGCCACACTGCTTCGAGGCCGCCAGCAGCACCCTCGACTATATCGAACGTTTCCCTGACAACCGGCGATGGTTTGTCGACTTCTAAGATTTATGGGACTTTCGACGGCCCCCAAGATGCTGAGCCCTTGCCTCAGTCATCTGAAACAAATCATGATCACCGACCAGAGGATGACTCCTCACATCCCTCTGTCCACGACGTCTCAAAGAAGGCTGAGAAATCTTCTCCACCCAAATCTGGGGGCTTCCCCCGGCCTGTTGGAGGAACAGAGAAACTGGGTACATTTTCCGGCGTTTTCGTCCCCACAAGCCTGAACGTGTTAAGTATACTGATGTTCATTCGGTTTGGGTTCATCCTTGGTCAAAGTGGAGTGGTTGGGATGCTTGCCATGCTCGTGGCTGCCTATCTGATTGATCTGGTCACGACGTTGTCTATCTCAGCTGTCGCCTCCAATGGCGTCGTTCGGGGTGGAGGGGCTTATTACCTGATTTCGAGGTCACTTGGGCCGGAATTTGGAGGCGCAATTGGTCTTGTCTCCTACATGGGGTTCGTCTTCAACACTGGAATGAATGCCGTCGGTTTGATCGACTGCCTGAACTATAATTTCGGGTCAGTATCTGGCAATTGGGCCAATACTCTCCCCGAAGGGGGTTGGTGGCAATACCTGTGGAGTACTGTTGTTGTGCTCACCTGCGTGGTCATTTGTCTGGCTGGAAGTACCATTTTCGCCCGAGCAAGCAACGGCTTGCTCTTCATTCTCCTAGTGGCTACGTTCAGCATCCCTTTCTCTGCTCTGGTCATGAAACCATTCGAAGCTACCAAGCAATACACTCATTTCACTGGTCTCAGTCTCGACACTTTGAAGGCAAACCTGATGCCTCATTTCACCCGAGGTGCTGCAGGCAGTCAGCTGCGATCGAAAGAGAACTATCAAGACCTCTTTGGTATCCTTTTCCCTGCTACCGGGGGAATACTGGCTGGAGCGAGCATGTCAGGCGACCTCAAGAATCCCAGCAAATCCATCCCTCGTGGTACTCTTACTGGTCTCGCACTGACTTTTATTTCGTACGCTCTTGTTATTGTCGCCATGGCCGCGAGCATCACGAGGGAGTCCTTCTATCGAAACGCCAACGTCGTCCAGGACACGAACATCTCGGGCGTTTTGATCTTGGCCGGAGAAATAGCAACAACGTTCTTCTCTGTTCTGATGGGAATCATAGGGCCTGCCAAACAACTCCAGGCCATCGCTAGAGATAATGTTATTCCAGGCTTGTCAATCTTTGGTCAGGGGACAAAGAAGAATGATGAACCTATATACGCCATCTTCTTCACGTTCGCAGTGGCTCAAGCTACGCTCCTCCTTGACATCAATCGCATTGCATCTCTTATCACAATGACTTACCTCATGTAAGTTTGCCCCAAATTTGGGAGGTTTTGGTTCTGACAGAGAAAATAGGACGTTTTTCGCCCTCAATGTAGCGACATTCCTCCTGAAGATTGGATCTGCTCCTAATTTTCGGCCTTCGTTCCACTACTTCAATTGGTGGACCGCGCTTATGGGGGCGTTGCTAAGTGTAGGCAGCATGTTCTTCGTCGACGGTATCTCAGCTTCAGGTTCAGTCTGCCTCCTTCTCATCCTGATCATCATGATCCATTACACCACGCCTCCAAAGCCGTGGGGCTCGATATCCGAAGTTCTTATCTACCATCAGGTCCGAAAGTACCTCTTGCGGCTCAAGAGTGAGCATGTCAAATTCTGGCGGCCCCAGATCCTGCTGTTTGTCAATGACCCCAGACGAGGTTACAAGCTCATCCAATTCTGTAACTCGCTCAAAAAAGGCGCTCTGTTTATCGTCGGACATGTCATAGTCACTCAAAACTTTGGAGAATCAGTCCCCGAGGCCCGTCGTCAGCAAGCAGCTTGGAACAAATATATCGAGTTCTCGAAGATCAAGGCCTTTGTCAACGTTGCCATTTCGCCTTCGATAGAATGGGGAGCGAGAAATATCTTTCTCTCGGCGGGATTGGGTGGGATGCGTCCTAATATCGTGATCTTCGGATTCTATAACCTGCAACAATTTCGAGCCGAGCAACCCCTAGTGGACATCCCCAGTCCTCCACCGGAGCGGAAGCATGGTTCTCTTCGTCAGCGCCGGACAAGCAAGAGTGTTGTCAGAGGGGAACTACCGACAGACACCTGCTACGTGGAGAAAAGGACCGATATTCAAAGCTATGTGATGGTGCTTGAAGATATGATCCTCAAGCTTCAGACCAATGTTGCTATTGCAGCTGGATTCGGTGACCTCGAGCTACCTAGAAGCTCGGAAGAAACAACCAAGAAGTACATTGATCTATGGCCCATCCAGATGTCGGCTGAGGTGATAGCGGATACTGATGGTGAGGGTGAGGGTCGAAATGTCGTCACAACGAATTTTGACACCTACACCCTCATCTTACAATTGGGGTGCATCCTCCACACAGTCCCTTCATGGAAGAAAGCGTATAAACTGCGCGTGGCTGTCTTTGTTGAATATGAGGCGGATGTGGAGGAAGAGCGGACTCGCGTCACCACGCTCTTAGAGAACCTTCGAATCCAAGCACAAGTGCTGGTCTTTTGGCTTGCTTGTGGCTCCGTCAAGTCTTACAACTATATCATCAACGGAGAAGGTGTGGATGAGGAGACTCAAGAGCAAGTCAACAAAGTGTTGGAAGATGAATTATGGTGGCGCGAAGTGCAGATTATCCGGGGCAAGTCGCAGTCTGCTGACGTTGGTGCCGTGGACGCTCTGACGGTTGCGGACGATGGCATCTGGTCAAGCGCCTCTTTGCAAAGCAAAAGGGAAAATTCTATCATTCGCATCGAGGGCTTGCGCCGTATGTTGGCCGATCCGAAGAAGAGGCCTACTTTTGGCAATCTTTCTAGTCTTGGGTTAAGCCTCTCCATGAGAACGTCTCGCCTGGATGATGATATGCTCAGTCGGCACGCTTCTCACCCAAGCGACTCTGACGGCACATCGTCGGAGGATGAGGAAGAGTTCATGGAAAACACAGAAGATGATGTCAAGGACAAGAGCCGAGATGAGTACTCTGAGGCAAGTCTATCTCAAGAGGACGCGGATGCCCAACAGTCGTCCTTCGCGGACACAAGAGCCGCACACAAGTCTAAAACATCATCGAAGAAGAGCAGTCGGACGAGCTCCAAAAAATCATTCCGGAAGAAAGCAAAGGAGGCACGCTATAGGGAAGGCGTAACCGACCCCTCAGGACCGTTGATCCAATTTGATGAGAACATTCTTGATGTGGCGGGTGAACAGCAAATGCGTGGGCGGGCCATCCAATCTGATGCTGGTGAACATCCACGCCGGGGTACCGGCTCCCCGGGGAACGGTCTAAAAGTCTTGCCCGCGCAACGCCCTCGGACACCATCACCCAATTTTACTTCTGAACCTGTGCCAGTAAGCAAAGTGGCCAGTGAAGAAGGCGAGGGACCTTCCATCATGTTTGCAGATGATCCTCATCCACGGCGACAGAAGGTCGATGAACTGCCGAATTCCGAAAGTTACCCCATTCCCCACCGACATAGTGACAACGGCAGCCCTCCGAAGCCTGCGTCGGGATATCCTACGGCTGCCGCATCACCTTTGTCATTCAATGACCTTCCCAGCCGGGCACAGCATTTGATCTTGAACGATCTGATATCGTCCAACAGCGATAACACCGCAGTCATTTTCACCACCTTGCCAGCACCAGTTGAAGGAACTTACAAAAGTGAGGCTGACAGTCTGAGATACATCAGCGACCTGGAGGTTCTGGTGGGCGGGCTGCCACCAACGCTTTTGGTGCAAAGCAATAGCATGACCGTTACGACGAATATTTAAGACACGCAGCGATTGATTTTGGGACTAGAGCTTTGATTGGAAGGCAGAGTATCATCCGATTTATTAGGACATGCAGGAAATACCTGATGGGGGGTGGGAAATGTATAAAGAATACACATGTTTCTTGGCCATACTGTGCCCTTTCCAATACATCTTGTATTGGGGATGTAGGTCCAGCAGGCCTTCATTGACTATAAAGTTAGACGCCAAATCGAGCCCTAACACCAAACACCTGTTGCAACATGAGTAGTCCTCCAGCCAGTTATACACCACCACACCATGGCAGGCAACACATTCGGGAAAAGGACTCTCTGGAAAGCTCCTTCCCTTGTGCCGTTCAGGACATTCTGTGTTACCATACGAACAAAATCGCATGCAGTGCTTCAAAATCTTTCCGCCCGATTGAGTTTCCTGGCATTCTTAATCTGGCTTCTGGTATTTTGCCCGCGAACCGGCAGGTTCATGGCATGCCGACGGCCCCTGTACGTTCCCGTATCTCTCAGGCGTTGGATATCCTGCTGGATCTGGCGACGGAGGTGGTTTTCGAGTTTCATCGAATCGAGGTGCGCCGTGAGATCGAGGATTTGAGTCTGATTGAGGTCGCCAACTTTCATCGTGTTGTGCAAGTGGAAGCGAGCCATAATCCGCTGGCGCGTGGAGGGGCCAATGCCAAAGAATGTTTCGAGCGAGCGCTGCGAGGTTATACGGGTTAGAGACATACACGCACCAGCCGTAGACTCGTGGAGAGTCAACATACCCAGATGAATCGGTGCTCGGGGAAGTTGACCCCCAGAATAAACACCTATCGCGTGTGAGTCCGCTGCGCGTCGACCAAGAGGGCTTGGTTGTAGCTCACCATGATGCCGCCTCCTCCGCTGTTAGATTTGTCTCTATATTCTGGAGACGTCGTTCATGACCATTCTGAGTGCACTGGACTTCCGGCATTTGGACGTTCAAACTTCAACTCGGAAATGCTTGGCAGCTAAAGTGATGTAATAGTACTAGCGTAGCCTTGCAAAAGCTGGCTTGAGGGCGGAGCACTGGCGTCTTGTGGCACTTCGGGTTTGTATACGTCTTCGAACATGTCCACCTGTCCTCCTGCGTTCGGTATAGAATCACCAACGCTTCTCTCCTCACCAAGTCTTTCCCCTCCGAGCTGTTACCATCGATGATCTTCGAGATGGCTAACATCCAGAGAGTCGTGATCTCGCTGATGGTCATTCTGGCTGCCACCTTCTTATTCATGGGTCAGACCGCGCAGGCAGCCAAGGGTCCCAAGGTCACGCATAAAGTCTACTTTGACATCGAACATGGCGAGGAACCCCTGGGCCGGATTGTCTTGGGCTTATATGGGAAGACAGTGCCCAAGGTAAGCTCTGGTGTGTTCAATCAGCTTCATGTCTAACCTGGGTGCCTTCCTTGCAGACTGCTGAGAACTTCCGAGCATTGGCCACGGGCGAGAAAGGCTTCGGCTACGAGGGATCGTCGTTCCACCGTGTTATCAAGAATTTCATGATTCAGGGAGGCGATTTCACCAGAGGAGATGGCACCGGTGGCAAATCAATCTACGGGGACAAGTTCCCAGACGAGAACTTCAAGTTGAAGCACACGAAGAAAGGCCTCTTGAGCATGGCCAATGCAGGGAAAGACACGAACGGATCGCAGTTCTTTATCACTACAGCCATCACCAGGTATGGACCAGGCCGTTCAGTTCTCCTGACCCTTGATTGACAGTATACAGCTGGCTTGATGGTCGACATGTTGTGTTTGGCGAAGTGCTCGAAGGCTATGATATCGTCGAAAAGATCGAAAATGTTCCCAAGAGCTCTGGAGATCGACCTGCCAAACCGGTCAAGATCGTGAAGAGTGGGGAGCTCGAAGTGCCACCGGAAGGTATCCATGCCGAGCTGTAGATTTGAGGGCTGGTACTGCTCTCGGATTATCATGCGCAGAAAGTCATGCTGAAACAGTCTGATAGAACCTCTCTCCTCGGACGCCCAACCCGATCATGTCGATGAAGACGGGGAAGTGGTCAATGAGCCCGAGACGGAACAGTTATCACCGCCAAAGGATGTCCCTGCAGCCGCAGATTCGACCACTCCTGCAGACGCTATGATTGCTCAAGCCTATGTGCAGAAGCTAGTCCTCTTCCTTCTCGTGGTGGGTCTGGTCTTTTTTCTGTCAAGAAGGCGGAGGTCCGCTTGCGATAAGTTGGATGAGAAAAGCATGGCATGAAATAGATGGCTCGACGGTCAAGCTGAGGAAACCCGATTGCTTGTCCCCGTGTTTACCGAGCGTATAATAGCAGAGCCCTTGTCTCGTATCATTGCCACGAAGCAAATCCAGATCGTGCCCTCCTGTGCATCGGGCCGGCTTATTACTATTATATCACGATCTGACTACACGGTACTACTACTACTGGGCAATCCGCGTATGTTATCGTTGCCTCACCATCGTCACCGCCGCCACTGAAAACTCTTTGCCCCTTGACCTTATCTGATTGTATTCGAAAGAAGACTAGCGGGGCTTGGCAATTTGCTAGTCCTAGCTTCATCAGGGTTTAGTGCCCCTATCCTGCTAGTACGTACTTGTTGTAGTAAGCAAGCCAGGCTCTGCAGGGTTCTAGTGCCTGCGCTTCTGCCCAGTCAAAGAGAAAAAGTCCTGCCTGCGCCTTTTTAAGACTTTTCCCTCTTCAACACTCAACCATCTTCACACCTCTTCATCAAAATCACCGCTGACAATCATCACGGTTCTTGTTATTCTGCCTTTCGTTTGACTTTCGGATAGACTTGGAGAGGCGTTCTGTGTCTCTCATCTATCTGCGGAATCGAAAGCATATTCGCAAAGACAAAATCGCGAGCACAGCACGAATAAACCTTCACCTCTCGATTAAACGCCTCCGCAGCCTCACTTCACCAAAAGGGCTCTTATTACACAACCAGACCTCATCTGTTCAGACACGCATCCTCACCTGCCCGACCCTCTAGATCCCCATCAATTGTACGTCTTACCGAGCGCTGAACCATTCTCGCCGCTCTACCGATCTTCCTCACCCTCCTTGAAACAGTCTCACCGACGTCAGTTCGAGTTTTTTCTCGAATTTTCCACCTCCAATCTTGTTGATACTCACACACTCAAATACTTGTCTGAAGACGCTTACTGACAACAAACTTCAGCAAATTTCAGATTCAATCCAACACGCAACATGGCTGATTCTTTGAATGTAAACGGTCTCTCTTTGAACGACTCGAAGCACGCCCCTCAGGGCCCGATGATCGGTGGTCGTTCTGCCTACATCCCTCCACACCTTCGCGGCTCGGTCGCCGCTCCGCGTGGACCACCTACCACCGGCATGGATGGAGCTGGTCCTCAGCCTGCACCTCAGTCGGGTCCTCAGGGTTTGAACGGCAATGCATGGGCAAACAACACGTAAGTATCTACTGTATCCGCAATCCATATCTTTTACTGACTTCTTTCCCTCAGCAATAGCAATGGCAGTTGGGGCAATGCAGCTGGCCCAGGCGCTCCCGGTCCACAGCCCAACGGCTGGGCCGGACAAGGCGCCCCTCGTCCTTTCAACCCGAACGCGTACGGCGCTCCAGGCGGCGGCCACGGCGGCCACGGCGGCGGTTACGGCGGGAATGCGGCTCGCGGGTCAGGAGACGGACAATGGAAAGATGGACAACATGTTCCTGGTCCTCAAAACCCCAAAGTGGAGCGCGAATTGTTTGGTATTCCCAACGATCCCTCCAAGACCCATACCGGCATCAACTTTTCCAACTACGATGACATTCCTGTCGAGGCTAGCGGCCAAGACGTCCCCGAGCCTGTGAACACCTTTTCCAACCCGCCCCTCGATGACCATCTGATCAGCAACATCAAGCTTGCTGGCTACGCCACTCCCACCCCTGTGCAGAAATATTCTATTCCCATTGTTATGGGTGGACGAGATCTGATGGCTTGTGCACAGACTGGTTCTGGCAAGACTGGAGGTTTTTTGTTTCCCATCCTTTCGCAGGCGTTCCAGCATGGTCCTTCTGGGGCACCTGCATCTGGGGCTGGCTTCCGCCAGCGAAAGGCGTTCCCTACTTCCTTGATTCTGGCTCCAACTCGCGAGCTTGTGTCTCAAATCTTCGACGAAGCACGAAAGTTCGCCTACCGTTCTTGGGTGAGACCCTGCGTCGTCTATGGAGGTGCCGACATTGGTACACAACTTCGATCCATTGAACGAGGTTGCGATCTGCTTGTTGCCACTCCTGGTCGACTGGTCGATCTCATCGAACGAGGTCGCATCTCACTTGCTAACATCAAGTACTTGGTTCTTGACGAGGCCGATCGCATGCTTGACATGGGTTTTGAACCTCAGATTCGCCGCATTGTCGAGGGTGAAGACATGCCCAATGTTCAGAACCGTCAGACACTCATGTTCTCGGCCACCTTCCCACGGGACATCCAGATGTTGGCTCGAGACTTCCTCAAGGACTACGTGTTCTTGTCTGTTGGGCGAGTGGGTTCAACATCCGAGAACATCACTCAGAAAGTCGAATATGTCGAGGACCAAGACAAGCGTTCAGTCTTGCTCGACATTCTGCACACTCATTCTGGCGGTTTGACCCTGATCTTCGTCGAGACCAAGCGCATGGCCGACACCTTGTCCGACTTCCTCATCAACCAAGGCTTCCCCGCAACCGCTATTCATGGTGACCGCACCCAGCGCGAGCGTGAGCGGGCACTGGAATACTTCCGCAATGGTCGATGCCCAATTATGGTGGCCACTGCTGTTGCAGCTCGAGGTTTGGACGTCCCAAATGTCATGCAGGTCATCAACTACGATCTTCCCACGGACATCGATGATTATGTGCACCGCATCGGTCGTACGGGTCGTGCTGGAAACACAGGTATCGCAATCGCCTTCTTCAACCGTGGCAACCGTGGCATTGTTCGTGAGCTTCTTGAACTTCTCAAGGAGGCTCACCAGGAAGTCCCCAGCTTCTTGGAGAACATTGCTCGAGAAAGCTCTGGCTTTAGTGGTGGTGGTCGTGGTGGCCGTGGCCGTGGAGGTGCCGGCCGTGGTGCTTCTGCCACTCGTGACGTGCGTCGTGGAGGCGGAGGCATGGGCGGTGCTCCTTCATATGGCGGCGGCTTCGGCGGTGGTTATGGTGGTGGCGGTGGCAGTGGTAAGTCCTTGCAGCATTTCATATATCGGGAAGAGACGCTAACCAGAAATTCAGGCTATGGTGGTGGCGCGGCATACGGCGGCAGCGGTGGTGGCGCTGGCGGCGCTGCTTACGGCGGCAATTACGGAGGAAGCTACGGCAACCCAGGTGGTGCCAGCGGGCCATCTTCGTGGTGGTAGACAGCCAGCAGTGCTGTTCTGATCGATGGACCATCCAGCGATCTCTTTTTCAGCATGGGTTTTTCGATTTTCCTGTTTTTCTTTATTTCGACATTCTGCTCTCTCGAAGAGTGGCCCTGTGTTGATGAGCGACGAGCAACCAGCAGGCCGAATTGCTCCTGCGTTTGCTCCCTTCGAAGACGACACAAGGAGCATTTTTCGAGACATTTTCTCGGGCACAGCATGATACATGATAGATAGCGTTGGCTTTTCCGATCGATTTCCAGATACCCCCAGCATGTCGAACTTTCCTCATGTGGACAGAGGACGAACGATGTGTGCCTTGTCAACAGACACACCACGGCGTCGGTTTGCAACGAAAGAGAGTGACGAGGTGCAAAGCACAACAGAACTTCGACACGGATGATGACACTCATAACGAGGCCGGATGGAGGCCCCAAGGCTGGAGGCCTGACTCGGCCTCTATGATGAAGGGTGTTTTCACCCCCATACCAAAAGTTATCAGCGGGTTGTTCTCTCTCTTTCGAACGATGGGACATGATGATCAAATAGACTTTTCGACATGAACGATCAAACGAGCTTAGGGAGGCCCAAGGGATGGGGACGGAATCTGGGACACATTTGCACGCGATCTGTGTCTCCCGGAAGGTTCCCGTCGCGGCTTCTATGAGCTCTTCTTACGAGACCCCCTGGGGAAAGGTCTTCGCTGGCTGCATTAGATCAGGCTTGCCAGGCCACAGAAATTAGCAATGCAAGAAAAGTTTTGTACTCAAAAGACGATGGCGTTTTCTTTTCTGTCTTTTTCACACTGTCCGAATAGACCGTCGGCTGCAATAGTGTTAGACTGTGAGCCCTTGAGAGGTGAGCAGATTTCGTTGTATATGACCGACCTATTCCAATCTGTTGAATTCGTTCCATATAGCATGTTGCATCAGGAACATCTGGAATCCCTCTATAGGCCACAACCATCCAGTCGTAGGTGCGGTAGTAGGTGGTATCAAGTTCTCTGTGCCTTCCTTTCAAGACTCGCCCGGTGCCAGTGTTGCCGCTCGTCCACTTCTCAGTAGAAGGGGCTGGTAGACGGGGGGCATGGGTACATACATAGTAGGCTTTGCACTCACAGTGCAGTTGACTGCATTCGAAGCGTTTCTGTTTAGACGCTGTACACCAACGACCCGTCTATTGCTTCAAGGGGCCCTTCAGCCTTGTCTGCGGAAGATCGGAGCCTTGTCGTTGAGCTCCTCTTCGCTGACATGTCCAAGGTAAGAGAACCCCAACAGCTCAGTCGACTCTTGTCCGGTTCAAGCACTGCAATGCTGATCATAGCTGTAGCTATGTTGCTAGGCACACCGACAGGAAGACAGACATTGGATAGGTAACTCCTCTTGGGTTGGGTAAATATCACAGCATAGCTGGGAATAAATTGTGTATGTGAGAATAAAAATAATAGAGACCGAGGATACATTGACCCAACACAAGTCTATACCTCCTATTTACTTTGACCACCCTCCACGATGGCTTCCACAGCATCATTCTAGCAAAATTGAGGCGTCAATCCAAGTATGAGTTCGTTCAGATGAAAGACGGTGTCTTGATGTACAAGGACTATCGCGCAAACCATCATCAAGCACCAGGTTGGGATCCAACACCAGTGAGGTAGCAGGGACAACTTGCTGATCGAGTCATCACTACAGTCTCTGTTGATTGGGCTAAAAGAAGTGAGGACTGCCGTTCCTTGTCTTTGTCGGCCGGCTTTGTGTCGAAGTATCGACCTCGAGGCCCCTGGGCCCTCAAGATTGGCATCCCGGGCGTCAATCAAGGGGAAATTCAAGCAAGTGGAACAAAGAGAAATGACAATCTCATTGTTGGCTGCTGAATATGGAACGGGATCGAAGAATCTTTTCATCACGCCCCCGTCCGGTGCAGACAAGTGCGTCGATGGTGTTAGTCGATCGACTTCGGCTCCTGTTGAGACAGAAAGCCGAAATAGATCTTGTTTGATTCTACCCACAGGAACAAGGCCAAACAGAGGCTATTCTCACATCCACGACGCCACTAAACCCGCGAGTGACCAGGAGTCGCAGCGAGCACGATCGAACAGAGCGTCTCCATAAATTCCACCCTTGGTTTTGGACCGGTCGAGGTCGCCATATTGTCAATTCTCGTACATCATTGTCCGCTGCCATGTGCACCACCAGACGATATTTGTTTCTCTGCTCGCACCCAGCAACACATCGCTTCCGTAACACTGTCTGCGACGATCCAAGCGTGCGAGGATGTGTTGTCCAAGATTACAACGTGTACCTGAAACATCCTTGCCAAAAATGCGCCAACCGGGGTCCATCGGTAGGACATGTTTCCAGTGGAGGGCAACAATTCGCTTTTGAGGATACCTGGTACATCCCCAGTAGGTGCTTCGTGGATGTTGGTTTCCGCAATCTGAATCCATTCACCAGCGACGATCGAAGTACTGCATCGTCCCCGCCGCAATCACCGGTCGAGCCGCCAACGTCACATGCGACCTTAGCGTCACAGCCAACTCCCAACAGACTCACCCATACGGCGTGTGAGAAGCTTGTGCGACGGCTGACCACGCGGAAACCGGCGCCATGTTGCGCCAGGGAGGCCCAAACAGGCGCGTACCAGGCAGTACGAATCGAATGCCGGGACCATCGCAGTCGTGGAAGATTTCCGGAGAATCGGTCTGAATCTCCAATGTAGTATGGCTTGGAGACGTAGAAAATAGAAAAGGCTTCCGTTAGCCATTCAATTGGTCCTTGGGGACCCCTGGATTCGTGAGGATACCCTTGTTGAATGAGATAGGTATTCGTCTTTCATCCTCCTTTTGTCGGGCCTTCGACCTCAATTTCCACTGGAGCAGGCCTTGCCGGTTCACCTTGGGCGATGGCACTGCTCTGAGCTCCTGCCGCAGCCATGGCTTCCTTTTCATCATCGGCGCATCCGCAATCATAGAAGTCCCCAATGTTGGCACAATCGAATATGGGTTTGCCCTTTCTTTCGTTGACCAAGTTATGCACGAAACAAGCCCATGCTGCTGCGCTTGAACGCGAGGAGGTCTGAGGTGGGTATTTCTTGAGGATTTGTTGGAAGTGCTCGGCGCATTCGCCGCATGGGTAAAGGCGGGCGAAGAGGTACAGGTAGTTCTTCAGCGCGTCGCTCTCCTCTTGGGAAGGTTTGTCCGGAAATCGCGCCATCGTGGTATGAAGGACCTTCCATGCTGCCCGTCCCAATTCGGCTTTGAGGGTTTCGTTCCCTAGTTTCCCCATCACGGGTTGTCCAGCGACCACCGGCGGACTGGCCGCCGATGTGTCCTGTGTCTGGAACAATGGCTTGAATCGATCGGCGTGTGACAGAGCCGTCATTGTGCGTTGGTGATCGCTTGTCCATACGATGTACCAGATAAATAAGGCGAAGGCAGATATGACCACCATGATCGGCGGCGGTGCTCGAGGCATGGCGGGTAGTGAGGGACGGAAGGACGGGAGCGCTGAAGCTGGGACAGAACCAAAGAGGCGATGGTCTTCCGACTTTTGTCTGGCGAACAGGTGGCACACTACGGATGGGTGGCCATCAGAAGTGTTGTGTCACTGTGTGCAGCAAAGCAGTAAAGGGGCAGAGGCAGAGGCATAGGCATAGACTGGCTGGTGCTGGGGTTTGAAGCCATCGTCAGGAGACTCTCATCTTCAATTTCGGTACAGAAACACACCGGATATGTTCTTGTATCTGGTTGGTCAAGTAAAGTGGCAAGTGGGGCTTCCAGGAACGGACATTCGAACCTTCCTCCAAGGCTGACCAGCATCTATCGATCTCACGCTCCAAACATCTCTACTCTTGTCTCTCTAATACAGGGTCCCAGCCTCCGATCTCGCACAGACAAAGGAAAAAGTCTCTCTGCCCGCCGAATCAGACTTCGATGAAATAAATACTATTCCAGCGTTTCACAGGATCCATCTTCCCCAGAATTGACCCTTCATCTTGTGTTACGATCGACTGCTTACTACAATTTCCGAACAAGGTCGTCGTCTGCTTACGGCAGTGGAAGTGCTGACGGCGGTCGTGTGAGAAACCGCGCCCTCTTCAAAACCCTTCAACATCCTTTAAGGCCTCTATCCACCACCAGAAGCAGGTCTCTGCCGCAAATATACCGACAGTAGTCTCACCATCTTGCACAGCAACAGGGGTAGACAAACGCGACTGCTTTCTTGTCTTCGGCAAATCTTTGAGGATTGTAGATAGGATAATCGGTCAATTGCTATAGTATAGCAAGATGGCTCCTTTCCCGCCTCCCCCGGTCAACACCATTGGTAAGTCGAATTGGGATCACTTGGAGCTTGATTACTGGATGGTCTAACCACGGCTACAGACTGGAACAATGTCGGCTTCAAAGTCCGTGAGGTCAACGGCCACATCGAGTCGACCTTCAGCCATTCCTCGCCCAACCCATCATGGAGCAAACCACGCTTCGTCGCCTCTCCGCACCTGTCCATCCACGGCATGGCTCCTGGCTTGAACTACGGCGTGCAGTGCTACGAGGGCATGAAAGCCTTCCGTCAGCCCGATGGGAGCATCACCATCTTTCGACCCGACCGAAACGCCAAACGGATGCAGCGCTCGGCAGAGTTCATCTGCATTCCACCAGTCCCGGAAGAGCACTTCATAGAATGTGTCAACTTGGCCGTCGCCATGAATGCCGAGTTCGTTCCGCCACACGAGACCGGTGCCGCCATGTATATTCGTCCCCTGTTGTTTGGCTCCAGCGCTCAGCTCGGCCTCAATCCCCCAGATGAGTACACCTTTGTGGTCTTCGTTATGCCCACGGGCGTTTATCATGGCTCCCATGCCGTTGATGCGCTCATTCTCGAGGACTTCGACCGCTCCGCGCCAGAGGGCACGGGCAGCGTCAAACTCGGCGGCAACTATGCCCCTGTACTGCGCCACAGCGAAAAGGCCCACCAGGCCGGCTACGGCATCACCTTGCATCTTGACAGCAAGACGCGCACCGAGGTCGACGAGTTCTCGACTTCGGGTTTTATCGGGGTCCGCGTGGATGGTGACAAGACCACTGTCGCCGTGCCGGATAGCAAAAACGTTATCGAGTCCGTGACATCCGAATCCGCCTGTCAGATCGCAAGGGATGTTTTTGGGTACAAAGTCGAGAAACGTCCTATTAAATATGAGGAGCTGCCGGAGTTCAAGGAGATCATGGCTGCCGGAACCGCCGCGTCGCTCGTGCCCATCAAAAGCATCACTATGAAGTCCCGGGCTGACAAGTTCGAGTATCCCGTGAATGAGAAGCTGGAACCAGGCCCTGTCTGCACCCAACTGTTATCGACGCTGAAAGGCATCCAGCAAGGAAAAGTCAAGGACCAGTTTGGCTGGAACATGACTGTCACCGAGCCTCCCAGCGACTTTGTCAAGGCGTCCTCGAACGGCAGCCTCAACGGGGCCGTGGACCAGTTGCCATGAAGGACGATCGATCTGTGGGTCTCGTGGCATGCGGTGGCTCAGGCCAGCTATAAAATTGGAGGTTGATACTGTCCTCGTGCACAACGAACGCTCAAAAATGTGTAGATTATGATTGTCCCAAGCGGCAAAGCTCGAAGAATAAAATCCTGCATACAGTACTTCAGGCGTTATGCGCACTGTTACACTATCTATATAAAATTGGTTGAATGCAGGAGCGCGCACATGGTGAACCATGATGCTCCGCTGACTCGGGAAGTATCTGACGACTCTAGGAGGGCCACCGCAGAGTTTACCGGTATGCGCCTCGCGGACAAATGGAGTATTGAAACTGGGTATCGGTATCATGAATCGTTAAGCGTTGTTTGCGAAGAAGGTTCGCCTTATTGGGCTCATTCTGGCATAGGTAGCTGAAAGTCATCGTCGTTCAATTTGGTGTTTTCGAAAGGGAAAACTTCCGTGTCGAACAAATCACCCTCAGGCTCATCGCCGTCAACCTTCGAGGTGTCTTGTTCCAGCAGCTCGTACTCCTTGAGACGGAACCACATGTCGCTTTCCACAGGAGGCGAACCGTACCGATCGCGAAAATCCTTGGGATGAATGGAAGACTGGCTGATCTTTTTCGGTCTTGAAGTCAATCCACCTCCTCTCGCTTCACCTTGAGCTCCTGCCCCTTTTGGAACGATGGAAGGCGCTTTTCTCGCCTTGGGGAACCCAATGGTGTTTTTTGACACAGCAGCTTGGCTGGCGGCCCGCCCGGGCTGTGTTGACCATGAAGGGTGTGGCACTGTAGGATGCTTTCGGTTCACGATGGGGAGAATTCTTTTCTTCTTCTGTTCAGATGCTTGGGTGGCCTTCATAGCGGCGGCTGGTAGTCGTGGCTGCAATTCAGACAGTGCTGCAACAGCAGACCTGGCATTCATTGTGTCAACTCTTGATATTGGTGGGCTGTTCATTTGTGGCCCTGCCATAATCATAGCATCGACCTGCGCGTTCATTTCCTCTGTGGTCGGATACCTGGATTTGTGCCAGCTATCCAGAATCTCTTCCTCCAATTTTCTCTGGTGTTGAATGTGGTCATCCTCCTCTTTCCTCATTCGGAGTGAACTTCCATTCTCATCCTTCTGTGAATGGGAGTAGAGTTCGCCGTAGCTGCGCGAAAGCTCCTCTGTAAGGAGATGATCCTCGCTGAACTCCAGTGGGGGATCTGGCAGGTCGGCCGGAGGAGGCGGAGCGTATCCATAGTCTGGCTCTTCTTCTTGTGCACCGCGACTCGCCGAAAGAGTCGTCGTAACCTGCTCTGCAGGAGCAATTGCGATCTTGGAGCGCCCAGAACGACGTGCGGTAGTGGGTTTCAGGGCAGTGCGGCCTTGTTTCGAGGTTAGAGGTACCGGTGCAGGCGTCTGAAATACCTGGGCTTTCGCATTTGTGGTTTTCGCTCCGAGGGGTGCTCGATTACGAGGTGCTGGTCCGCTGTCAGCCACAGCTCGTGTGTAAACAATAACATATTTAGCCCTACCAAGGGGAGTAACAAATGAATTCTTATCTGGCCTGCTTGCAGCACCTTTGCCCACTGTCTTTTGACCCTTCAGATCTAGAGGACGGTTTTCGTCATTGGGCGCGACCCGGAAAGGGGTCTTCAGACCCCCGGGAGTCTTGGGATGAAGAGCTCGTAGGCCTTGATTGAGAGGCTTTCCGGCGGCGGCGGTTTGGCATGCGTGAACAAGATTCTCCTGATCCCTTGCGGCTAACATGGTTGTTGGGTCTTTAGATAGAGCACCAGGTAATGATTGTTCGTTGGAGAAGTCGTGGTTGCAAGGTTGTTGTTCAAAGCATGGTGTCGTTGACACGCGCAGGTACCTGTAGAATGGCAGAAGAGGATGTTGACATGGTTGTCCCCGCAACCGCTGAGGTAGGCGTGGCAGAAACCCCTGGCCTCCTGAATCCATGGATTATTCGGCACTGGGCGGCGGACAGTCCTGGAAGATGTGAAACGGGGCTTAAAACTCATAGAGGAAGCCTAGAGCCTTCGCCCAACGGCGGGCTAATGCCCCTAGGCTAAGGACAAGGCGCTCCCTAGCAGGCATATCAGGGTTCGAGACATCACCTCAGCCCGTGCAGTAGTGGTGGAGGGCTAAGGGGCCCCTAGGCTCTAGCCTGCACTATCCCCTCCATCTGGTAGTATGCTACTTTTAATCCTCGCCGGCGTCGACTCCTACGAACATCAAGTGACCGCCAGTCGATTCTCCCTTTGGACAACTTGCATCTGACTGCCGCCTTGCAATCTTTCATGACAACGGCCGCCTCGTTGTTATTCTTACCTCGTACTCACCTGGACGCCGCCTTCGATCTCACGTAGCACGACATTCACCATGGACCGGATCAAGGAGGTACGTGTCGGTCAGCTGCACCTTCCTCAACTGCATGTCCCCTTTGTGCAGGCACCACGCATTTCGATACTGCTACAACGGTCGCAGTCTGCCTCACCCAGCTCTGTTTTCAATACCTCGACTCTTTCTCTGCCATTCAATTAGAGCCAACGTCCTTCTTCCCCTCCATCCATCCACCAACGCTCGACCACAGCATCCGTCATGGCGTCCGCATTCGCTAACTTCCAACAGAAGATGAACTCTCTCCGCATCGAAGCGGATGAGAATGCTGCGAAGGCCGAAGAACTCAAATCCAAAGTCAAGCAGTTGGAGCAAGAAAACCTTCAGAAGGAGCAGGAAATCACTTCTTTGACACACCGCAACCAACTCCTTGAGGCCGAAGTCGAAAAGCTGGAAGTCGGCCTCAAAGAAGCCAAGACAGCTGCTGGTGAAGCATCGCAGCACGGTCAACAGAATGAGGCTCTCACCCGAAGACTTCAATTGCTCGAAGAAGAAGCCGAGGCCGCCGACAAGACTTTGAGAGAGACCAACGAAAAGTACGACCGCATCTACATGGGTGATTTGTGCTAATATTATCATCTAGGCTTCGGCAGACCGACGTCAAGGCTGGCCACTTTGAACGCAAAGTGCAAGCCCTTGAGCAGGCTCGAGACGAATGGGAAGCCAAGTACGAAGAAATGGCCAAGAAGCACGCAGACCTGCAAAAGGAACTGCAGGAATTGGAACAGAGCATGGGCAATATCTGATTGCGAGGGGATCAACTGTATTCTGGTTGCGTGAGAACTGACGACCACGTCTGGCAAGTGATTGAAGGCACGATGCATAGACCATGACACGCCTACGATACCATGGGCATTCAATACAGTGCGAGCGTTAAATGATTTGGTGGACGAGGGCATTTCTCAGCCAGCCCGCCGTTCTCGAGCTTGCCTCTGATTCTTGGATCTCTCTTTATTACGTGACGCTTTCCGCTCGGCTTTGCTCTCATACCGGAAACTCCTCCGCTTCTTTCTACTTTTGTCGGCACTACCATCAGGCTTCTCCTTTGTCCATGTCCGTTTCTTCTTCGCGGGTACCGAGTCTTCTGGTGGGGGCCCTGCTTGTTTCTCGTCTTCTCCACTGCCCGGACCATTCTGTGACATGAGAATGCCCTCACGGCTTACATCCATACTCTCGACTGTCACAGTTGTATACTTGTCTTCGTCGATATATTCTGCTTCATGGTCGATAGGCTCTGGATCTGGATCGGAAAGCCCAGTCCATTCGTCATTGGAATCTGTAGAAGAGCCGTTCGAGTCGCTGGTGGGGGACACCGGTCTGAGCAGGGCATTGACCTCCTGAACATGTCGCTCTAATTCTGCCTTTCGTTGTTCCCGCAGCTGGCGACTAGAGTCAGCAGGATGTTTTAAGAAATGAGATCCTTCACCCTACCTTTTTCCGCTCTACTATCCTTTCCGCCCTCGCTTTCTTCTCGGCGATTTCCTGTGCCTGCTTTGCCCTTTGCAGTTTCCGCTTGTGGAATCCGGTAAGATATTCCTGACGAGCGGCGGGATCGAAAGTGATCTCTTCAACGACGGTGGGTTCTGTTCGTCGGCGCTTAGTGGGCGGAGGCATATCTCTGGTGTATTTTCGAGTCTGAGGGGTACGCACGTTGCCTCTTCGCAGTTTTTGCTAGGAAAAGATATCGACATCTGCGTCGGCAATGTATGTCCTAGTAACACAAGAAAGTTTCGCCGCAAACCGATCAAACTTGCCAAGTATGACGGCGGAACTTTCCCGCTGCTATAACAAGCTCCCGTTCCTCTCATCCCGGCACCACTACTAGTTATCTCCAGGCTCGGTGGAGTTTCCATGCAACTTTTTGTTCGTACTTGGTGTCTTTCACGGAGGGGAACCCCTTGCCAGTCCGTGGCAAGGCTGGGCTATTTGATGATGTCTACGTTCCTCCTTCATGGCGCGCAACGTACAGCCCTGGCACTGGTCCTATCATGGTCCGTTGCCTTTGGGCTTCTCCTCGCCATCCATTCTTTATTGTTTCAGCAGCTACGTACTGAGTCGGACCAGTATGAGCATCAGAGCTAGACAGGCTATGACTCCCACCCAATTCAGGAGAGGTTACACTTATGGCAATGCATCAGGAGAACATGTTATGGCTAGTTTTCCGGGTGGATTCAGCAGTAGACCTGCTCTATGACGCCTGTCATTCAAGGCCAGGCCTTTCATAAGCCCTTTTCAGTATCTTTTCCAAGCTTTCATAAGTTTCGCGAACTGGCCCAGGCCATTTCCTGGCCATGCCGGCAACCGATCCGCATGCTGCTTGCGGGGTTTCCTTGCCGTGCTTGGCCCAAATCTGGGGTTCCGAACGTAGCAAACTGCCACGTCGTAGAAGTACAGCTTACGTTGTCTGCTGCAACGTTGCCGATGGAAGGCACTCTGCCACTTCCCTTGGGGGTATCAACAGTCTTCGAGAAGTTTGTCCGCTGAAGAGTCGGAAATATGCTCTTTGGGCGCGAACGACATGCTCTTTCGCGACACTCGAAAGTAGCGCGTGCATGGTAAAGGTTTGCCGTCAGCGTAGACGTTGGTGATGTCTGTTGCCCTATTGCAACAACGGTACCACATCTAACGGCCTCCAAATCCTGGAGGAGGGAAGCCCCTGCCCTGGCCCGGCGGTGGGCCTTGAAAGCCAGGAGGTGGCTGGAATCCCGCTGGAGGTCCGCCAGGTGGTGCGCCGAAACCTGGAGGCGGTCCTCCGAAACCCGGCGGTGGAATACCACCCGGGGGCGGAATTCCTCGACCGCCAAACCCTGGAGGCGGTGCTCCTCCTGGAAAACCACCTTGAGGAAATCCAAGACCCGCAGGTGGTGGTGGACCACCCATTCCCACGCCAGCTGCTGGGCCCCCTAAGCCTACCGGTAGCCCTCGACCAGCAGGTCTGGCTATTCCGGTCCCTGCTTGCAACGCACTTGGAGCTCCTCCAGGTGCCGATGTACCGAGGCGCGCAGAAGGGTCAGACGGTGGAGGGCCTTCGACACTACAACTGACAATGTTTGTTCCTCTGAGAATAACAAGACCCAAGGTGCGTTTTTCCTCGGTCTCCACCGCCGCAGCCGATCCAGAGGCTGCAGGGGCGGATGGCTTAGTTTGCTTGCGTTTGACCTTGCGGAACTCTTCGGTGTCTGCGAGAACGAGGTTCATGTGCTGTGTTGAAGATTTGATGTTAGAAATCGCATCTTCCAATATGCTGAAGCATAGGGTCAACATGAGTTTGAACTTACTTTGTCGAATGCAAGCATCTGTCCAGTCATCTGTCGGCCGTCGTTCATCGTCACGCGCATACGGTAGTTGATCTAAGCAGTAAGTTAGTATTCGTGGTCGAGGCTGCGCGGTCAGATGTATGGCATACCAGATTTTGCTATCACGAGTTAGTGTTGATGGTTCCCACCAAAAGAGAGGACAGCGAGGGAGCAACATACCATCTTCCCTTGCTTGTTCGCCATCTTTTGCGAATTTGCGCACGAGTGCGGCTTACTACTCGGGATGCGATGAAATAAACGTTAGGTTGAGTTGCTCAAAAAGTGGTTTCACGCGCAGTACTGAGCCGCAGCTCGACCACGTCCGCCAGACGATGGCTGCAACGCTCTTTGTAGGGACGCAGATGCAGGCCCGAACTGGCAATATTCTTTGAACTCGGAGAATACTTGAAGTGAGGTTGCTCAGGTCGGAGCGCAGTCGATCGCGAGGCTCAAAAAGGCTGCCAGCTGCGTCCACAGAGGCAACCCAAATAGGATTAGTGCATACCAAATCTTGGCGCGCCAAGGTCTTTCCGTGCAGTGTGCGCACTTCAGAATTTCTGACCTCCATCGTCAATCGTGCGAGTGGGAGCATCACCAAAGCACTCAAAGAAAGTCAACTCTGTCGCACTCGTTAAACCCTCCATCTGAGACCAATATTCAAGATGGCGGAAGGCAACGACAAGAGCTCGAACCCTATGCGAGAGCTGCGCATCGACAAGCTCGTCCTGAACATCTCAGTTGGCGAGTCTGGTGATCGTCTCACTCGTGCTGCGAAGGTGTTGGAACAATTGTCTGGTCAAACCCCCGTCTACAGTACGTATGATCCTTTCACGGCCTGCGCGTGGTAGGCCGCTGAGAGACCCCATTGGGCCCAATCTGACTCTCGTGTGCAGGCAAAGCACGATACACCGTGCGCTCGTTCGGTATCCGTCGTAACGAAAAGATTGCTGTCCACGTCACCGTTCGAGGCCCCAAGGCCGAAGAAATTCTCGAGCGTGGCCTCAAGGTCAAGGAATACGAACTTCGCCGCAAGAACTTCAGCGAGACCGGCAACTTCGGCTTTGGCATTTCCGAACATATCGATTTGGGTATCAAGTACGACCCTGCGATCGGTATCTATGGCATGGATTTCTACTGCTGCATGTCTCGACCGGGTGCAAGAGTGGCCAGACGGAGGCGCTGCAAGAACAAGGTCGGCCGCAGCCACAAGGTCACCAAGGACGACACTGTCAAATGGTTCAAGACTCGATTCGAGGGCATTGTGCGATAGACAGCCAGCCACATAATTGCTTTATGATGGACAAAAACAGGCATTCTTACGTCCTGGTGGCCAGCATTGAGCAGGAAGCTCATCGGCGGCGGCGGCGTCACGTCTGTTGAGGGAAATGATCTCGTTGATCTCGTTACGCTCTGTAGACCACATTCATGCTGCACCGCTGTCTGTGGCTTGAGGAGATCACAAGTCCTACTGAAGGCTTGCCCATGCTGCTTGTATCTTACGGCAAGACATGGACATGTTCCAGAGGGCTGGAATGCAACAAATTCTGATGAAAACCCCGGCGGGTCTTTGACGCCACTCTACATCTCGATCGGTTTTGTACTTGTCCATATGTGCCTGCACTATAGATTGACAGTTTCATCAATTGCTTGCACATGTGTCGCCAAAAGATCTCGTGACACCAGCCCAAATGCAGACCCTTCCCAACGCCATGCTACCCAAATCGTATATCCCAATTGGCATAATTCATAAACCCAACTCGCAAGGAAATTTTTGATGTCATATCTCCCGAAGCATGCGTTAGCGGATGTCATACCTAGATCACGTCCCAGATGCTCGATGATCCGCAGATGCCGTCGTTCCATGCTTGATAATCACGCTCGAGGCAAGACTGTTGCGTAGCCAAAATCGTCATTGGCTGGCCTGGTGGTGTTGATCTTCCGATATGGTATCGTCTTCAGTTTCCTGCGTAACTGGGGTGTTCGGTTCCGATGCGCCGGAAACACTGATGCTCGGGAGGATGAGTTGAGGTAATTGTGACACAGGGTTCCCTGGAGCACTACTTGACGTAGCAGCAGCACGGGCAGCCGCGTTGCTTGCTGCTCGTCGGGCCACAGCAAGCTCATACGCAGGAGCGTCGCCCCATTCATGAACCTCGTAGTCCGGAGGGCGGTTCACTCCCTCCATATCGCTCTGCAGAATCCGCGAATCACCGATATCATCTGACTCAGTGCTTTCATCCGGCGTGAACCTGTTCGCCGTGGGAGATGAGTTTGTAGTCCCGCTATGGGGACCATCGCTGTGGGAGCTGCGGGCGCGGGGTGAACCCGGGCGCGCTTGATGCTCCGCGTCCGAACCAAAGGTCGATAGACTATTTCCGCTGATGGATTGATCGCGAGTACGGGGTCGGGAGATTGTGGATGTCAAGGTCGCGTCGGAGAGTTGTCGAGGGCGTCCCTCTACCTCGCCCATGGGTGCGGCGCCGCTCAGCAAGCCACCTCGCTCCGATTCATTGCTGTTCGCGCGGAGCCGAGTCCCATCATGTCGAACCTCGCCCAGCAAACCATATGCGACACTCGTCACTTTTCTTTCTCGCCCGCGGGATTGGTGTTCGGCAAGCAGTGTCGCAGCAGAAACGGTCGCTCCACCGTTGACAGAAGTGGAACTCTGGTTGGCCCGTAACCGTGATTGTCGCCTCAATTCTTCTAGTCGTGCGCTATCTCCTCGTTCGCGTGCTTCCCTTCTCTCGCGCCGGCGCTCTTCTCGCTCAGCCACTTCGCGGCGCCGAGCTACACGGATTTGGTACAGAGACTCCATCAGGTCTTCGCGCCGTGTTTCCTCTTCGTCCTGGGTTTCGGGGAACTCGACCACTGTATCCATTCCCTCCCGTTCACCTTCTCGGCCCAAGACCTGCTCCGTATCTTTTGGAGTTCGGGAATAAGCAGGTAGAGTTATAACGCTTCTAACGCTGGTATTGCGGTCCACTCCTGCTGCGGGTGCGGCGGCTCCGATGTCGTTACCATTGTATGCCGTATTCGCGGACGACAGATCTCGGTTCCGAATTGCAGAGTACTTCCCGCCCGGACTCCAAGTGCGCCACTTCTTCTTCAGAAACTGTGTAGGGATGTAGCGAGGACTCTTTCCCTGGATTCTCCAGCGTCGTAGAAATGAGTAGAAGAGGATGGACAAGGTGACGAGAACGACGATGACAGCAACGCACTGCATGACCTTAGAAACCTGTTCATGGACGACTTGTAAAATACTCACTGCAACCGCCACAGCAGTGCCACTGACCCCTCCAGTGCCGCCGTTGTCTCGCCTGCCTTTGAGCGGCTGCTGCCGGGAAACCAACCGGTGTGACAATCTGCTCTTAGCCCTATATCTCTGAAAGTCTGAGACGACCGCCATGCCGATTATGATAACACGGAACTTTTGTTCAACTCAGGACCCGCAGGGAATGGCTAGACTACCGGGACATCTGATCAAAGCGGTGTATAGCCGGTTTTCCGAGAGGCCAAGTAGGCTCTGGTGGGAGGTGCATCGATTCACACCCGTCACATAAACAGAATATGCAGAAAACCAACTGTAGGGCAAATACAAGATGTAGGTAAGACTTGACGACGAAGGGGAGGTGTGAGATGTGGTAAGGACTGTGCAAGTACAATTATGCAGTCGTTGAACTGCCCAGCTTGAAACAAGGTAGCCTCCAAAAGTTGGAGCTGACCTCTAATAAAAGTGGTAAGCAGATGGTCGCCGCACAGCCGCGTCTAGCATTGCCTACTACTAGGAGGTACTAAGTAGTATTTAGTCATTTTAGTGCTGAGACAATTACTAGTAGTAGCAGGGATAGCATACTCATAACGCATCTCCTGAGTTTGGTATCGCTGTTCGCGTGATCCCCGTGCTTATGCCGAGTGAATTGCAACTGGACGACTGTTGAAGGACGGCCAGGGCAATGCATGTGCTGTCTAACGTAGCCTTCTGCTTGTTCCCGTAACCTTGGGCATTCTACCGAATCCTTAGTTCGCAAAAGTTGCCGACAGAACGAAGGGCTGACAGGCGGTAATAACGGGGTCTGGCAGGTTGCAACTGCAGGCTGCGCCTTGAAGCGGCGGGGGAGCTTTCGACGAACGGTCTGTAAGATGCCGCTTTTACAAGATGCCTCTAACCACATTCAGGTGTTTATTTGGATCATGTTTTCGTGCCCATCATGTTCCCGAGACTAGTACTTTACTTCTCATCATCCCCATCGATTGTTCAATATCGCACAGTAGACTCGACATTCGCAACCCTCCATGGCTCCTTCAAGGTTCGACCATGGTACCATCGGTACCAATTACAGCAGCATCCACTCCGCCGATGCTTTCGTAGGCGACTATCAGGTGCGACACATCCCTAAAGCATTTGACGAGGCTGAGCTGACTATGGCTTGTTAGGTCATGTACACTCCAGGCTCAACAACCCCTCCCCTCGATCGCATGCAAAAGAGACCGACTCGCTTTAGCAAAGTTGTGTCCTCAAAATCTCAAAATGCCAGCCAATCTTTCGTGCTTCCGGCCAACATACCAAACACCTCCCAGATAGTTGGAGACCACGGTTCGCTTCCCAACGTCCAGGTCCACTACACCATTCCTGCCGACGAGAAGCAAATCGTCGCGTCCTTACGCACTCTACAGCGCGATCTCAATGAAGCCGTGCAAACCATCAACTCTCTTACTAGGGAACGCGATGAGGCATTGCTCGAGCTTAGGTTGCTCCGAGCCTCCTCGAAGAAACAATCAACACCGGCAAAGAAGAACAGAGCATCGGTACGCGTGGAGGAAGAGCTCTTCGACCTTAGCCGTTCGATGGATCCACCTAAAAGATCTCCCGCGAGACGGACATCGACCAAGGATATCGCTGCGGAAACAAAACAGGCCAGCAAGACCACCAACTCTGACGACGCGCGAGTTCTGTCCCCAATCGCCATCAACCAAGCAACCTCGCCGACTCTTGAGAAACGACCGGTCAGTAAGGCCCATGTGCTTGCCAACAGCAAGTCTCGTTCCTACAAACGACCTGCCGTCAATGATACCGAGAACAGCGTGATCGATGATCCTACAGCCGCCTCCAACACCTCCCGCCGCCGTCGCTACTTGGCCCTAGACCAGAACATGACCTCTGCCTACATTCTACCTGATATCACTGTCAATCCGCAACAGAAATCAACGCGGGTCCATGTGTCATCGTCTGCTCAGAACGTGCTTCATAGGCATGACCCTGAACATGTGGGAAACTGTGCAGTGTGCCAGAGACTCACGGCGAAGAGAACAAAGCATGTGACGCACGAAGATTCCACGGCCGAAAAACCAGACTTTACTGCACAGATAACCCAGCTGATGAAAGATGCCATGCTGGAGGAGCCAACCATACGTCCCAAGATTTCCCCTTGGTTGGCACTTGCTAATGTCAAGAAGCTGCTTTCCGATCAATTCGATGAGGCCAAGCGAAAACATAGTCAGGCGTGGGAGAAGTACGATGCAATTGAAGCACCACTCAGCAGCAAGAAACATGCCGCAGCTAGTCAGGATCTCTTCTATTGGTCAAAGAAAATGGAGGAATGCAGAATCAACCTTGATCAGCTGAGAGACGTCGAGGAGGGTATGGGAGATCAACATGAGCCGTGATTTTCTGTTCTTTTTACGGGCAGAATCAACAGCCAGGATGTTGCTGAGTAGACCTGTTTGGGATCCTGCCAGTGTGCTGGCAACAGTCGCTGACGGTGACTGGTTGGGCTGGTGAGCGACTTGGGACTTAAGGCTGCGCATATTGTGGAGTTACCGCTACTTGTCGAAAGTATGGACGACGGATGATTAAATAAACCGCATCCTTAAGAATCGAGCATCAGGTTAAGGGCGAAGTTTCAAGTCCCGAACAAGTGGTTCCTTGGGCATGATCAGTGCAGTTTTGAATTTTGCATACGTTTTCCTCCACCATGCCGTGCTATCTAGCTTTGCCCATGCAATGAAATGCATGCCCACCATGGTGTGCGATCATGGACCCATGTACACATACATGCATTGCCGCTGTCTGCATGAGCCATTCGTTGGCTCCTCCAATGCAGCTCCGGCGACTGGTAAAATTGAAGCAATCGACTCATCCTCCGTGCGACATCGCTCCACGATCACTGCACAATTTCTTCTGTTTCCTCGATAACCTCTTCCACAACTTCTTCGACAATCTTTTCGCCATCTGCCTCGGCACTCCGCGTGCGTGAGAGCTGCAATTGAGCTTCTGGGTCTGGGAGTCCCAGAGCCTCTCTCTCCTGTCTGAGCAGCTCCTTCTCCTGGGCGACCCAACTGTACCATTCCTGGTACAGTCTCCGTCGGGTGTCGATGACGGCCTGGTTCGCTCCCTCCTCCAATTCTTTGTCCAACTCGTCGAACTCCTTGGAGTAGTCGCGCAGGTTTCGCCGGATGGCGCGCTGTTCCTCCTTGGACAATAAGGTCGGTGGTCGAGGGCGCCAAAGCAGCTGCTTGAATTTCTCCGTGGGCGCATCGTAAAGGAGTTGCCCGTAGAAGGTCCACAGCCGATAACCGTTTTCCATCTATGAGGTCACGGTCAGTGTGCACTTTGGGCTAAGCGGTCCTATTTATTGGGGCCTTACCTGGTGAGTCCAGACACTGGCACTCGTGACAACGTATCTGCCTGTGGGATCCCACTCGACGTCCGTCATGCCGTAATGGTCCTCGGTGTTCATAAGCATCAGGTTAGCGGCCAGATGAGCGTCACTTTCGGGCTTGTCGCCCTCATAGTCGAGATCATAGAAGTCAATGTCGGAGTGCTGCTGGACGCTGACGGTGGCTATGGCCACGAAGCGTCCCTTCGGCGACCAATAGATGCCATTGCTGTTCTTCTTGTCAAACGTGCGGACTTGTTTGAACGCACCAGTTCCTGCGCCTTTGACCTTTTCAGGGGCAAAGAATATGACGGCTGTTTTCGGCAAAGTATTGGAGCCAGCAACGGCTTCGCCTGCAGTAATCAACACAAAGCGATCGCCCTTCGGTTCCCAGGCAAAATTGATAACAGTTTCCTTGAGACTGTCCACGACTTCCACCGGCACCCCCTTCTCTTTTATGCGGAAGATTTCGAGGTTGGTGGCCAGGGACTTCTTAGACTTAGAGTGTCGATCCACCTTGACGCAGATAAATTTGGCCTCGGATTGCCAATGAAGTTTTGCATCGGTGACGTTGAAAAGATTTCGTGTGCGGACTATTTCCTTGCTGGGAACGGACATCAATGCTACCTTGGCTGGGTTCGAGCCGATTTCAGGTGTCCAGAAACAGAGCAACGACTCGTAGGTCTTGACGCCATCTCTTTGGGTGATTGCTGGAGCCCATTCAAAATCCATGACCCCTTCGATCTTCACGGACGTCTTGTCCAGCAGGTTCATCCGGGGGAGTTCGTAGATGGAGATACTCTCGTGCGGTTTCATCCTAGCCACGTATTTCTCGTCGGCAGACCATTTGAAGGCAGGCCATTGGACTTTGGCCTTGGGAGGGACCACACTGGGATCGGCACCGGGTGGAGGTGTAAGGTCGTAGGCAACGAAGGATCTGAGGGGCTTGCCCGTGGTGATGTCCCAGATAACGATGTGCTTGCCTTCTTCATCAATGGTCAGAGGTCCTCGTCCCTCTTCCACAGTGATGGGTTGATTCGACCAAGTTGTGAGATACTTTTCGCCAGGAGAAAACTCCATCAAGCTGACAAACGGATGAGGAAACTGTCGAACGCGTGTGAATGATGGTCCACCCCAGAGTTGGACACCCTGCTGATGGATAGAGGCCAAATATGTCCCTTGTGGAGACCATGAGACGAATAGTTGTGTCCAGTGCTTGCGATCGACGATAGGCTCGGGCGGTTCTTTCTTGCTGTTCCAATATACGCCGACATTATCACCCCGGAACATCACGAACTGGTCCCGAGCAGCCGGGTCGAAGAGCCAGGAACGAAGATGTTCCCTCTCCTGGAAAGGTTCGATCTCGGGTGGAACAAACTCTTCGTCTATCCGTCCTTCTCTTCCGTATTTTTCGATGTCTGTGAGTTTATTGACGGCGATGGTATGTTTCTTGTCAAGGGCTGTTCCGTGGAGTTGCTTGGTGGCGGCGACTGCCTGCTCCGGAGTCGAGTACTCAACGAATGCGAACCTATACCCGCATCAGACAGAGGCGAGCACGAGGCCCAAATGTTACTCACCCTTCGGACATTCCCTGTTCGTTCATAGGCATGAAGATAGACTCTTCGCCATCCTTTATCCTCCCCACCGAGTTTAGCCTCTTCAGCAAGAACTTGATGAGTTTCGGTTTCTGCTCTTCAGAGACGATCGGCAACCCATCGACGACCTATGCACCTTAGTATGATGGAAAGTATAGCCTCTGGCGAAAAACATACAACAAAGGTATCGAGACCCTCTTCCATTCGCACATCGAATCGTTCCTTCAGGTCGCTGAAGTCAATATCCTCGACATCGTCTTCGAAGTCGTGCTCGGAGAGCTTGTCGAAGCTGGGAGCCATTTTTGCGATAGTGACACCACGGCGGTGGCAGCTATGGAAAGATCGGTATGGTAAATGGCGAGCGTTGTTGTCGGCCTGCTGCTGGCTTCAGCAAATATTCGGCGGGAAGCGCAGGTTGTGGACACTGCAAGGGCCAAGATTTCTGCAGTCACGTGTTTGTTAGACAAAATGATGCACAGGTCACGTTGACTTGCCTGCATACCTGCTCTGTATGCTCCCCCGTAACCATCATAGCCTTGCTTAGTCAGCTGATTTCTTTCTCGTCACTGGATGGCGCCGGCAGACTTTCCAGATCCCGTCCAGTCAGTCGATCTCCCCCAGCTTCCCAGACTATTGCCAGACCCGTGCCAGTACGTGGGCACATGTTCCGCAGGCGGCGTCAAATAGTAGTCACTTCTACTCTTCCCAAGCCACCCTCTTTTTCGCGGGTTGCCACTGCACATCACTTAACGGCGTCCTCGTCTGTCATTTGTTCACTTGGTCTCACCTATATTGCTACGACTCATGATCTGGACACTATAAATCTTTTGGGGCCCAATTCAGGAAGCGAGTCTCCGCCGCACACGCCAACCCGGCAGGTCGATCACTGATGCTGGGTGAAGCGAGCAGATGTCTGATGACTTGCCGCTTAGGTTGATTCGTTCTCTGCGTCGCTACTGCGGGTGTTGCTCGGGAGGGATTGGTTCCCACAGATTAGGTCTTGTCTTTCCTACGACCGAGCACAATGTCTCGTAAGTGTCATGAGTTGTCTGCTTGGGTGATATTTGCTGATCCTTTACAAGTTCCCCAAAGCGTCCGCGCGCAGTACATCGCTGTTATAGATTCTATCCTCAATGAAGCTGATTTGACCACTATCACGAGAAAGAGCATCCGACAGGGAATACAAGATCGGGTTGATTACGATATTACTCCGCATAAGGTCGGTCTTCCAGAGTGGTCGGGAGGCCCTCGCATTGACCAAGTATTAGGCTGCTATAAAAGTCTTGATCGATGAGAGGTTCGACATCATCAACGCCCGGAAGAATGGCGAGTCTCCAGTGGTGCCCTCGGTTGAGCAGGCCGACCCCATGCCCACAGCAAACGGTGTTCACAAGCCGCCCGCGGACTCCCCGTCGACTTCACCTACGAAAAGGGGCACTAGCGACGCTGCCTCGGACGTCATAGACAGACCGCCCGCAAAGAAGAAGCGTAAAGCAAGTCTTGACGCCGACGCGGCATTTGCTGCTCGTCTTCAGGCGGAGGAAGACAAACTGGCTCGGCCTACACGAGGAGGCACCAGCAGAAAGGCTGCACCTGTGAAGAAAAAGAAGAAGAGACCGAAGAAGGAACCTGGGACAGGGTCTGATGATTCTGACCTCGACGAGGAGGGGCGTAAAGCCCAGAAACCGAAGCGCGAGACGGGATTCCATGTACGCCGCGCAGCTTTGGCTCTAGACATTGGCTGACAAGCAGCAGAAACCACTCAACCTATCTCCGGCATTGTCCAATTTCTTCGGCGAAACACAGGTAACTATGCTCGTCTGCTCCACATGGCAGAGGTACTGACCTGACCCTCCAGCTCTCACGCCCCGAGACCACAAAGAGAATGTGGGCTTATATCAAAGAAAACGACCTGCAGGACCCGAGTGACAAACGATACATCGTTTGTGATTCGAGAATGCGAGAAATCTTTCGACAAGACAAGGTGCACATGTTCACCATGACCAAATTGATCTCGCAACAAATGTACAACCCTGAGGACTGAGGTATTCTGCGCATCCTTCTGGGATGATAGCGATGCGCATGGCAGCTTCTCTACGATGATAATGATGAAGGCAGGACAATACCTGTTATTACGGCGGCATGGGCGATCGCGGCGAGATTGGCGTTTTCCCACAGAGCAGGAATTACTAGTAGCACAATCTACCGGCATCGCTGCGCGTACAGGCGTAGCACATGGAAGCCGTTTTACATGGCGCTGACTAAATAAATCGTCTTCTGGGCAGTAATCCGCATAACAGATCTGGGGGATCAGATCGCACGGGTTCTGCTTCCTGGCTACTGGTCGATCAGGAGCATCAGCCTTGCTGACTAAAGCGGGTCGATGGCCATCCTCGCCACTTTTCTAGATCATTCAGAGCAATGTTACTGGGAATGATTGACTGTTTCTTGAAATGAGATACTCTTTCAGCCGCGGCTCAGAAGTCGGCTTGTCCTCTAGAGTATTGTGGTACTTGTAGAGTCGTACGGCCAATCTTTTATCAGTCCTGGGGAATAAATTACTGACAATCACCAAGTGATAGACTACCAGCAATACCCCACACTGGCCTGCGACTTTTCTTCCTTCGTGAGGCCATACTGCAATTCAACCCATCCTCTAAACAATAAACGCCACCGCCCGATAACCCATCCGGCAGCCTTGCCTTGCTGACATTCATGCCAGAAGCAGCATCTCCCGCACGGGCTGCTGTGCCACAGCGAGCTGCACCGGCGGGGCGGGGTGACCGACTCAACCTAGGAGATCACAGTGGATCGCAGGCTTCACCAGACAATCGCGGTCGGGGTGCTGTCGCAAGAGCAGGGCGGGGTCATAGAGGAGGCCGGGGGAGAGCTCGCGGCCATGGACAAGGACGAAATACTTTGTCTTCTCAGATACCCCAGCTTGATCAAGCTGCAACAGATGACAGCTCGGGACGACCGCATGGGGGCGGCTTCGGTGCTCGCCTGACCGAAGCTGCCTCGAAATCTACAGGCGAATCGGATGAACCACAGTCACGGGAAAATAATACAGATGCTGAGACCGAGGATGCAGAGGTGTGCTTCATTTGTGCCAGCCCGATTGAGCATGTCTCGGTTGCACCTTGCAATCACCAGACGTGCCACATCTGCGCGTTGAGGCTGCGAGCGCTGTACAAAACACGGGCTTGTGCTCACTGCAGGGTGAGCTATGTCCTCCCCGCCCTGCGTCCATAATGTACTGACACTGCTCAGACAGAAGCACCCTTTGTGATTTTTACCGACAGTGCCGACAAGCGGTTCGAAGAATTCAAGGACAGCGACTTCGTCAAAATCGACGAGAACTTGGGCATCAAATATGAAAAGGATGTCATCTTTGAAGACACCATCCTGCTCCTCAGATATAACTGTCCCGACAAGGACTGCGACGTTGCATGCCGTGGATGGCCGGATCTGCATCGCCATGTCAAGACCAAGCACGGGAAAATGATGTGTGATTTATGCACAAGGAACAAGAAGGTTTTTACTCATGAACATGAATTGTTCACGCCTGGTGAGCTCCGAAAACATGAAAAATACGGGGATGACATGCCAGGAGCCGCCACCCAGTCTGGCTTTAAGGGACATCCTGAATGTGGCTTCTGCAAACAGAGATTCTACGGAGACGACGAACTCTACACTCACTGCCGCGAGAAGCACGAACGATGCCACATTTGTGACAGGCGCAATGGGGGCAGAAACCCTCAGTACTATCTCAATTACCAAGAATTGGAGAAGCATTTCGCAGCCGAGCACTTCGTATGTTTGGATGCCGAGTGTCAGGCAAACAAGACCAATGTCTTTGAGTCCGAAATAGATCTCAAGGCACATCAACTTTCCGAACATCCCAACGGGCTGTCGAAGGATGCGCGTAGAGATGCGCGACTGGTCAATCTATCTGGCTTCGAGATACGCACGCCGTATCAACCACAGCGGAGGGGCGGTCGAGAACGCGAATCTCACGGCAGTGGGAGGGGACGGGATCCAAATGCTGAACCGCTGCCCATGTCCAGTGCTCAGCCCATGAGCCGCGCCGAGCTGGCGTATCAGAGACAGCTCGCCATCCAGAGCTCGCAGTCTGTATCCAACAGGAGTTTTGGAGGCCAGCTCACACAGCCTACGCGTTCGCCACATGCGAATCGCGCTCAACCAGCCCCTCTGACGCAGCCATCAGCGTTGCCCGCTGTCGAAAACCTCACCCTGGGGTCCGATAACCCTCCGGCGGCGAACATGACACCCCAGGAGCAAGCTCGCGCGTTGCGGCACCAAGGTGTCGTCGAGCGGGCCTCGACACTCTTGAGGGGTGACAAGACTAAGCTTTCACAATTCCGCACACTTGTCTCCGCCTACCGCAGCGGCACAAGCTCGGCCACTGAGTTGATTGACGCATTCTTTTCTCTTTTCGACTGCCCCAGCACCGAGCTGGGCAAAGTCATCCGGGAACTCGCCGACCTGTACGAAGACGACGAGAAACGCCAATCCCTACTCCGTGCCTGGAATGATTGGCGCAGCATCAATGAAGATTACCCGAGCCTGCCAGGTCCAAGCGGGTCATTGCCGGGCCTTTCGAGCAGTGGTGCGGCCTCGGGTAGTGGCAGACGCGTCCTGACTCTGAAGAAGAGTACGGCCCAGTCGTCTCGTTCGGCAGTCTCAAGGCAAGGCTCCTGGGGCAATGCCTTGACTAATGGTTCAAGTCGAGACCCGTTTCCTGCTTTGTCCTCTGCCAATAGTGGTGCTCGCAGAACGGCTCCAGGGGCAGGAACACAGCTGGCCTGGGGCAATACCTCTGCGCCGCAAGTTTCTAGAACGACACCGAGCAGCGCACCTGTGTCCCGTCCTACGCCGACAACAGCATCCACTCTCCGTCAATCCACGCGCAACAACCCGCCGCCAAGGCAGACTGAGGATATGTTCCCATCACTGCCGGCCGCGCCGAAGCCCAATACCATGATGCCGGGTTTCAATACACGCGGCTCCGTCCGCTGGCTCAACTCAAGCCGTAACTCCCCGTCTGGCTCGGGAACAACCACTCCGGCAAATGCATGGGCCAACGGGGGTTTGACACCGACCCCTGCTCAGGCAGCTGCCGTCGCAGCGTCTACTACTGGAAGCTCCGGGTCTGTTGGCGCCGTTAGTGGTGATGCCAATGGCGGTGATGATGCAGTGACCAAGAAGAAGACCAAAAAGGTCAAGAAGGGCGAAACCCTCTTCCATTTCGGATAAAGCGACATGAGCATCAGTTTAATCCTGTCTTGCATCATATGGGCAGCTCCGCTTTGAACGTCGTTGGTGTGGCATGAGGTATGAAGGCTTACCTGCAAATACAAATACCCAGTTTGACAGCCGAAACGCCCGAAAATTGAACCAGATGTGAGCATATCTGCCGACACATTGGTTTTCTGGATCCTTTTACGACATGCTAGCGAGCCTCAACTATGCGGATGACACAAACCCCAGATAGTCGTTCTAGTGGCACTGGCCATGTCGGAGGATTGAACTCCTCAATCTGGTAGGATGCCTTGGGTAGGCACCTTGGGCTGTACCTAGGTGACCACTTTCGTGGTCGTCACATGTACCAAATTTGTAGAAGTGCAGGCCTCAGGAACATTCCTCGATGTGCAGATGTTGCATGCTATTTTTTATCACCCGGGCAGTGTTACTCTGGCCTGAAATCGAGACAAGGGAAAGACATACCTTTTGTTTGCGTCGATGACATCTCATGTATACAATCCCTAGACACGGTCGCTTCGTATATTGCCTGGTAGACATTGTTTAGAAGATGACAAGATGAGATGGACAGCTCAACGGCAGATACCAACTTTTCCGGCTAGCACCGGGGAGAGCCTCCTAGGAGAATTAAGAGGAACCATAAATATCTGGTCGGTTGATCGTGCCACCCTCATCAGTCCAACTTGGAGGTCGAGACACCCCGTTGCACGACGTGCGCAGCCTCGCACGTGATCAGGGATTAGTAACTATGTGGTCTGCGGTCTTGAAGTCCGATGATTGGCTCTTTTCAAACAGTCAAACCAACCCCTTTACAACGCTTTGGTGACAAGGCTGACACACCACCTTGTTTCCACTATGCTACAAGTAACCACCTTCTGCAAGTCTCAATGGGGCCTCATCTGAAGCGGTACATTCTGCTATCTGAGTTACGTATGACTACCTCCATCTCCATGGTCCAGCTCCAGTCGGGACGTATTCGTTGCTCAGGATTCATCGCACGCCAACGCTAACCTAGGCACCCTTGACCTTTCGCACAACAAGCGTCCCCTGGTCGTCCTATTCCTCGCTCGGCTCAATAGTCGCTTCCTTGGTTGAAGTGTAATCGCGGTCGTAGCGGAGGTCTGCGCCGTAGAGATCGGCATCTTTCTTCAATTCGCTCGCAGCTTTGAAGGCACTTTTGATATCCGCGAATTCAATCGACACGTAACCATCCCAAGTCCAACTGTACTCCACCACTTGACGATGGAGATCAAAGCGAGTCAGCTTTCCAGGAAGCAGGCCAAACAGATAATCATTGACATTGCCGATCAACAGGATCCGGCTGGCCTCCTCTTCGCCCCAGATAGCATCATCAATGTCACCGCTGAGTGGGTATGTGGGATCAATTGGTTTCCACACTCGAACTTGAACTCCTTTGATGCTAAGTGGCTCTTTCTGATGGTCTTCTTTCATTTCATCAGCCGCCGCCTCGTAACAAAATACCACTCGAGCAGTCATGGTGGAAGTGACCCGACCAATGGGCGGGAGGAGCTGAATGGATTCCAAGGCGCCACTGTGGATCTTGGCGAGGACATCTTTCATGGTCGTGCCAACAGGGATATTGTCAATCATGACCGTACGGTATGCGTTGCGGTCACTCACCGCATCCTCGGGCAGATAGCGGACAGGGTGGGCGGGGAAAGGACTGTTTCTATACCAAGGCAGGCCCGACTCTTTGACAGCTTCCCATATTTCCTCCTCACTGTCGAAGATTGGATTCTCTTTATTTAGCAGCCATTTTGGGTGTCCGTCAAAGTTGCCAGGAAGTTGCACAGGGACACTTTGGTAGTTGCGGCTGTTTTGAGCACAATCGAAAGTTGCCACCTTGGTGTGGGATGGGGTATGGGGTTGATTGCTGTTGCCTTCACATGATAGTATTTGGCGCAAGTTGTCGTTGTTGTGATTGCCGTTGACCGCAGCCGCGCCCGCACCTGCACCGATGTCTGAATCTGATTCTGCCTCGTTTGAGAAATGAAGGTCGTCAATCTTCTGGAAAGCCATCTTCTTGCCGGAACTGTTCGACTGATGCGCCTAGTTAGTCAATCCCACAAAGACATGACACTGAGGCAAACCTGATCTTTCAGAACCTCCTGCTCTTTTGCTGGAAATCTACGCCCGTATTTATTGACGAAGGAGGTTGGCTAGATGAATGTTAGTGAACCACAGGAAGTGAACAAGGGGAGAAAGAAAGTGAAAGGTACCAATTGTAGAATAGGGGTTTCGGCGGTCTACTTCAGTTAGTGACTTTCTCTTCACCTTTCGAGGTAGGAGTTTTCACCGGAAGAAGAGGCTTTGAAGGTGCAGCAACAACAGAGAGATTGCCGGTATCACCAGTGTGATTGCACCCATGGCACGAACCGGTTTGCACATCTTTGTCCTCCTTGACCTCTTCCAAACTTTCACCAGACTCGGTCTCAGGAGTGATGTTGATGAGCTTGTTGCCGTCTGCAATTGACTTTGCCGGTGTGGTCGGCGTTGTCTGGCTACCTCTAAGGTCTTCAGCGATAGAGAATTGCTTTCGCAGAGTTTGACGCAACGCAGAGATTGGGGAGCCGTCGTCGTGAGAACTGGTCAACAATTCAAAATTGTAAAGCTGAGTTTCGTCGACTTTCATACTGTTCGCCGAGGCAGTGGCGGGTTTGTTCGCGGGACATGCCAGATCTTCGACATTCTCCCGGAGTCTAGATTCCGCGGGCAGGCCAGTCGATTCCACGCCTTTTGCAAGATGGGGGTTGCTGCGGTAGAAGTCATGCAAAGCAGCTTCTTCCATGTCCTTGGCAGAACAAGCCGCCTTGTCTCTGGAAGGAGCTTCATCATTGTCCTTGTTCAAGTTATGCTTGATTATGGCGCCCAAGTTGTTCACAGTGACGGTGAGACGCGATATTTGCTGCTGGTGCTTTTTGATTTGGTCTTCCAATTGTATGGATCGCTCGACTTCCTTTCTCAAGGCTGATCTTGTCACATTGTGTGCCTGCTGCTCATTGACCAAAGCGAGGCCCAAGGATTCGTTGAGAGTTGTAGTTGGTACGAAGGCCGCAGCCGTTGGGTCCATGTTTGGGATCTCAACTGCTGAGTGAGAGGGATCCTGAAACTGCATCAACTGTCAGCATTGTTAAAGGATCAGCAACAGTAGGACTATGGCCAATGTAATGGGGGTGCGCCAGTGAAGATACTTACGTGCCAAAACTGGTTTGCATATTGGAGTGTCTGCGCAGGGGTGACCTCTTGCCCGTCTATCACGGATTGACCTTGCTTGGTTGGACTTTTGGCAGCGCCTTCAACAGCAGAACGAAGAGCCGCAGGGCCTAACCGCAGACGCGACTCAGCCAGGTCAGGCTTGATGTGCTTGTTGAAGAAATCTGTATCTGTCGAACCAACTTGTGGAGCTGCAGTCATGATCGAATTTGCAAAATCTCCGGTGACTGAGTTAGCGGTGACATGTCTGGATGCTTCAGCTCGACGCAGGCTCTCAGCAAGTTGTTGCTTCAGGTAGTTTGTGGCAATAGAATCAATGGATTGAATATTGTCAACCGGCGTGAATTTGAAACTGCCCAGCTGGGATTGATTCAAGTCCTGTCTCTCCATGGGAGGATAGTTGAGCAGACGCTCAGAGGGCTTGATCGCGGCCATGAGAGCTGGGTTCTGAACAGAGAGTGCGGATGATGCACATATGAACGAATGAGGCAGCAGAGAGACGCGAGACAAGGAGGAGCTTGCGAATGAAGAGGCAATGCAGGTTGATATGCAATGAGCAGTCAGTGTGAGATGAGGCGTGTGGAAGATGTCGCGGATGGGTGAGGAAAGAGAAAGACAGAACGCAGCTGCGCCCTTTACTCACCGCGCCTCACAATCTGACTGACACAGGCTGCGGTGTTCAAGTATTGCCCATGTCTTCAAGTTCTTCGACCATCGTCGACAAGGTACCGTCAGTCTCCTAAATGGTCGATCATCATCGTCCTCCTCCAGTCTCTCCATGTACTTAGTCACTCATGGGCATTTCTTCCAGTGTATGTTCCATGATCCATCAGACAGTCTCACGCCTTTTCCATCCCAGTCAGTCATTCCAGTATGCCACGTACCCTTAATATCTCAGACTATTACCGTGAGTTGACAACTTGTATAGCTGGCTCAGCATGACAACAGCTGACAGGACTTCTGCAAGGAGACATTCAGACAGTCCGGCGCTGGTCTTTCCCAAAGTCTTCCAATCGCTTGCAAACTGTGCAGCTCACTGCTTCAGTGTAGACCCCCAGATCTGCGTGGAATCACATTGAAGGTGCGCAATCAAGTCATCAAACAATATTGCGCAGTGGCCTGTTCTCGGTGTTGTCACGTTGAAGACCACATGAGCCACAATGCGGACAGTGCGCGCTTGAGGCTCGGCCCATAGAAGGCTGATGGACCGTCAGGAGAACAACGACGACAGTATGCAGTTCGCCAGGTTTGTCCCGCAGCAATAGCATCATGTCTCTCTACCGGTCATCAACGCTGCTGGACTATACGATGCTGACTGGGGAGGTGAACAGAACAAAGCAGGGCGAGCAGAATCGGTACGCACCGAGACAAAACAAACAAACTAGGGATTTGACTGGTAATTATAAAATGAACGGACAACAAATTCAACACCTCACGTATGGCATCGGGTGATTGACTCGCGAGCAGATGCTCGTCACCGCATAGATTGCCCGGAGCGCGAGCCAGCGATGCCCAAGCAACCACTCACCAGAAGAGGGCAACCTAGGTACGGATCAAAGGGAACAATGTCATGTTGATCATTCGCTGGACAACCTTGTACGACTTGCTCAATTTTTTGGCCATCCACGATCATCATCGGCGCCTCCGTAGGCCATCCGACAGGCTGATTGTCCATACGGCAGATGGCCGAGCAAAACCGCCTAAGCCCGGGCGATCCAAGGGCTAAGGCTAAGGAGGCTGTCGTGGCGGTGGTGAAGCAGTCTTAGCATCGCCTGGACATCGCATGCTTGGTTGCCAATTCTCTCCAAGTTGGTGGCAACCGCACTGGCATGTTACACCGTTACACCAGAGCCGTTCTCTACATACAAGATACCCCACCACTCCACTCTTTGCTCCTCGATTCAGTGCTTGGAGAGATAGGTCAGATGAACAAGCAGGACCACTCCATGCCTGCCCCGGACTCCAGCCTGATGGCCTGACGTCGATGTTGATGTCGATGGGCCGTTCGTCCAGTCACCCTGGCATCTCCCTCCATCCTCGAGATGCCTATGGAGCCGGACACCCATGTCAAGTCCTTGCAAGTCCAACAGCCGGCTACCATCAGCACCTTCGCCTACTATGCGTCGCCAACTCCTCATGTTAGCGCACCACCGAGGCAATTCGCAGTATTTATGCCGTGCCCTCCCCCCTTGACCTTCCTTCTCCGTATCCCTTTTACTTCCCCGCCGTCTTGTCATTATGGAGAAAAATGAATTGAAGACCACGGATTCGGATAACGGACACTCACCGTCAGAGACAGAGAAACACTTAGAACATGGTGTCCCCGTTGACGCTGTCAACCTTCCCGACCCAGATGAGGGTCTGAGTGAAGAGGAGAGGAAGCGCATCGTATGTCATGTTACTTTTGTGACAAGTCTCCCATGCTAACTTGAGCAGGATCGGGCACTCCTATGGAAGCTCGATCTCAGACTCATTCCCTGGCTTTCCCTGCTGTACCTCATGTCCTTTCTGGACCGAACAAACATTGGCAATGCTAAAATCGATGGCCTTCAAGAGGATTTGAACATGAGCAACAATCAATACAACGCCACCCTGACCATTTTCTTCATCTCTTATTCCGTCTTCGAGCCCTTGACACAGGTTCTTCTCAAGCGATTCAGACCGTCCGTCTTCCTGCCTGTCATTATGATTCTTTGGGGAATCTGTATGACCTGCATGGGTCTGGTCCACAACTTTTCCGGTCTCATGGCTGCTCGATGGTTCCTAGGTCTCACCGAGGCTGGGCTCTTCCCGGGTAAAGACCTGTACCCGACGTTCTATCCTCGCCCAGACTAATACTTCTATAGGAGTGAACTATTATTTGAGCTGTTGGTATAGAAGATCCGAATTCGGTGTCCGAGCGGCCATATTTTTCAGCGCAGCTGCCCTTGCCGGATCTTTCGGTGGTCTCCTGGCGGCCGCCATCGTCAACATGGACGGAGTTGGTGGCAAACCCGGATGGGCTTGGATTTTTATCCTTGAAGGATTGGCCACGGTTGTCGTAGCTACTCTTTCCTTCTGGATGGCACGTTCATGCTCTACTGAAAAGATGGATCTTCAGCTAACCATCTGCCAGGTGCATGACTTTCCTGATGAAGCCAAGTTTCTTTCCGAAGACGACCGCCGTCGCGTGATTCGTCGTCTCAAACTCGACCAGCAATCCAGCGCTGAGCATGAGGAGTTCAAGCTGGATTATCTCTGGGCCAGTTTGAAAGACTGGAAGACGTACACAGGAATGATGATATACATGGGTGTTGACGGTGCCCTCTACGCGTTCAGCCTCTTCCTACCAACAATTGTGCAGCAGATGGGCTACAAGAGCATCCACGCGCAGCTTCTCAGTGTCCCACCCTACGCTGTAGCTGCGGTGGTCACCATCTTCATAGGCTTCGTTGCGGACAGGACGCGGATGCGCGGTGAGTTTGAGACGTTCACGGGCTCTACATGGTCATTCTTACTGATGTCGCAAAGGATACTGTAACATGGTCATGTCCCTCTTCGGAATCGTCGGTTTCGCCATGCTCCTCGGCTCCGGCTCACCACATGTCCAATATGCTGGCACTTTCCTCGGCGCTATGGGGATATATCCTTGCATCCCGAACACGATCTCCTGGACAGCAAACAACGTCGAGGGTGTGTACAAACGAGGCATCTCATTGGGATTTGTGATTGGATGGGGCAATCTCAACGGTCAGTTTTGATCCTGCGCATTACATGTTTGTCCCCAGTCTCCAACCGACCTTGCTGATTCATCCCAAAGGTATTGTGTCATCAAATATTTATCGAGCCGAAGACAAGCCAAGATACAAGCCAGGGCACGCCGTCGTCTTAGCCTATGAAGCGATATTTCTTCTTGGAGGTAGTGTTCTTCAACACGTCCTGCTCCGGCGCGAGAATGCAAAGCGTAGGAATGGCGAACGGAATAACTGGGTTGAGGGTAAGACAGAAGCGGAGATCGAAAAGCTGGGTGACAAGAGACCTGACTTCCTTTACACGTTGTAAAGGTTGTCACCCCTTCTGCTCCTCCTGCCTTGTGTGAGGAGGGGCGGAGGGTGCTTAGTTATGACTATGAAGAATGAATTTCTGCCAATGGATATAAACCATAGAGCAGACCATCAGCGATGTTTTGATGCGACGGCAACGCCGGTCTCGATCTTGTAATGAGTAGATATCCACGTCAACGAAGACGAGAAAAGCGGGTGGTTCTTTGCTGTACGTGGAAAAGTGAAAGTCGAGGATCGTTCAGAATCATTCTAGATTCTCATCTGATATGTGGCCTGGTCCTGACAGCCGTTTTCCTTGTTATTTGGCGCCGGAAGAAAGGGTATCGACAGCACTTTTCGGCCGGCGGCTGTACCATGTATCACAGAAGGAGGTGTCTGCCCAACTGTCAATGACAACGTGCCCTGGGGTTCCTTAGTTTGGGCGACGAACCCCGATTTGAAAGCAGAAAGCGGCGTTCGATAGCCCTGACCGTTCATTCAGGGTACCGGGAAAGCCAAGCGGACAGACACTGCGGCGGGCGGGCTGGGATATCCAGGACTGGGAGGGCTTTTCCATGCACGAGTCTGGCCAGAGGCATACCAGGTTGCCCCGAGTAGACATTCTGAAGAACAGTCTGATCCGCCTTAACGAGGAAGAAATATTGGAGAAACATGCAAAGACATAGAAGGATCAGGGTTAGCGACAATGTGTCTTTCCAAAAGAGCAGGACCGCAGGCAGATTCTGGGTTTGCAAGTCCCATTCATTCCCTCGTCAAGTTGGGATATGTGGACCTTTCACCGCTCATCACCAAGATATTGAGCTCGACATAAAGTGGTAACGCTGGTTCGGAGAAAAGGGATTTGAGTCCGAGTATTCATGACATGATACATTACTATGTACCCTGAGGCATTGGGCTACGGCGCTGGTACATGACCAGGTGCACCGATTCACGCCATCCATTTTCATCAGCTATTAACAGTTAGTCCATATCCCTACCCTTTGAAACAGGTATGCCGAGCCATCCTCGAACATATGCAGTAGTGATGGGAAATCAGTGAACATACCAATCATAAAGACGGCGACGAGCTTCACGGAACGCTTCAACGCCGAGTTTATCTATATATTTCACTGCTGCTTCTTTCCAGCCAGCGCACCGGTCTCCTTGTCAAAAGCAGCATAGGTGACTTGAAGAGAGGCGACAGCCGAAATGGCCACGTAAAGGATCGAGAGGAGAAGGAATCCGACGAGAAAGCTCATGTAAATACCTGCAACAGATTAGCCGCCAGCATCTCGAAGCAATGGAGGGAATGTCGATACCGGGTGTGAAGAACTGGTATTTGTCAAACAGTGGCCCGTCAATCATGGTCTGGTTTCCTGTCCGGTTGGCTGCGTGAGCACCGAGATCTCTCCTCAGGTCCAGATGCAGAGAATCTTGAATGGGCGAGTCCATGTCGTATTCCGTCTTCTCAAGCTGTTGGGCCATGAGAGACCCATCCTGGGCCCGCGTCGTCGTGTAGAGGACGGTGTAATTCTGGGTGGACAGCAGATCGAGGATTGAGGCGAAGAAGGCATCGTTCGAGGCAAGATGTTTGGCCCTTGATTCCGACGGCGGTGCAGGCAGGTTAACCTTGATCAGCCGGGGAGTAGGCGTCAGGGTTGTAGGGATGAAGCCTTCCGAGGCATCGATTTCAGTGGTCTTGACGCCACACTTTTCGTGGAGGACCTCAATCCAGGCTGAAGGTGTAATGGTACCCTGCACATCTGGGACTACCATGCTACTTCGGACGCCGACCCGAGGATGTGTTCCCGACAGTGATCTTGCCAGAGCTGGTGTCGATTTGATCGATTCATAGTCCCTGCCACTGACGCCTTGTTGAGAGACCAAGATATAGTAGTCTGAGGGGCATTGGGACAAGGACAGAGCAACGTCTGAGATCACCGAGGAGGCGGGTTGTAGTTCGGAGGAGGAGGTCAAGAGTCTGCAGAAGATTGTCAGCGTTGGACGGTGGCCAGCTGTATGAATGCTTGAAGAAGACCTACTCGGAGGTCGAGAACATGAAAAAGGGTGTGGTGTCGAGGTAGCCATGGGCGCATTCGGCAGCCAGCGCCAAAGCGCAAAGGCCGAATAGACGCATGGCTTTTTTCGACAACGGACTATGAAGTTGCGTTGAGGGATTGCAGAGTGGAAGCTCAGTGATGCATTACCGCAGATGGCGCATGTACTGTGATACTTAGGTAGTAGTATCATACTACTAGTGATAGTATGGAGACGCAGCAACCGACAAGGAGAGGAATGCAGGTTAGTCATGCTAAAGATCACGTGATGGAGTTCATGATTCATTGTGATAATAGCGGCTTGGCACCGTATTATCAGCCATATAAGCGACTACCGTGACAATACTCGAATCTCTCGAGTATTGCCAGTACCTTTGGTTTTGGCGCACTACTGTACCGGTAGCCCAGTAGTCACATCATGTTCGTTGTCTCAAGCATGCAGCCAATAATACAAGGCTCCCAATGTCATGGCAAGGCTGTACAGAGCAAGTCAGATACCTGAGTACTGAATGAGCCAGGTACGAATACTGCTAGTAGAGTAGTAGGTCCTCTACTACTAGGATGCTAGTAGCCGACATCCCCTATTATCTGACGTCCAAGAACTACTTTCGAATATTGGCTGAGAAGGTTGGTATTTCAATTGTCGTGTGCAAAATGTCGGCTTCCTGCAGATGCTCACGGCAATCTCCCCGCCTAGGTCTGCTTCCCTGGGCGCTGCCAGGAGCCTTTGAGAACATCAACACCAGAGAAGCCTCCGACGATGAAATCATCGCACATGAGAATTGAGCGGAGGATTTCTCTAGCAAACGATTCCCAAGGCTCCGAGAGACAACCCCCATCCATTCAACGCCGGGGATCGGTCTTCATGAGAAGTCGTCCATCGCCTTGTCCGTCAACTGGACTCCCCGTGTGGTTGCTGCCGAACCCTGGTTATCCATTCCACTTTGGTTGATCCTCCGGCTCATACTTCCCGTTCCGGCACCGCCCACTGGTTTCCGCTCACTGGCTGCTCCGTTCTTTTTCAGAGAGCCAACTCTTGAGCCTTGCCCTTGCTCTCTCGATGCCGACACTGACGGCTCCTCCTCCTGGCTGTCATCGTCGGGCGGTGGTGGGATATGTGGGCCAGGACCACCACCGCTGAAGGCACCTGGCATGTCTAGGATTCCCGGAGATGATGTTCCTAGTCCGTTCATTGTGGAATCGGAGGGTTCGAGTTTTGTGGCGGAATTTCTCTCTACCGCCGTCTGGTTTCTGGCATGGATGGGCGATCCTTCGATGCTCCCAGGTACTTCCAGACTGATTCGCTTTCCGGCGGGCAAGCCAACTGCGCTGACACTTCGGCCGTGCTCTGTCCTGGGGCTCGCAACCACGGGGAATCGGCCCAAACTTCCATCCGTACTTTTGTCACGTCTGTGCCGGCTGCTTGGTGCCGGGCTTTTGTCTCGTTGTCTCTGCTCTGTGATGGCTCGTGCCCTCGCCTCCATAGCAGCCCTTCGTGAGCTTTCATCGGTATTGCTGACCGCTCTCTGCCGCTGTGAAACGCTGGTAGATACAGAGCGAGTGGAGGATTGGCGTTTGAGTTCACCAAAGATGGCCTCTTTATGATCTAAAAGATCTCGAACGAGCCGGTACGGATGACGCTCTTCCAATGTAAGGGAATTCTCTATCCGCGGTCTCAGAATACAAGGAGCCAGGCATTGGGCCAGGGCAGTCACGTAGGCTTCGTCCGCTGAGGTGAGGTCGATCAGCCGAGTGAAATGTGTTATGATAGCATCCAAAGTTGCAATGTTGTTGAGACGGAGCTGACCTAGAGTCGATTGTAGCACCTTGATCCTTGGTGTAGCATCGATCGAGTCGCTGGAGATGGGGTTGGGAAGCGCGTCGGGCGTCGTTGCGTAGATTGTCTTGATGATCTCGTACACCTGTGCAGAAACAAGCGAGTCTGACGGGTTAGCATAAGCGAAATGACACTGAGAAGGACAACTCACCCGGTAGTTCGAGCAGGTATAACTTCAAGACGCTTGCTACGATGGGCACTTCATATCTCTCCAATACCCCTGCCGGTATCGGTGCTCCATTGTTGATTTGATTCCTTAAATGGTGCGTTGCTGCCAAAGGGACATCGACAAGCCAGATGTTTCTCCGGGCTCCATCACCTTCAAGGTCTGGATAATGGTTGTCGAGGAAAGTCAAGATCGAAGTGACGATTATGGGTACCCGTTTCCGGTCCGCTCTCGCTCTAGCTTCCAAGTCAACGCCAAACGTCTGTTCGTCCACGGTCCCGTAGTAGTTCTCGTAGGGTGTGACCTTGGGGATGTAAGCCCCCGTTCTGTAATTCTCCAGAAAGTAACGCAGGTCGCCGAGAGGCTGAATAGTTTCTTGATAGAGCATCATATGGTCGACTTGGCTTTGAAACGATGGGATGCTGTTGCTGATGGCGCCAGAAAAGTCAAGGATCACGGCCTTGATGGCCCGGAGCCGGTCTGTTTCACATCGTTCTAAGAACTTCAAGTGATCCATTATCGATTCTTCCAGATTGCATCGGAGCAAATCAAGTTTCCGCACTGCAGCCTTGTACTTCTCATCCGCTTCTCGAGCCTCACGTCGTAGGCGCTCGGCGGGCGTCTCGTTCGGGTAAGGGTTGTTCAGGGGGTTCCACGTCTGCAGAGTCTCTGTAATGGTTCCAATTGTGGGTGATTCTAGAAGACCCTCCATTGACGAGCCCGTTGTCGAGCGTCCAAGAGCCTTCTTCTTTTCGGGCACGCCTGTGATCTGGAAGACCCGAGGTTTCCACTGATACTTCAACTTCGAACTGTTCGCAAATGTGTTGCCCACATTGCCTATAAGCCGCAAGAATCCCCGGTCCACCAGGTCCTGGCCGATCTGCTCCGCGTATCCGATGGTGGATGCTTTCATGTGTTTCTGTATGTAGTCGACGATGTCTGTGCCTGCAGAGACGTTCTGGTACGTTCCCAAGATAGGAACCTTGTACTCGCCGAGCGGAATCGTCTCCAACATATGCGTCAAGAGAGCCTTCAACTTCTGAGGCGGGTATGTCTGGTCTCCGATCTCGACCGGAAATTCGTCATCATCATCATCGTCCGGCAGCACAATTCTAGGAGGCGGTGGACTTTGCGGCTTGGGACTCTCCTTCCCTGGTGCTTGGAATGCAAGTTTGTTCTCCTCTTCAAGGTCTTCCACGAGCCTGCACTTGTTAAAGTAATGGCTCCTCAGCTTCTTGACCGCTTCCGCTTGCCTGTCGTGGGATTTGATCTTCGCTTGTAGTTCGTCCTGCGAGTTTTGTATCCTTGTCGCATGCGCATCGCACCATCTGGAGAAGGGATGGACGACCAACTCGCGAATATTATCTGCTATCTTTCTGTGGTTCCTGGCCGCTTCTATCATCTCGCTTCGGACACCTTCGTATGCCTGGCAACGTTAGCAGTCTTGCTCAACAGAGTAAGGCATTCTGCTGACCTTGCGAACACTTGCGCCGTCGTCCCTGGCGAATCCACCCGTCATTCGGTCAATGGTTGGCGCTATATCTCCCAACCGGTCGCTGTATACTTCTTCGGCGTCTGCTCGCATGCTCGCGATTGTCAGGAGCTGCTGATTCTCGACCACGCCTTGTTGCAGCTTCTGGAAAAGGACTCCCAACCCCCCAGCATAGTCCGTAGACCAAAACGACTCTGTGAACCCAGGCACCTTCGGCCTAGGTGAAGGGACATTCTCTTTGGCCATGTTGGAGGGGCACACGCCCTGCTGCGCAGAGTCTCACTGGCGTCTCGGTCCAGTGTTCTAGGAAACCCGATCGGAGTATTTGTATCGTGAACGAGAAGAACAGGCTGGGTAGGATACGCTCCGGCGCATCGATGGTGGAGCGTAAACACAATGGCACTGGCGACTCGATTGAACGCTGGACTTTAAGATCAGAACGTAACACGTGTACAAGCGCTCGATGCAGCAAAAGAAAAGGCCAGGATCTGGAATGGGAGATTGAAGTTGGCCAGGAATAGCACCTGCGCCTGGTGGTGAAACATGAGGGGGCATTCTCGTCTGGGGCTGCACTACGTATGTTTACGCCCCAAAAGAAGAACCCTGGGGACCCTTCCGAAGTTATCGTCTGCTTACTATTGTGAGACCACAAGAATCCAGACACTTACGCTACTGTCATACTATGTTGGGGCCGTCGAGTCTTTGTAGTCGCCAGCAGAAAATAAGTGTCATCCCTAATATGCCGTGTCTACTAGGTAGTACGTAGATATCAGGTCATGAATGCCAGTCCAGTATCGATATATTTGTCATTCGTGTCTTACTAAGTAGACAGGCTAGGGAGAGTCTCTGATGGGATACCCGGAATCATGATTGTGTTTGTCGAGCTTGCCCTCCACCGGCCCTGGCGACAGCATGCCTCTTGACAATAATAATCTTAGCAATACGTCCTCTGCCCATGTCCGATATTTTCCCCCAGCTCCGTCCTTCCATTTGTTCAGCATCAGACTTGACTCTGAGCGGTCAGTCAAATTAGCGAGGGCATGAAGAACCCCATTTGACTCGGTGAGCGCGCGGAGAAGTCGTCAAGTGGTCCAGTGTTCAGTCGAGGAGACCCAGGTTCTCTTCCGCAGGCACGACGCGAATAGTGTTGGTGTGACCCTGGCCACCTCTCCAACCCTGCACAGCGACCACGCTGTCGCCTTTGGTCAAGACTCCCAGCTTGATCGCTTCGGCAATACCCCATTTCAGGCGGTTGTCCACGTCCTTCTGCCAGTCCACTCCGTTAAAGTCTGGCTTTGGCTCGGGGAAGTGGAAGGGATAAACTCCTCGGTAGAGATGGGCGTATCGGGAAGCGGTCGCGTTCCGCGAGACCATGATGATGGGGCACACTGGCCGATACTTCGAGACCAGTCTCGCCGAGTGACCGCTAGATGAAATCAGTAAAAGCGCGGGCGAGAATATTTCTGGAGTGGCTTACCTAGTGGTCAAAACAATGATGGCACCAGCGTTCAATTCCATACTAGCACTCACAGCGGAACATGCAATCGCCTCAACAGTGTCAATTGGTCGCTGGCAGGTTGATCTCAACTCGTCAAACATGTTGGCGTAAGGGATGGCGACCTCGGCCAGCAAGCAAGTTTCGTGCATCATGCTGACGGCCTCCTTGGGATAGTTGCCTTTCGCGGTCTCACCGGACAACATGACGCAGTCAGCGCCATCGAGGACGGCGTTCGCGACATCAGAGACCTCCGCTCGGGTAGGTCTTGGGTTCGTGGTCATGGACTCCAACATCTGTGTGGCGCAAATGACAGGCTTGCCTGCCATGTTACATTTCGCAATCATCATCTTTTGAGCAATAAAGACCTTCGCAGCTGGGATTTCAATTCCGAGATCGCCACGGGCCACCATGACACCGTCGGTTTCGGCCAGAATGTCGTCGAAGTTGTTCATACCCTGCTGATTCTCGATCTTTGCGATGATCTGGATCTCCTTGCCTTCTTCCCCAAGGACTTGACGAATGTGCTTGATGTCATCTCCCCGTCGGATGAACGAAGCGAAGATCATGTCGACTCCGTTCTTCACACCGAACTGCAAGTCGGCAATGTCCTTCTTTGACAAAGCAGGAAGATCAACATCAGTTCCTGGAAGGTTCACGCCCTTCTTGGATGAGATTTGTCCATCATTGAGCGCACGCACTCGGAGAGTCTTGTCGTCCACAACCTTGATGACTTCAAACGACTGAATGCCGTCATCAACATAAATCAGCTTGCCAGCATCAATGACTTTGGTGATGTTCTTGTAGTCAACATAGCTGATAGGGTTAGCACGGCTGTCGTAATCAAAGTGCAGCGGACGATATAGCTTACAGATTCTTGTCATCGCTAGCGGTGGCATACTGGTCGTCCGTGGTGATATTCAATTCAAGCCCGGCCTTGATCGGAATGTCTTTATCCCCTGGTGTGTTTCCCGTTCGGATCTCCGGTCCTTTCTTTTGCAAATGATGAGCCAGGGGTCTTAAAGAGAGGGGTTATTCAACCCACCGTATCGAGGGCAATTGCCACTGGTCGACCTGGATAGTCTTTGGCAGATTGCCTCGCGTTGTCTATGACAGATTGGTGGTACTGGAACACGTGTTAATATATGATCCCGAGGTTTCCGTGGTGGTAGAATCCACATACCTCGTATGAGCCATGAGAGAAGTTCATGCGGACGACATTGAGACCAGCTGCAACCCATTGATTAGCTGTGCCCTGTTGCTGAAGCCTCAGTGTTTACTTACCCTTCCTCAGCATAGTAATCTTCTCAGCAGAATTGGTCTTTGGGCCTATGGACAGGTTTGTTAGTGTCCAATGGAGTTCAGCCTGCGCTCGGGTGAGCAGCGGCAGACATACCAATTGTGCAGATGATGCTGGTTCTGCGATGGTTCTTCTTTGGCACATAGTCGATGTTGAGATTGCACTGCCATTCCAGCTTTGTGCGGTTGGCGAGGTGGTCCAAGGCGTCACCCATCTTGCCTGTGTCGTCTCTTGACTCTTTTTGTATACCTGAGCTGCGGCGGTGGGTGCGGAGATATTCTGTTCTGGCTCAAGCTGTCCGCCCAATGGGCCAAATAGTCAGCAAGAGTTTCAACAGTATCAGGAACACCCGAGAATCAATGGGGCGTACTGCTTACCTTCACTTCCAGGACGACTGACTGTGTGTGAAGGGATGGCTTCTGGACAGTGAGTAGTGAGGGAAAACCCTTGGACCTTATCACCAGGAAAAAAGCAATTGTTGAACTGGCCTAATTCGTGCACAGTTGAATGGATCTCTCCAACGTCACGCTTATCCTGCTCTGATCCTGACCCGCTACTAGTACTACAGAGTAGGTGCGTATGTACGACGCAGCTGGCCAGCTGGATCTAAGCTTCGGCAAAGAGCGAATCAGGATAATCAGGCTGGCAAGCTAAAATTGGTTTTTGGGCGTGGCTGGGTTATTGTGAGGTGCAGTGCAGTGGGATGGCAGCGGCAAGAATTATCTCAACGGTGGTGGGGGGTGCACAGTGCCCCTAAATACGTGTAGGTACCTATGGGACGTAGCTTAATTCATGCCTGATGAGCCTATAACCTAGGTACCTACTGTCTTCGGTGTTATTATTTCCGGACTCTGACCCACCGCATTCTGCCAGGGTGAGATCGCTGCTCCACTGCAAGTGCCCCTCACTAGTAGTAGTACCTCAAAGCCCAAGTGACGGGCGGGTACCGGTTCACTACTGGCAAGGCCAAAGCTGTTGCAGGGCTCGCAGGGTGCTGTACTACTAGTAGTACGTATCAATGAAAGTCTTCGGCGATGCAATAACATTGTTCCGCAGCGCAGCGCAATGCCCCTTTGCCCCCGACAGCCTCCGCACTTATCACCACACTTCACATGCGACCAGGGCAGCCTGTACTGTATTGCACTCGCACAACTACGTGCCTCCCTCAGTTACCTACCGACACATCCGACCACCTCAAAGCATCGCAGCATTCCAACAACCTCAATCATGGTGGTGAGTTGGCTGTCCCTTGACGCAGTAACAACTGACTAAAACATCGCACCAGCTGGGACGCCTCACCCACATCGCCTTTGACGCAGTCCTCATCTCCGCTTTTCTCGCCGGCATCAAGAGAAGCACAGGTCTCACGTATGTCTTCTGGTTATGCTCGAGATAGGCCTTGAGACATGAATCCCTGCCCTCACGCTCCCTCGGACTAACTAACCCCAGACCGACCAGTGTCAAGGCATCCTCCATCGGCGAGAGCAAGGAGGTACAAACCTGGGTTGACCGCTACCTCGGCGTGGGTGAATGGGTGATGGATCAGTCGGTGGCCATCATGGGAAGCAGCAGCTACTTTGAACGACGGCGGTGAAGATGTATACCATGGACAGGGAACATAAGTTAACACCAAGACTCAAATACCTGATATGCAACAGAAGGCGTTAAAACCGTTATGGATTTTGGATTCGGGGGATTTGGACCGGAGTGTTTGGACAGCGGCAGAGGCGCGTGGCAAGGACTGTTGTACACACTCGACTCCCAAATTCAAGGTGCTGATTGTGCTATGTAGAGCAGAGGCTCTTCAATATGGTCGCTTACCCTGTAACGATGGTGATATTCGACAAGCGTCCTCTTACTGTAGACCCTTGTGATGGATTGGTCTTCAGCTTCAAGTTCGTTGGAACTATATCTTATGAAATCGGAACGAACCCCACAGCATACAGGTGGGCAAACAGTACGCCGGTGTTCTGGCAGATGCTGAGTCTTTCAGACAGGATTTAGAGGCAATGCTATAAAACGCTCTTCACAACAGGATGCATCATCATAGAGCAGCCTTCGCACAAGCAGAATCTGACCTATGTCATCCTCCGCTGTTGTTTTGTCTAAATGTCTCGTCCATCAATTTATCAATGTCAATTCTTTCGTAGAACGAAATATGCCCGAACGGCACCCAATACTGAGCGAGTCTATCATGGCTGATCATGATAAGTTGCGACGGTATGAATTCATCTTGTACCCTGTCAGTTGCTGCGAATGATATGTGGCAGTGGCTAGACCTACCATTCTGAAATCCGCGGACCGCAACATGACCGCGGCTCTTGACCACACGCGCCCCTCGGAAAGGGTGCTCCTGGGCAATCCTTATCAGACCGTTGGGTCCGATGTCATCGGCGATGAAAGTGTGTTCACCGCGAGGAATGTTGGGGTCACCCGTCAACTTCACGGCCTCGATGGCTCCGTGGTACAAATCCTCGTCATAATCTTGCACGGTCGCCTGTGAACTGCTGGCATGAGTTGACTGTTCCCACTCATCCTCTTCACCAGATTCTTCGTCCTCCCTGAGGCCGAGCATCGCTCGGAAATATGTCGAAGTCGGTCTGAACGGGGCACTAGGCGCTTTATCTGTCTGCATGACCAAAAGGAACTCACATCCATGTCCAGCATAATCGCCAACATAGATGCCTTGGTAAGGCTTTTCCGGTGTCGGAGTATAGAGAGCAGGATCAATTGTGCTCCACGTGCTCACTTCTTCGCCAACGCGAATGCCGAAATGTGCCATACCAGTACTGAATTGAGACCACTGTCGGAGGCGGAACGTTGTTTGCGAGATTTGATCATACTTTTGTGGTTTGTGTCCGGCGCCTCTGAAGTTGTCGACGCTCGCAGCACGCACTCGTGGCATTCCAGGAATGGTCCGAGGCGGCCAAACGACCATTCTGTTGTCTTGCAAATGCTCCGGAATATCGCGGGCTAGGAAAAAAGAGGCCGATGTATTGTGGCCAGGTCTCCCTACGCTCATCTTGATTTCGGCCTCCCACCATCCTTGCCGTGTGTTAAAAGGCACGATGTCATGCGGTAATTTGAGGATGGGATCATCGAGCCACAAGTGCACCTTAGGCTGGAAGGAGTGGATGACAACACTCGGTTTATATGGCCACAATATTCCAGAAGAGGGAGTCCTGTCCGCGAGCAAGCGATAGCCCTCTATGCACCCTCGCCTCGGATCGAACTTGCATATCATTATCCGCCCAATGTAGGACTCGTCCGATATCCATATCTTGTGGCGAGGTAGGAACCAGTACGGATGGTGAGAGATATAGAGATCGCGATATGAGGACGATGGATATGGATCGGGTGGGAAGTCTTGAGGCGGTAAGTTTGGTCGCAGCAAGTTCGCCCATAGCAAATCCTCCTGAGCCAGCTCTCGGAGTTGTCGACATGTTCGAGAGAGGGACACCAAGGACTGGCAGGGAAGATAGAGCAAGATCTGATAGACTATCTCAGATGGCAACTGAAGGAATGGCGCATTCTGCTCGACTGGAATAACGATATCGGAGGGCATAGTCGAGGATGCTTCTGCGTCTGAACCGCCATCTGCAACATGCCGACTGAAGAAGCCCATGACTTGTTCAACGATTATATACAAATTCAGATACCAGTAGTCCGTGTTGAGGTGGCCATGTCCGGCCTATGCAATATTTGAGGAATAACAGAACACGACATGGGACAGCGTGGAGAGAAATAGTAGTACGCAGTACCGTATGTAGCAAGGAGACGCCTGCCCAGCAGAAGGAGATGATGTAGTAGGACTCTTTCGAATGCGGACACTCTTCCGACGTGCTGGCAAGCCATCCGCCACCTCTTATCATGGCAGCCAGTCAGCCACGAATCCATCAGCTGCTTTGGGGTAGCATTGCGATCTCAGACTGACAAGCACGCGATTCGCAGTATGAGTGGACATCCCTTCTCGACCATGGCTGGGAACGGGATCATGGACTTGAACGCATGTGGAAGGTGAAGGTTGACGTGGAGTCTTTTAGCATCCATCCACTCGGTGGAATCCCCGCTGTTAATGGTACCAGGCATTTGAAGGTAGCCGATAACAGCAGGTCCATAAGGTGTAATCAAAGACGGTGAACGAGGATGAAGTATGCGTAGAAATTGTCTGGATGCTAGGTTTCGTACTACGGCAATGCAAGATATCTGGCGACAGGCGAAGGAATAATTCAGCAGAATTGTCCTCTCAGTCTGGGCCGACAAGATATGGTACAAAGATACCAACGTCCTCTCCTCCAGGTCTTCCAGGGGGTTAATCAGAACCATGGCAGCTATAAAGTCTGCAATGTGTCCCTAGGTTGTTCATCACAGCCCCGTTGACAGTAGATCTGCCTTAATCGCCAAATATATGGTCTCTTAGGTGCCCCGAACACAGGAGCCCCAATGATCAGTGTTGGGCATCCCGAATATGTCGACGTTGTCTTGAATGCTTACATGGTCGTGTCACCCAAAGTGATCCGCCTGAGACATCATGAGAGCCTCGGTTTGCCTGGTCTTGCTTGAAGCAGTTGTCGGACTGTTCTCGAAGACACAATACCTGCCGACCTGCCATGTCCGGGCAGCAGTGATGTGGCTTTCTCACAACGAAACGGCGTATTCATTGTTTCGTCAGCCACAGTATCTGCCTGGTTGCTCCAAGGGACAAATTGAACTGTATATGACCTGCGGCAGTCTACTCAGCCGAGTTGTCTCGGTTCAGAGGATTTTGCAGCTTGGTTCTGGGTCGGAGCTGATGATTCATCCTGCCATATATCACGCTCCAGTTGTTGGATGCTATACGGCTTGACACTTGGTTCCTTGGGAGGATCTGGTATCAAAAATTTCCCAATTGCTTCTCCAAAAGTCTTGGTCAACCATGCCTGTCGCTTTTTTCGATCTTCGTTCATTGTGACAGTATAGTTGAACAAATCCTCGGCATAGAGATCAGTCAATTTGGCCTCTTGGAGGGCTGCCCGGGCAACCAATTCACGCTCGTGAGGAGGATATTCGTGAAGAGGCTTCTTCATCTTGTCCTCCATCGCTTTTGGCAAGGCTATCTGCTCCACGGTAGGAGCTGGTCGATTGGGATTGAACAGCGAGGAGAGTGGTGGAATCGGTCGGTTCTCGCGTCTGGCTTCGTCCACCTCGGCTTCGTAGTCCATCATTCGGTGGTACAACTTATCCGCGTGCATCTGGATTTTCTCTTCGTCCTCGTTTGTATTCGTCGAACTGGTCATGTATCCAAGGGCCTGTAAGAATTTCGCCTGGAGGGTATAGCATCGGTTGAACGCTTTGGTCTCTTCATGGCACATGGTCATCCTGCCTTTAATTTTCTTGGACAAGGGCCCAGTCTTGAAGCAATCCTGTTGTAGTTCCTCTTCGAATGCGCAGTTCTCGAGTGCAGCCTTGTGGATTGACTGTCTCCTATCTTTCCGAGCTGCAAGGACTCGCTCCACCGGTGTTGTGGATGCTACCGCGATGTCGTTCTGAGGAACATAGGTCTTCCAGATATCTTTGTACCGCCCATCTTGAAAGAGCGATTCCTTTGGCAACGGCCTGTCCTCAAAGGATTTGTTGGTGTCTGGCAGGGCCTGTTCTGGAGGCTTCGAAGCAGGCTGTTCCACGGGTTTGGGGAGTTCTGCTGGGACATACGGCCGAGGTTGTTGGTCCTTTAGAAATTGCTTCAAATCATCGTCCAGTGATTTGGCGGGATCATTTTGACTGGACTTCTCTCCCCAGAACCAACCCATCTCACCGGATCCCGTCAAGCGTCCTATTGACCGATTTCAACAGTATGAAAGATGCATTTTTCTCAGCCAGAATACTCGATCATGGTTTGGGTCCAGCGCTGCAGGCTTCTAGAGGGCTCCCACAAGGGTTGTTCTTATACTACACTGCCGGGGTACGCAGCGGCACTGCGGTTAATAGCCCAGCGCAGCTCGAGAACCTGCCAAGCAGCAAAGATCTCCCCATTAAGAACGTGGATGATGCCGCCTTAAGCTGTGGCCGGCTCCCAACTAGTACCTCTTAGTCCTAGTATCTGTCCTCCCCATGTCGCGTTACAACGACGCGTCCCGCTTGGAAAGCGCTTCATTCATCAAAGCCCTTACCGAGGCGACCAACCTCGGGAATCTGCCCGTGCTTGACAAATGAACACAAATTTTGGATGATTCGCATTTTGGATGGCTTCTTTGTCCAGACAAGATCGCGCGCTCATGCGCCAGCGTGGTGCTGGGTATGTTTATACGGAGAAGGAGGAGCATGAGGTGTCCATGGATTGCTAACCTTTGTAGGTCACGGGCAGTCGCAGCGGCTGATTTTGGACTAGATTTTGGACTTGTTGATGATAAGCAAGAAAGTCTGTTGGCGCGACAATCAGATGCTGAGTACGTCTTCCTCAATGGCAGGTCGACTCCGCTAACTTTGGATAGGTTTCGGACGGTTGAAAATACCGATTTTGGCTTATCTATCCCCTATTCCGCTCGGTCACTACGCTCAAAGACTGGAAACAGTCCGCACTCTCGACGATTGAGTTCTCGTTATCCTTCACAGACGCCCGGCAGTCGGAATCGTACAGGATCATCGATCAGGTCAGCCAGACACAATCCGCAACAAGTTGAGCATAATGGAGCGGATGCGCCTCAGTTGGGAGGAAACCAGTCTGTGGAGAATGTTCATCAAGCCAAGAGGAGGCGATTGTCCCCGGCTGCTGTGACGCCAATTCAACTGTCGGCAAAGCCGCCCGCAGCAGCAAGTACAGGCGGAATACGGTCCGGAAGGCGGAGTAGTAGGGAGGTATTCACAGTCGCAGAGGACAACGATGGAGAGGAAGGCCTTGAGCCATTACATACCCCTGGTGCAATTGCATTTCAGCGGATACAAGACTCACCATTATTTTTCCCGGAACATGAGCCGAACAAGGAAAACGACAATGCTACCCCTGCATATCAGCGCGAAGATGGGTCACTTCTGGCCTCGCAAGGAGTCAAGGGTGGCCAACCGAGCATATTATACCCTCGCAATTCTGTGTCAAGGGCGAAAGAGGATGCGTTAGGGCTTGTCATCAACAATGCGAGAATTCCGGAAGCCAAGGATGGCCCGGAAGGTACTGAAGCAGGAGGACGGAGTAACGATACCCACGTCATGTCACTTGAGAAGTCCTTGCCTACCTCGAATAATACCGGATCCTCAAGCCACAAACGGCGGAAGAAACGGAAGTCCGTTATCTTGGTACGCAAGAAGAGGCGCTCGTCTGGCGTCAATGAGGTTTCACTTCAGCAGACGGAAATTCCGTCGGAGGCTCCCGGGTCTTCAGGCTCACTGGAAACGCCACAACCTGCTCCATCGCAGTCAACGAGTCGGGTTCGTGCTCGGAGATATGCCAACACCAAGTCAAGGGACAAAGATGAAGACAGCCCCCCACCATCTCGCTCAGGATCTCCGACCCGAACAGATGGAGATGATGATGAGACATATATTCAAGAGAGCTCCCCAGAACCTCAGACTCCAGCACTTTCTAAGAAGGTTGGTGATAACATCCACCGTGGCGCGACCCGAACTCAGAACCCTCGTTCTTCCAAGGGAGGGACATCCAGGCCGACATTCCCGATTCTGACCCATCGATTAACAAATTCCTCAAGACTTCCAACCATCGATGAAGCCAACGAAAACGACGTCCACTCTGAGAATGCTTTCGCCAATCGCGACGACCTTGAAAGAGACCGCAGTGAACCGAATGCGGTGGATGTGCTCGCTCAAATTTGTCGTGAAACAATCGAGAATTGTGTCCGGCGTATGTCGGAAGACATGCAGCCTTCTGAACGTGCAGCTTTGAAAGTCAGACGAACGGCGCTAGAGGAATTTGGCCGAGACTTGAATGACGAACTCTTCGAGCTGTCAGAAGCCGCTGAGAACCGAATCATCTTAGAAGCTCGTGTTCGGAAGAGCAAGAGAGAGAAAGCTTTCATGCAAACGGAGTGGATCGAATTGAGAAAGGAGCGGGAGCGGATCGCCCTCGAATGTGACGCTGTGCGACGGCGCCACTGGCAATGCGAAGACGATGCCAGAGAACGTTGGGATCTCAGCGAGGCCGCGAGACGGGCAGAGCTTGAACTGGAACGGAATGATCCGGCCAACGAAGCGGGTCTGGAATGTCTGCTTCGAAGTGTGCTCAACAACGTCAGCAGTGCTTCTGAGGAGGGGGGCCTACTGGACAGGGTGAAATCGTTCAATGCCCAGTTGGAAAACACGGCATTATTCCTGGAAGGACGACATGGTCATTAGTTGGACAAATGGATGGTTTGGCCTGTACACGATTTCACAGCCGGTCGGGCTGTGAAAAAGGCTCTCGACGAATCAATGTGGTGAAGGAAGTGGGAATAGCAGTGCACATATCTGTCCGACAGACATGCATAGACAGCTACGAAATAATGATAATGACATGACTATAGGTACCTCCGACGTGTGATCTCTAAGATGATGCCTTGCCTGAACAAAGTGGTGATCTCTGGGACAAGGCTGAATTCAGCCTTGTTTGGGAGACGTCGAATATCTCCGATCGCGGAGGCGGAGCTCAGCCTCGTGTCTTGAAGATTTTCTCCAACTCGCTCCAAGTTGAATTGAGCTGCGGGCTTTCTGGGGTTAGTTTTCTCTCTTCACACAATATTGGCGACGAAAATGGCGAGTAGAACATTACGCATAGGTAAGCATCTGCGGAATCTGTCTATCCTCTTCTTGCTAACTGTTGTCAGGCCTGATTCCGGGCGATGGCATCGGGCGCGAGGTCATTCCGGTATGTTGGCCTCTTCGCGCTCTCTGCTTGCGACTTCGCGACGCGAAAGACTTCTGTTCAAGACTGACACTTCATGCCCCGATATAGGCAGGCAAACGTATCCTGGAATCGCTTCCTCCGTCCTTAGGCCTCAAATTCTCCTTCGTTGATCTCGACGCCGGCTATGACTGCTTCAAGCGCACGGGCACGGCACTCCCAGACCAAACGGTCGAGACGCTACAGAAAGAATGCGATGGCGCTCTGTTCGGAGCCGTGAGGTACGAATGAATCCTTACACTATATGCCAGCCATACTGCAATGTCGCGTAGGGGCCTGGAACAATAGTTCGAGCCACCTCTACTTGAAAGAGTCCAAGATGTTGCATTGGTTTCGCGGAGGTTGAGCCCGTTCATGGTCAATTTGGGGGATTGTTCCCGGGCTCATCTGGACTTCCTGCGACCTCGGTTGACATTTGTGTCATCTCCCGTCGAATCAGACCATTCGTCCGGATCTCTAACGTGTTCCTCCACAGTTCACCGACGATCAAGGTAGCCGGCTACACGTCTCCCATTGTCGCGCTGCGGAAGAAGCTGTCTCTGTTCGCCAATGTGCGCCCTTGCAAAACGACATTATCACCTGCCTTCAAATCCCCGACGCCGCACCCCATCGACCTTGTCATTGTGCGCGAGAACACGGAGGATCTGTACGTGAAGGAGGAGAAGACATACCCCGATCCCTCCGGCGAGGGGCAGATCGCCGAGGCGATCAAACGCATCTCGTCCAAGGCCAGCTGGCGCATCGCCAACATTGCGGGCGAGATTGCGCTGCGAAGACAGAAGATGCGCCAGGCCTCGCCGACCAATGCCTCGGGAGACTCTCATGCGAAGAAGGCCTGCGTCACAATCACGCACAAGTCGAACGTCCTCTCGCAGACGGACGGCCTCTTCCGCTCCACGGCGCGCGAAGCCCTGTCGCAGCCCCAGTTCTCCTCGGTGGCCATCGAGGAGCAGATTGTCGACAGCATGGTGTACAAGCTGTTCCTGCAGCCCCAGTACTACGACGTGATTGTGGCGCCGAACCTGTACGGCGACCTATTGAGCGACGGCGCCGCCGCCCTGGTCGGCAGCTTGGGACTTGTGCCCTCCGCCAACGTGGGTGACGGCATTGTCATCGGCGAGCCGTGTCACGGATCTGCGCCAGACATCGAGGGCAAGGGTATTGCCAACCCGATCGCCACGATCCGTAGCGTCGGTACCATGTTGGAGTTTTTGGATCTGCCGGACGCGGCCAACGTGATTTACAACGCGGTCGACAAAAACCTGGAGGAGGGCCGCTTCGTTACTCCCGACTTGGGCGGCAATGCATCGACGGAGGAAGTGTTAAATGACATCTTGAGCAAGTTGTAAGTCATTTGACGGACGTATGACTGGGATATTCAAGGCTATGAAGCACGCAAGGGCTATGGAAAAGCGACACTGTGAGACAAGATAGCTGGACTCAAGACCCAAAGATCTGCCAGCTTACTTTGTGACCCCGTGTAGCCACGATTAGAGCATCTGTTTGATTCCGGCTCCTTGACTGTACGGTACATTGCTTTCCTACGCAACGTACCTGGTGACAAACATGGTGGCCTTCCCGGTCTTGTAAATGTTGCAATCGATGCATGTTTGGGCAGTTCGATGCGAAGTCCTTCTTAGTCGTTGATGGCCGGTATCAGGGTCGCGATCGTAAACGCAGTCGTCGACTCGGATTCCACATAATTCAGATTTTAAGACACCCGCAGTGCGGGACTACAATCAGCAGGGAGTCTATATAGCGGGTTAGAGACGGTGTTGTAGACCGCAGAGATCAACCGCCACGAATGGAAGTCAGAACAAGAGTGGAACGGCGGTTTTGAGCGGTGGCACTCTGCCATTGTCTCTGCCGACCATTGACATCCGTCACCGAAATCTGACAACAACTATTTGCTATACCCACTTGGATACGTTTAGTGATGATAAGAAATCCAAGACGCCATCGCCAATGCATCCAACATCCCAATAACTTCCCCCTTACACAAACAAAAGGTCGCTAATGACATTTGCCCATCATTCCACCAACCCAAATTCCTGGACGGGGCCGACGAGATACGGCACTAGCCACGACGAGTCCGCTGAATTCTCAAACCATCACATCAACATCAACTTCACCGTCAATGTCCGCTTCCGAACTCAGATCCGGGGTCATCGCCTCGTCCTGTGATGCGTCGGCTTCGTCGGCTTCGCTGAGAGAATCCATGCCAATACCGCTATCGTAACGTCGACGGCCTCGCTTCATGATGCCCAGACCGGTCTTGGAGCCATGCCGACGGGACCGACCTCTCGACATTTCGACGCTGCCTTCAACATGGTCGTCCGGAGCTTCGGGGTCGGAGAATCGCACAATGCTCGCGGGAGTCATAGGCCCAACTGGATCCGAGACGAGGTCATCGCTTTCCAGCTCCCAATTAGCATATCGGACCTTTGCCGCTCGGATGTAGCTCTTCTTCTCCTCATTCACCTTGGCCGCGCTCCGGATACATTCATTTTGCATGCGCTCCACGGCCTGGGCACTGTGCTCGACCTCGCTCCGGTATCGATCCTCGAGCTTAACGTTGATCTTTCGGAGCTTGTCAATTTCCGCGTTGGCTGAAGTCAGAGCCGTGGACAAGCCGGATATGCGAGAGTTGAGACCCCCAATCTCTTCTTCGTGGGTACGGCTCGACGATGCCAGCTGCTGTTCAAGGATGTTCAACTTTTCTTTGACATCTTCCGAGCGTTGTCGCGCCGCAGACATGTCGGCCTCCAGCTCATTGATTCTACGCAGACGGTCAACCGCAGATTCTTCGGCTGCTCGTCTTCCTCGAGACTCGGCCGCTGCTTTGGCCTCCATGTCGGAGAGCTGTTTGGTGAACTGGGACACCGTGGCTGCATGAACGTCCTGAAGTCTCGATGCCTGTTCAGCTTCGATCAACTCGACCAACTGCTCCAATCTCTTTACTTCTTCGCGGTACTTTTCGATGGCTGTAATGAGAGATCGGTTGTTAGACTCGTGCTCTTTGGCTTCTCGCTCCAGAGCCTGTGCTCGCATTCGCAGGTGTAGCATTTCTTCGGCGTTTTTGTCGATTGCGTCTTCCAGTTCCTTGACCTTTCTGTTGGCCTTTTCGGCTGCGGTGATGGCATGATCGAAATTGCCCTTGAGACAACGCTGTTGGTCTCTCATGGATTTCAGTTCAGCTTCTCGATCGCGCATCATTCGAGACAGCATGGCCAACTTAGCAATAATCTCGGGCATCAATCTCGAATTGTCGAAAGAGCCAACGGTTTCTCCTGGAATAACCTGCTCGAGGTCAAGGCGCATTTGACGGAAATGATGTTTAATGTTCGTGACACATTCTGCAACATCGTCTTCCTTGCAAGGGAACCCTAAGCTTTTGATCTCCATATTCAGTGCTTGCAATGCGAGTTCTACCTCCTCCGCCCGATTGGTTGCCGCTTTCAACTGTTTAGAAAGGTCATGGTAGAAAGATCGAGGAGATCGTGGCACGCTCTTCTGCCTAGTACTTGGGCGGACAGGAGAGTCCTCAAAATGGAGGTGATTGAATGAGGATCCCTGACTGGAACGGAAGAATGCTTCTTTGGCTTGACGGGCAGACTCAAGTTCTAAGCCCATAGTGAGAGCATCTTCCCCGTCGGCAACTTGATCGTCGTTGTCACCGTCGTCCTCATATATCTGGAAGTCGTTGTCTCCATCGCTCGGTTGTGGGGAGCTACCACCTCCTTGTCCCTGGCTGTTGGACGCAGAGTGCGCGCTCGAGAAGCTGACACTTCGTTCCAGATGGGCAATTTCGGTTTCCAGCTGGCGCATACGGTCCTGACTTGAGTTCGGGTGGCTCAGAAGTGCTTTGTCGAAGCGACGGGCATCGTCCAATTCGGCTCTGAGTTTCTTCAGCTCTACATCCTTCTCGTCGAGTTCTCTCCGCAAAGCAGCGTTGGCTTTCTGGTCTGCCTGGTATTGATTCATCTCCTCGCTCAACCCATGGCGCCGCATGCGTCTGACAGTTCGAGGTTCCAGGCATTCACGAAAAGGGGTAAACTGAACTTCATCTTGTTCCTGGTATCGAGATGGCGCCGGAGTTGATGCCCCTCTTGCCTTGGGGGTAGCGAGAGATGCTTTGCCTACGTGAGGCGTCAAGCCTGTAGTTGCGTTGAGTATAACACTGTCGGAGAACCGTGTTTTCTTTGTTGGTCTCTTCCCCGATGGGGTTGTGGTATGGGTTTGCGAGGAATCTTGTGCTGGTTTGATGGGCGAGATGGCTGAGCTCGGTCGCTTCGATCGTCGAATCATTTTCACTCAACTTGACTTGATGTCTGCAGCTTCAGCCGATCAGATAGAAGTTATGACCTGAACACTACTTGGGGTATTAGGATCAAAGAGAAAACAGCGCAGATGTTCGTGGATTGAAGTTGTGCATTAGAGACAAGAAGTAAACAATGACGCCGTCTCCAAACAATATGCCGAATACGGTTTAGATTACGCCAAGAAGATGCTCGACGCGTCTGAACGTGTTCGTGTTCGACTTTCGTGTTTCAAGTTGCTGCCTTCATGCTTCATCTGTTGGACAAGATTGTTCATGTTCGTAATGATGTACTTCATCTTGTCAGCTTTCCACTCCTATTTAAGGCTGCTGCCTGCCACATCTCCGTCCGCCCCTACGCACTTCGGTGCCGGCCACTGACCTCTGAATCGGCCGTCCCAAGAGCGCTCGCCGCTTCAACGATGAATGCTGGGCAATTCACCGATGAAGCGTTGTCTAGCAACAGACAGCAGCTCGATCACTGCGATTTCGATTGCATCCTGTAACATAAGTACGATCTAATGCGCCAGAAACTACTCATTATCCTTCCGCACGACTACGGAAGGCTGTCTTTCACTTTGAGACATGACTAGGACAGAAAAACAGAGGGAGAGCATGAAAGAGTTACAAGGATTGAAGGTATCAGTTGGTTGTCATAATGCACACCCCCGGAAGCCCAAAGGAGCGAGATGTTCGGGCAATAATAGACTTGCTGGCAAGGGAAGATGAGTCGAAGGCTGCCTCTGCCTTGCAGAGACCGGTTGCCTGTCAGTGATTATTGTCCTCCTCTGCTGAACAAGATACTACAGGCGGCTCAAAACAGGCGAACCTGAATGGCGTCTTCCTCCAGGATGTTGCCTCGTATACAACTGTGGCCCAACAAATGCTCGCTCTCGCCTCTCCAGATCAATGATACATCATCTTCTACTACATGTATACAGGACAAGTGTTTGTCAGGCCAGAGGGGGCTCCCCATGAACATTTAGGCACTCGAAGGTCGCTCATAAAAGCGTAGGGACAATTGCCAGCCGTGCACGCCTTCGTACAGTGCGCGGTGCTACCAATGCATGCTCGTACCCGGTTAATGGACAGCCACTGCAGTGTACGATTGTGGCAGTTTGGTAACATTGACGTCACTACCATTTTGAGACAATTGAATGATGAATTGGGTTGATTTTTGGGAAACTCATCTCCGTTTTTCGCAGCACCAACAACCCCCATCAACCCAACAATCTCTTCGCCACTGTCCACGAGGTCACCCATTTAGCTGTACTGTCTTGTTCTTCTTTCCTAGACCTCTACACACAAAGTAAAGTACTCCAATGTCCAATACACCATCATCCACCTCTTCCTCCGATGCGCCGGACCAAGCCTCTCAGCACACTCAATATCGGCTGCGCGTGACGGCCGGCCCTTCGCACGACCCGTCAACACACAAGCTGGTGCCAGTGAATGCAGACGAGACCTTGACGTTCGAGAACGACCATATAATCCTATCTCTCGCCGTGAGGATCCAGCGATTCACGGGCTTCCCCGACGATTCGCCCGAAACCTCGCCGTACTTCGACCACGAGCTACACAAGTCTGATCAGTACTCGATAGCTTTTTCATTCATTCCGAAATTAGACATTCCCGGCGGCGACCTCATCTTTGGCAACGACTTCGACAGACCGATTCGAGACAGGTTACCGCCGGGATTCAACCAGGCGTTCAGGATCGTAAAATGGTTCATTGATCCGGGCCTCGAGGGCGATGTTTACGCCGACAAACCGTCGTTGTTTGGCCCGGCGTTGAGCAGTTGGAATTATCTACGGATAGGGGACAAAGTAGTGGAGCAAGATCAATTACAGGACAAGAGCGCATGGAAGATCCCTAATGCCGCGTCCTTCCACGAGACCATCGTGGAAGAGGGCGGCGAAGGGTCTGGGGAAGAGGTTCGAAAGGCGGCCAAAATCCCCGATGACTCGGCGGCGCGCAAGAAGTACTTCCTCACACCTGCCAACCGGGACGCTTTCGTGTTCGAGGCCGGCCGCCTGTACCAGGCCGACTTCGGCAATCCGTACCTCGACTTCAATGATTTCTCCCTCAAGTTGCCAGGCTTCAGCCTGAACGTTATCAGATATGTCGATTCCAAGTCGCACGAACTGCGTTACACTCTGAAGAACAAGTCGTCTGGGGAGATATATGCCTCTGTGGTTTTCACACTTCTTTTTGGCGAGGAGTTAGAGCAGGCCGAGGCTGAAGCTGGCCAGGGCGAGGGTGTCGGCAGGCTCGCCCAGAAAGCCGAACCGAAAGATACAGAGAAAGAAGACAAGAAAGACCAATCACCGCCAGATATTAACGACGATGACGAGGGCGTTGATTAATTGAGTAGTATTCGTTTACGTTTGTCTGGCTGATTGCTTGGATGCGCAAATATACGAGAGCACGAACAAACAGAGCTTTAGGGGCGAAAAGGATGTACAATACACAGCGTTTGGGCAAGGCCCTCAGATACCCATGAAGAAAGCAGGCAGGATCTCTACTTTTCAGGATTGATCTCTCGTTTCATAGCAAGTTTTGTTCATAGCTAGTCCCACGTTCGATCATTGTTCTGAGGTGAGCTCAGTCCATCTGCTACAACCTCACTTGATGTGAACTGAACTCAACTGGTGGTCGCATCGCTGACAGTGCGTTTCTCTTTCTCTGTTGACCCTCTTTGGGATTCATCACCTTGGTGGACCTCCGTCAACGAAGGCGTCCGCTTCCTCCCTAAGACACCACTGGAGTGCAGGGGCCTTGGATGACTGTTGTACAAGTCCCGTGAGTTGCGCTCTCGCCCGTCTCTTCCAACTCCACAACCCGTCCTCCTGCTTCGATATGCGTGCGGCGTCCTGCTTGGCCACTGCCCTTGCGCCAGTCCGCAGGCACCCCCTTCTCGTTGAGGGTCTTGAAGTTCCAGCCATCCAGAAACAGCTTGCGGATCATGTAAGAGACGCTCAATAGGAACATAAGAATGGCGAATCCCTGCGGTACAAGGAAACTCCATCCGAATGTGTTCTCAATTACTTTGATACTCTCGGCGAACAGTGTGGGGGTGATGCCTTTGGTGACGAAAGTGTAGCCCAGCAGAAGCGTGCGAGCATCCTCTGGCGTGGCTGCGACGTCATGGGGTTCACGCTGGCTCTGGTATTCGTTGAGCAGAGGAAGGATTGCGCGTGGACCGAGATGCATGAAGACTGAGCCGGCGGCAGTCAGAGCCACTGCGGCCCCAAGATATGTTGCGAAGAGAATGAAGGAGCGGTTATGGTGAGGGTGCTTCTGGCGGGGGTTTGGAACATTGACTGGCTGGAAGACGTCCAGGATCTGATGGGCCAGAGGCAAAGTGACCGCAGACCAGAACCCAATGCATGCTAGGGCAAATTGCTTCGCAATCGTCGGCAGGCCGTGAGCAGGAAGAATGGATGGAGTACTGATGAAGAGGAGGGTTGTGCCGAGCACCAGAAACAGTGATACGAGCACACTCCACATGCCGTAGCTCGCGGCTCCAGGATACACCTTGATGAGTCCACCTCCGAAATAGAGCGGCACAACAAGCAGCGGGATGAGGTATGGCCCCGTAAGTGTGAAGAACAGATAAAATGCTGTTGCGATTGGCGATGGATTTGGGCGAGTGATGAGTTGATACAAGGCCGAGTAGGCGAAGACCGTCTGAAAGATCCCGGATGTGAGAAATGTCAGAACGAATAACGCCACGGTTTTGAAAGACCGTAGATATCGGGTCGAGAACAGCAGTGTCGAGCTCGATGCGCAGATCTGAAAGTACTGTTGGACGAAGAGGAAGCTCACGAAGAAAGCTGCGATTCCGATAGGGACGTACATGTAGCCAGCTGACCAGGGGATCCAAGTGCCGGCAAGATTGAACGAGATGAGTAGGGTCAGGATGCCGAAGAAGCTGAGCAAACAGCCTAAGATGTCGATACGCAGTATCATGCTCAAGCCCCCAAAGGCAACAGTGTCGGCCAGCGTCCATGGCAGATTCTGCCCCATGTCGAACTTGTTGGGCAGCAGATAGATGAGCGCGATGTGGACGATTGCCAGGAGCATCGAAGCTGTGTAGAAGCCCCAGCCCCATATCTTGCCTCGATGTGCGAACAAAGCTCCGAAGATTGGGCCGATGATGAAGCCCAGCGCGGTGCTGATGCTGATGTAGAAATCCCGTCGCACTTTGTCGATGAACTGGCCATTGTGTCCCAGGAAGATGAGCGCACCCAACTGTTGTCCTGCTATGCCGGCACCCACGAGAATGCGTGTGTAGAAGAGGAAGATCATGTATGAGGCGAAGCCAGGCGACATGATACCGAGGAGTAGCAGAAGAGCGAAGAAGGTGTAGACTGCCTTGAAAGGAAGAACAGCGTAGAGCTGGCCAGCCGTCAAAACCGTGGCTGCCGCGCCGATTGCAGGACCTGCGAGAAGCCACTGGAAGCCCTGGACGTCAAGGTCGTAGGCAATTGTAGGAGCCATAACGCTCATCATGCTGTCCACCACATGTGTTATGAGATTTGCCAGGGCCAAAAGCACCGCAGTCCATATCCATTTTCGGGTTTGAGGGCGAGTCAGAGGCAAGTTGATGTCGTCGTCGTGCTCGTGCTCGACGATAGGAGCTGAGAAGATGGCTCGTGCAAGCTGGGAGGCAGCAGAGACGGTGGCTTGATAGAAGTTGCTGTTGTCGCCAAAAGGACGCTCGGTCGAGTCGTTATTGAGCGGTTCTTCGTAGACTGATTCGACCGTGACTGTCTGTTCGACGTGGATCACCATCTCTGGACTGCGAGACCGCTCGCCCGGTGGCGGAGGAGAACAAGTCCGAGGATTCATGGTGTGGAGGGAGTAAGGGAATGTCAGGAAAGGTTCGTCCTCGTCGACTTCGTTGTCGTAGTAAGGTTGAGGTGGGAGAGGAGGATCATGGTTTCGTCTCGAGGGAGGAATCAGGCCCAGCAACATATTTGACCGTCGTCGCGCTCGCCGAGATTGTGGGAACATTGTTAAGGGCAAGTTGAGTGATGGCGCCGAGATATTGAGGTTGATGATGATTATGAACAGTTCACGAGTGACTGAATTGAGATGAGAAGCAGGTGAAGGGAATAGACTGAGTGCGTGCTCTGGGTGCGGCACAACACGATTTATCACATATACAATCTTGCTCTTTGTCAACATCATCAGGAGGACTCCATCCACTTCATAGCCTTGTGAGCCTTTTGTCCGCTGGGTGACCGCCGTGGACAAAGGCTGAGAGAGGATGAAGCAATGAGGTTATCACCATCTCAGAACAGGCATCCATGGTCTTGTACTCACCACAATCGCCATGCTGGATCATACCAGCTGCACGTATAGTCAGAAAGCGATTTAACATCTTGAGTCACTCTGACAGCTATAGAAAGGCAGTCAGTTGGGATGGGCGATCTTCTCCTTGCCATGATGAGGAAGGTATCCTCTCCTAGGAAACTGTTCAAGGTGCTCTCTCTTCCCCCTGCAAGGATATTTGAAAGTCCGTTGGTCAGAGTCACGCAAGACAATGAATGGGGAGCAACTCTCGAGACTCAAAAACTTTCAGCTTGTCTGGAGAAGGCTCCAACGCCTAGCTAACTGGACTGTGCTTCGGTGGAACGCTGCAAATGTGGTCATCGTCGAGAGCGATGGGAACATCGAAAGATTTGAGCAAGCCTGACAGGCTGGAGTAACCATCCTTTCCAGCCTTTGCATTATATTGAGCAGACTTCCCAATACTGAGCTGATGGCTTCTGGCAGACAAGCAGAATCTTCCCGCTTCTGTCGACCCCTCACAGTTTCGCCTTCGCCTCCTCAGGGGATACAATTCTTACCGGAGTGAATGGAACACCAAGATGGTAAAAGACTTGATCCCATCGATCATTTCCAAACCAGTCTTTCCTCACCCCATCCGCGTTCACCGCAATGATCCATGGAGCGCCGAATGCTCCGGCGCTCATGGTCAAGTCAATGACTCGCTTTTTGTTCTCCGGCGCCACAGCCTTCTGCATGATGTCTTTGATCTCTTCGGGAGGGAATATCCCATCCAAGGCCTGCAGAATACCTTCGGGCGTGGAGATGTTGATGCCTTTGCTCCAGTATGCAGAGCTCAACGCCGGAAAAGTGGCTTCGAATTTCTCGGGAGGATAATGGTCTTTGACCCAAGTGGCCACTCGAACAGGCTGGAACCTATCAGCTCGGATTGCCGGATGGAGGTATGTAAATGTCCACGACGTACAAACAGAGACAAGATGGGGAACTCTTTGGGTCGCACCACTTTCAGCCCCAACAATTCCCCTGTCATTTCCGAGTCCTGCTTTGCGAAGGCTTCCTTGGCTTTGGGCGTTGGAGTGAATGTGTTGCCCACACTGTCACGGGCAGCTCCTAGAAAGAATGGAATGATCTCGACGGACACCCCATGGGCATTGAGAAGAGGGCGATAGCGGAGGGCATTGGTGAAGCCAAACCAGGAATAGGGCGAGACTGACATAGAGGCTTAATGTACCTTTCAATCAAGTTGTCGCAAGAGAACACTTACCACAGTCCACATAGATTGTGAGCTTGCCACCCTGTGGTCGACCCATCATGGAGTCAGGCCAATCCAGAAGAGCTGCTCTTTTTCTCTCGGTTCCGGAGTTGGATCTATATTCCTTACAGAGGTTGGAGGAACGGGTGGATATCTGGCCTTTTTTCACTGGACTGTGTCTCTGCCAGTTTTTCAATCATCGTCCCAAAGTTTCATGTTCCAGGCTAGGAATGTAGATGCTTTTGATTGAGACATGAACCTAGGTCAAACCAAACAGTAAGCACGATAAGCCGACAATCCCAGTGTCGTCCCCAAGCAGCCAATCACAGTGGCGGGTTGTGCCGAGGTCTGTATGGAGTACTTCGACGAGACCGACTACCCGTACAGGCACCTTTTCACACCCTACAGGCATCTACAGAGTACTATAGCAGTACCTAGGTACTAGTAGGTAGTATGAGTGTTGAACGACCATACGACTAATCATTGAATTCAAGTTCGCGCTTCTCAGTTCCGTCACTTGCTTTCTCATGCCTACATGACCCGATCACTATCCCCTCTTGCTGACTGAATACCAAGTCGCCGTAGCGGCCGTAAGGATCTACCACATATTGGCAATCCCCATTATTCGTATATGTATCAATGGGGCAAAGGAAAGGCACGGGGACTGGGATTCATACCACAGTTTGCATCTCAGGGCTGAGGACTGGTCCAGATGTCTGGACCATGGGACAAGCCAGTTGTCCAGGGCTCCCTTGGATGAACTCGGTAGAACACGTTTCCATTCCAAACTATGCCTAGTCTTTCAACCGATCCATACTTGGCCACTCAATGTCCTCCTCATAAATCGTCATTTCCCTCGTGACAACAAACAAATCCCGAGTCCATCCAGTCACCTCAAGCACTTGGTGCTCAGAGCTTCGAGAACATGCTGACCTTCTGGGGCCGGACGTCCAGTTCCTGAGTCCAAGCACTCCTTGGCTGGGTATGTAGGAACCAGTAGATCTGAGCAAGGTCCGCAGGACGGGCAAGATGTGCATCAATGTCATCGAGTTTCTCACCCTGCCCTTGCCGCTGCCACTGGCGTCGTGAAAATTCCCCAATCAGCTTCCCATCTACGGGGGTGTCGACGATGATGTGGGCGGCGTGGATGCCTTTCTCCTGGTACTCGCGTGTGACGATCTGTGACAGAGAGCGTAGACCGAACTTGCCCGGCGAGAAGCTGCTGAGGCCTGGGTTGCCGCGCAGCGACCCCGTTGCGCCCGTATAGATGATCGTTCCCCTGCCCGCGGCCAGCATGTCCGGCAACACGCATTTGGTCGCCCAGAAGGCGCCGAAGAGGTTGATCTTGGTGAAGCCCTCGAACTCTTCGGTCGTGGTGTCGAGCACCGACCGGCCGTTCACGCGGCGTGCCCCGGCGTTGTAGACCAGGACATCGACAGGGCCCAGGTCGCTGCGGATCCGGTGGAAGCTGGAGATGACAGACTGCTCCTCGCGTAGATCGGTGATGTAGGAGTGCGCCGTGCCTGCACCGTAGTCGGCGTCGATGCCCACCGCCATCTTCTGCAGTTTGTCTTCCGTCCGGGCGAGGAGGGCGACCACGAAGCCCTCGGCAGTGAAGCGGCGAGCGACCGCCTCGCCGATGCCCGGACCTGCGCCTACAACGGCGATGACGGGCTTCTTTGAAGTGTATTCCGACATGACTGACTGTGGGTTATCTGCTGAAAAGGCTCACGCTCACCAAGTGGAAGTGAAGCAGACCTAGATCGAAGTAAGGAGCAGGGGGACAGGCGGCATTAAGGCAGCACACTTCTTTGTGTTGTTTGTCGATATCGCTGAGAGTCGAGAAGACTTTAGCTTCTAGTTTCTCATCGAGGATCGGATAACTGATTCCACGATAGATGTTATAACGTCAACAGCCGACCGCCAGCTTGTTGTCCGGTGTGATCCTTGAAGCTCGTGTTCGTAATGGCAGCATCAGTAATCTGGAGACTCAGGGACCTCGGCAGCAGTCCTGCAAGCGCTAACACTCAGTTTCTCATTTCATCTTCTACTACACCGGCGGGGAATAGTAAACACACTCTGTCTCGTGGCCTGGAAATCAAGATGGCATGGACATTTTTGAGCGCCGGACCATGATTTTACGGCAGTAAACGGCGACAATCGTGATGCAGTAAGTAACGGGCAACATGTAAGGCTACCAAGCATCTAGCCAATCAGATATCACAAGGCTGAGCATTTCGCTCCATAGTATCTGCCCCATCTGTCGTCGGCTCTTCATATATTATATTACTTGAGCGCCAGATATTGGATTTGGAGTGATCTCTTTCTCAGATAGTGTTTGCCAACCCAAGATCAATCACCACCCGCTGACTTCATCCTCGCCCTCCAGCGTCCTGCGCTGTAGACCTTTCGCGATTTCATCCGCTGTTTTCCAGACCCTCAAAAGATTTCCACCCGCAACCTTAGAGGCATTCTCATCACTTACGCCCAGGTTTAACAGCTCGGCAATCAGGTCAGGGTACTTGTCTACCCCTTCGAGACCTCTGGGCGTCAGCTCACCCATGCCATCGAAGTCACTGCCTAGTCCGACATAATCGTAGCCAATCTTCTCACCAACATACATAATATGGCGAGCCACTTGATGCAGTGTGTTGTTCTTTTCGAAAAACTCGGGGAGCACGCTCGAGTTCGGGGGCGGTAGACAAGAAATGAAAGCAGGTGAGAAGTTGATCATCACCAGGCTCTGGGTTTCTTTCACGAGATCCAGGATATCATCGTGGACATTTCGGGGATGCGGGCATAGAGCGAAGGCCGACGAGTGTGAGAAAATGACTGGGGCCGCAGAGGTTTTGTTGCTCAGAACCGCTTTCTGTGTCCAATAAGATGTATGGGAGATATCGATGAGCATTCCGAGACGATTCATTTCCCTCACGACTTCTCTTCCCGCTGCTGTCAGACCACCCCTATGGTAGGGCGCAACTGCTGTCTCTCCCTTTGATGTGATTAATGCAGCATCGGCAAAAGCATTGTGGCAGTTCCATGTAAGTGTGGCAGCGCGAACACCCAGAGCATAGTACAAGCGAAGAGTCGATAGAGGGGCAGTTTGTGGAATTTGATGTAACCCTTCGATGCTGATTGGAGAGATCAGCGATCTCGAAGCATGAAAATTGGACAGAGCTTCTGACAGAGGGGCTGTTGCAGAGGTAAAGTTGTCGGGATAATGACTTTGGAGCCGACGTATCAAGTCTATTTGGGAGAGGGTATGTGCCACGGCGCTCGAATAGGTCTCATCGGAGAAATCGTCGCTGGCATCATCTGGGCAAACCACAAAGGCGCTCCAAAAAGCGCCTCCATTTTGCCCTCTTCCCAGCCGCGGAAGATCGACGTTGAAGCCCATACCTCCATGTTCAAATTTGTCTTTGAACTCGTCCGAGTATAGTTTATTCTGGTATGCACCTCGAATGAAAATGGCGAGATCATTGTGCCCATCAATCAACGGCGTTCCCTTCAGAATAGCAGAAACGCGGTCAGCGACTGTTGATGGCGGCTTGTTTGGTAAGGGTATAGGGTTATTGTCTTGCAGGGAGGGTCCCAACAGAGTTATCACGAAGCCCATGAAAACCACGATGGTGAATATCGAGGCGATGGTGCTCAAGGCTGATCTGGCGGATGTGAATGGCGCCGCGTGGGCATCGTCTTCCTCGCTGTCATCTTTCCAGTCCCCGCCAACAGAGGTCTGCGACTCGGACGACTTTACATCGTGATATTGTCCAGTGCTTGAATATCCATAACCTTGTATCTCTGGAGCGGGTTCGTTTCGAGGAAGCAGAGGATCGAGCTCGGTCTTGGAAGACATGCTAGGGAATGGTGGCGGTGATACAATGCAAACAGGCTACCCGTTTTGTCAAAAGGTACTTGGGTATCAGTGCAGATGTTGTACCTGACGTGTAGCCAAGTATTGTAAATGGTATGCAAGATGCCGTCTGTCTTGTCCTACTACATACTCTGTCCGCAGCAGACGAGCCTCCGCAGGCTGCATCCATCGGTCGTCAATGGCTCTTATCGTTGATTGAATCCAATTCGGACGGCGGAGATAAGCATATCATCACGTGTCCAAATGCGGAGGTGATTACATAAGGTGTCCCTGAACGGCAGATGCAGAGCTGCACAGCGGCGTCTCTTTGTGTGCAACTGTCAACAATCCCGACGCGCTGCTGGTCCCAACTTGAATCGACTTGGACCACTTCCATTGCATAGCACAAGGACGGGCACGCACAGAGTCAACTGGTCCTGAACGTCAAGCAGCTCCAGGCCAAGCTTGGGTGTAAGTAACCCGCACTGGCAGGCGTGTGAAGTGAAACGCGTCTCAAATTTCCCTGCTCGCCGTGTGCACGCGAGACCCCAGATCCACCTTGATTCTAGTCTTGACTGTCATCCGGTTTGCCAGAAGATGGAGCCTCTGATTCTGAAATCGGGCACCGGTGATGAATGACTACTTCCCTCCTCCTCCGTCACAGCTACTTCCTGCAGAAAAGCTAGTTGCTGATCGCTGCTGCATCTATCAGTCATGTCTGCCAACTCTGGAAGCGGCGGAGTACGAAACCTTCGGGCCATGTTCGAGAACAAAGCCAGCGATCAATCAACATCTCCCCCGAGTCGAGGCCGATCTCCGAATCCTTCAGAGCTTTCCAACAATAGCAGGCCTATCAGCAAGGTCCGGGCGAGCTTCGTTGCGGTAGAAAGAAACGGGGAAACCGCAGGAGCACCCATTCTCGGCCTTCGACGGCTGAACAGTGAACTCAGCAGTCAGGGCAACCCGACAGAGAACCATACAATGGACGTCGGCAACTTTGATAATGCACTGGTCGAGACGCAGGCGCCTATATTAGCAGACACCACACATGAGCCTGAAAATTCACAACCGACAGCCAGCGACACGGTCGAAGGCGGGTTGGGCAGCATACTGAAAGGATCCGCCTTTGAAGAGGACACGCCAGCCAAAGACACTTCCGAGGCGAGGAAGCTAGGCGAAGCCCTCTCTTCTGGACGGCCACAGGGCAAGATCGCCAAATCGCCATCGACCCCGAAAGATGAGGCAAAGGCTGCGGAGATGGTTCAAAAGATGGAAGCTGGTAAGAGAAACAAGTCGGGGCCTCCCCCAACCACTTTACTTCAGACGACGAAAAGCGCTCAGCCAGTCAAACCTCCTGCTACAAGACAGCCCACCGCAAAGCCCGTACCCAAATCTCCCGTCACTTCTAGGCCCTCGCCAAAGACGCAGACGTCGCCCATGGCACATATAAGAGGAGGTCCAGCGAAAATAAGAGGGGTTATGGAGTCCGCAAAGGCGGCGCAGAGAGCAAGAGAAGTGCCTCAGCAGGACGCCGTAAAATCAGACAAGAGGAAATCAGACGCACACAAGTTGGACACGCAATCCAAACCGAAACCCACCACAGAAAGCGTCAAGAAGGAACGGACTCCAACGTCACCCAAGGCCGCCCGATCACTGGGACCCGTGAAGCCCAGATCACCAACTGTACCCACCAAGCTTCCTCCTGTTGCTACAGCATCGACGGCAGCTTCGGCGGCCCGAAGTGATGCTCACCACTCCCCAACCGAGCCGAACTACCGCAAGCCTGTTGCCAGAAAGCCATCTGCCACAGCTGTCCGACCGCCTCGAGCTAGTATCTCGTCCACTACATCTACGTTGGCGAAGAAAGCATCGCGCGCGTCTTTGACAAATGGTCATGACAGACCGCAGTCTCGTGTGAGCACGAGCAAAGCTGATGACGGGTTTCTCGCAAGAATGATGAGACCAACCGCGAGCAGTGCACAGAAAGTCCATGAAAAAGTCCTGATTAATAGTCCACCGAGATCGAAGGTTCCATCATCTCACAAAGCCAAAGATGTCACGAAGCACAAACCGCCGCCGAAGATGCACCTGCATCCTTCCAAGGATCATGAAAGCGAAAATAAAGAGAATGGAATTGCTGTTGACCAGAGAGCATGGCCGGAAGCAGCAGCAATCTCTCCTCTTGCCGTGGTCAACGAAGATACGCCGCCCAACACCGAGAATCAAGCATCTGCCCCTGCATCGACAGAGGCGACGGATAAGGTGAATGGAGAAGGAATAGCAGCTTAGTGGAGGAGGATCAACTTTGGTCCCCAGGATTCTCTCTACCACCGGTTTACATGATTTTGCATCACAGCGATTTAGCGACGGATTCTGACAACAGTCTCTTAGCGGACATCGGGAATGTCATTGACATTCTTCTACTCCTATTCTGGCCACTGATCGTCTTGTGCCTGGCTTGTTGCCTCAGATTTTGGCCGCTGGACGAGGCTGTTGCTGTGGCCCAAAGTGGTAAGGCGACATACTTTGCCCCTATTCAAACCCATTTGCGGCGTTGAGACTCTATTCAAGTCGACATTGGGTCTAGCTTTCTCTATTCAGGTCGAGATCGAGTATAGCCCGTCTTCATGTTTCATTATTCCATTCTGCGCTCTGCCGGCCATCGACTTTGTCTCTGCTATTCATCTCTCTTTACAGCCTCTGTTCTTTGCAGTTCTCTTTCTTCGCTCAGCACCACAACGATGGGGATCTCGGTGATGTTGCGGCATCTGGGCTCTGTCTACCTCCCGCTTTTCTTTGTGTGACAATTTTCAAAGCGACTTTCCGAGCTCTGCAGTGGCAGCGTATAAAGTACATGGACCGGTCATGTTCCCCAGTCATTCACCTCGTATACACACTCACAAAACTCTTACAATACCAAAAAAAAGCCGGAAAAGAAAATACTTATGATGCAGTTAACAGCTTCAACAGTTGCAGCCATCCTGGCCTTCACTGTAGCCCAGGTTGGTGCCCTGCCTTCCCCTCAACAAACTACCACCGGCGACTCAGTGGCCGCGACCCAGACACCCCCTCCCCCGTCCGCTCCCGAGTCTGTCCCGGTCTACTATCCCGAGGAGGAATTCTACATCGAGAAGCGCTGGACGCCCTCGAACCATCCGGGCCAGGGTGAAGGTCATGGTCAAGGAAATGGCATGCCACCCAAGTGGCAAGGTGGTGTCCAAGGTAACGGCGGCACCGATCGCCATCCATATCAGGGCCAACACGGCGGCCCCAGTGGTATGGGCTTTGGTTCTCACGGCTTCCACGGGCCCATGCCCGACTCCGACGAGTACGACGGCTACGATGATGACGTCCAGGTTGCACGTGGGGCCCGTCGCGCCATCAACCTCGACTTCTCGCCCGAGGACCACGATGACGTCGAGCCCGCCGTTCACCCGCTCGGCCGTCGTGCCATCAACATGAAGCAGTACAAATGGTACGAGTACCAGACCAGGAAGCCGTTCATGGGCTTGGTCGGCGGCAACCCCAATATCCGCAACCTCAACTTCAGGGACCAGAGTCGGACGCTGGGCATGGGCCTGCGTCGCCGTGACGCCGCTCCTCCCATGGCCCGTTCTCTCGTGCCCACTCGATACCGGGAGCCCATGGAACGCGGCCATTTCGGTCCCATGCCTGATGAGGTCGAGGGTGGTGACTTTTACTACTATCCATATGATGAGGAGAACTAGAGCTCAGATCTAGTTGTCTTGACCACCGGCGGGTGAGGAGAAAAGATTGCATGTTTCGAGCTCTCTGGAAAGGGCGCGGGGTTGAGTCTCGACTGCTAAGCAGGATATTGACGCTGGACGTCGGTCTCCTCTTTGGCTTGAGCAATTTGAGTATCTAACCTTCCATGCTTCTACCTTCCTGTCCTTAACTTCTACACAACTGTTCTGGCATGCTAAAAGCCTCCTCCTTTGTTCGTACGTTTGTTTCTTATGAGCTCACAGTTCCTTCATTCTGCCAAATTTCAATTCCTCGCATTCGGACTCGGTGCATCTGTCGCTCCTCCATCGGACCTGTGCTGCGTCCGCTCCTTAGGAATAATCGTCGATATGGGCTGCTTCCACCGATACCGGCACCAGGAACAGACTTCGAATCTGCAACAGTTCCGACAAAAATCAAGAAGAGAGAAGAGAGAAACGTACCAGAAAGAACGTGGGACCATGAATTCATCTATGGACGACGCATTCATACCTCATTGTTAGATTATGCTGTGGAAAAGGATCACGCATGCTGAGTGCAAGGGTCGATAAAGGGGATGTTCAGCCTCGCACGTGACCTGGAGGTTATGGCCATCGAACTTCGACCTAGGTGCCCTCACAAGCATGGATGGAAAGTGATTAAATAATGTCCCAAGGTGTAAGATGGATGAGGATTGCCATCTCGGTTTCCAGTTTCTCTTCTAGAGGAGCCTAATTCGAGACAATTGCTTTTCTTTTGAACCATCGACGCCAATCCATGCTGGAATCTGTACACACAAGCACAAGACGAAAAGCGGCACAGCAGAAATACCGCTTGCCTGCCCAAAATGGTGGAATGCAGGCTTTTGACAGATCAAGGTCTTTTTTGACAAGATGTAGAACCCCCGCCCAAGCCAACATCGACTCCCTTTTTTTCCTAGTGTGCAACACCGCCCCCACCCCAAGGGGCTGCTTTTTTTTCCCGTCAGTCATGAAAAACCCCATCAACCAATCGAGTACGCAGTTCGTCATCATCGTCGTTGTCGTCGTCATCAGGCATGTCCATTTCCAGTGCCGTTCACTGTGGCCGCGGTGCCGTTGACGAGTTTGCCGCCGAGCTTTTCTCGGCGTTTTCGCACGGCCGAGGCCAGCATCTCGAGCACCTCTTCTGTGTCTTCCCAGCCGATGCATGCGTCGGTGATGGACACGCCGTATTTCAGACCTGATTTGCCCTCGGGTGGCACTTTTTGGTTGCCTAGATGTGATCACCCAATGTCAGCAATTGCGCGTTGTTCAACCAAAGGGGGATAGGTCCGGACGGAACCACTGTTGCGACGAGTCTTGAAGTGCTAGGTGACATGACAGGCCGGGCTTACCCTCGTTGATGTGACTTTCGATCATGACGCCCATGATACCTTCTTCCCCGTTCTCGATTTGGTCGGCCAAAACCCTGGCGACCTTGGGTTGGTTCTTATGCTGCTTCTCGCTGTTCCCGTGTGAACAATCCACCATGACTCTAGGGGGAAGACCTTTGGATGCCAGGCTCTCCTTCGCCTTGCGAATGCTTTCCTCGTCGTAGTTGGTGCCTGTGGTGCCGCCGCGCAGGATCACGAAGCAGTCTTCATTGCCTACCGTGCCCACGATGGCCACGACACCGGGCTTGGTGACGGACAAGAAGTGGTGAGGATGTCGAACAGCGCCGATGGCGTCGATGGCGACGCCTAACGTGCCGTCCGTGCCGTTCTTGAAGCCTACGGGGAAAGACAGACCCGAGGCCAATTCCCGGTGGAGTTGTGACTCGGTGGTCCTGGCCCCCACGGCGCCGATACTCAGCAAGTCGGCCAGGAATTGAGGAGAGATGGTATCCAGCATCTCACTGGCGAGGGGCATACCCTTGTCCGTCAGGTCGACGAACAACTGTCGACTTAGCCTCAGCCCCTTGTTGATCTTGAAACTGCCATCGATCTCCGGGTCATTGATGAGTCCCTTCCAACCAACCGTGGTGCGAGGCTTTTCTAGGTACGACCGCATCACGATGACAAGGTCATCCTGGTGTTTCTCCTTCAGCTTCAGGAGCCGGTCGCAGTAGTCGAGCGCGGATACCGGGTCGTGGATGGAGCAAGGGCCAACAATGACAAGCAGGCGGCGATTGGGGTCTTTATCTTGGATCACGGCAACGCAGTCATCGCGCCCTTTGAGGACGGTGGCTTTAGAGGTGGCTGTCTGGGGGATTTCATGTTGCAGTAGGTCTGGTGGTGTGAGAGGATTGTAACCGCGGACTATGCGAGATTCAGTCAGAGACAACGAGGCATTCGAGTCAAGCGTAAAGAGAAACGTACTCCGCCAGTCTTCAGAGCTCTCTCTATTACCGACGTTGGGGTTGGTAATGTAGTAGGACTGTATCCGCAAGAGTGTCAGTGAGTCACCCGTCGGAAAGTGTTCGACGGTGGTGGCTAGCACGGTAAATACTTACAGCCATTTTCTGTGTAAAGGGAACAACTCAAAGAGAAAAGAGATTTACCGCGAAAAGAGAACCAAGCACAAAGCGGGCAGAAAGATGTTCTCGTCGACTGGTGAGGATGCGCAAATGTTGAAGCTCGCGGCGGCGGCGGTGACGATGCGAAGCGGCCACCCGCAAAAAACATTAATTACACCACAAGTGGTGCGAATACCTACTGATACTTACTGATACTTGTTTCTCACTTTCTGGACCTAGTTTCTTCAAACTTACCGGTAACAGTCCGTCACAAAGGTCTCGACTGGGCCCAGAACTCAATGGCCTGATCACGTGATATAACGACGTGGAATAGCGAGTCTCTGATTGGCCAAGAGAGCCTTCAAACGCAGCCTTGCCATGCATTCCCTTACTATAGGTACGTACCTACTAGGTACTGCCATCTTGTACACGAGGCTTTCCCTTCCATACCTAGTGAGGCAAGTATTGATATTAATATTTGGTCCTGGTATTCAGGTCATCGAGGTCATCACTGGCGCGGCCTTTTGCTCTTTTCTGCCACCCTACCAAGTTCCACTCCCCAAACATCTACATCCCATGGCCAGTCTTCCTCTGGCCATCTGCCACCCAGACACAATGCATCCACAGCGATTCAGGAACTATTGCGTCACTTCAGTAGTCTATGCTCGTCGCCCCATTCACCTCCGTTTGCTGCACTTCGAGGGCTAGCGCTAATGCATCATGGAACAGATCAATCAAGCAACCCGCGGACCACGCCTGAGTGGGTGACTATACGAGAGTTAGCATCTCCAGTGTCATACAGGCTCTCGTTCAACAACATACCGAATCAGCGCAGAAGGTTCCATCCTTGTTGGTCAGTTCCGTCAGCCCTCTCCATGGGCTGTCCTTGACCGCTTGTTTACAACCGACCAGGCGCTGGGTTGCTTGTTGGTATGATTCCAACCGAGCCGCCGGAGTGTATCGCCGCATCAGATCAAACTTTAGCAGCGCTCGCAAGAAGAATCCAGTTGGCCACAACCATTCAGGTCCTTGGTGATAGTTCCTCCCTTTCGAGGTCGCAAAGTCCGCCGAATCTTCCGAATTGTTGTAGTAGGGGCGGTAGTTCAAGTCCGATGGGTCGAGCGTTGCCATCCCTGTTGGACCGCGTAGGACATCGTCGGCCGTCTTCAAGGCCGACAACGCCCTTTCAGGTGTGAACAGGTCGGCAGCCACCGCCATCGCGATGGGGAAGTTTGGCCGCAGTTGGTAGTCCTCGTACGGCTTTCCAGATCGATATAAGTCTTTGTAGATACCCCGACGATTGACAAGTTTAGGGTCAATGTCATGGTCAGCATCTTCCTTGCGGTCCGCAGGAACCCAATAACATCGCTCAAAGCTGGATTTGATGCGATCCGCCCACTCGGCAAACGAAATCTGGTCTCCTTGCTCGGTCTTCACTCCCGAGTACTGGTATTTTCCCTGCTTGTGAAGCTCGGAAACCCACCTCAAGGCACTGTAGGAAAGCCCGGTGATCTCCACAGCTGCCCCGTCTCGAGGCGTTCCAGGGACTCCTTTGCTACCAGCGCGTTCGCTCTCGCCCATCTTATCCATCCAAGTTCCGCAGTTGAATTGGTTGCCTCCAAATATAATCCCCGTCTCCCAATCCACGTGGACGTCAATCTGAAACCCTTCAGGTCGCATTTGCATGTCTAACTCGAGTCCAGCATTGTATTCTCGGAACGACAATCCAGACGCATGACGTTGCAAGATTTCTTGGATAATGTCTTCCACCGTGGACTCGGTCGAGTACGCACGGGGGTCGTCGTACGGGAACCATGTATCATCGTAAGGAAGGAATCGTCGGGGGACTTTTTCACGCAGGATCGACAGTCCGTCCGGAACAATCTTGGTGAAATCCTGGATGTTCTGGAGGAAAAACCAAGGGGAGTCTCGTGAGTTGTAGCGAGGAGCCGCACCGCTGCTCAACAAGTTGGGAATCAATCCATGCTTCAAGACGCTTCCAAAAGCTTTGATGTGCTCCTTGGCTTCTTCGAACTGACCAGTACACAAAAAGAGACCGCGCAACGAGATGAACACATCACGGCCCCAGCATCGGGCCCATTCCACGGAGAAGTGAGGTAAACCAGCCGCAAGGCTCGGCACACTCTTGGTTGGCCACAACGAGGCGGACTTGACGTATCCTTCCATTTGTATGCTCACCATGGCCAGACTCTGGAGGAAATCTTGTCCATGTTGAATATTCGGGTCCATCAAGTCCATTGCTCTCTTAAAAGCAGCGTTGTAGGCGACCTGAACAATCAAGGCAAAATAACGCGGTAAGAGGAAGCTTGGGATAATGCGCACTGCATCGAACCGCTCTTTGAACCATTCGGCGGGTTTCTTCAGCTGTGAATACCATTCGCGGTTGGAGATTTTCTCCGTCCGCCCGATAATGAAATCCAACGCCCATTGCCCTGCCCGAAGATGATTGCAAAGAGGGTGCGCGAGATCGTTCCGTCTGACAATACCCTCGAGAACACTCCACCAGCCTTGAAGCCCTGCATACACCAACGGACCGTAACCTGGTATGTGGTAGACTCCATCTTGGCCGGAGCTGGAGTCACGCTCTTCCGCCTCGCACCGGTAGAGCATGACATTCAGATCAGTGAGGCTGAGTTCACCGAATCCTTCCTCCGTCCCACTCGCAATGAACGTTCCCAGACCGAGAGAATGCTCCGCAGACGGAACCCACGTCTCGAAAAGAGCAATCGATCCAGGTGGGAAGAAATCCGCTACGGTGATTGTAGTGTTGCCGTCGCCAGACTCGATAGTGGCGCCTTGGATTTTTTTGACTCGGGAGGGCAACCCGACAAGATGATCTTTGTCACTCAAGGCGGCCTGCTTCGCTTCACTGCTTTGATCCACCTCCAGCGTCCAAGCTCCTAGCTGGCGTGCTTTGGTGCCAGCCAGATGAACAGGACTTAGGCCACCATTGCCATTACCCGAGCCAGGGAACGCGGTGTGAGCAATGAGGAAATAACCTTTGCGGGAGTCCGGATGTACCCGGTGTAGAGTGATGAGTTCACCTTCATGGTGCAAAAAGGTCTCGTCGTAGCCGTCTTTGCCCATCATGGTATGTATCTGATTCAGCACCTTCTTGACTCCGGCGATGCCGCCTTCACCCGCTCCCGAGCCAACTTCTCCTTCGGAGCTGGCTGACGTGTATGTACGGTGCTCGTGCACAATTTCAACCAGCTTTGGGTAAATCTCGTCGAATCCCATGACACTACCCGTTGCGCATGCACACATGTTGACGAGCGCGGCTGTGGGTAGGGTGTCTCTCGCATCACGTTTTTGAGCTGGCGTCTCGTTGTCATGGGTGCAATCCATAAACAGAGCATGCACTGGACTTTCTCTGATATGATTCACCACCTCCTGGGTCCTTGGGCCGGTCCCATTGGTAATGCCATTAGCCTGCTTCCTTGATCGTTGAGGGACGTTGATCTCAAAACTGCCGATTGGTCGACCGCAATGCCGATGTACGATTCTGCTCAGTTCTTGCGTGCTCCAAGCCTGCATGGCCTCCCGAATGAGGGCACTGAGACCTAGGCGCTTCACAAAGACGTAATCGGTCTCTTCATTGCCGGTAAACAGCTCTGCGAACACGGCCAAGTTCGGCTGGACCTTCCTGGCTTCATCAAGAAGATATTCTGCAACATGAATTGGAGTAGAGTGGCAATTGTCGATTCGGAAAGCCGTGAAGTATTTGGCCATTAGTCGAACGTATTGTGTCATGTGTTCCCACAGGTAAGGATTATCTTCTGGCCCGGTTCCGTACCGCAGCTTCACGCAGTCGCTCCATGGAATGAGCTCTCTTCTGAGATAAGGACGCCAGTCCGGACCTGCGTTGTCCTTCATGGCGTCTGCAGCCCAGATCCATCCATTCACTGCAAGGGACAAGCACCTAGGGTCGTGCTTCTTGGTTGTCTCGTTGAGCGGGAGTCGGGCAAAGTAGGTTTCGATCAAAGGGTTTTCCTTGGTGATAGGGCCCAATTTCGGGCCGTTTGGGTCCAGCCTTGTGTACTGTAACCTGCCTTTGACCTGATCGATAATCGTTGCGACATCCGCGTCATACTCCCGATAGAAGGGAAGGTTGAGCTCGTTCAAGATCGCGGTTATTGCAGCTTCGGCTGCACCTACATCGGCGTCGTCTTCGTACCGTCCATACAAGACCGTCAACACGGCCGAACCAATCTCAGGGTTGACTTTCCGAGAAAAGCGCCCGTCTATGCGCAGACCATTGAGCAAACCCTTCTCCTTGAGAAATTTTGCTTTCTCATACAGTGACCATAATTTCAACGAATCAAGCCCGCCACCAACAGAATCCTCGAAGCCTCCCGAGGGCAGCTTGGTGGCTCCCTTTCTCCAAGCGTCAATGACATCCTCTGTGTCGGACTTGACGTCGCAGACGAAATACTCCCATAAGCGCATTTTGTTGATAACGTGCTCCTTGATTCCATCGATCGTCCTATCTAGATCATTGGCGTTTTTGAAGATGGTTGGGAGGCCCAGTGACTCGAGCTGATCACTATATTCGAGGAGAGCGTTATCCAACTCCAATGCCGATTGGAGCCAGGGCGCAGTCACAGCATTGTAGCCAGCTTCTGGATGCTCCTCTAACCATTTGCTGTTATTGGCAGTGTGGTTGAAAACAACGTCAGTCAGACCTAGTAGCTGGTGCTCCTCTTCCATCGACTTGACCATTTTCGCGATGTCCTTTTCCCCGCCAGGAAACAGCTGCGCATCAAAAGCCAGCTGGTCGTATAGACTGTAAGGTGAATCTGACTCGCCCCTCTGTTGCAAGGGGGTGAAATGGACCATGTTGTAGCCTCTCCCACTGATACCTTTGAAGTGCCTGTCCCAATCCTCTGGGTACTTTCCCATGAACTTGGAAACGACAGAGAAAATACCCAAAGCGTCCAAGGGCAAGCTCGACCCGGCCAGACACAACCTTGGCTCGATGTCGACATAGTAGGTTTGGGTGCGAGTCGGTGGTGGTGTTTCGACATCTTCGAGGGAGAATATCGGTAGCGGAGTGTAGGTAGTGTAGAAGGCAAATGCTCCCGCGCAGGTAATGGGGATGTCAATTTCAAAGGTCTGATTGAAATCCGGATGCAACTTGTACTCGCGGAAGTGATGTCGGTCAAACATTTGGCCAGGTTCAGGGATATTCACCCAAAGACTTCCTTGACGGCATATTGAGCTTGCTCCCTCGATAGCGAACCTCAAGTAGTAGGCTGGGTCGGTAGGCGCAGGCAGGTAGATGTATTCATGAGGCACGTCTGGGGCGCCAGCATCGGTGAGAGGGAGGAGGTAGACCTGACGAGTACTCTGATGAGTCTTAGAAGGCATGATGCAGATGCAGCCCCGCAGAGGGAGTGTGACAGAGCTCGTTGCTGGAATTGAGGACGCAGAGCTATCTCATAGTTTGCTCGTCCAGGCCAACGCGGAACAGTCTCGAGGAGGGATCGAGGAGGTCTTGCGGGTAAAGGAGGGAGGTATGATTGACTAGAGATAGTGATACAGGGAGAAGGGGTAAGGATAAAGGAGAACAAGTTTGCTAGTCGACGCCGTTGTCGATAAGATCAATGGCAGTAAAGAATCAAGTCATGATGGTTGAGAAAAGTCTCGGTCGCCGTCGTTTACAGCAGGAAGCGTCGGCCGGCGCAGACAAGGATGGGAGAGTTCATCGGAGTGTCAGAGTACCTGCCTATCTGCCAATCTGCCAACCTACCTGCTAGGGACGGTAAGTGGCGTGCCCGGTTCCTGCATCCCACTCTTTTTGAGGGACGAATGGCGGGGGAAGCAGCAATGCGCGCGAATATATGATTAGGCAGCTGAGCCCCTATGGGCCTCTGAACCACCTTTAGCTTGCGGGCGGTCAATCGGTAAGCGGAGGCCTAAAATGCTTCTCAAGTCTCCAGGCATTGTTAGGGACCTACCTACCTACAGAATAGGTACCTAGACCGATCTCTGTCAGTCTCGTAGCCACAATGCGAAGCCCACTCCAGCGTCAGTGGCTTGTTGAGATTGTTGTTGAGATGATGGCAGTGGCACATTTTAGCAGTGTTGGAATCTCGTTAAGCAGCGGCCCACACTCAATACTAGTAATTCCTTGTTGTTCGCGTCATCATCTGGCAGCAGTACCTACGTACCTACCTAGGTAGTGTCGTAGCTGCGGTTGCAATCCCAAGTTGCTGGTACAAATGCTGCCACAATCGGAATGGGATAGTAGAGGCAAGGCGTAGAGCCCGGTCGAGCACTTGCAACATGTCAGCGATCAATGGGACTGTACAGCCCACTGAATAAGGCATGAAGCAAGTAAATACGGGGTACTAGTACAGCCATGATCAAACTTGAACTTGATGGTCATGGAAGCTTTCAGTGCAGTGCAGTGGTGTGGCAGAGGGATACGCAGATACCTTAGTACTAGAAGGTTAAAGTCTCGAACAACCTCGTGACTATTTGCACAGAAACGTTGCTAAAAAGCCCTCGGCTCTAATCTGTTCCATAAGGTAGTAGCTTACCTTGTAGCGGTGCTGTTGAGTAATACCTAGTACCTCCTGTCGAGTATCTTCATTGTTGAAGTAACTGCCCTACTACTACTTTCAGAGATACCAGCACCACGGGAAGACGGAGCCCTCCGCGAGTCGTTGCTTTCGCCGTTCGCCGCCGCGAGTACCTAATGCCCATACTACGTAATAAGGTCATAATGGCATCTTGGCCCGTTAAGTCTACAAATTGAAGTTCGAGTTTGCCAGTGCCAATGCGCGAGTCGGACAGACGTGATGTAAACCTGGACAAGCTAAACACATCAAAGATGCTGATTCTCTTACGTCTTTGCTTTCAATGTGGTCTGCCCAGTGCACATCATGATGCAAACTCTTCCAGCGACCGGCCCCAGGCTCTTTTCACTCCGCACGTGTGACCATCAAACCCTTTTTTCTTTGCACTGCCCACTGGCAGCCCAAGGCGCAATGATGCAAAAACTGCAGTGAGGGATGTAACACACGCGCCAGCCAAGATGAGTAGAAAAGATGTACACTACTAGTAGATCCTATAGATATCCCCCTTCCATCACCATTGTCCCATACATCTACTACCAGTATACAAGTAATTATCGACCGTTTGGCTCTGCACTCTCACCGCTGTTATCTCCTCGAACCTGTCTTCAAGCAGCACCACCGATTCATAGGTCATTTGTGTGCACACTCGCCTCTCGACATCATTGCCGAAGACTGTATCTAGTCGCTTCCCAATTCAGGAGAACTGTTTCGCAGACAGAGAATATACACACCCAACTTGATTGTTCTTGTGCTCTCTCGTCGGATCCGGGGTTGAAAATGTCCAAACCCGCACCGGCTGTCACCTACGGACGAGGTGGTGCAGGTAAGTCTTAGAACCATGGGAAGCTGGTTCGACAAGACCAGTCTGATGTGGATCTTCGCAGGCAATGTCACCATCAAGACCGCCGAGTCACCCAAATTTGAACCCGAAGGCACCCCTACCTTGAAATCCAAAAAGTACACCACTGGTCGTGGAGGGGCAGGCAATATAGCCAACAACGACTTTGAGCACCCGGAAGAAGCGCGACGCGCTCAGGACGTTGATGTCCCAGGCATAACTCTGCCTGAAGGGTCGTATCATACTGGGAGAGGTATGGGCAATCATGGATGCAGGAGGCAAACCCGACATTTGACTGATCATGGGCACCAGGTGGCGTTGCCAACAGATACACACCCTCCGAGAGCGAGCTTCATGCAGCAAAAGCCCACAACGAAAAAGTGCGCAAGGAATCCTTCCACCGGTCGGGATCTGCGGATCGAGGCACCATCCAAGCACTAGCGGACAAGGCCAAAGAAGCGGTGGCAGGAAAGCACGAAAGCGACAAGCAAGCATGAGCAGAAACATGCTCAAGTTGACTGTGCGAATCGGTGCACATGAATTGATATGGCAATTGGTTCTAGCTTATGCTGGCTCACAGCGGGATCGGACTGATGTGGATGTGTTTTTGGGGGTTCTTTTGGAATTTTCTTGACCAAGCGACGTATCCTGTTCACAAGCGGGCTGTCATGTAAAGGGTATGGTTTTGCGGTGCTGGCTTGTTTTGATATTTTGTCACATCGCTGTGTTGATGCGCTGAGCAACTCGGCGCAACGCAGCAGCTACCGAATCAAACTGGGGATATAACTGGGCGTTTTCCCTGTCCTCTAATTAGCACATGCAGTCTTGAGAACGTCTGTGACCCCTCGCCGTTTCCAAACGTCGCGGGCGAGGACCGAAGTACGTTGGATAGGTCTTCACGGTTCACCAAGACGGGATCAGGAGCTGGCAGAAAGACTCGAAACATGAAGTGACGGATAGGAGCATCTGCACTCCGAACAGCGTTGGGATGTTGCCACCCGGACGGTGCAGTGCATCTCTATGCTATGGCGCCCGAGGACAAAGTACAGACAACATCTCGCCGGCTGTTTGCCTCGAATGGTGCAGCCAACGAGGTCTCACGGAAAGGGAGGTCTATCGGTCAATATGAAGCGCCTTTAATTTTCGACTGGCTTAATGATTCGGTAGGAAGGAGAGGCTTGGATGGTCGAAGGTTTTTGTTGTGCATCAATATTAGTATCGGGGCCAGCCTGCACATGGCCAGAAAAGTGACACGTCGTATCCAAAAGTTGGCTCCTTGCTTGCCTTCCTGTCGACCATAGCCGACTGTTGATCTGACAGGAAACAGTTGGGGCAATTCGCGGAACGACAACCCGCAGGATGGCATGCGAGGTTCATGGAGTCGGTCACGGTGGGAGGAAAGGAATTTGAGGTCTGGCAGATTGTGCAGGCTACGCACGCACCGCATTGCTTGGCCGGCAGCATCATCCGTCTCTGATAGTGTTGCATCTCTCACCTTGGTGTGCCTACGGTACTTCATAGTGAGTAGGACGCTGCAGAAGCAAACAACAGTGATGCATTTGACACACGTGACTGGTGTGTAGTGGCATGCCATACTACTATCTACAGGTATCTTGCTCTCTACAGAGTGAGTATTGGAACCCTGCGGAATATTTTGCTGGAGGTTTTGGGCCAAAGTCCAGACAAAGCTCCGCAACTTGCTGTCAGAAACAGAGAACTGCAACATCATGCCGGCTAGTAGGTTAGGGGTGCCCGCTGGAAATATTGTGCAAACTAGGGCCAGGGCTTGGGCCAAAAGTGATCACCAGCCACTGGTCACTAGTCACTCACTGATCTCTTGACAGGTGGGACAAGGATGTGGTGGAAGGAGGAGCCTGGGGCACTGGCATCCGAGGAGAACAAATGACGGGTTATCCAGGATGCATTATTGCGGTATACTAGGACGATACAGCGTCGCATTATTTGCATTTCGTCCAGGAGAAAACTGCCACGTAAAGTGCCTAGGTGAGGAGGTCGGTGTCGGTATCCCACGTCCTAGTACTAGTAGTAGGATATGAGAAACCTGAAGGATAACGACAACGAAACAAACCGAGGCCACCAGTGCAGTACCTGGTAGTGCTAGCAATGCAAAGACCAGGATGCATTTTATGGTAACCAACAAGAAACACAGTTGATGGCTCAACAAACAAGGGGGATCCTTCAACTCGGGTGAGGGCCCGGGCTGAGCGGGGGCTTCATCAGGACCTAAGGAGCCTAATGTTAGTGATTGTTTAGTTACCTGCCTAAGGTCATATGTAGTAGTGAGGGTGCATATCCCGGTCGACTATATCGGTTTTCCGAGGGGCCTGAGGTGCGAACACTGGAGTTTGAGGTGCCCGAAAACCCCCAAGGTTAACGTAGGTGAGTACGTAGTAGCTATCTTGCCGAGGAGATATACCAGAGGTAGGTAGGTAGGTGCCTACGGTACCTACTCTTCGCGACTATCGGCTTTCCGAGGATTCTGTTTCCATCCTACCACTACTACGCTGTAGAGGACCCAGACGCCCGGGCCCCCTGGACGGTTGCAGTTGATCTATTTCACACGACTAGTCCAGAACAAGAGAAGCGGTACGTGGTAGTGTTCTATTAGGGTGCCTCGATTATTGACCTGGCGCAGATACTAGCAGTGGACGGAAAGCTTACTGTACCAGAGTGCAGAAATTCTGGAGGACCATGGAGGATGCTTGCGAGAAGGCTGCGAATTGCCTGGCAGCGGGGATGCTAAACTTTCGGGCTTTTGGAGACGCCGCCGCCGTCGCCGCCGCCGCCGCTGCCATCATGATCATCCTTTTCTTGGCAGCTTCGCATAGACTCCGAGTCTGGAGTGGAAGACCTGCAGAACTTGAACCTTGAACTGCACACTGGCACTGGCAGGGCGCTGCAACCGGCAACTACCACAGACTTCCTCAAACTGCCAGCGTCTCGTCAAGTGCAGCTGAGTGTTCGGTTATTATTAGCGGTACACGTGCCTGCAGTATCATCAGGTCCCTCCCAAAGATACCGGGCTATCTACCTGCGGTGGTACCTACCTACCTTAAAGTGTACACTGTACACTGTACACCATCAGCACCGCCGCCACCAAAAAACCTATCCTCTTTTCTATTCCGCTCTGTCCAGCACCAACCATCGCCTCCCTCCGTTTCGTGCATTGAAACACGGATTTCGCCATCTCATCCCCAATTGATCGTCAGATCCACGCCACTCATTATCCATCTTCAGACCCTGCCGATACTCCTCTACTCCTCTGTCCTACACGGTACAACGACAGCCACCATCCGAGACTTCTCCATCCCCACCAAGTCTCCGGTCTACTAGTACAACTGTAGCCACCAGTAATACCGCTGCAGCGCCGTTCAAGTGTTCACCCCTCGCTTCCTCGAATCAGCTCGTCCTCCGCTTCCACCGACTTCACATTGGTACATGACTTACTCGGCTTTGAAGACTCTCATCCTTCCAACGACCCTCCTCTACCTGTTCTGAACATAACCACGAGCTCGACTGCGACTGCGAACGCGAACCATACCCGTACACAAACCTACTCCGGGCATTCAGCGCCCTATTCGATTTCTTGTCCGCTTCCGACGGTTCGGTCCACAGTGCGACGCCCTGTTGTGTTGTGCTCTTCGTTTGAGCAGGGACCGACGGCTTGCGAAACCAGAACCTCCCATGGCGGTGCAAATCACTGACAACCCTGGCACTATCTTTGGTAGTACACCCCAGTCGTCTCCCCAGCCTTGTTGTCACGCTTTCTGAGTTCCCGCCCGCGTCAATCGATCTGCGTGTCCGCGTTTGGGTCAACCGGGGTACGCCATAACCTTCACGCCTTGCCGACACAATAACACATCTCATCCATTTTCCGGGCCTGTAAAGGTTCTCTCAACTCCTCAACCGATCTTGATAGTGTTAGCCCTAAAAGAGGGGACCTGTCAAAACCTGTCAAAGATCGTGGTTGTCGCTGTCATATCAACCCGACTCTTCAACCCTCAGCCAACAAATACAGCGCATTACTCCCGCCACAACCCTCTGCTTTCCTCTTGCATCGACCAAGATCCGGCCCTCAACAACCCTTCATCACCTGTTCTTTTGCATCTGTGTATGACTCCGACCATCATCCCCGCTTACGCCCATCGATGGTTCGAGTCTAGGACAGAATTCTGCGTCCTGAGTCGAGGTCCACACCACACTTTCTGTGGCACAGAGTGGGAACCACCAAATACTTCAGATAACAGTCATACACGATGAAGATCTGAAGATACTGGAACTGCTACCATACTGAAACCCCACTGGCATTTTCCGGTGCCCCTGCCTGTCGTTACTGAACACACGTTGTGGAAGAAACATTGCGGCGGAAAGGGCTAACAAGCACCCGAGCCACCTCAGCAGCTTCTTGGACGTCGATCCAAGCATATATCGCGGCGCTCGCTCGCTCGCGCTTTTCCTTCCTCTCTTCAACATCACAGATCTATCTTCACTGACAGATGTATCCCACACACCCGCATAACTACCAGCAGAGGCCCCCGGGTCAGCAACCTGTGCCACCACCTCTCTCTGTTCCTGTGCAGTCCCCCACTCAGAACGGAGCTCCTTATCCCTCTTTCAACATGTCGGCTAATGCGCCGCCGCCGAGTCCAAGTCAAAGTAGCGAAGCGAACGACGAAGCGAATTTTAATCTGCAAGGACCTCCCCCGGTCTCGCGGATATGGGAAGGTCGAGCTTGGGCGCTGGAGGTCGTTCAGCAGCCGATTCGCGCTCGCATGTGTGGATTTGGTGACAAGGTACTAGACTCGCCGCGTTCAACGCCGAAACCCCTCACTAACATACTACCAGGATCGCCGTCCCATATCGCCTCCGCCATGTATCAGACTGATAATATTCGATCCGAGGACAGGGGAGGAGATTGACTATGCGTACGCTCGTGCCAGCCCCGTTTCTCAGATGCATGCTAACAATCGTGCAGGAAAGTCTCTGATCTGTCGAGGCTCGTCTTGAACGTTGATTTGTGGAATCTCCAGGGCTCACGAGAGGATAACTGTGTGAAGCATAACACCACCTCGCCATCCATTTCATCAGTCGTCACAACCGTATATCCCCCAACCGTCACGGGGCCTACACCTGCCACGGCCGCACCACTCCCAACTTACAACGTCGCAAATCTTCCAGCGTACGCATCTCAAACATATGCTTCGCCAACGACGAGCGCTCCTCCCTCCTCTTCATCAGCATTCAATAACGAAGATCCCCGGGGATATAGCAATGGCGGGTCCAGCTTCGGCCAGAGAAATCCGTCTTACCCGCCATATCCGCAGTATCAGAACGGGTATGACCCGACCTACAACTCGCGTGCTTCCACGGGTGGTTCGATCTCTTCTGGAAGCCAGCTACGCTCTGCCCGCTCCTCCCAAGACCTGTCCGGACCTAAAGACACTCAGATCGCCAAGAACCTCATCGGCAGCGCGTCATCAAGTGCCTTCAGGTTGGTTGACAACAAGGGAAAGGTCGGCCTGTGGTTTGTTCTTCAAGACCTCAGCGTCCGCACCGAAGGCTGGTTCCGGTTGAAGATGAACTTCTTCAACCTGTCGGAGTTCTGTCTCACCGAAGGGGACAGCAATGGCAGTCTCCAGAACCCTGAGCTTTTCAGCGAGGCGCCGTGTCTGGCAACGGCTTTCAGTCGGCCCTTCAAGGTTTACAGTGCCAAGAAGTTTCCCGGCGTGATCGAAACCACCGATCTGAACCGACAGTTCGCCAAACAAGGCATTAAAATCCCCATCCGAAAGGTCGATGGAAACAGTAGCAAGAAGAGAAAGGGTGGCGGTGACGATGACGATGAAGACGGCTTGGATGAGGAAGACTAGTGTACTTTATCATCCAGCCACCGGAGCAGCATCGCCTGAGGGAATCGCCGGTCTATCAAGAACAACTACTTACTTAGTGGTGCAACGCATTTCCGCACCTATTAGAAGGGAGCGGTCAATCATCTAGTTGAGGTGATCGGACTGAGCAATGAGCTAGACAATTATTGATACCCAGATACACCGCATCCTGATTCTCGTCTCTCTCTTGTTCTCTTCTGTCCCTCATGGTCTTGCAAGTCGTTCTCTCGCAGATCGCAATGAGTGCTGCTTTAGCTCTACGACGGCGCGTCGATCCGACCAGGCGTATTTGTATTTCCCATGGTAGACTTGGTCCTTGTCATTATTAGTACGTACTCCAGAGTCATGATAGATTTGTCTACGGCTGGCGAGCAATTAGCAGTATAAGTTGGGTGGTGTCATCAAACATCCCTACCGAGCTACCATGTACGATTAAAGCAGCAAGAGCCTCCAACTGGGGATCCAGGCACAACGTCTCCGTTCTCCATGAGGTACCTAGGTATCTAAAGATAGGTATCTAAGATACTCCCTAGACCACTTTGTTGCTCTCCCAAGATACTCGTCCCCTCGACAACACCAGTTGCTTACTCTCGACTTCTCCACGAGGGGCATGCGATAACGCCGATATGACCACAGTCCTGGGTCGTCCGGAGCTTCGTCAAGAATGGTACGGCTCTAAGAGAGCCAGTTGATTGACCTAGTAGACGCGGTCAAGATCATCACATCATGTCGAGACCCAAGAAGAGTTCAGCCACGAACAAGGCGCCGCGGAGAGATCCCTTGGCTTCCTTGAAGCTGGCCGATATTGTCATATCAAAACCAATTCTCCCCGCAGGTAGTGGCTTTCCATGATTCACTGCGTCGTCTCGGTGACTAAAGCATTCTAGAGATTCTGGCTACTATCGTTGATTACCTCGATGTCCCTGATCTATTACGGTTCGCTCGGGTGTCGCGTCGGATGCATGAGATGGTCTACGATGACGCCAGATGGATCAAGAGATTGAGGAGAATGGGCTGTTGGAACGATGCAGAAGCGAGGACGAGAGCCGAGCCGCCCAAAATACCAGCGACTTCGGGCCGCAGACAAAGCATGCTCGATCGCGGTCTTGTGAATGGAAAAGGCAGGCCGGAAGTACTTTTTGAGGTCGACTCCTCCCCCACTCCACGGCGGCGCCCGTCCAACTTGCTCTCACCTCTACGAGCCCGACCGGCTGCGACTGATGGATTTGATGTGGCAGAATTGGCAAACATTAGGGCGGGTGCGGCTACAGAACGGTCGGTTGACCGCGATGCCGCTCTGTCCGTGTTTGAACACGTCAGATCCATCCGAGGACAGGCTAGACAAGAATACGGTAAGATATACAAGCTACTGGCCCCCTACTACATCGACCTGCTTTCCTCCTCCAACCCCATGAACAGCCGGATCTTCGGGGATTTTGGTGCGCCGGAGCAACAGGCACAACTTCTGGCCCATGTCCGAAGGTTTTCTGCAAGCGATTTCTCTCCCGGCTCTGATTATCGAGAAAAGCGACTGGCGGAAGCGGTCGAAATGTTCGATACAGCAGCTTTGCTTGAATTCCGGCGAGGTTATGAATACAAGGATATCCAAAGCAAGATGCGGCTATACGCCAGAGTTATGTACATCCTAAACGGTGGCAAAAGTGGTGTCGACCTTTTCTTAACCGACAACGATCTCATGACTCGGAAAGCAGCGCTCGGCACCGTTTCGGACTGTGTCGATTACGCTTCAGGCCATGGTCAACTTTCCCTGGAGAAGGTGCAGGCCTTCTTTGAGAGACTGGGAGATGCATTCAGCCGCGAGAAGGGCATTATCGAGGCCGTATTTCCAAATGCGAAAGATGTCGCCCTGCTCTTCCTCGAGCAGGTGGCCAAGGATGTTCTCTTGCCATTTTTGTCTTCTTTGTTCGCAGATGCACAGGTTCGTGGGACGTCTGTTTATCTCCGCATCGTGTCCGGAACTTTTGCTGCTACCAGGCAGTTCATTGAGACTGTGGCGTTGCCCAGCGGTGTTGACGACGAGGCTTTATCTCGATCGACCACCGTCCTGGGCGAGCTTTTCGGTCCTCATCTCGAAACTTACCTTGCTGAAGAGTTGAACTCCTTCCGCCGCAAGGCAGATTCGGAGGTCGAACAATGGGATCGAGCATTATCAGAACAAGCAGCTTCCACCGAGAGTTTCCTCATGTCCAACGTCAATCGCCAAGCTGACAAGAAAGATTTCATGTCCTCATTCAAAAAGGTAGTCATGATGCCCGTCAATATCCTGCCCAGTTTTTCGGGTCCTTCCAACAATAAGACTGCGGCGAAAGCGCTCGTGAACGGCGACGTTGTCGTGCCATCACGGCCTTCTACCCCTAGTCTACGAGATTCATGGACCGCAACCTCCTCCCTGCCGGCCGAAGCACCCACCACCGAATTGGCGGCCAAAGCTGCTCTCATGGCTACTAGGCTGGAGAACATACGATCTCTTTTCTCCATCGAAGTGGCGCTGAATCTTGTTCATGCGGCCAAGGCTGCTCTCGAACGGACCGCTCAATTCATTTCCTTGGGCGGCGAAGTAGGTGATTCAGCACGCAATCAATGTTCTGCCATTTTCATCACGCTCCTCCATGCGGTCGGTGTCCGTCACGTCAAAGCCGGATTCGACAAGGCCATTGAGCATCTTTCGCTCTACAATCCACGAGAAGCAAACCCCGACGCCGAGTCGACGTCGCGAGTGCAAGTGGCGCCTTTGGTCACTTTCCTCGAACTGGTGAACGTGGGCGACCTGATCCAGCAAATGCTTGACGTCTTCTACGAGTCGGAGCTGGTGCGTCTGCGCATCTCCAACCGCGACGACTTCCTCGACGTCAATGTGAAGGAGAAGAAGAAATTCGAAGCCATGCTCGACGAACGCGTGGCTGCAGGTATGGGCAAAGGCATTGATGTCCTCATGGATGAAGTGGAATTCATCTGCGCGACAACGCAACTTCCGACCGACTTCTATCCCGAACTCGCCAGCGCCGGTGGTGCGGACGGAGGTGCGACAGGGGGAGCCAATCCAATGGTTTTCGACTTCTCCGGCCAACCCACGGCGACGGCGTCTCGTGTGATACAGCTTGTGTCACAGCATACAAGCATGCTCACGGGCGCGACCGAGAAGACGCTGCTGGACGTCTTCACCACCGAGGTGGGCCTCCGGCTCTTCACCACGTTGACCAAACACATCAAACGGCAACGGATTTCGACGCTGGGTGCTCTGCCGCTCCTCTCTGACTTGACCGCGTATGCGAATTTCGTGGCCGGGTTCAAGAACAACGACCTGACGTCGTATTTCTCGGCACTACGCGAGGTGGCGCAGATCTACCTGATTGGAGGCAAGAGCGAGCGGGACGTCGCGGAGATGGCGACCATCATCTCAGATGGCGAGCGATACAAGGGCGTCTTCACCGTAGAGGAGGTGGTCGAGTTTGCCGAGAGACGGAGCGACTGGCTGTTGGTCAGGAGCAGGGTTGAAGGCAAGGTTAGAGGCGAGGGGTGCGTCCTCATGTGATATGTCGTCTTATGCTCGTCAAGTCGTTTGAGGCTGGGGCGGGCTTTGACTACAAGAAGAGGGTGGTATGTCTGGCAAGATAGTGGCCTCCGAGCGCAAATCTGTGCATAAGAAACGAGAAACAGTGGCCGACTAGCTCCTGTTCGATTCACTCTTCTGTTGGGCCTCGTGGCTCACGTTCTATTTACAAGACGAACTCCTCGCTCTCTCGGTCCTCCTCGATCTCCTCGACGAACCCGGTCTCAGGCTGCTCGCCGGCATCATTGTCGTCGGTCCCCACGCTCCTCCACTCCAACCAGGCCGGCGGGTCCTCGTAGAACTTTGCCAGAACCTCCCTGCCCTCGACGATCCGACTCTGCAGGAAGAGTCTCTTCTTGTTGTGGTTTGCCAGCTCCTCGTAAAGATCCGGGCTAGGAGTCTGCTTTCTTGTCAAGGGCAGCCTGTCAAGTGAAAAAATAGGCGTTCGGATGTCTTGGAGCGCCCAAAACTCTCTCCACACCGGCTCGATCTTGATGTATTCGTCCTCGAGCAGCTTGAGCCAGTTGGCATGCTTGACCACCTTGTCCATCATGCCTGCAGACATGCCGATCCAGTAGAGCATCCAGTCGCGGTGGTTGCACAGGATCTGTTCATTGAGTGTCCAGTTTCCCGACTTGATCATGTGGCTGCGCAGCAGGAGTTTAGGGACGATGGTGCGTTTGAAGACGGACAGGTACGCGAGACGAGAAAGGAGACCCTTGTGATGGATTCGCGACGACTGGAGAGCGGCCATATGTGTTTCCTGCCATACCCACTTGGTTGGGAAGACGGCCAGAATGGATTCACGCGTCAACTCGGTCGTGTTGAAGTCGTAGAATTGGTCGGGCAACTTGCTGCTTTCTGTCTTCCGATCTTTGTTTCTGGCGTGCAACTTGCTGTTCTCTGTCTTCCAATCTTTGAGTTTGGCGAGGAACTCTTCGCGTCCTATCCTATTGTTGAGATTTCTGTCGATCTCGGTCCTGGACGAGGGCCTCTCAGGAGAGTCGGGGAGTTTGGGGAGACGGCGGAGGGTTCGGTTTGTTGGTACATTCGTCCAGGCTACATTTTTGTGTCTGTCTGAGCCTGTGCCTGCGCCTCGTGGAAGTCGGATTCTAAAAACGTCCCTGAATTTTGGGAGAGATGTATCTGCTGAAGATCCGGTCATGGCTTGATCAGTCGCAGTCGCAGTCGCAGTCGCAGTCGCAGCCGTGTCGTTCATCTTGCTTTTGTCCAGGTCTGTGGATTCAGTGGTTGGCTTGTAGGGAGAAGACATCGCGACAGATGTCCAAGATCGGTTTGGAGAGTAGGTATGTGCGACAGAAAGATTTGATCGCGACAAGTAGAAAGAGAGAAAGGAAGTGAGTGCGAGCAAGAAGAGTTGTGATACAGACGAGGTCTATATATGCACAGTGTGTGTGTGGAAAGTGAAAGGAAGGAAGTGAAGTGAAATAAAGTGAAGTGAAGTGAAGTAGGTGCAAATACTGTCTCAGCCTTGTGTTGACTTTCAGCTCACTTAGACACGTCCAACACAAGCATAGCAGAAAAGACCAGCTCAACGACGGGGATGGAATCATATATGTTGGACCTCAGCAGTCCCATTAGTTTGTTCCAGAGTTGTGTGTTTGCTATATCTTTTTTTTGCCTACCGCGGCTCATTATCATCCGGCGGCTTGCTACAGGCTCCTACTACTCATTCTTTGTCTTCTAGGTCACTCACCGTTCATTTCCTGACCTTTGCATCAAACCACGGCTGAAGGGGATCCGTTGGCAGTCCAGTTCAGTTCATTGTCTGCTCCAACAGCCTTGCCACGATCTACCCTTTCTGCAGAGGCAGTCTCCCAGGCGGTGTTTGAAAAGACTCCTCTTTCCCGTGAAGCAGACACTTCTAAATTCAATAACTTCATGAACAATTGATAGTCGTTTTCCTTCGCCCGTTGAAAACCGCATCTGCCGCCAAAGCCGCGATCTGAATTCCAACTGTCTGAATCGTCTCGACTGCCCACTGCTCGCCACATATGGCGCCCTTAATGATCGCCTGCATCAGTACCTGGAGGAGCTGCTTTACGCCCACAATGTCGAAGACTGCCCAGTAGTCTGACACCGGCAGGTAACAGGTTGTAGAATCCATTGTCCATGTAGCACTTGGCTTGTGGGTTGGTCGTGAGAGGACATTTGTAAACACTCCCACACCAGAGGATTGTCGTTTGCATCAAGCACCAATACTGGCATGGTATATAATATATTGTCGCTCAGCTGGAAAGGGTTGAGGAGTACTGCATGCAACCCCGGCCGTAAGTCCATTTGGATTGCGAGGCGCATTATCCCGTATCTAACAATAAATGTTAGCCATAGAGTTGACCGGTGGCTGCTGGCTTATGGTTGTGATTGTTGTGGTAAGCTTGTGAAGATTTGGTGGTCAGGGGCAAGGCTGAAGAATTCAGGGGGCGAGAGGGGGTGAGCATCAAACACACCAAATCCTTTCGCTTCATAACATCTTATTCGAGGAAGACCACATTCCTGGAGATGATAGATGATCAGGGATCTCTTTTATGTCCTGGGTGCCTGAACTTTACCGATATGTCGTCCATGGATGCGCAAACACTAAAAAGGTATTACTCAGTCTTTGAGGACCTCAAGATCAAGGTGAAGCATAAAAATCTCCCCCTTGTCACGACTCCTGTTTGGTATATCCTATCTACCACAACCACCTCTCTAACATCAACCTCAAAACCTATGCAAAAACCCATGGCCGGGGTTCTCCTTCACCTTCCCTGTGAAGTTCGGGACCTGGTTTATGCCGAGTGTGTCCAAGTTCGTGCGTTGGGACTTCTATGCACGAACCAACAGATCTACACCGAATTTATTCCTTTCCTGCGAGAAAAGTTTGTCCTCGCCTTCCGGGTCAACCCCTCGGCCTCGTCCACTGTCATCGAACTCCTGAACCACGACAATTCCCCATGGGGGAACACATGTACTATTGATGTCGCCGGGACACACGCAGACTTTGGCATGGTGGACAAGATGCCGGTCGATCGATTCAGAGGGGTCCGGATCCTTGTCGAGCCCCCAGATGTGAGCGACCCTGGTCAGGTTGTTCGAGGTTTCCTACAATCCAGCGGGCTCGTCAAGGCTTTCTTGCCTCGATGGGCCAATCCAGACCATGCGCCTAGCAGCGAAGCCAAGGTTCTGAATCCTCCAGCAAGATCAACAAAGCGCCTCCCACCACTGACCATCCAAGTGCGAGAAGGAAAGTTCAGGAAATGGCATACTGATGGCCAGTGGAACCACAGCATTCCCGACCCTGTGTCATGGGGCTCTGTCACGAAAGAGCCTTCCCTCATCCACGAAGGCAAAGGCTCTGGTATCAAAGTCATCCTAACACCATTCTTACGCATTAGGTATGCCGAAGCCGTCACGATCGCGCTTCCATCTGACGCACCTTCGGACAAAGCCATACATAAGATCCAGAACTCCCTCGTCAAGTCGTGTACCCAGCGGCGCTCGTTTGGCCTGAATCTCTGTGTGGAAGACGACTTGAATGACGACGACGCCCTCGGCTTTGAAGACATGCTTCACCTTTGGCTTGATTACCTTCTTGACAACATGAAGGGCACCACGGCATCGCTTCTCCGACGGATCGATTCAAATTCTGGTGTTCAGCCTACGAATTCCAGATGGGAAGGCGTTTTCACGGCGTCCGGACTCCCCATATCCACGGCGTCCACGTTCACGACAAATATATGGGCACTCCTTTCGGCTACGGGACGGATGAGCTCATTCAACACATGATGCGAACCTTTCACGACCGATTTATGAGTGCCCGAGAACACGTCGTCGCGGCCTACAGCAACGCCGTAAGGAGACATTGGAGCAAGGACAAAGAGCATCCTGCCAACTGCTACTGCCGCGAGGAAAAGGCTTGAAACAGACACCAACTCGGGTACCAGTGAGATTGACCATACATTTTGGGAGACATTCTATCCTGATGGCATTGATCGCCAATCTCAGAATGACTATTGGCATGACACGGCACAAGAATATATGCTGTATCGTTTGATGCCTCCTGAGATTTCGGACGCAATGGCAAGCTGGATCTATCCCGCGCATGTTGGAAGATGCAGACTTTGTGATCAGGAGTCGCTACAGTTGCGGATGATATTCCGATCTCAGGAGGACGTCCGTGATGGCCTGGCCAAGTACAATCCACGATATTCCAGATTGTCGCGCCCAATCCAGTTTCAATAGCTAGCCATGTCGTGTGCTCAGAGGGATATAGAACCACGCCTTCCTCAACTAGATACAGAGTACAGGGGTCTCTAGGGTCCAGCCTGATCCCGAGTCGGACGGGGATTTCGAAGCGCATCAGTGGTCGTGGAAGACTCGGAGTCGGCCAACCGAGCTCAGTTCCGCGGCGGACACGGAGTCATCCAGTAAAGGATCGTAGGTCTGTCGGTCTATTTTTACCACGCCCTTCAACCCTGGCCACTTGCTGCTTACAAGCATGAAGGACGGCGAGACGGACAGTTCAGATGCGATGAATCAAAGCGTTCGACTGGAGAAGAATGAAAACGCCCGGAATCCGGCCACAACAATGACGTCGCAGGCTGACGGGCCGTGAGGTGCGGGCGCAGTTGGAAGTCGAGAAACAACACCAACACCAACATGAACATGAACAGACCGTCAACATTCATTGCTTGATGGGTTCCCTGTCTCTCAGAAGATGGTCCGCCGAGATACATACCTAAGTATTCCACAATCGTTTCCACCAAGGATGCAATTGCCATCCATCCTCCGTCTCTGTCATCTGTGACCACATCTCGAAGACTCGGAATCCCCGGCACGCGGCATTCTTACGCTACATACCTACAGTCTTGGACACGCACGACATGCATTATTCCCTCAATAGACATTGCTAGGACTTCTACACCCATCCTTGACCTCATCAACAGTATGCTGTTATAGACAAGCTGAAGAAGACCAAAAGGAGGAAGTAACAGGAACTGGGGAAGAACAAGACCATCACACAGCTATATAAGAAAACCACCAAGATGCACTACACACTGTTCCGCTGCTGCCTTTGCCTGGCAACCCTTGCGCTATATCCCTGGCCAGCGGCGTCTCAGCAGACTCAGACGGTGGAGGTCGTCGCCACAACCGTCACGAACTACTATACCGCCGCGGCGTCCACAACATCCCTGTCACCGCAATACAACAACTCGCTAGATTTCCGAACGTCGGTCCTCAACTCGACCAATTTCTACCGCTACGAACACAACGCCTCGTACATCTACTGGAACGAGACCCTGGCCAGATACGCCCAGTCCTACTCGGAGAAGTGTGTGTGGGAGCACTCGCACGGGCGCTACGGCGAGAACCTGGCCCAGGGATTCGGCAACGTGACGGCCGCGGTGGAAGCATGGGGCAACGAACGGAAAGACTACGATTTCAGCAACAGCAATCCTACCGGCTTCACCGAGGAGACCGGCCACTTCACGCAGCTGGTGTGGAAGAGCACGCAGGCCACGGGCTGTGGATGGACCGACTGCGACGGGAAGAACAATGTCAGCGGCGTCTTCCTGGTCTGCGAGTACTGGCCTCCGGGCAATGTCGTCGGCCAGAACAACTACTGGTTCAAGCAGAATGTCGATGCTGAAAGAAAGAACGGCGACGACGGCTTCAGCGAGCTGGACGCCACCAGGGGTGCCACGGGCGGAGTCCCCAGTTCGACCAGTGCCTCCGCTTCTCCCAGTGCGACCGGCAAGTCTTCGGGCAGTCCGAGTGTCGAAGTCGATCGGGGCCGACTGTTTGCGGCGGTCTGTGTTACGGCGGCTGCTGTTCTGTTGGGTCTTGGCATGTCATGATATGCATTCGGCTGTGCAATTTGTGTCTTGGGTTATACTGAACTAATGAATGATGCATGAGCGAGATGGCGAGATGGATGACTATTTGGTCAGGAGAAACCATGATCTACAGTACAGGTCATATCATGCATAGCACAGGATGCGAAGGTTTGTTTGTTGTTCATATGTTATGAGATACCATCAAGTTGTTCGAGATACAGAAAATACTACCTACACACATCGTACACAGATCATACACCCAGACAGAGCAGATCCCCCATGCAAGTCACAGAGACATCATTTCACCGCCACTGACCACATCTAGTATCCGTCCACCCTAGGGCGAACGGTAAAATAACTAAGAAGACATCCACTCTTTTCATTTCTTTTCTCTGGCCAGTCGTCGCAGAGCAATATTCCCCAAAGTCCTACCCTCTCCCTCCACGCCAGGCCCACTATACAGCGCTCGACTCTCGTCCACCGCCATCTCAACCAGCACCCTCCCCAACTCCTCCGTCGGACTATGCCAGCTACGAGCCAGCCCAGCCCAACTCGCCCAGCGGATGGGTGGCAGGGCAGAGGAAACCAGCATGCGCTGGGACCAGGAGCGGTGGTGGTTGAGGATGTCCCGCCACAGCCACGGCTGGTTATGCCCGTCCACGGCGGCCGGGCGGACGGAATACACGGCGAGAGTAGAAGCGAAGGGTTGTGTTTTGGAGAGCGCGAGCAGCGCCGCTTCCGTCTCGCCCTTGACGCGGCCGAAGATGGGCGTCCATGCTCTGGGATGCAGCGTGGCGCCCTCGCCCGAGACGTAGATGAACTTGAATTTCTCGTCTGCGTCTCTTTGTCCTTCCTCGCCGCCACTAGCCGTCGTTGTCGTTGTCGTTGCCGTTCTCTGCTTTAAAGAATCATTCCCGTTCGCGCCGTCCATCTCGCTCCCACCCGCCACGGCACTACTATCAGTAGTCTTTGTCGGTTTCGACTTCGACGATCTCAGCTCCGAAAACGCCTTAGCCGCCTCCAGCGCAAAGTCGCGCGTCACGCGCACATACGTGTCCGCGTCCACGTCGCTCTGACTGACCCCCAACGCCCAGATACAGGCATCGGCGCCCTGCAGCCGCTCCAGCAGCTCGGGCGGATACGCGGAGAAGTCGGCGTGTTGGATGACCTCGATGCGCGTGGTCTGGTTGGCCCGCGGCGTCCCCGGCGGCGGCGTGCTCGCGAGTAGGGGGATCGTCGGGTTGCGCGTCAAGATGCTCAGACGGGTGATGTTGCCGCCGCTGGGGAGCGACAGGATGTGCGAGAGGATGCTGGACCCGATGAGGCCCGTGGCGCCGGTGAGGATCAGATGGACCATTTTTCGTGGCTTGGCCGGCGCGCTCAGCGAGCCGTCTTGTCTACCTTCTCCGAGTCTTGAAACTCACGACCGTATATCCCCGCCCGGCTTCAAGATAGATATCCGATGTCTAACGGCAGGAGGACAGGTCAGATGTGTCTCGCGCACGAGTTGAGTCTCGAGTCTCTGAGATATGCAATTCCCTATATCTGCTATGGATGGCGGTTTTATCGAGGTAGAAGGCGTGGAGAGAGAGAGAGAGAGAGAATATGTGTGCGTGTATATATCTGTCGGTCTCCTTTTGAGTAGAAAAACAACAGTACTGAGGCACCTCTTGCCTTGCTTACATCCCATGAGTAAGACGTTCGTTCGTCCGCGTTTCTGGTCATCAGATCTATATTGACAGCCTAACATCCGAGACGTTCATTAGCCGGCATTATCATTATCTCCGTCTTTCGCTCGCACCCTGCATGTAGTTCTGCTCAGGCGCCAGTGAAAACCATGTGGACCGCGAAATTGACAGTGAGATTTACAGAGTACGAAAAGGTAGATGGATGGCCAGAGAGAGCAGACTGAGGTCCACTCTCTGTCTACTCTCTGTCTACTCTCTGTCTACTCTGTACATATTTGTCCGTGAGTCGGTCGATGTTGACGATTCGGCCGAGTTCGCACCAAAAAAAGGGGGAGTTTCCAAACCCTCAATTAATATGATGTTTTGAGGCCATAGAGACCATAGAGGCCTTGCAGTTGAACTTGCTGATGGGATGATGCTGTTACTTTTGACTACTAGGTAGCTACGTACCCTAGGCAGAGATTCCAGGCTTCTCTGCGGCCGGTTTCCATATCACAGATGCCTGGAGTGGCTATACAAGTTATACAATCCAGATGTAGTCAATGTATCAGCATCAGCACCAGCATCGAAAAGAAATTGAAGGGGTCAATAGATACAGGGATTGTACAATGCCATTTTCGGATCGGATTGATCCTAGTCTCGTTGCATGCTCGTCATGTCATGTCATGATCTTGTGCCATCCCGTACATCAGAGCGAGGATTACAAAGGAGAGGGACACAGCGGAAAAGGAGAGCTCTCTATACACAATGCCCAGTTTCCCAGCACCGACCATTCCCCAAAAACATGTGAATATGTGATCGCTGAACAACACAAAGTACCACCAGAGCGCAATGTCTCGGACGTGGCAGAGAAGAAATTCAATCACAAGAGAACAAAGTCTCCAAACTCCTCAGGGTGCATCAAAATTCATCATCTGTCATGACACGTCGTCGATTAAGAGTTGCCAATCCAGAAAACCGTCTGTACAAATCCCTGTACGGCTTCGTAATGACTGTTCAGTTGCCCGCATAGTCCAGAGTGCCTGCAAGCCGGACTTCTTCCATGAACCTATCTTCGCCCCCCAAGGCCTGAAGATCCCAATGGCCAGACTGGGGCTGCCGATTGAATGGTCCCCACCCAAGCGTTTCTTGGATGTTGCGCTTTTTCAGAGTGACATCGCCCTGGATCTCGAACAATTGAGGCTGCAAGCTGCCGAGGATGGCCACCGCCGCCGGGACCAGGGTGCGGTCCCCTTCGAAGACCCAGACGTCCCAGACACGGCACAGTCGGTCAACATCCAGCCCGTTGGAAAAGATGGTTCGGAGCATCGGTTCGAATACTTCTTCCGCGGTGAAGCCGAGACCCCCGTGTTCCATTGAGCCAAACAGATATTCATGAAGACGGGGATACTTAGTGGCCAGAGTCGAAACGGCATGATGATAGGTGCGACCAGTCGCTAGGGTGTCGTTGATCTGGAACGCCAGTGGTACCGGGCGATTCAAACAGTTGGCCAACAGAACAAAAGCGTCCGCGGGGCTGGGTAGTTGCAGCAACAGCAACGCCGCGATGAGTTGAATTCCATAAATATATCCCACATCGCTTCGGTAACATGCGTAAGCCTCGCAGAGGTCGACGAGATCTTGCCAGAGCAGCCCATTCCGTTGAAATAGCTGCAGTTCTGGGAAAGCCGTCTCGGCGTCCCTCTCAATGTCCACGAACCACCGCTCCATGCCCTTATCATCACGGCCAAGCTCTTCACTAGGCCGCTTCTTGATCTCTCTGGCTCGCCGAAGCGCACTTTCGTAGCTTTGACGGGTGAGGCCAAGCGGATTTCCTAGGGCTCTCTGCCAGACCTTTCCCCGGAGGCTGGGACTGATCCCGCGCCAACAGAGGTTGTTGACTCGTTGGTCAATCGTGGCCAGATCGGTCGAGTCCGCCACGTAATACTGCCAAATTCGATGCAACGAATCCCGTGTGCCATCCTTTTCGCATTCCTCCGTCTGCAGTTTCGCGCGATGCTTCTTCTCCGTACCCATTGATGCTGCCATCATACGTCTGTATTCTCTCAGGTGCCGACGTTCTTCCTTGGGGTCTTTCGGCGGCAACCACGACGGTCGTGTCCGGGACAGCACGGCCTCCTTTTCTTTGGAGATGGGCATGAAATCCAAAGTGCTTTTTTGGATGGGCGGCAACTGTATCGAAGATGTTCTTGAAGTGGAATCGATTAATGTCGGCAGACTCTCTCGCGAAGAGCCTCCTCGCAGGCTTTCCCGCGCTTCCTGTCCTCGGGCTTCAGCGTAATACTCTAACGCCTCCGAAATAATCCTGGCTTCTTCACTCAGATCCGCCATGGCGAAGTTCCACGACTTCGTCCTCCCCAGAGGTATACGATCAGCTCTGCGCGGTGACGAAGGATTCGACCTGGCCTGTTTGTACGAGGTGGCCTTTGACGTATGGCTCCTCTGCTTTGGTAATGTCTGGGAACGAAGAGTCGCTCGAGGGGGAGTTTCCGGCGCTGTTTTGGCATGTGCGAGAGGTATCGGGCGAGGGCTGTGACTGACATGATCTCTTTCCGGGCTACCACGAAGGCTGGACCGGTTTGACCGGTTAGCCGGTGTAAAGGGCGATACAGGGACGTTCCAAAGGCTAGCATCCTCCGGCAACTCGTCGTCCGAGTCATGGTATTCGGCCTCAAGCTCCTGCACAGTCTTTCGCTGCGGTTGCCATGACGCCCGACGCTCCGGTACGCCAAAGGAGGACGCGGATCGGTGAGGAACTGGTCGTAGACCTCCAGCGCTGAGGGATGCGGTCGAGACCGACGCGAGCACTCGTCGGTCCCGCGGAGAGGAGGACCTTGTCCTCGTGCTAATCAACGCCTCCTGACTTGTGAGGCCACGTTTTATGAGCATCGTTCTTGGACCGCATGTCCGGAGTGGTGTCGAGTCATGCGTCCAGCCCACTGCTCTTCCGTGTGTTTGTAACTGTGAAAGGGCCGCTTTATTTCCCACCGTCTCCGCCACTTTTGTTCGCATGGGCTCTTGTGGTGAACCAAAGGACTGCCCCAAATCATCACGCGAATGGCTGCTCTGGGTGGCCTGGTGTCGTTCATCGTCAAGCCCAATCTCCTCGAAGTTTGTGGTGTCCGAATCCAAGCCATCGGGGCTGGAAAAGGTGGAGGAATAAGACGAGCCTTTGGAGGACCGGTCTTCTGCCAAGTCAGGAGGTGATCCTGGGGCACTGGCGGTCGTCGTGGTCATATTGCCAATGTGCGCATTGAACAGGGAAGTCAGAGAGCGATTCTCAAGGTGCAAGCCTTGTGGTGGCTTTAGATACAATTCATTGACAGTGTCGTCGTCGTGCCGGTGCTGCGGAAAGATGCTGACTTGCTTCGACGACAAAGGTGGAAACCCAATTTCCGGGGAACGAGAGTTGTTGTTGGTGGTGGTGCCAGTGCGAGGGTCGGTGCGTAAGTTGGGTCTCAATGCTGCAGATTGCTCTAGATCTGAAGATATTGAAGAAACGAGTGTCGGTATGCACCAGAGGCTATGTTCATAGTCGAGGACGACTTGGTCTTCAGTCAACTTGAGAGTTGAAGCTGTTTGGTAATAGCCAAGAAGGAAGGCCTCGAAAGGTGCCAATGGACCAACCCCTGGAGGAGATGCCGCCACGATTGGCGGATTCGAAAATGGTGGTGACGGCTTGCATGATGATGGCACGGCTCCAGTCTGCAGATTATACCGCAGATAGGGCAGGATATTGGGGGCAGGTTGGATGACCGGATCCTCCATTGCCAATGACGGGTTGACATGTGCTGAACGAGTCCGGGCCTCGCTGGAGCACCTCCACCACCTTGGGCCCGGGGCCTACCAATGGCGGGTGGAAAAACTTGGTGATTGAAGGGGCTGGCAAGTTCGGGTCTGATGAGACAACCTCTTCGATTGGGAAAGGTTTCAGGGATGTTGACAGCACTTCTGGGTCGACCCACTGTTCGTCCAGAGTTGTGGATTTTTCCAACTCTTGTTTCCGACAGTCTTCCCAGTGTGGGCAGTCTCTTGATGTTAATAAAGATGACTCTGAAATGCTTGTGTACAACAGCTGTTGCTTGATCCGGTCGCGGAAGGGTTTCAGAAGAACAGGAGATGTCGCAAGCGGGACAAAGAACAGCAGGGTAGGTGTCAGAGGCCAAATCAGAGACCAGATCGTGTTGTGACGCAGTGAAGGCGTTTCAGAACGAACAAATGGAAGGGTCTGAAGAGAATCCGGGGATGTAAGGCGGGCGTTCGAGGTAAGTTTGGTGCTGGTTTCTGATGAACTGGCTTGTCATCGACCGAGCAGAAGCTGAAAATGGCGAAAGAGAGAGAGAGACGGCGAGCAATGGAAGAGAAGGATTGGTATGCTCCGAGGCAGGTGCCTTCATGGCATTAAATTACCTTTCGCTGGCTGTTGAAGCAGACGTCGATGCGCAGAAGCATTGATGCCGTCCAAGTAAAATGGGAAGACTGGGAGATGGGATTGTTGGTGGCTGGTAGAAATGGAGATGGATAGTAGATGGAGTGTGATGGACGTCCGTGCAAACTGCGCAGGCCAACTCCCTCTATGTACACAATACGCACCCAGAGAGGTATCTACTCGCTACCTACAGGTACCTATAGGTACCTCTACTTCTACTACTTCTACTAATATAGAATAAGTACCGTTAGGTACCCAACACACTGGCACTGCCTGCCACCTTCAATCCGCAGCCAAAACTGCCCCCAAAGCCCTTCATCCATGGTTCCAGACTACATTCCATGGCTTTGGCGTTCGTTTCCATGGTCACACACAAGTACAATCATTGGCCTGGCTGGTATGTCATTTGGCTACCCAATGTTCCATGTTATAATGTATGTGTTTGGTGTCGCGTTGTCGCTGCCTCGCATACGCAGCTTCAAAGTCAACAGCTGGGGCAACGGGTTCAATACACGTATCCACGAAACGCCTTTTCGGTCTGCTGCAGCATCTCTTCCAGTGTGACCGGCGGCAAGTTCATCCTTGGGGCATTTCTTCCACTCAATGACCTCAACCAAACCAGAAGCTCTCGGTACTGACTTTGTTTGCGCATCAACACTCGCTCGAATGTAGAGGCCGCAATCCAATACATTTGAGACTTGCTGATGTGTTCCTTGTTGCTGTTCTTCACCCGACAAAGCTTTGTGCTCGTTGACACCAAGTCGTCCACCAAGTTTCTCATCATGTCTTGCGAAGGTCGCTTGTGTCGTGGTAGACTGGCGATGTATCGATGCAATTTCATGCCTGCCTCCGTGAAATTCCCCAGTAGAGTCGCGATGACTTGTTGGCGACTGTTTAAAGACATGTCCAACAGCATGCTGTGCATCTGCAGCTTCAAAGAGCCGAGAATCTTTCGCCTCAATGTTGCTCCAGGTCTCGCACAGGTCTCCACGGTCAATGCGTTACTGATATATGCATCCTTCTTCTCCCGGTCCTTGCCCATCTCCAGTGTCCTCATCTCGATGCCCATCCCGCAGTAAGGGAAAAAACTGCTGCCATGGATCCGAGGGACTTTCCGACCGTGTATTGAGATGTCAAAATTGGCGAGTGATTTCTCGGCATTGACCATTATGCCATATGTTTCGTTGCCTCGAGCCATCACATCAAGGAACTGTCGCGCAACCCCTTCTTCGGTCGTGACAAGGAGAAAGTCGTCAATGAGCCGCAAGAGCAAACTGGATCGCGCATCCAGAAAGCTCAGTTCGTTTCTTTCAAAAGCCCCATAGAAGTAGCTGCACAGCAGGCTGCTCAGTACGGAACCTTGGGGAATGCCTGCTGTCTGTCTGAAGTGCTTTTTGCCAATCTTCACTATGTTGTTGCTCACATGCTCTTGCAGAAGCTGCAACAGTGATCGCCGGAGCGAGATCCTGTGGTTGCCTGTATCTGCAAACACGGCTTTGCGTTTCCTAAGAGCGATATCAGCAGCTACAGATTCGGAAAATACTGCACCCCCGTCAGTGGGCCGGGCTGCCCCAATATACCGACGTCTGAGTCGATTCTTGTCATTGCGGCCTCCATCATCCACATGTTTCACCTCGGTGTATTTCGTCGTCCTGTACGACGGTTCTCCAAGTAGACATCGTGCAATTTTCAGCAAATGTCCCTGTGGTATGCTGTCAAAACAAGATTTGATATCGACCTTGGTGAAGTACAGCCGCGCACCTGTGGGAATCGTGCTCTTGAACCGTACTAGTCGGTCATGAAGATCGCCAACCGAGAGCAGAGCGGACCCCAGCGGCGAGGCATCGCGCACGCGCTCGAAACTCAGGACGCTGAACAAGGTACTAAGTTGAGCATTGATACTGCTGCCTAAAACCCTTTTTCCCGAAACTAACTTTGGTTGTCGACGTTTGAGATTCGTGATGGGTCTCGAACCCGCAGCCTTGGGAAGAAGTCGCAGGTGGCTATAAGCCAAGCTCCTTGATCGTAGTGTTTGGCGCACTTGGCTGGGATTGACTGCGATGTACATATTGGATTTCAGAGTCGCAAAACTGGGACCCGATAGTTTTCGCCAGACATCGTGCCGAAAATAAAACAAGCGGTTTCGGTCCGTCGAACTTTCCGTCACATAGAAGTTGTTCCGAATCAATGGGATCAGCAGAGAGTCGAAGATGTAATAAACAAATTCGTACAATATTTCGAGACGCTTGCTATGATCCAATCTAGACATCTTCTGGTCGAGCTTTCCAGGCAGTGAAAGCCAGCTGATCGGCTTGAGACGGATACCTTGAACAACGTTATGTAGCGTCATACTTTCGAATCGTCGCATTTGAATGAACTCGTCGAATTTTGCCATGATCACATCATAATTGTGGCGCCCTTCTGGCCCTGCCCCAAAGGCATCTCTGGGTAGTATTTGCGCAAGCACTGATCGGCAGAACGCTGACACTATTGCCGCTGGAGTGGCATAAGGGAGGAACGAGGTTTCAGACTCGCCCTGAACAATTTGAGACCGACGGCCCTTCTCCGACGAGCCCGAGAAGGGAGCTTGAGTTACCAGTCGCAGGGGGCTAGATGTAGGATGTCGGAACTGATTCAACATCGATCTCCGTGGGACTGCTATCGGCGCATGACCGATTGAACAGTAATACCTGAGATGTTGGTCATACGAACAACGATTTTGACGCCGTTGGATCTTCTGAACAAGCTGAAAAGCCTCGCCACGCAATCTCCTCGGGACCCATGTAGAGGACGGTTTCTGCTGGGCGTGAATTTCCTGTTCCCGAAAAGTGTAGTCTTTGAATGGCTGCGCAGTCTCAGTTGAGTCGACTCTTGAGGTGAAAACGTTGTGTAAATGGCATTGACGTGGGAAGATGTACTTTAGGACGTGGACAGTGTGATCTCGTCGTGCGGCATCGGGATATCTCTGAAGGACATGAGCGTGAGGCAAGCCGACCTTCACTTTTCCATCGCAATTCAAGGAGGGTTTTGCATAGAGTATGCGATTCCTCACAAATCGAACGCTTGAAGGCTGGAGGTTCTGCTTCTGGGTGGCCGGAGTCGAGAGGACAAAGCTTGGTCGCGAGGAACGAGGTGATGGCAACTCCGAGATGGGAATTCCACTGAGCTGAAAGTAGCTGTCTTTGCCAGAGGGCAGCCGTGTGAAGACACCACAGTCCAGAAGCAAACTTGAAATTATGACTTCACCATCTTCGCCCAAAAGTGGTAGAATATCGGACCAAGGGCTGGATCTCAGCTGCTCCAGATTAGCGTTAGGATGATGTCGAACAATTCCGGGAAGCAAAGTGGTCTCAATTCCCTCGATTCCTGGGGCTTGGGCCGCAGTAGCTCGTTGCAGGCCATGGCACAGAATATGGTGAGGCCTGGTACCAGCAGTTGACCGGCCCTTGAACAGCGACCAAATGACAAAGTCGATAATCTGCATCGAAGTTAGAGAATGATTCGATGTGAAGGGAGCAGGTTCGCATATACTTCGCTCATACAGCATAGCTGTGCTCGGCCAGTACCGGTGCCTGTGGCTCGGTGTTGGGTCTGAGTGAATGTAGCGAAGTCGGTTTTACGCGACTTCTTGATTTCTATTGAAGCTTCTTTCAAGACACCCACCAAGCAAGTATCAAGGAGGTGATTTGCTTCGTCTCGCCCAAAACAAGTCACCTTCCGCCGCCGAACACGGGATGTAGCTGGAAGACTCTTCAGAAGGAACTGTCTGAATGGAAGGACTTTAGGGTATAAGGAAGATAAGACACCATGACAGATGATAGAGCCGTTGGGTGCGGCTGTATCGTTAGGATGAAACTTCTGGTCTGCGGCTCGTTGGCGTTTGACAGGACGATCTGGCAAGTCGCCACCAGGTTTTCTTTTCGTGGTCATGGCTACAACGCGACAAGTCGTCGCCTGTAGCACAAGATAGTTGCAGAAGATGCTCGAAATCAGCGCTCATAACCGGTTGGCTGTTGCTTCAAGATAACACATTGTCAACAATCCATGCAATCCTGCAATCGAACAGCCTTTGGGCGGCTGCGCGAAGTGCTAGCAGGAGCAGGGCCGATGCTAGTCTGCTCGAACGACTGCTTGGCCTGGGGGGTCCAAATTCATTTCAGACCAGCAGAACATGCGTCAAGCGCCATGGACGACCCCGGGAGTTATGGTGTCGAGACTGGGGTGGAATACAAACGCGTGGTGTAGAGGTCAAGTCGAAGGAGAGGCGACACGCGACGCGTTCGGACGGAAGTCACAACAGGCAGCAGAGCGGGTGGGGAGTGTATGGGTGCAGGGAGAGAGAGGACCAGGTATACGATAGACAGAGCATCGACGGAGATTTCGACAAGGTGCATCGAGGCTTGAAGGAGGGATCTATCGTTGTTGGCTGTTGGCATGGCATACGGTGGCTGACATGGTATAGAATAGTAGTACAGCGCAGTCTACATGGAGGTTGTGGTTCGTTCAAGTTGTGAGCCTGAATTGATTAACGAGAGCAAGTATGATTGGTAGGTCCCACGACGGCTAGGAATTAGTAGTAGCACTACTGTTAGTACCTGAACATGGGGGAGTTTAGGCGCAGGGTGCAATAATGATGGGATTCCAAGTAAGGTGTCGAGGTGTCTACGCTTATAATCCAGGCCATGGGAGCCTAGGGAACCCCTAGTTGTTAGCGAACGGAAGTGACCTAGTAGCGGATTCTTTTCGATTCATTCATTGTTTAATATTGAGGTTCAGAGCTGCAAACAATGGGCGTTGTTGCTCTACGGTACTAGAGCGTAGTCACGAAATCTCCTCTGCTCGTCAATGTTGCAGAGTACAACAGAGTACTCTCTGTACGTCTGTAGTGTGTTGTATGCTTGCAAATCAAGTTGGTGGAGCGTCAAGCGAGCCCCTACTAAAGGTACAGTACCTATAGAGTTAGTATTGCACAACCCTGTAGAAAAAGTCCCCCATGCCTGGAGATTGATTGATTGCCCGCGGCGGCCATCTTTGTGTGCTGGTTGGGCAACAACTCACTAACTGCAACCGCATCTCCTCCTGTCATCCACCCACCACTGCCACTGGCACTGGCACTCGCTTGATTCCCGGCATCCGTTCCAGACACCCAAACACCAAACAACCGGACCGCATCGTGACGAGACATCCGCAGCCTAACATCTGCAGACATCCAAACACTTCAACATATCCTCTCAACCACACCTGATACGACGCTGTATCTTGACCTTCTGTCGCCATCCCTCCTGTGGTCAGTCATAGTGGACTTCAGGTCCCCTAAAAGTACCACACTTGTACCCTGAACCATCATATGCACGCATCAGACGGCTTCAATCGACTGCGCCCGTCGTCGTTGTCCAACACCTACCTCCCCAGTACAGATCGGCTGGGCTTGGAGACCCTGCCATCCTCAATCATCTAAGATTTGGTCCATGCTCACTCGAAGTCGATCTGCTGTGCCTTCCTACCGATCTAACCGAACTTGCCAGAAGACCCCGGACTTTGGTGTCACTGCTGTCAACTGTCTGCCTTTCAAGGCTTGACCCTTTACAAAAGAGAAGGACTACCGGAATACACCTGTGATAGGTCTGAGCGCGATAACCGAACCGTCAGGGAAGCAAGTGATGTCGGGCCTGGGCCATGCATTTGCACAATAGACATCATCGTCCAAGAAGGAAGGCCTCTGCGTGACTTGGGCCTGGGCTAACACCCAAACCCATTGTCCTCTCGACGACATGCCTTCCGTGGTATCTAAGCAGGACACATATTATGCCTCTCATCACCGCAGACAATCGTCGCGGTCACAGACAAATCTCACAGATCTGAGCAAAACCGCCCTGTCGCAGGTACAGTCTCCCAACGGATCCGTGGTGCTTCTACCTTCGACGGTATATACACAGCCGCAGTCCGCTACTCAGCACTCTCAACCGCCGACCTTACCCTCTACCGCAGTTCCGACCGCCAGATCCGACGGCACTGGGGGTGAAGACGCATCCATCGACCCAGATGAGTTTTACAGGCAGTACCAGGATCCCTTCACGAGTTCGCCCCCAGCTGCCCTGCATCAAGACGCCATTCGTACGACAGCTTTTGATCTTGAAGGCGAGCCATCAGCCACTAGACGAAAGTCTAGCTTCGCCTCCGGGCAATCAAACAATAACAATGATAAAGCTCCGCGCTCAGATAGGAACTCTGTGAATTCACGCAAATCGTCCTTGAACGCTTTGAATCCAGTGAATGGGGGCTGGAACAACGACCACGCAAAGTCGTCTCGAGATGCGACAGGTGCTTTCAGGTCGAGGAACGCATACATCAAGGGCATGGTGGCACGCTTTGATGCGTCTCCCGAAGAAATCCCACCTTTGCCCACTCACCACGTTCTCCATCCGCATGTCAGAACTGCAAGTCCTTTGCCGTATGGGTCCGTTGGAACAGCGCACCCATATGGAAGTGGCCTCACGCAGCCTAAGCGAACTGGAACGAAGATGTCAGATTTCTGGAAGGCTGGAAATGGCTCGGCTGCGGGGAGTAGAGATCTAATCAAGAACGAAAATGGCGGCGTTAGGAATGCTAACACTGGTCGCTTGACCCAAGTCACGAGCAACCCGGAAGTGCCAGCGGGCGACCAGAAATTGCTGTTCGGAGAAATTCCGCAGACGGCTTCCACCTTTTCTTCAGCAGGATATGGTATATCCAATTTCCGTCGAAGACGGGGCTCAGAGGGATCTCCAATGCACAGTCCGAATGCAATGTTTCCTGCAACTCAGGCACCTCCGACGCATCGCGAGACCGGGTTCTCCGCTAGCTTGCCCTGGCAATCTCGAGAACAGCCCCATGTTGGACGGCCTCAAGCGTCTCGCGGTCATGAGCATAAACACCACCGGGCCAACAGCGATTTCGCAGGGCCGCCGTCGAGAGCTTTGCTGTCAGCGACTCAAAGTCCATCTCCAGCAGGCCTCGCCGGCGCACAGGCGTACCACGTGGAGCCTTCGGCAAAATCAAGCGGACAATCTCGAATTCCGGTAAGCAGACGGCATCATCGTACGGCTTCCGATTCGGCTGCGTCGTCGCCCATCGACCGTGAGCCAATCGCCCCCCAATTGCCACTGCACTTACCAAAGTCCAGGCATCCGCTGCCCGATCCTTCCTCATCAAAGGATCGCAAGCCGGCTAGCCCGCGGCGTGGTGCCCGCTCACCCATGAAGATTAAAAGTCCAGGGAAACGAGGTAGAGATCTTCATGCCGCCACTGGGGAGAAGAGTGCTGCTCTCCGAGCGAACATCATCGCCCCTCCACCAAAGATCTCGCCGCCCCTGAGAAGCTCGAGGCCACGGCAGCCGGTTTCTGCTGCTACTACAGCAGCCTCTCGTGCAAAGATGGCCGCCAAATTTGAAACAATGGCCAAGCAGCAAAACGAGAAGAATGCGGTCCGACGCCAGAGGCCGCCGGAGCTTACTGACATTGATCTGAAAGCACGACGACTCAAGATTACTCAGGCACTGAGTCGATCGAAAGATGGACAAGATCTGAAGGTTGAAGGGGACGGACCTTGCGGCAGCTCAGCTAGCCGGACCAACAGCATAACTGCTTCCGCTGATGATGCTGGGGACATCGGTCAGGATGCTGTAGGACATGAGATTCCGGCCGTTGTTGTGGACGAACCAGGTATGGACACTTCCGAGGAGCGATCCTTTTACACCACTGGAAATGGTCCTGCACAAGACCAACGAGCTTTCACCCTCAACGCCTTGAAAGTTGTCGAAGGCAACACTCCGCAATCTGGTGGAGACGAGGATTCCCCGACACTGGGCCGCGTCAAATCATCCCTCGAAAACATACCCTTCTCCTTGAACACGCAATTGCTGCCTGGACAATCGGAGCAAGATCCTTTCTCCGCAGTTACGGCTGGGACCGAGAGGACGGAGGCCACTGAAGTGACCATGATCGACATGGAGTCGGAAAATGATGAGACACGACTTCAAGGTCCGGGACAATCCTTGCTGAATCAAATAAGAGCCCTGCGCAGTCATAGCTCAGATTCACCGTTGTCATCGACTGATCATGGTGACGAGGTATCTGTCCGCCTAATGCTTCGAGAAACAACATACCTTGACGACGAAGAGGCTGTCGAGAAGGGCTATCGTCCATTTGTCCCAACGATTGTGTCTGGGTCGATGCGTCCCGGAGGTCATGCGAGAAGCTCTTGGACCTCATCCGTCGAGAATCAGGGCGAACCTGAGGTGGGTAGGATATTCGCAGCTGGTGCTGATCCGATAGCTTCGCGAGATCCAGGAGAGAAGGTAGCAGATCCGGAAACTGCCTCACTGTCCGACCGTTCCAGTATCGGTGACGACTCTGACGGAGACACGGACGCGAATGACACTTATACGATAGTGAATATCGTTCTGCAGCAACAGACGCCTTCTGGAGTTGTCGACCAACAACTTGTAGACAACATTTACCATCGCATCATCCAGATTTCGCCGGACCTTGCTGATGCAGAGCATGTGGATGAGGGAAAAGTGAAGCGCTTATGTTTGCAGGAGCTTGAAGCATACGACAGTCACTGGGATCACGCCAAATCCTCTCACCCTCATTCGGAGCAGAATCTTCACTCTAAGATATCCGATGGTCTCAAACGTGACAATGGTAGCCGGAATGGTGACAACCCCAGGAAACCGACCGAGGCTACAGAGACTCCAAGTCATGCAGTTCATGATCGTCAACACCCGCCACAAAGCTATCGAAGTCACAGGTACAAGTCCAGCTTGGATAGTGCGGAGGACTGGACGGAGACGTCACCATCGGTTGGAGACTGGTTACAGTTTGCTGCACATTCACCTATAGAAAGTCAGTCGGGACCGCAAACCACTTCTCTGAATCAGGCAACGTACCGGACGGAGGAAGCCGATCGAAAAGAGGCACATTCAGATCGAGAAGCCCAGGAACACGGCCATGTTAGTGAGACGAGCGGTGATCTGCCAGGAAGAGCCGACCTTGAGGTTCCAAAACCTCCTTCTCATTCTCCCCCGCCGCCTCCGATTGCCAAAATGGCTTCGATCGATCAGTTCTCTAGGCCTCGTCCATATGGCATCATGTCACCAGGACAGGCAGCATTGTCAGTTGCGAGACCACTTACTGCAATGTCTCAGGTGTCTCAGGTGTCTGCAAGATCAAGCGTGGAACATCCAGCAATGCCGTCTAGCTCCAGCACCACGAGGCCCTCTGTGGACGTGCAGACCCCTGAACAACGCCGTTTGACCAAACGTCGACATGTGCTCAAAGAACTCGTCGATACGGAGTATACATACGAGAGAGACATGAGAGTGCTGTGCGACATTTACAAACAGACTGCTGTTGCGGCCATAAGCGACGAAGACGCCAAGATCATCTTTGGCAACGTGGAACAAGTGCAACAATTCTCGAAAGACTTCCTTGGGCTTCTGAAACAGGTGGTGAAACCAGCCTATGTGATGGAAAAGAACGATCGGCGGAAAGATACTAATCTTCGAGCGTCGACACTGCAAAGTTCGAGCGCATCGGTCCACAGCGTGACAGATGTAGCCGAGGCCGAGAAGGACGTGCTCACAAGGATCGGGCATGCATTCGAAGCTTCGATGGGTGATATGGAGAAGGTGTATACCGAGTACATTCGGACACGCCATGCGGCCAACAAGAGACTGGAGGCGCTGCAGTCGTCATCTGCGGTAAGGGAATGGCTAAAGGAGTGCAGCGAAAATTCGACCGATATCACCAATGCTTGGAGCTTGGATGCACTCCTAGTCAAGCCGATTCAACGGATCACGAAATATCCCTTATTGCTGAACCAGCTCCTAGAGGCGACCCCTGATACACACCCGGATGCCGTTTTTCTCCGCAGAGCGACTGTTGAGGTGACTGAGATCAATATGCGCATCAACGAAGTCAAGAAGCACACTGAGCTGGTCGACCAGGTGCTCAACAGGAAGCGAAAGGAGTCGGACGTTCGCAATGGCCTCACCAAGGCGTTTGGGCGGCGTGCCGAAAAACTGAGGCAACACGTGGGTATCAACGGCATGCATGTGGACGATGAGTATGACGCGCTCAAGGTCAGCTACGATAACAACGCGGCGCAGCTGTACCTGGTGGAGAAGGATTGTGAGGGATACATCGACGAAGTCAAAGCGTGGATCGGCCGAATGTGCGAGATTGCTGCAGCCGCCGAAGCTTGGGTCGATGTCGGGCACACCAGCCATCCACAAGCTGAGAGCAGGCTACGCCAGCTTGCCATTGTCATCCGCGGAATCAACTCAATAGCACTTCCCAAGCACGGTGATGAGGTAATGAAGCGAGTTGTGGGCCCAATGACGGAGGCTAGACTCCTTCTGACGGCTTTTAAGAACGATCCCAAAGGATTGATTCACAAACGGGAGAAGAGGCTTCTTGACTACAATCAATTCAAGAACAAGAAGGAACGAGGCGACAGGCTCGACAAGAAAATGATCGAGAGAATGGAGCAATGGGAAGCCCTCAACCTTGAGGCGAAAGAGAGAATGAGACGGCTGCTCCGGTGCACGGGGGAAGTGGTGAGGCTGTGCCAGGCGACTCTTGTTGAACTTCACCTCCATTGGTATTCGATATGCAATGAGAAGTTCTCAGCGGCCATGGGAATCCCTCTGAAGGATCTCGATCGAGTCGACATCGTCAAGGACTGGCAGGAGGATTTCGATTATCAGGAGGCCGCGGCTTTGGCCCTGAGTATCTGCAATGGCTCCTTGCTGGCTGAGGCGGTGAACATGTTATCGTTTTTGACACCGGGATCAACACTGGCCAGTGATGACTCCCCTCGGCAGGCATCGTGGAACAGTGTCACGAAGAGATCGGTCTCGGCAAATGAAGAGGGACACATGTTCTCGCTTGCAGAACAATATCACCGCAACAGTGGAGGGCCGCTCAGTTCCCAGACGGACGACCCCAGTGATCGGAGTTCCTTCACATTTGCCAGCGGTCGATTCCGTGCGGCATCCGGGGCATCCGGGAGGGTACCAAAGACCCCAGAGACAGGTCATCGCGGATTGCCGGCGTCCATCCATACCGTCAACAGCACCAATATCTCTCGACCTGGGACCAGCCGTGGCCAGTCGGAAGACTATCCCCGGTCAACCCCCCGGCTAAGTTTAGAAGCACCGTCGCCGTCCCTTTCTCTTGGTCCTTTAGTCGCAGACTCCCCCACAGCCGTCAAGCACGCATCCACCTCTACCTTCTATTCAGCGACTCTTGGGCCGAGTCAGTCCCAGCCCAATCTACCGCTGACACGTGGAGGAGGCGCTCTCTCTTTCTCTCCTGAACTCCCGAGGGATCACGACGAGGACGAGGGAGGACAGCGGGAAGTCGATCTCCAATCAGAACCAGGGGTGTTGTTTACCGCAGCCAGCGTCTATGAGTTCAACATTGACCGATCGAGACAACAAGGCGGATTCCGCTATCTGACCTACGTCACAGGGGAAATATTTGACGTGATCGCCGAGCAAGGAGAACTCTGGCTAGCCATTAATCAAGACGACGCGACCAGAGAGATTGGCTGGATCTGGAACAAACATTTCACGAAACTCACTGACTAGGACTGACGGGACGGATTCTTGCATACACGCCCAGACAAAGCATGGATGGGTCAAGGTCCGGCTTGACTTGTGCCCAGAGGCGTTCTTCCAGGATCTCTTGGATATGCAACGGGGTCTCTGTTGGTATCTTGGAACGCAGCCGGTTTTCACGATTCAGGACTTGCACATGATGATGAGCAATACACAGAGGCGGAATAAGACACGGCGAAGGACTTGGTTGGGGATCAGGAATCAGGAATCAGGAATCAGCTTCAAGCATTTCAGCGAGGGGTTCGAAGGCAGGCGTTACGCGGATTGGGATTGTACAAAGCAGACAATCAGGAAAAAGGACGATGATGCAGTGTACAATAATACAAGACCAGCTCTTGAGAGACGACGCTGGGAGCAGCTGGGAGCAGGGAGCTCTTGCACCGCCGCATATGAAGAGAACAAGCAAGCATAAAACGGTCTTCATCCCACCTGTATTCCTGCGTAGAGATCCTCCGACTGTGCCATATCTTTTGGCCCGTGGTCCTTGTAGGCGTAAGGTATGGAGGGGTGACGGTGGGCTGGAGAGTTGTCGGCGTCGAGTAGATGCGCAGATATAGATGCGGATCAGGGAATTGCAGTTTTGCCAGTCAGCAGGGAAGAGATGCAGTGGAAGATGTCATGTCAAGTCGAGATCGTATTGAATTCGCGGTCGCATTCGCAGTAATCAACAACCAAAAGGGGCATGATCCAGTAATATATAGAAAGAGAGATAAAGAAATACAACGCGTCCGCGGTCGTGGTAGACGAGATATGATTCCAGCCACACTCATCTCATCTCATCTCACTCGCCAGTTGTCAATCAATTGTTTATAAATACTTACATCACTGAGCCAGATATCTTCATCCCCGAACCAGTCTCTTCAACTGCTACCACGTCACTGACTCCCAATACGTAAGGTATTTGCACACTGCACTTCACTGCCAGTGCTGTGACTTCACCTCAGATTGCTGGCCCTGCAGTGTCTATAAGTTACGGCCATGCCAGACCTTCATCCCTTCGGAGGTCGAATAAGTCGACATCTGGGCAGATCGGTACGTGCGTGCGCTTTATCCTCCTGACGTGCGTCGTTCGAGTTGTGTCTGTCTCTCGTTCGCTCAAAGTCTCCCGGATCTCTCTTCTTTGTGCTCAAAAGGCCTTAAGAGACACGCGGTCACGGCCACGATCCTACTAATCTCCTGCTCACAACATCACCACCACCTTTTTGTCGAGCAAGTCCTAGACTAATCACCATGGCTCGAAAGCTCGCCCCAGAAGACGCATATCTGAGTTGTACGTGTATCCCCCTTGAACTTGTCCTGTCTGTCCCTACTAACCATAATCATGCACAGACTATGATGTCCGATGTCGGTAATCCCTCGACTTTAGGCACCCCTACCAATACCCCTGCTGAGACCCGAGATAGTGACAAGAGAAGACATATCGGTGCTGAAGAATGACTGGCTCACAGACAATGTTGGTTTGGCCCGCTGGCATGCAACGAGAGGACAAGAGACTGACTGACGAGGACACAGGTCATTGCATTTTGGGAAGAGTATGACATCCCCCAAAACTGGAAGAACTGGACAAGGAAGGCATAATGAAAATGAAGCGAAACAAGAAGAACAAACAAGAGACCTGACAGAAGATGCGCGACAGATACCTGGAACGCGAATACCTCTCCAAATACAAACACTCCCACATTGTCCTGCTGCGACCGACTATGTCGTTCATGCTCATGCAGACGCCCGATCCTCATACAATCAAGGTAAGGGCGGTTCTGTTTGTTTCCCTCTCTCCCTCGATCTCCTTGGTCTGGCTCTGAACGCTTCGGACCTCGAGCCTGACTTCTCTTTTCCGCAGGATGCTCTGCCAGACTTCACCAACGTCACGCACATCTTCCTCCCGATCAACGACAATAACTCAGTCACGACGGCCGAAGGCGGCACACACTGGTCACTCCTGCTCGTGTCGATCGTCGACGGCTTTGCCTTCCACTACGACTCCATGCCGCCCGGGAACCAGAATGAAGCGCACTTTGTCACCCAGAAGCTGTCCAAGCTGATCAGCAGGCCGCTGCGCTTCATCCAACTCAACGACAGCCCTCTGCAGGACAACTCCTCGGATTGCGGGGTTTTTGTCTGCCTGAATATGCGACATCTCTTGCTGAAGCGACTGCTGATGGTGCGGACGCATGAGAAAGTCAGCATGAGTTTGGGTGACCGGACCGTCGATGCCAGTGCTGGCCGGAAAGAGATGTTGCGCATCATCGACGAGTTCAGAAGAGAAGGCGAGAGAAGACGATCGTGAGTGGCTTTCTCCCCTTGCTCCCAACAACCCTCTCGGGGCGTCTCGTTTTTCCTGTCTCTCTTTCTCTTGACCCGGTGGTCTTTTAAGTGCTGCTATGCAAACGTTCTGAAGATGGACCAAGTACTGACGCTATCTGCCTATGACAGACATAGCCATTCACCTCATCCCGGCCGAAAATCTAGAAGTCCGCCGAGGATAGATTCGCCAACTGGCTAGACTTCGCAATGCATGTTTACTATGGAGATGGTGCTGGTCATTTGGGTTGCGCGCATTCTCGTGCCTCTTTCCATGAGACACACGAAGATGGATGTGCACATGAAGCAATGAAAGAAATGATTTCAGCGCGGCGTTCTTCTCGTTTCTCGTCCAGATTTTCCAGAAAGCTTCTGGACTAGGGAGAGCTCTGTCAATGTACTTTACATGGGGGGCAATCTCCAGGTATTCAGTCGGTACCGAGCTCATATCTTGGAGGAGAGGATGTGACATGGCGGAATCGCAGACAGAGGAATGCAATCAGAGAACGACTATAGGGGCTTTCGAGCCTGACCTAGGTACCTAGGTATTTATCATACTAGTACTGGTAGTACAAGGTCAATCCCAAGTGTACCAAGTAGTACATTCCTGCTTCATGCTATACAGTTCATTGTTGCCTCCTTTCTCTCAAGATATGAAGGTACGAAGACATGAAGGCATGACTGTGATCTAGAATTGCGAGCTCAAGTGCCTCTGAGAATAAACAAGATAGGGTATCACAAATACAAAATCTCCCGGGAACTCAGCTTGTTCCCGTCTTAATATCCCATCCTCACGGTCAGCATGATTGCGTTCGACCATCATCTTCTGCTCCCTCAGGGTCATCAACTCGATGGCGAACTCGATTGCGACCACTTCTTTATCGCGACAAATCCGCCCTTCACGTCGCCTACCCATCCCCATCGCTGGCTGGCTGCGCTGTCGCCTGCAAGCTGGTCCATGAGCTTCTGAGCAGCGATTTGGCTGTCATTCCCCCGTTCGCAGACGAAATACACCGCAGGCGGCGGCCCGTGACTCTGAGTTTCTCGGTGTCCGTCCAATCCATTCGCCAGCAACGGCGTGTTCATTCCGCTATGGGAAGAGTCGACCCGCCCAGGCCCATCGTCGTGACCGTTGATGGCCTTCGGGGGCGTCGTCCGAACATGCGACTCGTTGCCCATCGGCCCTCTTCTCTCCGCGTCAGCCCCAAGGCCGAGCTCGTCAAAAGCACCACCACCGAGTCTCAGTATGCGTGATATCGGCATGTTAATGCTGCCGGCCACCTTCGTGCCGAGCTCGTACTCATGCTCTTCACGCACGTCGATGACAATTCTCTTTTGCTCCTCTCTTTCCAGATCATTCTCTGTCGGATTTTCGCTGGGTGTTGTCAGCGTTTCCAGAAACTCTTTGGCACCGACCCTCCTTTCATCGTCTAGTAAGTTGACATCCTCGAATACGCCACAGAAGGCCTGATAGTCCAGACGGCCCTGGCTGATCGTGTCTGCTGTGATCCGACTCAGCCCCTTTTGTGCTAAAGCATCGTCATCCCCGCACGCGAGACAGTCTTTTCTTCGACCTCGCAGCCCTATCGTACGGAACATCCCCCGCGGATCGGCGGCGTAGGTATTGTAGAGGAGCATGGTATGCTGATGTTGTTTCTGGGCTGGCTTCCGCATTTGATCCGTTTGTGAGGATGCAGGTGAAGACAGGGACGAACCGTTGTTCAGCCGTTCAGCCTCAGCCTCAGCCTCAGCCTCTGGAGTAGTTGTGGGAGAAGGAGGAAGATGTCCTCCAGCGGCAATGATTTTGATCGCCTCGCCGGCCATCATGGTCCCGATCAAGCCAACTACGGGTCCTAGAATCCCGATCTCGCTACATCCACGCACCATTTCTGGCGGCGGCGGACGTGGAAATACGCATCTGTAGCAGGGACCCTTGTCTTGACCTCCTTGTCCACCGTCGGCGGACAGAGGAGACGGTGGTGAGTTCAAGACCACGAGCATCCCTTCGCCCCTCTGGGCCGCACCGCTGACCAAGACCTTGCCCAGGAGTACGCACGCATCTGAGATCAGATACCGCGTTGCGGGATTATCCGTGCAGTCGAGAACGACATTATACTGCGCAATGGCACCGAGGATGTTGTCTGCGCTGGCGCGCTCTTCGTGCAGCACGTAGCGGATCTCGGAATTGAGTGCCTTGCACCGCGCCGCGGCGGAGCGTACTTTCGACAGACCTTCTCGTGCCGCTGATTCTGTGTGTGCGATCTGCCGGTGCAGGTTGCCTAGCTCCACCGTATCGCCGTCCATCAGGCCCAGAGTCCCGACGCCCGCGCCCGCCAAATACAGCGACGCCGGAGATCCGAGGCCCCCAAGCCCGATGATCAGCACCTTGGAGTTTAACAAGCGTTCTTGCCCTCGCAGCCGGAGCTGTGGTAGGAGAAGTTGTCGGTTGTATCTGCTCGATGCGAGGGGCGGGGCTGGCTCAAGGGGAGACCGCGATGTCGTGGTGTTTGACTGTCTTTCGTTGTCCCCAAGTGGAGAAGTCGTAGGACAGTGTGGCTGCGTCCCGGCTACCGTCTGCTGTTCGGGGTTTGTTGATGATGTGGATTGCGGCGGAATGGGAAGGGATGAAGACTGCGTTGGCTTCGAAGCAGATGTGTCGGTTGCCCTATCTACGCTTCAGTCAATGATACGTTGTACAGAAAACAGAGCAAACAGGCGGGAGATGAGCAAAATGAGATTCGTTCATTTCATTGATGAGGACTGCTTCTGCATGTGTTCATGAGTCTTCTCGTACATCCCCCAACATTGGGGCGAAGTCCATCCTCAGAAGAGTTTCCCAAGCACTCGTAAAGTCATCCGTATGTCTAGCCCTGTGGATGGCATGCATCAGGCTGACAAACAATCGTCGTAATTCACCCGGTATGTCAAGCGAATCTGGGGTGATGCGGCAAATCCAACCTCAAGGGTGAAAAGCAAGAAACAAGACCAGGAATGTTTGTGTCCAACTTACTCGTTGTTGTCGATCAAGTCTGGCAGTTTCTCCGCCTTCTCATTCCCCTTGAGAATGTTGTACACCGCCGTGAAAAGAGGAAAGTCCTTCTCCATGCCTAGACTTTTCAAGAACGTGTGGACCTCAACCGCCGTCAAAGCTCCTTGAAGCTTTTGTCCGTTCAGCTCTCTGGCTTCAATTTCCTCAATGGATTTTCCTTCTCGAATGCTGAGCATGGCGCACTTGTGATTTCGGCCACCAGAGCAAGTTGTGATCAAATCTGCAACTCCGGCGGACTCAACGGTAAAAGTATCCGGGTGGACGGTATTAGGGAAGAATCTGTTTCCGAACTCTCGCATCTCCAGTAATCCTACTCTCATCACGGCTGCTTTGGCATTGTCACCCCATCCCAGACCATCAACCCAGCCAGCAGCCACAGCTACGATGTTCTTCAAAGCGCCGCCCAGAGAAACTCCAGCAACATCGGAGACAACTCGAACGTGGAAGTATTTTCGGTGAAAGAGTTTCTTGATGGTGACATGATCAAAAGGGTAATATTCAGACGGAAGCGGTCGAAGTGTAACCTTGGAAGGTCGTCCCGAGACATCCTTATGAACCAATTTCGTCAGATCCACATGGCTGGAGACTGGACTAGAGCCTTGAGAGGTCGCCGGTGTGGGAGCCTGTGAATCCATGGGCGGCGGGTCGTAAGCAATGGTGGTTTCGGAAAACTTTTCTTGGGCGACCTCGTTGGCAATGTTGGCACCTGACAAGGCACCGCAGTAAATCCCCAACTCTTCGCCGATTGTCTCGGAAAACAGGCTGATGGAGGCCTCGTGAACATTGACTCCTTTGATACAGGAGATACCCCGCGCAAAGGGGAGGATATGACCTCGAAGTTGTTTGCAAAGATTGAGAATGAACTGGTGAGGGAGATTGAAAATGAGGACGGAGGAGTTTTTGACTGCATCGGTGAGGGAAGGGTTGGCAATGACATTGTAGGGGAGAGCAATGCCGGGAAGATATTTGACGTTCTCGTGAAAGGTGTTTATGAGCTTGGTGAGATTTTGTGGTCCTTTGCTGAGCTCTGAAGATTCGTCATAGTGCTTTGATTTCTTGTCAAGCTGAACCTCCTCTTCGTACACCCACATCTGGACATCTCGCTCGAAGAGTTCGGGGTGCTCAGCAGTGTTTTCTGCGACGAGTTTCGCAATGGTCGAGCCCCTGTATCGTCGTTAGCAAGGACATTTGTGCCAAGTATGACGAATATACCAATTGCCAGATCCAATGACTGTAACCTTGTGCTTCTTTGTGAACGGCGTCAGAGAAGACATTTTGGCTCGGAGCCCGTCCATGATGACGGGACGGGCGGGTTTAGGGCGACAAGCTCCCCGACAAGAGCAACGAGATAGCTTAAAGAACTGAGGACTGAATTTAGGACGGGCAGAGAAAAGCATCAAGTGCACCAAGAGACAATAAAAAGGATTGATAGTAGTATTATAGTAGTACCTAGGTAGGGTAGGAAAATGGTGGGTTGGACCAAAGGAACAGGACAAAATGTTGGTTGTTGAACTGCCCGCGTGACGCAGGTACCAAACGTAAGAGGAAAAGGACGGCCGGTGTCAATGATCCAGCGTAGCACCAAGTGCAGCCACATCCCCCGCCTTTCAGCCGACAGCCTCGTGCTGTGCCACACCGAGGCTGTTGTTCGCTCTCTTCGCACATGCTTATCGATAACAGCCTGCGCCAGCTCAACATCAGTTTGTTGACGGCTGCTTCAATCTCTTCCACCTTGATTCTCGTGACTCTTCGTCAATAAGCCGAGGGCCTTCGATATTCTTGGTATGCTCCAGCCGCAGTCTCATGCTATCTGTCGTGCCCCGCCAGTACCTCGGTCACGATGACTTGGGCAATCTGCACGATTATAGCCTCGACACTGGCCCTGCTTGAGTGTACACGTCTGGCACTCGACATCCATGATATGCCACGGCCCATAGGACATCCGGAGGGATAACACGAAATATATCACTATCTCGGTTGGCCTTGGGCGTCGTATATTGTCTGCTACACCTTTCCCCAACATGTGCGCAGTGATGGTCTCACCGTCGCCAAACACCCATCCAGTTGTGACACCGCTCGTTTGCCAAAGTAGGTACATATAATCTCAATAATCGTGAGCTCAATTTCAGCATGATTTCTGATTCCAATGCACTCCTATTCTGATCTCCATCCCTGGCCTGACGACCATTCAACAATCACAAAACCGGAACCCTTGATCCAAACAGAGTCAACCAGCAGCAGACATATTCCAGAGGAATTTATTCCCGGAAATTCCTCATGAGGGCAAAATACCTTCTGATGATCGCCAGCCTTGAGATTGTTGGCGCCCAGTGGACAGGTTGGGGTCTCCTGCCAGCTTGTGCGCAGCAATGCTTCAGCGATGCACTGCTGAGCGGTGCCGGCAACTGCGGCAGGACCTACATGAACAAATCCCAGCTGCGAGCCTGCATCTGCACAGATTGCTCTTATAGCGAGACTTTGAGAAATTGCTTTGAGTCTTCACCCGACTGTGGGGGAAACTCTAGTGTCGCAGATGTGTCGAGATTGAACGACGACTACTACTGCAACGGCTCTGTGGGAGCCGAAGTGAGATTGTGGGCTGGTAACCTCATTTGGGACATTGGCTCAACACACACGAAGCCTGCCAATATCACATCATTTCAGCTTCCGAGCACATGTGACACCCCTCCTGCAACGACAACAGAGAGCAATACCTCATCAGAGTAGGTCGACAGCTTACGGCCCATGACAGTGGCATGGCCCTCTCGTCTTTTGCCGGCCTTTCACGCCTCGAGGATATTACACTCGGTCACGACTCAGCCAGATCGACTCCTTTGTGCTGACAGCTCGCTTGAATCACTGCTGCCTCTGCCCGAGTCCCGACGAGGATACACACCTAAATTTGGCCCACCGCTACGAAGTCTTAGCTGCTGCTTTCTCAATATCGATTACTTTTCGCTAAATTGGCATCTGATAGAAGTGCCTCTTATGAATAACTACTACTATGTAAATTGTACAAGTAGAATGATAAGTACTTAGGGCGCAGGATAGGAGTTTGGTTGTTTTCTCCTATTAGAAATACCTCTCGAAGTACCGCCTACTGTACGATCTGACACGATCTAAGTGTTCACGGAGTTTTGTCACCGGCGTAATCCTGTCATAAGCTCCCGCCTCGCTGATTTAGAGAGTCGATTGCGGAGAGGTGTGATCTGTACTCGGCAAGGCTGTACAAGGCTGCACAAGGCTGCTACTGCAGTGCTTCAATCGATACCCAGCCTTGGCGCGCACGGGTGCACTCCAACTCCAACTTCGGATCTCTCCATCATCTCGAACCCATCCATATGTTCTTATTACGCTGGTAGTCTTTCACGGCCGCCTCACCACATGCTAACGTCCTCTACCCAGCGCTACGTACTTGTGTGCGCGCCAACGTAGCCATGGCATGCGGTGGCAGGTATCACCACTGTTTCCTCGCAAAGTCACCCTGATTAAAGTCCTAATTGACGATTGGGACACAAAGTATTTCTGCTAGCCTAACACAATGGGCGACAAAAGTGAGCAAATCGACGGCGACCCATATCTTGGTGTGGCTCAACAAGCTCCCACGGCGCAAGAGTCCACAAAAACCAAACTGCAGCGCCCGCTTTCGCTGTATGATGTCGTTGCAGGGAAGGCTGGGCCGAACGGGTTCCTTACCGAGGAAGAAGCACAGTCGCAAAACATACTCTCACTAGCGCCAGAAGAGGTTCTTCTACGGAAGACGACTATTCCGGCCGAATACATTCTCGACTCATATGATGCAGTGGGAAAGCTGCCGAATGGTGTCAGACTGCCAGACTCCGAAATGCTCAAAGCGATGCACGCCTATGCGTCCGACTTCTACAACAATGCGACCCCAGATGAAGGCGCATATGACTTCCGTTCCTTGGATGAAACAGCGCTCATTGCCATGGGCATTTTGCTGGAAGAAGCCGTAAGAGGGGCATTGGGAGAGAACGGCGACATGGTATTTGTGGAGCCGGAGGGACTGGATCAAGGACCGGGAGAAAGCAAGATGACCCGATATCAAGTGCAGGGCAAGGTGAAGCCAAAGACCAGACTGGAGGATGCTTCTGACCAAGAGAGTGTGCAAGACGACGACGAGGAGTTACCAGCGAAACGACGTAGACATCGATGAAATGTCACATACCCTGAGAGACACACTTCCATAGACATATCTTTAGCGTGCGGTCTCGAACAGAATTGGCCTCCCGAGCCGATGTCAAAGCTGTTGCTGTGTGGACGATTGTCGGGGACAGTACCCAAGAAGGAAACTTGGGGGCTTTGGGGGCTTATAGGCTACTAGTACTACTGGTAGTATGGAACTAAGGAAGCTTAAGGTTGGGGTTTAGGGGGCACTCTAGAATCCTTAGGCTCCTCTGCACCCCATCAGAGGTACCACATCATTATTGACAGAGTACTAGGACCGAGTTAATCCCAGGCCCATCAGGTTCACCGCCACCGCTTCCTTCAATATGACCGCAGTCTACAGTACTCTGAATAACCCTAGTAGGTACCTATAGGTAGGTATAGAACACCTACCTACAGTAGTAGTACCATGTGCACTGTACAGAGACAATGTGCAGCTGGTTACTGTGTTACAAGCATCTGCGGTCAATCTATGCTACATGCTGGCCAACCCCCTAGGCAAATCACCATAACCTGCAGTGTACCGAAAAGACATCCATGACTGACTGACTGATTGATTGTTTTTATCTCGCGCTTCTCGCAGGAGTATGACACATGATTGCTGTATTGTGTAGGTAATAGTAAATGAATTCTGTTACGTATTACCTTACTATGAGGCTTCAGCCACTCCGAGGACTCTCCGTCTCCTCCAGACTCCGGCAAGCCGCGTTCAAATCCCACTGGCACTGGCAGGCTTCGAACTGCCAAGGGTCGAAGCTTGAACACCGAGACAAGCCTTCGTCGCATCCCTCCCACTGGCATCAATGACTGGCATCTCCATTGATTCCATCACCGATCCAGTGGTTCACGGCCAGGGGTGGTAAGTGCTCCCTTACCTTCAAGATATCGCATATCGCATATCGCATATCACCTTCACCAAAGCTTGGCCTTGATACTCGAGATCATATCGAACTACTGCAACATCATCGGCTGTCTGTCTCGTATCCAATTCACAGCCTCAAGGCTACGCTCTGTCCCTCCCGGGAACCTCCCACCGTCGCCGAAGCTGCCCTCAGGCGTAATCGTCTCCTCATCGCGCGTCGCTCTCACGAAACCTCCTTCCGCAGTGCCCCGTCTGACGCGGCACCTTCGACACTGCGAGACTGCGACGACCTGCTGCGAGGTATGCGCTGACACCTCAGCTCCTCCGTCGCATATTCAACACGACTGACTTATGCCGTTGCGGCCGACTCTTGCCTCTGATGACCGAGCTGACTGGGTGTTCCCAGCCGCGCCATCATTCGCCATCATACCTCTAAGCCACATTACATGTCCACCGCCGTCCTTGTCCGATCCAGCTTGCTCCTCCGTCGATCCTAGCCCTACCGTGGAGCCGAGTCAACGATGCTCTGGACCATACCACCATTATAGCGTTGAATGGCTCGAGGCTTGACGGCGATGCCTCTCGAGTCACTGCTCACAAACCCCAACCCGACCGTGCCTCGGCCACGTTCGATCCTCTCCTACTTCTCCGGCTCGTTGGGCCGACATGCTCGCAACATGTTCGACCTAGTTATCGAGCCGGAAGATCCCTTTCGCGTCTATTCGCCGGGCCAGACTGTCAAGGGTCATGTTGTTCTCTCGGTTTCAAAAGGCTTCGACTTGACACATTTGGTGATTGCGCTTCATGGCTATGCTAAAGTCTTCAAGCACCAGATTGCCCCAGGCGAAGGATTCCCAGCTCCGGAAGGTCTTATAAGTGGCAAAGGCACGAGGGGGTTTCAATATCATGGCAGCGGGTTGGCTTCTCTCTTCCAGCAGGAGCAAGTGCTCTGTGGGAGCGGCTTTCTCAAGAAACATGTGTACAAGTTCGCGTTCGAAATTCCTTTTCCGAACAGAAGCCTACCCAGTACCATTGATGTGGGTTGACTTGCTCCATTGTGTTGGTTGTGGTGCTGACTTTCATTGCAGTTCGAGCGAGGCACCATCTCTTATATGCTTACCGCCACCCTCACCCGGCCGACGACGATCAGCCCGACGGTGACACGCAGCACTAAGGTTAAATTTCAGGATCGCATTGACATCGAGTCGATGTACACTCCGAAATCTCGAGTCATCACATTGGAGCCAGTCTCCAAGCGTGGCAAAGTGAAAGTCGTCAACTCAGCCTCGTATCTCACCACTCAGACCACCGCCAGCGCTGGCGATGGCCCTCTTATTACCCGAAACAACACACAGAACAGCACGGCCAGTCGCAGCACCAATTCTATCGGTAATCCTCCACTCAGCCCGGCACCAAGCGAAGACACTGTACAGACAAACACTACAGCCCCCAGCACTCACAGTTCCCAGGCAGCGAGCGCAGAATCACCGACAAAAAGGCCGAGTCCTCAGACCAGTGACTCGCGAAGCAATGCCACGTCTTCATCAGCCCAAACCATCACTGCCACTACTGAACTTCCCCGCCACGGAGCCCTTCCAGGAGACACAATCCCCATCCGCGTCTCTGTCGCCCATACCAAGTCCAATGTGCGGGGCATGGTAATTGCAACCTTATACCGGCAGGGGAGGGTGGACATGCACCCGGCCATTCCCCTGGGAAAGACCGGCAAGGATCAGAAGGCTGAGTATGAAGACGTGTACCCGAAGTCACGGACGGGTCTGGGTGGCTTGTACTTTGCGAATGCTTCGCCAAGTAGCGTATTCCGAAAGGATCTGGCTCAATCTTCCACCATGATGATTGTCAACCCAGCCACAATGACCGCGGATATCACCACTTCTCTCAGAATCCCCGACACTGCCTTTCCGACAATTGCCAACGTACCGGGCGGTATGATCTCATTCACCTATCACATCGAGGTCGTTGTCGATCTGTTTGGGAGGCTGGGGGAGACGCGGATATTGCCCCGTTTAACGTCCAGTGACCCGATCTTCTCGCACAATTCGGAACATGGCCACCAGTTGACGAATGATTGGTCGCAGACTATCCTGGACACGACACAGCTACGGCGGACGAAGAGCGTCGTCACGTTCGAGATGTCGCTTGTGGTTGGGACCCACGACAGTGGGAGAAAGAACAGACAAGCAAAGCAAGCAGAATATCCCGTACCCGAAGCTGTGGCGCCATGGACGCCAAACGGTTTCGCTGAACAGAACCCGCAAAATGGTGGAAACGGGGCTGACGGTGGGTTTGACGACCAGTACTACGATCAGACGGGTCATCCATATTATCAGGCTTACGACCATGATTATGGCTATGATTATGGCTATGACTATGACTATATGAACGATCCCGGTTTCCATCCTCACTACGCCACGCTTGGTCACGAAACCATCCCGCCTCCAGAAGCGCATGAAGCTATGGATGAGAAAGCACGGCTCCGCAGGCAGGAAGAACTGTTGTTTCCGAGCCACCCTCCGCAAATTGATGGGGCCTCCAGCAGCAACGCCGCTCCATATGAGGCCTCTGCGCCGGTGATTACCGAGAGCTCTCTGCAAGAGAGGAACGACGGCCACCCGGAGGGCAATGTGACACCCTCCACCCTGCACACAACCGCCTCGGCCACATCGGCACGATCTGGCGACACCATTCGACCTTACTCCACGCCTCCCCCATCAGCGCCACCTCCCAATGGCGAGATCCAGGCCACCGACGACAAGCATGAGTTAGAGCGGCAGCGGCTCCTCGCACAGGCGAGTGCACCGCCTACGGAAGGCGAAGATCAGGCCTCGAGCAGTGCCGCGCCGCCGGGATCAGTACCAAGCGCGCCAACAATACACGAGCAGGATGAATATAGTGTACACACCTTGTATCATGCTGATATTGGAGCGGCGTTGCCGCAGTATGAACGTTGACAGGGGGATTCTCCTTGGTATTTATGTGTTTTCTGTTTTGGGTTTTGACGACAGCGACGGCGCTGGAGGACCACTTTGAATTGTTGCTTGTGGAAGCGATGGGTATAGAGCTGAAAATCGGCATTGATCTCTGCACCATGTGTGAGCATGGCAGCGGCTCCGAGCGTGGATCAGGATCATAGTACGAGGTGCCATGTGTGTTGATGATTATCCACGCTTTGAGATTTGATGACTTAGAGATACCAATTGTTGACGGCTGCGGACAATATCAAACTGCACAACAGGAAGCGTATTGAATCCATATCCAAGTGAGGACGACCACTGAATCCCATTACGGTAGTTATGGCGCCGCCAAAAAAAAGGATTCAAATTCGATGCCCTTACAAAGTCGGAGCAGGAGACGTCAGCCTCCTCTCCTCTCCGCCTCCTTCTTCTTCTAGAAGGAAGACATGAGACCATGCCAACAACCACTGCACTGGAAATGCTCACCGTCAATCTCTGATTTGCACCCCTTAGCCAGTCTACGGGCTTGGCAAATTGCGATGGTAACACTGCACTGCAGTAGGTAACACCACTCTGTACCGAAACCTGAGGTGAACTACCAGGTAACAACTACCTACGCAGGGAGTCTATCGCCGTCTACCCAACAAGGTAGGTACAAACCACCAGGTATCTTAGGTAGCTACCTAACCTCCACCCCGTACCGATGACCACACGGCGCCAACGCATCAACCAAAGTTCATTCCATGGCGACCGTCTTCTACACTCTGCGACCTCTCGACTCTTGCGTGACTTCTCCTGCCTCGGCCGCCCCCCACGACCCCGCGACCCTGGTATCGAACCGGCCAGCCTCCCAAGCCCTTCTGGTTCCTCTGTTGTTTACAGACACCAATTAAAATTGAAGAAAAGCTTGAAGCTGCAACTGTCTGTCTATAGAGGCTGAATGGGTATCAGCTCGATTGCGTTCGGGCCAGCCTTCCATTTTCCTGCGCCGTCCACAGCGGGATGGTAAAATCCTAGATAAGTCACGATCTACGACGCGGCGGAGATGGAGGCAGGGAGTTCAGCCGTGTGCTCTCAGGCGTGGTCGTGACGTTCCTCCACGACCTCAAGAGACCGTCTCAAATGTCCACGAGCATGACATCGCCTTCACTGTTCGAAGACGGGTAGGTGGCCCAAGCAGGGGAATGTACAAAGCCACCGATCTTATCTCTCCGATCGTCGATTGGTGAGTACCCTCCCCAGCAACCTCTGCCTTATCTTGAACTTCAGCCACCGTCTCTGTGCGGAAGGAGATCCCAAACGACAACAACTACTTGGCTATGCTTCCTGCTATCGCAGACGCCACCAAGGAGGATGGCCATCGTTCTACTGGACAATTGCCTTAGGACGACAAGGGAGCAGATGATTTACTCTGCTTCAAACAGCTATCTTGGCCTTGGCGGCTTGGTTGTCTTGTCCATCTAAGATGATGCTGTAAACGCCTGGCGTGGCATGGCGTGGCATGGCAAAGAGCTTGCCCGCGCGATGATGTCGCTGATTGCCTCTCCTACAAGGTAAGAAAGCAGGGCAGCAATGCTTGGAGCGGCTTGGGACCCCTTGATTTCACTTGGCTTGCGGCTTCCTTCATAAAGGGGAAATACTCCCACTCGACTTTGAGACCTCTACGTGATATCACCTTCAGATTGCCCAGCATGGTCGACACTGCTTATGGAGATAAGCTGCCTGAGAAGTCGCATGAGGCGACGGCCTCGCCTTCTGTGATCCCTGATGTTGAAGAAGGAACCCAGCACTCCACCAAACTGTCCCGCGGTCTTCAAGGCCGCCATATGCAGATGATAGCCATCGGTAACATCCCATGCTCATGACCACGACCCCCGTCATGCTAACGTGCTGAACAGGAGGATCCATCGGTGCTGGTCTCTTCGTCGGCTCTGGTTCGGCCTTACAGTCTGGAGGGCCGGCCTCGCTCGTGATCGGATTCATCATCATCGGCTGCATGTTGCTCTGTACTGTGCAGGCCTTGGGTGAGTTGGCAGTCTTGTATCCCGTCAATGGTGCTTTCTATGTCTACGGCGTGCGCTTCATTGACCCAGCCTGGTACGTGTCCCCCATGTCTCTAATCTCCGACGTCAAGCCAACCAGTTGTCCACCACAGGGGTTTCGCCATGGGCTGGCAGTACGCCATTGGATGGTTGATCACCTTGCCTTTTGAAATCACAGCCGCCGGGATCACAATCGACTATTGGCATCATTATAATATTGGCATTTGGATCGCTGTCTTCCTCACCTCCCTCATCATTGTCCAATTCTTTGGTGTCAAGGGGTATGGTGAAGGTACACATTGAGTCCTGTCTGTCTGATAAAGTAATTGCTGACCTGCCACGGCAGTGGAATTCGTCCTCGGCATCATCAAGATCGTTGCCGTCATTGGCTTTTGTATCTTCGGCATCGTTGTCAACTGTGGGGGCGTTCCAACCGACGATCGTGGATATATTGGCTTCCGGTACTGGAACGACGCCGAGCACGGCAATCGGGCTTTCCGTAATGGTAGGACTTCGCCTCCCAGCTTTTCGTCTTAGCGGGAGTTAACAGACACTGACGTGTATCAGGTTTCAAGGGATTCTGCTCCGTCTTTGTCACGGCGGCTTTTGCGTTTGGAGGCACGGAACTCGTTGGTCTCGCCGCCGCCGAAGCCGCCAACCCGAGAAAATCCCTACCAAAGGCCACCAAGCAGGTGTTTTGGCGGATTTCGGGCTTCTACGTCGTCTCGCTCTTGATCATGGGCATCATCGTGCCCAACAGCTCGCCCGATCTCCTCAACGCGTCAGGTGCCAATACCAAAGCCTCACCGTTCGTCCTCGCCATCAAGTACGCCGGCGTTAAGGGTCTGCCTTCGGTCTTCAACGCCGTCATCACGATTTCAGTCATGTCGGTCGCCAATTCATGCACGTACGGGTCGACGCGGACGATGCAAGCGCTCGCCCAGGGCGGTATGGGGCCGAAGCTCCTCGCGTGGGTCGACAAAAAGGGTCGCCCCGTGTGGCCCGTCATCATCCAAATGACGTTCGGCTTGTTGGCATTCATCAACGAAGCCGAAACCGGCTCCACGGTCTTCAATTGGCTGCTGTCCTTGACCGGTCTGTCGTCCTTCTTTGTCTGGGGCTCCATCTGCCTGAGTCACATTCGCTTCCGACATGCTTGGAAAGCCGCGGGCCGAAGCCTGGACGAACTCCCCTTCAAGTCGCAGCTGGGCGTCTACGGCTCGTACGTCGGCTGTACGCTCGTCGTCCTCTGTCTCATGGCCACCTTCTACATCTCGCTCTTCCCCATCGGCGGCTCTCCCAACGCCGAGTCCTTCTTCTCCGGCTACATTGCCGCCCCGGTCATTTTGGTGCTGTATCTCGGCTACAAGGTCTGCATGCGCGACACCACCACTTGGGTCAAGATCAGGGACATGGATCTTGACACCGGCCGCCGCGAGTTCGAGGACTTCCCTGACTCTGAGCCGGACGAGCCCGAGAGGAGAGCGAGCGTTGGCCGCAAGTTGAGCAGGGCCATCTTTTAGCCATAGTACAGACCGTGTGCAGAAGTTCTTCTCGACGTGGCTTGCTGATGTGCTTCTCCTGGGACTGTATTGTGCTGGGTCAAGACATGGCTGGCACAGGTTGGGGGGCAGCTTTGGGTAGACAGTTGTTATTGTAGTTGGTAGACGATCCGAGATTTGGAACTCTCAAACTTATATATGTCTCTAGGTCCACAGCTTCCATTATCTACAAATTGATGTATGTATACCTGTCTGTGGAGCATAACTGTCTCTGGTTTTCCCCCACGTGCACCATGTCTCCAGAGACTTGGTCGTTGATCGACTCTTGTCCATATGATGGAAGAATCGACCCGGACTTGAATGAGCTCAGCATGGGTCTGGGTCAGTCCCAGGGAACGGAGAAAGAATCTACATCTAAAAGTATAGCGTAAGGAGCCCGTTGCATAAGGCAGGCATAGATGCGCCGAGGTGTCATTTTGCAGTTGGAAGGGGCTCGCCGGGACAAGTGTCCTGGTCATGTCAATCCTGCTGGAGTCCGAAGAGCATGTCTTGATCTGTCTTGATCACGTTTCCATTGTCTACAGGTATGGATTCTATCACTCAAAGCCCCCTCGGGGGCGTGGCCAGGGATCAACCGAAATCTCTAGCATGCGGATTCGATTTGCCCCCGTGCTGCTACATCAGATCGAGAAACCTGGCGCAACAACAGATGTCATGAAGCAAAGGACAGCCGTGCCGGCATATGTCTGGGCCAATGGTTGGAGCTCTATCAATCAGACACCAAAGATCTCCTTGACCTGCTTCATGGTGTCTTCCGGCGAGGTGACGGCATGACCGATGGTTCGTGGATCACTGTAGATCTCCCAGTCGTTGCCGCCGGGGAAGGCCTTGTCGCCGAAAAAGTGGATGTGCTTGTAGTGGATGCCCGAGAGGTTCTTGGACGGGTCGGCCTCGGCCTCAATGTGCTGCAAGCAATATCTCTTGTCCCAGCCATCCGGGAAGACGTCAAACGAGATCTGGCCGCCAATGGAATATCTGTTTTATCCGTCACCCCGAGTCAGTATGTTCTTGTTTCTGCCGACGGTATGATCCCCGCCATATCATTCCAGGAGAAGCGAGGGGAGAGGGGACAATCCTTACGTGAGTCCCAGATGCGGGAATTCGGCCTGAATGGCCTTGATCAGCTTCTCTCTGCAGCCGGACTTCTTGTCCCAAGCCTCGAACTCGTCTCGCTCGGCTTGACTGGCGTTACGACCGACGGGGCTGACGTTGATCATGCCATTTCGGAACTCGATGAAGGTCCCGCGCATCTTGGGGATGTCCTCGATGCCGGCAATGTACTTCAACAAAAACCGCACCAGTTTCTGGTACTTCTCTTCCCCAAGCCATTGGATGAACGAGTTGCCGGGCAGGGCCTGGCCCAGGCGGAAGGCGGTCAGACCGTTCTCGGGGAAACAGAAGTCGAAGAGCGACTGGACGGGGAGGGACGGCGTGCCGAGTTGTTCCTGTTGCTTGACGAGATCGGAGCCGCCGACCTGTTTATGGGAGAAGAAGAGTCAATGTCTTGTCTTGTCTTGTAGGCAGAGGTGATATGCCCTTGAGGCCCCAAATTGAGGATTCCGCGTGGACTCACATAGCCAATTGCAACTTTCTGTCTCAGGCGCGACAGCATCTGCAGCATCTCAGCTGAGACGGTCCGTCTGGCCGGGGTGAGTGTGCCGTCCACATCGAAGAGGACAATAGTTTCTTTGATCGGACGGTCCTTGAGATCGGGGTAGAGTTCGGCCATGGTGGATTGATTAGGGGCACTGAGGAGTGAGGAGTGAGGAGCGAGATAGGACGGAGGGGTCACGGAAGGTGAATGCCAGGTGCTGCTTCGTTGCAAGTGTCTAAGCCTAGGGCCTTTTGTAGCTCGTACTAGGAGGAAAGGAACGGCAATGATGGGGTGTTCAGAAAGAAACAGTCGTAAATAGAGACATAGGATTGAGAAAAGGACAGTTCAACGTGCGTGTCCCTTTTTTTCTAGGAGTGAAGGTGGCTTGTTTGACAGACCGGGAGGAAGGTTGACAGCGCGCCCGCAGGCTTGAAGTGCAGTGCATTGTCGGTGCACAAGCGTGACTGGCGCCCACAGCACCGTGTGGCTCAGGGCGCAGATTGACCGCGTTTATCAGTTTAGTTATCAGTTATCAGTTATCAGTCCTGTGATATCACGTGCAGCCCTTATCGCTCTGATTTCCTCCCCTGGAAAAAGGGGCTGATGCCAGACAAGGCTGCTTACTAACATCAAGATGCCGACTGTGGAGTCAGCTGCAGTATGTGGCAACGACTCGTTGAGGTATACATATATCTCTTCAAGAGCTCAGTTGTGCGAGACAATTGGAGCTTGTTGACAGTGAGTGATTCAGAGATAAGAGGCGAATCAGACCCACCACTGAAATGTACCAAATAACTGTATCGGTGCCGCCATTGCCATATGGGTCGGTGAATGATGGCAAGGTCAAGACATACCTCAAGATGACTGTCCAGCTATGCTTCGATCAGCGGTGGACGACGTCTTGCAACGGTAAGGCTTACATGTGGACACGTCTTGCTGACTCTTATCACTGCCTACGATTGGCGACTATGCTCGATCGGTATTATACACCAATCTCACCCCAGTCTGCTCTATCGCGTCTCGATCATGTTTAGTAAGTCTCGACCCGTGCTGACAATCTTTGATGACATCGACGCCTCTACCACCTTTTCATAGGTAGAATCAGCTTCTACTCTCTCTCGCAAGCAGAAAAGTCACTTTTGAAGGCCGGTGTCCGTCCCGAGATTATACAAGAGAGCCAATACTGATATCAAACCGAGACTCAACAACACAGCTCATCGAGAACTGTATACTCTCATCTAACATCTATCGTCTCTTCTACAAATCCCAGCTTATACAATGCTCTCCTTTCTCCGCGGATCAGGTCCTCCCGTGCGCACCACCAATGCAGCAAACAACCCCATCTTCTACGAACACGGCCGCTCGAGACTCGAATTTCACGCCCCCAACTCTCCATTTCTCATGACCAACGCCATCCCGCCGACGACACCCGCGCAAGGCGCATCGATCATGCAACCGCCGTTGCATTTCCACATTCACCAGACCGAGAAATTCCACGTCCGTTCCGGCACGGCCACGTTCTGGAAAGGAAGTGGAGCTGACCCGTGGCTCATGCTCTCCTCGGAACCAGGACAGCCTTCGACAGCGACAGTTCCGCCCGGCACCTGCCATCGCTTCGAGAACGCTTCCATGACAGAGGACCTGGTCGTCGACGTGCAGCTGGATCCGGAGGACTATGAGGCCGAGCAGCGCTTCTTCCGCAACTTCTTTGGATATTTGGATGATTGTCGGAAGGCGAATGTTGAGCCTACTCTGTTTCAGTTGATGGTTTTCTTGGATAGTGCGGATACGCCGTTGGCATTGTCGCTGCCGCTGGTGAACAATGAATGGCTGGGTGGATGGGTTAGTAGGCTGTTTTTGACGGTGATGGCTTTCTGGGGGAGGTGGCTACTCGGGTATCAGACATCTTATTCGGAGTATTATGAGCCAGGGAAATCAAGGTAAGGTAGTCTGGTCAGTGGGAGTGAAAGAAATGCTTTACTCTTCCAATAGAGGAAGATGAAAATGTCGGTAATGGTGCTGGTCACCGGAACGTGTATTACTGGTCTACACCCCTATCTCTATACATATAGATGGACCTCTCAACCAGCTGACATATAAGGTACGAGAGTATATATACATCTAGAAATCTAACTCACAGGTCCACTCCACCATAAGACAAGATTTTGTGGCTAACCGTGTGGATTACATCCCGTGATATTCTTGTATTCATCCCTCTATCTGTATACAATGTCAACTCCAGACTTGCCATTGGGCTCAGAGCGGCTAAGATTCTCGTGTAATTTAATGCTTTCCCTTCATACCACTGCTGGCTCTAAAATAAGACTACGAAACCAATCAAACCTCACGCTCAATGGCTGGAAAACAGTCTTTCCCAATCATCTAAGGGTGTCAGAAGCTGGATTAAAGAGGAGGGATTCATTGCTCCATCTTTCTCATCACTATGCACAAAGGCCACCACAAGTGATCCATCTCGTAATATCAACACCTGTGATGCATGTTCGAAACAAGATATGAGACCTGATACCAGCGCCCATCGCTTGGGGAAATCTAACTTCAACGATCAATGTAACATGCACAACCAAGAGTGATCATACCAACGGACACACTTGTCCAAAATGTCCAGGTCATCTGACGGACACGCGCCCACCAAACCAGACAAAAATGCCTCCTAGGCAGCAACGGCGCCAGCCTTCATCCCCTTGACCGACTTCCACTCGACAAAGACGGCCCCAATTGCGGTCATACAAGCCATGGCCACGGCAATGTACCATGTATTCGTGAGAGCCGTATTGTAAGCCTCCTGAACACCGGCCAGAGACCCGGCGGGGATTTGTTCTTTCAGCGACGTGGCACCCACATGGAGGATGATGGAGGGATCCAATCCAGGGACATATTTGGGGATCTCGGTGATGAGACGGTTGTTGAAGATGTTCTGACCGACGGATACGAACAGGGCGCCTCCAAACGTCTGCATAAACATCACCAAAGCAGTGCCTGTGGGGACATCCTTGAGTGGCAAAACAGCCTGCACGGTGATCAAGGCCTGCTGCATGCCAAAGCCCACCCCGAATCCGTAGATGATCTGATATCCAATCCACTTCTCGTGCCCGGTGCTGGTTTGGAACGTGGTGAGAAGACCCGCACCGACGGCCGAGAAAATGACGCTCACATAATAGAATGGCGTGTAGTATCCGATGGCGGTGGTACCGACACCAGTCAGGATATTGGCGACGACCAGGGCCAAGACCATGGGCAGACACATGATGCCAGATTTAAATGCCGAGGCGCCCTTGATGGCTTGGAACCAGATGGGAACCCAGTAGACGAGAAGGAAGAAAGCCCCGCCCAGCGAAAAGGCGAACCAACATGCAGCAGCGACACTGCGTTGGGAGATGATGTTGAAAGGAATGGTGGCGAATTCTTTCATGTAGTACTGAACAATCACGAAGACGACAGTCAGCACGCCGAAGAACGTCAGGCACAGAACGATGCGCCAATTGGACCAGGGGTAGGTAGATCCACCCCATTGAAGAGCCAGCAGACAGACGACGATGTCGACGATGAAAAGCGCGGTCCCGCCCAGGTCGAGTTGAAATGCCCGCTCCCTAACGGATACCTTCTTCTCAGCCTTTCTCTTGGGGGACTGGAAGTAGAAGAAAATGACGACCAGGGTCACAGCACCAAGAGGAAGGTTGATGTAGACTGGGAGCCATTAGCTTGAGTATGCGCGGCCATGAGACCAAATCAGAACTTACAGCACCAACGCCAGCCGGGCCCGTCGGTGAAGGCGCCACCCAGCAGAGGCCCGGCGATCGAGGCAATGCCGTACATGGCACCGATGATGCCGGTGTAGATAGGACGTTTCACCAGCGGCACCGTGTAGGCGATGATGACCAAAGCGCCGGAGAAGATACCGGCAGACCCGACACCTGCTATGGCACGACCAACAATGAGGGCATCAGAAGTTGGGGCGCCGCCACAGACGGCAGATCCGACTTCGAAGATGACGATAGACGTCAAGTACACATTCTTGATGGAGAAGAAGGTATACAATCTAGGCGGGTCAGTAAGTGCTCCCCTAGTTCTTGCTCGGCGAGGTACTCACTTTCCAAAGAACAATTGCAATGCGCAGGTCGTGAGAAGATAGGACGAGCCGTACCAGCCCACGTCGCCGAGAGATTTGAAGTGATCGGTGATCTTGGGAATGGCCGTGGCGATGATGGTATTGTCCAGGGCCACCAAGAAGACGGAGAGACAGAGGGCGAGGGTGATGAGAGCCAGCTTGAGTCCACTTGGATATAAAGCCTCGTCGTCTTCGGGTGAGGGAATGGCACCGTCTGCATGTTTCTCCTCGTTTTGGATTTCCACCTCGGACGACTCTTTGCCCGGCAACGTCTCCTCTAGGACCGTCTTTTCCTGCAGTTGCTCAGCCTGGGGGACCCGATCGGTGTCTGCCATAGACGACTCCAGTCGGGGATGTTTCTCGAGATCTGTGTGGGACACATTTTGGCTTGGTACCACCGTGGTGGCCTCGGATTTGGCATTGGCAGTCTCGGAGCCAGACCAACTTGGCTTCTTGATGGAGAAGCCCATTGAATATGGTTGTGGTCTGTGTCGGCGCGCCTTGTCTCAGCAATGCTTGGGGCGTTGGGCGTGAATGGGGAAGGGTTCTGTCCTTGAGGGGGTTCGAGTTTGAGAGAACTGGTATTAGAAGGTGAGCAGCTATGCCTTGCAGCTGAGGATATTAGGATGGCTGGGTGGTTGTTCGAGCATTGGAATGAGAAAGGCAGGAAGGCGATACTGGTGATAGAATGCTGGTGTGGTTGGGCTGATGATATTTGCACGTGTTAAAGTACACGGTATCCAAGGGCGGGAGGTTGGAGGTGATCCAACAATCAGAGCATATCACAACGGCCACAGTACTTGAAGATGAACGTAGATGAACGAAGAAGGATGAAGGACAGGCAGAAGTGAAAAGAAGACTATCCGAAGTAAGTCAAGGGAGCCAGCTGAAAGTATATTCTTTGTTTTCGAGGAGGAAGCCCAGGCTACATGCAGTGTGGGTACAAGGGGGAGGGGGAGAATGTCCGGGGTGCCTGGAGAGCTTAGGGAGCTGCCGTTACGGGGTTACTACTTACAACTTGGATACCTACCAGGTACTGCACAGTTGTACAGTGGTAGCCTGTAGGTACCTAGTAGGTAGTGGTGGTGAATGCTCACTGCGTGTCGAGAAAGACGGTGGATGCCGCAGTGGGTCGATTACGACCTGTTGATCGATCGCCTGCGCTCCTCCTTTCCCTGTTTTCCCACTTTGTCCCTGGTCCTTTTGCTCGCTCGCCCGTCGCCCGTCGCCCAGATCGGACGAAGAGGAATGGACGGGAATTGACTTATTCCTGTCTAGTAAGTAGTACCTACCGCGAGACTTACAGAGATACAAAAGTGGAATCTGAAATCTGGAGTTTGGGGCATTATATTGGGTCCAGCTGCCCGCCTAAGGAGCCCGCTACTACTAGGTAGATAAAAGGACAACTAATTAATTAGATGCCCCGGTTAATAGTGGACATATGCTGTTCCTGATCATTTACTTTATTGTTACTGCGTGCCTACCACTGGCATGGGTACTTCTGTAGTACAAACCATAATGTATTCTCTTGATTACCTAGGTATCTTAGATAGACACCTACAAACTACTCCCCAAAAAGGTCTGTGGTGAATCCCCATACCCTCTACTGCTGCATCGTCCTCTTCGACCAGGCAGCAATAAATAGTCCCCTGTCCTCCTCGTCTCCGAGCCCCGTCATCGCTTCCAGCCGTGGTCGCAGTCCAATCAAGACGAGAATGGTGACGCGATGATATGCTCGACAGGGGGTGGCTAGGGTTTCGATCGGGAGCAATGTACTCTTTCGACACAATACCCGGCGACTGCTCGAGCCGTAAAAGCCTTGTTGTGACAAGAGTCGGACGAAATATCACGCCGGCGACGGGGCCTCAGATCCATTGGCTCCAATCAAATCATCAGGAGAATACGATAAGATAGAAAATACGAACACAGAAAGACAGGCAACAACGAATAGTCGGGGATCATCTTTCCTTAAGCGAGACTTCTCGCTGTCTTGTGGTTCCGAGCTCCGAGTCCGATTCAAGTCACCGAATACTAAGGTAGGTAAGTACCTAGGTAACTGTGATACAGCATCAACGCAAATACCGTCTGGCTCGACTAGAAAAATGAAGATTGATATTCTTCAGTGTTAAGAATAGGGGCGCCCTGCCCGGGTCACCACAGAGGGATAGACAAACACACCCATGACCCATATTCAACCTCTCCATAAACTCCATCCATTACTGCGCCTCGGCAGAGCCTTGCATTGCTTGAGACCCTTGCCGCGTTGACATTGGTGTATTATATACATTTCTATCGGTTCTCCAACCACAACAGCGCCGCTTATTTTTCACTCTTTGTCGTCCTCTTCTCAAACTCCACCACCGCGGGGGCAATGGGTCGGGAGAACAAACTTGAATAGTCGGTCGGCACTAGATCCTTGCCAGGCTGATTGCGGAACTTGACCAAGCGGATCATGGTCGCCAACACCGTCCCCAGTTGAACATAGGCGAACTGCTCTCCGATGCATCGATGTCTACCCGCGCCAAACGGGAGGTACGGTGACGAGGCTCCCTTGCTGATCATGCCGAACCCATAGTCCTCAAACTCCTCCGTCTCCGTTCCCATCCGACTGTAGGACAGTTTGTGCCCGTCGTCCCATCGATGCGGCTCCCACAGCATCGGTTCGGGGAAATATTCCGACTCTCGAGATGTGACCCCAGGCGCCGACATGAGCGTGTGAGTGGTGGGAATTTGATACGTTTTGGTCGTGGTCGCAGTGTCGGCGACAATGGTCAGGGGCGACTTGACCTTGCGCATGATGCTGTGGATGGGAGAGTGCAGCCGCAGCGTCTCCTTGACCACTTTGCTGTGCAGCGTCAACTTCTGCAACGACTCGTATGTCAGAGGCGGCAGGTCTTCGCCCAGCACTCGCTTCTGTTCTTCGAGTAGCTCCTCCTGGATGTCGGGGCGTGTGGCCAGTCGCAAGAGGATCCAGCTCGAGGTGGATGACGACGAATGCTGCCCGGCCATGAGCAGGGCAATCATCATGTGTGCCACCTCGGTGTCCGGAATGGGCGTGCCGTCCTTGTAGGCACAACTCATCAAGTTCCAAATCATGTCCTCTTCGCCTTCGCCCCGCTTTCCGCCTGCAGCTCGTCGTTGCTTGATGATTTCCATGTACGTCTCGGTCATCTTCTTCTGCGCTCGATCTCGCTTGCGGTTGTGAGGCAGGGGTGCCCAAGGCAGCATGAAATTGATGGGTGCAAACCCCATGTCAAGGTCATGGTAGAGGTCGGCAAATGTCGAGTCGAACTTCTCCCGCACTTCTTTGCCCTGGAGCGATCGGGATGCGGTGTAGATGGTCAACTCTGCCATGGCTGGGATTATGTCAATCGTGCCAGACGAGCCCTTGAACGCGGCCGAATTCTCGACAAACAGTTTGGTCTCGGCAGAGATCAGATCAACGTAGGACTTGAAGGCATCTAGGGTCAGACCGAACTTGACGAACTTCTTCTGCTCCATCAACTTGGAGTTCTCGCAGTCATACTGTGCCATTTTGTCAGCCCATGTTCTCTGCCGTGTGTTATTTTCGTTCAACCTACCACCACACCGGCCCCAAAGACTGGGGTGGTCAGCCCACTATAGACTTCCTCCGCATTGACATCCTTTAGCTTTCCGTTCAGAATGAATTCGTTCCCTTTTGTGCCCAAGCAGACTGTGACTTTTCTTCCGAGGAGGATGAACGTGAAAACGTCGCCGTATTTCTGCTTGCAGGAGAAGAAGAAGTCGAAAGGGTCCATGCCATACCATATCCTGGAGACAGCAGTTAGCAAAAACTTTGTCCTCAACGGCCATCTTGCAATAAAATCGTGCAAATGTGCAGTCTTTCCATATGGGCCACGTACGTGCTACCGATTAGCGGAAACCAGGAAAACACTTCTGGCGGCGCATTCTTGTCCTTGAACAACACTTGTCTCGTGACATGGAAGACCACCGCCAGGCCTATGAAGGCGGCGAAGCCGAGCAGGACGACTTGATAGAGAGGAAGGGTCTGGACGAGTCTCTCGACGGGTACCGCGACCGTGGCAAGGAGACCCATGGTTGGAAGGGTTGTCGCAAGGATCACTGATGCCGAGTCGGATTGCACCCAGGCCACGCGAGGTGTGAAAGGAGCGACAAGGTTAGGGACAAAGCGTATGGTGTGGCAAGGACTGTGTTCGATGTAGGTATACCGTTGGAAATGGTGTCAGGGTCAACTCTGTAAACGTTGAGAGATAGAGGATCGAGGTGGGTGGGACTCGAGCGGCGCAGCTATGGGGATACCAGGCAATTTAAGGTCAAGTTGAAAATGAGAGGATGGCCTGCTTGAGCGGGCTCGAGGCAAGCTATCTATGTGTACAGAATTCCTGAGGCGACTTCCCGGTGCCTCACTCGGTGTATTCTGTATGTATCGTGGCTATTCTCTTGTAGACAGGAGGGATGTTGAGCGCAGAGGGGCCGAAAAATAAATTATTATTGTTCCCATCAGAGTTGTAGCAACGGAGCAGTAACAACGATGCACCGTACAGAGAGGAGAGAGGAGAGAATTCCCAGGTACGCAGAGAGCACGATTGGCGGGTTTCTTTGGTGTCGAGCTCGAGCTGCAGCTTGAAAGTGCTGCCACTGGCACTGATGCCTTAGATCCCCGAAGGTATTGATGCCTATTGGTGCCTGCGGGTGCCGGTGGACGCCACTGTCAGTTTGGATGCTGCGATCCGAATCGAGCCACCATCCCATTATCCCATTCCATCCCATCACCACCACTGCAACTGATGATAAGTGGATACTCGATACTGAATACTGGATACTCTTCATCATCACTCCTATCAAATGCTGCTACTGCTACTGGCTACGATCCGTACACCCTTGGGAATCAGCAATCGACATCAGTCCACGTACCAGCTATCCAGGTAATCTGGACTCATTTATTACTGCCACCGCTTCCAGCTGACACCACCAAGTGAGAATTCTCCCTTTGCCTCCGTACCATCGTCCAACGCGATCCCAGATCAGTTTCCCCCTCTCGTTCAGCATGGACCTGCGCTTAAGATATGAAGGAAAGTGGATGGGAAAACAAAGCATGAGTGTCGCTTCCGAATTCACTTCTACTGAGTTAGGTCGGAAACCTGCTACGTACTTCTACATAAGCCGCATCCTCTACCTGGGTAGTAATACAATCAGGCAGTATCTAGAACCAGCTTGTCTACTGTGTAGTAGACGACCTCATCTTGCCATCTTTCCCGGTCTGCGTCCACCTACAACCGCCCCTTTTCCAGATATCCATTCTCCTTGAGCCATCCTAGCACATCATCCCCATCCCGTGCCAGCCAATTGGACTTGGCCTTGATGCTGTCGAGGCTTTGCTGGAGACTGCGGTCAAAGCCCTTCTTGTCCTTGTCCTGGAAAAACTGCTCGACCTTACTCATTTGGTCTGCCTTCGTGAATCCTGCCACGCAGATGCTGACCACGCTGCTGAGCATGGTCATGCTGGGCGGCAGCTTCTCCACCAACGTATCCCAGTTCTTGCACATCCATTCCCAACGTTTCTCAATGCCCTCCGCCGTTGTTCCGAGCCCACCGATCGGCATGTAGATGTCTTGCATCTTGACCTCTCCACTCAGAGCCAGATCCAACGTCTTCTTGATCAGCTCGGGGCTCCTGGCGCGACCTAAGCTGCGCAGACAAGTGTTCCTTTCGTCCGCCGTCGGCGCCGAATGATAGCGGGCCAGCACCGCTTCCCATTCTTTCACGCCCCCATCGCGCAGGACCATGGCGAAGACTGACGCCCGTAGATTCGGGTGAATGGCATTGTAGTCTCCCTTCAAGAATTTGCCGAACATTTCCTTCGCTGCCGCTTGTATCTTCTGATCCCCAGCAAGGCCCGCAGAACCGAACATCAGACTCTTAAACTGGCTGAGAATATGATCTTCATTCTCGGAGAATTCCCAACCCAGTTCATGCGCCTTTGTCGAGCACAGATGCAACTGGAAGGCTTTGAGAGCATCCTTGACGGAGTCGTCCTCGAAGATCCACGTGTTGCGGACGGCGTTGATCCGTGTAAGGATTTCATTCCACACCACAAAGTTGGCCTCGGTGTTGAACGACTGCAGGAGGCTAAGGATGCCGGACGTCCTGCCATAACCACTTGCTGCCAGAGCACCGGCGTCGGCAATCATGCCAGCTCGGTCTTCCACGGATAGCAGTCCCTTTTGAGCCGCTTCTCCAAGCTTCGTCAAGCGATCCGGGGTGTAGCTTGTCCGGTAGAATGCGGAATGGTCGGTGTTCAACTTGTAGAACTCCAAGCCACCCCTGATCTTGTACGTCTGTTCCCGCTCAGTAAGCAACAGACTCTCATCGACGCCTTCCTTGGTTTTAAGACCGAGCATCACAGGGTAGAGAACCTGATCCTCTTCAGGCTTGACATCACCCGTCCGCAAGAATCGGTTCTGCTTGACGGTGATCGTGGACTCCTTCTCGTTTTCAGTGACTGTCACTACCGGGTACCCAATGTTCTTGGTCCAGATGTCCATGACGTGTGCGACGTCCTTCCCGCTGGCATCTCCCAGGGCAGCCCACAAATCACTAGTCTTCGTATTGCCCCACGCGTGTTTCTTGATGTACCTTCTGATTCCGTCAATGAAGGTGTCTTCACCAAGATACTTCGAAATCATCCTCAAGACAGCCGAGCCCTTCGAATAGGATATTGCGTCGAAGATTTGGTTGATGTCCTCTGCACGATGGACCGGCACCTCGATTGGGTGGGAGCTTCGGAGACCATCCAAGCCCAGGGCTCCCTGCAGAGTGTCGATGACAAAGGTCTGCCAGACTTTCCACTCCGGGTAAAATTCATTGCAGCTGTACCAACTCATCCAGGTGGCAAATCCTTCGTTCAGCCACAGTCCGTCCCAGAAATCCATGGTCACCAGGTTACCGAACCATTGGTGAGCCAGCTCGTGCTGCACAACCTCCGCCACCCGTTCCTTGGTGGCCGCGCCGGCCGACTTCTGATCAAAAAGAAGATCCACCACGCGGTAGGTAACAAGGCCCCAATTCTCCATGGCACCGGCCGCGAAATCCGGAATGGCCACCATGTCCATCTTTGGCAAAGGATACGGTGCCTGGAACGCCTTTTCGTAGAATGCAAGAGTCTTTGCGGCGACATCAAGGGCAAACTTTCCGTCCTCCTCGTTCTGTTCGGGGGTCATCCATACTTTGATAGGTAATCTAAATTTGTCCGTGGAGATAGACTTCAGCTCTGCTATGATGAACGCCAGTAGGTAGGTCGACATGCGCGGAGAACGGCTGAATGTCACTGCCTTCCTCTTTCCACCTGTGATCTTGGAGTCCACAACTTTGGTAGAAGCCACGTCCATGTTGGACAAACAGGTCTTGTCCTCATCGGCGATCAGAGTGACCGTGAACTCGGCCTTCAAGGCGGGCTCGTCGAAGCAAGGCAACGCGCGTCGAGCATCGGTGGCTTCAAACTGCGTGACGGCAAGGTACTGCCCGTCCCTCCTCTTGGATCGGTAGAAGCCCGCCATCTTATCGTTCAACTGTCCAGTGTATGTATGCTTGAGTTGAACCTTCTGACCCTTTGTGATCGACTTGCCCAGCTCGACTGTCGTTGTTTGTGTGTCGGCATCGTAAGAGAGGGTAGGAGAAGACGTCACCAGGGTGCCATCGGCGTGGACAGTGGTTGTGTGGATATCCAGCTCCAACGTATTCAATGCGATGGAACTGCTGTCCTTTGCAACGTCCAGGTCAATGACCACGGTGCCTTCGAACGTGAACTTGTCGAAATCGACTTCAAGAGTGACGTCGTAGTGCTTGGGAATGACATTGTCCGGGAGCACGACTCGACCTTGGGTATTGACGGCGCCGGGGGCGTCAGACATGAATCGGCACATCTTGGGTCCGGTACGGCGCCAAAGGATTGAGGCTTGGTGTCGCTGAGGTGTAAAGGGCGAGGCCTTTGTTTGGAGCAGTGCAGAAGCAGAGATTCCTCGTCTGACGGTGGTGAGATGCACCCGAGAAGGAGGGACTCGTCGGAAGCTCTGTTGCAGGAAGGGCGTTTGGAGAATGCGAGATTCAGCAAGCCTTGACAGAGAGCGTCCCGAAGGCTTCATCTACCTCGACCCGGCAGGATGGTGGAAGGGGCCGTCAGGATGCCACAGATGATGTGTGATTTGGTAGCCGACAAGATCCAAAAGGAGTGGAATGGAATGCCCAGATGAGATGAAAGGGTCTCGTGCACACCTGTCACAACTGTGTACCTATCTCCGTCTGCTTGGCTGAGGGCTGTAACACATTGGCATTGCAGTACGAGGCCGACAATAGTACATCACCACCTGGATGTTAGTATGCGGCCGAATGAGGAAAGTGCGGCGAGTTGCATCCTGGCAATTCAAGTTCTGCTTTGTTCAATTCTCTTTCTCCTTCGACTTCTTCCCTTCATCAAGCCTCAAACTCTTAAACCTGAAGTTGGGTTAGGACTTCGTCGTGCTCAATACCAATGATGTCTTTGTCCAGCACTTGACCTGCTCAATGATCTCGGACTCGATGCCCGAAGCCGCCCTTCTGATGAGTAAATCTTCACGCATTTCCGATCTACTTCAATCCATGTATAGCCTCACGCGAGAATGTCTTCATTGACAGCCATAAACACCCCTTCATGCAAGAACCGGCATCGGGACGCTATCACTACCGTGCGTTTCTGATTTGTTATCAATTCATTTCTTGCCAGAGCAAACCATTTCAGCCCAGCGAGTTTGAGGAAGTCACTATCTTTTGTGGGTGATTCTCCATAAAATCGTTGGCACATTTCTGTTCTGCCGGCTATATAAATACCAGGAGGTTAACATCGAGGGAATCTACAGTAACATGAACAGTCATGCCATGCCATGCCTGGATGGAGATTCTTAATTTCATTCTCAAAGCTACTCCCTCTCAAATGGCTTATTGCCTTTACCATAGTGTCATCAAGAAGAGGACACTTCGGGCGCCGCTAATCAGTCATGCCTTCCTTCACCCCTGTGCCCGGCGTATATGCCTGGCAATAGCAGCACGCAAAAAACAAACAACAAAACGCTACGCAGCATGCATTAAAGCCTCTTTGACCGTGGCGCCAGCTCCGATTCTCTCATGACGGGTATCTCTGATGTCCAACCCCCCGGGTAAGCTTGACCGTCTCTTCATCAAAACGGTGCTGTGCCGTGCCTTCATTCTGATCGTTTGAGTAACAAAGTAACGCCGTAATATGCCCACATGCACGATATCCACGCAAGCGCCACCTGAATCGTCCCCTGAACCGTGACGTGAAAGAGCAATTTCGAGATAATTACATGCCAGAAACTGGTGCGTTCCGACTGGTGCATTCTGGATGGTGTAAAGGGAAGCAGGAGTAGGGAACGTTGAAACAAGCCGCCAAACGCCCAGATGCCCTTCCCGCGCCGGTTCAAGTTCCAGAGAGCTTTCCGTTCGATCGAGAAGTGGCCCTCGTGGTGTTCTAGCAAATTCATCAAGCAATCATGAGCGCGGCGGCGTTACAGCATTTGCCGGAGTGCTGCCGCGGTATGGAATGGGAGGAGATGCTCTGCTGGTCGGAGATGCCGTCGTTGGAGCTGAGGCACGCTGCTGAATAACCTGTAGTTTCCGTCGAATGACCGTGAGTCTTCCTCTAATGCTGGTTACCACTGTGGAAAGAGTTAGCAATTGTTGTTGCTGCCTTAAAGAGGGACTCACAATTCTTGACTGCCTTCCTATCTTCAGCTTCCAGCCCGTTGATGGGGGATGCATCTTCTTTCTCATTTTCGCCATCGGTGTTGCTGTCGTCGTCTTGCTCGAGGATTGCTTCAAGCATTCGGATTGCAGTGACATATGAGATCTCGCAGCCAGCCAAGTCCTCATTTGTCAGCTCGTTGATCGCAGCTGCTCGGCTCATTTCCAGCGCACGGTCATACATGAGCTTTTCTGCCGTGATTCCAGAACTGACAATCACCTGGTCTGCGGAAGTGCCCAGTCCAGCGCTGGAGACTGTGGTACTGGAGATGTTGTTGGGATGGCTGGGGTGGTCTTCGGGAAGACGACGTTGGCTATCAATAAGCTTGAGTCGAACAAGGTCTGCCTTTTCCAGAACCTCGTTGAATCGACTTCGAACCCACTGCACAACGTTGTTCATCCTCTGCCCAATGGCAGTCGAAGTCGTCGTCGTCCGATAAGTAGTAGCATCGTTGGCCAACTCGCCACGGTTCTTACGTGCCCACCAACGTGCTGCAGTGTCCATGGCCTTTGCGAGCAATGCCAGAGCCTTGACATAAAGTACTAGAGCTTCCTCGGCAACGATCACCATGGCTTCAACTGTCAGGTCATCGTTGGAAGCGCCGAACGGGTTGTCCGATGTGTCGCTGCCCGCTGCATTGCGCAAACCTAGCCCGGGTTGAGAAGGCACCACTGGGATGAGTTGCTTATACTTGACCTCTGCGAAGCCGTAAACCACGTCGCTTCGCGTCGCGATCTCCTCAACAGTCTGGATGGATTTTGTATCCTCGTCAGCGGCGGCTTGTTTGCCGGTGTCTCCCACAACTACAAGGCTGCTTTGCGCTCCAGGATAGGTTGGGAACGGGCTATACGTGACAGGAGGGGATTTGCCTCCACGCATCAGATGCACGGGAGGTGAAAATCCAACACCGAAAAGACGTCCGCTGGCCATGTTCAAGGCTTTTGAGATCGCTGATGTCGCTGAACCAGGACTTGGACCATAACGTCGTTCGTAGGAGTTTTGTCGATGATGGAGAGCATCAGGCCGTCGTCCGGAAGCAATCTGCACAGCCCGAGAAGCGCTGGTCTGCGCGCCGGTGACCGATCCCGGCGTACCTTGAGTGGTTGCTCGGCGGACCATTGTGCCTGCCTTGGCCGGTGCCGCTGATTGCATGGCATTCTTGTTCAGTCGTGGACTTGCGTCCAACTCATCGGCCAGCGCGTTGACCTCCACGGCCTTCTTCTCCACCAGAACGTAGTCTCTCTCAAATGCAATGTCCTGAGCCGCTCGCTCGCGCTCTTTCTCTTCCTGTTGCTTGCGCAGGGCATCCTCATGGTGCACATCGTGAATTTGGCCTCGCAACGAGGAAGGTGGCAGCTTGTGCGACCCTGCACTTGTCTGGCGGGCCATGGGGGCGGATGTAGGCCGATGGAGCAAGTCCTGCCGTTCTGGAGCTGTTGCATGTGGATGCAAGGTCGGACGGACTGCGGCTTGGTTGGTGGGAGATGCAGATATTGGTGTCCGTCCATCAGAAGACCGACGTTGGGCACTGCTCTGCTCTCTGGGTCCCGAAATCTGCCTATGAACGGACTGTCGCCGTGACAGATTGTCTTCGGAGACAGTCTTTGAGGAGTCGATATACGGGCTTTCTGGTTCCTTTCTCGAGATTGGATGTGTTAGACCTGTAGGGTCGGTCCGGCTGCTGCGACGGCGGTTGATTTCAGGCTCGGGCGGTTCCTCGGGCAGATCCTCGGGATGCAGACCAGGAATAGGTCCCGTAACTATTTCACTGCTGAAAAAGTCCGGGAACGAAAGTCTCTCCTTGGGGTCTCGCTTTAACAACAGCCGGATGAGTTTCTTCATGGCGTCGGAAATGTTGAATTCGTCCCCGAACTTGATCTTATCTTCACTCTTTTCGATTTTTCGGAGCAACTCAACGTGGTTGGAAGCGCGGAAAGGGGGTCGAGCAGTCATCATCTCGTAAAGCACAGTCCCCACTGACCAAAGATCAGCCTTCGCATCGTATTTCTCATACCTCAGTATCTCGGGGGCCATGTACAAGGGTGATCCGCAGAGAGTCTCCGCCAATGCAGTGGAGGGCAGTGACCGGGCGAAACCGAAGTCGGCTATCTTGAGCATTGGGAGAGATCTGATGCCACAGATTGGGGTGAGAGAGTTGTCGGCAGCTTGATAAGGCATCGGCTGCGGGTCATGAGTCTCGAAATAGATGGGTGACGGGTTGAGGAGCAGGTTTTGTGGTTTGACATCACGGTGGATTAGGTTTCTTGCCCGCAGGAACTGTAGAGCACTGGCGAGTTGTTGTAGGAAATGCCGGACAACGACTTCATGGAGGCCACCGTACCGAGGGTTGGGATATTTGACCATCATATTGCCCACCAGCTCACTGTCTTTGATCTCATTCCGTCTCTTAATGAAATGAGAAAGATCTCCTAGAGCGACATATTCCATGACCAGGTGTATATGTGAGGTGGTCTCCTTGCAGTCGATGAGGGCGACAATGTGAGGATGATGTAGTCCCTTCAGAATAGAGATCTCCGAGGTCAGATTGTCCTTCAGTTTCTTATTCAGTTTGGACATGTTGACAGATTTGATGGCAACGATGCTCTGCACGCCGGAGCCGCCCTGATTCAGATACCTGTCAGTGGTTGTTCCAGAAGCCTCAAGCCTGGTTCCGGGACTTACTGTGTGGATTGCCTTGTAGACTGTTGCAAAACTGCCGCGGCCTATCTCCTCATGTCGCTGGAAACTACCAATCCGGTCCGACTCCTTCGACCTCCTGGGAGTGGAGGACTGATAGGTTGTGGACGCCATCTTCACCTCCTCCACCACTTCGGTCGACAGAGCCCTTCCAGGAGGCAGAGGTGAGGCAGGATGTTGCTATCTTCTCAGCTGCGGATAGAGATTGGCGGTGATATGGTTGGACATGGAATGCTCGATGTGGAAGAATGCTCCCGAGGAGGAGTACGACGTCGTAGGGGAGCAGGCGGCGGCAGGGCCAAAGCAAGTTGGGTGGAGATGGCGCAATTGGCCGGCAGGCTGCGTGATTTCGATGTTGTGTAACTGCGAGAGGCAGAGCCCAACAAACTCGGAGAGACGGGAATGATCGAATCGACGAGGAAGGGAGGGCTAGGTCAGGCTGGGTGGTCCGGCGGGCTTGGATGTGAGATGGGAGGTGGTCGTCGGACGTTGACCTGGGGATTGCAGTTGGATGAGGTTGAGTGATGCAGCGTGACCGGGCCAGGCGTTACACCTCAACTTGAACACAAAGGACGGCGGATTAGAGGAGGAAAGATTCCAAAGTAGATAAAGATAAGTGGTTCTGGGAAATAGGCAACGAGAACGAGAACTTGAACGTGAACTGAAAGCCAAACAGGCAGCGCGCGATAGGAGAGTAGTAGGTATAATAACGTTGTACTGTATTATGTCCTCGGAGGAGTTAGTCATGCAAGTCAGTTGGTCGCGGCGACGTGAGTGTCGCTGTGATGTGCTGCGCTGCGCTATAAAGTGTGATAGACGTAACGTGCACTGATAGGGACAAGTACTAGTAGTATCAGCTATCTGTGCTATGGTACTAGTGATTATGATAAGGCTCATCACGTGCTCATGGTCTGGCTACCACCGCCACCTGCACGCACCTGCCTGCCCACCCACGGACTCGCCCGCCCACTCGCCCACTCATTCTCTCACTCAGTCACTCTCACTCAGTTCCTCTCACTCAGTCACTCTCACTCACTCACTCTCACTCACTCAACTCACTCACCGCACATCCCACTGTCTGCGGCCCTACTACTCTGTACAGTTCTGTACACAATAAAGTACTCCTCCTACTACGGTAGCTACCTACTTATCTCAACACCGGAGTCCTTCTCCTATCACTGCCACCCTCCATGTCATGTCTCATGTGTTCTTGAGTGGTGCCGTCGTCCTGTCTCTCTGACGAATCACCTTCCCTGGATGCACCAAACCCTTCCTTCCTCCCCGACTCGGAGTCAGCCGATCGTCACAACTACTGGGAAACACTTCCGGAGCCAGATGGGCTAATTCGTCCAGGCCATGGCACAATACTAGTACGTGACGCCCGAACAATCTTCTACTGTCTGTCTATTCAGGTTCGGCAGTTCATATGCTGATTAGGCTAGATTGTTTCTGCACAGGACACTCGTCTTCTTTGTTATAACGGCATTATATGTCTAGCCCCCGGACTAACAACCACAACCCAATCGGCACCACCACATTGTCGTTCGCTGCAGTCAAGGTACTCTCCATCAGACTAGCCCCCATCCCCGCGATCCAACACCTCGCTAGTGTTCGATAACTTGAAAAAGACCCGGCCGGCCACGGCGCCCATCCACCTAATCTAAGCCAGACCCACGAGACATAGAGACCACAGGTGACCGCGATTGCAAAAGCAAGGCTGCCTTCTAAACTCTTTCCGCCGGCCCAGCACCATTTTGTCTTTCCATAACGCCGCCCGATCAAGCTAGCTGCTGCATCCCCCATGCCTACGCAAATGACGCCGCTCACCATGCTCAACTCTCGTACGGCAGTATCCCAGCCAATCCAGGGCGCCTGGCCAGTGCGAGGAACAGCAGCAAGAGACAGCCAGAGCGGGATCGCACATCCGATCAGAAGGAAGATATGCGACACGATAATTGGCCCACGGTGATCTCTTCCATCCACGTAGGGCGCCAGAAACGTAGTCAATGGTTTTGAGATGGGCGGTAGTTGCGACGCCCTGAAGAGATCGAGCAAGAGGAAAACGGCCAGCACCAGGCTGAGAGCCAATGCAATGAAACATGGGTCCACGAAAATGGTCGGCAGAAGCATGGCGACCATTATGCCGTGGAAAACCTTTCGCCTTGTGTCGACCTCGACTACTGACGTGAGGCGGAGGACCGCACCGATGCCAGTGAGTAAGATCGCACCGCAGTATGCGCAGAGAAGCAGGCGTGTGGTGGCAGGACCAAGAACGTATTGGCGCACGCTCTCGATGGTACCGAACGGAGCGATTGACACTCCGCTAGCATCGCGGGATGGAAGACAGATCCACGAGTCCAGGTTATTGCTGACGACCCAGAAGCGAAACGAGGGCACTTCCCCAAAGAGGTAGCCCAAAGCCCAACCAAAGGGCTCGTGTCCAGACAGTGCCCTTTGGCTGATATAAAGCCGGACCGGGCCTAATATAGTGGCAAAGACAATGAGGTATGCGAGGCCGGCGTACACATATTTGCGGACACGTGCTTGCTCCACGCTGAGTGTCAAGAAAGGCGCCGATGGCCCGTTGGGGTTTGGCTTGGGCTTTCTCGTGCCGTGAGTCTGGCTTTTGTCGCCTCCGCTTTCGAATGCTGTAAAAGTTCGGCGGCGTGGTATATTAGATGAGATCGACGGATCCAGTAGGGCCTCCTCCCCAGCTAACGAAGTCGAGGGTGTTACATGTTGTGGACCAGGACCTGCGGTGCAAGCTCTTCCATTCAAAGAGAATTTTGGGCGTCGCCGGGTCTTCCTGAAAGGGCTCAGGGCATCCTCGTCACTGTCATCGCTGGCGGAAGAGAATCGCCGCATACGTTGAGTCCTCCGCCGGATGAGGAACTGGCATATGGCCTGATCAACTTGCGAAACAAGGCCTCCCTTGGGTCGCTTGCGGAGCAGTTTCCAAGTAGGGATCCTTGCGAGGGTAACCTCCCAGATTAGAATGTTCTTGCAGAAGACGAAAATACACAGTCCTCCCAGCCAGATCATACTCTTGAGAATTTCGGCTTGAGGAGTCTGAGCGAAGAGGAAGAGGTTGATCAGCGCGGAAGAGAGCAGCTGCAGCTCCGAGATGTCTAGACTCGACGTCGTGAGGTAGCCCAATACGGTCATGAGCGCCTGATGAAGTGGGAAAACCATGACCAACTCCTCTCGTGTGAGGAGACATCCCTGGCCGAGTTTCAATGAAAGTGGTTTCGAGTGGGCAGCATAGAACATGCGTAATGTCGAGGCATTTAGTGGGAGTATCGATAGACACCAGTGTATATGCTCGCCGATGACCGGAACCTTTGGTGTGGCTGTGATGACAGGGGGAATCGACGAAAGACCGCACACAATTGCTGCTGGAAGAAACGCGATACTTCGCTGGAACAGCGAGATCGCGATCAAGACCGGCAGAACCACAGGGTAAAGTAGAGGCCCAGGATCGAAGCGCGATGGAACATGGAATCCCTGACGGAACGACTGTATCCAGGTCTTGCCGGTAGCTCGAGCTCGCAGAGTGAGTTGAACCGGGTAGCAGACGTAGACGAAAGGCGCTAAGAGAAGAAAGACGGTGAGTTCATTCATCCAGTCGACCAGACCAGTCGTGCCTCCTGCACTGGACCAGACGATGGTTCCGATCCCACACTGAAGTATAGTCTCTGTACATCGTCGAAGAATCTCTCGCCGCTTCCGCCTTTTGTATGCTTCAAAGTCACTGGCTTGTGTTCCCGCCTCGGCCGATTTCTTTGCAGCTCTTGGACGTGGCTCGAAGAAATGGAACTCGCGTGCGTCGACGAAGGCGGGCGGTGTGGGTAACGGACTAGCTGCGGGAGTCAGTCCTGCAGGGGAATTGCCTCGTAGACCTTTCCTGAGGCGCAAAGGGGGTGCCGGGAGACCTTTCAGTAGAGGGCCCTTCTCGTCGTCGGCTTCGGTCCCGCTCTCACTCGACTCCGACCGGCTGATGACAGGCAGAGAGTAGGCATTCAAGTTGGCGAGATCCGGGTTGTGCTTGTTGGATCCTGCATGGCCCTGGGCTTGCGGTAGAGCTTCACCTCCTCGATGGTAGGGCTGTGGCGAGCGAGACAGCGTCAATCTGGACTGATGGTGGACGTCCTTGGGGTTGGTCCGGCCATCGACGCTCTGTCCGGGATGCGAAGAAGTCATGGAACGGCACGCCGGAGCGAGCGAATACCACGGTCTTGATCTGGAGGGGGGAGAAAGCCGGAGGTCACACGAGATCTTTCATGGCAGCTCAAGATATGGTAAATTCACGCCGAGCTCACCGTGAATCCAGTTTCACCCAACCTGCGTAAGACCGTCCGCGTTCCTTCGAAAATACAGAGTAGATGTCTACTCTGGCACTAGATACCTAGGGACCCTACGTCAACGGTCGAATAGAGGCTAGGGTGGCTCCCCAGGCTCCTTATTATTAAGGCTCCTAAGGTCCCGGCCCCCTACTAGCCTAAGGCGCCCTAGGCCACCCTAGCCCCTTAGCCCTTAGGCTCTCCTTTTGGTAGGGCCTTGGGAGTGGGTCGCCGTTTCTCCTCTTTGACCTACCGCTTCGCTCGGAGGTCTATAAACATGTGCTCCCTCGACGATACTACTAGTATGTAGTAAAGATAGACTTCCTTCCCTTCTAGGACTCTCTCACAGAGATCCTCTTCACGGATACCATTCCTCTCCGCTCTCGCTCCCGTGCGACGCCTCCCTAACCCTCGTCGGCTTCGTCGTGGCGATGTCTAAGCGACTTTTAGCCCGACCAGTTGAAGGTCGAGGTGACTGGGGTTTCCCGGTGGTTTCTCAATGGAACGGAGACAGGCCAGCAGTAACCGTATCAATGTGCGGCGTTGAGTGGTAGAAGAGGCATCATTATAAGACGGATTCAAACATCTCCTTCCCCGGTTTATCGTGTAATAGGCCAATCCACATGAGCGATTTCAAGACTTCCCGCATCTCGTTCCACGTCTGCACTTGACATATGTTGATGTGTTTTCGCAAGCAATCCTTCAGCCATGGGTAGTCTGATGCCGTAAATGCTGAAACGGCTCCAAGCATCAGCAGCCAGAGCATGACCTGAGAGGGTGCCTCATCCACAAGTCTTGGGTCTAACAGGCAGTTTTTGTAGACGGAAGGAAAATAAACGTGCGGCAACCTCACATCTTGCCAATGTACAAAAGCATGATAGCTCATACCCAAAAGACCGAGTCGTACCGCTTCGTCGATCGAACCGGGATCAAAGTTCATATGGAGAAGGTGATACATGACCGAAGCCATGGTATCGTAAAGAAGTTCCGGGGCAAGGTTTCTTCGGGTTTCCTCGGCGAGATTGATCATAGAACAAGAATTCTGCGCGACCGTCCATGCTTCGACCAGACTCTGATCCATCTTGTAAAGGAAGCATTGGGAGTTGTATCGAGAGTGTGGGATGCTACCAACCCTTCGCATCGACAATAGCTCCTGGTCAGGATAAGGGATAACCGGATCTGAACGAGGGTCGTTGAAGATAGGCTGTGACCCATTTTGCATTGCCATGCCTATATCACATCTGCAGTGTGCGACAGTCAGTGCTCCTGTACCGGAACTCTTTCCACACGGGCAGTGGTGGCCGTTTACCTGAACATTTCTGAGAGAAGCTTGTTCCCTTTGAAGGCAGCAATGCCTCCTCTTAGGTCGACCATCTTGCGGACGCCGTTCATGTGGTGCTTGAAGGTCTCATCTTCACCCATCAATAATGCAGTCATGGCTAATGTCAAGACCGCAGCTATCGTAGAATCTGACGAGTGGGTGTTCTCGTCTCCCGTGGAAAGCCTTTCGCGCAAGATCTGAACTCCTTTCAAGAAATGCACAGTTGCCTCCTGGCTGGTGGCAAGAGATTGTGGACTGCGACCTGACAACTTGTCCCTGAAGACCTCGGCGGCGAACATGATGACGTGAAGGCAGGCAGCATCGAACTCCAGCGGGTTAAACCATGCCGCCCCCTTCTTGCAGAGTCCGGTCACCAGGACCAGAGGGTAAGATGCTCTGTTTCTCACGTCTAAGACTAGTTTCCCATCAACTTAGGTCCACATTCAACCTCGGAGCAGGGGTGAGTTACACCTAATCACGTTCCCAAACGCGGCCGAATCCATTTCCGTGGCAAGCTTGACGAACGATAGATCCGATCCGACTCTTCGGGGAAGAGCTGAGTTGTACCCATAAGCTTCGGTCATCGCTTCCGATGGTACTGGTGGACCTCGTTTGCGAGCAACCGTACGAGATTCTCCCGAGATAGCCCAAGTGGTCGCTCTTCGCTTTTTGGCTCGATGAGAATTGCCCCGGTTCTTGCCCATCATGACTTGACGCCTGATGAACTTCTGTGTCTCTGGGTCGGCCTTCTTGGCGTCGGTTGTCACGATGAAATGCATGGCTCCGGCCCTGGCCCTAATCAAAGAGGGAAGAGGGTGAGAGTGGACGCTTGAACAGTGAAAACAGCCGGTCTTGCAACGAGGCTTCGTACCAGATTTGGGCTTGCGCCAGAGATGGTATCAGACCTGAAGGAGGTACTTGCAACGCATTGCAATGATTCTCCACCCTAGCAACCACTCATTAGATGTACATACCAATAGGTACCCAGGTAGTATGTATATGTACCTACATACCTAGCCAACAGACTCGGGGTGTTGCAAGGTACTACTACTAGTAAGGTATAGTACTACCTAGTATAGTAGTGGGACGCTACATTTCCCCGGCGTGCCAAGCCAATTCATTATTTTCCATTTCCGGTATGGTGGCTGATAGTGATAACAAGTACAAGTATTTGGACACCAACTTGCATCCCCACGGCAAGGACGGCTTGCGTTAGGTAAGTACCTACTATAGAATACGCCATCATACCATCCCCCTTTCGCTACGGGGCAGATCTTCAGGTATAAAGACAAGGTAGGACGCCTTTCTCTGCTAACATGGCAGCTCGACTCCTTTCCTTCTTCTGCACAGCAAGAACCGTCCTCGTCTACTCGTTCGAGCCTGTCCAAAAGCCCACGGCATCATTATCTCACCTACTACCAGTAGTATCTTGACTATTCGAAATGGCTGGAACCCTCAAATCGGTCCTTATAACCGGCTGCTCCGCGGGCGGAATTGGTGCTGGGCTGGCCGAGGCCTTCCAAGAAAAGGGATATCATGTCTTCGCCACAGCACGCACCCCATCCAAGATATCACCGTCCCTCGCCGATGCACCAAATGTCACCGTGCAGGCGCTGGACGTGCTGTCTCCCGAATCAATCTCAGCGGCTGTTGAGCGTGTGTCCAAGGAGACCGGCGGCAAGCTCGATGTGCTCATCAACAACAGCGGCGCCGTGATGATGATGCCGGCTCTGGACGTATCGATCGCGGAGGGCAAGAAACTATTCGACGTCAACTACTGGGCGGTCCTCGCTATGATTCAGGCCTTCGCTCCACTGTTGATCAAAGCCAAAGGCTATGTCGTGAACAACACTTCTGTGGCGGGAGTGCTTCCGTTCGGCGCGTTTGGGTCTATCTACAACAGCTCCAAGGCCGCTGCCATTCTCGGCAGCGAAACCTGGCGTCTCGAGCTTGCACCTCTAGGAGTCCGTACCTTGACGCTCGTGACAGCCGCCGTCAAATCCAATGTCTGGGTTAATATGGCCCCGCCGACAATCCCGGAGAACTCATACTACCATCCGCTCCAGGGCTATATTACGGACTTAAGCGACGGCAGACTCCAAAAGGATGGGATCACGGCAAAGGAGTATGGCGACAAAGTTGTCCGCGAGGTTGAAAAGGGTACGACGGGGAAATTGTGGGTTGGTGGAGGCGCGGCGGCGGCACGTATTGCCGCATGGCTGTTGCCGGATTGGATGATGGTGAGTTTCATTCATTTGTTTCCCTGTGACGAGTTGCTGATCGAGGTGGAATAGGACAAGATCATAGGGTCAGCGTTTCCCTATGCCAAGATGCTACAGGATTATCTCAAAAGCAAGTAGTGATATATCCTGGCAGAGGGTTGTCTGGTGGACAGCGCGTAGGTTGGTGAAGATTGCAGTTTTCTGGTTATACTAGGTGGCCAGATGAGACCGTAAGGATCTCTGTAGAGTAGTACGTCTATACAAAGTAGCTCATAACTACTAGTATATCAATACTGATTATCGAGGTGGCTGTGGGTATCCAAACAGTGGCTCACTCCCTACATACCTAAAATAAGGTAAGGATTGCTCATCTTTCCCAAGGCTGCGTGTTGAACAAGGCTGGCTGGTAACGGGGCTAGATTGGGCGGTCGACACACCTCGGTTCTTGGCTGGCGTTCTCCGATCTGATCATGGCATCCCGAATGTGATGTTGGGGAGAAATTGATTGAGGCACAGAGTAGAGGCAGACAACTTGTCATGCACGAGATATCCATCCTGAACCGATCTGGTTGGGCCCAACATGGGCCGACTTGACATCTGACAACTCTCCGCGGCCTTCTTGCACGTGCATTTACATCTTACCCAGCTTGTTCGACCACGCCATGCACGGCGTGTCTGGCAACCCTGGAACACCGTTCCGTTGCCAACTGACAGTTACCAGGCAGATGGTATATACAGATATCATTTCTAACATCAATGCAGGGCTATCAAACTGGGCCAAATCGAATATGGGAAACGCTTGGCAGCGCCAGAACTAGTTCTCATTTCCACGCGCATCGACAACTTTAGCGAGGCTGGCATTTACAGTCCCTGCTCCATCTTGTCCAAGATGGTCCTCGTGTATTCGTGCGTGGTGTTGTTGCCGCCCATGTCGCGGGTGCGTACCTTGCTGTGAGGTGGTCAGTCTTTGTGGTCAGAACGAGAAAGAAAAGGATGCAACTAACCCGTCAGCAATCACATCGTAGACAGCCTTGGAGATGCGGTTGGCATGGTCATCGAGACCCAGATGTCGCAGCAGCATGGTGCCGGAGAGGAGAAGAGCGGTAGGGTTGGCTTGATCCTTGCCTTTGATATCCAGGCCAACGTGTCGGCATCCGGGCTCGAAGACAGCGACCTCTCGGCCCATGTTGCAGCCTGGGACCACACCAGGGCCACCGACCAGAGCAGCGGCAATGTTGGTCAGGATACCACCGTAAAGATTGGGCATGACCATCACGTCAAACTGTTGTGGTCGCGACACAGCTTGCATGGAGGCATTGTCGACAATCATATCGTTGACCTCGAGAGTGGGATAGTCCTCTCCGACCTTCTTGACCGTGTTCCTGAAAAGACCGTCGGCCAGCTTCATGATGTTGGCCTTGTGGATGCAGGTCACCTTCTTGCGGTTGTTCGCGAGCGCGAAAGAGAAGGCGAATTTGGCGATCCGCTCCGACTTGGCCCGGGTGATGATTTTCAACGACTCCACGACGCCGGACACCGACTGGTGCTCCAGACCAGAGTACTCGCCCTCGGTGTTCTCACGAACGATGCAAAGGTCGACATTCTTGTGGCGTGTGACGAGGCCGGGGATGTTCTTGATGAGGACGACCGAGGCATAGATGTCGAGCTCCTGTCGGAGGGCGACGTTGAAGGACTGATGACCGGATCGTTCAATGGGAGTGTGCAGGATACCCTTCAAGCCCAGTTTGTTCCGTCTCAGAGAAGCGATCGACTCCCGGAAGAGCTCTTCCGAGTGCTTGTCGCCGGTGTCGACACCGGAAACATCGACCTGCTCCCACTCAATCGGGACATTGTCGGCCTTGAAGATCGTCTTCACGGCTTCGGCAACCTCGGCGCCGATACCGTCACCTGTAACAAACGAGTGTCAGCGCTTGCAACCCGACCATTGTGCTAAGGCTTCCTAGGGGTGGTCCGTCGTACCTGGGATCAAGGTCACTGTGTATTTTCCTCCATATTTTGTAGGCTTGAAAATGTCGGATTCAACGGTCGTGGCATAAGCTAGAGGACGGGGGTCAGCTCTCAAAAGGATGGTTCGGAGTGGCTTCTGTGCTCACATCTCGCCAGGAGGGTTGACGTGGTTTGCTGTTTGCTTGCCCGCTGAGCTGCGCGAAACAGCGTCTGTGAGAAGAGCTGGTCAGTAACTTCACAACGCAATGGAGGTAGGTAGCGGGGGCACTCTTCCTTACCTGAGCGCCACGAGTCGAGCGTGCCAGAGACATTGCCGCAAGATCAAACAGCTCCTAAACCGATGAGTTCCCAGGTCGAACTGGCGTCGTGTTGTGAGGGCAGAGCAAGAAAGCGGAACGGGGACCTGTATCGGCTTTTGCACGAGGGAGCTTTTGTTCTGCTGTGCCAGTTGCAGCAGGAAGAAGCTCCGCCGACATCGCCAATCAAATGCGGTTGACACACGGCCAGTGAGCGATATTGTGGGCGGCAGCCATTCCGCTTCCATCCTAGCGCCGGATGACGTTGCGGTTAGAATTCCCGCAATATCAAAACACCATAAAGGGGCAGGTAGAGATACCAGATACCAGGGCATAGTGTTTAGATACTCTCGTGTTAAGACCTGCTGCCAGTATGGGGTTACTCATGTGAAAGTTGTACTTCTTCATTAATTGTGTATACTACCGCTGTAAAGTACAATACAACCAGCTATCTGACTGCCAATATGTCGCTAACGAGTCTCATACAGACATGCACACCCTTCGAGCTAATGCGTCTTGAACTTGAGTGGACCTTGTGCTTGTCTCAGTGCTGGGCCGAAGAACTGCAAGAACACGATCACTAGGAAAGCTGCGGCCATGATGCCGCTCTGAATACCGTACTCGGTCTGAGTACCGGCTTTGCTGGCCCAGTTGATCTGGATATAACCGACGATGAAGCCTCCCAATGTGCGGGAGAAGTTGAGCCACGCAGCGCACTCACCACTGGCTTCCGGGTACGCATCAAGGAGGTACGCGCTGACTGCCGTGGTCGTCACAATGGTGGCAACGTTGTGCATGCTCCAGCCGACCGCAAGAACCCACCACGACCATGCTGGAGCATGGTGTAATGTCGCGCCGATAAGGTTGTAACCGACCACCTTGACCGGTAGGACCAACCACACCAAGATCAACCTGTTTTCAGGATCAAAACGTCCGTTGTGGCCCTTCGCCCAGCACTTCCCAATGTAATCGAACATGAAGTGGCCGAGGATAAGCCCGAGGATAGCGCCAACGACGGGTGCCGTGTAGATGGCGGCCAGATTGCGGTAGCTAAAGTTGTACGCCGGGATGATGAAGACAGATATGGTGGTGTTGTTTCCAATGGTCCAAGGGACTAAGCTTTAACGTTAGCACGAAATCGGACGACACAGCAGGACAGGATCTTACAGTCAAAGAAGTAGAACAAACAGGTCAGGAAGACCGGCAGCTTCGTGATGGTATACGCCAAGCGACGCCCTGCGCCCCAAAAGCTGTTGGTGGTGTACTTGGTCCTGTACTGTTCAATGCCAACGAGTCGAAGAATGCGGGACTTGCGCTTGGGTCTCCGGTCGGGCATCAGGTGGCGGGGATAGAAGGGTTCATCGCCCAGTGTCGTGGTGAGGAGCAAGCCCAGGGCAATGATGCCAAAGTTGAGCCACATGCCGGTCCTCCAAGAGTCAACGCTGATGATGGCTGCCATGAACTGCGGGCCGAGGAAGGGTGACAGGATGATAGCCGTCGACCACATGTTGATCTTCTGCGCATGGGAATGCCAGAAGAACACATCCTTGATCCACATCAAGCCACCACCGGCTGCTGCGACGCAAAACAGGCCATTCAAGATTCGGGAGGCCATGTAGGATTGGAAGGTTTGGGCTGCGGCCGCCCAAGCAGCCGTTCCAGCCGAAGCACAGCCAAACCAAAAGAGCACGGGAAGACGTCCAAAATAGGCGCTCAGCCAGACGGTTAGCAGGCCCCCTACGCCTAGCATGAATGTGTTGCTGACAGACTGTTAGCTTTGAGCTGCTAGCACAGGAGATCGTGGTCCATCACTTACCCAGCGGTCGCATGATTAACCTCGTCTGGGGAAATGTGCCATCCTTGGGCCTGGGGAATGAGCGCGCTGGCGCCCGTGGCCGCCGAGTAATCGGCAGTGCAAGCATTCACGGCGAGGACGAGCAAGATGCAGCCTTTCTTCCAGGCTGGCCAATTCAATGGGTCATCCGGGTCATCGCTGGGCTGGGGGATCAGGACGACGCCATCCTTGGTCTTCTTGAGAGGTACATCGTCGGCGATGCCATATTGCTTCCTGAGGGCGGCCTCGTCGAGGAGATATCCCTCGGTCTCACCGATACGGTCGAGATCGACGGTCATGGCGGTAGGATGAGGCTTCTCTCCTTCGCCACTAGAGATGGAGGGAGGCAACGAGGCTGAGCTGACGTTGGGTGTCTTCTCAGTACTTGTCGCCACAGGACTCGTAGCAGCTTTCTCATCCAGCGTCTGCCCAGTCGCGGTGGTGGTCGCAGCGACTTCGTGGGATGTCTGATTTGTACCAGTAGGCGAAGTGCCTTTGGGGTCTTTGTCGGCAGCCATGATGACAATGGTTCGCAAACGCGCAGTCGAACGTCAACCAAACTTCAAGTGGGAGGTGACAACTTGAACTGAAGACTTCGAGCAGGGCGAAGGAGTTTTGGAGGATGGAAACGGCACCGCGGGCTAGAAACACTGTTTGTTGTTTCAATAGTCTGTTGTCTAGGGCGATGGGGGAACCATATACCGTGACGCTGCAGGACCTCGTGAAGTCACACAGCGAAAGCCATCCCTCTTATTCCTACCATGTCTTCCCCCTTGCGCCTCGATGTATTCGCCTGTGTACCTATTCACTGTGGATCTTCATGTCGCCCGGGGAAGGGCGTTCTCCGTTTTCCAGTGCTGCTAGCTGTCGATTGAACGGACATCCGATGAGGCTGGGGAAGGTCGTTGTCCCGCCGGCAAATTCCACCATTCACATGCACGGTCGCGGGATGATGCCCCCGTCCGCAGGACAAGGAGTGGTTCGAGTGACAGCAGCATGTCAATACCGCAGGTGAGAGTCCAAGCTGAAGGCGAAGTGTGGTTCTTTTTGACCCTTGCCTGGTAGCGAAGAAGCAAATTACGGGGATCAAGCCTCGTGCTGTCACGGTCATGGCTCCATCGACATCTATCAGCCCACTGCCTAGTGGCGGACAGATGTTGCTAATAACAGAGCTATGTCCCCTGCTGGTCCTACCAAGTACAGAAGTACGTACCACATTGACCAGGAGGCTGGCTAATCATCTCACATGTCTTCTGGGGAAGGCGGAGAAGGGGGGATTCCTTTCTCTCATGGTCAAAAAGGGGAAAAGCAGCCCGGTCTCGTGTCCACCCATTACGAATATAACATTCTATGAGTTAGCCACTGCACAGGCAAGAGAACAACTAACTGGCCAATCGTTCCAATGACTTCTAGATACCTAAGATGATTCTTTTGAGGTAGATATCTTGTGGCAGGGAGCTCGAAGGTAGTTGTAGCAAGAGAGTGCTCGCGGATTGATCCTATGACCCTAAATCCTCGGTATCATGGTTGCCATTTTTCCTTCATCCTGTCATCCAAATTCCCCGTCCGCGTAAAAAAAAGGCTCTCATGAATGGTGGACCTGCCGGGACTTGCCTTTGCAGCCCACGCAAAGTAACAACAGCTAGATCGCTCGCATGCCAGTAGAAACGAAGCTGGAAACACAAGTTCGGACCGCCTGCAAATGGGGGTATTTGAAGAGAAAAGACAATGCAGAGAACAACCCAAAGATTCGATGGCCAATTTGGTATTTCTTGCTCAATGGCCCTCATTCACATGAACAGCATGGAGCTCTCACGCCGCTTGGCCTTCACGCTTGCTGCATGATCCGGCATTAACATATTGTTCACCCCTCCATACTTGTTATCCCTTTGCGGAGGTTGTGGTGGTGGGTACCGAGATGGAGTCGACGTCTCCTGTGGGATTGTTACGTAACTTCTAGTCTCATACGACGTTGGGATTGGCGAAAAACCGATGTCAGTGCTGACATCTAGGTGTTGCTCGAGTGGCCCCCCACCTCCTGGAGCTGCTGTTGTCGTAACTGCGTTCTGTAAAAAGCTGTTTTGATTGTACATCGGAGTCGGCAGGTCGGTGAACAATTGACGACGCGGTGATCGAATATCTTCCGGGGTCAAGGCTCCTTCACGTTCAATCTCGATCGATCGAAGAGAGTCTTCGTCGCTAGTTGCCTCGAATATCGCACCAAAGTCGGTGAGGAACATGGAAAAGACAGGAGCCGGAATGTTGAGGGTGGGCGAGAACACAATTCCCACGTTCTTGACGCTCATCTTGTTTCGATCCGCATTCTGCACCACCTCAAGCAGATATTGTGATAACGTTCGCAGCAGTGAAAAGTTGGCGGGAGGTAATTGATGAACCAGAGCGTTGAACGCCACGACCTTTTGTGACTTATCATTCAGCTCAAGCACCTTCAGGAACTCCAGGTGCAGCTCTCGAGTCAGCAGGGTGGACGGCAATTCTCGGAGGTACGTCTTGAAAAGCGATGCCACAGCGTGAACATCATATTCCTCTTCATCTGCCAGCAAGTTTACGTCGCCTTCCGAATTGAAGCGATCTTTCAGCTGTCGGATGACAATGTTCGATCCACTGAGCCGAAACAATCCTTCCTCATTGGAAGCCTTCTTTGCTCGAAGATATTCAATACTGCGATACACCACAGCGGGAAGAAACACATCCACGTCGACCGGCGAATAGCATTCGACTGCTTCTTGCAATTGCATGCCGAACACTGGACGTACATGCCCGCTGCGATGCCCGGCAGTTTCTGTTCGCTTGGCTTGGTTTGTTTGACCATGCCCCACGGGCTCGTGAGACGGTTTTCCGAAGTGGAAGATGTTGCGTTTCTTCTGCTCTCGCTCCCTGCTGCCACCATTCCCGGCGGCCTTGTTGCCCCAGAGCCCGAGGTCGGAGATGACGGTTCCATTCATCGGCCCTGAGATGGTGAATGGTTTGGTGGACGATCCAGGCTCCTGGGTGCCCTCAGAAGTGTTGGCAGAAGCATTTGATGGCGAGGGCGTGTCACTGTTCGCTTCGTTGAGTGACGAACTTCCCGTCAGCCTGGACTCTATATCGTCGGTTCCGGGTCGATGAAAAGCCTTGGCCTCTTTCGCAAGTGCGGTATGGACTCCGGCACCATATTGCGACCTAGGCTCTTCCAGTCTCTCGTCAATATAATGCAACAGCGTCTCCACCCACTCATCCCGCTCAGCGTCACTCTCGGCGCACAAGACATGACGGACGTGGCTGTTCATATCTTTCCGCTTCGGCTCTAGAATGAGGAAGGCATGCCGGTATTGATTTTCGGGGTCGACCTCCGGATGTGTTGCGGAATCTGTCTGGCTTTGTCGACCAATGCGTGCACTCAGCAGCTTGATGGTCCCGAGATGCGCACCGCCTGGGGCTTCGAAGTATCTCAGCTCCGGACTGTCTAGAACAAAGTACCTTGATTTCCAGCCCCCGAAGTTCTTGCCCTTCTTTGTCAAGTAGCCTGACTTGGTGGGAACGCCGCTCCCCTGCATCCCTCGGGCGGCCTTATCGCCGTCAGTGACGTCCTTCTGACCACGGAGATGAGGTCGAGATTCCATGACGTCGGTCGACATGAATCGACATATCATCGCAGCGGCATGTTCATCCAAGGGAGTATCGAGGAGGTCCTCGAAATATGTTTCGATTGAAGTTTTTCGCGCATCTAGTACAGCTGGAGAGTGGCCTGAGAACAGCTTCCGATCTGGCATTTTCGGTAGATCGGTAGATCGACTCCGGAGCTGTTGGTCGAGAATTGGGAGGGAAGCAGGGACCTTCTGCACCCGCCAGAGTTCAGATGTAGTGGCACGTTCAAAGATCGACAGGATGAAAACCGAGTTCTCCTCTTGTGGCTTCAAGCCGAGTATGCTGTTCCTGGATGGTCGCAAGCGAGAAGATGCCACCTTCACTTGGATCGACGGTAGGGCATTGGGAGGGAGGAGAAAGTCAGGCCATGTGGGACTGGCAAGCTTCCGACTCACAGGTGGGATGTCACTAGGACTGAGTGGAGAGTCGTCGATCTGACTCCGATCTGAATCCGTGGTGGTACTGTTGGTATTCATCTTGGTAAGAGGCAAGGGGTCGGTCTTCTGCTGGGCATCAGGAGTAGGTGCTTGTTGACCAGGAGTGGTGGGCAAAGGTAACGGTTGCTTCGGTGCTCGTGGCGACAAGGGAAAGTTACCGTTAGGGCCGCGAGGGGACAAGGGGAGTGAGGCTCCCGTGAGGTTATTGGCGACGGGACGTGGACTCAGAGGAAGGCCGGGGCTGCGCAGAGGTAGTGACAACTGAGCCGACGAGCCCTGCGAAATGGTGGAAGACGGTGACAGATGATCTTGCGACTTGTGGAGCTGCGCTGGAGGTAGACTTGACGGAGGTTCAGGAGACTTGTGTTGAAGTTCGGCTTCTGCCGGTTCACGCTTGTTCTTCTTGACCTTCTTTGAGCGACTTCTAGCTTCACGTTCGTTGAGAACAAGAAGCTCGCGGTCAAGGTCATCTTCTTCTCGCGTCTTGCGTCTGCCTCGCGACACAGGTTGTCTATCTTCTCCGTCCTCGTCCTCGTCACCGTCACTAACCAAGACTGACTCATCTGCTACGATAAGTCGGCTGCTGGATAGGTCATCCTTCGTATGACGGAGGTCGAGAGGTTTTGGTGGTGCCTTTCGTGAGGGCTGGAAAGATTTTGGAGCTCTCTCTGCTAGCGGAGTCGCCTCAGTCAACGAGAAAGTCGGTTGCGCTGATAGTGCGGAACGGATATCTAGTTGTGCTGCCGGCTCCAGCTGGAGTGGCCGTGGAATCATCGCGACATCAACAGGTGATCCCGTTGACTGATTGCCGCGGAGTGTGCTCGACGTTTTTTGCTCGACACCCATCCCCAAACCCCAGACGTCCACTGGCTCGATTTCCTTTGACTCGAGTGAAGCATCCCCGACAGATTGAAGCGAGTGACCATCTCCCCCACGCAACCTATCATCGGGCTCCGCTGACGGCTGTGCTTGCAATTCTCTCACCTTCCTCTTGTACCGATCCCGCTCCTTTGTCAAGCGCTCGAGATCCTTGTTCAAGCCAAGCAAAACAGCCCTCTGTTTATCGACGAGTTTCCAGAGCTGCCCATTTTGGGCTGCGGCATGGCTTTTGTCTCTTAAAAGGTGCTGGATCAGGTTCTCCGCCGTGCCAGCTGTTGCAATGAGGTGCTGCACTTCTTCCTGGCTGGGATATTTTGCCTCCCCGGATTGCTTCTGTACGTGGGAGACATGGGAAATGGACGAGATTGCAGAGTCAATGGAAGATGTCCGCGGCATAGTATTGGGTCGATATGCGCTGCTGGAGGACGATGCGTAGGACCTGGGGGACTCTAGAAGAGGATTGTTTGTTTGCTCTGGGGAAAAGCGATCCTGGGACCCGGGCTGCGATTCCTCCGTGCTGTGCACGATGTCTTCCAGCCGTGTAGCGGGTGTATCGGGTTGCCTCTCGGCCTTCAGGACGGCCTCGCGCTGTAGTACTTGTGTGGCAGAACTCTTCTCAGAACCATCAGACACCGTCCTCATTCCATGTGAACCGTAGTCCTGCGGATCCCTTCCACGCTGGTGTAAATCCGACTTCGAGCTGGACCTGGAGCTCAAGTAGTCCCGAGCAATGAGACTGTTTCCCAGGACAGGGGGGCCCGGATTTCGAGAACCAATATACGAATGAGCATTAGCCAGCGAGGAGGCCGAAACTGCAGCGGCTGTCTGGTTCAGGCGAGTCTGGGGGGACGGGGTTGGTCTGTTGCTGGTCGGCTGCAGCATGGTGGCAGAATGTTGAGCTGCATGAAGAAAGCTCGTGGCTCAAGCCATTGAGAGTTTGGAACAAACACCTGGTGACCGCCGACAGGCCAGCTGTACGAAGCGGCGTAAGGATGTAAGGGGAAAAAGGCACGGATTCCACCGGACAGTGTGACGACTACTGTATCGAAGATGGTCCAGTTGCTGACAAGGGGAACGCCTCCGAGATACGGCGGAAGGGAGGTAGGCTTGGGAGACTTCAGACGCAGTCCCTAAGCGCCCGGGAGGGGAGGAAGATGGTGTTGATGATGGTTATTGGGCGCCCATCGTGGCCAGAGGATGGATAGGAACGGGATCACAGACACCGCATTGCCAGTGGAACAGAGAGATCAGAAGGCGGATGGGGCAAAGCATGGAGATGGATCGGGTGCGGGAGGCTAGGCGACTCGGGAGGGCCCTTAGGCCACACCGTTTGACACCTCCATCACTTTATTAGCATCTTCAGCAGAAGTGTCCACGCCTGCGCCAATCCTTCAGTCATCCACAGTCGTCCCTTGTTCTTCAGATACAGAGAACTCTGTAAACGCAAATCAACCATCCTTCAGCCTTTTGCTTAGCTACCTAAGCTTGTCCAGGTCCACTCCACCTCACAAAGTATAGTGGTCTTCTCCACGCACCCAAGGATTCGAAACAAGTCGCCTCTGCACTTCCAAAAAGCTGTGTCAGAACCTCATCAGCTGTCGACTCCTGCCACGGCAGCAGCCTGCGCCCCTATACAGACACTCAGCATTCTTACTCAGATTTATCGATCTCGATCTTGCCTGAAGAGTAGCGAAAATCCAGTCTCAATACTCTGCACCCTCCAGAGTCCAAACGTTCGGGGGAAACATGAAACATGCTCGCCCGGGCCCGCTCCACCTCCTTGTGTCTATTGGGTACCTTGTGCAGCCGAAGCACCTGTCTCTCAAGCTAGAGCAATCGCCTAACGCACGCCGCGGGGGCAGCCAGGAAGATGCCGCCAGGAGGCCACATTTCAGCCGGGTCACAATTTGACATCGTTATGCTGGTTCGAGCTTCACTCTTTTCAAATTGCAAACAGCTTCTGCAAAGAAGGCCGACTTGCGGTGAACAAAACCATAATAGTCATGGTGATCGTGGACTGAATTTGCCCCTGCGGCTGGGGCTACCCTAGGCTTCCTAAGCCCTTGAAGTTCATCCTCTTCATCTTCGCCTCCGCTACCGATGTTGCGTGCCATGGCAGCTGCAGAAACCCGAAAGCGGCGACTCCTCCTGTCTGATTGGCCATGTTCATATGCCCGAATCACGACTGCATTCATGTAATGGAAGTCCGTGTGATTTACCAGACGCCTCCTTCTCACCAACTCAGGTGGTTGTCCATACGCAGATGCGCTGACCCTGAGAATCTTAGGGCATCTACCTCCCATTGCCTTTTGGGTGGTATGATTCACGTCCGATCTCGTGGCCTAGGTTCTGCCTCACATTCTACATGTCCAGGCACCATGATCTTGCGTGATTACCACAATCCATATCCGTTTCTCGCACTGTCTAGAGGGTAGGGCTTGCCGTGCTTGTTTTCCTGCTGGAATCACGAGGAAGCCTTGACATGGTCGTGTTTTTGATACTGCCGGTCTTGCCCATTCGACGCAAGGCTGGTGCAGCGAGAAAGTCCTCAGGGACGTTTCCGTTTATTGGGCACCCCGGGCGTCGAGTCCCTGCTGTTGGCCCTGGAGCTTCCTGCAGATGTGAACTCGATCGTTCTCTTGCCCGACGCTGCCAGACTCTTCTTCGAAGCGAGTTCTTGCTCTTTTAGAGTCTGCTGACTTCGCAGAAGCTCTTCCTTATAGGCCGAAGGAGGGAAGGACAAGGGATCCCAGAGCTCCCGAGGTAAAGATGTTCTGTATTGATCCGTGTCGCCTAGTCCTACCCTGCCCATCATCGTGGACAGGAAACTGGGGTTTCGGAATGAGGATTTTCTGGAGAGGTCGTCATTAAAATGCACGCCTTGTGCCTTCAGATCGAGAAAGCGCTTGAATCTTGCATTAGTAGCTTGGTTCGGCGACCCTGGAGGAGAAGGCGGCATGGATGTCATAGGGTTTAAAGTCTGCGTGAGGAACCGGATTGCATCACGCTCTGACATTGTTTGCTGAACCTGTAACGTCGATTCTCCGTCAATGTCGTCGCCCACCTGTTCGGGCATAGTAGGTCCAACGATCGGCCCGTCGATGGACTGGGAGCTCTCGAACGTTGGCTTCCCTGGCGCCGGTGATTTTTGCGTAGTTTCATGGACGGAATGGTTCTCTTGCCCGTTGAGGGTAGTTTTGTTAAAGGACGTCGCCCGACCGGTATCTGCTAATGGGTGGTCTTGAGCCGTGACTGGCTCATCCTCCTCGTCGCTGCTCTCGTAACCAACAAGTGCACTCATTTCGAGCAGATCCTTAGCTCGACAGTACAAGTTGAAGCATGGCAAGGAGAACCAGTACAATAAGCAATTTGCACCGGCTAGGTGTCTCGAATTAAAATCTTGATTCCAGTGAATCTGTGTATCTCCTCCTCGCACGGTCAATTGTACTGTGCAGAGCCGCGCATGCGTTTCGTGTCAGAATGCTCCGCAGTGCTTGAGTTTCCCAGGCGGACACTGCATACGTGATTGCGGCTTCATGGACTCAGAGAAGGCACACACCATTTGACTTACATTCGAAAGTCCACTCGTAACCCTCCACCTCTTCTGCCGACTGCGAAATATGGCCTCTATCATGAATGCCGGGGGTATGCCCTCAGATCAGCCGGGCTACTCATTCTCCAACGCCGCCGCGCCCTCCGAGAGCTCAGGACTAAGACAACATGCCTTTAACCCGTAAGTCCTACAAGACTATGCTCGTCGTCCACCAGAGACTAAACTATTGGCACAGATACACAGACAACGGTGGCTCGACGCTGGGAATAACAGGTGCTGATTTCGCCATACTTGCGGGAGACACACGATCAACATCAGGCTACAGCATCAATACCCGATATGCACCCAAACTCTTCCGAATTGGCGACGATGGCGACTCATCCTCCCGTATGGTCCTCTCAGTCGTTGGTTTTGCGGCAGACGGAAATGCGCTGAAAGAGCGGCTGGATGCCATTGTCAAGATGTACAAGTATCAGCATGGAAAGCCGATGAGCGTCAAGGCGTGCGCGCAACGCCTATCAACGATCCTCTACCAGAAGCGATTTTTCCCCTACTATGTGCACGCGATTCTCGGCGGTCTGGACGAGGATGGAAAGGGAGCACTGTACAGCTATGATCCCGTGGGCAGTTACGAGCGGGAACAATGTCGAGCAGCTGGAGCGGCGGCCAGTCTGATAATGCCCTTCTTGGACAACCAGGTCAACTACAAGAACCAATACATTCCAGACTCGGGATCCGGGCACGACCTGCAGCCGCGAGCGCTCGAGAGCTTGTCGAAGGATACGGTGATCGGGCTGGTCAAAGATGCCTTCACAAGTGCGACGGAAAGACACATTGAGGTGGGCGACGGGCTGCAGATGTTGATTATCACGAAGGACGGCATCCAGGAAATCTACGCTCCCCTGAAAAGAGATTAGAGGCGGAACGCAGAGACTTCGTGACACCAGGGGCTGGTGTTTTTGTATGCATATTTCGGCGAATGGACTGCCCCAGCGTTTGCACTCAGTGCGGCACAAGACTGCAATGCTTTCCTTTGCATTTCTCTCCTGCTTGTCTGATTGAAACTCTACTAGCAATTATTTCCACAACGCGATGCTGAAATCATTTTCACTCCGAAGCGCCAAACCCATTGACCTTTTGGCCTATCATGGCAAATTCCTTGCAAGCCCCGCTCGCCCGAGCATCATTCAAAATCTCTCCTTCATCCGACTCGCGACAGTCCTTAGATTGCCATAGACCTTGCCAGGAGGCGCACCCAAGATCAGACTGACCACGGCTTCTCGTGCGATTCTGATGTTTTGGAATCCACCCAGAATATGAATCTTGCTGTCTGCCAACACAACTCTCGTCTTGCTTGTGTTCTCGATGGCGAATTTTGTCTTTCCATCCTTGCCCGCTATCCGACCGATTGCGCGGCCCAAGTGGTCGCCGTGTAACGTCTTAACATCCTTGACTTCGAAGGTTTCAATGTAAAGGTCGTCTAGTCGTAGCAACGCAATGGCGTCGTCAACGTCGAAGCCGAGCGTGAAGGCCTTGACGAAATCTTCGCCCTTCTGCAGCGCCCCGGCGTCCGTGGTGAATTTCGACGTGCGCAGTTCCACCGCTTTGGATTTGATGTTCATTCGTACTTGCAATTTCAGGTGCTCGACCAACGGAGGGTAGATTTTTGGCCAGTTTGTTTTCAAGGGCGACATACGGTGGGGAGGTATCGGCACTTTGCGCGACTGTATTCGGATGGTAGATGGAGAGTCTGGTTGTGAGGATGCTGGTGCAAATCGGGGTCTTCCTTCTTCATCTATCTGCATATCTGTGTCTTCTGTAGCCTGGACTGGCACTTCAGGTTCGGACGGCTGTGGGGCAGTGATAATGTCGACATGGAGATTCTCGTCGCTGGTGCTGGGAGGAAGAGCGACGCTGTCGGCTACAGCCTCTGCGAGGGCTTCGGGAGCGCGCTGTACGGCGGTGGGAGCAGGCATCCTGACCAATGTGATCGACAGTGTTGTACCTCACACTCAAGAATCGTGTGATGCAGTAGCAAAGTTGAAGGCACCTTATTCTAGGACAGACAAGGATGACACAGTTTAGGAGGATCTTGGGATTGATGTCGATTGTCGATTGTCGATATTGCGGTCGGCAAAGAAATCTTTTTTCTCCGCACCGCAAGTTGTGGGTCACTGCAGTGTCGGACCAGAAGTTCTTTGGCACGAAAACCGGAGTTGCATCATCTGGTTCATCTTCGTCTGCCATTTTCCAGGCACATGCGGTAAACCACTCATTCACCCACGCTGCCAACATCAAGTTAGGTTGTTCCCCATAACTTGCAAGAGGATATTACGGCACATTTCGACTGAACAGCATGAGTTGTTCATCATGACAGACGCCGTCGTCCGAGGCATACGCGATGTCTCGAAGATCCTAGCCCTGCCACCGCGGACGACTCGTGTGATACAGAGGCTTCCAACATTCTCTGACCAAAGCTTCAGTTATCACACCCCTAGACGGATACCGGTTCCACCCAGTTTATTTCACTCCAGACATGGATTGCGAGGGCAGTCTTACCATACCCTGCTTCGCCGAGACTGCCGGAGTGATGTTGTGGGCGCAGGACCTGTACAGCCGCAGACGGTTACAGCTCCATCAGCACTACGTCGCCAGGCTTTGAGGTCGCGTGCAGCACAGCCTGGGTCTTTTGTTTTATACCCAGACTCAAACAATGCCTGTAAAACATCGATACCTACGTCCTTCCAGTATCGCTTGAGATACTTCCACACCACCACCAGAAGAAGTAAGGAAAAGGGGACAGAACACGAAGGCAGTAAGATCCAAGATGAGAGAGAGGGCAAGGGCAAACAGGAGGTGCCACAAGAGACTACATCAAAATCCGGGTCAGGACAAGAAGGACCACATCAAGAGAACTTTTACGACCGAATACACATGCCGCAATTCCACCGTCCGTCAAAAGAAGAACTCCTTGCCGCAGCAACCGGCTTTTGGTCGCGTCTGAAGGTGCGCTTCAAGTGGCTGACCATCAAAAGCACCCGGCCCTTCAACGTGGATGAAATCGTGGGATTCATCTCGTGGATTGCCCTGGGACACGTCATTTGGATCGTGATTGGGACCACAACCTTTGTCTCTCTCGCCATATTCGCTATCAACACCGTGTTTGCCCAGGAGACCTTGGCTGGATGGATAGGAAATTACCTGACCAAGTCTTCTGGGCTGCAGGTGGTGTTTGAGTCTGCCATTGTCCCGAAGTGGCGCGATGGAGTCATCACGTTCAAGAATGTGCTCATCTCCAGACGCCCGGGACAAAACCGCTCTCGAGTGACAAAAGGCTCGCCTGAAGCAGCCGCGCAGACCTCGTCCACCGAAGATCCCGTACCACCCGAGGAGCAGAACTATACGCAGTTTGACATCACGATCGGAGAGATCAATGTGACTCTATCGTTCAGCAAGTGGTGGAACTCCAGGGGGCCCCTGCAAAACGTCGAGGTCAAGCATGTTCGGGGAGTTGTGGACCGCACTCACGTCTTTTGGGGTGGCGAAGAGGTGGATCCGAAATCATATAGGCACGAACACACGCCGGGAGATTTCGAGATCGACTCGTTCAAGATCGAAGATCTCCTGGTCACAGTTCTTCAGCCGGAAGGGTTCAGGCCGTTCCCCGTCAGCATTTACAACGCAGAGCTCCCGCGATTGCGGAAGCAATGGCTGTTCTACGATTTCCTCAGCGCCAACAACATGACCGGCGAGTTCGATCGGTCTCTGTTTACGATCCATCCTCGCCAGACCCATTCGTACACCGGCGCGCATCTGAATGACGCGGCCGACGCCTCCGATGAGCCGTGGAGGAAACAATCGCGACTCCGCATCGACGGGCTGAACATCGACCATCTGAATCGCGGCGCGGAGGGACCCCTGTCGTGGATCCACGAGGGTAACGTCGACATAGTGGCGGACATCATGATCCCCAACGACAGCGACGAGTCGGTCATCAAAGTCATGACCGACTTCTACGAACGCATGGAAGCCGCGCTCACGTCGAGAAAGCACCTGGAGCAATCCCGCAAAGACGCTTCGGAGCAACCGAGCTCGGCTGCCATCGATGTCTCGGGTGCTGCTGCCCTGGCCCGATCCGCCGGCGAACGATATGAAGACAAGCAGTACCTGGTCATGGACCTCCGCATCCACCTGAACGACGTGCGTGCCGTCGTCCCCCTTTTCACCCGCGACCTATCCTACATCAACAACGCCCTGATCCGCCCGATTGTGGCATACATAAATTCGCGCCGCACATTCATCCCTATCAATTGCCGCGTCGTAAAGCGTCTGTCGGACTTCGACGGCAGCTGGACCATTTACGACTCCGGACTCATGGACGACCTGTCCGCCGAAGTGTACGATGCATTTGCGCGAGATGTCACAGACGAACAGGCCCGACTGAGACGATTCAAGAAAGTCGGCTTGTGGAGTTTGCAACTTGCCGTGCAGGCCATTTTCCTGGTGAGTCTCCTCAACAGCCGGCTGTAGTGGTCCGACGAGGTGGGAAGTATTCAGGTTTTTGCTGACGACACGGATTTCAACAGGGCATGGCTGGCAACATTGCTTAGACACGCTGAACGACTTTAATGATCAATCTTCACTCTGTAATGGCCACGCTCCGAAGGACAGACATGACACTTCCGAGCTTGGCTCTGTACAAAAGTAATGGGAAGAATGTCGCTTACTGGGCTCGTTTTGTGAGGAACTGGTTCGTGCTGATGGGAGCAATAGGTGTTTTGGAGTTTGTGCTTCTACAGCTTGATGTCAATGTCGAACAACATCTCTTCTGGTATGGGAAGACATGAACATAGCTACCTGTTCTTTGGAGGTCCATAGTGTTTTGGCAGCGTGATGCATACACTCGGCAGCATACAGCGATTGGTTTGAAGAAGTCACAACGAATATTCTCCCCCTGTCGGCTACAATGCGGGTGTCGGTGACATCGTAATGCAACTTGTGCTGACTCGGGAAACTTTCAAGTAAGTATATTACAATGATGATCTCGTGCTGTTGAGACAAAGAGAGCGCGCACAGACGTACGGGGACAACGTGGTTGGCCGCTGGTTCATCTACCCATCTCCTCTCAGGGTATCTGGTTTGAAATTTCCACGAACCCGCCAGGCTATTGTTCGTCTTTATCAATATGCTGTAGTCACAACACGGCATCGAGCTTCTGCAAGAAATATGTTCCAGGAACGTAGACTGACAATTGTCCATGTCTCACTCAGTCCCGGTCTATAAAATTCTTGATTTCAAGTAGGTAGGAACCCTCTGCAGGGTCCATCATTTTGGGCCTGGCGAGCAGAGAGTCAAAGAGAAACGGGGTATGAAGCTTCCAAGGCTTCAAGGTCATCCCGAAGTGTATGGATTTTGACCGGGAAAGAGGCAATATGATATATGAATGAGATGGCCCCATGCAGAAAACAAAAGACAAGGACTAGGGGGGAATGAATGTACGCACACCTCTAGTCTGCCGCTCCTTTATCTCATAGAGCAACAGTTCTGAAATAGGTATGTCAGGGACCAGCCCTCGCACTTCCGGTAAACATCAGTCGAAACTGAGCTTGCCAGAAGAGCTTGAGGCTGATCCTTCGATCTTGCGCGGTAAATGCTCGTGGCATTTGACTAGTGACCTCCGACCATGGCAATTTGCGGTCGCAGACGTACGTGTCTGTTCGAGTCGCGCTGACAGTAGTGAGATAAGAGTAGTAGATCGTGGGAAACGAGAAGATGAGGCTGGTTGTCAAGAGTCACGATTTGGGTATCTCTGAAGAGGGGAATTAATATACATGGTATCCGAGATGGCACTCACCAAGTGAAGTGTCGACAACACTTATGCCGACATCTTCAGATGTTTGACCTGCCACGGCTCGGAATCTTGCTCAACCCAGTCCTTCTTTTCTCCTAATATACACACAGATTGCAAATCGGTGGGAAGCTCCACCAGGTATTTCTGAGCGACTTGTTGGATTTGCTCCTTCGTGACGTCCAGTAGGCGCTCGCGCATTTGTTGATCCATATCTTCCGTTATGCCGTACATGAACTCTTTGCTCGCTTCACTGCTTACGCTTCTGGGAGCGTCAATACCCTGAAATATACTCAATTTGCTCTCCTCGAGTTCTCTGCTATCCCATTCTTTGTCTCGAGCATAGATCCCGGCACGTTGGAAGACTTTCAGAGAGTTGCGCGGGTTGGGGTCACGATATGAGGACATCGTAAAGAGCGCACTGATGGGGCTGGCGCTGGCTGACGCGCCATACGCCCCTCCCTTCTCTCTGACCTCTGGATGCAGGAAGTTGTGGACAAGCAGCTGTCCGAGAACTCTGAGTGGCGCCTTGTCCGGAGACGAGAATGGCGCAGTCTGTAGACAGGTGCCGGTGTACGACACTTGGAATGGAAGGTCAAAGAATGCTCTGCGTGAGAGAAAAGACCCAGGGACTGTGTCGGCAGCCGCAGAACTGGCAAGCCCCACGTGACCCTGTGGCAGGCTTTTCAGGAATTCCTCGATCATGCTCTGGTTGGCGCGCACTGAATCAGGTTCGCAGACAACCCGCATCGACAAATTAGAAGAGTTGCTGACGGCTATCGACCGAATGGTTTTCAATTTGCCAATAACGTCGCGAAGAGTCTGCGGATCGTGACGAGCGGAATCCAACATCCTGGCTGTAGATTCTATCTGTGAAAGACCAGAAAGCTGATCCTGTACCTGGCCTCGACGCGTCAGAGCAGCGGATGCGCTGGTGATGGCGAAGTGATGACCGCTCTCTGCGACAGAGTCCAATGCACCCGATGTTTTGGACTCAAGGAGCTCCTGGATTGCAGCGGCAGCTCTGGGGTTGTCGAAATCGATCTCCAACAGAAGCGACCGAATGAGCTCGAACATGGCGGGCACATTCCTGTCAAGAGCATAGCCATCTATGAGTAGACCTTCGTTGTACTTGTCCATGCTCCAGGGTTCGGGTGCAGCGAAAGGGGAGATAGATACGCCGCCAGTCTTCAAGAGAATCTCTGCTTCTAGATCCCCCACCGACTTCGTTTTCGTCCCCAGACGCATCAGGGAGTCCGTAAATAGTGGCAATAGAAGCCTGAGGTCTTCAGGGAGGTCTTGAAACAAGTGCTTCGCCTGGAAATAGGTGATGCCATTGGTGGAAGTCTCCCGCCACAGACAATCCACATCACCGATCTTCGAATGATATCGTGGTTTTCGTTCCTTCTCCCGGACAATGTCATCAACACGAAGGGTGGGAAGGCTATCCAGGTTTTTGCTCTGAGCACTTTCCTGTTCTTCTAGCAATTCGAGCTCCTGTCGACCAAGTTCGGCGAGAGCCGCATCGGGAGATGGGGCGCTCTTCTTCACAGTTTCCAGCTTGCTCTTTCTCCGATCTTCTTCTCGTTGCTCCAGCAGTTGCCCGTATACGTCTGAAGGTGTCATAGTGAACTGCATACACTTGTCGTTCATGAAATACTTTTGCGCAAGCTTTTCGAGGTACTTTTCTTCCGTCAATCGTTGCTTGAAGGCATCAATTATGTCGTTCCATGCTAAGCCGTCCATAGGACTGACACCATTGAACCATCCGGCAAGTGTTTTCTCAAGTAAACTCATGCCGAAGTTCGCCGTTTTATGTTTCAGCGTGAGCTCCAATTGATGCATATAACCGTCGATTTTTTGAGGGAGAAAAGCCTCATGCGCCTTATCCTGTAATATCGTTTGAATTTTATCCTTAAGTCCGACCACATCTTCTGACCTCATGCCATCCAAGCCAATCGACAATGTGCCAATACGACCAGAACTGTCGTAGCCTGAGTTGGGACTGAAATTTGTGCCCAGACCGGATTCAATCAACCCTTGATATAATGGCGAGCCATAACCGTTCATCAGCAAGGACAGCATGATACTGATGCAGAATGTTTCAACGATGTCCGATGATGGACTCCCCATCCACGTAACGGAAGACTTGAACTGTCGATCTGGGGGCTGCATCGTGTCAACCGGGCCTGTAACTTCGAAGGATAGGGGGCCGGCGGACAAGTCAATCGGCATTTTGATGTCGCTATCAGGAACACTCTTGTCGAATTGCGAGAGGGCCTCGTCGACCTGCTGAAGGTGGTCGGCGAGACTCAGACTACCATAAGAAAATATCTTTGCGTTACTCGGATGGTAGTGTTCGCGGGAAAATTTGACCAGTTGCTCGTGTGTAAGCTCAGTCATTGCCTCCGGATCTCCACCAGAGTTATACAAGGAAGGAATGAGATGTTCGCGGAACCTGATATAAAACAAATAACTTGCGTCCGACATCTGCCCTTTCATCTCGTTATAGACGACGCCTTTGAACTTGACGTTCTCATCTGTCGCAGGCTCTCGAGGGTCCTCGGGTCCAAGGCGCCATCCTTCCTGCAAGAAGTCCGAGTGTTTGAGCAGAGGATGAAGGGTCGCATCGAGATATACTGAGGACAAGTTGCGAAAATCCTGCAGGTTCGTGGTCGCGAATGGGTACGAGGTGTAATCGGAAGATGTGAATGCATTCATGAAATTTGCCAGTGATCTCGGCATCATTTTGAAGAACGGGTCTCGTACGGGGAACTTTTCGCTCCCACACAGGGTGACATGCTCCAAGATGTGAGGCAAGCCCGTTCGATCTGTAGGATTTGTCTTAAAATTGATGGCAAAGACATTGTTCTTGTCATCTCGAGCCACGTGTAGGTAGTCTGCCCCCGTCTTGTCGTGCTCCAAACTCAAGGCTGTAAGATGCAGTTCTGGAACATGCTTGATCTGTTTTACCGTGAACCCATGGATGCTTTCCCCCGGTTTTGGATACGCCTCCACGTCTGTTATCGATGCATAGCCTCTTTGGGAGGGAGACAAGAGGAGGGACCGCGAGATGGGTGATCTGGCACAGTGCTGTAGGCCATGACGGACTGCGCCATGCCTCAGCATGACCGTATCGAGTAAACCTCCGGCTTCAACGGGGAGAGACGGTCTCTGGAAGGACGGCGGACTCGGGAGCAGAATTCAAGATCGCAGCAGGAAACAGATGCTGATAGTCGCCAGAGTCGCAGTAAAGATACGTTGAACGATGATGGCAACTTGAAGTGGAAGCAATATTTTGCCTGGACTGGAACTGTATCCGATCACGTGCCTCACCAGGGTTGAACTTGCCTGCAGCATCACATCTTGTGAGAACATTCTTCTGTGCCTCCACCCACTGTTGAAGACATACACAAGCTGTATAGATCAGACGTACCAATTTTCTTTTATTCTGTACTTGCGACAGAGTCTTCTGTTCAGGTCACCGCCGCTTCCTGCACCTGAGACGGATTGCTTGGCCGTGGTCTCAGATCTGCGCAATCCTTCCACTTCGATTTCCGCTCGGTTCTGCAGTGGTGCTTGACTTGCCTCTCCCCTTCTGCGATTGCTGAACTCATACAACACACGCAACGTTTACTCAGGGTGTGTCAACGCCGAACTCGAACATCTTACACCTCGGTCTGCGTCGAGTGTCACCTAGCGCCCGTATTGGCTGTGCTATCTTCAGGGTCAATGTCGTCTAGGAAAACCTTGGTCAATACATCCGCATACAGAGACCGCTGTTGAAAGACACCTCAAGGGTCCGCCGACCTTCACCGGCAACTCCAGCCACATGGCGACCAGCGCGCAAAGTCCTACGTCGCAAGCCGCCAGCACACCCAATGGCGACATCCATGATTTGCCTCCGCCCATGCCGACGGCTAAGAAGGGCAAGGCTAAAAAAGACAAACAACTCAGCGCGGAAGAGAACGCGAAACTAGTTCAGGCACGACTGTCGCAGTTGGAGCAAGAAAAGGCTGGTGAAAAGACACAACAGGCGGAAGTGGATCGAGAAGTAAAGAAGGCCACCCGTGATTTGAACGAGTTGATCAATAGCGTTGAAGGGCCCTTGAGCCGGCTTGATCTGGTCCAAAAGAAATATGAGGAGCTACTCGGCGAAATGAAAAAGCTAGAACGCGACTATGCTAAAAACAAGAAGCGAGCCGACCAGTTGCAGAAGGAACAGGACAAGTTTAAGTCGGAGCACAACAAGACCGCCACAATGAAGGACAAACTCGAGAAGCTGTGCCGGGAGCTGACCAAAGAAAACAAGAAACTCAAGGACGAGAACAAGAAGCTGGAGGAAACAGAGAAGCAAGCCCGAGAGACAATCAACGAACGCCTGGACCACATGCTGTACGACGTCCAAGAAGCCATGAACAACCGAACCACCACACATTCCGAGAACCTTCACCTGGAACTGGACGAATTGTATGTGGTGAAGCCCCGAAGGTCAATCTGAAGTGGTTACTGACATACTATACTTGCAGATTCAAAACACGATGCAAGGTTTTAGCAGACCAGGCCGAAATTCGGGAGATGCATTTCCGAGCCATTCTTCGACACAAAGACGCCGAAATCGCACACCTACAGGCAAAATACGAAGTCGAACGCCGCAGAGCCGAATCCGAAGCCGCACGTTGTCGTACGCTTACGAACCAGGTCTCGACGTTCTCCCACACCGAGGCCGAGCTGCGGAGCCAACTCAACATCTACGTCGAGAAGTTCAAACAGGTCAGTCCACTTCTGTTCCCCATCTACTATTTTGGTCGATACAATAGCTGAAATTGTTGCTCACAATACAGCAGGTCGAAGACACGCTCAACAATAGCAATGAGCTCTTTCTCACGTTCCGCAAGGAGATGGAGGAGATGTCGAAGAAGACTAAGCGTCTCGAGAAGGAGAACCTGACTCTCACCCGAAAGCACGACCAAACCAATCGAAACATCCTGGAGATGGCCGAGGAGCGCACCAGGGACAAGGAGGACCTGGAGAGGCTTCGGAAGCAAGAACAGCAGATGCGCAACATCATCAAGACCATGCAGGAGCAGGGCCGCGGCGCACCACTCCAGCAAGAGCTTGTCGACGAAGAAGGCACGGAGAGCGAGTACGACGAGGAGTATGAGGACGAAGACGAGGAAGACGGGGAGAGTTACGAAGGTGAGGAGGAGTTGGCGGCGGAAATTGCAAATGCAAAGCCTGTCTTTGGCCCTGAGCCTCCACCGGAAATGCTCAAGGCCAACGGTCAGAAGGCCGCAGCCGTCGTTAATGGCGTCAAGCATTGAATGGCGCGCCGGTCCGGCTGACATTGCTATTGCTCACTTGAGCTTGAGATATGAGTACCTATTCTTGCACCAACAAGGCTATGGGCCGCTTGCTATCCATAGCCGCACAATCCAAACCATCTGTTACAAGTGTGAGACGCTGGGACATTGCAGACATTCTCTCGTGAGCAATTCCCATTGGATTCTGTTCATAGGCGACTCCGAGGTCCCTCGATGTAGGAGTTCCCCAACTTCAGCATGTCGATGGCCTGTCGAACCATGTCCTCTACTATATCCTTGGCGGGCTTGACGTCCTTGATGATGGCAGCCACCTGACCCATGAGGAAGGGCATGTCGATCTCCTCTTCCTGCTCCAGATCGTATTGCATGGGCACAATCCCCTTGTCCGTCAACTCCCTGATGCGCTCGGGCCGGCTCTCCCATTTCTTCAAGTAGTCGTTGATGCGCGCGCGAAGCGGGCGGCCCGACACCACCAGGGTGCGCACCGTATCTGAGAACTCGGCTGTCACGACGGCTTCCTTGTGCAGGTTGCTGGCGCCGCTCTCGTCGGCGGCGACGAAGCGCGTGCCCACCCAAACCCCGACGGCGCCTTGCATCAGACTGCTCGCGAGGCCGCGGCCATCATAAATGCCCCCCGCGGCAACGACCAGCGCCGGTTCGCCGGTCAAGGGACTCTTATATCGCTTCGCGACGTCCACCACCGCGGGGATCAGAATACTGTTCGCAATGTCGCCCGTGTGGCCGCCGCCCTCTGTTCCTTGGGCGCAGACAATGTCGACGCCAGCCTGGAGGGCTTTCTCTGCATGTCTGGGCGCGCCGACCATATTCATGACCAGGATGCCGGCCTCGTGCAGTCGCTTGATGGTTCGTGCGGGAGGCACGCCCACGGCGCTGACGAAGATCTTTGCGCCGTTGTTGATCGTCACTTCGATGAGCTCGTCCAGCTGCCCGTGCGTGTAGTCGTGGTTCGTCTTGCGCGCGCTCCCGCCGACTTGGGGGAGGGCAAGGTCGACGCCGAACGGGAGGGATGGGTCGGCCAGGTTCGCTTTCAATTCGTCGATGATCTGAGCCGGATTAGCACCCGTGGTCACGTCTCTGGTTTGACTGTGCCACCCCGAACCTCTTGTAACTGCTTCGGAGTATATCCCAGTCCTCCAATGGTGCCTATCCCACCGGCATTCGACACCGCTGCCGCCAAAGCGCCGCCTGAAGTGCGAGCCATGCCCGCCAGCATGATGGGATACTTGATCCCCAAAAGCTTGGTGAGCGGTGTGTGCAGAGCCGGCGGCGACGACATCTTGACGGAGAGAAGAGAAAGAGAGGCACGAGACTCGGGCAATGGCAACAGACCGACAAGGCCTACAAGAGACGTCCCAGGGTATTTCGACTGCGCATCTTCTTATACAATTCAAGTTTCTGGTTGGTGTGTCCAGTCAACCATCCATCCAAAGTGTGGGGTCGGCGTCTCACCCGCCAGCACGAACCGAGGCTGCTCCAGTCCTGTCCGGGGTTCATGGCTTGCCTCCATGCTATGGCAGGGAGCAGAATGGCCGTCCTTGCCTTGGACTACAATTCCTGTGCACAAGCAGCACGGTCGGTTCGGAGTGTATGGTTGCCTCGGTGGGGTGTCCATGGCTGTTGGAACGTATCCTCCCGCGGCCTGGCTGAGCGGTGCCTATCGATCCTGAGGCATACATGGTGAATGTTGGTATGATAGGCTAACAGGTCATACTGGTCTCTCAGCAGGAGACATCTCTCAGCACCCTCTGAATCCACTTCCTTCAGCGCTGAAACTGGAGGGTAACAGGGGGTCTGACCATGTTAACGGACAGACTTCGCGACGAAAGAGAATGAACGGGAAGTGTTGTTGTGGGAATTATACACATGACATAAAATAGAGATAATTAGGGGCTTTGGCGGACACTTCGATTAATCAATTACCCGAATAGGGAAATCCCTCGAAACAAATCACTCTAATGATCTGCCATCTTTGTATACTGATACAGTGATACTCCACCTACCCACCGACTGCTACCCTTTTCCTCGCCGGGGAGTTGGGCCATTCGCCAAACCACAGGTCAAACGAGGCATGCATTTCTCGACAACGACAAAGAATGGGTTATCGGGAGGCTTGGAAAGGAGGCTTGCTCAAATACCGGACAAGTCATCAGGTCCGCCAACCCGTCACGGTCACATTCTATCCCAGGAACCACACGAGAATGCCTGATCATCAGGCTGGAACCCCTGTGCCAACGTTGTCCAGTCTGGCCACTCATCACTGTCAATGTCGAAACCGAATCCATCGATGCTCATATCGCCGACAAAATCTGTAAGGACGGTTGCACCCACCGACGGACCTTCTCCAGCCTCGAAGTTCGGGCCAGTGTCGCTATTGCTCGCAGTCCACTCTGCATTCCGGCTCCGGACTTTCTCCCTCACGGATATGGCTTTGGCTCGAAGGGCCTTCAGCACGGCTGATTTTGATCCAAATCCCGAAGTGACTTCGTCCCAGAGCTCGCCCGAGAACAGAGTATCTACCGCCTGCCATGCCCTGTCGACAATCGGACCTTCCGGCTTGACGCACAAATGCCACAGAATGTACATCGTCACATGATATTGTGGGTAAGCCTTCTTGGCCCAGGCGAATTGCGTCAACAGATCATCGTCGTTGACGAGCCTCGGTTGCAACACCTCCAGTGCCTCAAAGAGGGACTCGTCCGTTGCAAAGTGTGCGCGTGGGCCGCGGGGATGTTGCATTAGCAGCCACTGTTGTCGCGTGACGAAGTCCAGCTTTCGAAATACGAAACGTGAGCATTGTACTGTCAGTCGGTGTTTGGGAATCACTGGATTACACAGCGCCAATCGCTCCTCGATTTGTGCTCTCGTCTCCTGCATGATTTGTGCTCTATCGGCCTCACTTGGCGAGGATGAAGGTGACGAGGATGAGGCAATGGCCGCCAATTTTTGCATTGCCTTAACCAGATCGATGCTGATGAGCGAGAAAGTCATGGCTGACCATCCCCGTCTGGCTTTGGGCAGTTCTTCCATCTCTGGATAGAGATCCGCGTCGTCGATATTAAGGGGTAGCTTGACATCAGACGCCAGCAACAAGCCTTTCGTGTCTTCGAGACCATAGTCCTCGCCTGCACGGCCATCGCGGGCGAGCAGGTGCCACCACAGACGACGACGGATCTCGGATTCAAAGGGAGTGAGGCCAAGTCGTTCTCCGTCGCGATGTAGACCTAGTGACTCGGCTATACGGATTGCAAGACCATTTAAAATCCAGATCCCTTTGCCGCGGTTGTGGACACGAAGTGCGGACTAGACGCGGCTTAGATCCATTGGATTGCTTGGTCAATAAGCAAGGATAACACGTACCAGATATATTGCCAAAGCATGGAGTCCAGTCAAGGTCGGACGGTCCAGAAAATCGCCCTGAGCGAAAGCCTGTTCGAGTCCAATCTTGAAGCTCAGTGGTTGCGCACACCTATCCTGCCGCAGTATCGCTTCAGCCTCCCCTTCGTCAAGGGAGACCGCTGCGGCAAAATATATGGCCAGGCACAGGGCATGATGTTCAAAAGACGCTTTGGTGGGGTTATCAATGGTGGCATAGACCTTGACCTCATGCGTCGGGATGTGCAGTAATTTCGTCCCTGCATAACCATCCACATTGTTCATATAAATGTTCCACAGTCGCACAGCCACTGATTTGGGCGGATGGAAACTTGAAAGTGGCTGAGAGGGGTTGGGTGAGGAGAGTATTCCCAAGGCATTGAAGGGAGAGATTGGTGGGTATGCTGACACCGTCATCTGCGGAGTTGTCAAGACAGACTCAATGCTGTGTTCCTATGCCATCAGTTAGAGACACGGGTAGCGAAGTTGCGAAAAGAAGTTGTGATTTGTCTTGGAACCCGCCTTCAACGCAAGGATCAATGGGCCAACAAGTTACAGCTTTGAACATGGACGCACTCGCATGATTAAGCCACCAGAAGCACACCTCCGTCACACTGAGCACTTCTCCGTATAGTAAGTCGCAAAATACGCCCTAATGGACGTTAAGGGTATATGCGTGTAGGGTGTTTAGGCTGCGGACGCTGCCTGGCACGGCAGACTGCCATTTCTTCTGCAATCCGGCCCGCCGGATAAACGTCCAGTGCTCTGACAATGATAGCATAGCTTACCTCTTCTATAACCCTGGACAGGAGGATTTCATTGAAGTATTGACTTGTCGAGCCTTTCTGGACAAGCACATCCTCCACAGATCGTCCGGTCAAGTTGGCAGCGCGGGTCGATCTTGTGGACTGCGCTGGAGATGCAGTATCTGGGGTTTCAGAGTTGGAGGCCAGTGGACCAAAGCGGCTTGCTTCCTGTTCATGTGTCGCCCTTGCAAGAGAATTCTCGAGACTGTGGATACGCGAGGCCATTTCCTCCATGATGGTCTTTTTCGACCGCCGCACACGCGGGCCCGAGGGCGGGTAAGAGCATACCTTGCCGGAGCGCGTGCATGAGTGGCATGGGGTCTTCTTGTCACACCGGATCTTTTTGCGATTGCAAGCGTAACAAGAGCGGACAATGGAGTTGTGATCTGACTTGGAAGATCTCTGCTGCCCCAGCCCGGGCTCTGACTGCTTGTCACGGCTGGGCTGGGCCGATGATAGTTCGGCGTCGGAAGTCATTCGATTGCCATGGCAAGTGTCTGTTATGACGATGCTAGAGTCTAGCGACAGCGACACGTTCCACCCGGTTGACGGAAAGTTCCTGCAAATGATTCAAAGATGGATTTATGTCCAGAATCAAGACAAATCCGTTTTTCTCTCGAGTTAGGCTACCTACCAGTAGGCGGTAAATGCTACCTATAGGTACCTAATAGCAGAAGGAGGTGGTTGACTTCCGAGTCGTCGGTCGGGCGTAATATTACGCCAAGGCCGAAGTTGGCTGAGTCAGCTCGGCGCAATCTCTTTATAACTTACGACCGAGCCCGAAGTTCGCGGAATCGACAAGTTGAAGTAGATGAGTCCCTGTTATAGTACCTGGGTATCTTAGTACCTACCTGGTACCTCTCTACCTGCCTACCTACATGTAGGCAATACACAGTATGGTTCGTCTTGTTCACACTTCTTAGCCCGTGACCTGTCAGTCTCTACGCCCGCGCCGTCACTTGAATCAAGCTCACCGGGCACTTATGTGCCGACAATATGATGTATTCAAATTTCAATCTTAGGTGTTTGGCTCTTCCCGGGTGGACGTAGCATGGAATGAAGCTTCTCGGCGCGAAACGGCCGTCCTCCTCCTCATATTTGACTATAAGTATATCGACGATGGAGGACCCCGGTGAGTCAGAATTTCTAACTTCAGTCCTGAACTTGTTGCAATCCGTCGTTTGAGTGCATAGTCATGGCCGATCTGGGACAACCTACTGCGCCGGCAGCGAGAACGCTCGCGGAGACTGAGGCCGAAGATACAGAGAAATCTTCACCACCAGGAATCCCTGGAAATGACGGCCCGGATGGTGGTGTTGCTGCTTGGCTCGTTGTGCTCGGTGTCTGGTGTACATCGTTCTGCAGTTTTGGCTGGCTGAACAGTAAGCCCCTTTCTCATGGTGTACGAGCCTGAACAGTTCCGCTGATATCAGTTTTCCATCAGGTGTTGGAGTCTTCCAGAAATACTACCAGAACGAGTTGCTCCGTGACTATTCTCCCAGCACAATCTCATGGATTCCATCCTTGCAAATTTTCTTCATCATGGGCATGGTATGTCTTGTGGTCCACACTAGGTTGGAGTTCTGGACTTTAGTCACTTTACTGATTCATCCTCTCTCAGGGCCCCTTCGTTGGTGCCCTGTACGACAGCTTTGGCCCAAAGTGGCTGCTCTTGACGGGCAGCGTTGTGCACATCTTCGGCATTATGATGGCATCCCTCGCAACCAAATACTATCAACTCCTTCTTGCGCAAGGATTGTGTTCTGCCATTGGAGTCTCGGCAATTTTCCAGCCCTGTAAGTTACCCGGATGGATGCTGCGTAAATCTGTTTCATTGCCCACGGACTGACATTCACAGCCTTCACTTGCGTTCTCGGCTGGTTTACTCGCAAGCGCGGCCTGGCCTTTGGAATCCTGTTTACGGGGTCTAGTGTTGGAGGAGTCGTCTTCCCTATCATGATCTCACGTCTAATTCGTGAAGTGGGCTACGGCTGGGCCATGCGGATATCGGCATTCCTGATGCTCTTCCTCCTGATCATTGCCAATCTGACCGTCCAGCCGTATCATCCTCCACAGCCTCAGAAAATCACGGCCGCCCAGCTCCGCAAACCATTCACCGAGCTCGACTTTCTTCTAATCACTGCTGGTTCCTTCTGCTTCAGCTTCGGCTTCTTCGTCCCCATTAACTATCTTCCCGTCCAGGCTCTGGACGCAGGCATGGATCCCAGTCTCACCCCGTATCTTTTGCCGATATTGAACGCTGGTTCGCTATTCGGCAGACTGATTTCCGGCCTAGTGGGCGACAAAGTCGGGCGTTACAACACTTTCATCATAGTATGCTACCTGTCCGACATCTGGATCCTGGCCCTTTGGCTTCCAGACTCAAGTGACCCGGCACTGATCGCTTTTGCCGTATTATTTGGATTCTTCTCGGGCGCCTATGTCTCGCTCATTGCGCCTTTGGTCATGCAGATCTCGGCCATGACGGAGATTGGGTTCCGCACCGGCATTGTCCTTTTCCTCACCGCAGTTGCCGGCTTAACGACCAATCCCATCAACGGCGCCATCCTGGATAGTGCAGGCGGCTGGGCTGGGGTCAAGGGTTTTCCGGAGTGTTCTGTATTGCTGGCACAACTTTTGTTCTTGAGGCGAGAATCAGGCGTACCGGTTGGAAATTGGTTGCGGTGTTCTAAGACATGTCCCACTCGCCCGGGAAGATTGCTTCTGTATTTGTAGCAGCTGCTGCTGTGGGAATACCTTCGAAAGGTTCAAAATATAAGGGGTAATTAGAACAGTCACCACTCTAGGAATGTCTGGGAAATAAAGGATGAGAAGTATGCCTGGTCCGAACTCTGACCTTTGGTCTAATGTGGCAGTACTGTCACCATCTGAGTGACATGCTTGCTGATCGACAATGAAGGTGGCCATGTAGTCAGGGAATAATACTTCACGCCATCTGCTCGAGATAAACATAAACGCGAACACATTGCCGGACTAGCCAATCCAGCAGCACTGTTGAGGACAATCGTCGGCAAGGCTGAAAGGCAAAAGGGGTAGCCAAGAACGGAGGCCACACGGCCTTCCCGGTCAGTACATGCGGCCGCGCATTGCGAGGAGAACTCAAGACCGGTCTCGGCGTCTATCGTTATACTTTGTCCTAGGACATTGATTTTCTTTACAAAGTGTAGCTATGGCCACGAGGAGAGCACCGGCCCTGACATCTAGACTCGGGCCCTATTCGGAGGTAGCCCACAATCTCCACGGTTGGGCGTAAAACTGACCGAAACTCGGCGGTAAAATTGTGACCTTAACACCGGATGCTTCCCCTGGACAAGAACGTAGCACTCTAGAGATGCGTTCTTTGGAGGCGATCTTGGGTCAGTCTTATAAATATGAGAGCATTCGTCCTCGATGGATTGGCTCCCATTCCACAGCACTTCTATACCAAACTTCCTTTTGACAAGTTGCAAGTCTACGAGGATCTCGACAGTAAATCACCAGATCGCCAACCACCACTATACTCAATCCGGCGGACGGTGGCCTGGGATATACCGTCGAAGACTTGATTTACCTTTGGACGATATCAATTCCATTTGGGGGCCTACGGGATGTGGACATCAAGGCTGGCGAGAAAGTCATCATCGCGCCGGCCACGGGGACTTTCGGCAGCGCAGCGGTGTTGGCTGCTTTGGCAATGGGGGCGCGAGTCATTGCCATGGGTCGCAACGTGGAAGCCATGCAGCAATTCAGACCATTCAACTCCAATGACAGGGTAAGGATCGTCCAGAACACGGGTGACGTGGAGGCCGATATGAAGGAACTCACGAAAGATGGGCCGGCTGATGTATTCTTCGACATTTCGCCCGGGAAAGCAGTCAAGAGCACGCCCTTCAAGAGCTGTATCCAGGCGCTCCGGCGCGGAGGCCGGGTAAGCTTGATGGGTGCGCATGAAGAGCTAGTCCTGCCGACACAGGCTATCATGCTATCCGATATCACTCTCAAGGGTAAATGGACGTACACCCAGGAAGACATTCGCGTTATGATCAAGTTGGTGGAAATCGGGTATCTGAGACTGGGCGAAGCTGGTGGCATACAGACGGTCGGCACATTTCCGCTGGAGAAGTTTGATGCTGCCTTTGACGCGGCGGCAAAGATGAGCGGACCATGCTTGCAAACGGTCATTTCTCCATGATGTATCACAGGGTGACTTCATGACAACGAGCATATAGATATAGAATCATAGAATGTCATCAAAACTCCGCTCTCTTCGAAGACAGATATCGCTGGAGCTCGCAAAAGGTTATAGAACAGTACAGTGCTTACCTAGTCCAGACTTTGAGTGACACGGTAGCGATTGTGAATCCTCACTGGAACAAGCATGAAGTTACCTATCATACCAGGTACGTAAGGAGGTAGTATGGTTGAAAGACATGAAGCTTCAAGACTAAGTGAAAACCAGCATAGGGCGGCAGTATTCTTGTCCCAATGCAGGGTACAGTAATTGGCGTCAGAGACGTGTCTGCTCCACCGCAGTTGTTGCACTTTAACAACTTAAACCGCGTCCAGTCGCGTCGCGTCATTTCATTGCTTGCCAGATACCCTTTATTCTCCTCCGCATGTATCATGCACCGCGTCGCTAACTAAGCGTACGACCCAAGCACCACGTTGCGGTGCCGAACGTGACAGCGTTCCCAAAATGGCGCCCATACAAGGACTGCTTCGTCCATACCACAAAGACGAGAAGTTCGCCCTACAGAACAGAGAACCCAGCAGCTACAACCCTCTCTATTCCTACCGGCTCTCTCGAGGAGAGAAGAAACAGTATGTCCAGCAATATGGCGACATGTACTTCCTCCGACTGGCAAAATTGAAGCCTGTGGTCGAGAAGATTGCTGAAGAGGACTGGGAGGACTTCGAAATTGCAGGAGAGAAAGCTCAGAGGGTGGACCGAGTGCTAGATGTGAGGCAAGGCCAGCTCTGCTGGGTGGTGGGAACGATATACATGGATATGCCGTTGAAGCCAAACATCCTGGAAGATATTGGGAAAGAGCATTGGATTGCTGGGCCTCCGCCACGACACTCTTACTTTTCAGCAGACATCGAGACGCAGGTTATGTTGGAAGACGAGTCCGGCCGGCTGCGTCTGATAGGACAAATGCTGAAGAACAACCTATTGGTAACCGGCGTGATTGTCGCAGTCCTTGGAACCGAAAATGCGAATGGAGACTTTGAAGTGCTGGACCTGCACCTTCCTGAGCTGCCACCACAGCCAAAAAGATGGGCGGGAGAGGAAGAAGAGGAGAAGATGGACGTGGATCAGCCAAGAAAGAAGATCGCTCTCATTAGCGGCCTGGACATCTCTGGGACTGAGGCGGACACGCTCAGAATCTCTCTTTTGACGGAGTACCTGCTAGGCGAGGCCTTGGACGACGATGACAGGAAAGAAGCCAGTACGATTTCGCGCTTGATTATCGCCGGCAACTCGGTGGCGTCAGATCTTATGCTCAATCATCAAACCTCGACTGAGGATGGCAAGAAAGCCGGCAATCGGAAATACGGCTATGATGCGGCGGCCTACAACCCTTCGCCCACCGAGCATTTCGACCAGTTCCTGGCAGAGCTACTGCCCAGCATACCAGTTACCATGTTAGCAGGCGAACGAGATCCGGCTAACGCCAGTTTGCCACAGCAGCCAATCCATCCCGCCATGTTCCCACATTCCAGAGTCTATGCATCTGCAAACATCACTGACCCAGAAGAAGTTGAAGAACCTGCGTGGCTGGACAGTGTCACGAACCCCTGGGAAGGAGACATTGATGGATGGCGGTTCATGGGCAATAGCGGGCAACCTGTGGATGACATTCTCAAGTACGTTGATCTGGGTGGACCTGACGGGAGCAATACGGATGGAAGAATGGAAGTCATGGTCAACATGCTCAGATGGCGATGCGGCGCACCCACGGCCCCAGATACATTGTGGTGCTATCCGTTCCAAGACCGAGATCAATTTGTGATCGAGCATTGCCCTCATCTCTTCTTTGTGGGAAATCAACCTCGCTTCGAAACTCATGTCATTCAAGGGCAAGATGGCCAACAAGTTCGACTCATTGCAATCCCACCGTTTCACGAGACCGGCGAACTCGTGTTGGTGGATTCTGAGACTCTTGAGGTCGGGGTGGTGAGTTTTGATGTGCACGATCCTGCCCAACTTGATGGGTCATGATCGTGTGCCGGAAACAAGGCTGAGCTCTCGGAAAAGTTTCCCCGGCCGCACTGTCTCGACTTCTGAGCAGCGACCAAAGAAAAAAGCTATCGGGACAACAACTCATAAGGAGCATGATGTATTAAATGAGCCATGCGCATCAATGAGTACACCGGTCAGTATCTGAGTGATGCTAATCCACATACGCTCTCTGACCCCTCTCAGCCGTCTCTACCAAGAAGGTGCTCCTGGTGCCCTACTCAGCACACCATGTGCCCAAATATCATGAATGGATGAAAGATCCAGTAGGGCCCACGCTCCTCAGAGGACATTGCTTGCATCTCATGCCCCCTTAGGATATCCAGGAAGCAACGGCGTCGGAGCCTTTGACCCTCGATGAAGAATATGCCATGCAGCGCAGTTGGCGCGTCGATGCAGACAAATTAACCTTCATCATCTGCCGGCCTGAGCACAATCAGCCCATGACACGCGATGGACGACTGGACCCAGACTCGATGATCGGAGATGTCAATCTCTTCATCTCGACTGCCGAAGACGACGCGGAGAACCAAGTCGTGGCCGGTGAACTCGAACTCATGATCGCCGAGCGCACAGAACAGAGAAGAGGATACGGCCGGGCCGCTCTGCTTGCGTTTCTCAACTACATTCTACGCCACGAGGGTTCTCTTCTGACGGAGTTCTATGCTGGACAACCCACGGCCACGGCGGTTGCTCCCGCTCGATTTGGACACTTTGCCGTCAAAATCGGCGAAACCAACCATCGCAGCATTGCATTGTTTGAGAGACTTGGATTCCACAAGACGAGCGCGACACCTTCGTATTTTGGCGAATTTGAGTTGCGCCTGGGAAGGGACGAGATCCAGAGTTTCCTGAACCCGAGCAGTTCCACTGGTGGTAGCTTAGAAGGATACATGGAGATAGAGTATTCATGTCCTCAAGGGGCATGATTAGAATACAAAAAGCAGAGCATGAAGAAGGGTCATGGGAATTAATTGCTTGATTGATCCTTTTTGCAAGTTACTTTTGTCTGTCTGGCTGCCTGCCCGCTTTGATAAACATGGCGACTCGGTCTATGGCTTCGTTTAGAAAGCCTCCCCGCATACACCTTGTTCTTGCGTGACCCTGGCCTTCCGAAACACCGTAATTTTCTGCCCGGAAGCTTTTGAGATCAGACATTCTCATTTGCAGCAAAGATTTCCGAGTCGTCAGACATCAGCAACCACACCGGTCCCTAAGCAATTGTCTCTTGACCAAGCGATCTCATTTACGCCTTCTTGGCCTTCTTGGTCTTCTTGCTGATTTCCTGGAAAGGCATCGCTATTTGAGAGAAGGAAGCATCAGCATGTGTGCATATTTCCGACATCGTGGAGTTTGGAAGCACTGGGGGTTTGCATTGCAGCACGCGCATCTCCAGATCTCTTTCCCCATCTCCTTCTTCCGCAAGCGACGGCCCGTCCAGGTGGATGTAGGGTTCAGTCTCCTATGCGCGACCGCCTCTCACAGCTCACACGAGAAGTGCCGCGCAAGCAGGACACAGACGTTCGACGGAAAAAGCATACAGTGCGGGAAAACGGGCTGTGGCCGGCTGGGTACTACTTACTAGGAGGCAGGCTCTGCTTGATTTTGTCGGCCTTGTCCGAGTCCTTGAGGATCAGGGTGTAAACGTATCTCTTGCATCGGATCTTCATTTTGATGTCCTTGGACTTTGCGGATTTCTTGACGCGGGCACCTAATGGTAAAGAACGAAATTCCAACGGTCAGTTATTTGTTCTGCTTCTGTTTCTCACAAACAATCCCGGTCCCGGTCCCGGCCCTGGTCCAAGGCAAAATCCGTGCCGCTCTTCTATTGATCCTGGCTCTCTTTCTCGCGGCAATGTTTCAAACAGACAGACAGGCCGGTAGACAGGGCGGGACGCGGAATCTCGGGGCTCGTGGTAGCGCACCTTTGGCATCCTTTCTGCGCGCAATCTCAAGGAATTGCTTGATGTCGGTGACTTGGGCAGGCATCTTGGCTGAAGATGTAGAGTTCGAACGGGACGGGGAGGAGACGAAGATTCGGTGGTGATGGTCCTACTGGTGTGGAATGTCGACTGGCTTTCGTTTGACCAAACTTCTATCGCAGTTTCGTTCTGCGAAATATCGGGCGCCTTTCATTGTGGGCGCGGAATATCAAGGACCCACTTATATTGGGTGAGAGTCACGTGCCTGGAGGTGTTGTATTACGTAAGTCGCATCAGGCTGCGGTAGCCTCGTTATGCCTTCCCACTGCATGCCGTGCTATACTACTTGTTAGGCACTGTCTACACTTGTCCTTTACAATAAAAGTACGTTCGAAAGGACAGCCATCCGGCCAGCTATGGACCAGTCTCATAATCATTCAAGGTAGTACTTATTCAAACATGCTCCGCTCTAAAGACCATGTAAAAGGCAACAAGTCGACCTGATCGTGGGTGGCCGTCTATTTTTTGGTCAAGCCTTTCAACCATCTCGGTAGTTTCTTCTTGCCATCTCCACCTTCATCGGCAGTTGAACCCTTCTTCCCAAGATCGATCTTGACACCGCGATCACCACTTTCCTCTTCCACCTTTGGAATGTCAGGGACGGTGAGATCTTGGGCTTGAGCTCTCAAGGCTTCCTTCAGCACTGCTTTTGTATTTCGTGCCTCAACGCTAGCTTTCTGATCGTCCCAGCCGAATATGACAAGGACCCTGCCCTTGAGCTGGACATCTCGGATCAACTTCTTGCCAGCGTCATCCGGGATGACCTCGTTCTTGCCTCGAACTCCCGGACTTCGGAGAGTGAAATGCTCCGACCGCCATTTCTCCTCCAGACACTCTCTAACGAAATTGTACAAGTCGGCAGCCGTGTCGTCTTGACCGAACTTGGCACTCACCGCGCTTTGGTCTGGAAGCCGGATTTTGACCTCCACTTCTTGCACGGCGGCCCATTTCGCCGCTTCTTCGTTGGCCTGCGCTGCCAACTCTGCTTCTGTGGGCAATCTTTTATTTCGTGACTGTGTCTGTAGTAGTTTCTGATGAGCTTGCGCGTGTTCGACGGTCGGCATGTAATCGGATTCGTTATATGACATGAGAGCAGCCGAGGGAGTATCCGAATTTGGAGGGCGGAACACCGAAACTTGGCGGCCTGTTGACGTTGATGACACTGTTTCCGGTTGCGGAGAAGAAGTCGTGGGAGGGTCTTCTTGAGGAAGGGGAGCATGTTGAGGTTGATTGTCTTCCGCGCTATCCATTTTATCGTCTGACGATTGCAGAGGTTCGCTCGACACCGATGTCTCTTGTGTCTGTGTTCTAACAACAGCGGGACCCTCTACGGAGTCGAAGTAGCTTTGGATTTGAGCCATGGCCTCTTCCAATGGAGTTTCCGTAGGTCTGAAGCTTAACCGCAGCAACGCAGTTCCACTGTTCAACCCAAGCTGCGCCAGGGACTTCTGGAGGTCTGTGAAAGATGAGAGCTCTCTGTTCAACACCTGCAGCACAGGCTGTTCATAGTATAACCTGCCGGCTCCTGACGTGCTATTCTGTGTTGACGGTATGCCTCGGGCGGTGAAATTCCGGGGTGCGCCATTTCCACCTGCCACTCCTGCTTCGAATTTTCTGAGTACTAGCCATAGGGTGGTTGAACTGGGAAACTTGTCGGTGAGTCGCGCGTTGGGTGTTCCTCCGGACTCGGACTCCGGCAGTTGGAGGGCTATTGAGACGACTCCCGCAGACTTGGACAGTTGGACGAGTTCAAGTTTCGCGCCGGAGGACAGGCCTGAAAGACGTATAGATCGGGAGAGGTCGACTTGCTTGTTGTTGTGTCTGCAAGAAATGTCAATATACTGAGAGTGGTCATACCGGGGTGCGACAGATCGGGCACTTACTTCAAGCCGTGTTGCGTAGGGTTCACGCCTAGTTTGCCGCATGCCTCTTCAAGAACCTCGCTGAGAGTCTTGTTCGGCGTGGTCTTAATAGTCGTTCTGCGAGCCGCTGAGTCAATCACGACAACGTGCGAGGCCATCTTGTCGGGAATGGGACAGGCCCGCGGGTAGTTCTATCGCAGTTATTCAGGCACGATGATTTGTTCCTCGTTTCTCTCCAGAGTGATCGCTTGAGGTGTGGGTGTGATGTATTGTGGACGAGGTTGTGAATTGAGGCGTGTCGACAAAGAAGACTGTGTGATTGGAATAGTCTAGAATGCAGTGCAGTGGCTTTGGTCATCCAGTTGCATGTTGTCTAAATGGCGGGTGCATTTGGGTGCTGGGTTCCTCCGCCCGCGGCGAAAGTGAAGACCGCAGGCGCAGGCGCAGGCACAGCCTGACGGCGTCATACCAGTTGACGGCCGCCGCCTATTGGATCTGATGGCCATACTTAGGTAATTTCTACGACAGAGTAGATTGGCCTCCGGCTCACCCCCTTTGGGGATGTAGGTGATGCCGCCCTATGTCCGGCCCCTTGGGGGCCGGAGTACAAGAGGCTTGCGGTCTACTTACTATGACTCTGTAAATCGAGTACATGGTTTTTTATTCATTTCGGGATTCAGTATTTAGCCAAAATTTCATCGGTCCACTCCCATAGCTTCTTTGCCAATTTCTCCTCATTAGCTGTTTTGTCGACCATAGAAATGCTTTTGACCCCCACGGGCATATTATATATAGACGGTTCCACTCTCCAGCATTGCACAGAGGATTTGAAGCCGATTGTGAGCAAAACGCTGCAAGGCTGCCAGACTGCCTTGACCGTTGAGAGAGAGCCCAGTCCAACTGGAGAAACGTCAGGAGAACAGATGGGTTGTTTTGGCGACATTGGAGATAACATTTTGAGTTGCTGCAGCATTACGGCCCGTGATGTAAATCTGCGCTGTATCGTGCTTGCCAACGCTTGAACCCATTCTTTACCTAGATCCGCTGAGGAATTGTCGTTTCCCTTGCCATACTCGTTCTCAATATACAACAGCCAGCCAATCAGAGATCGACTGAGATTAGAAGGCTGACCTATGCCACTTTGGGCGTTAGCCCGTCAGCAGTATCTCGGCGGTTGCTTGCTGGTGGAGTTGGGGTACATGTAATCAAGTTAGAGGCCCCTTGAATTCTAGGACACCATCAAAGGCATGAATTGAAGACTCAGGACAACTCACTAAGATAAACTCGCTCTTATATCACTAGGTATATACCTAGCCTCTTCAACATCATTGTCCTTCGCCACCTCATCTTCCTCTTCCTCAACCTCTTTCTTTTGGATGACCCTCCGACTTCGTTCTCCGAGGAAAACATGTGCACCACACGGAACGGAATAGGGGAGAGAGCGGAATGGGGGTCCTGACAGACCTGGCAAGCAATCAAGATCTATCTGGTCGGATCGCGAGCAGGTCCGCTGCTATCTGAGTCGTTCTTCGAAGATAGTATGCCGTATTGAGATGAATTCCCTACATTTGGATCTAGTGCTCCGACGTCACCGCAGAAGAGACGGTTTGTACTTTTTGCTATACAGGATTCCAAGTGAGGCTCCCCACACTTGGACCTAGTGCTTCGGACGTCGCCGCAGACGCTGACGATTTGTACATATTGCTATACCAAGTGAGTCCCTGCTGGGTATCTGTTGTGCCTTGCAGTGCTACGGGCCCGTCCGCAAATGTCGTGTTGAGGACTCTAACCTTCCTTCGCTTTGCTCCGTATATTGCAGAACTCACGTCGGATATAGGTATCCTAGCCTAACTTGGACTTGAACCCGCATAGTATACCTGATACTGGGGTCTTTCAATCGGTACTAAACCATAATACATGGCCTACGCGCGCCGAGGGCATACGAAAGCTACTGCTTCAACGTAGTTTACAAGGCTATGATAAGACACATGGACCGATTTGTCGGGAGTTATAAAATCGCTATTTACCTCAGTCCTGTTGCTGCATGACTCTCTGGACCTCCTTGAGCCGACTCATTTGGACCTATTCTCTATATCGCAGTATCACTCTTCGCCAGCCATGTTTGCTCGCAGCGTGGGGTTGTCGCTCCTGGCTGCTCTCGGCGTCCAGGGCGCCCCTTGGAAACCGTCCGGGCCCCCGACTGTGACAGTCAAGAACGGTACCTACGTGGGTTTCCATGAACCATCCTATGGCCAGGATATCTTCCTCGGTATCCCTTATGCTCAGCCTCCAGTTGGCGACCTTCGCTTTCGCGTCGCCCAGCCTCTGAATGAGACGTGGGAAGGCACAAAGGCGGCATAAGAGTATTCGCCTGGGGTACGTTTATTTCGAAAACGTTATACTGTGGATGGGACTGACTTGGACCTCGCAGTGCTTTGGTTACTATGTTAGTACTTGGGTTGATTCTTTCAATCTCACGGTTAATCCTGATGCACCTCACAGGCAGGAGACAAAGCGTGGCCCCACTCTGAGGTTCGAATCTTCTCCCCTGTCGAGCCTGTCTCCCATCTGACTCATGCTGCTAGGACTGTCTGACCATCAACGTTGTTGTACCTTCGGGGTATGAACATCAAAGACTACCAGTGGCATTTTGGATTCATGGTATGTGGATGGTCTGGATCCATCTCGACGGAACACTCACTGTCTTCAGGAGGTGGATTTGTGGCAGGCTCCAGCAGAGATCCTCAATACAACCTCTCATACATTGTTGAGAATTCTGTGGCAATAGGGAAACCTATCATTGGTGTCAGTATCAACTATCGGCTCAGTGCGTTCGGGTTCCTTGCATCCAACGAGATTGCTGGCGAGGGTGCCACGAATTTGGGCCTCAAGGACCAGCGTCTTGCCATGCACTGGGTCCAAGAAAACATTGCTGCCTTTGGAGGTGAGACTACACACTTTGACTCGGCTGACTCGGCTAACCAGTGGTAGGTGACCCAACGAAGGTAACCATCTGGGGAGAAAGTGCTGGCTCTCAGGCCGTGGGCTTCCACCTTGCCGCGTACGGCGGGCGAGACGACAAGATTTTCCGTGGTGCCATCATGGAAAGCGGCAACCCAGTCTACTGGATCAGTCTCTATACACCGGACTATTTCCAGGACACCTATGATACTATCGTCGGGTCAGCCGGCTGCAACACATCGCTGGACACTTTGCAGTGTTTACGCGAAGTGTCGACTGACACCTTGAACACGATCATCAACACTACTACACCCGCTCTGATTGCCGGTGCAAACTGGACGGTATATGCTCCCGTCATGGACGGCGATTTCCTTCAGAAGTATACTTCGCTGCAGTTGCAGGAAGGCCAGTTTGTCCACGTACCCATTCTGTCTGGAGGTAGGGATCTTGTCTCGCTTTCCATTTTTGACATCGAATTAACTTTGTGAGAATAGCCAACTCTGACGAGGGGAGTGTATTCTCTCCCTACGGAATCAACACCACTGAAGAGTTCTACGACGCCCTCACATGTATGTCCTTCCACTATTCTGTGCACGCGCAGCGCTTTTCTAACTGGTGTTTAGCTTTCCAGAATTTCCCCGCGGTTCCTCCCTTTTTTGCCGACCAGATTCTGGAAGCTTATCCCAACGACCCGACCTTCGATGCCCTCCAGAATCTGGGAGACGCACAAGCACCCGCCTACCCCTATGGGGACCAATTCCGCCGGGTGGCCACCTACTATGGTGATGGACTTATCATCGCAGGCCGGCGTCAAGCATGTCAAACTTGGGCTGCTGCCGGCGTGCCCGCTTACTGCTACTGATTCAACACAATCATTGAGGGCCAGAACCCCGATGTCGGCGTTAAGCACGGCCAAGAAATTCCCTTCGCATTCTTGAATCTCAACGTGACTGGCGATGCGCCCGAGACGGTGCGCCTCGCGCAATTCATGGATGGAAGTTGGATCAGTTTCGTGCACGACCTCAATCCCAATGTGTGGCGAAACGTGTGGAAGGGGGACGAGGCTTTCTGGCCCGAGTACAGCGTCGATGGGAGTGTCATCGTCCTGGACACGAACGTGACCGTTCATACCGAGCCTGACATCTGGAGGGAGGCGGCTATCAACCTGATCAATGACAACAGTGCCGGCATATTCAACCGCTAGCCAGAGACAAGGGAACGCTTGGTGATGGCATTCGGGTTTTGAGAGTACTGTTGGAGATGCCGGCTGCCCACTCTGGTCCTGTCGGCTCTCTCAAAGCTCCACCCATCACACGTTCGACAAAAGCGACACTTTCTGGCCGTGCAAACATGTATTACTGTATACTGATTGGTGTTCCCATCTTAGAAATCCGTCACGACGATGATATAGAGACGGTTACGGCGGAGGGTAGGTATAAAAGTGATAACAGCTAGGGTGAGCCATACGCACATGCGGAGTAGTTTTCACTTCCCTTCTGCCGCCAATAATTGAGCCTCGCAGCACTTGCGGCGGCACCGAACGCGTTTGCTGCATATGCCTGCTTGAATAAGGTACCTTAGTATCTACGTACAAACTCCGCGCCTCGTCCACTACATCGACTTCCATATCCTACCTCGCCTCGCCTTTCCCACGATTTCTAGATACTCACCTGAGCTCTCATCTGTCCTCAAACTCTGTCTTTCTCTACGTTAATCCAGACAATCCTATCAAAATGGTGAGTTGTCATTGCTTCACGGGACTCTCTTCTGCGCCATCAGACCAGCATGAATTCAGACAGGACTAACCATGCCATGTTCAACAGAGCTCTCCATTCGACATCAGTACGCCGGACCCCTCCTACCAACTCTCCGACTCCCATTCGTGTGTCCGAAGTTGACCTGACCCTTTTTCTTCACAGATGGCGGTGCCTGCGTCGCAATGGTGGGCAAGGACTGCGTGGCCATAGCCTGCGACCTGCGCCTGGGTCTGCAAGCGTTGACCGTCTCGAACAACTTCCCCAAGATCTTCACCTACGGACCCTCGGTGTACCTGGGACTGACGGGGCTGGCCACGGACGTGCAGACCGTCAGCGACACCTTCCGATATAAGGTCAACATGTACCGACTGCGCGAGGAGCGGAACATTTCACCCCAGACCCTCGCCAACCTCGTCTCGAGCAGTCTGTACGAGAGGCGGTTTGGACCGTGGTTCGTCAGTCCCGTGCTGGCAGGAATCAACCACACTACGGGGAAGCCGTTCATCTGCGGGTTCGACAGTATCGGCTGCATTGATTTCGCAAAGGACTTTATCGTCGCAGGCACAGCGAGCGATCAATTATTCGGAACGTGCGAAGGCCTGTGGGAGCCTGATCTGGTGCGTTGGGGTTTCCGCCTTTATCATTAATCTTTCTGATTCGAGTATGCTGACCTCCCCAATAGTCGCCGGAAGATCTGTTCGAAACCATCTCACAAGCTCTCCTCAACGCTGTAGACCGAGACGCTCTGTCCGGCTGGGGCGCTCACGTCTATATCATCGAAAAGGATAAGGTCACCAAGCGGTTACTGAAAGGCCGACAAGATTAGTGACAAGAAGCTGTAGTTTGGATTTCTTAGCATCATGCAAATGGCGTTTCCATCTCCGGGAAGAAGGGTATGCAAATCAGACTGGTTGGCATGGAGCCAGCCTTGCGAGGAACAAAAGAGAACGGCCACAGTCGCCTTGTTCAGCTACTTCTACAGCCACGCGGGGCCGGTGGGCAACGAGTTGACCTACTAGTCAGACTGAAGAAACGAACAAGACACATTTTGGTCTGCCTGTGTCGATTTGGCCAATTTCCTCCCAACTCTACTTCACTTCTCTCTTTGAATTCAAGACCTTGGCCAGGCGACCGAGCGAACCCTGTTCTGTTGCCGCTCACTTGTACAGCTTGACTTTTACAGCGAGTACTCCATCCAGAGCATCTTCCCAGCTCTCCTTCATGTGCCCGCAGATCGTCTCCATTGTGACTTCGTCGCACAGCGTTTCCAACAAGCTTGCCAACTCGGCCAGTTTGCCTGCCTCGTCTCTGGCCATCCCCAGGTCGACCAGCTTCCCTAAGACGCCCGGTGCATTGATCTGGCCCTTCAGCTCCCGCGCCGCCGCATGAACCGCACGCTCGAGTTCCAAGATCTGGTTCTGAAGCCCGGTCAACGTCTCCGGAGGCACGGCGAGTGCTTTGGACTTGGATTTGGGCCTCCTGGCAAGAGATGCCAAGAACATGGCTATGACTTGCAACGTCTCCAGCTCGACCAGGCTCGTATGGATTCCCTCCCACGTTGGAGTACGGATGTCTGCCAACGTCATAACAAATGGCCCGTCCTTGTGCTCGGCGAGCCTTGCAGTCATCCAGGACTGGAGCTTCTCAAGAAGACCCAGGATAGTGTCCTTGGATGAAGTGCTTTCCTTCGCAAACACGGCTGCCCGAGCAAGTATCTGATAACACTCAAAGCTGGACATCTCTGCCTTGGTCATTTCTGTAGCCGCGTCCTCTTGCAGTCTCTCCAGATTGACCTGGGATTGTTTGAGGGCGTCGAAGGCCTTCACGGCTAACAATGGCAGCGATGCAAGTTCTGCCTTGATATAGGTAGCGACATTGTCGCACAACGCCATCGCAAGAATCCACTTTTCCTTAGGTAGGGGACCGCATGAAATATTGCCCAGTAACTCTGAGTCGTCCGGACGATAAGCTGGCAGGTAGGCGAAATCCCTTTTGTCGACCAGACTTGAAGGACTGGGTGCTAGCACAGTGTCCTCAGGTAATCCGAGGGACCGTCTAAGCTTCCGCTCTTCGATGGCATAGATCTGCCGATTGACGCTCCGCGCAATGTCCGACCGCATTGTAACGCTGTTGTAGATGTTGGAATAGCTGTTGAATCGCAATCCTTCGCGGATGCCGCGGACAAGAGCATTGTCCGCGTTCTCTAGAATGGTGAGACCAGTGTCGATAGCTCGGAGAGGATCAAACGTGTCTTCACCTGGCCCACTTGACATTGGATGAAGGGTAGATATCCTCGTCAGAATGAGATGCCCCACCGTTTCCCACTGCAAATTCTTGACGCTGAGTCTGGTGAAAGTCTCCATCGCGAGAGATAGCAAGCCAAGATGTGCTTGGATGCGAACGAGAAACACACTGAACAAATAAAAATCTTCGAATTTGGAACGGGCGATCTGAAGTAGAATCGCCGCAACGGAGATGGTTCGTGTCTCTCCTCTGGTTGATAGCCTCAACATCGCCATTACCGCTAGGATGGCTGCTTCGGGGCAGCCCGGTGCATCTGAAAGCGAGGCCTTGAAGAGTTGTAATGCTTGGGATATGAAAGCCAACAAGTGTTTTTGCGAGACATCGGCCTGTAAAGAACTGTACGAGAGCTTGAGTTTGAAAAGTCGCGACAGATTGCCTTGCTCGGAACAGGAACTCGTGAAATCTTCAAACCGGGCTTTGTCGAGATGTCGCAGAGACTCTTTCAGATCATCAAAACAGAACGCTTTCTCGGAGAATGCCTGGGAGTAGTCTTTGCATGTCTGCAGCAGAGCATCCATTTCGACTTCACCATTGCGACTTCGAAGCCATTGCATTTTGGCCATAAACGCTGCACGAACTGGGGGTCGGATGCTGCAAACAGAATCCAGTAGCTCTTGAGACTTTGGGTCGAGACTAGGCAAATGTTAGCAGTGCTGATAGTGAGTTCGATTTGAAGTAGAATACCCATCGACCGACGATCGGGATTGTGCTTTTAACCAAAGCCGCCATATTCGGTCGTCCGATCGAAGATCCGACTGCAACAAGAAGTTCTGGCACAGGGAATGAGCTTCATCCCATTGCTCCGATAACTCCAGAGACTCTAGAAGTAGAGACAACACAATCTGTGGATCTTTCTTGCCGACGCGGGACTCCATGCCCAGTGAGTTGCTCTGCAAGAGCTTCACCGTCTCGGCTGACCGCCCCGTCGAGTTGAGAATCTGAACGAGCAAAGCGATTTCTTCTGGGCTCGAGATTGCCTTTCCGGGAGAGGCTGGCTCCTCCTAGTCAATGTGAGTTTTGAATGAATCCCTGATGAGGGCGACGATGAACCAACCTGGTCGCTGGGGATGGATTCAGCTGCTTTTGATATCATTCGGTAGGCAAGGGTGCCGAACAGAGTCCTGTCTTTCTCCGGAAGGTCGTCTTGCATGTGGATCAATTGGCACATCATGATGTTCCAGAATTCGTAGTGAGGTTTCTTTGGGAAGGACTTGCGCAACCCCATGGTGGCCTGTCGGAGGGCCCCATGTCAGTCCGTCTCTTGCATTGGTAGAACATTGGCGGTGGTTTTCACACCTTTTGCGCGCTGAGCCAGTTGTTGTCCCGGATGGCTTGATTCAGCCATCTCATGTAAAGGTCCTCGTCGTTCTGCTTCGCCGTGACCGCTCTCTCCCACAGCTTGGGCCCTTCTTGCTGCAACGACAGACTCTTGAGGGCATCTTGCAGCTGGTATATGGCTTCCGGCTGGGTGAAGGGAGGGCTCCGCTTGCACAGCTCGAGCACCTCGGCGTGCCCGCGATCATGCTGTGCTTTGTCGGGCTGATTGACCAGTACGAAGGCTTTCAGCGCCTGTGACAGTCAGGAGACGGGCTCTCATTGTTGCAGAGGGTGCGTTGCCTACCAGAAACCTATCTGACTTCTCACCCTTTTTGGCCCACTTGTCGCACAACTGTAGCGCCTGTTTCCAATTTGCAGTCGCGACAGCGTCTTGGATAGGACGTATTCGACGCTCACTGACAACTGCGTCGGACATGATCAGGACAGTGCCTCGACCAAATGCTGGAAGAGAGAAAAAAGCAGGTGAGGGGAAATGCGGCCGAACATCTGATTGATATTTACCAACTACGTGGATTACTACCTCGACGATCTTGAAGCGCAGCCTACTACTGAATGTGGTGTCACCATACAACTGCCTCGTGTTCTAATTGCTGAGTGGATGTCTTTCTGCTATCTTACAAGTTCTGGAAGTCTACCTTAGTTGTACACTGCACTGCATGCCTGCAGGTGTCATTCGAGTCGTGCTGCACAGAATGCGACCCGGCTGACCTGGGTATAGATTTGCCGCAAGTCAACGGCGTATTGTGCTTTAACGCGCCAACTTTTTCGTCCTTTCGTCATGTACCGTTTCTCCTGTCGGAGTGGGTTCAAGGTACCACTGCACTGTACATAGCGTTGGCGCAAGTGCGTCAACTGAACCATGAGCCTCTTTCGGCTTTCCGTCTAGCCATCTAGCCAATGTGTAAGTATAGCAGGATAGGAAGCGTTCGCAATGCCATCATACCCATTCTTTCTTGCAATCACGGTAAGCCCTGTCGCGAGGCTGCTGTCAGCCACATGTACAACTCTTTCGCATGGTTTATGGACCGTCAGGTAAATTGACGGCCGACCCGAGGAGGGAGTTGGAGGCCTCGGGTTGGACGTACTGGAAATAGTCCTGGCACATATCTCGGTCGCCGTTGTTTCTATGCATGCATTTTATGCTCCGGTTTGCGAAGTCTTGACAAGGATCGTAATATTCTGAGCTTCGCTTTCTGCAATGGCCGGCTTCATCAGCACAAGCTGCGATTTGGCGGCTGTGGACGGGCGGCGTACTTTTCAAAAGTTTTCTTGGACTTTTCCCAGGTGTCCTCCTGGGCCACCGAGCCAGACTGCTGGTCTGTCTGGTCCGCAGGAGCCATGTCGTCGTGTTTAAAGATGAATCTCCTGCGGACAAATGCAAGTTGCAGATGCAGGGCAACGATCGACGATGCGGCTAACCTTCTTTGCTCGAGGACGTTTGCTTTAGAGAGCTGGGTTCTTATCGATAAGGCGGATGTTATTTCTACCCCTCCGCCATTTATCACATTCAGTTAACACAAGACTGAGATATGCCATGAGGTACCTAGCCATGACTGACTCTATTATCGAGGATCTACTGTGGTAGAAGGTAAAGCTATCAGCCACAGTGCCAGGATCTTACCCATAGCATAATGCGGTCTGAGCACGCGCAGCCTTTATCCCTGCTACTTTGTTATAAAGAGTCCCAGCCCGGTTGGTATCCTTGCATGGACTCGCATCGGACTTTCAAGGACATCCCAGCCACAAGCACAGCACCGTCGTCTATATTCCATTTTAACACAAAGTAGTCAGTATATCTATTGTGGTTTGCTGCTTAGTCACTACAACTCAATCACCAGAGTGCCAGCTCGTGAGCCACAACTCGGACTGCCAGGATGTATCGATTGTTCACGGTATCTGAGAGTTCGAGAAGCTGGACAATAATCTCCATCACCGCAGGAGGCTTCCATCCATTTATCAGTTCTGCTGCTTGCTGTGTCATTGTGGGCCAAAATACTATCAATAAACCATCTAACGTGGCCTATCCGCCGATGCCGTCGATCAGTCCGAGTCCGGAATCAAAGACCATGCTCATGGACTTCTGGGGAGTCGAGGACTAGATTTCTCGAGCGAGGAAGGAAAGCAGAGTCCGACGAACGATTGTCTAAAAAGTGAAAACAGCATGCCGGAGACAATCGCAGGGTGTGATCCCATCCATTGTTGTCACTGACCAACCAGGTCCCCAGTCGAGATTTCTGGACATTCGGCACGATACCTGTTTCGGTCAATAGATCCATACGCCGCACATCGCTCATCGCCCAGCGGGGTTGTCCACACGTTCGAGAAGCGACACCACCCGGTCAGTGATCACTATCGTGGTGACTGCAGGTCGCGTCAATGACCACGAGAGCCAGACGCCCTCACCGACAAGAAGGATGAGCTTCCCCCAATGGAAGGAGGAGTCGGTTGCAGTGCCCGAATTTGATATATAACCGCTCCCGTCGATATATTTCTATTTGAGATGGGAATCATGTGGCCAACGGACATGATCTGTGACTGTGACTGCGAACTGGGTTGGAACTGCCCATCCAACCGGCTGCAATGTTGATCTGTCTGTGCGGGAGCTGTGGTTCATGGTGCTGCATAATCGCCTGCCTTGACTTACGTGTAGTGCACATGTGAAATGGATGATGGAGTTGTTCAGAGACAAAGCGCAGTAAATTGGAGCGGCACTGGCAGTGATTTTAGTCCAAACGAAGCAACAATTTCCATACATGACAACTAGCAACAGCTGGTCTCTGGCACTGAAGATAGTCCCCACATTCATCCGGCCATCCCCAGCTTCGATCAAAGGGCGGCCTTCCAAGATGATAGATCCACCATCGAGCTCCGTCAACAGCTCCCGATAGGCGATCTTGATAAAGCAGCTGATAAGGCACCAGAACCCGAGCGAATGCCAGGCTCTGCTGCGGCTTGGACTGGCTTCCATCCTCAGACATCCTCATCATCCCTATCTGGTGGAGATGTGCTGTTGATTCATGAGTGGTTACGACTTGGGAGCATGGAGGAGTTTCCCAAGCTCAAGCTACTGACCTTCTGACGTTAGAAGTTGACCCAGGGTTCCATCAACTTACCAAGGATGGTTGACATTTGCTGATGGACTCAAAGGGGCTCGCCTGAAATATAAGTCTTGGACATTGTCGCTGTCTGTAGATATCACCGTCAGTCTTTAATCAGTCAAGTTCAAGGAAGTCGACAACCTCACTTGCCACTCACTGCCACCTGCCTCTGACCTTTTACTCACGGTTGCACTGCGTAGCCTCACCCGCAGCGACTGCCCGTCACAACACAGCGCCTTCTTCGAGCGCCTTCTGTCACCATGGCTTCTGCAGACGTTCTTCCTCCACCTTCAAACAACAACTTTGGTGCCATCAAACGAAAAAGATCAACCTCAACAGCGTCAAAGCCATTGATCAGCATGTCTCCCAACCTCCCAAGACTGGTCGCATTCGACCCAGCGAAGCATCTCAATTTCCAGGAGCCCGAGAAGGTCTGGACCATGGAAGAGATCGGCATGGCTAAGAAAGGCGTTTCACCCATTGCCGTGTCAGATCCCTTCCCCCTCTTCACCGAAGAAGCCATTCAACAGATGCGAGCAGAAGTGTTGAGCAAGCCAGTCCTCGAGAACTGCAAGTACTCGAGCAACCTAGCACATTGCCAATTGAGAGGCTTCGCCCCAGAGTAAGTTTCGTGCCTTTCGCTCTGAGCGAACAACAATATACTGACAGCCCTAGATATGCACCATTTGTGTACGACGCATGGCGCAACCCAGCAGTACTGTCCATTGTCTCCAAGATTGCAGGGGTCGAGCTGGTCCCGGCGATGGACTTTGAGATTGCTCACATCAACATCTCCACCAGTTCTGAGGACCAGAAGGAAGCCGTCAAGCAAGCTTTGCAGGAAATGAAGCAGCGTGACGCCGATGAGGGGGTCTCCGGCTGTCCCTATGAGGATGATGAACCCATCGTCGACTGGCACACTGACAGCTATCCTTTCGTCTGCGTCACGATGCTGAGTGACTGCACCAACATGATCGGGGGAGAGACTGCGTTGCGAAAGGGTGATGGCGACGTCATGAGGGTTCGAGGACCCGGCATGGTAAGTCCTCCGGTCAGAAAGGTTGATTCACTCTCCTCACCTCGTATTATAGGGCCACGCCGTCATCCTCCAGGGACGGTACATCGAACATCAAGCCATGAGAGCTCTAGGTACTTCCGAGCGCATCTCCATGGTGACCTCGTTCCGCCCCAAGTCTCCCTTCATCAAGGACGACACCGTTCTCACCACTGTCCGTGCCATCTCCGACCTTTCTGAGCTTTACTCCCAGTACGCGGAATATCGCTTCGAGATGTTGGAAGAACGCCTGCGTGCGCACCTGAAGGATGTTCGCGAGCAGAAGCGAGCTCGGCGTGGCTTCAACACTGCGGCGACTAAGGCGTTCATCACTGAACAAAAGGCATTCCTGGATTCAATGCTGCGTGAAATCGTCGACGAGGACAAGGTCACCGTAGGCTTCACCGACAGCGAGGCGCATTTGCTGAGCGAAGAATTGAAGTTGCAGGCGCGCAAGAAGGCACGATTCCAGTCGGAGGATGTCAACGAGTGATGGGCGACTATGCAACCCAAACCACTGTGACGAATTTCCTTTCAAGTTGAGCTTTATGATTGCGGGCGAGGATTTCAGAACCGGACGGAGCTGCTTGGGGACCATTGCTGCATCTACCTAAGGTAGTCGTGCAGTTTCGGCAGAAGGGCGCTGTCGCAAACGGAGTTTTTTTGCTGCGAGCCAGAGGCTTGCGATGAGCACTGGGAGTTGTACATCAAACACACGCCGACATTAGCAGTGCGCCAACTTGGCAGAGACCAAGAGCATTCAATCTTCATGACTAATTCGATTTATTGACTTCTCGACTTCCCTCCACTGTGTCACCTTGATGCTCGTGCTGACATGGAGGGGTGCCAGATGGGCGGAATAGACTGCACAATAGCTGGCGCCATGGTATGTTGATACTTGATGTCCTGCCGCCTTGAAGGTGCCAGGGCTAATTGAGCAAACAGATACCGATCCTTGAGTTCTGGTGTCGTTCAAGGCGGTCCAGACATAATTTTCATAGGTGTACAGAGCATACGAGATTAGTTCGCCTAGATTGCAAGGAGCAGTCCGGCGGAGACAGAAACGTCTACCAAGGAAGGTAGGCAGAACGACGAAGAGAAACGAGAGGAGACGAGGACGAGCGGAATGAAAGACACGGCCGCACCCACTGGCAATGCATAAGAAGGGCATTAGAGGAATGCAGAGCTGAAGATGGAGATGATGGTGATGGTGGTGATGACAAGCTTGAGGAGGAAAACGCAATCCAGTTCTCTTCATGAATCGCAGTCGCAGTCGCAGTCGCAGTCACGGGATTTGGATTCGAGGTCTCCAGGCATCAATCTCCAGCCTCCAAGGATCCTGTTGCTTTCACCCACCAACCATACACCATGTACTACTGATTGATTGACCTTGCAATACCTACCCGCTCTCCCACAGCTGAGAGAGTCCTCATTTCTTACAGTTACTACTTGTATGCCAGATTCACTGCGGGCCAGTCTCCTTCACCTCCTCCCTCTGCATAACATGCTCGAGCGCTTCCCCACCCCATGAGCCGTGTTCATCATCCTGGAGATCAACCGTCAGGTCGCCAACACCATTCTTCCCAGCCACGACCGCCCATGCCCTGCCGTGCAATCTATCGTCAACCGCGAACTTGACCGCTGCGTCAACCACCGTCTCGACATCGACAAAGTCCAAACCGTGACCAGGGCCCATTCCCGCAGCCTTCAGCACTGGCAATGCTGGTGTCACCAGTGGTGTACGCACGAACGTTGGGGCGAGCATGTTCAAACGGATGTTGAGCGATGGAGTTGTATACCGGAGGGTTCTGAATAGACCGCGCACGCCGACTGCATGAGAACACCACGAATTAGTATGGCTATGTGCCGAATATCTGTCCCCCCAGACGGACTTGCTCAGTCCACCGCCAAACTTACACTTGGAAGTCTGATAGTCCGAAAACAGCGGGGCATCGATGTATGACACGATCGACCCGATCAAGATGAGGGAGTTCGTGGTGGTCGTGCCGTCCTGGTCATTGCCCTTAGGTCCGCGTGGACTCATGTACCACAACGCAAGGTAAGCACAGTTATACACCCCCAGCAAATTCACATCAAGTGCCGTGTGTTTTGGCTCCGGCGGGGATTGCTCGTCGATATCGTCTTTCGACATCTGCTCTTTGGTCCGGATGACCTGCTCAACCAGGCTCCCGTGGTCACCGAGCACGCCTGCCATTAAGGCGACCACATCGATCGTCCCGGTCAATGAATGCTGAGCGGCTTGTTTGAATGCAGCAACACACGAGTTGTAGTCTTGTACATCGCAATGCGCGAATGTCACATTGTGACCATGTGAGGTCAAATCTCCAACCACCTTATGGCCGACCTCGCGCTGTTTGTCGGCGATGAAGACGTTGGCACCTGCCCGGGCGAAGCGGGTGCTGATGGCGAGACCGATGCCTGAGGCTCCGCCTGATGGGTTTACGACTCAGCTTAGGTATGGACAGAGAAGATGGCAACGTCAAAAGTTGGCAGCCTACCTGTGACGAGCACGGTCTTGACCTTGAGGATAGCAAGGTCGGACATGACTGCTGCCGGTATGGTATGGTTCACTTCGTTGTGTTTGTCGTATATAGAGTAGTAAGGCAGTAGTAGCAGAGACTGTAGGTGTACTTGAGATCGAACATGCCAACTACGGCGGTTGCTTCTGTATTGATATGAGCTACCTCAACTGCTGTTCACGACTACCCATTCGTCCCTTCCCTTTCTCTACACGATCTCCCGGCGGGTAACACCGGGATTCAAGACGAGCATCGTAGCATATCAACCATTGTGGCGCCCTGAAGCGCGGCCAGTCCTACCTGTATCCCTTCGCCGGACGAGAGATTGAAGGCTGGAGGCCTGGTAACTGGCCACTGGGGAGTAGAGCGGAGTGTTGCACAGATTTCCTTTTCGCCATGCCGTGTATCTAGATGTATATATCATCTTCGCGTTTGGGCGAGTCTTGTACAAGCGAGCCAGCACCCATCCCGTAGCCGTGGTAGGCTTGTGTCTAATGTCAGACTCGAGCACCATGCAGTCATTATGTTGTATAGTACAAAGCCTCTCAGCTATAGTGAGACGCGACCGGGGGGGGGGGGGGGGGGGGGGGGGGCGGGAGTATCCTCTGTTCCCTTGCAAGAGACGGCTGCGCGTGTTTGTTCACCGCAACTTGAACTCTGCAGAGATTCTTTCCAACATGCCATCCACTTGGACGTTGTGCCATTCGCCTTCACTTCGGCACCACCCTGTCACCGACCTGGATCCTGGCCAACGGGCGAGTCCAATCACTTTCTGTCGACAAACACATATGCATGCCAAACCAGACCCTTCCGTCCTTCCGCCTGGTTTTGGCCAAGGTACTGAAAGGCTCCTGTCGGCGCTGAGCACTCCTCTGATCCACACACACCATCTGACATCGTTGGCACGGCCCGAGGACCTCGAACGAACAGCTACTAGTCTCGTCACCCCCGATCTGGAGGCTGTTCCAATCATCCTCGACGTACGGCGACTCCGCTTGTCCACCGTACAGCTCTTGGGCGATGACGATGTTGCCTCGGAAAGAATCGGCAGCCACGGCTTGGCCGATGCCGCCGTTGTGCTTGATCTGTTCGTTCAGCCGGTTCACGCTTGACCGCGAGATCAGAAGTATCGGACTCTCATTGGAAAGCGCGATCGATTTACCCGGTGCAGTCGCTTGCTTGCCTCGACTGGATCCAGGTACTCGTACTTTCGCCTGTCGGATGGTGCCGTCAGTGGGGAACTTGGCCAGCGTGCATGGCACGCCCAGTGCTTCGGTGAAGAAGCCTGATACTTCTGCCGAAGTATAGACATCGACATCGATATCCTCGCCACAAACGTTCGACGACTTGTTTATGGTGGGTGCGTCGCACGTCTTCTTGAGATGGATACTTGATGTCGGACTTGAGTCCAGACTGACCTCCAATAGCCGAGTACTCGACGACTCCAAGTCGAATGAGAGCCTGAGCACTCTTGTTCGGAGATCGATGGTGGGCCGGATAAGTGCCATTCGTGGAAACCGCTTCTGGCTGAGGGCAACATTGGTCCCTTCATGCACGAGACACCACCCCCGATCCCACGCAAGGCCCATCGGACCTACGTCCCAGGGCACGTCGGCTGGTATTTTGAAGGCTGCGCAGCTCTTGATGGGGAAAACCGACAGACTCTCGACGAAGAAGGATCCGGTTGGTTGACTCGGCAAGGAGTAGGTGGGGATAGATGTTGATAACGGCAGACAAGAGTCGACATAAAACTCGTGTACGAAGCTGACAAGAGTTTCCACATCTTTCAGGTTGCTCATCGGCCCTAGACTCACTCGAATAGCACCTGTCGGCTTGCCTCCGAAGATGTCGTTGTCACCTCCACATCGCTGTCCGGCTGCATAATTCCGCTGCATCTCCTCTGTAGACAATCCGAGATGATACGCCACTCCCCCTGGATTACAGAGACCGCCAGTTCTGAATTGGATGTTCTTGACGATTGCAAGTTTCTCGACTTCAGTATTGCTGACGTAGTTCCCCTGCTTATCTCTCAAATTGAAGGTGATCACGGGCCCTTGGGAGTTATTGAGGGAGAAGTTATCGGTGTAAATGGTGCAGACTTGACTTCCGTTTCCGTGTTTCAAGCTCTGCAGTCGACGTCGCAGGACAGACGCCAGAAAGGTCGTGTGCCTGGAAATGTTGGTCATGGATCCATAAATTCTTCGGTGGGTGTCGAAGGCGACCTGCAGAGCAATGATGTTATGAAAGGGCAATGTTCCGTCCTCCAGACAGCTATGCAACGAAGACTCCTTCTTTGCGTGCCAGGTATCGCCAAACATTGTCACCATGTCGACTGTCCCGCCACCGAAGTACTTCCGCCGCCGTAAGATATGGCCGGATGTTTTGCGCACAATGAGGGCTCCCACATCTGGAAAGCCGAAGATCTTGTAGAAGCTCAGAGCAATGAAGTCAGGAGCAGTGAGGCTGTCCGATAAATCCAGGGGCGCCGTTGACACGAGCGCAGCAGCATCGAGCAGGGTGAAGATAGGGCTGCCTGTTGACGTTCTTGTCTCATTTACTCTTCGACACCATTGCAGAGGGAGTCGCCGGCCTGTCATGTTTGATTGTGCAGGATACGCCAGTAGAGAGACATCTTTATGGTTTACCTTTGCGTCGGGTCCGACCTTGCTCAACCAGTCATCAACTTCCCTGTCGTTGGCTAGACAAGAACTACCCAGGGCAGCAATCTCTCTCAGTCCGACAACGCTGGTATGAGCTTCACCATGATAGTGGTAACGAAAACCATTACCCTGGTCTCGAAGGGCATCGCCTACAAGTTTGATAGCTGCGGTGGCATTGGCCACAAATACCAGATCGAACTCGTCGGGGTCTGCATTGAAGAACCGCAAGGCCTGAAGCCGGATATCGTCGATCCGGCGAGAAGACAGCTGCGACGACGCCGAGGCTGAATGCGGGTTTCCGAACAGATTGCCGGTGAGTTCTCTCGAATATGCCTCGATCAGGCTCTTTGCGTACAGCGTCGTCCCGGCATGGTCGAGATACGTGGTCTCCGCAAGGGCCGGGTACTCTATATCTCGGATATCGTCGAGGTTCACGAAATAGCCGGTATCAGGGTCGATTGTCACCGTGACCGTTCCTGATGAAGTGTTGCCTTGCAAAGCGGCGTGCCGTGCCTCCGTCATGGTGGCCAAACCTCCAAGGTCGGTCGACTTCGACTGCTGGGAAAGGGCGTGGTTGCGACGCCCATTGATCTCCTTGACGAGGTGAAGGGGATGTGCAAGGACTGCCACAGCTCGTTAAATCGAATCTTTTCTAGGAGTGAGTAGAGGAATGAAGAATAGGAAAGAATCCGAATCACGGGCGATGTACGAGTACGATGACGGGCAGGGCGATGAACGGAGGGAGATGCCCGGGATTTCTGGCCGTGGTACAAATCCTGAGCCTCGCGGCCACGGCGACCTCCGATACCTGCAATCGGAGTGCTCTGATTGGTGCGGGATTCCCCTAGTCGATTCTAATGTAACTACGGCGGATACTTTCGCTTGATGGTGCAATAACTTACCGTAGGTCTCTAACCTTGTGTATAAAATCCAATACCTTAGGAGATACCTAACATGGGTTGTAGGTACCTAGATCCTGATGGTTCTCAGATGCTGTTGACTGCAAACGCAGGGCTGTCCTTGAGAAACAGTGCCAAAAGTCTAGGGTTGATGATTCCTGTGCGCCAATTCGCCAGCGTCGATTTGATTAAATTGATTGATCTGAACTGCAATGGATTCTGTCTTTATAGCTAAGGTGTGCTCCGTGGCGAGGAACAAGATGACCCTGCGCGGTGTCACATCTCAGTAATGTATCTGCGCTTGGATCGTACCACTCGGCAGCAGCTCAGCCACCAAGGTACAAGATCTTTCCAACATCGTCATCCAAGTGAGAGAACAAAGATTCGCTGGCGTCGCTAATACATTGGTGATAACGACAAATCAGAACTTGTCGATAGAGGCAAGTCCAATGGCAAGGAGATTCGTTACTTCATTTCCTGTGATCGAGATTTTGGTGTCAATTGCCTCAACAGGCATCGTAGAGTTCGGGGAGAGGCGGTCTCTTGCGTCTCTAGACATAATATCGGCGACGACTGGAGCTTCTCCTCGACCCCGACCGAGAATGACCTCTCCGGCTGCTGTGCCTGGATCTTCTGACTTCCTTCACCACAACCGCCTGTTGATGTCGATGGAGAAACAAAGCCAAGATGAATGTGATGAAGAAGAGAACTGTATTCATGATGCCCAGAGCCCAAGAGGCCTTCAACATAGCACAGTTCTTGTTGATGTTGATCGCCCATTTCGATCCACTGCTTCTTCCATAATATCCAAAGGGACCGAGGTCAACATAAATGGACCCGGTGCTGAAGTTTGAACAATGGGCGTCGCTAATGCCCCGGAGATAGTAGTCAGCTGCAATGAAGGCGCCGACGAAGCAAAGGTCGATGAAAGCCACAAAGAGGGCGGAGCGTCGGGTGGAGCCGAGGCGGATCAGGGTCGCAAGTGCCCATGCGCAGGCGAGGATGGAGACGATGAAAAGGACGAGAATGAAGGACGGGGTGAGTTGATTGTTGTCATCGAACCCATCAACAAACCATGCCTGACACAAGTTAGCAATCGAGAGGAAGTGAAGTCGACGCGAGACGGGATTGTCCTCACCAACATCCCAATGATGGGGATCAACGTCACTATCTCCACGATTCTCCAGAAGGAGAAGAGGAGCCCTCCAAGCATCTTGATGGACGACGGTCACAGCCGAGATAGCTCGAGCGCAGGGCGATTTGCTATCCGTGCTGGTTGCCAACTAGTTCCCGTCTTTGCGATACCGCATTCAATTCAAATGATGATGGCACCAAAGCAGGGGTTACACGGCTCTTGAAAATGACAGACGAGAGACAAGGAACCCCGCGAAACCAAAGGTCGAGAACCGGACCGGGTAGTTGCGGTTTTCAGGAGCTATATATCCTGCAAAATAGGACAGATGCTCTGCAGTGGATTTGCTGAGTATTGCAGGCCGCCGATATGATTGCGCAGTTCATGCTCGAGGAGGTTGGGAGGCTTTAAGGCTTCGGACGCCCTCAGGGCGGACATGTTGATGAGTTGGCCGCACATGGTTGCTAGCGAGACTCGTGCTGGTGAGGTGGCTGGAAAAACAAGGCTAAGGAGGCCATGAAGGCTGGTAAGAATCATGCTAAAAGACAACAGTTTGCCCACTTACAGGCCAATGACATGCCTAGAGGGCATCTCCAGCGGGCATCCTAGGTGCTTCTAGGCATGCCCCCAAGCGAGGAAGTCTCCCTAGCCCACCAAGGACACCTACTACTACTTACTACCAGGTAGTATATTGCTGGCTTGTGCCGTCATCGTACATCACTAACATCTACGATCATTGATAATTGGTTCTCTCCCACTTGGAGGCACCATCCTTGTCTCCTCTTGCAAGGAACCCACAACATACCAGGAATCCGAGCCTTTAGTCTATCATCTTATTTCTCTGATCCTTGCTTCATCTTCAACTTCCACATCTCAAACTTGGACTACTAGTAAGCCCGGGACCATGGCATCAGGGCAACCACATGGTTGATGGATGGTTGCTTCCTTGTTTTCTTGCGCCCAAAGCACCACCTGCAATTTGAAGTAGCTACACGTCCTTCACCTGCAGGGTTGAGATACACCTAGCTGTCTGACACTAGTATTTACGCATGGAATAGTGCCTTCAAGTCTCCGGTGACGGTTCCAATGGCAGATCGCGATCTCGCCGATGGCCTCCTGTCCCCCGCGCAGCGCAGGCTTGCCAATCCTTCCGACCAAGAAGCTCTGGAACTTGATCTGACTCTGTGCCCGGCTCTTCCGCCTCTGTCCACAACGAGTACACGTCAAGGGGAGGGCAGAATAACACGATGGTGGAGGCGATACATTGAAATGGGGGTGCCTCACACCAAGTGCCGTGACCATCTAGGTAAGGATTAAGTCGTGTTGAACACTGCATCGCAGAGTGGCAGCCCCTTTGCTCAGTGTGGATTGTCTATTCACCCTCCCGGTTCTTGTCCCGGTGCTGATGTGAGCCGGCAGCGAATGAAAGAACATACTTAGGTTATCTACGCACCGGTCAGGCATTTGCCATACTGGGTGCAGTCATTGCCCAAGTACTACGTCTTCATCACAGTCTGACTCCGAATCCAGTCATTGGGTTTTTCGTCGTCAGTGTACCTCTTTCTTGCGTGTGCCATGTCACCGCAATCATCATATCTGCCCTTGGAGCTCTCCGATTCCTTCGATACCAGAAGGAGATGGCTCGAGGCTATGCCGTGTCGGGCGGTTGGGAGATCAAATGCGTTGGGATACTCGCTACACTGGTCAGTCACTGGTTCCTGCTTCATATTTCTTACGTTCATCGCTGACTGCTTCGAGATTGTCCTCTGCATGTTTGTGCTCGTTCTCGCCATCACAATCGAGAAAGGTTGACCGCGTATCCTTGATGACCATAGGTGGACTTCATTTCCAGCCCCCTGCTACAGCAGTGGTACGATACTAGATCGCAGTCCCAGCACGGAAGGCCACCCTTGGAATATGCTGTTTACTATGACAGTAGTTCAGAGAGCACAAGAACGCTGTACTATGGCGACCTCCTCGTCCTTGTATCGATAGCCTGTCTTGTCCTATGGCATGACTGCTTCTGGACCTACTGTATCCTCACATGCGGACCAAGCTACGATGATCGATGATCGATGCTCAAGGAGGAGATCCATGGTGGGACTATCAATGCCAAACAGACGACGGCCGGCTGCACATAACCGTCTTTACCTCAACTATTGCTTCGGCTTATCCACTTGTGGTCCATCTATGCAGCCATGGAAATTGGCAGCACCAGAGCGCGGTACTCTCCTTTCAGGTCTGCAGCACGACAAGTGGACTTCACCTTCGTCACCACCACGCTGATCGCCAACAGAGCATGGGCGGACCATAAAATATCCGCTAGCTTGCACTCAGGGGCGACAGCAGTGCCGGGTGGTCATGATGAGTTGGTTCTTCGCATCCTGTCTCGAGGAGGAACGAAACTAATAAACGCTACAGGCCTACTTTATTCTGAATTTCTGGAGGCGAGAAAGTGAGGTCGCTCCGGATGCACCTGATCACATTCCAGCAACTCTCTTCGGAAGCTACAGTTGCACCATGATTGTGCTCCCTGCATGGCCATACATCTGAGGACCCTCCTCTGCGTGCCTCAGTTAGCCTTGTTGTCGGGAAATGCAAATTACCTACGCCAGTGCTGGCTTCATAGCGGCGGATGAGGCGGATTTTATGTGGGATGCGCTCAGCTCACCCAGCTGCGACCCACGGAACATGCAATATTATTGCCTGCAGCCAGAAGTTGGCCTGCCTCCGTCACTCAGGCCGGATTTCGCACGTGTGATGTCGAGGACTCCGTGCCAGCATCTCAAGCCTCATCCAATGATACCTCCAACAGCAACCGCCGGGCCATTCGCAGACCTTGTCACGTGACATGCCTAACTCCCTTCCACTCGGCCCCCATTTCCACTTTCCATCTCGGCTGGGCTTCACTCGTACGTACAGATGCCGGCCCATTCATTTTTCGAGACTTTCACATCACGAAGATGGAGAAGCGTGCCATGATGGTGTCTGTTCGGCTTGCCTCGAGGAGGCCGGTCCTCCCAAGCAGGGCCAGTCTTCTATCCGACACCGCGCCGTGTTGCCGAGCATGGCACTGTTGCATTTCACACATTTCCCAATGCTTCGATTTGTCCCTGTGGGTCTGATCGGGAGATTCTGCCTCGTCGACATGTCGGCCGCACCAGACGACCACCCTATCCAAACTGGAGGACCTTGAGGTGTTTATATCTTATGGCTCGGCCCGCTGTGAGCGTGATGAAGGGTGATCCGACCTTGGTTTATAGAGCCTCCGGCGTTCGTTACTGGTACTTGCTGACCGAAGGAGATGTCAACACCTACAGAGCAGTTTTCAAGGTTAAACTTGCCAGAAGACATGCGTTTTCAATCCACTACACTGGAACAAAGGAAACACCATGTTCGGGACATCATCTCTTCGTTCGACCGCATGACCTTGCCGTTGGAGTTCAGAGCCGATGTTTTTGCAAGGATAGATGAGGAACAAGCTGGGAGGTCCCAGTCCGAATGGACGCGTCAAGGAGACTTGACAGGCACGGCGATGCAATGGGGCTCCCATGATCCTGCATCCTGGGAGACTCTGAATCGATGGCAGCCGCCAAGTCCACGTGCCAAACTCTTTGCAGAGAAGTTGCGCAGATTGTTCGACGACCAATTCAAGAAATATGACGATCTCGGCAGTGTTCAGGCCCAGATAACGACAGCGGGGTCGAGGACCTCGTTTGATCAAATCTGCGATAGGTTTCATAAGCTGACTCAAGCCACCGTCGTCGATTTGAGGTTCAGGACGGAAGGCCATGCACATACGGCCGACGTTCTGTTGGACGTACTTGCGAGAGTGTGCAGAAGCCAAGATGATATCTCCGAGGTGCGTCGGAGCCCGCGCAGCCCTACGGCCAGCGCAACTCGGGCTCTGCCACAGACAAGTCTCTATCATGTGTTGATACATGAACCGGCTCTTGGAACTACAGATTTTATGCTGGAGGCGTTGGAAACGCTCAACGAGGTGTCACCGAGAACGCTGGCCGCCAGAAGCATGAGGCAGAGACTGCAGACCATCGACGCTCTGCTTAGGGTCAGGCACGCGCCGTTCAGTTACCAAACTAGGCTGAGGGAGGTCATCAACAACTGATGGCTCGAACGAGCCGGCAGTTATCCGCATAGGGTGCGAACTGGCCCGAAGCCGACCAGGACGGCGCCGTCGACAGCGGTTGGGATGGCACCGCGTGACGAGACGGCGTGCAGCAGAATACCCAGAAACAAGTCCTGAAGACGATGCAAACCGGGGGTATTGGATCTCTAAGGGGCCTTCTTCCCACCACCGGGGTAGCGCTCAAGTCGTGTCTGGATGTCAGTATTCTAGCAGCTTAAGGGTCTTCTTATTGAGCGTGATCACCGCTGGAGGCCGAGTAGATTGGGACTCGGGTGGAACGTCTTGTTGATGTTTGCTGCTTCCTGTCTGTTCCTCATAGCCATCATGACGATTTCGACCTTCCAGTACTTAAGCGGAGGATTATATACCTACCTAATACTACTTGAGGGGATAGACAAGGCACTGCCCGTATATATATATCTTGCACGTGATCCAATCCAATGCCTCCTCGTTGTATCGGCGCTGATATGGCGGCCGCGGGGTAAAAGTGCGACTGCACACTTGCATCCCGCAAACTCCAAACTTCCCCAAACCAATTTCAACCCCAGGTCCATTTCTCCAGTCATGGACCGAGGCAACCACTCGATGCAGCCTCCGTCCTCCTTATCCACGGCAGCACAAACACCCGTTCCAGCGGTGAACGGGTCAGCTAACCTCCTCCTTCTTCCAGGAAAGCGTGGATCCTGTAAGCAGCCTCGACGAGATGGTATCAGTGTCCCGCGGCGCACTCGAAAAGGATTGGGCGGTCCTCCCCCGCTGCCATTGAAAGTGAAGACACCCGTGGGCAGGGAAGTAAGATATCCGAGGACAATGATGGTTGCATCCCATCCCCTTACCCCTCTCAGGCCCCGTCTGGACAGATCTTCGTAGTCCTGGGCTTTAAAACTGGGAGCCGCAGTCTGACTGTTTCGATCTCCAGCATCTGCTGTCCATCGCACAGAACCGCTGCTAGAGACTCTTTCTAAACGTGTTTCCCCTGCTCCTCACCTTGTCTGTTTTCTGCTTGACCAACTCTCCTTGAGCTTTTGTCGACTGTGTCCTATTTCCTTGCCTTCTCACTTTCATCAAAATGGCATCGGTCGAGGTACCCGCCCGTCACAAGGCCATTGTATACGACAACCCGGGAACTGTTTCGGCAAAGATTGAGGAGATTGACACTCCCAAACCTGGAGTTGGCGAGGTTCTGCTCAACATAACACACTCTGGAGGTAGGGGCGTGGTGTTCCGCATTCAAAGCCACGGCTGAACCGTGATGCTAACGACGAACAGTATGCCATTCGGACTATGGAGTCATGACTAATGCGTGGTCAACTCTCCCTTTCCCTACCCAAAAAGGCCAGGTTGGCGGCCATGAAGGAGTCGGCAAAATCGTTGCTCTGGGATCCGGCACCGAGGGCTCTGGACTCAAGATCGGTGACCGGGTCGGAATCAAGTGGGTGGCGGGCGTCTGCGGGAATTGTATTCCATGCTTGGACGGTGCCGATGCCAACTGCACCTCTGTCAAGATATCGGGATACTACACGCCTGGAACATTCCAACAGTATGCCCTCGCCCCGGCCAACTACGTTACACCAGTCCCCGACAGCCTTCCCAGTGACATTGCCGCGCCGATGATGTGTGGCGGGGTGACTGTCTTCAGTGCTCTCAGCAAGAGCGGCGCCAAACCGGGCGACTGGGTGGTCATTCCGGGGTCTGGAGGTGGGTTGGGCCATCTCGCTCTTCAGATCGGGGCCAGAGGCATGGGCTTTCGCATGATCGGGATAGATATGGGGGAGAAAGAACAGCTATCCAGAGATTGTGGAGCTGAGGTGTTCCTGGACCTGTCAAATTACAGCCGGGACGACGACGGCACCAACAAATTAGTTGAGGATGTGAAGGCAGCAACAGGAGGCTTCGGTGCAGCTGCGGTGGTGATCTGCACGGCCAGCAACGCTGCGTATGCTCAAGGGTTGAAGTTCCTGAGGTTCAGAGGAACGTTGGTGTGTGTGGGTGTCCCTGAAGGCGATCCAGTGCCCATCGCCACGGCCAATCCGGGAGTGATTTTGACCCATGAACTGCGCATCGTCGGCAGCGCCGTTGGAAACAGAAAGGACGCCATTGATACATTGGCCATGGCTGCCCGGTATGCAGACACACCCCTAATCACGCCTCAGCAATGCTAACATGTCCCAGGGGTATTGTGAAGACACACGTTGAGATCCAACCCATGAGTAAGCTCATCGAGGTTTTCGAGAGAATGGAAAAGGGCAAACTACAGGGCAGAGTTGTTCTTGACCTCAGTGGATAAATGTAGAAGAGAATGAATTTACATCTATATACATTCCACAAGAGAGCATACCTGTCCTCGAGGAGGGTTGTTCTATATTGTGCTACTAGTATATCAAGGGGCCTGCTTACAGATGGTTTGAAGGCCAGCGGTGGTGGCTTGTGACGAGGCTGGGCGCGACAAGGCTGACAGGCCAAGGAGAACTCTCTCCCCGCGTGGGGGCCAGGAAGGCGACAGTACTAGCATCTGCTCCGTTCCCTGCGCCTGCGTGATGACTTACTTGTTCTGTCCACTTCTGTGCCGGTGGGCGGCGGCGGCACCAGGACTCAACGTATCTCTATACCTATCGATAGTCGAGTATGTCGGCGGTACTATCGCTGTCGCCGTCGCTATCGCTGTTGCAGGCGTGGTACAACCCATGTGTCCCGTTGTAACTCAACACCATGGATCCGTACAACCAACCATACAACTTTCCGCCGCAGCAGACACCAGGACCACCGCAACCTCCTTGGAAAGCGCCTCCTCGCAGGTCAGGTTGGGCAGATCCCAGATTCGCACAGCATCAACCGCAATCGCCTGTGTCTCCATATAACACGAACCCGAATGTTTACGGACCACCTCTTCCACCTCCACCTCCGCCTCCGCCGCATACCCAGCCTCCGGCTCAACAGCCGCCGCCGCAGTTCGATACATCGGCATGGGGTGTCCGGTATAATCACGGCGTAGCTCAGCACTATGACTCGAGACCTCCTCTTCCTCCACGTCCGCCGAGTGCTGCCGGCCAGATCAGTCCCCAGTTCGACCATGCTGCCGCTGCCGCGAACTACTCTTCACAAGCACCACCGAACACTGGCAATCACCACGGACCACCGCCAGCGCAACACTTCCCTGTCACATGGAACGGCCCCTACCCTTCGACTCAACCTCCACCGCCCTCGACCTTCCATGCGCCGCCGCCTCCGCCGCCTCGTCCGCCAGAATACCAAGCGCAGATAGAAGCTCAACACCAACATCAACAAAATCGAGTCAATACTCCACACCAGGAATACTCACACCGGCCTACTTCACATCACTACGATGCCCCACTGCAGAATGTGTGGGCTACACATCATTTCCCACCTACGAGCCAGGCATATCACCCCACAGCGCCAGCTCCGCAGCAGATTTCTGCAACAGTGGACCGCCCGTTGGTGTCACCAGTAGATTCGAGCAGTGGACCTTGGGCCGGACATGGACATTCGTCTACGGGACAGACCACGAACAATCAACAAGACGGACAGAGGACGGATGGACAGCCAGGACATGCTCAGGGCGTCAACTTCGGCGGACCGTCGGACTGGGAGCATTACGACCCAAGCAGACCCTCGGACGATGTGCCAACCAGCCCGCCAGCACATCCCGCCGAGCGTTTTCACCATGCGCAAGGTCCTTCTTCGCCGAGTCAGCCCAGTACTATACACGAACCACGGTCGACTGGCCAGGGTCCGCCAACAACCTTTGAAATTGGTGCTCCTAGTCCTGCATCACCCCACCGGAGGTCGTCACTACATGGTCGTTATCCATCCAGCCCTCCGGCGGAAACGTCGCAATTGCATCGCAAAGGCATATCATCTTCTTCCGGCGAGATCAGTGGCGAGATTTCTGCTGATGGAGGCGGGACACAAGATGGCGTGAGCCAGCCCTCGGACGCCCCTGCACGGACACCACCGGTTACGCAACGAGGCGATCAGCCCGAATCGCGTGCCTCTGCTCCTGCTGTGTCGCCCGAAACGCAGAGAAGCGTGCAAGTCGTGGATCCGTATGCCGACATGGAACCAGAGTTCAAGGCGTCACTGAACAGATACGCCGCAATGCTGAGAAAGGAATCGGCGGCGGAGACGGATGAGGAGAAATTCAAGATCTTCCAGGCGTTCATTCAGAAAGAGCTCCGGTTGAGAAGCCTACTTTATGGGGTCGGGGTCGAGTTGAACCAGGCCCCAAAGGAGGTCAACAAGGCTGCTAGCCTGGCAGACATCCTGGCAGACATCCAGGCGGTCCTGCCCAGTGCCATCGATGTTGCACCCATGGACAACTCAGCTGGGGCATCCTCTGATTCTGACGCTCACAAGACGATGGAGCCGACGGCTACGACAAATCCCAAGGAGCTTCCGCCGCCTCTGAGCACGACGGACGAAGCACCCGCGCAGCTTGCCGCAATCCTGACCGACGGGTCAGCAGGGCAGCCAAAGCCCGAGCTGTCCGAGCCTAGTCGCGCCGAACCTCCTGCTCAGAAACCATCGATTGGCGTAGACGTGGCCCTGGCCTCCCAGTCAAAGAATGAACGCCCAGGCGAGGTCAACACCAACAATGATGATGCCGAAGATGATGAAGTCTACAGTCCAGGGGGTCGTCCGAGAATCAGAAGAGTCCCTCCAGTCACCACAGCGAAGCCCCGGTCTTCTCCGACAACTGCTACCTCTGATCAAGGCCGTCCAAACTCCCCGGAATCTATGCCGTCTCCCAGCGCTGATGCGCCCATGGTTATCGAGGATTATGCTACAGGACATCCACCCTCTCCAGGCATGAACGCCCCGATCCTTGTGGTCCCCGAGCCCGCCGGAGCTGCTTCGAGTCAACAGGCGCAACAGCAGAGACCGGCTGCACCCATCAAATTCGAGCCATCCAGGCCTGCCTACACGCCTTTCCGTTACAGCGCGGCCGTCCAGGATGCGAAGCCGAAGTCCCTGCAGCCTGCAGACCAAGCGTACTCCTCACTACGGCACTCGGTAGCTGACTCCGGTCGGTTGATGGCACAGGAACCACTGTTCACTCCGACAAGGCCGCCCTCGGCCACTGCAAGAAAAGAGCATGAGGAAGCATTTATTGGCTTGATCAGGAATCAGAGCATGGCAGTGAGACAGGGTACGCCGGGGGCAAAAGATCCTTTCGGGCCAGGCGAAGCCGCCGTAAAGCCGGAACCGCCCCTGGCCATAAGAGTCGGGACACCAACCAATGCGCCGGTCGTGGAGCCGGTCAAACAGGCAATCACAGCTCTGCGATCTCTGCTACCTAGCGACCCGTCCTTGCACGCTGTCGATCATCCCAGCCTGAAGACCATCAAGCGCAAAATGGACGCGATTCCGGACGAGTTCGGGTTCATCCATCAGGCCGTGGTCGAATGGGACCGGACAAACCGAGAAGTTCGAAAGCAGCAGGATGCCGAATGTCGTAGTCGCCAGGAGGAGTCGGAGGCACATATCGACGCCCTGTTCAATGACAACGAGATCGGGTATGCAGACATCGCAGATCTCGAGGCCGAGTTTAAACTCTCGGAAGCAGAAAGACGATACCATGAAAACAAGGAAGAGTTGGAATCTTTTACTGCACAGGTCTTCGCTCCGGTCACAGAAAGATTGGAGAAAGAGATTGCAGAGTTGACGACGACTTACACGCTAGCCATGGACCTTCTGGACCTGGAAAGTGCGTCAGCGAGCCAATACTTCTGGCGCAAGAAAGAAAAGCTTCTGATGTCCGAGGTGATGTGTGATCTGCTGGCCCTCTTCAATAAGATTGAACTTCGGCATCGAAAGGTCGCCGAGGCTCATGTAGAGCGAGAAAGACGGCGCAAACATCTGGAAATGACGGTGCTCTACACGAATGGCGACGCCGCTGGTGTGAAGCAGTTGGAAAAGGATTTCGCGACGGCCGAGAAAATGCAAGTCCTGCATGAAGCCCGCGAAAAGGATACCATAGCCAACAGGCTGATGGACGCCTTCGACAGAGCCATTGTCCGTGGACTGGGTGACAACCAGACGTTCATTGATGGCATTCTTACCAGATTACAGGACCTCAGGAAAACGATTCCGCCAGCGGGTCCCTCTGGCAGAGACCCACATAGGGAGACGGACGCAGCCAGAGACACGTTGTCGTTGGCCCAAAGCGTGGTGGAGACGGTGATGGCCGATTCGCGCAAGATTCTCGCCTTGTCGAACGAGGCGGAAGGCCTTCTGAACGACGCCGACTACGCGGTATCGGTGGCGGACGCTCGAGTAGCCAATGCGGACAAAGTGACCTACAGTAATCTCGAAAGTGAGAAAGCCAAAGAAGATGCCAAGCTGAGAGAGGAGATGCATAGCCGAATCAGCAGTGTGACCAAGGCCCCGGCGGAGGCAGTCACCTTGATCCAGGAACTCCTCGATCGGATCGGACACGATCCCGACCATCAAGAGAGAATGCGGAAGGCTCTTGAAGCGGCAAAGCAGCGGAACGCTTCGACGGTCCCAGGATCGCCGTAGTCCAATACTGCAGAGGGGTCTGTCAAAGTGCCCTTGTCTGGGGTGCACGAAAGTATATCGATTTCCGAATGACACATCGGGGCATTGCCGGTTCCGCTATGATGTTGACATGCATCGCCTTCGAGGCTTCTTCGTTGGGGCAGAATCCGGTGGCGGCAGGGGTGGTTTTGGTCGGGGAGGGGCAGGCCAGGTTGAAGGTATTCGACCGACCAAGATTACCTATTCCACCACCGTAGTGAGGATCTGAAGCCTTGTCTCCTTGGGGCAGTAATGGTGTGCGGCCATATTGGCGGGCTTGAGTTTGGAGCCCTACCACTGAACCTTAATTCACTGACTCGGTGGACATCTCGCCTCCATCGAGAGAACCACGGCAGTTTCCATAGACTTTGGATAGATCCTGGACAGTGGCAGGCCAGCAGCTTGTGTGGAGACCTTGGCGTAATCAAGCCACAGCAATCTGAACAAGGTGCATCCCAGCCGCACCATCCGGGACATGCCCTGTTGGCGAGTGCCTGAAACCCTCCGTCATAGAGCAGCGGAAACGTTAACATCGCATGAAATCTGGGACCAGGATAACCACGCCCCATCTCGAAGACGTGGGTGGGTGCGCAATTGAACAACCACCGAGGAACATTGTTGGAGGCAATCCTGTGTATAGTGTACGCATGTCTTGCACTCGGGGAGGATGTCTCAGCCATTCATTATTCAGCCGCACCAAGCGTGACTCTCGGTGTACCTAATTCAGGTCGGTGGCCTCGCATTCCCATCTCTTTCGGCCAGGCCAACCATGAGCAAACAACAGCCCCGACGGAGGGTAGGGCGTATCCTGTACTCTGTCCTGTGGAACCTGAGCAGACGCGGGTTTGGATGTCGAATTGGAATCGCTTCGGCAGCTAAGAGGGGCGCTGCCGGCCAGGAGAAGGAACAGAGCAGATCGAGAGATCTGTGAGACCTGCGAAGGTGAGCAGACGTTGATTGGAGAAGGCAGCTTCAGCCACATTGCCACAATAACCGGGGCGTTGAAGAAATTCAACGGCGGCCGTCATATTTCTGGAGGAGACCTTTGAGGCTGGGAGCTCGGGGCAACAAAGCGTTCCAAGAATATGAATGGATCGATACTCGAGAAGGTGGAGAGACAATATCCGACCTTACAACCGCAGTCAACGCCACAGAGGCAACCAAGGAATCGGCCATGGCCCAAAGAGGACGACTCGAGACCGAATCAGGCGAATGGCGCGCTCAGTAATGGAGCGGGAAAAGTTCGACGTGGAGATGCGAGCCCACAATTGTTCCCGTTGGCGGTGTCGTTGGCCGCCGTTAATCTGAAATCAAGTCTACCTCTGTATACACTCTGTAGTGTTGAGGCTGAGGAAGAATGACGGATGAAAAGGATAAGAATGATTGGTGAAGATGGGACGGGAAGAAACACCGGTCAGGACAAGCCTGAGGTTGCCAGCCACCGATGAAAGACTGTAACATGGTGCTAACCAAGGCACAGTCCTACATAAGGTACAGGCAGGACCTACTACCTTGTTAGGTGTCGTAGCAGACTGTGACGAAAAGAGCATAGGTAAGGTACGAGAATTAACCTCTCCCGTCCTGATGGCGGCGGAGGTATCTAGGCATCTCAGGCATAGCTGTCGGCAGATTAAGGCTGTATCAATCCGCAATACCTCATGCCAATAATGGTGCGGTACATTGGCGACGACACATGATACAGCAAGCCATAAGCCGTCCGTTGACTGGCAGATAGAGACGTAGCAATATAGAAAGGGACCGAAGTCAGTCAGTCTTGTACCACCGAGACCAGAGATAGAGGATGTTAATCTTATGGGCACTTCCAGGCGCCTGCCCTCCCTAGGAGAAGTACCTTAGGCATCTCAGGCACCTAGGATACTCTCTACTCACGGCTAGTAAATCATCCGCAGCACTGCCACAATCTGCTCCATCCCTCGATCACCACCCACCACCGCCAGTTCACCACCTCCAATCACTCCCACCCGCGTCACCGCTGACCAGGAACACACACCACCCCGGACACTACTTTGAGCACCATCGTCGTCATCCACCCATCCTCATCATCGCCAACTTGAACATTGTGCCATCTCCAGTCTCCCGTACTCCCTCTCGATGAGTGAGGTGTCGTTACAGACCTGTCATCACTCAGTGAAGCTCTACTCCTCACATCCTACTTCTACGACGCCTACTGTCAGCTGCGCTGGCCAAAACGACCAACGACCAACAAACGAAAGATCCCTGGGGTCTGTGGACCACAATACCTTGCAAGCACTAGTGATCCTCGCAGAAGTGGCTCAAAGAAGTGGCTCACAGTGGCTCGACATCAGCCGGCGCCACCTGGGTTCAAGCTGGCTCCATTGAGGAGCCTAGGGAGCCCTGAGCAGATTGTCACTGAGCCGGTCATTTCGTCGCCTCCCTCACTCTTGTTTCTGGCAGCGCCTCGGGGTCTAAAACAAACAGATGCCTGCGCCTCTCGGTTTTGCTTCCCCTCGTCCAATCCACTTGCCTCACGACTCGATCAACTGCACGGCCGAACTGTGTTTGTCCTGGGGCCATAGTCCATTCGCTGCAAGCCATAGGCTACATCTCAAAAGAGGAGGAGAAAGAACAAGAACTGACGCCTCACACAACACTGCAGAAGCTCTGACGGGACGTCCACTCGACGGATCAGCCCTCGTCGTCACCCGTCAACCGTCACCACCAACCTGGTTCAACTCAAAATCCATCCATTCCAGTCTCTCCATCTTCCCACCATTCTTCACCTTGAAAAGCGGCTTCAGCCTTTCATTATTCCACTAAAAGCCCAAGCGGCCATCGATCTTGTAGCTATCGACCTCGATTCGACTCGCCGCCAGTCAAAACCTGCTCCTCCGCTAGTCAATCTTCGCTACTACAACGAACAGCCCCAAATCCTTTGGCCGCCTTGTAAATCGGCGTCATTTCAACTCGACTGCCCCGTCTATTCGTCGTTCCTCGGATCAGCCACTTAACCCGACTCGCTTCAGCCCGACTAATCGCTGGCTGGCTGGCTGGCTGCTGGCCAGGTTCTGCTTCAACCTGCTCTCATCGCTACCATTCTCTTTCCTTGTCTTCAACATTCCCAACTGCTCATCCTTCTTTGCGACCAGTACGAAGATCGTTGTGCATGGGCAACGTCTTCCAATCGTCACCTCCCGCATACGTTGTTTGCGCCTCTTTCGATTTTCTCCGCCACCTACTCCCCTCATCGTCATCGCTGCCCTGCCCAGGGCTTCGAGTATTCAACCCTTCGCTTCCTTCTACCAGCGCCGTACCACTGTCCCCTCGTTTCGTGCGCAGCCAAACACATCCTAAAGTCGACCTAGGCCGACAGCATATCAACCAAAAGCTTTTACCTCCGGTCGCTACTGCGGTTCCGCGCCGAGGATCGATTGAAATTCGACCTTCGAACCGTGTCGCGCAGCCGGCGCTGCGTCATACTATGCGAGGCTGCGTCGCCCTCCACCTCATCAAGAGATAGGAAATACATCGCGTTTCCACGGTGTTGCGCGTGGCGAAAAATCTACGGCTTAGAACGGCCAGTGCGCGGCGCATCGCGGCAACATTGAAGATTCGTACGGACTTGGGTATTGGTTTTGACCTGAGCTTTGCCACTTCGACGTATGTTCACCAAACAAGGTAGGTCCTTTCCTAGAGCCTGTGGTTCGAGCTTCTCCCCATAACAATGGTTGCACAATTCACTTTGTTTGCCGCTGGTGCCGATTCTTTGGCGTCCTGTTGGCCTTGACGCGGAAGATGCGACTTCGGCGACATCCTGCGTTTGAGAAGCACATTCGCTGATGAGAAACGATACAGGTTCAGGGACTGATCACGGTAGCCCAAGTCGTTTATGGCTGAGCCGAACATCCAACCCCATAGAACCCCGGGGAACTCAGCTGCCGCCTCTCCCACATTTGTGAAGCCCACGAGTCCCGTTCGAAGCATTTCCAGGGCCAAGGCTAGCGTGACGGACGACTTCGAATCATCCTCGAGACCCGAGAAGAGGCCCAGGCTTGATGCCCCGTCGATGACAGCTGCTGTCGCTTTTGCAGAAGAACGAGCAAAATCGGCGGAAGTTTCCACCCCGTCCACAGGAACAAGCCCCAACCCGCATCAACAAGCCCTTCAAGCTCTGATGGGCGCAAATCAGAATGCGATGAGCAAGGCTCCACAGCCAGACACGTCGCTGGCGGATCCGGCAACCACGGTCAGCGAACCGTTGGCTGTGGTGGCCGAAACCATTCAACAACCTTCTGAGAATGCCACCGAAGGTGTCAGCGGCGACAGTCATGCAGCTCAGACAAGCCCCACGAGCCTCTCTAGTGTCGGCACGTTCGAAAGTATGGCAGCTGCTACCGGCATGACCACGACAGTGGGGAGTCCTTTGGCCATTGAGGAAACCGGTCGTCAGGTCGTGAGCGCCGCTGAAGCGGGCTCTACCTCCCCCAGTGAAGGGCCAAAGGCCTTCTCTTATCCCACACCTTTGTTGCAAGCTCAAGTAAACGAAGGCTCTAGACGAGGAATGAGCTTGCCTCAGTCTGGTACACGACAAGGTACAAGATCTCCTTCCAACAAAAAGCACAGATGCCCTTATTGTGCCACCGAGTTCACTCGTCATCACAATTTGAAGAGTCACCTGTTAACGCATAGCCAAGAGAAACCCTACCTTTGTTCCACATGTCAGTCTAGGTTCCGCCGACTACATGATCTCAAGCGCCATACCAAGTTGCATACGGGTGAAAGACCCCACATTTGTCCGAAATGCGGGCGGAAATTCGCACGCGGCGATGCCTTGGCCCGTCACAACAAAGGTCCTGGCGGATGTGCTGGACGCCGATCCAGCATGGGCAGTTTTGCTGGTGACGAGGACGCCGAGGGGGACGAGTCCATGGAGGGAGTAATGTACAACGAACCTGATCCCATGGAGGACGAAGAAGGCAATGACAGAAGACCCGGGATCCGCCGTCAAGCTCCCTCGGGGGACGATACACCAGATGACACCGATCGCGCATCGCGCATTCCAAGCACATATCCACCCATCCAAGGGCGTCCGCCTGGCGGGATTGCAAGTGGATTCTTCCCTCCCCGAGCCGGCTATAGTCCAGCCACTTCTTCCGCTGGCAACGTGGCTGCTGTTCCCTCCGCCGCGCCGTTACCATTTCCCCAAATGTCGGCTTCGTCGCCCGGTTCTCGACCCTCCGGGCCCGGAAACACGGTCTTTGCTCAAAATCCCTTGACTGAAAGCCCCAAGCCACTTTCACCTGGTCAGGCGCAAAGAAATCCGGGACCTGGGCTGGCCGAAGGGAGCTTGAACCGAAACCGATCTCCCAGTTTGACACAGTATCAGCAAGCATCGTACAGTCGAACGAGTGGGACGGGGTCATCTTTAAGTTTGGCTGGAGCGCCTCAATTGCCGCCACCGAATGTGTTGAACCCACCCGATGCAAGATACACTCTACCCAGTCAGGGCGGTCCCGCTCATCCTCCGACTCAACCCAGTGGACCACCGACACACATGAGTGGAAGTGGTCCATTATCATCTCACAGTAATAGTTTATCTAGTCATGGACACTCGGCTCATGGCAGCGGAGAAGCATCCAACCCCATGTTTACCAACAAGGATGATCGGATATGGGCCTACGTCACAACACTGGAACAACGATTGAATGGCATGCAAGATGAGATCAATTCTCTAAAACACCAACTGGCCACAGCCACATCAGCATTACACCAGCAACCGCCTCATCGGATGTAAAGAATCCTAGGATAGCCCTCGAATTTGTTTAGCAACAACGACGCAGCACGAAATCCATGGACAAGCAAACATGACCGCGGACGACCGGAGGCTTCTTCGTCCGGATTCCAAAGGCGGCAAAGAGTTCGGCGCATTACCGAAAAGCATTGATCACGGCTATACTGATGGGTTTGATCGGAGTCTTGCATTTACGATACCCCCTTTGAGTTGCATCTCAACACTTTTCCAGCAGTGTGCCAAAGGACTGGGCATTTCCCAGCCAGGGGTTTTGGTGTTTTCCAAGGGGTGAATGGTGGGTCAGACGGGTTTACCAATGAAGAGTCAGTGGCGTCGCGACGGACACCAGATCTCAATCCCACAGGTTGAGGTTGAGGTTGAGGTAGAGAAAGGTAATCGGGGAAGTCAGGATGAGAGAGGACACATGTACCTGACTTGTGTGTGGAGCGGACGATCAGTTGATGGTCGATTAAGACTCGACATGTGTATATGTACTATTATGTCATTGTGAACAGCGCCAGCGAAGGAGCCGAAGAAAAGATTGAGACTATCAGCCAAATTCCCAGTGTGATGAAGTCTGCAAATTGAAGGGGTTGACCATATCCATGGGGACCGGTCCTACGTCCTACAGTCACAGCAAGTTGTAACATGAGTATTTTGCCGAAGAGACACAATCACATGAATGATGAGATTTCCAGATTCGTTCGACATGTTCGGAAGTCTATCAACTGATATTTAGTAGAGCTGTTCTGACCGATGGAGCCCTATTCGCACGGCCGACAGCTATATATGGCCCCCTCTTCTCTACCTAGCTATGCATGTTTCGTGAGTGTCACTGATGCTCCGGACCGTCTTCGCGAAATGCGAGAGAGAGAGAGAGAGAGAGAGAGAGAGAGAGAGAGAGAGAGAGAGAGAGAGAGGAAGAGAGATATGACAGCCCAGAGCACAATCTCTAACTGTTCAAATGATGGTATGTAATTTGTTTCCTTTCGTCGTCGCCGTCGTCGTCGTTGTCGTCTTCTGCTCCTGGAGCTCCTGGATATGTATGTCTACTTTTCATCCTCTTCGTCGCGTCGTCATCTCGTCAGAAGGCGGCCCATGACTCGTTGCAAACATAGCCTTGCTTTCCTTCTTACTTGGGCGCCACATATCCATCGACATCGGTGCTGTTGCTGAGGGTTTCAAATTTCTTGTAGTTCTGCTCATACTGGTCCAGCTTGTTCATGATGGCCGCGTAGGCGTCGGTGCCGATGACGACGCGCAGCGGTGGGTTTGGCATCACCGCCAGCTCGTACATGGCGCGGGCGCCCTTGACCGGGTTACCTGCTTGGTTGCCATGGCGTTGGGTCATGCGTTCGCGGGCGTCGAGGTCTGTAAAAGACGGGAAAAAAAGAGAGAGAATGGTTAGTTGGATGGTCTGACAGCCTGATTGCACACGAGAGAGTTTTGTTTGGGTTGTTTCAAATTTCAAGGGATTGAGAACAGCGCCAGGGGGAGAGGAGAGACATTTCCCTATCTCGTGAAATAAAGTGTTTGGTATGGAGGACAACAGGGGAGAGAGGTGTTGGAGAGAGGAGGTATTGGAATAGTCTCAAAGGACAAGGACATGTGGAAAGTATGAGACAAAACTTACGGTCATATTTGGGATTGTGGTCGGCGAAAACCATGCTGCGGCCCGCCCAGTCGGTTCTGCAGAGCAGCCATGTTAGCAAGATGCCAGCGACAGGAGTAGGAGATAAGTATGGAAGGATGGAAGGATAGCAGGGAGCAAAGCCACGCAGAGGCTAGAGTTGAGGCATGGCAGACAAGTGACCTCTCCCTCCTCGAAGCTGGCTCTTGGGGGATGATGACAATGACAATGGAGATTGAAGATGTCGAGGGATGACGCGTATGTATGTCGGTGATCCCAGATATCGCCTCATATCGCCGTCGGTGTTGGACGTCGCTTAGCCACACCACACCGCACCGCACCATGGCCAAGGCAGAATCCATGAAAGAGGAAACAGACACCAGCACAAGCAGACACGTACCTGAACCCGCCGGGCTCAATGAGAGTGAACTTGATGCCCCATTCGGGCTTCAACTCATGGGTGACGGCCTCAGTGAAGCCCTCGACGGCCCATTTACTAGCGCAATAGATACTGAACAGCGGCACGCCCCTCTGGCCTCCGATGCTGGTGACCTGCTGGATCAGACCACCCTGGGGACTCTGGCGGTCGCGCATCACCTGCATGGCGACGCGGGTGACGTCGACCAGGCCGAAGAAGTTGATCTCCATCTGCTGCCGGATCTGGTCGTCGGTGTATTCCTCGAAACAGCCGGCGAGGCCGTAGCCGGCGTTGTTGACGACGACGTCGACGCGGCCGAACTTGGCCAGCGCCGCGTCAAAGGCGGCGGCGATGCTCGTCTTGTCCGTCACGTCGAGGCGCGTGGCGAGGTGGTTGCTGTCGTCGGCGCCTTTGAAGGAGAGCTTCGTCGGGTCTCGCGCCGTCGCGACCAGATACTCGCCTCGGTCTAGGACTTCTTGCCCGTAGTAGTGTCCGAAGCCGGTCGAGGTGCCGGTGATGAGAAAGACACGAGGCATGATTTGTTGGCTGTTATAGATATTCAATGATTCGATCGTTCGAGGAGGAAGACAATTCGATGGTCTTTCTGTTGTGCTGGTTAGTCAGGTAGTCGTCGGTAAGTGGGAGGTACCAAGATGGTATCAATCGATTGAGTCGACACGAGTTGGAATGGACTCGGATGTGGTAAATACAGAATACAACTATTGACAGGATGTATATGTATCGATGATGTAGATATCCGTCTATCTTCCTGTCCGTTGTGTTCAGGGGTCTATCAGATCGACACCATTAGTATAATCCCCGGAAGTCGGACTTCAGTCCGTCGTTGACATTGGCATATCTGGCTCCTCGTATCAACTCATAGCCACCGTCGATGGTATTTACCTAGGTAGGTAGATAAGTATCTTGTTCTTTCGAACCCCACTCACACGAAGCTAGAGGATTGACAGAGTAAATCCTGGAGGACTCATCCTCATCCATCGAACCTTGCGGCCGTCTTCCGATCTTGCCGTCTTACTTGCATTGACTCGATCCACAGACAGGTAAGAGAGAATATCCCATTCCATTTGATATCCAGCTCCAACTATACCCTACCTCAGGTCTATCGGGTCAGACCCTTGCAGAATCCGCTGCATGTCCTTGACTGACTGCCATCAGAAGTCGTGCCGTTCCATCGAGCTACTGCCATACTAGCTACCAGGTACACACGCTTCTGCCCATTGAGGTATTACATTCTTATTCAGAAGCTACCCCTTATTAGTTATCCGGGGATAGTTTGCTAATTCATAGGCTTCTCGGAGCCATCAAGGCCATCTCTGGATCCGTATCAGCCTTGCCGGATTGTATTGTGTATTGAAGCACCATCAATCAGCCTTGTGACATCTGGGAGAGATCATCACACCACCCACCACCACGACTCTCTGGCTGCCGTTCACCCTCCTAAATCACCGCCAACAACATGTCCGTCCCGAAATCCTCCTCACCACCGCCCTCTCCCGTCCCCACCGCCATCTCTGCACAGGAACCGCGTCTCACGACCCTTCTTCTCGAGTCCGACGCCCAGTCCCTAGATGCAGCCTGCCAGCACCCTTTCCTGCGTCTCGCGGGGTCAGGAAGTCTACCGAAATCGACCCTGTCGCGCTGGTTGTCCCAAGACAGACTGTACGCCCAGACGTACATTGGCTTCATCGGCGCCCTGATTGCCCGGGTCGACCTGCCCCACGGCCACATCCCGGAAAAGGACAAGGACAAGCAGTCCAGCTTGCGCTGGCGCATTGTGCGACTGTTAAGCTCCGCGCTCGAGAACATTCTTCGAGAACTCGCCTTCTTCGACACAACCGCTCGGAAATACGGCCTGAGCCTCGACGCCCCGAGCCGCTCCGACGGCGTCTTCGCCGCTGAGCCGGCCACGCAAGAATACATCGACCTCTTCCGCTCTTTCGGGGCAGATCCCTCGAGATCACTCCTCGAAGGCCTCGTCGTGTTGTGGGCCACTGAAAACGTCTACCTCCGCGCATGGACGCACGCGGCCATGTTCACAAACGCCACCGAAGAGAATAGATCCAAGGACGGCGATTCTGCCGCCGACCTGGACTCTGGCGCCCTGCGCTCCGCCTTCATACCAAACTGGTCGTCTATCGAATTCGAAGAGTTTGTGGACGAGATCGCAGAGGTTACTGACCTGCTGGCTGAGCGCGAGGGCGCGCTTGACCACGGATTGGACGTCTACATGGCATTGTGGGCACGTGTTCTCGACGTGGAGGCGCGCTTCTGGCCACAGGTTTGAATGGTGTGTTGTCGGGTACTCGGAGCAATTGGGAGAGCCAAAAGTCGTTGTTTTCCGCGGCAATGCATTTGTGGGAGGACGGAAAAACAACATAGGAAAATTGCATATAACAAATATTCGACTTCGTAACTGGCCAGTCCCTTTTCAAGGTCGAACACGCCAGAACAAGTCACAGATACACAATCAAGCCATGGCATGGAGGAAAAGGGTTCAGGGGACGTTGTTGTCTGATATTTCTAGGTATTCTTTGCTGCTGTGGACATATTGAAGCCCAAATCGATCAAAGTCGTGATGATATCGCAGCTCTGGCTTTTCTTGAAGTTTGCCGAATGAGCAGACGCCAAATGCTCTCCCAGTGGGCAAATGTGGTCACCCCTTTCAAGACCTTTCAGGATCCCGACCCTGTTCAACTTCTTTGGTGCCAGGATTTGACTGTCCCTGGCTTCCACCATGCCTTTGTTGTGCTTGGTCCCGATGGAGTATCGCATCCCAATTCATGCTCTTCGCCAGTGTATGCCTGATTGTATGTGGAGCGATGGAACATGTTAATCCCAGGAGGATCGCCCCGAGGATGACCTAGGGTCAGTCACTGGTCCGTCCGCAAACGGTGCTTTCCTCTGTTCTAGCCTTCTGCTCTAACGGCATGGTGGTGACTGGTCAGCATGTTAGTTGTCGCAGGGGGGGGGGGCACAGTTCACGAGACTGGTTGGCAGTCATTCAATTGTTCCGAGCTCTTGACACAAGTTCCCAGCTTGCTCACAAGCTCCAGCACAATGATGTCCCAGCTGTCAGGAGTCTTTGTAGCTTCAATCAAAAGCGTTGACGCGCCGTACATTGTCTGCTTGCCACAAGCCCATGACGGCACCCGTCTCATTCAACCAGTCCCTCGCCCTGCCGAGAGCGGCCTTGGCCATGCCGGTATTCCTCCTCGCGTGACCTCCCGAGAACCCGACGCCCTCTCTTTCGCCCGTGGCATATTCCGAACCCATGCTGGGCAGCACATTTTCTCCCGCACTCAGACTGACGAACAGGGCGAACGGGACCAGCCAAACACAAAGGCCAAAGTATGACGCGATCTCGGTGAAGGTGGGTTGGTCATGGACCGGTGCCGCATACCAGTCGCGTCGACTGCTGGGCGGGGCACCTCTGTATGGGCCACTTGGGGCACTGAAATGGCGGAACCACAACCAGTGGTTAAGTATGACGAGCCCGCAGCTCAAGAGGAAGAAAGTGTCGGATAGTTTGACGATCGGGAAGTGTCGCAGGTTCGTCGCGTACACCCCATGACTGGCCACACCCAGTAGGATCAAGTGCCAGGGGAATCCGTCGACGAGCCAAAGCAGAATCTGTGCAGCGACGACGCCGTAGATGAGCCGTTTCAGGAGTTTCGCGCTGAAGACGGAATGCTCCTCGACGAGTTCGGAAAGGTAGTAGAGGCCCGAGGCAATGGAGAGGGTGAGGAAGCCGAAGCCTAGGATCAGGCCCGCATAGCCGAGGAGCGGGAGGATGTACATTCTCCCAGTCGTTGAACGTAGATGATAGTAGGGTTGCGTTTGGGGCCGTCTCAACTGTTCGCGAGTGCAGCAGCGGAGACGGGACGAAACATGGTGGGCTCTGGAGAAGCAACCGGAGAACAAAAGACCAGGTGGCACTTCTCCCCTTCTTGAAGTGTGATGGAGGGTGGGCGTGTATCTGTCTGTTCGGTCAATCAGTTCATTATTGTATACGACATAAACATATACACGTACGCTGCTAGTATGGGACACAGTGTGAGAATAAGCCCCGGCACGTGATAAACCGACTAACTCCCTCTGGCTTAGCGTTGGACTTATCTGAACATCGAGCTTCGAGTTCCACAAGGCTGTTTATTATTCCCTCCTTATCATGTCTTCTCCACCAGGAACGAAGAGTGCAGGGCATCCTTGGTCTACTAAGTGCCATGGAAACAAACGTCAAGAACGTGAGCCAGAATTGAGGATGAAAGACAGGTAACCCACCGGTTACTGGTCCATATTGTCATTCAGAGGCTGTAGGCAGGGCCATCTGTTGATTCCACGGTAGGAAGCAGTTGTTCATATCAATCATGTCGAAGTCTATCTTGCCCTCATAACATGTATGTCGAGACGACCCGTGGTCAAGCAAACCAGTATACCTCGCCCAGGACGATGGCAGACGAGACGGTGATTTGCATCAGCAGAGGCACGGCGTTGATCAGTGCGAACTTTAGCTGGCTGACCTTGATGTCTTTGTCGGCCAAGAGATCCCGCCACAGCAGCCCCGCAAGACTGCCGGCGAACGTATAACTGAATGCTCCAATGTTACTTCCCATCGCCACGGCGTATATCGCTGCCAACAGGACGCGATGGTCCGCAAGGACAGCAGCGGACTGAGAGAAGGCGGGATGTCGCATGATCTCCACCAGAATGATGGTTGCGCCGATATTGGTGCCGGCAAGAGGACACAAGAACGCCGCACTGACGAAGCCCATGAAGAAGACCGCCATGGCAGGAGTCGTGCACGCGTTCGCGAACCCTCGCGCAAAGACTTCAATCCAGCCGCGTTGCTGCAGACCGCGCACCAGGATGAATTCGCACATGGCAAAGGGCAAGAGGGGAATGGGTAAGCGGATAATCGTTCTTGTGGTTCCCGGAAATCGACGGGCCAGCCTCCTCATCAATGACATGAGACTGGTCGTTTCGCGTGCAACCGGCTTTGCAGTCGGTCTCAGGGTAGGGGAAAATCCTGCGTGACCCGATTTTGAGTTGGAAGAATCAGACGTCGCGGTGTTCTGACGAGGGTCAGTGCCAGGAGCGTGGACGACTTGATTCTTGGCGTTCTCATCGGCTGTCTGCTCGACCGCGGCGTTTCTTTGAGCTTTCGAATCCCACCAGTCTCGAGCGATGTTGAACGAAAATGCCAGTACGCCGGCCGGAGCCGTCACCATCCACACCTCAACTGCTTGGTGGGGCACAAAGCTCGTCCCGACCAGGACTGCGACCGTGACCAGCATGAGCAAGCTGAGGGCGATTGCACCGGGCCGGTCGCGCAGCTTCAACCAGGGGTCGTCGGTCAGCGGAGTCAGCGTCTTGGGGATCTTGTTCCAGAACATGACCATCAGGATCGGATAGGTCAGAATTGCGGGAACGATCGAAGGCAGGATGGTCCACTTGGTGAAATCGGTCAGGTAATTCAAAGAGAAGCTTCCCGCGATGAGGATGTTGGTGGGGTTGGAAGAGACCAAGACGGCCGAAGCAGTATTTGCCGCCATAAACTCGCTAAAGATCCATGCTTCGGGCTGCAGCTTGGTGTGATGAGTGAGGTAGCCCAGAAACTGGCATCGAGTTAGTGATCGTTGGAGCAGGAGGAGAAGAAGGGCAGGATTGATCATCAGACTGAGGTCACTCACGGGAGTTCCTGAAAGAATCAAGGGGTCATTTCCGACAATGCACGCGGTGAGCAAGAAAAACGAGTAGAGATAGGTGAACAACAGCCTGCCCGAGCTTCCTCCACGCTTTGAAACCCAGAGCGCAACCGCCTCAAGGGCGCCCGTTCCATCCAGCGCAATTGAAATGTAAGCCTGTGCAAAACAGCCGTGAGTTGTGAGTTTCTCATCATCCATTCGATGGAGACAAGACATCTTGTGTCACACAGAGAGAGCGACACGTACAAGTGAAATGAACAAGACCAGCACGTCGTAAGGCTTGATAGTCTCGTCGCCCTTTATGCCGAGCTTGATTGTACTGCCGTGAATCGTCGTCGTCGCCAGCAACAGAATGACGCCGATCACAGGGGCGGTCTTAAGCGAGAGGGAAAAGTACACTGTCCGTGCCGACCGCTCATCGTACGCTGACGCGGAGATGATTCGACCGCGTTCCAACAGCCGCAGGAAGAATCGCCCGACGACCGCCGGCAGAGGAATGCGGACGGGCCATATCACAAAGGCGGAAACCACGCAGAAGACGGCGAGGAGGAAGCCACTGTGTCCGTTCAAGTGGTCCTGTTGCAGCTGCGCGCCGTTGGGGGCGGACATGCGGTCTGCGGCCTCCGAAGAGGTCGCGCTATGCGGGTCTTGTTGCTCGCGCCGATGTCATACTAGTATGGTCAGAGAGAGATCTTGTGGAGGTCCCGTTTAAGTTGACGTAGAGAGAGAAGGATTCCTCCAAATGGTATGGTAGAATGGACGATGGTTGCGGTCAGCATGAGTGGTGAGGAGGGGCTTTCAAAAATACTACCCAAGGGCTAATGTCTGGTCTATTTGGAGATTGCAGGTTTTGGAGCACGAGGCTGCGCTGTACAGTGACATTGGACGATGATGTGTTCAGCCTCGTCACTCACTATCACGGCGAATTACAGTATTACTACCTAGTACTGCGTATTACCGTGTTACTAAGCTGCGCTGTGCTACGCTGCGGAGGCACGGAGGGAAAATTTCCCCACAAAATTTATTCCCTTTCACTAGCAACTTGGGTCTATACCTACATAAGGTACCTACCTAGTAGTACCGAGAACTTGAACTTCCAGTCTCGCAATACAATTGCAGGTGACTGCAAATGTGAGTGACAATAGTATATCCTACACCTTGGCGCCTTTGGGAGCAGTATATTGTCTTCCGTGCTCTCTGCGATCCCCGTCCTACGCCTCGGCATCATCTCAGCAGGATGTCGCGCCCCGAAGATCTCCTCCCGCCGGACCTATACTACAATGACACCGAGTCGGCCAAGTACACGACGTCCTCGCGCATCCAAGCCATTCAGGCGTCCATGACCAACCGAGCCCTGGACCTCCTAGACCTCGACCGACCGTCCTTCATTCTCGATATAGGCTGCGGCTCGGGTCTGTCCGGCGAGATTCTCACGGAGGACGGCCACATCTGGGTCGGCATGGACATATCGCCCAGCATGCTGGACATTGCGCTGCAGCGGGAAGATGTCGAGGGCGACCTGTTTCTGGCGGACATGGGCCAAGGCATCCCCTTCCGCCCGGGCACGTTCGACGCGGCCATCAGCATCAGTGCCATCCAGTGGTTGTGTAATGCCGAGACAAGCGATGTCAGTCCCGAGGGAAGGTTGCGGCGGTTCTTTGACGGCCTGTACGCCTCGTTACGCAGAGGTGCGAGGGCCGTGTGTCAGTTCTATCCGAAGAACGAACAACAACGCACAATGATCAGTCAGGCCGCTGTACGCGCCGGCTTTGGGGCCGGCATCCTCGAGGACGACGGCGGCACCAAGAACGTCAAGACGTATCTCGTGCTGAGCGTCGGTGGCGGCGACATCACCGGGACAGTGTCCAAGATGGAGGGAGTCGATATTGAAGACGGTCGGAGGTTGAGGGAGGCAATGCACCGAGGAGGCAAAAAGAAGGGCGACGACGTCAAGGGAAGCAAGCAGTGGATCATGAAGAAGAAGGAGAAGATGCGGAACAAGGGCAAGATTGTGAAATCCGATTCGAAATACTCGGGTCGGAGGAGAGGCCCAAAGTTCTGAGTGGCCACAGCATCCAGCTACCTTGCTTACGACGACATGATGTTACGACTCAATGGTCACTTTTGTTGGAGGCCCCGGCCACGGACACGAAGGCTGTCCAACGCAAAAAAGGATGGCAGCGCCGTGGCGCAAGCATTGCTTGTAAAGTGCGCGAACGGACAAGTTCGCTACACGCAGATGGCAGATACTGCAAATCGCTATTGCATAAGTGGACGTTCATGTCAACCATGCTCAACCGAGACCAACCTGGTCTCCAGACGCTCTTCGGTACCGCGTGAGCAGACCGCGAGCGCTGGAGATACTCATGAGCAGTTATCAATGCCATGGCTGAGTACGGCCTGCCGTCCTGCCACAATGTCGGCGCTACGAGTGGTGTAGACCTTCCACGGTGGTGCAGGATGTCCAGCCCGGTTTTGTATGAGAAGGGGGAAGCCACGTCAAGGAAGAACAAGGTGCCGGGCCATATGACGGGATTCTCACGCAGATCGCTAGATTCAATTCGGCCACAAATCGCTTGAAATGGTGACAACACAATACTTTTGTCCCCTTCATGCAAGTGAAGAACCAATACCAGACCCCTTCAGCTATGCAAAAGATGCTCATATTACATCCTTTGTACCATGCAGACCAATGCGATGGTCACAGCCAGAGACCAGCAAAACTCCAGCCTTGCCATGCAAAGCCGCTACCTGCACATCAGTGCAGTAACTGGATCCAATGTCATGTCAACGCGAAAAACAATGCTGCATTTCCAATAAAGCCATAGTATCCAGCCTCCTCTCATTCGAGGGACTGATACGCCCAAAATTGTCATGTTATCCAAGTCTTGATCTGCCAGGAATCTTCGTAAACCAGAGCCAGACGTACACTGACCGGTGCAACAGTCGACCTGCACTCAGCGTTCGCGAAAACCTGTCGTCTACAGATTTCGCATCATCTTCTTTTCCTGGTCCGGCTCAATTCATGTGTTGTTCCTCCTTGTGGCCAGCCTCGGGATGTTTCGCGCACCCGATTGCCTAGATTAGCCCGTCCTGCACGTCTTCGAGACTGGAGTGGTCCGCAACAGGTATTCCCTTGCCGCTTTCCTCGATGTGGCCGTGCTCAACGTCGTCGTCGTGTTCGTGATCATGGCCAAGGACAGGAGGTTGATTTTCAGCTGCCTGTTCCGCTTCGGCCGGGATCCGCTTCCCTGTCTCGTCGAATCTGACCCCGTCTCCCACACGGACTCCTTCCGTCTCGACGAACTCGTCTTTCCGTTTGCCACCACCGCCGCGTTCTCCGGGTTTGGCGCTTGGACGAAGATCCTTACTCCTCTCCCATCCCGTCTTGAACACTTTACTCCCGCTGATGTCAAACTTCGGGAATGGATGGGCCTCGGTATTGAACACGACCCCGTCAAGTGGGAAGAAGTCGTCGTCGGAGAAGAGGAGGTAGAAGTACTTCAGCGTTTCCGCCAACCAGAAGCTCTCCATATTGTCCCGCTTTTTGCGCGCTTTGACGGGGTTTTCCATGACCGTGTCCAGAGAAGTGTAGGCGTAGATTGTGCCGGTGACCTCATCAACGACTTTGGTGTGCTCCCGGAAGGCCTCAAACATCTCCCATCCCCATTGCCGATACTTCTGATCCCTGGTGATGCGATACATGTAAAACAGCGACTCCACAGTCTCCGGCCGTTGGAGGTTATGCACGTCGTTGGAGTGGATGTCATAGTCGCTTCTCCAGTCGCCGTCGGGATCGTCTGACAGTGGACTAGATTCAGGAGGGGACCATTCTGGATCTAGATGCCCCTTCCACTGTCGCGGGGGCGTGTCGGTGCGGAAGTATGCGATCTCCGGAGCAAGGCCCGTGGGCGTGACCTTGTACATGCCCCAGCAGGTCTTCATCAATTCTTCCGCGAGCTTGAGGTTTTCGTCATGCTTCTTTGTCCAACCACTTCCCAGCCTGGCTTTGGCTTCTTCGACGGACTGGCCGCCGGTGACGGCCAGTGCTATTGTTCCTGGCATAAAGCACACCAGGTGGTCCATCTTGGCCGTCAAAGGCATGCTGAGGCCATTCTGCCTCTCAGCCAGGACGGTCAAGGAGGCACGCTTGGAGTAGGTGATCAGATGCTTCTTCACTCCTTCGAGGGCCTCCTCCCACATATCCAAATAAACGTTCTCCACGCCCCCCGTCTGTAGGTACTGTTTGATGAGGTATTCGTAGTAGCTGTCGCCACGAGATCCGAGTCTGATGTTATCGCCGCGAAATTCACCGTTGGCTGGGTAGATGAATATCGGGACCAGGCCGTCTTCCCGCTTCTGTTGGTCGATGACCTTGAGAATATTTTCTGCTCGCTGCCAATAGACCAGCTCGCCGGTGATCTTGGAGAGATATTTCATTTCCAGCTGCAGAGTGGCTGCCTCGGCGGTGGATGAAGCTCCGCCGTCAAGATGTGAAATGAGGCCGTGGGAAGTATTGAGGTTGACAGAGGCATATGGGATGCCCGAAGGAGAGTCGTACGCACCTAGGAGACGATCTGCGAGGTCCGTCGCCTTCTCGATATACAGATCTTCTCCCGGCTGATTCACATCGTCGTCATGTTGAGGCGCAAGGTGTGGGAAACTTGTGGAAATGTAATACGCCGACAGCAGACCCCCAAGCATTCGGATGGTGGTCTCAAACGTGCTGACGTCGTGACTGGCAGTGTATGATAACGACGTAGACATCCATTCCCTTGCTTTGGCCACTTCGGAAGTTAGGTTCATCATCATGGCCGTGTCGAGCGCATCGACGATGATCCAACCCATTCCTCCTTCCACCATGTTTTTCCCTTTCCTGCTCAGAGGATGGTACTCGTCCATTCCCCAGGCGTATTTTTCATAACCGGCCCAAGATGTCTTGAAGACGCTCTTGACGGCCTCTCTCTGTTCCGCCCAATCTTCTTGGTGGAAGAAGACATGCTGGTGTTCGGCGGGATTGTAGACGGGAGAAGAAGTCCAAGGTAACCAGCCCATCCACCACAGAAACAGGAGTATCACGACTCCGACCGAACCAAGGGCTCTCTTGCGCTGGAGCACCGGCCTCCTCCGACTCGAAGGGAAATGCGGCTTGTCCTTGTACATTGGAAGGTCCTGGTTCTCTCCGAAAATGTCATGAATCTTGGCTGTGACTCCTCCCATAGGTCCGCCTGCTGCGTGGCCATTACCTTGCTTCTGCCGCCAGTATGTGTCTTCGGGTGCTCGCTGGGTACTTGTGAACGGAGGGACATTTTGAGGCGCAGAGAAGGACATCTGGAAGGCAATCGGACCAGCCGACCTTGGACCTCGACGAGTGCGGGACGGAAGGTCAGCGGGAGAATTGAGCTGACATGCAACACATGATAATGATAAAGCAATCGATCCAAGAAACAATTACTATCCAAACAGTCGTGGTTGGTTAGGGAAGACTGAAGACCACATGAATGCGTAAAAGGCCCCAGCAAAGAAAGTGTACGTAGGATGCGGTCCTCAGGTCCCGAAGCAGGCCCCTTACCTATGTGGGTGCTTATGTCCCGCACCCAGACAAGAGTTAAAGGTGCCCAATAATAACTAAATCTTACTGGTGCAAAGCACCCGGAGTTCATTATTGCGTATGGACTCTAATGGCTTAGGTTGATACCTTAAAGTACCTACCTACCTAGTAGGTAGGTAGTAGGTAGATACTTGGATAAGTCTACGTAATTACTAGTATTTATAGATCGAGCCATACCGGCATCACCGAAATGGGTTAGGCATGTTTATCCCCAACACTCCGTACTAAACCAGCCTATTGGACACCTCGAACATCCAGAAGGACCTGATGATGTGAGAAAAAGGCTTTTACCAAATTGAAAGGTGGTCCAAAGCCGGTAGCCAGGACCAGGCAATGCTCCCCGTCAAGGTGTGACTAAATAGGGTTTGCTCATATCCAAACGACCAAGTGGAAGCGGAAGCAGAGAGCAGAGCGGGAACAAGGGCAACCAGCTGTTTGCACGGCTACTTTAGCATCTTGAGGATTGTATTTTAATGGGAGCACAAGACTGTTGATTGACATGTCCTTGTAGTATGGGCCACCGTCTTGGTCCCAGTGGTATACAATGAACCCATTGAACTGTTTTCACCCAGATCCAGCGCTCGAGACATGACTGTTTCACGGCCGAAAAGCATCTCGTACACACGCTGAAGCGAGCATGATCAGGGATGGTAGATTGCTTGACCACCCGCGCCTCAAGGCCTATTTTGAATGTGAGCCGACAGCCTCTCTTGAGGGCTTCACTTAGGAGCCCCTCCCTGCTCAGCGCACAAAAGACACACTTCAGACCCGGTATACTGGTGAGGGAACCTGGTCTTTCTTATTGTCCTCGTCTCATCGTCAAAAGAGCATCATAGCTTGGACGATGCCCCTCGGACAAGACCAATGCATTTCATCTCGACGTCCGTGTTTCCCGGCAGAGTCTTGACAGCCACGCATCTGGATCATAGTCAGCATGACGAGGCCACTTTGTTTCTTGCCAGACAGGGGCACGGCACTCACGTTCTCGCGGGCTTGACGTCTCCCCAGTATTGGACATAGATCTCGTTCATTTTGGCAAAGTCCTTCATGTCGGCCAAAAAGACGTTGACCTCGAGGACCTGGTCCAGACTAGAGCCGGCGGCTTCGAGCACTGCGCTCATATTGCGGATGCATTGATGCTAAAAGGGGCCATGACGATGATGATCAGTCGAAGGGACGATTATACCAAGAGAGTGTGTGCTCAACCGAAGTGGCCTGGGCGGGGGAACGAGGACGGGGACTACTCACCGTGTGGGCCTGGATGTCGCCCGGGATTAATGTCCTGGTGGCCGGGTCCTGGGCCGTTTGGCCGGAGCAGAAGACAAAGCCGTTGGCGACAATGGCCTGGTTGAAGACGCCGAGAGGCCTGGGGGCCTTGTCTGTCAAGACTGCTCGCTTGGACATCTTGTAGGTATTGACTTTTGAGGGCGTCAACGTGTATTTATTGGTAGAGGAGACAGATCTGACAAGACTGACAAGATCGTCGAGTATAGTTTCTGAGGAATATACCATATATATATGTTGGTTGATACAGGGAGATGTTGGAAGTGTCGAGCCACACAAAAGGCATCCACAACGGAGGGTTGTCCGTCGAGCGTGACCGGGCCCTAGGCCCCTATACTAGTAAGTAGGACCTTATCGCGACGCACCTCTCTCACGGCCTCTTCCACACACTGTGAGACGATTGCCGATCAGGGTTGTCATGGAGAACCTACCGAGAGCATCGATTAGGGCGTACAGGCCTGCCGCTATGCTGTCCATCGGACTTCTTGGAATCGTGTGTTCGGATTCGGATTCGGATTGAAACACAGTCATGCTCCACTCCAATCGACAATGGTGGGGGCGGGGTCCTGATATAACTGATATCCAACCCCCTTACAAGACTGAAGGGGAGTCCTTGGTGTGAGTCTGCTAATCTCAGCCTTGCACCTTGCAGTCTCCTGATCTGAAGCCGTAGAGAAGTTGCGGAATTCAGGCCATGGTATAGTCTGTCCAGTGTCAGCACTATACAGTCAGCACACCAAAGCAGTGTTCCTGTTGAAGCAATCCTTTCTTTCGACTTCGCTTTTGCCAGAACCGGAAGGGTGATTGCGGCGTCGCGAGGATGAACTCAGGCGCTCACCTACACCTCAAGCAGGCTGAAATCGACATATTGTCCCGGAGAAGACAAGCCTGACTACTCATCGAAGTCGCCATGCTTGATATCTATCGTGGTGCTGTGGCAGTCTCCACAGATTGGATCGCGCTCAAGACCGTGCCGCGACGGTGTTAGGCGCCTGATTGTTGTCGACCCGCCCGCCCATCTGATACATGTCCTATAAGTATTCGGACGGGATCCCTGTTTTGAAGGAAACAGGTAGGTCGTGCCCCTCAAATCCCGGAAAGAAGTTGTGTTTCTCTGTTTCAGCAGCCAAGAGAGTAGCACCTGCAGACATGTCTTCCCCCAAAGCATACCCTACCGTCCTCCTCACAGGCGCCGGGAGCGGCATCGGTCTCAACGTGCTCGGCCAACTCCTGGAGAAACACAGCGGCACCCGCGTCCAGGTGCTGACACTGTTTCCCACGCCGGAGCTGACGGCACTGGAACAAAAATATGGCCCGTCGTGCCTGAACACCGTGTACGGAGATGCCTGTGATGTACGTCTCGTCTCCACTGCAGTGATGCTGGAATAGCACAAGTCCATGTCTGTCTGACAGGAATGTAGACCGAAATCGTGGCAAAGGCCGTCAAGGCGACCATATCCAACTACGGCACCATGACGCACCTGATCAGCAGCGTCGGCACCATGCTCCCCGTGCAGAGCATCCGGGAGGTGCCCCTGGGCGAGATGAGGAAGATCTTCGACATCAACTTCTTCTCGGTCTTCGACCTGGTCCAACGCTCGCTCCCACACTTGTCGGCCTGGGGGGAGGGGGCGCGGAAACCGACGGTCATCATCGTTACCAGCGGAGTGGACTACGATGTCCTCTACCGTGGCTGGACCGGGTACTGCACTTCCAAGGCGGCCCTGACGCGCTTCATTCACTTGCTGGCGCACGAGGAGCCGGGCCTCGAGGTCTATGGCGTGCTGCCACTGGTCACCAAGTCGCCGATGGTCGACAAGATCTTCAATGGCGAGTATGACCATGTCATGCGGCCCGAGGAGAGGGAGAGGTTCAATACCTGGGCCAGGGAAGGGAAGATCGAGCCGCCCGAGTATATTGCCGAATCTATCGTCAAGGCGGCCACGGGACAGATAACCCCAGCGTCGAAGGAGGTGGAGAGGAATGACTGTGGTGCCTTGTTTATTGGCAGTCTGTATCAGAAACAGTAATGACCGTCGATGGCCTAGCCTTTGTGCTGAGCGGAATTGAATTGAGCGAGTCCAGCATCTGAGCCAGCTCTAACCTAACTGCAAGGAGCTGTCTGCCCGGCTGTTTGGTTATTCGAGTAGAGTGTTCGTAGACGGTAGCGGTAAGAAATAGCTTCATGGCTTGAATCAGATCCATGGCTACTCTCTGCGTCAAGAAAGGCCGTATGTGTCAGAGTGCGATCCAGCTAAACACAGCCCGGTCAGCCTCGTCAGTCTCGGGGCCCCTGAGTGGTCCAAGCCTGATGAACCCCTCAGCCTTGCGAGATGTCAGAAACCCCTGCCCCTTAGGGACCTAGCACGACTAGGCGAAGTCAAACCTCACCGTCTCCATTTGACGTACCAGGACTTCCTCCTATATCCTGTCTATACACACCTGAACGTGGCATTCGATGTCTTGACTTATCCTGCAAAAACCACCGACGACCGAACTTGATCCGGCAGTCCACGCCACCCCTATTTCGGCTCACAGTCCAAGTGCCTTCAACCAAGCCTACGCGGATGTTTGAGCGAGGCTCTTGAGGCCGCTGACGCGCCGCTACTTATTCACGGCGTGAGGGACATGCCGCGACGTGCTCGGCACGAGAAGTCTACCAACGGCTGCCTGACCTGCAAGTAAGCACGAAGCACTCTCAGAACGGTTGACCATACCCAAGCATATCTGCTTACACACACGGTGGCCTAGAATCCGAAGAGTCAAATGCGACGAAACAATTCCCTACTGTCGGAAATGCACCGAGTCTGGCCGCAAGTGCGAAGGGCCGGTGGTGCGCCAGATCCAGTTCGTGCATGAGAACCGTGGCAGTGGTGATCAAGAACCCGGGTTCATGAGACGGTCGTCCTCGTTGTCGTCGACCCCAGGCACTCCACACCCTCCGCCGAGAGAGGTATCTCTGCTTGCGCCGCGACACAGTGGCGATGAACGTCGGGCGTTCCACTACTTCACATGTCGCGGCGCACCCATGTTTGCCGGCGCCGTCGATGGCGCGTTCTGGGAAGACCTGGTACCTCGACTGGCCCAGACGTACGACTTTGTCTGGGACACGATCGTGTCCATCAGCTCTCTACTCGAACATGTGCCCTATCGGTCGCTTACGACGGTTTCCGACTCGTCGGGTCTGCCGGTCGTCACCAACCGAGCGCATCGACAGGCCCTGAGATTCTACAGCCGAGCCATCGCGAACGTCCGACGGCTGGCTTGTCGACGGGACCAAGTGCTTGACGACTCGTTTATGGTGCTGACATATATTCTATTCGCCTCTGTGGAATTCCAGCAACGAAACGTCAAGACCGGCACCGACCTCATAGAACGGTGCTGCAGGATCTTGACCGCCAATCTAAGGTCCGTTCGCACCAGTCCAGGTCACTACTCATGTAATCCCGCCGAGCAAGTCGCCCATCAGGTGGTTGCGCCGTTTGTGTTGAGGAAGGCCGTTCTGATGTCCACCTTGGGACACCCTCTACCGGCCTTCCAGCGTGTTGCCAATATCCATGCCATCGCGTCCAACAATGAAGTCGGCGAGATACCCGAGGCAATCTCGTCCAGATGTGCACTGCTCAATGAGGCCAGGGTCCGGTTCAACAGTCTGATGCACCGGTCGAAGGAATTGATCAGGATTGCCGAACTGGTTCCTCACATCGCAGACGACCACCCAGAGAAGATGCTGTTCCTGTCCCAGCGCCAGACGCTGTTAGATGAACTGATACAATGGAAAGCGTCTCTCACTGCCACACGCAGCTGGACGTCCGCCGACAGCGACAGCGAGATCGACTGGATGTATTCTTACCTCCTGATGTACTGGGCAGTCTGCTACACGTATCTAGCGGCGTGCGTCAGTTCTCTCCAGACCGCCTTCGACGACTATATGGACCACTTTGCCGCCATTGTCGAGCACGCCACCGTTTATATGCGAGATGGCGGCCCCCAATCCACCCGGGTCCAGCTCCTCTCCGGTCTGGATCGGGGAGTCATCCAGCCATTGTACTTCTGCGCCACCAAATGCCGAGACCCGGTGCTGAGACGAGAAGCGCTGCGTCTGATGCGTCAGGCGCCAGAGCAAGTGCCGTTATGGGCATTCGTCGCGCCTGACCGTGTGATTGCGAAGCTCATTGCGGTCGAGGAGGGCGACGACCATCACCTCTTTTCCTCGACGAAATCGCCAGTGTCTACTGCTGCCCTGCCGCCAGAAGCGCGTCGGTACGCTCATGTCAGTATGGTGGCCCGTCAAACACCGGGAGGAAACCTGCGCCAGGCTCTGTTGTTGAGTAGAGTGGAAATTGCAAGTGACGGTTCAAGGAGGCAGATCAACGACTATACTTGGCTAGACGAGGAAGAGGAAGAGGAAGATGGGGTGTTGACCGATGCTCAACTAGAACACGACAGCGTGGACCAAGCTGCTCACCCGAGATACACGGCCTCGACTGGCCGAATATTACACACATGAACTGCCAGGCCAGTTTCTCTTGGTCGCAAATACCGGTCCATAAAGAATCACTGTAGTGGTTGGTTAACCCTGGATATGGTCATGAGAACTACCTTTCTTCTGACAAGACAGAGCCAATGTCGTATGTACACTACAATGTCTTGAGTCTTGACCCATTGCTCTCTATCTATGCTCAGTCTTTAAGTATATCAGTGACCCTGGCCCTACCTACTCTGCGACAGGGGAAATCGTAGCCGTAGACGTAGACTAAAGTAAACGTACGTCGTGGAGAAGTGACAGAAAAGAAAAAGAATTGCGGATTGGAAAAAGTGGCGCCTTTAATGCCGTCGACGTAATTGATTCTTCACCATCTTCGTCTCCATCGCTGCCATCATCGTGTATCCATCAATCCATCATCTAGACTCTATCATCCAACCATCCACCGTGTATCCACTTCCAAAGGGATCATAAGTACGTACCTATCTACATAATATCTACATACGTATGTGGTCACAGTGGTATATCCTCCTGGATACGTAAGCTGTCTGAAGTGACAACCAACCGCAACCAACCGATCAGAAACACAGGGTCTCACCGACCAGCTGGGTTTTCATATCCCTCACCCTCAACTACTACTACTGCTACTACTACTACTATGATACAAGAACAAGAATAAAGCAACTGATTGCATGTATGAAAAAGAGACTCAAGAATATCATTTATTCACCTTAGGCAGCTAGGTACATACTCGGAGACCGTCCCGTTCGCCTCATATTCTCTTCCTTGCCTTTCACCATTCCTGATCTCTGGCCCCAGAGAATATAAAGAAGATAAGACGCCAACACCATTGTTGCAAGGATGTGTCGTTGGTTCGCATATCTGTCTCCGGACGAGGAATGTCTTCTGGAAGACGTCCTCATTACACCGGTAAGTCGACTGCATCTCCTACCACAACACTACCACCACCACTGAGTAGTCACTTATATCCCTATGTGACTGACATACCTTACTCAACCTCATCAACCTGTCTATACTTATGCTGTACTCATACTAACCCACTCTCTCATCTCCTCTCAGGAACATGGTCTCGCAAAGCAAGTGCATGACCACTACCTGCCCAAACTCTTCTCCCACGTCCCCGGCGAAGAGACCAGCAGTCAAGAAATCACCCTCCGCAACCGGCTGTTCAACGTCGACGGCTTCGGCATGACATGGTACACGCCGACGCGCGGGGCCTTTGTCAAGCCCATCACCGGCACCAGGCCCGTCGTCTACAAACACAGCCAGCCGCCCAACAACGACGCCAACTTCCACAGCATCTGCGCCAACACGGCGACGACCGCCATTTTCGCCCACATCCGCGCCGCCACCGGCACCTCCGTCGCCACCATCAACAACCACCCGTTCGTGTTTGGCCGCCACACCATCATGCACAACGGCTTGATCGCCCACTTCGCCGACGTCCGCCGGCCCATGCTCGATCTGATCGAGAAGTCGGCCTACGAGAACATCCAGGGCACCACCGACTCCGAGCACCTCGCCGCCCTGTACATGACCTATCTCACCAAAAGTGTGGGCGGAGGGTCTGACAGTTGGGAGCGACAGTACTCGCCCGAAGAAATGTGCCATGCCCTGGTCGCCGCCTTCCGCGCCGTCATCGACTTGCAGCAGAAGGTCCTGGGCCCGGAGAACGTGCAGGCCTGTTCGCTCAATGTCTGCTGCACCGATGGCGACCAGATGGTCGCCGTGCGCTTGCGGAACCATGCCATCGAGCAACCGCCCTCACTGTACTGGTCCGCAACAGCCGGCGTCACCCTCAACCAAAAGTATCCCGACTTGCCCTCGGGCGCCGCAAACCCCAACGCCACCAAGGACGCCTCCGAGCACGGCAAGCATGTCATCATCGCCAGTGAACCAACCACGTACAAAGTCCAAGAATGGTCGTTGATCGAGAAGAATCACGCCGTCCTCGTCGACTCCAAGGGCGACCACTCGGTGGTCAAGATCGACTTGCCCGATTCCTGTCTGGCCCAGGCAGCTACCGGGAAGCATTTCTGAGAACCGTTTGGAATGTCTGGTATGGTCACCTGGAAAGAGAAGTGCAAGGATGAAACTGGCGGCGGCAAGATCAAAAGAATTTTCCTCTCTTCTGCTTAGCTCCATCTCGTCCGCTGTACAACGCCGTAACAGACTTTATGCACCTCATTCAATCGTCTGCTGTCCTGAGGACTTCTGTAATCTTCTATACGGACTTTTGGTGGTTCTCCAGTCTCTTGATCTGCCCCATCAATGCTTTTCTCTTTTCTCCCGCCCTGACAGCCACACCGGGCTGAGAAATGATCTCTCTCCACGAGCCCAAGTCCTGCCCCCGTACAAGCTGTACGGCTTTCGCAATCATGTCTCTGTCTGCAGTGAGCCCTTGACTCAAGGTCCGATGCTCGTGTGCCAACCGCTCGTTCCAGCTATCCGTCAAAGTCTGAATGATAGTGTCCCCACCCCGGTAGAGTTCCGCAACTTTGCCTCTCACAGCATCTTCTTCCTCCCCAAAGCGAAACAAAACATCCTGATGACAAGTAAGCAATCTGTGTTCGACCGAAACACGCGAGCCTTACATTGGTTATTTGCAGGACCGCATCCAGGAGGCCGCGTTGTGTATCTCGGACGTTCATCTTCTGCGCCATCCGCTCATTCTTGCCAGTGGGAATTCTTTGCCGTCGTAGGGGTGATGCGACAGAAGACATGTCGTCTGCCGATTCAGACTGTGGTCTCCCTCCCTTCCCGGCCCACAATGCTGACCGCTCCCCAGAGAAAGACTCGTCGTCAATGAGAGTAATGCTCCCATCTGCAGCTCGAGCTTCTCTTCCCCTGCCCTTGGCTAATGTGAAATCGTCGGCTTCCGGTCCATCGTTAACAGGCATGGGCGCCTCCAGGTCCAAGCGGGTGCAGAATGAGAGAGGTGTTGCCGGAGGGAGGTCAACTTCGGCATGTCTTCCTTCCTTGCGCACAAGGACAGTGCTCTTGATTCGAGTGGGTGCCCGCACTGCTGGCTTTGGCATTGCGGCAACGGCCCTCTCAATACCAGCATGCGGCTTGTCCTCCAACCGGATTATGTTCCTGGTGACGGGAGGCCGAGGGCCGTCCGTCGAGCGGGATGGCCCCTTGAGAGGTGGAGGGGGCCACATCTGGTCCGCTTCTCGAGAAGAAAGCGAGGCTTGAAGGTCTCGAGCCACCAGTGTTGCCGTATCTTTTGAAGTCGTTGATGACTCTGCAAGCTTGCGGACGGATGCCTTGGGAGGACTGTCGACTATGATGCTCATTGGATGCTCGCGCCTTATGGAATGAGGTTCGATAGAATTCATGGAGCGCTCCATGTCCGGACGAAGACTTGATCGGATCTTGTGAGTATTAATGACTTTCTCAACGTCGGGATATCCTTCATCCAAGATAGCGCTGATGCCGATGGATCGTCGGGTAGGTTTCTCGGATTCTTTGGTCGTTCTGGTATTGCTGTCATCCTTCAACGGCTCGTCGTCAAGGAACGGAGCCTGCGGTCCTTCATCATCGGACTCTTGTGGAGGCGGCAGTTGTTCGACATTTTCCTCGTCCTCCTCAGAGCCAATGTACTCCGAAGCTTGGGGCTGACCCATTTCTGCCGGGCTAGATACCCTGGAGTCTGAAGAAGGTAACGCATCGTCTCCGGCCATGGATTCGTCCTCGTGTACAACAGGAGGCAGCTGAGGGTCATCCTCAACGCTGTCGACATTCTGCTCGGCAATGTCACCTAGACCGAGTGCATCTCGTGGAGAACTCGGTCCGTCATCAATGCCCTGAGCCTGGGTTTGACGGGCGTCATCTTCCTGTGGGTAGCTCTCAGGCACCTTTTCGACAGTACGTTTTGGAGGCACGGCTTGATTACCTGGGCCCTGAGGCCCAAAATGGACGATTGGTGTCTTGCGAATCAGCTTCTCGCTCACAGGCGGAATGGACCCTTCGCTAAGCCGTTTCGATGCATGCTTTGGTGTAACTTGGGCAGCAGTGGCTGCGTCGGCGGAAGGATCTCTAGAGTTGAGGTGCGCAGTGTCCACCAGTTCTTTCAGATTTGATTCAAAGCTGAGATGCGTAGTTTGAAGAGCTGTTTCCAGAGCCTCCTTGCCAAGTGGATATGAATCTTCGGCATGTTCTTCATCGTTGTGTTGCTTCTCAGCAACCGTTTTCTCGGCTGTGACTTCTAAGAGCTCGTCCAAAGTTTCGTCGTCGCTGCTGCTGGACTCCTCAACATACTTGGGAGTCTTCGCGGCACGTCGTGCTCTAGTTGACGCTACGCTCGCCTGATCCTGTTTGTCCGGCGGGTTTGGAGCATTGGGCTTTGACTTAGTCTTTCCGGTTGAGGGTTTGGGAGTCGCTGTTCCTTTCTTCGTGGCCTTCCCCTTTCCAGGTCTATCCTTGACAGTTGTCCTTGTATCAGCCGGACGTGCAGTAGTTGTCTTAGCTCTCTTTTTGGAAACAGTCTCATCCTTGTCTATGGGTGGAAGGTTGTACTGATCCACAGCTTGGGTGCCTTCTGGTGGTTGATGTGATGGCATGTTGACATTGGTAGGCTCTTTAAGTGCTCTTCGTTTGAGGGCGACCTTGACTGACTTCGAGACGCTTTCTTTATCACCTGTGGGGCTAACCGAGGGAGCCATCGTGGAAACCGCTCGAGGCGTCGCACGGCGAGAAGTTTTGGGAGCTTTCCCAGGCTGTTCTTTCGCAGTGGTATCTGAGGCGCCGCTTCGTCTCTTCCCAGTGTTAGATCTCGATTCGGCTGTTGGCGCACTGGCTAGACCAGGTAGTGTAGAGATTGAATGGATGGCATTTGGATTGCGGGATGACACAGACTTGGCTGAACCACGAAGCCGGTCATCGTGAATGGAAGCAGAGGTGAGTCCAGTGGGCCGAAGTAATGACTCTTTCGGGGTCGTGCCTTCCACGGAGTTTTGTGCTGTCTTCTTTCCTGGCGCCTTCCGTATGGTCGACTTTGCCGCAACTGGGGCAGCAGCAGGATGGGGGGTTTCTGGATCTTCTTGAGAAGCCCTCAAACGCTCCAAAAAGCCATGTGGTCTCTGAGTGTCCCTGAGCAAGGGTGCCCCGACACCAGTGTGGTCATCATATCGAGCAACTGACTTGACTGGGCGCTTCTCTGTTGAGCCAGCCATCTTTGACCCCTTTGTCTGCAGAGGAGATATAATTTCGGTATCGGTTGTACCCCCATCGTTACTCGTGGCGTACTTTGCTCGAGAACTGACTGATCGATCATCTCCGGACTCGAAAGTCATGTCTATGAACGCCATTGAACGCTTGATAGATACCTCAGGCTCGGTCTTCGCATTCGCCCAGTGACGACTCGTGAACCCCGCGGATGAGTCTATGCTGGTTCGTTGATGCTCCACTCTCTGTCTGAATGCTTCCGTAGACTCCTCATCGCAGAATACCAAGGTCATATTGTCAATCGCGCTCTTCATCCCGTTTATAACCCTGTAGCCCATGTTGGCGGCATATCCAACCTCAATAATTGTGGACAGCGACGACTCGGACTCAGATGCTATTGAAGTGACGGTTATATCTCGTGTTACCGGAGTTGATAGCAGTGTGAGCCTGTCTGCCTCAATTGGGATCAAGAGATTGACCTCATCCGAAACCGTGGCAATGAAGGCCGAAGAACTCTCGTAATAGGTCTTGCCACCAAACTCAAGGCGTTGTACGCGATACACTCGCTCGGCCCTGACACATTTAGTCTCGGTTCGACAATATGATAAACACGTGGACAGACCTCCCGACAAACGCTCGCTCGAGATATCTCCCGCTCAAGTAGTCGATCACCTGGCCCATCCATGTCGAAACGGTCGCGTTGACCTGACACAATTTCATCACGTGCTCACCGACCGTCGGGCTGCTGAACGCGTCCTTGAAGGCACCACAATTCATGCCACTGGCGATGAGAAGTCGCACGATATTAGCGACCAGAATACAAGTCACGTAGTCTTCCTCCCCCTCGAGAACAGAGGCCAATCCTTTCCTGGGTCAAGTCAGCAGGTGGGGTTTGCGAGCAAGTAGGAAGGGAATACCATTCACTTGTCTGCCTGAGGCGTATGCCTGGTGCGTCGTTCTCCCACAGAATGACCGAGAGTAATTGACCGAGCTCAACAGCGTCAGCGACAAAGCAACGCCCAAGGGAGCGGTACTTACCCTCCAGCGTGTCTGTATTTCTTCGCCACTCAACAGGTGGTGTAAAATGCAGGGAACCAGCTCTTGAGTGATATAGTTCCTTTGCGCATGTATCATGGCTGCTGTCACTCGCTCTGCTTGGATACGTGAGACGAGAGGGATCAATGCCTCCTCATTTCTGTACTGCCGAATTGTGTTCTGCAAAGGTAAGTGTGAGCCTAGATGCTCTGAGTATGCGCCAACCATGAAGAGATAAAGCAACTTGTTTTGCGCCGGCGAGAAAGGAATTTGCAAGACAACGGACACAATGACACAGAAAGATGCCGGGGCAAGACGCAGTATGTTGGACGGGCGCCCATCTTCGAGGATCTTCAAAAGAGCTCGGAGAGGTAGGGTATCGGTAGGTTGAATGGCCTTTTTCAACGCCTCGATGACCTTGTCTGGGATGCTGTGAGGGCAGGTTTGTCAGTGCCAGACTCGGGCTTGTAGAATGCAGACTCACTTTACAACTCCGTCCTGGGCAAAGTTCTGCTGGAGGAATTTCACGAGAGCCGAGAAGGCGGCCAGCGACGAAGACTGTCGCTCCTCAGATGCCGGGGTCTGGGACATGGCAGCAACGGACATGTAGTCAGCATTCAAGACAGCAGCGGCTTGGGGACCGTTGTCAGATCAAGAACAAGTAGGTAGTTTCACACTGGTATCACAAGTGATTGACATCAGATTGAAGCGCCGCTGGCACCGCAGTGAGAGTGCCAAGGCCAGACCTTGAGCGACCAGCTCCTATATCCTCGATGGTCCAGCCTTCTCAGCAAGCAAGTGCCATTCGAAACGCCTCACAGAAATGGGAACACAGAAAGTAGGGGCCATTCTTGGCCATTCGACTCTTGAGGACTCAAAAAGAAAAACCGAATCTCAACTCCAGATTCTGCCTTCAAACTATCCGCTCCATCACCTCCACAGCGCCATACGTACGCTGCGCCTGCCCATACAATGGCGACTTCTCATTTATCACGACGCCAGACTCAAGATCCTCGATGTCTTCAATGGTCCTTTCTCCATCTCCAAACATGTTTTTAAAGAAATTGTCATAACTCGCCCAACATGCGGTGAACAATGCCCTCACGAAGGTACTCAACCATTTCGGATACCTGCCATTAGGCTTAAGGAACATTGCAGCGCCTCCGAGTAGTATAAAAAGAAAGAAAGGCGACCACACCGACAAGAAGATGTAGGACCCTAGCCTCTGCTGTGTGGTTGTCAGGTGGTAGGTACGGATCTGATGCAGGAATGCCTGGTATTCCAGCGGCAGTCCATGCTCGACCGCGCCATCTGTGATCAACTTGAGGTATCTGGGACTGGGTTGAGCGTACGAGGGGTCGGGTCTCGACATGGTTGGAGGTGCAAAAAGTGTATGCGCCTTGAAAGCATGGCCGGACGGCTTCCAAGGTACGTCTTCGGTAGGGCCTCCGTTCAAGGCAAAACAATCCACAACGACGTCTTGATAGCCAGAGCCGCCTCCTTCTGTAGCAATGATGTGTGCATAGTCTTCTTTTGTAACCTCGTATACCACCCCAACCAGACCTTTTGGCCAACGATCTTTGTGATAGTCTTGAGATCGGGAGTGGTCGTCAGGACCCCCTGCAACCGAAGCATCTCGGTAGCGCACATTGGCGAAGCATGGTTCCGTGTAGGGGATTCCAGGCAGATCGAACGTCAAGGAGAGTGAGGGAACAACGACGTTGACCTGCGATAACGGTTTGATATCCCTCTTGCCGCGAAAGGTTTCTGCGCTGAGATTGGAGCCATATCCAAGATAAAGGACGGTACTTGCGGCGCTGTCTTTCTCAACTGTCAAACTTGAAAGATCGGTCAAGTCGAAGGGTACATCGTCGAGAGATCGATGCTGTCTCGCAGCCGATGTTGTAGGTATCTGCTGCGTGCAGTAAGACTTCCGTACAGGGAGGGGGTTTCTGATGTCAAGCCATTGCTGTAAGCTGGAAAGGATGGGGCCTGAGCCATCCATTATTGTTGTTTTGTCTTAACCTCGAGTTCAGACACACTTGATCGTTGGAGTCGTGATACCGGGACGCAATGGCGCGATTGTTGTGTACCGACATACGGTTTGTCATTCTTCGTATCAATAATCAACATTGGATCCCGGTCCATCCGGCCGAGTCGATTGGTCAATTACTAGTCCATTGGCAGACCCAGTGGACTGCAGTGCGAGATGGTCGTCCCCACGAGCCCTCCGCAACTCCACGAGTCCCAGATACTACGTAGATATCTTTAGGGTAGAGAGCACCCAATCACACGCATCCAATTGAACATGTATCATGAGAATTGTTTGTATTGAATCACTACCGGAGACTCCGTACGATGTAGAGAAAAAGCTCATGCCGTCGTCTTCCTGCTTGAGGGATATTGCAAAACACGAAACGTGAAGTACTACACTTGTGTACAAGCGTGGAATCTCTGCAGCACATAACAGTGCCCAAAATACGTCCTTTGATAACTCTCGGTCTAGCCAACAGTGTCGGCTGTGCTCCTCCCAGGCCATCCAACAACTCAAGCGAACGACATGCTCTTCTTGATCTCCGCAATTGCCTTGGCCGGGTTGAGCCCCTTCGGACAGGTTCGGGAGCAGTTCAGAATAGTATGACATCTGTACAAGCTCATGCTGTTTTCAAGAGCTTCTTTTCGCTCCGCCTTCCGTTCGTCTCTTGAGTCTGCAAGCCAACGGTAGGATTGTAGCAGAATGGCAGGGCCGAGGTATTGGTCACTGTTCCACCAGTATGACGGGCATGACGTTGAGCAGCAGGCGCACAGAATGCATTCGTAGAGACCGTCCAGTTTCTTACGCTCGGCAGGTGATTGCCGGTTCTCCTTGCCCTGAATTCTGGTCAGCTTGTAGCCGCATTGTTAGCCTTGACTGGCACTCACATCTGGAGACGGGGTGTCTCGCTGCAAAAATGGCTTGATAGACTTGTATTGCTTGTAGAAATGGGTCAAATCCGGCACCAAATCCTTGACGACATAAGTGTGCGGCAACGGATAGATACGAGTCTCCTTGGCAGTGTTCGTCGGAATCCTGCCTGTTCCCTTTCGTCAGTCAAATGCGTCTGTGTACGTGGGTATTTCTTCAAAGCTTACATAGGCAGGCCAAAGTGTTGACACCGTCAATGTTCATAGCGCAGCTTCCACAGATGCCTTCACGGCAGCTTCTACGGAAAGTGAGTGTTGGGTCCACCTCGTTTTTGATCCTGATCAATGCATCCAACATCATGGGCCCAGTCTTATTCAGATCAAGAGTGTACGTCTGCATCCGAGGCTTCGACGTCGGCTCATCTGGGTTCCATCGATAAATGTGGAAGGTCTTGATTCTTGCATCCTTGTCGGGCTTTGGTTCCTCGACTGTGCTAGTCTTTGAGGGAGAAACAGGAGGTCGACTAGCTGAGGTATCGTATGAGGAATTCTCGGTGATTGTGGCATATGATCTCGCTGCAAAGGAAGGTCGCCAGAAGGATCGGGTCGGCGCAGCCAAGCGCGATGCTGTACGTAGAGCTGCCATTGTAGGGAACCTGGAGCTAACAACTAGATGCTGTCGACAAGCAGTGCCCGGGAAGGTTGGATGCAGGACGGAGGGGAGAGTGTATGGTGAAGGACAGGAAGACTGGAGAGGTTGATGGCACCCGAATAGAGGCACAAGTGCAGTGGCGTTCGATGATGCTCTCAACTACCCGGCCAATCAGAGCAAAGGCAAATAATCGCTTTTGTGCCAAGCCCGGTCACCTTCCGAGACATTTTCCGATACTTGCCTAAGGTACAGCTGGGGTAGGCAATAAGGTAGATATAGGTAGAGGTACTGTAGTACTTTACGTTCAACTTCAAGTTGGCGACGACTTCAAGTGCGAGAGAGGAGAACACCTTAATCTCCTACATGTCGAGGAAATTCAGTGGATCAGATACAATATGTGTCCTGTTCGATTTGAGGACAGGTGCTGGCGCATACTTTCTGTGGTAAGGGCATCTTGTTATGTCGGCGAGATACCTTGAGCACGCGAGAGGCGTGTCGAGAACTCGAGAATGATTCGGCGAAAAGAACACAGCACGCGTAGCCCCTTCAGGAGCGAGGTCGGTGTGCCTAAATTGGACCTGGGATCCGTGTCGCAGACGTTTTGCTCCTGAACAGTGCAACCATTGCACGACCTTGCAACTACTTGAGCAATGGAGACCGGGTGAGAGCCATATTGGGCATAATTGGTCTTGAACATCGAACAACTTGAAGCCACTGATTACATGGGAGGATGCGAGGGTATACAAGCCTGACCGAGACGCCTCTCCGGACGTTGACATGCCTGGTATGGTCGAAGCGATTTTGAAGACCGCCATCACCACAGTTCTTACACTTTGCCAATTCTTCTTGCCCTTGCTTTTGCCCATTCTTGCATCCGGTGATAGAGAAAGAGAAACGCTACGCGAAGTTTCGCCGGACATGATCCACGAGATTGAGAATCTGGTAAGAATGGGACTTGGGCGGGTTTCATTGGCCTTCGAAAGCTGAACCCGTACTGGAGGACGCTTCGACGTCTGGACCACGAGGAGCTTTATTCAATAAATGAAAATAGCCCATTCGCGCCTTTCCAGACAATACCTACACACTGACTCTCAGCTGTAGCCGGACATGTAGTATCTCCGAGACATAGCTCCGGGCATCTAATACTATTAGTACTTAGCCATTAAACACGAGTATTCAGGCCGTAAAGGTAACCACATAGCATCTTCTGTGAGCAGAAGAAATATTGGCCTATAGTAGCTGCGTGGGATCTTCAAGTCTTCACGCTCACCTGACGGGAACCAGGAGAGGATCCTAAGGTCACAATCTTGACATTGAACATGGGAACAACTCCGCTCACCGGAGCAGTCTGGTTTATTACCGGCTGCAGCAGTGGCCTCGGCCTGTCGTTGGCACGGTACGCTCTCTCCCAAGGGCAAAGAGTAATAGCAACGTCACGCAACCCATCCAGGACGCCCGAATTGCTTGCTGAGATTGAAGGTCAAGGCGGGAAATGGCTGGCACTTGATGTCACTCAATCTGAAGAAGAGCTCAACGCAACGATACACGGCGCCGAGTCAATCTTCGGTCAGATCGATGTCTTGGTCAACAACGCTGGGTATTGCGTTCTTGGAGCGCTGGAGGACACCCCGGATGAGGAGGCTGTGGCACAAATGCGCACCAACTTCCTAGGCCCTTTGCGGTTGATGAAGGCGGTGCTCCCCGGGATGCGAGAACGTCGGTCAGGTGTTATACTCAATGTATCCAGTACACAAGGTCTGTGTCCAAGTCCGGGCTGTGGGATTTATGCTGCAAGCAAGGCAGCACTGGAAGCAGCTTCACAAGCCTGTAGTCCCGAAGTCGCACAATTCGGAATCAGGATTCTCATTGCGGAGCCAGGAGCCTTCAGAACAGGCTTTGGGCATGCGAACGCGGCGAAGTACATGATCCCTTCGCAGGATTATTCATCCCCTCATCCTGTTGGTCAAAGACTCGACCACATACAGAGACTCCCAGGGCTGGCACCCGGCGACCCAGACAAAGCTGCTCGGATCATGTTCGAAGCTGCCACCGGGGAGGGAGATGCCGGATCCCTGATCAAAGAGAACGGAATCCTGCGCGTTATCATCGGACCGGACTGTTGGAAGAGAGTGGACGAGCAGGTGAATGAATTGAGGAGGACGGCAGATCTGCTCAAGACTGTTGCTGCCAGCACCAACTTCTGAAGGCGGAGTCAGGCACACGTTAGGACCGGCTCTCTCACTTACCCCGGGCCTGCAGTGCCCTCGGTTTTAGTTGAAGGCCTTCTTCCGACAATGGGCGGTCGTCTCCCACACACGTTACACGAACATCTCGGCCGAGTACTGTTTGAATGGGCCAGACTCCCGAGCCGACGAACATAAGGTTCTGCGCAAGTGGATGGATAAGTGGGCGGTCACCGTCTGATATGAACGAGTTCGAGAGCGGATTGACCCGACCGCCTTCAAGTTTGTTTGAGTGGCACAAGACTTGAGGCATTGGAGCAGCAATTGCCCAGTCCACCCATGTGTGCTGTCATGCCCGTCAGTAGCACCGTATCCATATACCAACTATTGCAATGCATTGTGCCAGGTCAACCCTCTGCCAAATTGAAGTTGATGACCTGCGAGTCTCCCACCACCAACGGGGGAAACTGTGTGTATCGGGCCCGAAAGCGTGAAAGAAGTCCGTGTCCTCACAGCCCGTCGTCTGACTGATTAATAATACTCGCCCCGATTCAGGCATCGGTTACGAGACATAGGCAGAATAGGTACCTAGTAGGTACCTAAACGTACTATAGGCATCTACCGAGAACTAGAAGCAAGACCGACTGGTGGGGATAGTGATCCGGCGTTGAGGCTGCGACGCTTCACTATCCGCGATGCACAAAGAAATGTTCGACGCACACTGCAGTGGCACTGCAGCCAGCCACATGGCCTGTCAGACGGGAGGAGGGAGAGTTCAAGTTGGCGTCAAATGTCAAAAGTGTCGAACAGTTTAGTTGTAGATTGAAGAAGAGACAAATACGTAGTCGTATGGATGTTGTATCGACGACTATTGTGCTGAATCTAAGACACGGCTGATGATATTTCAATAACAATAATGATAATCGATAGAAGGATCTCATACTGCAGTTTGGTCTCGATCTTAATGGTTGCGTGGTGATACCATCGGGGTGTCACAGCAAGGTCAAGTACCTACCAGGTACCTTAGGTAAGTAACAGGGCGGTCTCTTCTTTTGTTGATGACCACTGTGTCTGTTGTCTGCAGCTATCTACGGTCTCTACAGAGTACGGTGTGAATCAGGAACCCCTCAAGTCCATCATCCAACTCATCAGCATCTGCATTCACGCTCAGTACCCGTGCCCACTCAATACCGAAATACACTATGTCGTATCCGTTGCCCGCGTTGAGCAGAAACCCACCTTCGCCTCATGCCGTATTGCCGAAAGTGTCCGTCCCATTTTCCATTACGACAACATCTGGGGGGAGGCGTTCGAGTTGTGCCTAATCCTGGTCGCCTCCAGTCTCCGGCCGCAGTCTTTCCCGTCACCGATTTACCCATTTTTGTCGACTGCAGTGGGATGGATTGATTTACATATCTGCCCCTCCTGCCTATTTTATTCCTCGCCATGCGCTGCTCGACCGACGTGACCGCACACCCTTGTACGTCGAACCCTCGATAGCACCAAAGGCTGGGACCCATGGCGCAACACACCGACGCAGACGACCTCAATCGTGCCATCAGCCAGGACCGAGTCGAGGAGGCGGAACTGGCCAAGAGAGATGAACCGACACAATACCTAGAAGTGCACCAGGAGCCGAAGGGATTGGGAAGGAGGAAGACTGAAGATGGCACACGGCTCAGCAAGTTTGAGTCTACAGCAACGTCGGCCACCGAGGCAACTACCGCCACAGGCCAGCCCAAGTCCTGGGAACGGGAGAAGGCACCGTGGCACTACAGAATAAATCCGCTGCGGCGCGGGACTCCTCCTCCGCCCCCAGAGGAGCGGGCTGTCAGCAGGGAATACAATGCCGGATTCCTGAGCCTTTTGACCTTTCAATGGATGAACCCGTTAATGAGTATTGGCTACAAGCGTCCGGTAGAGTTGAATGATATCTGGCTGGTCAATCCCGACAGAAGTTCGGCTACAATGATGGACCACCTGATGCCCGCTTTCAAGCGCCGGGTGGCTCGAGGGGAACGCAATCCTCTCATTTGGGCGTTATTCGACACCTTTAAAGGAGAGTTTTTGCTAGGTGGCGCATGTTCGTTGTTCTCGTCAATGCTCCAGGTCTTCTCACCATTCACCACTCGCTATCTTATTCAATTTGCCACCGATGCCTGGATCGCGGATAAGACAGGTAGTAAGGCTCCGAACATCGGACACGGCGTCGGTCTTGTCATCGGCATCACATTCATGCAAATCTGTCAGTCAATGTCTACCAATCACTTCCTGTACCGTGGTATGACAGTGGGTGGCCAGTCGAGGGCAGCACTCATCAATGCCATATTTGAAAAATCACTAGTGATCTCGGGGAGGGCGAAGGCTGGAGGGAAGGGTCCGGACGACGAGCCAACGCCGACTGGATTTCTCGAGACAGAAGATGAGAAGCATGGCGACAAGGCTAACAAGAGGCCCTTTCTTGCTCGCACTATATCAAGACGACTCCACCCCAAAGGTGGTCCGAAGGTTACACCCGACAAGGCTGTGGGTGTTGCCGGTGATGGCACAGGGTGGAACAACGGCAAGATTGTGAATTTGATGAGCGTTGACACTTATCGTGTGGACCAGGCATCTGGCTTCTTCCACCTCATATGGACTTCCCCTCTCCAAGTCATCGTTGTCCTGATCGTGCTTTGCGTCAACCTGGGGTACAGTGCCCTGGCAGGATACGCGCTCCTCGTGATCATGCTGCCTCTTTTGACTATAGCCATCAAAGCTCTCTTTGTGCGAAGGAAGAAGATCAATAAAATCACCGACCAACGCGTGTCCTTGACGCAGGAAATTTTGGGCTCGGTTCGCTTCGTCAAGTTCTTTGGCTGGGAGACGAGCTTCCTAAATCGCCTGAAAGAAATTCGAAAAAGAGAGGTCCGGGCTGTTCAGATCCTTTTGTCTATCCGGAATGCGATCAATGCCATCGCCATGTCAATGCCAGTATTCGCTTCCATGCTTGCCTTCATTACCTACTCTCTAACTGACCACGGTCTTTCTCCTGCTCGGGTGTTCTCCTCCTTGGCTCTCTTCAATTCCTTACGAATGCCGCTCAACCTGTTGCCTCTGGCTTTGGGCCAGGTGACGGACGCACGGACCGCACTCCATCGCATCCAAGACTTCCTGTTGAGTGAGGAGCAAAAGGACGAGGTGATATGGGATGAACACATGGAAGACGCTGTTGAAATCCAGCATGCATCCTTCACGTGGGAGCGCACTGCCACCCAAGACAAGGATAGAACCGGGACTTTCCAGACCAAGGGCCAAATAATGGCTGCAAAGAAAGCCGCAAAGCAGATGAAAAAAGCGCAGAAGAAGGCCGACAAGGCAGCCAAAAGAAACAAGCAAGGGCCCACCGATTCGAAGGACGATTTTTCTAGTGAGACAACACAAGCCGAACCTTTCAAGTTACATGACATAGACTTCACCGTGGGCAGAAACGAACTATTGGCTGTTATCGGATCTGTCGGTTCGGGCAAGACTTCTCTGCTGGCCGCATTGGCCGGTGATATGCGGAAAACGAGTGGCAAGGTGAAGATGGCCTCCTCCCGTGCCTTCTGTCCACAGTACGCCTGGATCCAGAACGCGACATTAAAGGAGAACATTTTGTTCGGAAAGCCCTACAAATCTAAATGGTACCGCGATGTCATTGATGCTTGCGCTCTGAGACCCGATCTTGAAATCCTCCCGGCGGGCGATCAAACCGAAATAGGTGAACGAGGAATCACTCTGTCGGGTGGTCAGAAACAAAGATTGAATATCGCTCGTGCCATTTACTTCGATGCCGACATTGTGCTCATGGACGATCCCCTATCGGCGGTCGATGCTCACGTTGGTCGGCACATCATGGACAAAGCAATATGTGGTCTCATGAAAGATAAGTGCAGGATTCTTGCCACTCATCAGCTCCATGTGCTGTCCAGATGTGATCGCATCATCTGGATGGAGGACGGCCGCATACAAGCAATCGATACTTTCGACAACCTGATGCAACAAAGTGTGGACTTTCAGAAGCTCATGGCCACCACAGCACAAGAGGATATTACATTGGCCAAAGTAGAGGACGAGGAAGAGGCCGAGGAAAAACCGCAAAAGAAGATCAAGAAGCCGAAGCCGGCGGCACTGATGCAGCAGGAGGAACGTGCAGTTAAGTCTGTCAGCTGGACGGTTTGGCGAGCTTACATCAAAGCATCTGGGTCGCCCTTCCTCTGGCCTCTGATTTTCCTGTCTCTTATTTTGTCCCAAGGCTCGAACATTGTGACCAGTCTTTGGCTGAGCTGGTGGGTCAGTGATAAGTTCGGATTCTCAGAAGGAGCATATATCGGAGCGTATGCATGTCTGGGGTTGTCCCAAGCCCTGTTGTTGTTCTCGTTTTCAACTATCCTATCGATGAGCGGGACCAATGCAAGCCGGGTCATGCTGCAAAGAGCCATGACGCGGGTTCTACGTGCTCCCATGTCCTTCTTCGACACGACGCCTCTGGGCCGCATCACCAATCGCTTCTCGAAAGACGTCGATTCCATGGACACCAGCTTGACGGATGCCATGAGGATGTATTTCCTTACACTGGCTATGATCACTTCAGTATTTGCACTGATCATTGCATACTTCCATTATTTCGCAGTCGCCCTGGGTCCGCTGTTCGTTCTGTTCTTATTTGCAGCCAGTTACTACCGATCGTCGGCACGTGAGATCAAAAGGCACGAGGCTGTCCTCCGATCTACGGTTTTTGCCCGCTTTTCGGAATCTATCAGCGGCGTGGCATCTATTCGCGCTTATGGGCTGCAAAAGTACTTCGTCTCGCGGGTGCGTGATGCGATCGACGACATGGATTCTGCATATTTCTTGACGTTCGCGAACCAGCGGTGGCTTTCGACCCGTCTTGATGCTATCGGCAATACACTCGTCTTTGTAACAGGTATCTTGGTTGTGACGGGTCGTTTCAATGTCAATCCTAGCATCGCGGGGTTGGTCTTGTCATATATTTTGGCCATCGTGCAGATGATTCAGTTTACAGTGCGACAATTGGCGGAGGTTGAAAACAACATGAACGCCACCGAACGACTACATTACTACGGCACCGAGTTGGAACAGGAAGCACCTCTGAAGCTCCAAGAGGTGCCAGACTCGTGGCCCGACAAAGGGGCGATCTCGTTCAACAAAGTGGAACTGCGCTATCGACCAGAATTGCCACTTGTGCTGAAGGGACTGGACTTCCAAATTGCTGGCGGCGAGAGAATCGGGATCGTGGGGCGCACGGGAGCTGGCAAGTCCTCCATCATGTCGGCGCTCTTTCGATTGACCGAATTGTCGGGAGGTCAGATCAAGATCGACGATATTGACATCGCGTCTGTCGGTCTTTACGATCTACGGTCGCGGTTGGCGATTATTCCTCAGGATCCGACCTTGTTCCGAGGGACCATCCGATCGAACCTTGATCCTTTCAATGAACATGACGATCTTGAGTTATGGGCAGCTCTTCGCAAAGCCTACCTTGTGGGCGAGGAGACGCCTTCTGACTCGACCGAGAAGGATGCTCGACCTCAGACCACCGAAACTAGTGCCACGTCGACTTCCAATGTGAACGCCTCGCCTGGCACGGGTCGCGTCCAGCTGGATAGTCCGGTGGAGGAGGAAGGACTGAATTTCTCATTGGGCCAGAGGCAATTGATGGCGTTGGCTCGCGCTCTGGTTCGCAACTCGCGGATCATTGTCTGTGATGAGGCGACGTCATCGGTGGATTTCGAGACGGATGAGAAGATTCAACGAACGATGCGGACTGGATTTGCCGGCAAGACGGTGCTTTGCATTGCGCACCGACTGAAGACCATTATCAATTACGATCGGATCTGTGTGATGGACCAGGGACGCATTGCCGAACTCGACACCCCTATCAATCTCTTTGAGGCGAATGGCATTTTCCGGAGCATGTGCGACAAAAGTCATATTGTGCGAGAGGACTTTTTCCGGGAGACATAGCATTGATGGGAGCCTGCATGGGACCCGCGGACTTGTCAGGTGCATGTTGGCCGATCTGCACGCAACTACCGGCAATCTTATCTTGTTTGTTGGTGTTGCACATTTGAATCATTTAGCGGTCATGCGGGAGTCAGAATCAGAATCAATTCCATGTTCGCGAGCTTGCTGTTCATCATACTGCGTAGACTCTGTGTGAGGCATCGAACTCCTTGCCTTGGGTGTCTTCTTCAACTTACGCCTAGCAGAAGTTGACATAGCTACTAGCTACTGCAGTGGGAACCGGAACCGTGTCTTGTAGACATGTGGAAGCGCAATCGAGACACATGCTGGTAAAGAGGTGACCAATTAGTAGCCCGGGACGAAGCCAGGAAGGAGAATCAAGGGTATATATCCTCGACGTGCGATGACCTGGGAGCATCAGCCTCGCCCGGGTCTATCACATACTACATAACATGATACTACATAGTACTATCTATATAAAGGAGCTTCAAGTCTAGCAGTCCGGAGCAAGGGCCCTAGTAAGCCTAGAACTAGTATGGGCTATTGATACGATGGTGGAGTGGTCAATTCGCCTTCCCCGGTCGAGGTTCGACGCCAGACTCCATTCTGCCCACCAAGTCTGGCCTCAGGTTTGATTGCATTTTGTTGATCCAGCTTCTGCCGGCCACTCATCTCTCCATGGATCACATCCAGGACCTTCTACATCCTAGGACGTGGTACCTAAGGTAGGTATTGACCCGGTGCTGGCCACCGACGACGTGGCAGTACCAATAGGTGCTATTTACTTACTATCGCCATGGTTCTGGTGATGGCCTTCTGCAGCCACCGCGACCATCACCGTCACCTTCACCTGCACTGCAGTGTCTCGGAACCATCAATTCACCTCCCGGGCGCCTTCCGTTGACATCTGCTCTCATCGCTCATCGATGCCATTGCCGCAATCCCAGGAAGCTGCCATCTACAGCCTCAAGCCTCACGATCTTACCTCCCCCATCTACAGTGACTCGACGTCCTTCAAGATCTAAAGGGGCTCGCACCAGCCTCCATGACACCCTCGTGCAACCATCTTCCGCGGCTGCTGCCCAGCCTTATTGACCGCCTAGCACTTTCTCGTTGAAGTTCGCCGTCGACTCAGTCTGGGAGTCCTCAACTTCTCAGACATTCAGAGACAAGTTTTCCATCTTGCTTTCTCGGTCATGGACTCTTAATTCCCACAACTACTCTTTGGCATCCGCAGGTGTTGTCTTTCACCACATCTGTCTGCCAGAGACTTATACCTTCTTGCCTGCAATCCCTCACTTTGTATCTGCATCTCACGCCCATAGACTCCAGCCATGCAGGCCGTCGTCGAAGCCACCGAGCTCACGGAGCAACGACCTCCCACCTCCAGCCCCAAGTCAGAGTACGATCCGTGCCGCAACGCCAAAATCACCTCGCCATTTTACCTTTACAAGCACGACTCTCCTCGCCCCTCATTCGACGCTGAAAAGCCATTCCCTCAGGTTGCCGTCCACGACGTCGAGGCCAATGCAGTCGATCTGTCCCCCACAATCACGCAGGAGAAGCAAGATGCACAGACCAGGGCAATCGGAAGATTGAAGTTTTGGGACAGAAGGGCACAGTGCATGACAAAACCAAAGCCTCGAGGCTCCGGATGGCTGGCACAATTACCTCCACGACAGAGATTGCTGATCAGAATCCTGATCGCCTTGGTCGTTGTTGGCGCCATGGTTGGCATTGCGGTTGGAATCAGTATCCGAGTCCATGGAGGAGTCTACAAGAACAACAACTCCACTACATCCATTGGATGAGACGTGGCCGCTTCTGTGCATGCATGGGAGCAGAGCATTACTACAGAAGAAAAAAGAAAAGAAGTATCAATATTGGGAGGTTGTCGCAAGGTTACAAGCAGCCATACATTGATGCAAGCATTGACCACCTCGGAATCTATCACATAGTCACCGAACGTTCCAGACATGTGCCAGAGCAACTGCGTGAACGACACCGGCGTGAAACAGGCATTCGGAAGGATCTGGGTTGGGCGCTGAAATTTGCTGTTTCTCACCAGAGGGGATGGATGAAGAAGGAGAATGGACGGCTATCTACTACTGCATGCAACAAGTCGACGCGGATGGTCTATCTCGCGATCGCGGAGACGCGCCGCAGGACACGAGATGACGCGAAGTCACGTGTCGATCGACTGGCGTCGGTGCAGGCCGATTCCTTGTCGACTCACAGCGTGCGCTGCACATGTGGCCGATACTGATACTGCGAGGTACTCGTATACAGGTAGCCATGTCAATCGACCAAGAGTTCCAAGGCGCTTTGCCCGCCCTCAAAATATTTCTCTAGGACATTGCTTTTAGTAGCAGCCCACTGCATGGGGGCCGGTCCTCCTGGAAGGGTGAGTTCGCATTGGATGACCTCAGGCGGATCGTCTTCACTCCGAAAGAGACGCAGTGGGGAGTATTAGGGCATTTCTATAGGTGGAAATCGCCCAAAGTCCACGTGTGACCCCACCAAAATCATGCCGCTTTTCAACTACTGCCCAACTCTCCCTTTCACTTTCACCTTTGCACTTGCCTCACTCGCATCTACCCTCACAGTTGATCTACGCTTCTTCCTCTTCAAGCTGCTCACCAACTTCATCGTCTCCGACTCAGGTTGAGCGGAAAAAATCTTGGTCGGTTCTTCCATGTCCCTATCTCGGCCATGAGGATGGTTCATCCGTCGAACTCACCGGCCTCCAGCAGCCCCGAGACCGAACTCAAAGGTCCTCGTGGCCCGCTGAAACACCGCTGTGGTCTTTGTCATGAGCCAAAGTCCAAACTTCTGAGGTGTACAGGATGTCGGGTGGTCCGCTACTGCTCTAGAGAGCATCAAGTCCAACATCGCCAAGAGCACAAAGCAGTCTGCAACAAGGTCAAACGGTGCCGCGCACCAAGCTCGAGAAAGAAGACCATGCTGTTCGCAATGCAACCCCTGATTTCATGACACCCGCCAATGCATTCGAAACTCACGTTGGCCACTTCTGGGGTATCCTCAACACTCGAGACTACATGCGTGCACGGTTCGCGTTGGCAGATACTGTCCGCAGAGCAGGGACACTGGACGGTATCAATGAAGCACTGGACCATTTGCGGGATATGATGCGGCTATGTAGGTCTGACAACATGGGGCTACGGGATATCATCCCGTCATTGATGCTACAGCTGGATATGGACCAAGAATGCTACGACTTCATCAAGTGGTATCAGACAGAAGGTCAGCGTGGTGACTACGATTGGGATAATATGGACCTGCCGTTCTTCAACATCAAAGGTGCCAATGTGCTGGAAGACGTCGGATACCTGGACCGAAAGTGGGGAGGTGTTCAGCATCTCTCAGCAGTCATGTTGCTCAAACTGAAACTGCTCATCGACATAATCAACATCAAGCTTGCTCGTAAAGTGACTACAGCCCGATTGCCACCTGAGCTATGGAAGCGGATCGAGCTGTACGTAGTACGAAGCCCGAGCAGCCAACAGTGAGTGGGAAAGTCGTATCAAACCATCACGGGCGTGCAGCAGAAGCTTGAACTTCACGTTAAGCTTCTTGCCAGAACAATCCAGAACCTCAACGAACACTTCGTCTCCACCCTGTTGGACGCTGACGAATACCTTTATGGTCCACCAGAATCATATTCGGCAGGATCATTTGAGGAAATGCTACTGCTTTTGCATTCCAGCTATGCCGCTTGGTGGCAGCACGAGGGGGTCTTGGAGCTGCTGCAATCCGCCAAATCTATCCCAGCCAAGGATTCGGAGGAGGAGATCGAGGGTATGATGGATACCTTCACTTTCAGGAACAATCCTGGGTCAGACAGGAGCAAAGAAGAATTGCTTGACGATGTGAGTCGCAACCGGCTTTGGGGGTACTTCAGCGATGCCGTAGAAGATGCCATGAGTCTGAGCGAAACTCGTCCTTCCGAAGTCAAGAGGCTAGAGGCAAAAGCAGCATGGGAGGCAGAAGAAGCGGAAGAACGTGATTTCATGGATGATGACTACGAGAGCGATTCGGACTGATACGACTGTCTCTACTCTTGCTGTAGAGGCTCCTACGGACCCTACAACGAGCTGTGCGGCTTCACACTCCTCTTGTGTCGATTCAGCATTGCACCGAGATTCAACATCGACAGCGGGCTCTCGTTAGGCGATTGTCAGATTTTGATCGGGTGGAGGAATACAAGATGGCCAATTTCGAGGTATTCTAGACGTATGTTCGGCGTCGGAACGTTGCTAGAGAACATGTCTGCGACACCTCCAGCAAGAAAATGATGTATGATTCAAAATGAACCAAGTGCTTAGGAATAAAGTCCCGCCTTTATTGAAGACTGTACCTAGAGGTGATAGATAAAGGAGTAGTTGGATGGAGCCAATCATAGCTGTTTACGTGGCTGAGCCCAGGGCGGCATGACCTCTGCTCAAAATGGAAGTTAGTTGCGAGCAGTTTTTACTTTTCAATTGTTCCGAGTCGATGAGAACCTTTTGCGCCGGGGACAACTCTCTACCTACCTAAGACACTGTCCTGCCTCTGCATTCTCGCCTTTAGGAAGTTTGTTTCCGCTGCAGCGTAGAATCTGACATTGTGCTGCTTGTTGAGCCGGTTTTCCTTTTACACCGCCGGCCAGGATGGGGTTGGCAGAGCCGAGGAAGTAGGTGCAGTCCTACCCTGGCTGCACACCACAGGCGCTGACCTTGCATGCAGACGTATCAAAATCTCTCACGATCCACGGAATTTATCATGGTCGCAATCCTCCACTTCCTTCGGACAGCGTCTGATGGCCAAGCATGGCTGGAAGGAAGGCCAGTCTCTCGGCAACCGCGAAAGCACCCACGTGGGCCTCAGCGATGCTGACAGGCTGACCGCCGCCCGTGTCGGTGTGCTCTTCAAAGACGATAACTTGGGCCTCGGTGCCAAGAGGAAGAGCAGGGACGTCGAAGCGCAACGGACCGGTCTGGATGCTTTCCAGGGCCTGCTAGGCAGGCTGAATGGGAAGAGCGACACGGAGCTGAAAGAGCAGGAGAAAAGGGTCGAGGACCGCAAGTTGGCCATGTACGTCCGTGGCCGCTGGGGCGGTATGGTCTTTGTCAAGGGAGGTGTTCTCGTTGGTGATCGCCAGGAGGAGAAGACGGCCAACAAAGTCGGCGAAGAGACGAGAAATTCAGATGGCGAGAAAAGCGATCCCCGAAAGGAAGGTGCTGGCAGCGTAGAGTCGGAGGATGACGCGAAGCAGAGACGAAAAGAAGAGAAGAGGCGGCACAAAGAAGAAAAAAGGAGACGGCGGGAGGAGAAGGCACTGAAAAAGGCGGCGAAAAGGGCGAAGGGCGCACCGCAACCCGGCGATGATGGGGCGGAGATGTCGAGGCAAGGTCTTCCAGGCCACTCTCACAAAGTCCCCCTCACTCAAGCACCCGATGAACCTGTTTCCTCAGGTGCCAGTGCGAGCGAGAGCGAGACCACGAGCACCTCAAGACAAAAGCGCAAGCGCAGGAGTTCGGCGAGTACAAGTCACGACAAAAGTCACTCAGAGACTCATCGACGAATGTCAAAGTCAACCGATACGGAGGGTGTGCAGCGAGAGCGACCAGATCCAAGTGTGAAGCCCACGCCTGCGCGGCCGAGCCTGAACCTGGCAAATGGACGCCATCTGCTCAGAGGCCGGAACATACAGGCAAAGAAGATGGTGTTCTCAGACCTTAAGGGTTTGGATGAGATCTTCATGCGACCTGCATGAGGGCGATGAAATCCTGCAATTCTTCGAATCTGCATTCAGTTTAGTGTGCGTTCAGCGAGGCGTGGATTTCTTTTAGACAGTTCAATCAATGATAGATGGAATTGGATGGGATTGAGCAACGCTGCCATCACAGTAAATCTTACGTTCCGGCATAAGCTGGAACCGTTCTACTCATCGACGCCGAGGTAGGCGTGCAACACTCTCCGAGAGATCGGCGAAGCCTCGCACGAGGGAGGAATGAGTTGGCTTGTGCACCTTATGACAGGCGTTCCTGGTCTGTGAATAGTACCTCACTATAGCTTCCACATCACCTTGACTGATCCCCATCGCTGGCAGTGGGCCTTTTGCAGCTTTGATCCACGATCTGCCATGAAACCGATGTGGATGGCATCGTGGAGCCGACATCCCTGTTATCGATACGGCGAGCCTCACGTTCTCCGCCCCCAACTTGAACACCAAGGCCGCGGTCATGTGATCGTCCCTCACCCAAACAAATGAACCCCAGGAAATGCTTGTTCAATTGCAGCTGCGCGAGAGGCACGTCCTCAATCCTTTCATCCCGCATTACCCTCGCTCAACGTCCAATCCTCGAACCCAAGGTCTTTGCATATCTGTCGGTGTCTATGGTCCCGTTCTCTTCTCAGCGCGCCCAAGCCTGCAACATATAGCATATCGAGTTCATCACAAAGCAGCAACGTGTGAAGCCGCCCATATAATCACCTAAGAAGCGAGTTTCGACCACCCTCGCGACAGCTCTTAGCAAGCTTATTTCCCTCTGCTGGAGTTGGAACTTGCAGAGCGTCATATGGGTCCCAAGACGGAGAAGAGTAGTCTGAAGCGGAACCGGGTAAGAGAACCGCACTTTTGTTCGAGCACCGAGGCTGAGTCCCATGACAGCATAGTACCGGGGACGAACAGGACACGAAGAAACCTCGAAGATCGCAGCGGATATCATCCCAGACTCACAAAGATGGCCAGCACACTCCGATCAAGCAACAATATCTACCTTCGCCGTTGACTCATAACGCGTCCACCGCTACTGAACCAGTAAAGGAAGGGACCGCAACCCCGCCTGAGGGTCGACCAAGTCAGATTCGCCATGTTACTCCTTTATCATCTCCGCAGCTCAACGCTCTATCGTCGCCTCCACAAGACACCCAGCCGCTCTCCCAGTTCATTTACCCTCCTCGAGACATAGAACCGGACCTGAACGATGACGACGGGACATGGGGCTATTTGTTTCCGACGGGGTCGGTAGGGCACCGTTTGACCATGAAGGCAAGAGCATTCTGTCCTGCACCAGATAGACCGCTTGAGATCGGCAGAGCGACCGTGAAGGCCAAGAAGAGGGGAAAGACAGAGCTGGAAGATGCCGAAATCGAATATGAGAAGGTGAAGGAGGCAACCGGCTTCCCAGCCGGCGGATATCTTATCGGAAGACATCCGGAATGTGACATGATCCTCGATATTCCAACGGTGTCAAATCGGCATTGTCTGATCTTCAATGAAACACGGAATGGTGGCACTATAGCTGTCTTGGAGGATTTGTCCAGCAACGGCACTTTTGTCAACGAGGCACTCGTTGGCCGCAATAAGAGGAGAGAGTTGGAGGATGGAGACGAAATCACAATTTTGGACGAGGCACGATTTGTCTTCCGCTACCCGAAAAGTCGGGATTCAAGCGCATTCAACTCGCGTTACCGGATCCTGCAACAGCTCGGCAAGGGTCATTTTGCCACGGTTTACCTCTGTGTGGAGAGGTCGACCGGCTTCAAGTATGCTGTCAAGAAGTTCGAGCGACGGATGGGGGAGTCCCAGCGGTCCCAATCTGAAGGCCTGCAACAGGAGATCGCCGTGCTAATGAGCGTCAGCCATCCCAACATTCTGTGCTTGAAGGAGACTTTTGACGAGTCGGATGGGGTTTATCTCATTTTGGAACTCGCTCCGGAGGGCGAGCTCTTCAACCTCATTGTGAGCAAACAAAAGTTGACGGAAGCCGAGACACGCAAAATCTTCATCCAGCTGTTCCAGGGCACGAAATACCTCCACGAGCGGGGGATCGTGCATCGAGATATTAAGCCGGAGAATATCCTTCTCACCGACAAGAATCTATCTGTCAAGTTGGCGGATTTCGGACTGGCCAAGATCATTGGGGAGGAATCTTTCACGACTACGCTATGTGGCACCCCGAGCTGTAAGTACTCCCTGCCAGTGACCACTACAATGCTAACCTTGCAGATGTCGCACCGGAGATTCTGGAAAACACGCGACACCGAAAGTATACCAAAGCAGTTGATGTATGGTCATTGGGGGTCGTGCTATACATTTGTCTGTGTGGCTTCCCGCCTTTCTCGGACGAGCTATATTCGCGAGAGAACCCATACACCCTTGCGCAACAGATCAAAATGGGGCGGTTCGACTATCCGTCTCCGTACTGGGATTCAGTCGGCGATTCTGCTCTTGACCTCATCGATCGGATGTTGACCGTGGATGTAGAGAAACGAATCACCATTGATCAATGCCTCGAACACCCCTGGACCAGGAACGTTGACTACATCAACCCGGCCGAATCCACGGATGGACTGACGGGAGCCATGGGTGCATTGGACTTCTCTACGCGCAAGATTCAACGCGAACGCACTTTGCTGGCGAATATCAATGATGTTAAGGTGAGCAAAGTGGTCGACATCTCTGGACAGGAAGTGCCGGGTCAACCTCGACCGCCCGGATCCCCTGTCCATGTGAAAGTTTGGGAGAAGAATCCTTCCGGCAAGAACATCAAAGTGAGCGCGATTCAGGACCAGAAGGCAAATGGGCAAAATGGCGTTGCAAAACCTACGAACGAAGAACATCCCGCCGCCCAAAGGCAACAAGAAGAATTCATGCAGATGGGCGGCCGGGGAGACATGCAACTCTTTGGAGATGATGTGTCGTCAAGATACTTGCCCGAGGAGAAACCCAAAAAGGAAAATTGAGCGCAGTTGGCTATGGTTTATCAGTATCAAGGAGGTGGTGGCATAGGAGTTGCAGACAGCTCTGACATTTTGATTCTGATGCTTTTGGCTTGCGAAGGACAAAATCTCTGCTCCCCCAGGGCCGTCCGGTCAGAGTGAAGGACACTTGGACAGCGGTGTCAATGATGCAGATGAAAATTGGGTGGCTCAGAAAAAAACAATGAGGAGAGGGCAGACTGGGCACGATGCTATTATTGATAACATTATCTCAAGCCACAGGGATTCCGGGATACGAGAGCACGCATTGGGCAATCGTCTCGCACTATGCGTGCTCTGGTCTTTGCACACTATTCGGGTGGTCAGAAGAAAAGCATCTTTTATGTCTATAAACGCGCAGGTGGACTGAATGACATGGAGCAGCTTGGTATAGCATGGCATGATATGGTGTAGTGAGGCGAGCCTCACCTATTATCACATCCGATGGCAGTGTGTATATGATAGGGAGTGGTCTATATATTTATAGAGTAATGCTCTACGCGTCGAACGATGAAGCGCTATCAATGAGAATATACGAGTAACGAGATTACTATAGGGGTTTCCTGAAGGTGAGATACAGATATATCGCCCTTCGATACTCTGAACAACAGAAGATCCGTCAACTTGCTACCTACCTACCATCAAAGCCATACTACATAGTATTGCTCTGTGTATGAAGCCGGCCTCCTGCTGCTTTAGTATATCGAACATCAGCCTTGCGCCAACATCATTAGTGTTCCGTAATCACCTCTCTTAGCCCTTATCTCGTTGCACTAATAATCTTACCCGGACTTAAGTGCCATGTCCTCCGCGCAATCAACACGCATTGGCCAATGTTGAAGGTCGACGCCCGCTGCATGATTGTTCGATGATGCGAGTCTGAAGCTGTTCCATCTTTCGAATGCCCTGTCGCATATGATTTCGGATCAAATTAGCTGTCGGGTTGCGTGATAACGCGCTCGGTTAGGGCGAGATGGACATGTACGATACCTCCAATATCACCGTGAAAGAACCAACTGACTCTGTCCAGCGGCCATGGGGGCCTGCGCCGACAGGCCTTCTCGAAGCTTGCAACGCTCTCGACTCATCGATCTCCTACCAAAGAAGCGGACTTCCGACGCCTGACCTCGTCCATCGCTCCCGCGCGGCCTCAAGCGAATGGTGTCCTCGATGGTGTCTTTCGTGCCATCGCGCCCACGTCTCGGACGCCCATGAGTCTTCGGGAGCTCGATGTCCTGCTGGCTCTCTGCGCCAGTGCACACGAATTGCACGACCTCTCCCAAGCGGAGCGCCTTGTCAAGCAGTTGGCAGAGTATCTACCCGAGGCGCACTCACAGTTGTTCGCGTCATCACCATTTGTCCACGAGATTCGCCCTGCGCCATGGACTGCTCTGACGTTCCAGCTTACCAAAGCCCTCCTCGTGCTGGGACTCAGATTTCGTCCCCTGAAAGAGACCATCTCATACAGTATCAAATCATACCTCCACAACTGGGCCCAGTCGGCTGCTGCAGTCGCATCCATCGGAGTACGGGACCAAGATGAAGAGGACGAATTTGAGGCTCAGGAGACCACCGCCATCACCGTATCGCTGGTCGGCTTCTTGGACGCCGCGGCATCACACGAGAACTTCTGGTCATCTTACGAACGGCTGGAGCTGATCCGCACTTTGAAGGGGTCCCTCTCAGAGGATTTCTTGATCGCCATTGAGACCGCATCTTCTGCAATTCGGCACTCTACATCATTCGATCCTAGTAGCAGAGACTGGAAGAAGTATCTCAAACGGTTCGCCGCTCAGGGGATTCCGGTAGGAGCAATGATGTTGCAAAAGGGATTCATGAAGCTCGTTCTCGCATGTACTGCCAGAATGATCTGCGACGAGCACACAGTGCAATGCGGAGACATACTTGACCAATTCATTGCTGGCACCCACATGAAGACCGCCAGAGACGACAGTATCACCGAAGACATGATTGAGTATCTGACCAAAATCAGTAGTGATCAGATCCGTACATTGGAGGACGGCTCAGATTATCTGCAGCTGGGTTCTGCCTGGCAACAACGGCTCGCATTTTCCGTCAAGGCATACGCCTTGGAGGCTTTCTTGCATTGCATGGTTCTCGATGACGATATTGCTGATCCGGATGACCTCTTTGGCTGGCTGGAGGATTCCATTGCCAATCAGGTTCAGATGGCTGACGTTGAGCTGGCCGACGTGGTCTTGAAGAGTCTGGCGGTTGTGGCAAAGCACATGCCGGAAGGGGTGTCTAACTTTGCTCGCATTCTGTTACGCTTCATCGTGCAGGGCACATCAGCTCCCTCTGCTGTGACAATGGCCGCACAAAGCCTGTCTCACGTACTGCGGATGTTGTCGCAGGATGCCATTATTACCACGATCTATTCACTTGGCAATGTCCTCAGCTCACAGACAGGGGCGGAAAAGGTACATCATCCATTTGGTATTTCAGAGTTCAACGGTCATCATGGGTCGATGTCCTCCGTCTCGAAACTGCGGACGGGGAGTGTCATCTCTCTATCGTTGAGTGGGGAGGAAGAGACCTCGTTAGTCTGTGGCAATGTTGCACATGCTATAGTGGTCATAGCCACCGAATGCAAGGACAGCAAGATCTTGGCTCTTGTGCAGACCATGATGTTGCAGAAGGTTGGAAGGATCAGCCTGCTGGTCGATGCTCGGATCATCGAAGGGGCTGCCAAACTTGCTGTGCATGGCAAAGAGAACGAGCTGAAGGCATTGCTAAGACTCTACGCCCGCTTGCACCAGGAGGCTGTGGCCCATGACAACATGGTCATCTTTGAAGCCGTCCGCAAGGCTGAGGAATATCTGGCCATGAACTTGGACAATCAGTCCCCTTTGTTCAAGATCTACGCGATGCAACTACTAGAAAGAATCCTTAGCAAAGGGGATGTTGTGGAAGGTGAGTTCAAGCAATCGGCCGAAGTCGAACAAGCGGCCAAAGAGATCGCTCCTCTTCTTAAACCCCTGTCGATACTGGCCACTCGAAAGCCGGCTTTGACTCTCGAAGACACCGTGGCGGAGGATGCCGATATCTTGTCCATGGCCCGGGAAATCTGGTATAATGTTGCTGTTCATGGAATCACCCTACAGTCGCGCATTGGACAACAGTATTATCACGAACTCCGCTTGTTGGCTGTCAACTCTTTGCCACTTGTCGACGAGGACCGTGCCGAACTTCTGGAGTCTGACGTTGAGCTGAACACGGTGCTTCGAAGGGGAATGAGTCCGCAGCACACGGCCGAGCAGAGAAAGAACCTAATCGCCGTGATACCGGACAGAGAACCTGACGTGCGCCAACTGAGCTATCAGAAAGTCGTCTTCCTGAATGCAGTGTTCTTAGTGGAGAGTCTGCGCGCGGCGTCTGGCAGCTGTGCCGAAATCCTTGACTACTTCCAAGATCCCACAACGCAGACAAGCCATATGGGTTCTTGCATGAGCTCAGTCGCGAGCGAGGTTGTCAAAAGATATACCCAGAAAGTGGTCGTCGCAAAGGAAGTCGAATTCAGTGCACCATATGTGTCCCGACAGCTTGCCCGGGTTTTCAGTGGTTGTTGTCACAGGAGTAGCAAAATGCAAGAAGTCGCCAGAGCAACAGCCAACCATCTCGTCACATTCGCCCCTTCGGCGTTATGTCAGAAGTCGGCTCTGTTCGCCCTGCTTGAACTGTTGTCTCTTATGTGGTCGAGCTGTCTCGACGCCGAAGTGGCCGAGTACGAGTGGCGTCCAATGCTTACTTCCACGCGAGGGAAGGTCACTATCGAACTCTCCGATGACTATGCCTTTCGCAAACGTACTTTGAACAGCCTCCACAGCGATGCCAGGAAGTGGGTTATGACGCTGATGAACGTTGCTCCACTGGATGTTAAAGGTCTTCTACAAACTTATCTCTCCCAGTTTGACGATACCGGCTCCTATGGCCACGCCTCACTGGGTCGATCGTTTGCTCTAGAGATGGGGTCTGTGATACCCTCGCTGGATCACCGGTTGGCTGCACTTGACAGGCAACGAGAAGCAGTTGACATCAATATGGCCTCGGACTTCATGGCTCAGTATACCACCCGGCAGGAGTATCGGTTCGCCGGTATTCCTGAACACCAACGAGGGAATGCTCACCTGGACAAGTCCACTGGGCGCAGATCATCCTTCGGTCGGACAACCATTGACAGTCGGGCGATGTTGCTCGATGCTCTTGTGAATCTCCATGAGAGGATTTGCCAGCGCACGACAGTTCCGCTTTCCGAGGTTAAGGATCTTCTTCGCAACGCAGCAGCTCTTCTGTGCCAGAGCAAGAAGTCGCAGACAGCCATTGTCTATCATTTAGTGCACATACCTTGTGATATTTTCACCAAGGAGTCAGTGAAACTCGGCATTTCTCTGTGGCTAGGAGTCATCCATGAGAACCCTAGAATGGAACCCAGGATACTGACGGAAATCGCGCAAGCCTGGGAAAAGACCATTGATCGCAAGCAAGGGATTTTCAGTCCTACGTTTCGACACGCGGATCCGTTCTATGTGAAGGAGGAGTTTGCCCCATCCGACCGGGCTGCCCTTCTGAAGCAGGCACAAGCCGCTCACAACACCATCTCCCCACATTTCAGGTTGGTTCAGTTCTTCGAAAGTCACGTCAATGCCATCCGACTCGGAAGTGCCAACACTCAGCGGACGTTTATACGATTGTTCGAGCGCACTTTGCGTGGCTTCACTCAAATCAAAGGGCATCCGCTGCTCCGAGAGATCCAGTTCCAGGTCGTTTGTGCTGCGCTCCGAGTTTTGCAATTCAGCACATGCATCAACAAACTCACCATGTGGAAACTGAAGGATTTGATCCTTTCTGTTGGCCTTCAGTGGTTCGCAAATCCACCTGCTTGGTCCTTTGGCGGAAATCGTTTGCAAATCAAGGCAGAGATCCAGGTCATGCACGATGTCATTGGCCTCCTGCAAAGCACCAGCAACCCCATCTTCGCAGCTTCGGCCACTAGAAAAGACTCTCGACAAAAGCATGATCTCCTGGAGGCTCTGCTCATCAATGAGATCACCCGGCTCAACGTATGGCTTGCACCGCTTGCCCAACAAGGACACCATATCGGTCCTCACATTGGCCACCATCATAGTCAATCCGATGTCCAAATAAGCGGATATGCTCGTGCAGCGTGGGCGGAGAATCCATCCCTGGCCATCCAGCTCGTCACGCGGTTCGCGGATGAAAATCTTCGTCGCAATGTCCGCTTCCTTCTGACCAACTTTTCGGAACGGGCTTTGGGCGAGGCTAATGCGCTTGATCTGCTACTTGGGGATGCACTACCGTCCGATGTGTCGTTCCAGCTGAAGTATCTACTGTACTGGAGCCCAGTCAATCCCATGCAGGCAGTGACATACTTCCTGCCGGCCTTTGGAAGCCATCCATTCGTGCTCCAGTATGCGATGAGGGCGCTCGAGAGTCACTCGATTGATGTGACATTCTTTTACGTGCCTCAGATCGTGCAGGCGTTACGCTACGATACCCTGGGCTACGTTGAGCGGTATATCGTCGAGACCGGGAAGTTCTCGCAGCTCTTCGCCCATCAGATCATCTGGAACATGAAGGCCAATGCATACAAGGACGAAGAGTCCCAAGTGCCAGACCCTATCAAGCCAACGCTAGATAAGGTGACAGACAGTCTGATTTCCAGCTTCTCGAGCTCCGACCGAGATTTCTATGAGCGGGAGTTCGAATTCTTCTCTGAGGTGACTGATATCTCTGGAAAGCTGAAACCGTACATCAAGAAGAGTAAACCGGAGAAGAAGGCCAAGATCGAAGAAGAACTTCGTAAAATCAAGGTGGAAGTCGGAGTTTACCTTCCCAGCAACCCCGATGGTGTCGTCGTCGGCATAGACCGGAAGTCTGGAAAGCCATTGCAATCCCATGCCAAAGCGCCTTACATGGCGACATTTAGGATCCGCAAGAAGAGGGACACGTCTGAGGAAGAGCTGAACAACATGATCCAAGCAGTCCCCAAGACCCGGCCGAATCTTCGCTACGGCCACAGCCGAAACAACACTAGCGACGGCGCTAGCCAAGAATTGACCGAGTCCAGCCCCGGGACCTACGAGGTTTGGCAGAGCGCGATCTTCAAGGTCGGCGATGATTGTCGTCAAGACGTGCTTGCCCTACAGATGATTGCGGCATTCCGCGGCATTTTCAATTCTGTCGGGTTGGACGTGTATGTGTTTCCGTACCGCGTCACCGCAACAGCCCCCGGCTGCGGGGTCATTGATGTCCTGCCCAACTCGATCAGTCGGGACATGCTGGGCCGTGAAGCGGTGAACGGACTCCACGACTACTTCATCACCAAATACGGCGGCGAGCACTCTGTCCGGTACCAAGAAGCCAGAAGCGAATTCGTCAAGAGCATGGCCGCCTACTCGGTGATCAGTTACCTGCTTCAGTTCAAGGACCGCCACAACGGGAACATCATGGTGGACGACAAGGGCCATATTCTGCACATCGACTTTGGATTCTGTTTCGACATTGCCCCCGGAGGCGTCAAGTTCGAGCGAGCTCCGTTCAAGCTGACGCCGGAGATGATTGCCGTCATGGGCGGCGACGATCCCAACACTTCCCAGTCGTATCGGTGGTTCGAAGAGCTCACCATCAAGGCTTTCCTGTGCAGTCGCCAGTATTGCGACAAGTTGAGCCATATTGTGGCTTTGATGCTGGATAGCGGACTGCCGTGCTTCAAGCCGGAGACGATGCGCAACTTCAAGAACCGCTTTGTGCTGGACAGGACGGAGCGCGAAGCGGCCGAGTTCATGCTCGGCTGTATCAAGAAGAGCGCGGCCAATGTCACCACCAAGGTCTATGACGAGTTCCAGCTGTTGACTAACGGTATTCCTTATTAGGGATGGCCGTTGGGAGGAAGCCAAAGAACAAAGAGTTGTGGACATGGACATTGACATGGACATTGATATTCAGGGTACTCTTTGATAGAATAATGTGTACAGTAGTGTATTCCAATCACTCAAGTACCGACACTGTTCGTGGAGGCAAGCGTTTCTTGAGACGAAGGTGCTGCATGCCACACGAGTTTTGCTTTCTGCCATCAGGAGATCTGCCATCAACCGTAAACAATAGACCCATGGCAAGAGCATGTGTTTTGGATTAGACCTAAGCCATCCACGCGCCTCTGCTGCACCAACTACGCAACATCGTTCCGTCACTTGGACACCAGACCAACCTTGGCCAAGAGATCCGTCAGAAATTGCCAGACCGCCGGTAATAGACGCAACTGCTCGATCAGCAGTGGCGCGACGACGACAAAGATGAGAAGAGCTGAGTGGAGAAGAACTCGATTAACATGTCATTCTTTCATTGGCAAGATCAGCCACTCGCAGAAAAAGCACAACACAACATACCAACAGCGGCCATGCCGAGGGGCGACCTTTTCGATTCTTTCTTCTTGTACACGGCTTCGGGCTTGCCCATGCGCTTTTCGACGCCTTTGGCGTGTTTTTCGTTGGCGCGTCTCTGGGCGGGTGTTTGAGCCTAGAACAACGGATCGTGGGTGAGTAAAGCCTTGGTTTGGTTTGGTTGGACACGTAATTATATCGAGCGGCGGAGCGGGTGTGAACTGACCATTATGGTTATGATTCGGAGAGGGCTAGACGAGGAAGTGAGCGGTCCGTGTAGAACAGCCTGTCCTAAGGTTGTTGAGTGTTGGAAGACGTGCTCGAGACGGTCGTTACAGGCTGAGTTGCAGTATAGAAAGACCTAGGAGAGAATCGTGGAACTGCTGATGTTGTCACAACCCACTGCAGGAGATATCTCTCAGGTATTTTGTTTGGTATGCCAGTCTGCTGCTTGTGTCGGGTTCAGATGCTGTTCTTGTTGAGGCGCGTCGTTACCGTTCTCGAGAGAGATGTTGATAGATAACTCTGTTTGTTCGATAGGAGGTTGAAGTGTTATATAATTGAGGCTGATGGACACTTGATCATTGCTGAACCCCTTTCGACGTCGGTTTGGGAGACGCGACGTCGCCTGTTCAAGTTCAAGTTCCGCCGGGCGCGATGCCAAGGCTGAGAGCCGTGTTGATAAGATAAGATTGATAACAGACTAAGCAATCACTCGCAAGACGTGGCTGCGCTAAATGTTGGTATGTTCCGACGTAGTGAGATGTTTCACCGTACTGTACTTTGCACACTACGCTGTGCACCAGACATCTCCCCCTCTCATTCATTCAATACTCAATACTAGCCACGTCCCTGATATTCGCAACCCCCGGCCCGTCACTCCTCTCGCTCAACGCTCGACGAACGCTGAACCGCGCAATGTAACCAACAGGCCCCGCCGGGATCTTCTCATACTTTTGGGTCTTTTCAATGACGTCCTCCCGGGATGCTGCACGATAAGCATCCATGACAGTCAAGAAAAGATGTCGTGCCTGAACCGCTTACCTCCTCATCTCCTCACCTGATGTTGCAGTGTACCTCGACCAGTCCTTCAAGGCATCCTATCGCTTCCAAGCGACCAGCCGTCGGCCATCTTGGCAGTGTAGCTTGTAAAGCCTGCGCCTTTCTACAAGAGGCAGACGAGTACAACTCACGGTGCAGGTCAATCGTGATCGACCAGGCGGTCGAGAGTCATGGTCGGGTGTATGAGGCGAGCAGAAGAGGTATATGAAAGGTATCTCCGGGTTTTCCCAGGCGAGGCGCTTCCTTTGCTTGACCTGAATACACATCCCTTTCGCCAATGAAGTCGACACCTACTTTATCTCTTCTGGCCTTCCAGGCTTCATGTGTGGCTACATTTCAGCCAGAGCATTTGCGCGAGACCGTCTTCGACCCTTACCCAGTTCTGGCAAGGCGACAGGATGTGGCATTCCCACCCGTCTTGGACCAAAACGAGGCCATACTGGCCAACTCGTTCGACAACGCCTCGCTTGAAACGTGGTCTTATTATTACACCCACGGTCTCCACATAGCCGGGACTAATATGACCATGGCTCAGTGGACTGCTGATCGCTGGAATGAGTTTGGTTTTATGGCGGGGTTGGCCTCGTATTGTATGCCGCAAGCATCTCCAACTCTTGCAATCTGACTGATAGACTCCAAGACACATACCTCAACTATCCAGTGTCGCATTCATTGTCGGTGTCGTTCGCCAATGGATCGACTTGGTCTGCTTCACTGCAGGAAGAGCCGTTGGTCGAGGATGAGGTCACCACTTACCCCAACAGCGTGCCTACTTTCCATGGCTACTCCTTCTCTGGGAATGCCACGGCAGAGTACGTCTATGTGGGGCGAGGCCAGCAGGTGGACTTTGAACGAGTGAAAGCCTTGGGCGTTTCACTCGAAGGCAAGATCGCCTTGGCTCGTTATGGCGGTCCTTTCCGTGGGCTCAAGGTCAAGAACGCTCAGGAGAATGGCATGATTGGTGCCGTCATATTTACTGATACGGCAGATGATGCAAACATCACCGAGGCCAACGGCTACGCTGCGTATCCATACGGACCGGCGCGGAATCCAACTTCCGTGCAACGAGGAAGCGTCCAGTATTTGTCCACCTACCCTGGTGATCCCACGACCCCGGGGTATCCTTCAAGGTTCGATTCCCCTCGTACAGACACGTCGGATGTCACACCGAGGATTCCATCACTGCCGATATCGTGGAAAGATGCTCAACCCCTGCTCCAAGCTCTCGACGGGTACGGTCCAAGTGGTGAAACGGTCAACCGCACCAACTGGGTCGGCAAACTTAACGCAACTTACTCCACGGGACCGGCTCCGGGCACTGCGATCTCGTTGTCCAATGTCATGAGAGACGACATCACTTGGATCTGGGACGCTATTGGGATCATCAATGGAACTCACGAAGACGAAGTGGTTGTGGTCGGCAATCATCGCGACGCCTGGATCATCGGTGGGGCTGCCGACCCCAACTCTGGCTCGGCGGTGATGATCGAGCTTGCTAAAGCGTTTGGGGCATTGCTTAAGACCGGTTGGAAGCCTAGACGTACGATCGTACTGTGCTCCTGGGACTCGGAAGAGTATGGCCTGCTTGGCTCAACCGAATGGGTTGAGGATTATATCCCCTGGCTGACCACAGCTGCCGTGACCTACCTGAATGTCGATGTTGCCACGTCTGGCCCCAACCCCGAGCTGTCTGCCTCGCCCGAAATCCACGAGATCGCCACTGAGATGATGAAGAAGGTTGTCTACCCATATCGCGGCTACAACAACCTCACGCTATACGATGTCTGGTACAGTCTCACTGAGGGTGAAATCGGTGTGTTAGGTTCGGGGAGTGATTACACCGCTTTCCTCCATAACGGTATCAGTTCCTTGGACATTGGTGCCGGCGGAGGCCCTACTGACCCTGTTTATCATTACCATTCCAATTATGACACCTTCCATTGGATGAGCACGTTCGGTGACCCTGGTTTCGTCACCCACAAAGCGATCGGGCAGTATCTGACCTTGTTGACGTACCATGTGGCCACTGACCCGATTATACCTTTTAAGGTCGAGAACTACGGGGTGCAGATGACATTGTATCTGGAAGACCTTGCCGAGGACGTTGCATCTGCAAATGCCACTGTCGACCTGTCACCCCTCGAATCGGCCGTTACATCCTTCAACACCTCGGCTGCCGCACTTACCCAGCTGATCGGTTCAGCCTCGACGGAAGAGGAGATCGGTCTTGTCAATGCCAAACTGAGGGATTTCAGTCGCGGGTTTGTGTCGCAGGGTGGGCTGCCAACAAGAGAATTCTACAAGCACGTTGTGTTTGCGCCGGGCCTGGATACCGGGTATGCTCCGACTACCTGGCCTGGGGTCACGGAGGCGGTGGAGGCAGGAAACTTGACTCTTGCAAATACCTGGGTGCAGAAGTCTGCCAGGGCTGTCGAGGTTGCGGCTGCCATCTTGGCGCCTTGATTAATGGTGTCTTTCTCCCATGGGTTTGGTCTTGACACTGGGTTTGGTCTGCTCAAGCACCATCGATCAAGTTAGTCCGGTCTTGGGGTTGGAGGGGGCACGGCAGGCGAGTGAGGCTTGTTGGCAGTTGAAAGAGGCTGTGAACGTAGGTTCATAATGCTACAGATTGCAAAAGATAATGTCAGTCGTGTCATCCCCAGACACCTTCCTCCTTGCAGCAACGTTGGCATTCTTGTTGAAAGTCTCCTCTGCTCCCCAGACCATAGTCCCCTGACACCGTTCTGGCCCACGGCACATGTGTGACTGATACCGTCATTTTTGGGCTCGGTTGCATCCGCCGTGGCCAAAGCCATTTCAGTCTATTCGCTTGTCGTGCCCTGGCGCTCTCCAGCATCTTCTCCCATGTCCACGTCTGTCTTCTTTTCCGAGTCTGGGTTCGTCTCCTTCTCTATTTCTGCCTCCATATTCAGAGCTCCCTTGCTCTTTGTCTTCTCTTCTGAGTCTGCGTTCATCTCCTTCTCTATTTCCGTGTCCTTGTTCAGAGCTCGCTTGTCCTTTGTCTCCGTGCTCAGCTGGAATTCTGCCAACGAATTTTGAAGCCCTTTAAGTTCTTCAGTCAAGGCGGCCTCCCGCTCACGGGCCTCCTCAAGCTGTCTGCTCAGATCCTCATGTTGTGCTCTTGCAAATTGGAAGCGGTTGCAAAACTCCATGATTTGCTCCTGGAACCGGCGGGCGTGATCGGCCATACCTGATATACCTGCTCTTTCTTCACGAAGAGTGTTTTCCAATGACTCGATCCTGTTTCGACTCGTAGCAATTTCGACATCTTTGGCAACACCTTCCCGTATGAGATCTTTTAGGAGGGGTTCGTCGGCCAGTGCCCTCTCCAGCCTGACCTGTACCCAGTTGAAAATCTCATCTGGCAGCATTTCCTCTGGGTTGATATTCAGGTAATGGAGCAATCGATTCCAGACCTCTGGTGCCAGGGCGCTCAGGGCACAATGTTGCATATAGGGCACGACCGCCACTCCTAGGCGACGCCGGAAATGATGAGCAACCGCGCTTGCTTGGGCCGGGGTCCGGTGTGCTGGACAAAGACATAGCTGTGCGAGGAACTCGAGCTCGTATGTGGGGACCCGGTCAGGAGTGCTCTGGGCTATGGCCCTAAGTGATCTCTCGATGAGGGGGATATCTATCTCATGGAGGAGAGCGACACAACGGAGGTAAGGATTGCTTTCGTGTCGTCCATGGCAGTATTTGGTGTCAGTGTACGGGTAGGTGATCTGTAGCACCACGTCGGGATCCCACCCATATACCATCGTGTAAGATTGATCGTATAGATGTCTGTCCACCCTAGTAGATGTGTGTAAATAAGTTGATACAAATATGGGGAGATGTTCCGTAAGACAAGGTTGAGAGAGTCAGCCACCAAGTTTCGCATCTTTTCTATTGCGTCTCTCTTGCATCGTTCTTTCCTCTCTACGGCTTCCAGATACATGGCAATTGCCAGGACAGTAAGTCGTCCGCCATTGCCGCAGGAGAGCAGGGCCACCTGGTCTCTTCTTGCCTTTTCTGGAATGCAGCTCATCCAATCCAGAACTGATTCAGTTTTTCTTCAAAGACTGTCAGTGGGATCAACTTTCCAGTGTCACTGTGACCATCCTCAGTCGTGTGCCTTGACCCGCCCACATCACAGGCAGGCCACCCACAAGCCATAGGGCTTGGCATCTCCCTGATGATGCTTTTACCCCTGAATCAAGTGCAACGCACAAGATCTTGTTGAATGGTGACATGATAGCGCTGCTCTAGTTGGGCTGAGTACAGTTAGGACGAGGGTGAGTGTCCCTCCAGATGAGGTCACTCCACAAGCTCTAGGTCCGGGGTGGAAAGCATCGACCTTCTCCGACCGTTGGAGATGCTGGTGCACGATGCCAGTTTTGGCGGGCAGGGGAAAAGCCGACGTCAACCAACATGCCGTTCGGTATCTGTATACGCTGAAAGAGCTCTGCGAATTGTTCGGCGCAATTTGGGTTCGCATATATCTCGAAGATCTCAGTATATCAGCATGGTTGACCTTCACTCTCTGCCATCCGGATCGCGGCCAGAAAAAGCTGTTCGTAACAATGGCCCAGAGGATCTTGTTCTGGAGAGATACAAGCTACGCGAGCTCGCAGAGGGCTGGCCTCTTTATCGGTAGATTGGTGGCACTCTTGATTTGATGCCTTGTTAATAGAGCCGTTAGTGATGCGTGCGAATGGGAGAACTTGAAGTCCATTTTTCATCCCGACGCCTACGTGTACACCACCTGGACCGGTCGTACTCACTATTTGGATTTCATTGCTGCCTCTCAAGCTGGAATGGACAAGGGGGCCTTCATCATGCATCGCTGCCACGGCATCTCCACAGACATAAACCGAGAAGTCACTCGAGCCGTCACCAAGATGAAAGCCACCATCACTCAGCGATTTACCATCGATGGATGTGACGTGGATGCAGAAAGTGACTGCCGCTTCTGCTTTTTCTGGGTCAAGGTGCCTGAATCGGGCGAATGGCGGGCAAAATATGTTCGTCACTGGTATGAGAAGGTATAGTACTTATTGGTGTCTGAGGTGAAAAGTGGTCACAACTGACTAAGTTGCAGGACAAACTCATACCCGTCAACCCAGCCAAGGTGCCTATATTGGACGAAACCAGTCTCAACCAGTACCCGACCGGTTATCGATATCTCGCCTATTGTCAGGAGAAGACCATGGGGATCAAGGTTCTCCTCGACATGCCAGGTCATAGGAGAGAGAACAGGGTCGAAGGGGGCAGCAAGACCTGCGGAGAGAAGCATGACCTTCTTTACTGGCAATGTAAAGCCTGGCTTGAGGGATCCGATGTTGAAATCTAAGGAAGAGAGGCGGGTCAGACTCAGGCCACAGGCGTTATCATATCTGACTGTCCCCATCATGAACTTGGCCAGCCATTCCCTCTGTCCCCCATTCAGGACCAGCTGGGAAAAATGTATCGGATGAAAACATAAACATAGTACTCGAGCGTGGTCGGACCAGAAGGAAGCAAATCAGTCATAACAATGCCAAACCATGGGCTGGACTATTGCCAGGGTGCCCCGAGCACTTAGCCTTTAACGACACGGACGGACCCTTCGTGAGCATTGTATCTGTGCCAACATCTGCATGCTCAACCATAACGCAGAAAGGTCATGTTATGATCGATCCACAAGCTGGTTCTAGCTGCAAGAAGAATCAAGATAAAGTTGTCGTTGGAATTGCAGAAAAGGGGGAGGAAGGTGGCCTCTCCAGGTCTGTGGACATAAAACAATTAGTGCAAACCTAGCAAACTCGGCAAATCAAGCAAACTAAAGCTTGATTGCACCTCAACCATTCGTTCGCTATAAACACTGGCACAGCATACTATCATATCCTTAAAGCTTCTCACCGGGCAACGCTTCACAGCAGCAGCAGCACGATGGCCCAGGATCGTCGCCATACTGGATTATAAACCCTCTCCAACCCATTTGGCCAACAATATGAAGTCCTTACTGATCCGTTTGGCGACTCCGCTACGCCCGACCAAACTCCCCTTTGCCCTACAATCCACAGTTCTAAGTGCAAGCCGACTTCGATGTCTAAGCACAACCAGGCCACTACGACAGGCACCTTCTCAGCCTCAGCAGGAACGGCCCGTTAACTTCTACCGAACTCACGGTCGGGCGCTACTGAAAGCGCTGACGCTGGCATTCCTCACATATCAGATCGCATATTGGGCATGGCTCACCCTGGAGACGGAGGAGATCAAGGACCAGAAAAACCGTGAAATCAAGAGCTTGGAAAACGAAGTGCGACTCCTGGACGAGAGTCGGAGAGCGCAGAAGTCCAGTGGTTAAAGTGACGACCCTCGATCATGCGGATTTGAATGTGACCTATCAGGCAAACAAGGAAAGGAAAGGATCCTGTTACTGAGAGTCTGGACCCGGCTACGAGATGCGGTTTGGAGAAAGGTTCTAGCAACGGGTTCGAGACAACAATCCAAATGAAAGCGGACTCCGAACGTCCAGATTTCAGCGGAACCCGTCCCGCTTCTCAAACATTTCCTAGCGAGAACGACGCATCATGACACGAGCGAAATGCTTGTTCCCTGTTGAAATGAACTCGGCAGTCTATCCTCTCAAAAAAAAAAAAAAAAAAAAAAAAACCCTGCCAAGATCAGAAGCAAGCAAATACATCCTTTCGCGCGGGCTTGTGGACCATGGAACGAGAATGGCGCAGCATGTCCTCTTGAATATTGATTCCGACGCCTTGTTGCCAGTGTCTGACAATGGAGAACCACATGGCTCGATTCTCCCAGCTCTCATACTCTCTTTGTCTGACTTCTCCGCGCTACGTCGTCCACTGCCTTATATATCAACAACTCCATCCCCATCTACAGCATCATCTTCTCGACCACCACCACGACCATGTTTGACGCCGTGGTCTCCATCATCTCCATCGCTTTCCTTACCATCCCAACCGCTGTCGCTCTCCCGTTCTCGCCGTTTTCGTCAGAATTGCAGTGGTCCCAAGCATCAATTGTTCCCACCAGAGCAACAAGACTCCAGCATTAGGCCTGTCAGCCACTGCGACAGGGGACACCTCTATAGCTTCGCTAACCATGCTAACGCTGATCCTAGTCCCGACAGCTACCCTGACGGCTAACCCGGTGGTCCTGGATACCCACAGTATCCTGCATCTCCGGTGGTCTCTGTTTCTACCTCAGTTCCTGCTCCGGTCGTGCCTCACCCTGCACAAGGGCCTCTCTCACTGTCTTTCCCCCGGCACACCAGCACTGTAACAAGACCAGCGACGTCGGCCGTGTTCATCAGAGACCGAGGATAGTAAGGTTACTATCTTCCCTGTGTGCATGACCTCTATCACACCGGATCTTCTGGTCGCTTACTGGTTTGGCTTTATGTTCCTGAAGTAAGTGGGTTACGTACTACGATAAACCTTCAGGTATTCAACACACGAGACACTGTCACAAGAGATGAAACAGCAGCTGCGCTGGTCCTGGTACCTCGAAAGCATCGGTTCAAACTTGCTTCGATATATTCGTGCCGATCCCACAGTGCTCCACGGAGGTCTGTGTTTTTGTCTCTTGTCATGTCTATTCTTGGAAACCCATATATCTTCGTACCAATGACTCTTCAAGGCGCTTGTATGCATTTTCCATCCAGCGCAGATAGATTGGTCCCTCACCCACCATGTCGATGGCGGAGGAGAGACATACGGGGCCCCTCCTTTCTTTCCGGCGAAAAGTACCCGTATTGCAAGATCGATAACCAAGACGCCAGACTGGCCTGATTATCACCCCGGCAGTAGTGGCTTGTACTTATCCAAGCCGCGTCTTCCTGTATTGTCATCTTCTTTGCCCAATAGATCTGAGGTAGCGCCAGTCGTCTTCGAATCCCTCCTTGGCGGTAAAGGAGGTGCTACTTCCGTATCTGTCCAGTTCTGGCTGAAAGCACTGCTTCTCCGCGGAGACTGAGACTGAGACGTGGAACCGACACTGCCATCGCGCGGCCTCTGGGTTTGGAGCTGCGAAACTCTCGCCCGATGTGGCGGCGGCGGCGGTAGTGGTAGTGGAGGAAGGACAGTGCCTCTGTGCGTCTCGGAGCCGGGGAGCGCCGAGGGCGAATTGTCTGAAGCACTGACAAACGATGCTGATGAACTCGCTGTTCCTGTACGCTTGGGTAAAGGGGGAGGGTGTTCTTCGGTTGCGGCAAGGGATGCTGGACCACGATTGGACGACAGACCCGGACCTGAGCGAGAAACACTCGTCGGTCGAGGAGTAGGAACAGGAGCAGGAAGAGGAGTCAAGTGTGGGACGACTGTCGGACTCGAAGCGGATCCAGACGCGGTCGCCAGAGTAGAAGGCTTGGCTGGTTTGGGAGGTGGCCTTTTCTTCTCAGACGGGGCTATTGACGTCGACCTCGACCTCGACGGCGGCTGGGCGGCATCTCCTAGAGACTTCGCTGGAGACCGTACAGGCGAAGAAGTAGCACTGGCAGTGTCAGTACCTGACGCAGAAACGCCTCGGGTGCTAAGTGTGGGAGGTGGTGGCTGTTGTTGAAGGGGTTTCGTTTCCGTGGATGTCTCGCCCTTCTGCTGTGGCGACGACGAAGACGCCCTTTCTCCCTCCCAGGCAGGCGGGACCATTCTTCTAGTACCTCGTGCCGGGGGAGGTTCGGGTTTCTTGCTGGACGCTCTGCTAGACGGCATGCTATTGATGTTGATGTTGTCCATGACAGGAGGTCTTTCGACCTTCACCCACTCGTCTTCTCCACCTTCTCTCCAGGGGTTGCCTTCACGATTCTTGTTCAACATCATGTCTTCTTGCGGTGGTCGGATGGTGCTTCGAGCAGCTCTGTTCCCATCTAGCCACCATTTCCTTTTGTCGCTGCTGGCAGGCGGAAGACCTTCTTGAATGCTCTCGTACCCGGTCACGCTTTCGTTGTCGTCCTCTTCACTGCTGATCTCTTCAATGGCGTCAGCTAATTCATCCCCAGCATGGATTTTCATTTCTTTTGCTCTCTTAGAGTATAGTTTCTTGGTGAGGGTCTCCTTTTTCTCCTCGTCCACCACCAAAATGCCCATCTCGAAGGTCGCATATACCGGCTTATGATCGCTGAACCGCAAAGACATCACGCTGTCGTATGCGAGTTGCTTCATTTGTGTCCCTAGGATTTCCCCGGCCTGCACAGCCGTGCTTCTGTGGTTGATTTTCCAGACAATCCGATCAGTCCAAGCAGGTATACGTTGCTTCTCACTAGTGTCGAAGTTGTCCGTACCAATGTCGTATTTGTAGGTAGGCAAAAACTTGACTCGTCCTTCCCGGTAGTAGTTGAAACAGTTTCCCACGACCATTTGTATATTCAGCTGATCGTTCTCGTAAAGCCGGCCTAGCGCTTCTTCCCGGACTTTCTCTGAACCAGTCATGGCCTCATTGACCAGTGCTCTGGCTTTTTCGTAGCTCAATCCAATGCGGTAGTTGAAGTCGCCGGCCCAGACGATAACCTCGTGATCCTCAATGCTTCGGTTGCGCTGAAATCTCAGCCCGGACGTGATTGTGTTGTAGTCGCGGTTGCGTTCTTCATAGTTGGCAAATCCGGCGGCCAAATGGGCGGTGACGAAGCACACAGAAGTGCTCTCGATTTCCATTCTGATGGCAACGGCACCCTTGTTGCCAGCAATACCACTCATTCCGGTCTTTTTGATTGCTCCCTCGACGTTCTTGATCCGGCTGAGAATACTGGACCGAACGAAAACCATCAAGGCGGCGCCAACGAGTTGTCCGCTTCTCAGAAGCACATAGTCATCTGACCTACCTGAGGGCCCATGCGGCTTTTCTTCTCCATAGCCATTCAGACAGTTTCTCACCGCTGTCTCCCACAAGATTCTCCGCTTTGGGTCTGTACTCATGATCTGTTGCGGGCTCAATTCCACCAGCTCCTGGAAGCCTATGACAACAATGTCAAGGTCTTTATCGTGAACGTCCAACCACGGTCGAAGGTCCTCGTTCGCCCCCATTGTCTTGCCGTTCAAGTTATACGAACCCATGCCGAGCTTGATTTGGTCTCTGGTCTCGAACTCTGTTCTCCGCCTTGCGACTTCTGCGACCACCCAGTCATTGACTGGATCATACAGGTCTACACTGTTCTGGCCGACGAGTCTGCCGAGCAACAGATCGACCGTGTTCTGCCTGTTCTTATCTTCGAAATGATTGACGTAGAGGCGTGTTGCACTTTTTCTGGCATCTGCGATGGCGCCGGCAAGACTCATCTTGCCGTGTCTGGTGAAAGAACTCTTCAATGCCCCTGTACCAGCATAGATCTTCGAGAGCGCGTCCCCGTTATCTGCCCACAACGTAGAATGGCGCATCCAGAAATCGGAGTTGCCCCGTTCATCTCGATGCGACAAAAACAGTTCAATGGCCATCTGGCTGATCAAACCTTGGATGAGGTTCGTCCGGTCCAAGCAATCCAAACAGTTGACCCGAAACACCCCGTTCTGCTGCATGACTACCACTGGTCTCTTGACGATCGTCTTCTTGCCATTGATGACTGTCTCTTCGGGAATCTCTTCCGAAAGAAAATAAACAAACGATTCTGCGCTAGACTCCAGATAAGGTCGGATAGCTCTAGCCCCATCGTACCCAGTGGCTTTCGTACGCTCGTGAAAGTCGAACTCTGTTTCTCGTAAGAGATGGTGTTCCTCCATTTCACCCTCCTCATGACGGAGGAGAGGGCTTCTGTTCACATGATAACGATATCTCTCGGTGAGTTCAACTTCGCCAGGCTTTAACGCACTGAGCAGATTGACAATATGAACGGCTCCATATGTCCTCTCCAACATGGCAAAATGCTTGTCGAAGCTGGGCTGCGTGGCTTCAGGGGAGCGCGTGATTTGTATTTTCTGTTGTCCAGGTATTAAGCTGCTCGAACTTTCCCAGAAGATAGGAATACTGCCACGAATCTGAACGTATGAGAAGCAGAGTCCCGTGTTTGACCAAAATACAGTCTCGGTCTCGACAAAATTGGCCACATTGCCATCATCATCGACGCCACGAGAATTGAAGCGTGTTCCTGCGCGTCGTGACGATAGCCTTGAGATCACGGTCAAGGTATTGGGCCGTCCAGGAGTGGTGCCGCGGATCGGAGACGAAGATGAGGGCACAGTTAGAGTCTTCACAAACCCTCGGATCACTGAGGTAAGCAGACGAGATCGATCGAGCTCATTCCGTTCATGGTCAGTCAATCTGCTTCGGAACTTCAGAAGTGGATCAATCATGTACGAATTCCACAAGAGGCCTTGATCGAGGCTTGAGATGTCGACTGTATCGGCCGTAGAGACTTCCTCAGCACTGTAAGGTGTCAGCTGTGCAGGGTCCCAGCGTGAGAGGCAACCAACCGATCCTGCAGCCGACAAGTAAGGTCAAAGTCGACACTGTAATAGAAGTGACCATTGCTCAGGAGTTTCCTCAAGGCCTGGAACGGGTGCTCGGCGCTCGAGTCGCTTTGATCGTAACCTCCCCCATAATCAACATCATCGGACTGAAAGGTCTGGCCGGGATACGGATTCGGGTAGGGTCCGGAACCGTGGTCATAGTCCGCGCGGTTCAGGCAATCTTCGCTTCCGTAAGTATTGTGGGCTTGTAATGACCTGCTCAAACTTACAGAATTCGACGGCAAAGATCTTGTGCACAGTTTCCCCCGGTCTCACAGTGGCTACAATTTCTGAGCCGGTGATGACGCAGAGAAAGACATCGTTGTTGAGGGTAATCATGCCCAAGGCGCCCTTGGCTGTGGCCACAGTATGGAACTGGCTTAGGTCAATGAACGATCTCTCCCCAAATTCCACCATGCACCGCGGGGTGAAATTCCATCGATTGGCATTTGGCGTCGGTAGGTTGGCCGAACTCGACGCCTTCACGCTCTCCGGCGGAGGGGAGTGGGTATGCCGAAAGACAAGGACATGTTCATCAGTAGCCAATGCCAAAGTCCGGTGCGGGTAGTCGTGGATCAGAACCCTGGTGGACATGGCGGCGAGAGCTACCGGAGTGACCGCGATTTCCGTTGCATTGCTAGTCTAGGATGGATGATGTGTTGACGGATGACGGCGTAGGCGTAGTTACAACCGGATATTGAGTGAATCTTGGTGTTGACCCGGGCCGGTCGGGTGCCGTGCTGGGTTGCTCAATTGGTGACGTGAATCAGCGACAGCACAGCTCCTGATGGCGAGGCTACCGTGCTGACAGACCCAACCGATAATCAATACAGTGATTTCCCTACAGCAGGCCTCTCCGAGGGATTATAGAGCGTTAGAGATGTGTCAGTCAGCAATATATCATGGTAATCAAGTCGAATTCGAAGAAGTGAGGTTGAATTGTTCAGCCGTCCACGTGACCTGATTACGTAAAACCTTGATGTGTCATCACTCGATTCACAGGCATCACAGATTCCATCAACAACATCTCTGGCACCACCTGCCCTTTTATTCTTGGTATGAGTGGACAGAAATATAGAGTCGTTGGAAGATGGTCCAGTCATCACAACACATGCCGCATCTCGACTCGGCCAGATCACCTGCCGTGCCTCACCATCCAACCGGAATTTGGATATCTCAGAATGAGGCATCTGAACACCCAGGCCTGACATGATTCCCACAGTCACCATCGATATTGTCAAAGGAAGAAGTCATTGAGACATTCACCTGCATTCCCATATGCTCATTCATACCAGGCACTCCCCCGAATCGGAAGAATCAACGCTGAATGTCACATGCAGTCTGAAAACGCCCGCTAAGTCTTTGCTTTCGTAAATTCATCACAGCATGATACCGCCTATCCCACCCGCCTTCTCTCGTCCCCTGAGGCATGAAAAACCAATCCCGATGATTCGAGAGGAAAAAGCCATGCCTCCTGATGTAGCCTATGTCAACGGCTCCCTTGGGTCGACGCCACGAACCGATCTTGACCGAGAAACGTTGGACTGATGAACCGAGACGCGTAAACGTTGACGGGGTGTGAGAGCTGCAATGGATGCAAAACGAACAACGCCACCCAAGCTTCCACCCCCTGGTAATCATCTGGCTCGAGCCCCTTTTATCCAGTGGTTCTCGATCTGTCCAACGCTTTAACGTCGACTTCAGGCAGCCGCTCACATAACGGTGCATGCGTCTTGTTCGGCAGCACCGTGCTGGGGTTTTGCGACTACATCAGGCTTTTTTTCACCTTTTAAAGACCGACTGGGCCGCGCGGGAGGCCCTCCCAACATCCATGCGGCCAGTCCGCCTGGTTTTCTTTTTTTGCCTGCCGGTAGAGCAACAAAGTCAGCATAATTTCAGGAGACAGACCCACACCACAGTCAACGCATACCTTTTTTGTCCTTCCTGGAGCTCAGCTCTTCATCTAACGCCAGGATGGCGTCGCCATCGAGGGGAGGAGGCGGCGGGACCTCCTCTTCTTTCGGTTCCGGGATCGGCCACATCATCATGGTAATATGCATGTCGGGCTCAATGGTCGACTCCCAATAGTTGGGCATAATAATCTCCTTGTCGGGCCCGATCAAATCGTACCGCCCGTTCGCGACATGTTCGGCTAGGCCATCGATGTGCGCAAAGGCCTGGTTGATAAGGCCTTCCATATCCTGAGAAAAAGTCAATCATCCTCATTCAAGAACAATACAAATGCCACTCACCCTCCATCGGCAGCATCTTTCCCACGGAAAGTTGTAGTTTCGTCCGATGGCATCCTTGAACCGCACCGGGGCTTTCTTCTCCGGAGCAGTCGCGGCAGCCGCCTTCTTTGCCGCCTCTTCAGCTTCCGCCTTGGCGTTGGCCGCAGCCTCCTCAGCCTCTTTCAGCTTGGCTTGCGCTTCTTCTTGTGCTTTTCGGGCCTCCTCCTTCAATGCGGCCGCTGCTTCGGCGGCCTCTTTCTCGGCGGCTGTCTTGGCGGCTGCGGCTGCCTCATCAGCAATCTGCTTCTCTGCTGCTGCCTTGGCCGCCTTAGCCGCCGCCTCTTCCGCTGCAGCCTTCAGGGCAGCATCTGCCGCCTCTTTGCGGATCTGTTGGTCTCGTGCCGCCTGCTCGGCTACTTGACGGACTTGTTCTTCGTAAGCTCGGATCGCTTCTTGCTTTGCTTCATCTCGGATCCGCTGCTCAGCCGCCATACGGTCGGCCAGCGCAGCAGCATCCGCCCGGGCTTTTGCCTCTGCTGCCCGGATCGCTTCTTCTCGAATGGCTCGTTCTTGGTCCGCGCGAGCAGCTGCGGCTTCAGCTTCCGCTCGAGCCCTTTCTGCCGCTTGGACCAAAGCCTGGTCTCGAATCCGCTTCTCTTCTTCAGCGCGTATGGCGTCTTCTCTCGCTCGGTCCTCGGCCTGTCGAAGGGCCTGTTCTCGGATGCGGCTTTCCTGCTCGGCCCGGGCAGCGTCGGCTTTGGCTTTCTCAGCAGCTTGGGCTTCTTTGGAGAGCTCGGCTTGGGCTCGTTCTTCCTTCATCAAGTCCGCAAAGCGTTTGAACATTTCTTCCGGATCCGCATCTTTCTTAACCTCGAACTTGTCGACTGATGCAGTGGCGGAACCTGGCTGTGGCGAGGGTATGACCGGAGGAGCCATCCGATAGTCCATGTAAGGGAAAGGCATCTGTTGGTGATACTGCATGAACGGGGGCGGATATTGCTGCCCTGGAAATTGAGGCGGATATTGAGGTGGGAAATATCCTCCTGGAGGTGGAGGTCCGTAGTTGATCACGGTGGGAGCACCATAGGGAGATGATGTGTATGGAGCGCTCACTTGAGACGCGGCGGGGTGGCCATATCCACCCCCATAGCCCGAATGGGGAGGAGGATATGGCACTGGCTGACCGGCAGCCATAGGAGGATACGGAGGTGGGAATGGTACCGCCAAAGGTTGAGGATGCAGGGGGATCATCTGGTTGGAATGCGGCACGGCAGGATAGGCATAAGAGCCAGACGAGCTGCTGTGGGGGTACCCGTTGTGCGCATAGTATGATTGAGGGCGCGGCATGCCCGAGCCCAGATCCCGCCTGGCCAGGAACTCTTCCGTGGAATCGCCGCTTTCCGTGGGTGACGTATCTTGTAAGTCCCGTGTTCGACTGCGCGTCGTCTCGCGCCGGGCAGGTTGACGGCGCGAAGGCTGTCGGCGGGTGGAACTAGATCTAGAGTCGTAATGCTGCACCCTCTCCCGATGATCTATTCTTGATGCCAGGTCTGAGCCATCTCCTTCAGCCAGCTCTGGAGGATATTCCAATGTAACGAAATCGCCAGGATGGGAAGACGAACCACTCTGGCTCTGGGTTGGTTGAATGACGGAGTATTGAGGAGAGATCTCGGCAGGGGAGACTTGCACACCGTTCTCGTGGAGTTCGTCGTCGCCCGAGTTTGGAGAAGGCGAGCGTGAACGGACGTGGGTTATGTCAATATGGGTATGGCTGTGACGGTCAGTAGAACTAACAGTAGCGGCGTCAGTATTGCCAGAACAGCCCGGATAGACCACGCACCCCATTGGAATTGAGTGAGGTCAAGGGAGACCGCGTCCAACCCACCCCTTGGGGAAGGCTGAACGAGATCGCCTTGAAGGGTTGTCAGTTGAAGGGATGCTAACCGGACCAACAATAGGGCTGACTTCAGATTTCCGGACCGTCCAGAGAGGAGCCAGGTTCAGATGTGTTCGCAATGATCAATGCCCTCTTGGACCGAGATGTAGTGTGGTGGAGCGGAGGTTTGGTGACTGTGGCTGCGGTGACCGCCCGTCGCAAGTTGTGATATATTTCCTAGGTGGATCCGCGGGGAGGAAAGGGTCGGCCAGAAGCGGCGGCTAGACATGCGACAAGCCGAGAGCAAGTCGAAGCCTGAAGCAGAACACAACACTGGCAGTCCGTGGGAGGAATATCCAATGTAGTATGGAGCCACGCACTCGATGGCAATGATGCAGGCCTCTCTGTGTCCAGCAGGATTGTTTGCGGTGCGCAGGTGAAAAGGTGGCACAGTTGACTCTTCTGTTTGGGTAGCCGGGTCCAGGTCTAAGATCCGGGATACGCCAAAGCGGCAGAAATTAGGGTTGATGGATTAACACTGGTGCCCAACGACGCCAACAATAGTACTGTCGGTGCACTGTGGGTGGTGGAGGTCCCTTCACTGGCCGCCGGTGAGCAGCGGGCAAATCAATGAGCAGACGAAGCAGCGACTTTGTTTGCTCTCCAAGTTCCCTCGCTGCTTTTTTCTCCCCAAACTCAAGGTGGGGGCCCCTAGGCTTGGGCTCTGGGGCGTCCAGTTCAACTGCAGCCGCCGACAAGGCCGAACACCAGTCTTTGCTCACTCCTCCTCCCGCAATGACGGCGGCAAGTACGACAATGATGGCGGTCGTCGTTGGCGAGATGTTTGCTGCTACTCAAGCCCTTCGTTGTGGTCTTCACTCTCCCTTGCGGCACTGTTTAGGGTTTCAATTGACAGAAGCTGACTATGACTCCAGGTGATGGAAAAGGCAGAGATGTGTCGACGCCTCTGACGATTCTCTGCGTCTCTATGAGTGTGTGTCGGTAACGTCGCCAGCTTATGGTTCGGCTGCCGTGTTTTCCTCAATGAGCGCTGTGTGCCGATGGTTCCAGCGTCGTCGTGCAGCTCCAGCTGCGAATCTTCGCTCCGAGAGGTCGATGTTGCCCGCAGTTCGAAACGAGGGCTCCTAGGGACAGCCGGCGTGCAATACTAAAAAGGAAGTTTGAATCTCCCTCAGAAAATGTGAAGAGGCGGAAGCAGGAGATGTGCTGGCCGGAGAGTTCTGTCACCACAACAACCTGCCGACCCTTGGGCGTACGTGGGTGACGCACCGTGACACAAGATTCCTGCCCAGGATGTAGAGGACCTGTAAGGGACTGGACAATCTGGTAAGCGCTTCTTGCGCGCTGCCTTCCTCTGCGTGTGGCCAGCCCTGTGGGATTGAGACATGGAGGGCTCCGATGTAAGGAGCTGGCGCATACGATGGTTCATGAAGAGCGTCGCTGCAAAGACAATCGATATGCAGAAAGTGAAATCTACATTGGGCTGTGATCCGAGAAGATCAATGTCCTGCCACTTGACCTTTCGTGCCATTCTCAAGCTATATAATCTAGGGATCTGGCAACCTCCCTACCAGCACAGAGTGCCAGCGGACTACCCATCCTTTGTGACTGACGGCCGCTAAACTGGGTTCTAATCCGAGCATGGCAGAACCAGAAACCACCATGAGAAGTGATGCTCCCAACAAAATGTCATTTTTGGGTACAGTCTAGTCGTCGACGCGCTTGCCTCGTGGTGTTGCGTATTTGTGTAGGGTAAAGCCCGAAGTGCCATGAGTCAAATATCATGGTGACCAAACCCCATCGAAGACCAGAAAGTAACACTGTTATTCGTCGCACGCCGCGTGTCGTGGGAGTTGAGGCATCCTTAGAATTGCTGCCACGTCGGGTGGCGCCAAACTGATGCCCAACCGTCCCTTTGTCGCTGCACGCTAGTGTAGATAAACCCGCATCTGAAATGCCCTCGCACGAACCGCACCATGCCGTGGAAGCATCATCTTGTCCCCTGCAGGAGCCGCTCGGCATCATTGTGCCTTAAAAATCAGGACGAGAACGGGATCCGGACGCACGTGGGGTGTGTGGGAAACCCCTGGCTGTGAGAACTTGGGTGGCTCCAGGTTTGGGGCTTGGTCCATCGGGCCGTTGCATTCTGGACCACGGCATTCAACCTTTTGATCCGTCCAGCAGTTGCTGAACTACAAGAACTTCTGTGTCGTAGCCTGCAGATGATCTGCGGCTGGTGCGTTGCTTCAAGATAGCTTCAAGCTTGGATGTGGCCAACTGGCTTAACCGTTGCAGCTTTTCTGGCGCGATGGCCACGTCTTTGTTCGCCTTGGATTCCGAGTAGGCCCCTAACAGTTTGTCCGAGGCCAACTTCAGTCCGTAGAATCCCCGGAGGTAATCGTCGCAAAGCTCAATGCTGCGGCTGAAGCGACGAACTGCTTGTGTCAAATGCTGCTGATTTTCGGTATTGTCGCTTGATGACGTGCCGGCCAGATATTCAAGCTCACCAAGCCGTGCCTGGAGATTCCATGCATTCGGAGTGATGATGACAGCCTCCTCCAGGGAAAAGATGGCTTGCGAAATGCACCCCTGTGATTCGTAAAGATCGCTCAATTCGCACCACGCCTCGATATCGGTGGGAAACGAGTCAACGAACTTCACCAACCCTGAGATGGCATCTTGAGGTCTTCCCATGCTTTTCAGGAGCGCCAACCGGCGTTTGTGGACAGGGACATTCATGGGATTCTCCCTCAGCACTTGGGTGTAGTCTTCGAGTATCTTTCTCAGAGCAGCTTCGTCAGTTGCCACAGCCTCTTGATACAAGCCCCTCATAGCCATCACGCGTTCATTGTCTTCACCAAATCTCTTCCCTAACCGTTCCACGCACAAAAAGGCCGACTCGTCATCTCCGGTACGGAGGCACGCGTAGAGGAGCTGCTCAACTTCTCTCCAAAGCTCGCTGGAATCTGCTGAGTTGAAGATTGAGGCAGGGAAACTTGTGCTGACTGAGGACGCTTTGACAAGGATCGGAGACGCCTTCTGTGCTATTCGCAGCACCGCGGCTGGATCGGAGAGGTTTGTGGCCGTGGCCGCCATGGTTCCTGATTAGATTGACGTCCAACGACGAGAGGTTGCTGCTTCGAGAGGTGGCGTAGCAGTTTGTAGAGAGACGTGGGATAGACTTAGTAGGTAGTCTGCTGACCGTCGTTGTTTGTAACCTTCAGCGCTGTAGTGCGGATTTTGGTCAACTTTTAGGATATAATCTATGGCTGGCATCGATACGAACACAACCATGAGGCTTGTTGTATCGCAGTACGTAAGGTAGGTACCGTACATGTTATTATCGCTGGATGCCTGCGATCATCGCAGCCAATTAAAACTATCTACTCTTGGCGATTATAGGGAGACGCTTCATACGCCTCCCGCCGCTTTTATCCACTGTTAAACCCTCTCCTTACCCCCAAAGGTATTAAGGTTCTCAATGAAACCAACTACCTCTATTCATGGTATAATTCGCACTCTTGGGATGCTGTGGCAATATGCGACTGGTAGGTACGGCGTGTCCTCTGTAATAAATCGGCAGTTCTGTTTACAAAAGCTGCTCTATGAGGAACATCAAGAGGACAGTCGATTGTCTTATTGCAATGATGAGCTTCTGCCATATCGTCGTCATGTTTCGTTAACCGGATACTACAACAACAACAAGTAGTTGACTCAGACCCAGAAAGTCTAACGAGAAATCGGGTTTAAAAAGCAGGATCCATTGTTCAACAAGTTTGGACGGGTCAGATTGCTTGCAAAGACTCTAGAAGGACTTGACAGCTTGGCCACCTGACTGTGTCCCGATCAAGCATGAGTAAAGCCAGCAGAAACTCCCTGGAAGCTTTTCCGCTTTCTAGACTGGGCGATCGTTCCAGAACTGCCCGAGCAGCTCTCAGGATCCAGTGTGGCGTGAGAAAGGTATGAAAACAATCCTCTTGGTTATAAATCTGGATCAGCTCCTTAGAATCTCCATCCAACCCAAGCATGAGCTTGGTTTCTTGCAGAACCGCAATCAGATTCGGTAGGGGTCGTTCTTGCGACGTGACCCAGGTACAGATTGCCCTTATTTGTTGGCTGACCTGTATCCGGGTTTCGCCCTCAAGCTCGGCTTGCCGCAGCGTCGATTGCATGGAGACCAATATGTAGAGGATTTCTATCGCTCGATGTCTTGCCAACCCGGATATCTCGACCTGTGAAAAACTGTCTGGCAAGTCTAGAAACCAAGGTCTGTCAATGGTGACTGCTATTTGACGCTCAACGCAGACCACCGACAGTAGCAAGTGCAAGAGAGATTGATCTTCTGAGGTGGCCAATTTCAAATCCACGCACAGCCTGGCAGCGATCCCAACCAATTGACTGCAGTTCCCCTGGTGGGGGGCCAGCATACTGTGGAAGGCCAACAGCATCACATTCCGTAAAGTCTCGACATTCAGCTTGGAAGTAGCGGCTTCGAGAAGCTCCATCGCTCGACGATGATAGTTATTGGCAAGGGATAGAAACAACATTGCTCGAGCGTTCCTGGGTACGCAGTGGCATGAGATTGCATATACCATGCAACGGATGAATTCTTGAGAGGCGGTCAGACTTGTTGTAGTTGGATTCTGTAGAGACTGGATAGACTCTGGTGCATCCAGGATTGGGTAAAGTGTATGCACGGTGGACAGATAATTCTGCACCAAGAATTCGTGAAGCTCCGGTGTGACGGTTGCTGTATCAAGCAAAGTATCCGCGGGATTCCATGATGGATAAGTACGTTCCCATTCCTCGACCGTTGCAACACGAACAAGCATCGATGGAGGAATGCAAGCCGACGGCCCGATAAAGTAGCGCCAGCCATCCAAAGGGCCACGGAGCGGCGTCTGGTCAGTGAAGACATCAGGGTGAGCGGAATCTGCTTGTCGCCGCAAATCACGTAGCTTGGCGACCATGGTGACAATATGCCTTCGATAAGTCAGTAGAACGTTCACCGGGAGTTGATACAGATAGACAGACCTTCGCGAGATTTGTCTGTCAAGAATGTGATCATAGTAAATGCACTCTTCCATGTTGGATTTGACGCAGTTCCGACATCGAGGTAGGGAGGCGTCACATCGCCGGCGGTTCTTCCGGCATCGTAAACAGGCTGGAATGCTTTTCAAATACTCAACAATGTCATCTTTTTCCTGTACATCCTGCTCCATAGTATGGCAAAGTAATTCAAACGAGTATCGTCTTGGGATCCGTCACTTGCAGGCACATCGAAGCCAATTTAGTAGCCATAGAGTGAGATGAGGTTGCTATCATGCCTAGTCTCAGCTGTGGAATGGTCGAATCCGGCGCTGCCTGCGGCCATAACAGATGAGTGTATGTGCTAACTGTTAGAATTGGGATGGATGATGAGCAGTTGAGTGTTTGATTCAATACCTACCTGTACAAAGCCTCGCGTAAGAAATCACCTTTCCCGAATAAGCTCTAGTCTCCCTGGCACCCATGGATTCAAGCTACTAGCTAGTTATCTTGCAGAGTCTAGACCAGATGGGTTGAATCCTAAATCTACTAACCATTTCTGTGCGCCTGAAACATTGACCTGATATACACTGTGTTGCCATCAGAAACTCTCTATTGAGCGTCACAAATTGACCAACTTTCAGACACCAACTCTAGCATACTTGCACCAATATCCTCACTACAACACATATAGGAAATAGATACTCTTTCTTTCCGTCAAGCCTTCAAGTCCATCCTCCACAGCGCAAGCGTGAGACCCTTTCATATAGATACGAACACAAGGTGAACATAAAGTGGGTCTAAGCTTTATCCACAGGAAAGTCTTGGCACATCTCGCTTACTAGAAGTAGAAAGAGATACATAGATAAGTTGAAGCAGGGGACAGCTTCGAAAGAGTACCTTTGTATCCGGCAGATGTATGAGCGAGCCTGGATACTCCTAGGCGCCGTCCTCGATCAACACGAAGCACGGGAACCATAAATCAGAAAAGGGTCGATCTCTGACGCCTTGCCCTAATCTTTCGCAGGGCTTCGATTTCTGCTTTGCGCCTATCACCGAGCCCCTCATCGCTTGAGTGGTCGCTCCGATTAACTTGCGACGTCTTGTCACGGCCTGGATCACCCTTGCGATCTTCATCGATACTGTCTGGAGCGTGTCTGTCAGGGCTGCCGCGGATCTGTTTGGTATCACAAGGCCTTGGCCAATACCCCCAAACACTGATATCAGATGATCAGATCGGTTGATACAACAAGTCTCAAGGATCTTCCTGCTGGCACCACGCGTCGGACTATGATGTGATGAATATTGATACCCCGACAATGTCTTCTTTGGGAGTGAGACGGAGGGCGACAGCTTGTGCTTTGTGCAGGAAACGCAAAGTGAAGGTATAGACAGACCTCCCTGCTAGTCGTGTTGGCTCAGCTGACACTGACAAGTGCGATTCCAATCTGGTGCCATGCTCGCAGTGTCAAAGGGTTGGTGCTCCGTGTGTTGGCGGTGACTTACAGGGCGAGATTTCCCGGATCGCCCCACGAAGTCTAATGCTCTGGCTCGAGCGGGAGATTGCCCAACTGGAAGGGAGCCGACATGCCGGTAGACCCACGGAGAGTCAAGGGAAGCCGGAGGTTCTTTCTAGATCCCAATCACGGTCCAACTCCCTACCCTTTGCAACGCCGTCCCAGCCGATGCTCCCAGAAAGTCACCCTGTGTTTGACCCGTCACGAATGGTCCGACTCACCCATGTGGTGGGCAAAGATCTGGCCTTTCCATGGCTCGGCTTCTCTGAGAAATGCTCGCTTCCCAGGTTTGTTCTGCAAATGGAGTCACGCCTTCCAGTTGCAGAGGATCAATCATGGCAGGAACGATCTGACCGCCAAGCACCAGCCGAGTCTGAAGATCCGCTCAGAGCAATACCAGCTCACGTTGCGGATTTTCTCCTGGAAAACTATATCTCGAGACAGATGCCCCAACATCCCATCTTCTATGAGCCCTGGCTTCGATCATGCCATTCCGCCGTGATACATCATACGGGACGAGATGGCGAAATGATTTCTGCCGCAACCCCCTACGAGATATATACGATAAGTCTGATCATGGCCATATCATTATCGACAGCAGCTCGGGCACAATTTGCCCGCGTCAATAGCATGGCATTCGAGCTGTTTAACCACGCCAAAACCTATATCCCAGAGGTCTTGACAAACGATTTCGTTGGACTACAGGCCATCGTGCTTCTGTATACCTATGTGATGACGAATCCCGCCGCTGCTAATCTTTATCTCATGGGCAGTTACATGATGCAGGCCTGTATCGACCTTGGTCTTCATTACGAGCAACCCGACGATGACATCGACCTTATTACACTTGACCTTAGGCGCCGCGTGTTTTGGACAGCCTGGTCTGTGGACATCTCGTGTAGCACGGTTTTCCGGAGGAAGCCTACGCTCCTAGCAAAAGACATTGCTGCTGGCTACCCAAGCGAGCTTGAGGATGGCGCGATCCATTCAACACATATAGACCCCAACGGCAGACGATCCAAAATCATGTTTACTGGAACTTTAGAATTCCGACACGTCACTGCCGAGTTGAACTCTGTTCTCTCCAATACACACGCGCTGCCTCCCACATTCGGGCCGCTTGAAACATGGATGGATACCATGGAGAAGCGAATTCATACTTGGGCCACACAAATTCGTCAGGACGCAGAGGCCAATACGGACCCAAGACTAGCCGCACAATGGACCGAGATGTCAATATTCTGCGACATCTCCGAACCTCTCATCATCCTCACCCTATACCGCCCTTGCCCTCGCATCAATCATCCGAAAACACACAATTTGATTAAAGCATTCTACGCCAGCATCGGGGTGGTGCGAGGCTACATGCGACAGACGAATGCGGAGTTTGGAAGTTCAAAATACATCTTCCACTCCTGTCATCATGTTTTTTCTGCTGCCATGGTCTTTCTACATACTCTGCGAGAATGCCCAAGCCTTGTCGCTTCGATGTGCACTCCTACTGAACTGGAAGAGTACATGTCTTCCTTTTCCGACCTTTTCTCTCTACTGGCTCCCAAATGGCCTGCATCTTTAAAATGTCTGGAGGAATATCTGCGACTCCTCGAGCCACTCAAGAAACGCATATTGAATGTCTTTCAACACTCAACGTCCCGAACTCCTGTCGACTTGCACGAAAATAACGAAGCGTCCATGTTCAACGACATAGATTATTCTATGATGGACCCCTCGCATTATGTAACCTCAGCCTTTGAGAATTGTGACGATACTATTCTGGCCGATCATCTGCCCGATTATGGATCTGTCCCACTCGATTGGGATCAATATTTTGAGTTCCAAACCTGCTAGGAGATACTCGGAGGTCAATCAACCTCAGACACTTCATATAGCAGCGTCTTCGACCGAGGAAGGGACTGTTGCTCAACTACTTCTTTGGAAAGTTCGCTTTTGCCGCTGCAGCTGCTAGGATAGTGATAAGGCTCCAAGACGCACACGCAGTGGACAAATTCATCTCAGTGATGTCCCGAATTTGGATGTCCAATCCAGGAGCGATGTATTTACTATGACCAGCTCTTCGCTCTTGCTTCTTTCCAAGCTCATATTCAGCCTAGCACTATATATCAAGTCTTTGAAGATATCACATGGCCTCTCCCTGCTAATACACCACCATCAACAGCGAGGTCTTGTCCAGTTATATAGGAACTGGCTGATGTCAGGAGGAAGGCGACGACACTTTTCAACTCCCTCCGATCCGCAAATCTACCCATTGGCACCGAGTTCTCAAATCCCATCAACCTCTCCACATCCCCTGCCAGGTAACCCGGCGTGATTTTGGTGAGGAAAAACCCCGGACTTACGCTATTGACTCTGATGTTGCGGTCTGCAAGTTCAACAGCCAGTGCTTTTGTGAAGGAGAGAATAGCCCCTTTTGACGCAGAGTATGGAGCATTCGTCTGTCCGGGAATGTTCACATGGCCACCGATGGAGGATATGCTGACTACCGCTCCCCCACGACCTTGCTTCACCATTTGTTGCGTCGCAAGCTGCGTGACCGCCATAGTGCCCAGCACCTTTCGCAGATATCAGTTCATGCATCCTTGTACCAATGGGACGCCGAGGACAAGGAAACTCTTACATTAACGCCAACTATTCTCTGCATTCTGGCTCTCTCAAACTCGACAAATGGTGATCCACCGCCCGTGCCAGCTCCGTTGACCAGACCGTCAATGCTGCCGAAAACAGAGACAATGTCCTTGAATGTTGATTCGAGGCCATCGGTATCGGTGATATCGGTGCTGTGAACCCCAAGAACAAAGAATGAAAACCTGACCAGCCTCATAGCCGACATGTCGTCAACTTACTTGTAAAATTTCCATTTTACCTTGAGGTCGTCCAGGTGCTTCAGATCAGGCGATGGCTCAGGCAGCATATCAATCACCGCTATGTTGGCACCCAGCTCGGCACAGCCATGTGCAATTGCAAGGCCGAGCCCTCGTGCGCCACCTTGGGTAAAGCATTAGTCTTCTCGTTTGTTTCGCACTCTCGTGCGATGGTTCATTATCTTTCAAATTCTCACCTACCTGTCACTACCACTGTTTTCCCTGCGAGGCTGAGCTCCTTCTGTATCGGAATCGAGCGGTACGCGTCGGTTTCTGCCACATATCGTTCCATGGTTTCTAGTTGAGGTGTAGTCTGAACAAAACAGATGATTTGATGATCTCGAATCACTAACACCTCGCTGGAAGTCTTGCTCCAAATACAGATGTATTTCAGAGACGATCGGATGAGTTGATAATAAGGACTTATCGGTTGCGCGTAACACCGAGCAGTAATTGATTGGATGTTGACATCCAGATATGGAATGCGATTTGTGGAGCAACATTCGTTACTGCGGCACGGCAAACCGGCCCGAGGCCCGAAATACTTCACTATCGGCGAGGTACGCCACAAGCAGTCAGTCAAGAAGTCAGTGGCGTTCAGGAACAGAAGCAGTTATAACACTTCATGTAATGGGATGAAGCCTTTTTCGCCCATGCGGAGGCAAGACTGAGCGCTAGAAATGACCCCATAACGTTTGTAGCAGTAGGCTAGCAGCTGAAATACAGCGCCCAGAAACAAGAGAACAATGAGATGGTGAAGAACCTAGTTCGAAGATTCTTGACTGCACAGATCAAGAAGCTGGTGCCTTTCTCTCAACTAGTCATTGTGGACTTGAGCCAGCCAGTGCGATGGTTAGATTTGCCATGATGATGAATCCCACCCCACGAAGAGTCCAGTAAAGCCCCAGCCAAGAGCTTAAGTGCTGTTATACAATCTGGAAGACGGCGGCCCCAGGTACACCAACGCAAAAGGGCAATGGAACACCTCGCACTGAGGTAGGTCAAGAGAACTGCCAGAGCAGCTGCGAACATCAAACAGCTGCCGAAAAAAAGGCAACGCATATTGCGTAGATGAAAGGTAGCTTCCAGAACATGGTAGTCAGCAATATGCCAGTCAACTGGGTCGAAAGGGCACCGAGATATAGTACCGGGCAGAAGAGACCAGTAGCAACTGCTGCTTCTGACACTGTACCGAGACCAACGTCTGACCAGTTACTAGACCTGACTGGATCCGATCCAAGAAATCGCTGACCATGCTGCGTCACCCAGAATGTGTTCCCAGTAGGGTTGCTAGACGCCGGCGGACTTGAGGAGCCCCGTGTGTTGAAGACGCCGAGAGAGACCATCCAAACTTACACACAATCAGGCACTCTTCGGACCACCTCGTCCTCCGATACCATGTTCTCTGCTATGGTCTCACCTGTTTCAGTCTGGGATCAGATTTTTGTCGGTTGACCAGGGTTTTTGCAACCTGAGGATTTCAAATTGTTGGACTAGACTCCCTCCAATGATCCTGAACCGAATCCTTGCAGGGCTATTTCTAAGCCCGGCGAAAGTCTTTCCACGTCAAACTGGAGGTACGGGTAGTTCTGGCTAGTAAAACGGCCGGTCACTTATCCTGCTGGCCGAATACCCAGACAACTGCATGGCAAATCTTCTGTAGGCATTTTTTAGGTTCCTGGGTCATGGCGATGACTGTCGGATTGGTGGCGAAAGAACACTCGAAGCAACCCGACTTCCCTCAGACTCTACAGTGCACTTCTCTCTGCCCACGGCGATAATGAGAATCTTTGGACCTACCCATGGCATTTGGTTGTCTTCCACTCGCTCGCCTAGACCATTGCACATCCATCCCACACGTGAGATATAGCACCACCCGGGCTTTGACTGTCAATAGCAACAGGTGCATGAATGAATGGCGAGATGACACCAGAGCATACTCACGACTTCTTTTGAAGGTGACAACTTTAACCATACCGCTCCCGTTCACATACCGAAGTATCAAGTGATCCAAAATTTGGTAAGACGAGAGGGGCCAGATTATATATATCATGTAGTCGTAGAGGAGGCGGCGCATGTAGCGTCTCCGAGAAGCCCGGCCAACCACTCCTTGCCAAAAAGAGGTAGAAATGGTGACACGGTGGGGCTAGGGAGGCTCTCGTACTTCGTGCAGACAACAAGGAGTTGAGCGTCGGTCTAGAGCCTTATCTTCGCGACTCTGTGATAGACCTGTCACACGAGATAACGCATACAGGCTCATCATGCTGAAGCACCGTTGTTATAGGTAGCCACTGATCCCCAATCGGCCATCAAATGTATTCGCAAACCATCGCAAATTACCGGCGACACTTCGATTTTAACATCCTGTTGTTGTAATTGTTCTTGAACGGTCGTGACCACGGCACGATGGGCTCTAAGTCGATAACGATCCCTGCTCTGTCGAAGATTAAGGTAACGACCGATGAGGTCGACCTTGGTCAAGACAATGCCGGGGATTCTCAGTCCAGCGCTGTCTTGCTGCCCCAACTCCACACGAAGATTCCCAACGTTGTCAACAGCAAGGGCAACTATCTCTATACCGATGATGGCTTGGAAATACTGGATGCCACAGGCGGTGCGGCTGTGGCTTGCATTGGTCACAATAACCCACGGGTCAAAGCAGCCATTGTCGACCAGCTTGACAAAATCGAATACTGCTATTCACAGTTCTTCACCACTCCGCCCGTGGAGAAGTTGTCGAGATATTTGACCGAGTCCACTGGTGGTCTTATGTCCAGAGTCTTCATCGTCAGCTCCGGTATCAGAGATTCACCGACCTTGCATTCTTCGCAGTGCTAACTGCAAATGTACAGGAACTGAAGCGATCGAAGCTGCAATAAAGATGGCACGACAGTACTTCACCGAGCTTCCAGAACCACAATTGCAGCGGATTCGGTTCATTGCCCGGAAACAATCATATCATGGTAACACCATGGGTGCCTTGGGTACGGGCTCCCATGTCGCTCGCAGAGCCATATATGAGCCCATGCTTTCTCCCCATGTCTCCCATGTCTCGGCTTGTTACCCGTACCGAGGAAAGAATGATTCGGAATCGGATGCCAGCTATGTGGCCCGGCTTGCACAAGAACTGGAAGACGAGTTCCAGCGGGTTGGCCCCGATACCGTCTGCGCTTTCGTTGCCGAAACAGTTGCCGGTGCAGTAAGTATCACTACTTCCCAAGCTACTGGCCTGCTTTGACAAACAGTAGACTCTGGGTGCTGTTCCCCCGGTCCCGGGGTACTTCGCAGCCATGAAAGAAGTTTGCACTCGCCACGGGGCGCTGTTCATCCTCGATGAGGTCATGTCAGGTATGGGACGAACAGGTACTCTGCATGCTTGGGAGCAGGAGGGAGTCACTCCCGATCTCCAAACGGTCGCCAAGGGGTTGGGAGCCGGCTACATGCCAATAGGCGCCCTCCTCATCGGCAAAAAGGTTGTCGATGTTCTGGACCATGGGTCTGGAGCTTTTGTACACAGCCAAACATATCAAGGGCATGCCCTGGCCTGCGCTGCGGCGTATGAAGTCCAAGCCATAATGCAAGAGGAGGACTTGCTGGCCAATGTCCGTGAAATGGGCGACTATCTCGGCATCTCTCTGCAGCAGCGTCTTGGTAGTCACCCCAATGTAGGTGACATCCGGGGTCGAGGACTATTCTGGGCCGTAAGTATCCTTTCCTGAACGTTGAATTGACCAGACTGACAGAGCCTTAGTTGGAATTTGTAAAGGACAAGGAGAAGAAGGAGCCATTTCCCGCAAAGTCTCAATTGGCTAAAAGACTACAGGCAACAGGAGTCCAGAAGGAGTTCTGCATTTCTCTGATTCCGGGAAATGGCACTGCTGACGGAAAAGATGGCGACCATATCATCCTCGCTCCCGCCTACAACACCACGCGGGCCGAGATCGATACTATTGTAGACAGGACGGAGAAAGTGATCAAGGCGGTTCTGGGTTGAGAGGGTAAACTGCCTAACGATTCACACCACATGATGGCATACCATGCGACATGTGTACACAGACAGTATCATGGATCACGATTTGTTCTTCGAGCACTGTACCGTCATTACCGCGCATGTCTGTATCAAGCTCAGTCTTACAACAGCTGATGTAGAGTGGTTGAGTCTGACTCATCTTGATATAATAGAGATATTCCATACTTGCAGCATCCACAGGAATGCGAGCAGTTGATCGTTGGATTTTCCTGAAATGGTAAGGGACAAACGTTAGCAGCACTGGCCCCGCAAGAACTCCGCTAAGAGTGTTAGACCGGGCTAAATCAGAAGTTCTAAGGCGGCGTCATGCACCTGCCGCAACGGGATGAGCTCAGATCTTGGCACATTTGATGATGTGCCCGACTCGGACTTCATTCCTCAAGCCTCTCGTAACCTCTCTTGAGCATCACTCTATATAACATCTAGATCCGCTGCGGAGCCATCGACTGACACGAAACACTACACAGTGCACATCCTCAACATGGTCAGGACAAGCTACACAAACGTTGTTCAGCTGGGATGATGCACACCTCCCGTTGTTGTCCCTCTTCCCGCCAACCAACAGTGTCGCGTGAGGAATCATGACCACAGTGGTGCGTCGAGGCACCTTTTTAGCACACAGCTTATGACACCGAGTGTATAATCTCCAAGATGTTCGAGAAATCGTTGGTAGACCTCATCCGGGGTCTTCGTGGCCACAAGGGCAATGAGGCAGAGTACATCCAGGGTGCTCTCAAAGAGTGCCGGACCGAAATCCGGTCACAGGACCTCGACGTCAAAGCAACGGCGCTTTTGAAACTCATCTACCTGGAAATGTTTGGATACGATATGACATGGGCGGCGTTCAATGTTTTGGAGGTCATGGCCTCTCCCAAAGTCATGCAGAAACGCGTCGGCTACCTAGCCGCAGTCCAAAGCTTCCGACCCGACACAGAGGTTTTGATGCTGGCCGAAAACCTGCTGAAGAAGGATCTCACCTCTCCGTCGATACCTATTCTTACTCTCCCGATCATTACTCTGCCACATATTGTCACTTCTTCGTTGGCACTGTCCATCCTGACAGATCTCCTACCACGGCTGTCCCATTCCCAACCCGCCGTACGAAAGAAGACCATCGTCGCCCTGTACAGGCTTGCTCTAGTGTATCCGGAGACTCTGAGAGTGGCCTGGCCGAAGATCAAGGAACGCCTTCTGGACGAAGACGAAGACAGTAGCGTTACTGCCGCTACCGTCAACGTCGTGTGCGAACTGGGCTGGCGGAGACCGCAAGACTTCTTGCCTTTGGCCCCCAGGCTGTTTGATCTCCTGCTAGCCCAGAAGAACAACTGGATGGGCATCAAAATCATCAAACTATTCGCGGTCCTGACTCCTCTGGAACCAAGACTGGTCAAGAAACTGGTGCGACCGCTGACGAAATTGATTCAAGAAACCACGGCCATGTCTCTACTCTACGAGTGTATCAGCGGAATCATCCAAGGAGGAATCCTGGATATGGCCGATAGTGGGGTTGACGTCGAGGAAGTGGCTGACCTGTGCATTTCCAAGCTGCGAGGCATGATCGTGCTAGACGGCGACCCGAATCTGAAATACGTGGCGCTTCTCGCGTTCAACAAGATCGTCGGATCTCATCCGGCGCTTGTATCGATGCAACGAGATGTCATCATGGCATGCCTTGACGACCCGGATATCTCGATCAAGATGCAAGCCCTGGAACTTGTGTCGGGCATGGTTAACAGTGACAGCCTGCAAGGGGTCGTGGACCGGTTGATGAAACAGCTCGCGAGCTCGCCGTCGGCTGATGATGCCGCGAACGGACATCCAGACGAAGGCCAGACAGATATGGAACAGAGATTGATTCCTGACAAACGAGGGTCCGAGAACACGCCGCTGTCAGACGACTACCGGCGAGAAATCATTGCCCGAATCTTGGACATGGGCGCACACAACACGTACGCCAACATCACCGACTTCGAATGGTGGATTGAGATTCTGGTCCATCTGGTGCGACACCTGCCAGCAGACAAAGATACTACATCCAGAGGGTTGGTCGATGACACCTCATCTCTGGGTGCTCGAGTCGGGGCCCAACTCGTTGACATCGCCGTTCGAGTGAAGGAACTTCGACCCGAAGCCACCAGAGCCGCAGAGACGCTTGTGCTGTTGTCGAACAGAGTCATCGCATTCCCGCTTCATGGTTCTGGCCAGAGCCAAGTGCTGAGGTCGGCCGCATGGATATGTGGCGAGTTTGCAAGCTATCTGACGAATTCCTACGAGGTTCTCAACTCCTTGATCCACGAGACATCCGAAAGCTTTGGCCCTCGCACGCTCGCAATCTTCGTTCAAGCTGTCCCGAAAATCATTTCTCAAATCGCTGTCACCGCCAGCAGCGAGTGGAATGTGTCGCGAGGCTCAACAATGTCGTTGTTACTTGCGCGGACCACGGAGTTCCTTGAGAAACTGTCGTCTCATCCCAACCTAGACGTCCAAGAGAGGAGCGTCGAGTTCCTAGAGCTCTTACGTCTCGCCTCGGAAGCACTCTCGGCGCAGTCGACCGACAGTACGGAAGCGCCGCTCCTCTTGACGTCTGCAATGCCCACACTGTTCTCCGGAATGGAGCTCAATCCTGTCTCGGCGGCAGCTCAGAAGAAAGTGCCCTTACCGCACGACCTGGACCTGGATGTCCCGATCAACCCAGACTTGCCATCGATACTACAGTCCTCCCAGGTAGCAGACGAGGATGATTCCGCGGACGACGCGTTCCACTCTTTCTACCACAACCGCGAGGCCGTGCAAGCAATGACATCTATCCAGTCTCAGTCTTACACGCCTTCATCAACGGTAGACCATCCCTCCGACACGGAAGCGTTTTCGTACCAATCGGCGCCAGAGTCTCCAGGCACTCTCGCACGACGTAAAGCCGAGAGAATGGCCCGAAACAAGGACGATCCATTCTACATCGCCCCGGCCGACGACTCGACTCCTCACCATCTACACGACATCATCCGCAAATCCAACGGTGACGAAGAACTCGACGTCGACTCGATCCCGATCATCGATCTACAGATCGACCATACCCAAACCACAGCCACACATCACGGCGGAGACGAAGCTTCTCGCCATCCACCATCACCAAGAAAGAAAAAGCCGATCCGGAAATTTGTGGTCGCTGCAGACGAGACGCTAGAACCCGGCGACGACGCCGCTGATGGCCAGCTATCGCAATCAACATCACAGTCACAGTCACAATCGCAAGCAACTTCTCTATCTACCACGCCCGTCCCTCACCGGCCACGCTCCATGAGTCCACACACAGGGTACGGAGCACGTGGGAAAGCTCCCGTCCCCGTCCCCGTGCGACCGACGCGTAGCCTATTGACCGTGGACTCGTCGACGCTGGCGCGATTGACGCTCGAAGGCCCCGCCGAGTCCGAGTCGGAAATCATGCGCCGCGAAGCCGAGGAGGCCGAGATGGCCATGGCCCTGCGCGAAGTGGAGCGCAAACGCCTCGAAATGCAGCGAGAGGCCGAACGGCAGCGCACCGTGCTGGGCGAGGGCGTCGACGTCGAGGGCACCGTGGTGCGGCGCAAGAAAAAGAAGAAGCAGCGCGTCGAAGTCGAGAGTGAGGGCGCCCATCTTTTCCAACTTGGAGGAGGAAGTGGTGGTGTCGACGATGCCCCGGAGGGAGTAGTCGGGCTTGTCAAGAAGACGAAAACGAAAACGAAAAAGAAGAAAGTCCCCAAAGTCCAGTCCGAACAGACTGGTGTTGACGTTGACGACGCTGGACTGGCAACTGGAGCTGGCAATGGAAATGTAGGCCATTAACGCTGTCAATGCCGAGTAGCGAGTAGGATTTCAAGAGACTACTGGCAGAATAGATATACTTGAGGATTCTGGCGATCTGGTCAAAAAGGAGCGCAGACACGAAGTCGCAAGCCGAGCTAATAAATAAGTGTCTCGAGACACGATTGTAGATTGCCAGACAGGCTTTGATGGCCGACCGTGGAAGGCAGATGGCAGATTGCATGTCCGCCTCAGCCATAGTCCGAATCTAAGAGTATGATCAGATATCAACGTGACTGATGTATGTCAAATCAATCCAGCCAGATATCACACCCAACACGAACATGAATGAAGGGACGTACTACGTAGTTAGTGGTAACATTTGCACAAGTGTCTGCCGTAGTTGCGGCCGAGCCCATCAGTCAAGGCGTGATATGTTAATCTTTATACGCTATGCCAGTCATCAAGACTCTTCAAGACTACCTAGTAAGGCGGGAGGGGACCATTTATAGGTAAGGTAAAGATACGTATTGGAATGCCTGATAGATCCAATCCCGTCAAAATAACAAGTACGATGAAAGCAGCCAGAAACTAACTCAAAAGCCAAAAAAGAGCAAGTGATCTATCCCATATTCCGATGCCCAAGTCCAGTCTCTTCCGGCTCCATCTCCAGCTCTAATGCCAAACGAAACAATCGATAAAGTCGCTGTCCCAGCGTGTCATACTGTCCTGTTCTCTGCTAGCCGTGCGACCAACAACAAGCCCACCATAGTACAATGGTCGTAGTACAGTACAGTACATGTCCGATGACACCAAGACCCCTTTCCCACAAAGTCTAAGCATAAAAGAAGACAGAATCCAGCCATCCTTCTGGGGTTGCTGATACAAGACGTGAATTCCATAGCAAACAAGACGCCGGCATTCCTCTGAATCACAGACGAGCAGAACAAATAGAACCCTAACCGACAAACAGTCAGGACAGAAGTGACAAAAGAGAGGCAAAGAAAGATGGAGGGACTGATCCCGTATCATCCCCCCGTCCCCTCAAAAAAGCTTGCAGCCCAGCGCTGATATTCCTTTTTCTGGAAGGTCATGGAAGCGCCATATCTTCTTTTTGATGAATTTGATGCTTTGGGCCCGTGGGATCGTCGACGCAGATGAGGATAGTGAACACGATGACGGCAACAGGGAATAGGTTGAGGTTAGAGGAGGCGGCGGTGGCGGAATGGAGGAAGTCGTCGTCGATTACAGATAAGTAGGCAGATAGTTGAATCGATGTCTTTGTGGTGGTGTTTGTAGGTGAAGGTCCGATCGGTTCAAGTATGGTCATGGAGAGAGGACAGGGCGCCAATCAGACAAACAGATAAGTTTGGTCTCCAGTGGAAAGTCAGGTATCGGGTCCTTGGTGGGTGGCCTCAGCTGGCTTTTGGCCGTCTTGACACCTCAGTGCCATGCTATACCGACAACAAGCAATCAGCACTGGCCACGAATACAAGAACGAGATAAAACTATCAGACGCGTGGGAGATACTTACAACCGACTGGGCGAGGAGGAGGAGGAGTGGGCGGTCGAGTAGGTCTGCCTCCAGGCGCCATGGCTTGTTTCCCGGACATCTTGATTGATGATGATGAAGATGCCGACAGCGAACGTGTTGACATGCTGTGGTAAGATGATTTTGCTGGGTTTCTTGTGCTCTTTGTCGAGTTGGCGGCGCTCAGCGCGGCGAGGATCTGAGCAGATGAAGATATGTTGATGACAACGGTAACGGTTGTGGACAGTGTGTGAGAAGCAAGATGAAGGGGAACAAAGAAAATCGATCGGACCTTGAGCCAGTGGATATATATCCTCTATCCCTTCAGCATTTCTGAAACAGATCCGGCGTACGGTGGCTTGGTGAAGTGCTGTGTGTGTGCTTCGCCTTGCTCGTCGTGGCTAGGCCGAGAACGAAAGTGATGCAAGAAGCGCATGTTGGGCACAGAAATTCCCCGGCGGCTGTGCATGAAGACGGTGGAAGGAAACAAAAACGCCGTTCTCGTCGGGTACCTGGATTGTACGCCGTAGTACGATCTCATGTTGACCAGTGGGCGAGGGGGTCGTGATGCTGTCAGTCAGATCCGGTCAGACGCATAGCAGGATTACGCAGCACAGCATGGCACAGCACGACATAGTTTGAAGGAGAAGAGAAGACAATGGGAACACATAGTATGGTACGTGTATGGCACGTGTATGGCGTAGTAGGATCCAACGCCAGCAATGGTGAGGCGACAACAGGGCGAGAAGGCTCGTGGTCATGCTCCAGAAAAGAGAAGCCTAAAGGGACAGGGCGTCATCAGGCAGAGAAGATGAGCAAGGTTTGCAAGTATTCAAAGGATCAAGAGATGAAATGGGGACCGGGATGCGCAAGATAGGTTCAGACAAGTCCAAGCAAGGCGACTGTTGACTCGGACTCTCCCTGTGACTCCGACTATGGACTTTTGACACCCTCCCGCGAGACATAAACCAAGCAAGCCGAAGCCGACAGTTGGGAATTGGGAATTGGAAATCGGTGGATATGCAAGAACAAACAAATGTTCACGCAGTGGAGCCGAGTGCAAATGAAGGTTGTGGGTAGAAGTAGTGAATGTTGGTCTTGGTGAGGCTTGGGCTGGTGTGGTCCCTTGACAGGCAAACTCGAACCAGGCTGGACAGGGCTTATCTGGTCTGCAACGCGAATTAGTTCGATCGGCCTCCGTCGCAGGTACAGCCACCAAACACCAATGACAGTCTGACCACTTGTGAAGGAGCTCAACGACGAGAAAGGGACAGGCAATGGGAGGTCTGTGGAGGAGTAACGATTGGAGGAGACGGGGCCACATGCGATGTGTGAAATAGCCACGGTGGGTGGCAAAACAATTGGTCAAGGAACAGGGGGATGAGGATGGATGAAGCGACGAGGAGGGATGTGGCGGTTCTGGTGGATCCGGTGTGTTTGCATAGATGAGAAACTTTCGAGGGCACGGCCACCAACACATGTTCTTTTGGCTGCGCCTTGCCACGGGACAGGCAGGCAGGAGAGGAGGAGAAAGGAAAAGAGAGATTGCTGCAAGGTTGAATTGGATTGAAAGCTGCAAGGCTGGAGCAGGACAAAGAACGAGGTCAGAGAGACTCGGAGGCTCTGCACATTGACCGTTTCGTTTGGCAGATTTGTGTTTCTGACTCACCAGCAACAGCAGAACGAGTAGGAAAGCAGTCGCGACATCGACGTCAACAGCAGCACAGCCCTATGTTGTCTGAGCCAAGGGATAAGGCCAGCGTCAAGTCTCAAGCTCAGGCTCCAGGAAAAGGCAACCGAGACCAAGAGCTGGATGTTTTGCTAGCACCTTCATTTCTCGCATCAGGCTGACTTGATGTTGGTGACCCATCATGGTTCGCACAGGCTGACGAAACTCCGAAGCCCCGAAACCCCCGCGGGATTGAACTAAAGTGCGTGTTGTGGCTTAGTCCCGTATCAGGCATCCTTCTAGAAAGCACGCTAGAACACAACCCCTGGTCGAAAATATATAGGTAAGGTAGGTATGATAGGGTCATGTCTCACACCAGGATATGACGGCACGATGGGGCGAGCAGGGGCAGGCGAAAACAGGGATGGGGGAGAGATAAGAGCTTGGAGACGAGAGGTGGGTGGTGAGAAGCGAGAAAGGGTTTTGGAAGTGGAAGGCGAGAAAAGGAGAGTAGAAGAGTAGAAGAGTAGAAGAAGAGGAAAAGGAGCGAGGGAACGGGGAAGCGGGAAGAGGAAAGAGGGAAAGAGGGAAGAGGGAAGAGGGGGAAGGAGCAGGGGACAGCGAAGGGGGAAGGAGCGACCTGAGCGACCTTCCCTGCCAACCCCTTCACCATCTCTATCTATACTAAGTAGTACTACCTACCTACCTACCTACCTAGTAGGTAACTTATCACCATTTTAGACATTGCTCGAGCTGACTCCACAAATAGCAGCAGGCAGAGAGTCTGATCTCATCGTCCCATCACATCTTCGTCACATCCTTGACTTTCGCCTAGCCTTGTCCCATCCACACGGCGAGCAGGGGAAGGGACAGAAGAGGTCGAACTTCGAGGTATGTACACTTATCACATGCAGAGTGACATCGCCAGTCAAACAGGTCAAGTATGGTACTTTATCTCATATCTAATAAGCCGAATGGAGCACACCCACACACCATCTTGCTCGTATACACCTCCTGCCTACCATGCATGGAACTTGTCGAAGCGAGCTAGTGACTACCTCGTGCTCTTGGATCTTTCAATTCTCGACGAGTTGTCTATGCATATACGTACTCAGTCTCGGTGTTGACTCGAGGACCCCCTAGGTTATCGCTGTCATCACAGCCTCTACCTACATGTGTCCTGCCTGGACAAGTACCAGGACCAGTCATTTAATATCATCGACTAGAGTTGAGCCCGTTGGCCCACGTTGAGCTCTACCACTCCGAGCACAGGTTCCAGGCTTGCAGCTCGCAGCTCGCCCTTTCCGTATCCCTAGCGTTCGCCAGAGACCAGTGGCATCATTCACAATTTATGTGGCGATCCCAGCTACAACCGCTCCATCTGGTCATGATCCTGAACTTATCTCGCTTTATCGTTTTCCACATTGAGAAACAGCTTCCAACAAAGCCGTCGGACATTCATGTAAGGAAATGTCCGTAGATCGATCGGGCCCAACTCGAAATCTACCGGTCGTTCTTGAGCTGCCGACATATCAGCTTGAAGCCTCTGACTTGGATGGCTTCCTCCAAGCTTACCATATGAGTGCTCAATCTCCCCTCGTAGCCGGCCTACCAGGTCGAATTGTCGGGCATGAAACTCGCACGCCGAGTTGGTGCTGTAGTCGCTGTTTCTACGTCCTCTGGCCGATGCAGGTGCAGCCGTCTGTGCTGCAGTAGACCTGGCCGAAGATCGTCTGCTCAACGTATATTTGTGAAACGACACCAAATAATCGCACACCGACTCCTCCATGGCGCGGATCTTGGTCTCGGCTTCGGCGAACGAATACTCTGCGCCGGTCTCGTGCGCGGGGGAGTCGGCCTCAAGTGCCAACGACGACTGCGTTCGGCCCACAAACATCAGGACCACAAACGCCAGACACAGAGCAATGTCCGTCTGGGCAGTGGCCAGTTTCTGGGACACCGACATTGCAAAAAGCATGTCGTGTAGCTTGGCCGTGATTTTCCTGGCGGCCCCCATCGCCATAGGGAGGATGATGGCCTTGAGGAAGCGGTTGATCGTGTCGGGGATCACATGAATGTCTTGATGGGCCCCGGCGGGTCGGGGGGACTCCAGGTTCGTTTCCAGCTGCGGCACGGCTGACGGGGGGATTGTAAACTTGTTGAGCAGGAGATATTCAAACCACAGCAGACTCAGTGCCGTCTTGATGATGGCGTGCTCCTTGAGGTCTTTCCGATAGTAGCGTCCTATCAATTCCAATATGGTGGTTTGGAAGTCTTCGCGGCGGTCGATGAAATACTTCGTTGTCCACTCGGGCCATTTCACCGGGTCGTCCAAGACCTGCTCAAACAAGGCCGGGATCTGCTGACTGACGAGCTTGACTTGCCGTTCCAGATCCCCGTCTTTGATGAACATGATGATCGGGGGGCTCCACACCGGGTACTTCTTGTAGGATTTGGAGCCATCCGCATCTTTGGTCAAGAAATGGGCATGTCGGATTTCCCGGGCCAGGTCCAGAGGGTAGAACTCCTTGACTATGACGTTCAGAGGGATTCCGACATTCATGTCCAGCGAAATCTGGAATTTGGGTCGGGCTGAGTAGTCAAATGAACCGTTGCGCAGGTAGCAAAAGAGCTTCTCCGCCTTCAACCGCCAGGTCAACTCATCTGCATGCCTCGTCAGCTGGGTGACTCCCATGCGCGGTCAAACATCCTTACCGGGGAAGAGCATCAACTTGCACCCGTTCCAGTCAAACCGTGCCCGGATACACTGTTTGGGAATCTTGCGCCGCTCCTTGCTTGTGCAGGTGTTGCAGGGGAACCGAGTGTCACACTGGTTGATGTCAGCATGTCGACAACCGACAGTTGGGGTTACACCACCTTCTCCTTCATGATGATACACCGGAGACAAGCACCTTCTCGACGCACGTCACTTGCATGCTGCCTCTGTTCCATAGACAGAGGCCCCGTTCGAACGCCGCCCCTGTCCCGTCTGGCTTGGGAAGTTGTCATGCCCAAGACAGAATCCATTGTCTCGCTCTTGCCACGGTATGCATGCCCATTGAACCAATGGTCTTCGTGACGAAACGGTAGAGTACTCCATGGCTCGGCGGTTTGTGGGTATCTCTGATGGTCCCCGGGTGATAGATCTCGGGGAGAGACGAACTGAGGTGGTCGAAGATAATCTGGCGGGTAGTAGGCCAAGGTCGGATCGCCAATGCCCACCACATCTTCTATTTGAGATGTGTTAGCGCTCGTCAGCGAAGTTATGGCTCAGAGTCTCTTTCTTACGCGTCATCTGGACATTAGTATCCGGAAGGAGGTCGGGCACCAAAGGTCGGGGTTGTCGCAACCTCGCATTTCCATAAGAGGCTTCATGGATGGTCTGTAGATTGGATATAACCGAGCTTGTAGGACTGTCCACCTCCGGCGACAGATGTCGAGCATATGCAAGGGCCGAAGTATCGTTGGTGGTGGCTGCCGAATTCGTGCCGCTGCCTTGGGACAGAGTGGAACGATTACTCACAGGGCTGACAGGTTCAGGCCAATGTTCCGTCGGAGGAATGACCGACGTCTGAGGCAAACCAGATGGCCAAATCTGCGGCCAACTGGCATTCACCGATGAAGGGTCATGACTGGGACTGTGTCGAGGTACCACACAGCAAGGAGCAGGAACCACGCTGCGAAGGGGGAATTGGCCCTGGAGGTGGCCACTTTGACGAGGCCGCCGCCCCATCCTGGCGCTGAGGCTGAGCGTCTGTTAGAGGAAGTTCCGGACGGGATCAGCCGACGGCAGGAAAGAATCTTGGACAGAAGGCAGCAGATGCCTGAGAGTAAGCGGGCGATGCGATTTGGACAGAAGATGGATTTTGGAAGAAGAAGAGTTCAGGCAACCAAAGGCGTCCTTGCACAAGTTTATCAAGTCAGTCAAGAGGTCCAACTTGCATCCATCACATGCGAGCACATGGAACAAGACAGTAGCAATGTTCTGTGGTGGTTTTTATTTGCTTCTTCAAGTTGCATCACCTGTTCGTTTGCTATCCAAGTGAGCGCGGGGGTGATGTCGATTGACGTTGTGCCATCCGAGGGAGATGCAATTCTTCACCCCGAGGCATGAAGGAGGCCCTTCTGGTCATCTCGAATGTTGCGGGTCTGTCAAGTCGCCGCATGGTCGTGAGCATGGCTGATGAGAGTGAGCGATGACCTGCATTGGCTCGACTTCAGCTGCCAGTGACACGGAGAGGGCAAGGTGCATGCAGCAGCGGCCAGTAGCACGAAGCCATTCATTCATGATACCTATGCAAGGCTTCCACACCGGTTTGGATATCATCCAGTGAGATTGCTCCAGGTGCTGCAGCTGGATTGACAGGTCAGCTGGTGATGTTTGGCCTTCAAGTTGCCGATGTTGCCCGCTATCAACCCCGTTTGAGCCGCATCACGTGGCCATTTGGCGGGGTGAAAGAAAGAGACGAAGAGGAGTAGTAGTAGTAGTAGTAGTAGTAGTAAGTAACAACATCGTATATAAACCTCGAAGGTCTATATCGTGATCGAGCTTCACCCCAGTCTCCAGCTTAGCGCACGGCCGATGATCTCGAGGTCCCATAACTTTCTGTATCTGTGCAGGTGAAGCCGCAAATGAAAACGCCGGGATCTTTGAGACGATATGTCTTGATCGAGAGAACGGTTGAGAGAGTAGTAACACGCCATCATTTCGTCTTCGACCTTCCCAACCTGAACGTGACCTAGCTGTGTCTGACTTGGCCGAGAAAACATCCCATCCCCGGTTGAACAATACTAGTCGTCCAGAGTCGTGTCAGAATCATAGGGTTAAAGGCAAAACTTAGACGTGCTTGAGAGAATTAGGGTCGGCCTTGAGTACTCCTGTCTCTGTGCTATTAGTATTCCTGTTATTGATGAGAGACATCACGTCGCTCGCCACCCACGGGTATCATCCCAAACTACCAAGTCTGGCCTTGCTACCTACACAATGGGCGCACCCACACAATCTTCAAGTCGGCCAGGCACCTGTGCATCAATGTGCCATTCTCGGGTGGCCCATGGGAAACTTCAGGCGGGTATACTCGAACACAACCATGCACGGTCATAGGCCAGAGAAGTTTTTGGAACATCAGTATCATATTCCAGTGGGACTGATGCGTCCTACCTGCTGCTATGCTGATCATCAGTAGAATGCCGGGTATCCCTTATCATAATATGAGACTTTTTTCCCATTTCGATCGACGCCATGAAACCTGACTCCCCGCGAAGCAAGCCGGACTAGCCGTAAGCACTGCATACCCCGTGCTGAAAAGCTCCACCCACAATATGCATCTTGCGACTCTCACACAGTATACTTCGTTTTTGCTCGGGTGCTGCCGGCATGCGCTGCGTCGGTATGGCCAGAGAAGTCGATGGCCTCGTTGGCCGGGATCTGGAGAACCTCCTTGAACCGTGTGCCAATCTTCATCAAGGTGTCCTTACCGCCACCCTTCCCAGTGGTACGCGTCCACAGTCCGATTCTGTAGAATGCCTTTCTCACATTGACGACGACTCCCATGATCTCATTGTCACCTTCGTCTTCGAGCGTCTCGCCGATTGCCGCAAGTTGCACATGGAGCCATAGCTCATCGATGTTAACCGCCTTCTTGTCCTTGAACGTGTACGACCATCTGCCTCCGTGCTTGTTCTGAGGATCTTCCCATTCCGGTCGAACGCCTTTTTTGAAGAGATGATAATCGGACTTGTGACTGAGATCGGAACATGCGGTAATATTATTCTGCGCCTGTTAGCTTGGTCCAAGTGCCCGCTCAAGGGCAAACATACATAAACTCCCCAGAACTCTTCAACCGTGTCGAATGTAATCACCTCTTTCAAAAGGTCATTCCAGTTGTCGCCTTTCGATGAGGGGGGCTTCGTGAACTGCAAAGCTGGTCAGTCGAGTCAAAAGTCGCGGGAGTTGTGACCTACCCAGAGGCTCCAGCTGTTGAGAAGAGGATGTTTGACATTGAAGTTGTTCACGTCGTGGAAAACCGTCTTGATCTCGTCCGAAGAGGGCGCAGTGTTCTCATCGGAAACTGGGCCAGGCACGGGCTGCGGCGTCTCAACTTCGGCCATTGTGAAATTGTATGAACGGGCTCCAGTCGAAGTGGTGATTGTCGTGGAGAAGAAGATTATGGGTGATAATAGTCAACAGATTCGATGGGCAAAAGAGGTAAAAGCTAGTTGGCGAAACAACGGGACCGTAGCGCAGTGAATTGCTAAAGCCTCCAAAGTAACGTAGGTGAACAAGGACAGATGTTCACTTGGGTGTAGAGTTGCCTCGTGAACTGCTGTGAAGTTGAACTTGAAGGTGCAAGAACCTTAGTGAGGCAATCGGGAAATTCTTCTGTCGAGACTGCCGCAGCAAAGAATCTCGAAAGTCCCAGATGGCGGGCGCAGGGTCCAAAAACAGTTTAGCGTATCCCAATCACCATAGCATCCTTGCCTGCGGTTTCTCTCGGAATTCAAATCAACCTCAAGTTGAGTTTACTCTGCCAAACTTCACTACAAGATTGCTCTACGGTGATGCTGGTGTTCAATGTATAGATGCTGAGGCTTGCTTCGTCTCAACCCGAGTCGTGCATGGCGCTCTTGTATTATCCGTAGCCGATCGAGGCGCCCCTGGACTGCAATCCTTATGGCCTGCTTGTACCCAATACTATGACCACACTCCGCCAGAACTTATGTCGAACTGTTCAACCAACTCAGGAAGCAGTTCCAACCAAGACTGACCATGTTCACAACCAGCACTTGATACTGCAACGGTACCATCTTGAAGTTGACCGCTTGAACCGCTGGCCACAGGACCCAATTCGCCTCGAGTCCTGGCAGCCAGGTCTTTCGAAGCTTTTCTTTAGGATCGCCACCTTCCATTACTGACATGGTGGTTAGGAAAAGGGCCAGGTTGCAAGGGGCGAAGACTATCTGGTCTGCTGCCACTCGAGCGGCGATTGTCGCATTCTTTGACCCGACATTGATATACTTCTGCAGGATGCCATACCACTTGGTGGCCGCCGGCCCGAAAACGACTATGAGTGTCAGCATGATGTGCGAGGAAAGGGTCAGATATACCCACGTCCGCCGTACAAGACCATTCGACCGGTCCGAGCAGAATCATGGTTTTTCCAACCTCTGCGCTCGACCGATTGTTGCGCTAGAGTGTCACCAGCACCGAAGAGGACCTTTGAAGAGTCAAACAGGGGCTTATCACAGAAGGGAGAGACATACTGCAGTGGTGATAGCCTGCGTCAAGAGTGGCCGCCGTGCAAGCTTTGCCTGATACCTGAGAGGATGAGCATTGGACGAGAAGATACAGGTGCGCAACACATACCACCTCAACATGATGCCTTCACGATAGATGTAGGGGTCGAGTGCCTTTTATCGTAACATGGGGATTAAATGTTACAATCAACCTTGAATTGCTTGCTCGCCGATTAGAATGAACCTTTGCATACAGAGATACGGCATCGCCAAAATCCAGGGGCCGTCAGTTGTTCTGCGTCATCGCCATACTGCTTCACGGCAGGAGTGGCTATTATTGGCTGACACCCCGGGCCCTCTGCGGCGAAACACTGCATTTCAGATCTCGCCAAACCTTCCTCTGGCGCAGGCGTAGTCCCAGATCCGCATTAATTTCCCCCATCGGTCTTGGCCTTAGGGTTTTCGTTCTTGGCAAGAGATTTCGCCAAACGCTGCACTGCACCGCTCCGTTTTGGGTTCGAGCCACAACCACTTTGTCGCTGAAACACCACATCGCAACTGCGCAGCGCACACCCGGCAATTCAAAGCACAGCGCTCATCAACACCAACATGGCTGACGCAGCTCCTCGTGGACGTGGTGGATTCGGTGATCGGGGCCGTGGAGATAGAGGTCGGGGTGACCGAGGTCGTGGTCGTGGCCGTGGCCGTCGTGGAGGTCAGAAGTCAGAGGAGAAGGAATGGCAGCCAGTCACGAAGTTGGGCCGTCTCGTCAAGGCTGGAAAGATCCAGAGCATGGAACAGATCTACCTGCACTCTCTGCCCATCAAGGAATATCAAATCGTGGATTGGTTCCTCCCAAAGCTGAAGGATGAAGTGATGAAGGTGAGACGCCCTTTTGACTAGCAGCAGCTGCAGCAGCATTGGAGGACCACAGTCTTTTCTAACAGACTTTCTCTTGCAGATCAAACCCGTCCAGAAGCAAACTCGTGCCGGTCAGCGAACCCGATTCAAGGCCATCGTGGTCATTGGTGACAGCGAGGGTCACGTCGGTCTCGGCATCAAGACCTCCAAAGAAGTCGCAACCGCCATCCGTGCCGCCATCATCATTGCCAAACTCTCCGTTCTGCCCGTCCGACGAGGCTACTGGGGTACCAACCTCGGTGAACCTCACTCTCTGCCCACCAAGGAATCTGGAAAGTGCGGTTCCGTCACAGTCCGATTGATCCCCGCGCCCCGAGGTACCGGCCTTGTCGCCTCCCCCGCTGTCAAGAGACTATTGCAGCTTGCCGGTGTCCAGGATGCGTACACCTCCTCTGCCGGAAGCACGAAGACTTTGGAGAACACTCTGAAAGCTACTTTCGTTGCTGTCAGCAACTCCTATGGCTTCCTTACGCCCAACTTGTGGAAGGAGAACAAGCTCATCCGAAGCCCGCTTGAGGAGTACGGTGATGTTTTGAGAGAAGGCAAGAGATACTAGACCATGGGCAACATGAACAGGGGTTGAGGTAGTCAGTTGCATTTTTCAGCGAGGACAAAAAACGCTGTGCTTTACGTATGGACACAGAAGACACGTCTGTACTTGAATTCCACGATTGAATCTGGTTCGAGTACTGCCCTCATAAAGCTTCCTTCGTTTCTTATTACTTGCGTGCGCTGCAGGCTTTTGCGGACCGGCTTAGATCACACTCGAGCGTCTTGTTTATATCGAACTTCTGAGCCGCGTAGGGCAGAGGTCGATGGCTCCAGGCTCAATACCGCAGATGTGCTGTGTCTTCTCAAGAGTCTCAGCGCCATCGCCCAGTGAATCGAAGTTCTAGGGCAGTTGCCGTCTAATGCCCAGAACCGGGCGAATCGTTGCTCTACAGCGACAGGTATGAACTCATGATCAGAACGAGCTGTACCCTAATCTTCCATTGCCATCTCTTCCATGGCTTTTACCGCATTCTCTAACTCTCTTATTCTCTGGCCCACCCGACTTTGTATCTCCTTGCCAACTTCTGGATCGCCCTCTTTGACGGCCTTTTCAAAGGCGTCCTTAAGCGTCTGCAGTGCCTCTTGTGCTGCCTCGCGGTCGTCAGCGGCATACACGGTTTTCTTCTCGGTTTCTTCCGCAGCAATTTCGAACTCGTCTCTTGCTGTCGCGTACAGGTCGTTAAGGTTTTCCATCAAAGCATCAGCCGTAGGAGACTGGGCGGGACGAATTGATGATGTATGGAATGCGTAGGTCTGTCTAGAGGCGCCGCATCGCACGGCGATTGGGTTTTGCGGTATTCGATGGCCTAGCGTAAGAGAGCAGCGGTTTGAAATCGACGCAGCCGAACCGCAAGAAGCAGCCGCTCTCCGGAGAAACTGTATGGCGCCTCTGGAGATCATCTTGCCGAGACAGGAAGAAGTTGATGAAGGAGATATCAAGAAATTCGAACAGGTAAGTGAACTGAATAATGCGTCGATTGTTTGATGCTACAAAATTGAGGAGGTCAAGTGGTATCTACCTAAGACACTGAACTGCAGTGTGTTTGGTGGGTATAGGTACACTACTAGCCGCAGGCGCGTCGGCGATTAGATGACGTTGGCCAATGTGACCTACTACTAATGGGTTCTTGGGTTATTTAGTATCTCAATCGCTAGTCCCTGAGATCTCGTCGTTAGCATGATCAACTGGAGGGTCCCTAGGTCTAGTACCTCATTATCGATGAATCTGGGGCAGCTCTTCGGTCCCTGGCTAACAATGACCCTACACTTGACCGAGTATGGCTGAGATCTATTCATCCATCATCAGATCTTCTCGCTCGCAACTTCTTGTGTCGGATATAGCGCCACAAACGCATTGCCCACATACACTAAACTAGTACCTAGGTATCTGCACTGCAGTGCCTGGTGCGCAAATCATCAACTTGAACGTCGTCTTCTTGTGACGTATCGGTGCCCCTTGTGCCTCACGAACCATGACGTCCCGTGGCGGTCTGGCTTCTGGCTGGCTATTTGTTCCAGCTGGCCGTGCCAATGGCTGTTCGTCATTGTAGGTGAATAGGTGAAGCTTCAAGTGAGGGAAACCTGCGTCATTGTGTTTTCAGTTGAACTTGAGCAAGCTTGTAGTGACTTTTCATTTGATCTTCATTCATAAATACTACCTACCTTACCCGACCCTGCCCACACAGTACTGGCTTGGATTCGATTCACTCATACCACTCCTCGAAAGCAAAATAGTCAAAGCTTCTCCTGTCTCCCTCTGCTTCCTGCTATCCTCCTCGAACATCTAATTCACAATCTCCAACATGTTGGCGAACACCCCACGGACGGCCATACGGTCAACACGAGTCTTGAGAATTCGTCAACCAATCCGACCTAGACAACCTCGCAACCTCCGGTTTCAGTCCACCTCGACACCCAAGGATGCAGCATCATCCTCAGCCACAAGCCCTGCTCTATTGGGTGGCTTGGCTGGCGGAACAATCGCGCTGGTGGGAGGCTACATGTGGTACTACTTCTCGGGTGCGAAGACTGTTGTGAACAACGTTCATGCTGCCAAATCTTATGTCGACAGCGCCTTCAAAAAGACAACCGAGGCCGCTCCTGAACCTAATCAAGCTATCCAATGGCTCCGTGAAACGGTGAACAGCTACACAAAGATGATCCCCGGAGCCTCTAAGTACGTGGACTCAGCGTTCGATGACCTCGACAAGGTGCGCGAAAAGCACGGAGATGATGTGGACAAAATCATTCATCAAACATATGAGGAATTGAAAGGCGTGACCAAGGCCGGCTTCAGCGTCGAGGCAGTCAGCAAGGCTTGGGATGTGCTGCAAAAATGCTTCAGCCGCATCGCGAGTCTAGCCTCGGACGCTGCAGACGACATCCTCGACAACCACCCCGAACTGAAGGATAAAGTTGGTGGCAACCTTCAACAGCTCAAGAAGATGGGCGAGCAATACGGGCCCGAGGCCAAGCAGAAGGTCGATGAGACATGGCAGCAAGTCCGCGATATCATGAAAGGTGGCGTTAGCATGGAGACTGTGAACAAGCTACAAAGCTTGGTTCAAGAGAAGACACAGGAGGTCAAGAAATACGGCGACCAAGCATGGCAGAAAGGGCTCGAGCAAGCCAAGCCCCTTCTCGACAAGCAACCGCAATTGAAGCAATTACTCGAGACCAACAAGGACAAACTCCTCCAAGGCGACCTTGGCCAACTATGGCAGAAGGTGCAAGAGGCGACCAAGTCAGGCAGCACAGACGATCTTCAAAAGTTTGTCAAGGAGCAAGCCAGTAAAGCCACAGGCGGCGGTGGTGGAATCGAACAATTCCTCCAAATGATTCCCGGTGGAAAAGAGCTTGGGCCCAAGCTGCAACAGTTACAAGAGCTGAGCCAGAAGCACGGACAGGAGGCAGAGAAGTTGGTGAAGAGCGCAATCGAGGATATTCAAAAGGTGCTGTCACAAAAGGTTGAGGAAGGTCAGAAGCTGAAGGAAAAGGCAAAGGCTGATGCGAAAAATCAATAAGCTCAAGCGACCTTGTGGCCAGGAGCATGGGATGACACCTTCGTGGTTTCCTCGAATGGGCAGATCATGGCAGCAGTCGTGTATCGTGTATTATTCTCAGCAAGCAGCTTTCCATGCGGCTGCGTCTCAGGCTGGTCACGCTTGTATCTTGTAACATGAAATGAAAGAAAAGCAACCGGCCATAACTATCTGAGTCCATACTAGTACCATATTGCTCTGATCTGGTGGATTTGACGTCACAGCGCGGAATCCCGCAGTAAGGCTGACTAAAGAGTAAGAGTACATCCTGTGCGTCTACCACCGCACATAACAGACCATTTCTAAATGAGTCGCCGGTTATGCATACATAGGCACATTCTATCTTATGCTCCGTCTAGGATGAGCTCGACTTCCCATCCCACTCCGGGCCGCCCCCTTCCTAGCACGGTGAGCGAGCATCTCGCCGGCAGTGGTCAGTCGTGGCATGGCAAAATCACCCCCGACGGGCCGTGTCCCCCGCAGAAAGGTCGGTATCACATGTACATCGGGTTGTTTTGCCCGTTCGCCCACCGAGCGAACCTCGTGCGGCATCTCAAGGGGCTCACGGATCTGATCGATATTTCTGTGGTGAAGCCGTACCCCAAGGGCGACGAGACTGGATGGCCAGGGTGGCAGTTCCCCAGTACGGACGAGGAGTATCCCGGGGCGACGGTGGACCGGCTCTACGGCAGCAAGTACATACACGAGCTCTATTTCAGGGCCGACCCGGGGTACAAGGGCCGGTACAGTGTTCCTGTGCTTTGGGATCGCGAAACCGAGACGATCGTTAACAACGAGAGCGCTGAGCTGCTGAGGGACCTGCAGACGGCATTCAACCATCTCTTGCCTGAAGATCTTGCGCGGGTGACGCTCTACCCGGAGCACCTGAGACAGAAGATCGACGAGGTGAGTGGCTGGATGCAGCGCGACCTCAACACGGGCGTGTATGCGGCCGGCTTTGCGGACTCGCAGGAAGTCTACGACAAGAAGGTGCTGCCCGTGTTCGCAGCCCTGAACAAGCTGGAGAAGATGGTCGCAGCCAACGGCGGACCGTATATCTTGGGCAAGGACCTGACGGAGCTGGACATCCGAGCCTACGCGACGCTGATCCGGTTCGATACCGTCTATGTGCAGCATTTCAAGTGCAATCTGGGCACCATCCGGCATGACTACCCACAGCTCAACAATTACTTGAAGAACCTATATTGGAACGTCAAGGGATTCAAAGAAACCACCGACTTCAAGCATATCAAGGAGAATTACACCAAGAGCCACTACGATATCAACCCGAAGGCAATCACTCCCCGAGGACCCTATCCGGACATTGAAGAAGGATATGAACCTGATTTGGGTAAAGTCAGGGTTGGCGGTGTCGCGATGCCCGAGGTAGTGGAACTGGAAAAGCAACTGCCTTGAATATCAAACTTGGGACCCTTTCGTGCGATCAAGGTCTTGACCCTGGCCAACTCAGATGATTGTGAAGTACCTTGTTGGTCCCACTGTTATGATATTGCGTGAACCCAGCAGGCTGGCAGGACGAAGGTATGCTAATAGCCGGCTGGTCGGTCGACCTTGGAAACGACCATGAGTGGGGAGGAGGTCGGCGACAATGTTGCTTTAGGTCTCGTCCTTTCGCGCCGGTGTATTCTCTAGGAATGGTGAAACGGCGAACCGGCGCCGAAGGGCTGGTCGAAATCAAGGTTGTACTTCGTGGACAAAGCATTGCGTGCAACGAGGCAATCAAGGGGCGATACCTTGGTACATAGGAGACGATCCAGGAAGAAAAGGCCTCCCTCGTTGACGAGTGGGAGAAACTGCGACGACGGCTAATAATAAAGGAAATTCGATAGAACAAAATGCCCCGATGCAGCCAATCAGCACCATCAACTCAACCCCCCAAGAAAGACCAACAGCAAGCCTGGCTTTCCTTAATTACTAGTAGTTCCCAGGAGATGTCCTAGGCACTACTACCTACCTGGTAGGCACCAAACCCCTTCCCCATTGTTATCTCCGTAGCCTCTCTAGTCTCCCTGGTCTCTCTAACCACCACTACGCTGCCACAGCAATCTCTTTGTGGTTGAGACAAATGCCTTGGTCCACACAAGAGCGGATGGTTTTCGGGTTTGTTGCTGGTGGCTATGCCTGTCAGAAGGAAAAGTCCCTCAGCCAGTCGATTGGTGCACCTCATAGTCTGGCATGACCGCAAATTTCGGTGTGTATCATTTTCTTTGCTCCGTACCAGTCGAGAACAAGCTCCAGCCGGAAGGAAAGTGGCATTCCACTACCCCTGGCTAACGATGGACCTTGCACAGACTCCCACCAGCGACTGGCCCTCTCCACGTCTAGCTCACGGCTATAGACGCCCTCGGCCTCGTCGGTCAACCTCTCGTCAGCCTCCTTTCCCATCAAAGCGCTCGTGCGAACTGCTCGACCCTGGTAAACGTGGCCGACTGTGGCGCTGATTTAGTCCTCATACAGCTAATCCAGTGGCCCTGAGGATGACGACGCAAAATATCTACGGCCATGGATACCCACAGCACCTTTCCTCTTTCTCGCTCCTCGTCCTCCAGTCGTTTGCCCTTATCCCACGTCCCAATGCAACCGGGAGATGGCCATTAAGATTGCATTTTGATACCGACACTTTGGAGGAGAACCATGCATTGGAAGAACATACTTTGTGCCGACGCGGTATTCATGATTCCAGATGTCGAGTCTGGAAGACATTCCACGCAAGAGCAGGGCCAAAAAAAATGAAAATAAACAATGCGGCCGTCTCCGGGAACGTCTGTCAGAAAATGTGTATGCATATGCTTTTCCATCAGTCCAACAGCTCTACTGGTCTGCTCGAGTCCACTCACCGATGTTGACACTTGAAGCTAGACGAGCCTTAGCAGGAGCCTTGATCGACGCCCGTTCCCCGTCACCGCAGTCAAACACCCTGGCCATTGTTTAGTCTCGAACTTTCTGAAGCCTCATTTCCTATCCCAGCCAAACAATGTCTCTAGTTGCCAGATGTTATGCACGGCGCCAGAATATGATCATACCCGGCGTCTACAAGGCCTTTCGTGGTTGAAGGAGACGGCCCTTTGGCATCTCGTCTGCTTGCGAGCACTTTAACATACCCTAGTCGCTTGTTGACCATTCGATCCTGGCCTCTGACCCGGTGACACTTTTACAACAAGGCTTTTTGACATGATCGACTAAAGTCCATCGGAGCCTTAAATCACTCAATATGCTCGCCGTCGGCTATCGATTCTAGGACCTCCAGACGTCGAACGCTTTGGATGAGTGCGCAGGCACGCCCTTTGAGGAAGGAAAGATATCATATGTTGGAGGACCTTGGGAAGGAAGCATGGAAGTCCCGGCAAGGAATGTGGCAGGAGGCCTGCCTGTAATCAAATGCTCGAATTGCGGCGTTGATGTTGAGATGGCAGCCATGGCCATCCATCAATGCGCAACATCGAAAAGCGCAGCGTCTGGTAAACCCGGCCCGCCCGTTGCGAACGTACATGGCAGACTGACAACCACACGCAGCTTTCGTCAGACCGCCGCCTCCGCCTCGAACAGAGTTGTCAAATAGCTCAAGAAACGTTCGATTGCACAGACCGTTGTTGCCGAAGATTGACCCGTCCGCAGGGTGTATGTGCAGGTCCAACGGCGATGTGTTTCATACTGATCTTGTTCCAGTTCGACCACCCGTCTTCCAAGGTGAACTCACGCCTGCCAGCAGTCAACACAGCTCCATGGTATCTCCTGTCAGCGCTTCTTCCGGGAGCCGACCGCCATGGCCAACAAAGCGCAAAGGCTCCGTACCAGGACCACGGCGTCCTCCATCTCCAGAATTGTCGAATCTCGACTGCGCTTTCCCGCCCTTCCCACTGCCACCTAAAGCGTCGACTACCCGGCGGCGCGATAGATCCATCACACAAGGCAACGAAGGGCAGCGGTCTCGATCCAGAACCGCACCCCGGCTTCCGCAACAGGATAGCCTATCCATTCCACTGATAAGAGCTGAGTCATTGAACAGTGTGTCCGAACTCACGAACCACAAGCAACAAGATGTGATATCCCGCGGAACCAGCCCTTCGATCAGCAGCAGTGGCTCGACCAGCAACAAGGCTCCTAGCATCCAGCAGAGCCTCAATGAAACGTCAGAGGTGCAGGACATGCAGCCTCCCCCAAAGCAGGCCTCGCTACGTGAGTCGGGAGACGGATCTATCCCCAGAACAACACCGCTACAGGTGCCCACAAGATCGTACTCCGAACCACCGCCTCAACAAGGTGCAACAACCCAGCAGGACTTCAGTGCGTTTGTTTTCAATGATAATATGAATGCCGACGCCGAGTCGACCAAAAATACTTTGGCACCTATGCAGGCTGAGCCAGGTTACAAGTCGAAAAGGCCTCCACCCCTCGCCCGGGAGCAGTCCCTTCCTCTGACCAAGGTGAGGTCTCCTACTGCGCCTCAACCATCATCAGCCGGCGTTTTGTCAAAAGGTTTTGGAAAACTCTTTGGTCGACGTCGATCGCATTCCATGATTTCTCGTCGAGAGGTCGCCCGACAGGCTTTGAGTGATGAACCGGATGTCTACGATCATCAGGATGCAGGCCAAAGCATTCTGAGTGCGCGGAGTGATGGATCACTCTCCACTGCAGAACCTTCTCCTCTCCTTACCCCGTCGATGACCTCGCCCATCCCGGTACTATCAAGCCATGAAGAGTCTCTACAAGCTCTCGAGGGAATGACAGCGGCTCCAAAGTCCGCTCCGATGGTATTGATTGAGCCAGTCATCGAAGAAGAACCTTCTGAGCCTATACCGTCGCCCCAGCAAGTGCGAGTGGAGCCAGTACAAGCGTCGAGCCCGATCGTAGTCGTTCCTGAGCCTGAACCGGCCCAGGCTGTTGAATCTCTCCAACGCATTTCTATCGACTCGGCTTCTTCATATGGTTCGGTCGGGTTCTCTGACCATGGGAGCAGCTCAAGATCCAGTTCCCCTCGTACAGATTCTTTGATGATCAAGTCCTTCGACTCGTCACACTTGAAGGTGGACCAGCTCCTGAATGCGGAAATTCCAGCACCATTAAGACCAGGGCGGGCCCAGACACTTCCCGAATCGCCAACCGATCCTCTTTTCCAACAAGGGCGGCTTTCTCCCATTCCGGATCACAGTCATGTACCGAGTCAACCGATACCTCCTCTGCAGGCATCTCAAGTCGAGTCTCAACCCAGTCTGACTCCGGGTCTGGAACCTCATGCAGCTCTCGTCCAGAAAGGCAATATCTCGACGCCCAACAAGGGTATCTGTCGTGGATGTTCCCAAGTGATTCTTGCAGCACAGAAATCTGTATCGAGTGCCGATGGGCGGCTGACTGGTCGTTATCACAAGGAATGCTTTGTATGTCGGACGTGCCAAAACGCATTCCCGACCGCGGAGTTCTACGTGCACGACGACCAGCCATACTGCGCTCATCACTACCACGAGTTGGAGAATTCATTATGTGCCACCTGTGGGAAAGGCATCGAAGGTCTGTACATGGAAACCGCCAACGTGGCAGGTCGCGGGAAGGAAAAGCACCATGCGGAGTGCCTGAAGTGTACCACCTGCAAGATCCGACTCGATCACGATTACTTTGAGCTGTCAGGCAACGTGTACTGTGAGCGAGATGCATTTCGCATAGCCAGCATGCCGAAGACCCGTGACAATGCCCCCAGCCGACCGAGTCCCCTAATCCGGGAGTATATCAGCAGCGGAGACCGAGGGCTGTTGGGGGCCAAGAAATTCCCAGAACGAAGAACAACCAGATTAATGACCATGACCTAGTTTCATGACAGCGAGCGTTTGATATAAAAGCATAGTGGTTTGTGATTGGTGCGGCGGATCTGAGCAGAAGGTTTGCTTCTTGCAGTTCAGACAGGCCCCGGCGGGAAGATGAGTTTATTCAGATTTACAGCCGTCTCACATTCTGCATTGACTTGGAGAAGAATCGGTCTGCAAGGCACGCGCGGGAGCTAGGACGATGTCGCGGTGACAGCTGTGAAGAGGTGAAGGTATCGAAGAGAAGATGAAATCGTACATGGTGACACCACCTCACGGTTTCTATTTCGGCCGAAAACGAATCTATCCGCCACATCTATGGACAGGCAATCGTTGTCGAACGGACAGCAGTGCAGATCAATTTGCCGCCGGCTTGGGGGAGATTGGCTGACTGCATCAGCCCGCGGCGCCAGATTGTGGATCGAACGAGAATATATATCTAATGTATATTGTGGCAGCACGAAGACCGCGGATTCGTGTCCGAGTTGTTTTGATCCATAAGCCATGCATCAATCCTCATTCTTTCCCAGGTTGCAACAAAGTGTTTGATGTGTTTTTGCAGTTGCATACGAGGGCACACGGCCTGAGACACATCGCGTGCCAGTTTTGGATATGCAAGCCAACGAGTTGAATGCATCTACAGCTGATCCCGGGACCAGGTACAGAATCTAGTATGGAAAGAATAAAGAGCTGTCGCGTTGTGAAGCTGGCGTCGACTCTCCTGACATTCGTCCTGTGAAACCGGGATGAAAACTCGCAGATGCTGTAGCGGTACGGGATATGCAGGTGACCATAGTCATCTGCAGTCATGGTTTGCCCGAGCTGCTTTTCCTTTCCTTGGTGACGGTATTGACAACGACTGGGTCAAGAACCGGCCTGAAGATGCGTTGCATGATGCAGAGGAGAACCAGAAAATGGTTTGTCCTCCGAGCCATATGCTGATGCCAATGCAATGATCGGAGCGACCCAGATATCTATCTCGCATCACGTCTGCATGCATCACGCAGCCCAGGACTGGGATACGCTGGGTATCAAAACCTATTGCGGAAGGACCTGGATCTATACTCGCATCATGTGCGCTGTAAGTGTTGGCATGTTGAGGAAGGAAGCCCTTGGTTGGCTCGACTTCGAATGCATGACGCAGTCAAAACTTGCTTCCTCTGGTCCTTGGGTGGTGTCGTATGCGAGAGACTTGTTGACGGAGAAGAGATGCGCACGCAGCAGGATCGACATATTGGGACAAGACGCGACGAGGTGCGACTCTGTTTACCTCTATCGATCATCAGCATTGAGAAATCTCGAGCACATTTGCCATTGCGTCAGACAATTGGTATAGCTTGTTAGCAAACATGGTTGTTGAGTGTCTCAATCATCCCATTCAAGTGCTTCTCAAATCTGGCTGAGTGCCCCGGCGCTTTTGGGTGCGCCCTTATTTAATCACTGTGCAGTGGTAGACATGGATGCACATGTCTCAGATGTAGAGGAAAAGTTGCTGCCGTCTCATTCATTGTTGACTTACTTCGGTGAAGCTCCAAGGCTCCATTGAAAAGGGGCCGTGGAGCCAATGGCAGGAAAGACCGACGGGAAGATTCGGCGACGATGGGAAATTGGTTTTCTAGACCGTCTAGACATCTACACCGCCAGAAGTCGAGAGAAGTTGTCTCCGTCTGCCCATGTGCCCAGATGCTCAAGATCGTGGTCATTGTCCAGTCAGCTTCGAGCGCGCGCAGAGATGCATTGACTGGGATATTTGAGAGAGATAGTTGCTACTCCAGTGATCCTTGTAGAACTGTTGATGAGGAAATGATTGTGTGGTGTTGCCTCGAGTGATAGAAATCCACACTGGAGGGACATCGCATTACAGGACTTTGGGGACGTGTTTGGGGGAAACGTGTCCTCACGCGTGGCGGTTTGTTTTCTGTGGGGAAAGAAGATGGGATATCTCTCTAAAATAGACAGGAATAGACAGGAATGGTGGAGAAGATAGTGCGGGTTGATACCTGGAGTAGCTAGAGTGGAGACTTTTAGATGCAGCTATGGAGTGGATATTAAAAGTCTAACCACTAGAGACTTAGCGGTGTAGTTAGAGCTATGCATCGGCGAATCACATGATACCATCACCCCACTGACCGTCTGCCAAGCCACAGTTGGCCAACCAAGTTCCGCCCTCACATGGAGTTCAGGCTGCCCAACGGCTGGGCGGACCAAAACACGGTAATAACGACGCTCAACATGTCCATAAAGCGGTGCCTGTTCCTGCTTCCTCTCTTCTCAGCACTGCAGAAGTCTCTCTCTCTCTACCTCAATCACAGCTTCATACCTAGAGTCCAATCAACCACCAGATCACTGCCCGGCCGTGATCCTTTTTCAACCCCTCATCTAACCAGCTGGATCACTTCCGAGTGATCCGTCAACGCCGTCAAGACGTTTTCCAATCAGTTGAACTCGTATGTCTCCCTGGTACCACCATGTTTCTTTCTCCCCCCGGTCATCACGAACCAGCCCATTCACTGGTACCTGCATTCCTCGATCCCTGCTTCATCTCGATCTAGCCTTGGATCATGTCCATGTACATGTACATGTACATAGACAAGTACAAATGCCCCAGGACTGTCCCTGAGCATCGTTGCCGCCAGCTGGTTTCGATCTGGATGCAGTCCACCGCCTCGGTGCGCATGGTGCCTGGGGCATGCTTGTCTCTTGTATTGTTGCTGCTGGCCTCAATCGCAATCAGAACCATTTTTACTCTTTGTTCTTGCCTCTCTCCCGGCACAATGCTCAACATGATATCTGACATATCATCTCTGTTTAGGTCGCACCACCCGTTCAACGGTACCCGCTGCTCTGCCCGTGCTGGAGGAGCAGCCGATTACGCCAAAACTCGATAAATTGGTCGTCAGCATATTAACACTGCTCTCACTCAATCTTCAACGGCATTCTTTACTAGCCAATTTTATCGTCGACAAACATGGCACCTCACGCGGAAATCGGCAACGGCAACAGCAACGGTACCATGAACGGGTATAGCGCGCATGGGTCGACTCAATCCCACCAGGATCTTCTCACAGTCAACTCTCCCAATGTGGCCTATACCGATGACCACATCAAGTCTAGATACGTCTATCGCACCACGGAGGTCACCAAAACCGCCAATGGCAAATTCACGGCCTCTCCCAAGGAGACGGTCTATGATTTCAAGGTTGATCGCAAGGTCCCCAAGGTCGGTATGATGTTGGTGGGCTGGGGTGGTAACAATGGTTCCACCGTTACCGCGGGCATCATTGCCAATCGACGTGGGCTTGTCTGGGACACTCGTGAAGGCCCTCGTGCTGCCAACTATTACGGCTCTGTGGTGATGGGTTCGACCATCAAGCTGGGCACCGAAGCCAAAACTGGCGAGGAAATCAACATTCCTTTCCATGATGTTTTGCCCATGGTCCACCCCAACGACATTGTCATTGGTGGATGGGACATCAGTGGCATGAACATTGCGGCTGCCATGGATCGTGCCCAGGTTCTGGAACCGACTCTGAAGGCTCAGGTCTACAAGGAGATGGCACTCATGAAGCCTCTACCGAGTATCTACTACCCCGATTTCATTGCCGCCAATCAAGAAGATCGTGCGGACAATGTCCTTCCGGGTAAAAAGGCGAGCATGGCTCATGTTGAGCAGCTGAGAAAGGACATTAGGTATGACTTGCACAAAAGACGAACATGCAGAGTGATGCTGACCAACGTACCAGGACTTTCAAAGAGCAGAACAGCCTTGACCGGGTCATTGTTCTTTGGACCGCCAACACCGAGCGCTATGCCGACATCATTCCCGGTGTCAACGACACGGCCGAGAACTTGTTGAAGGCCATTGAACAGGGCCATGAGGAGGTCTCGCCCTCTACGGTCTTTGCCGTGGCCTGCGTTCTGGAGAACGCACCGTTCATCAACGGTTCTCCTCAGAACACCTTTGTTCCGGGCGCGATCGACCTTGCCGAGAAGCACGGGTCGTTCATCGGTGGCGACGATTTCAAGTCCGGCCAGACCAAGATGAAGTCTGCCCTGGTGGATTTCTTGATCAACGCCGGCATCAAGTTGACTTCCATTGCAAGCTACAACCATCTCGGCAACAACGATGGCAAGAACTTGAGCTCGCAGCGACAATTCCGCTCCAAGGAGATCTCCAAGTCCAACGTGGTCGATGACATGGTCGCGGCCAATACGGTCTTGTACGAGAAAGACGAGCATCCAGACCACACCGTCGTCATCAAGTACATGCCTGCCGTCGGGGACAACAAGCGGGCGTTGGATGAATACTACGCCGAGATCTTTATGGGCGGCCACCAGACCATCAGCATCTTCAATGTCTGCGAGGACTCGTTGCTCGCGTCGCCGCTGATCATTGATTTGGTCCTCGTCGCCGAGATGATGACTCGTATTCAGTGGAAGACCGAGTCTGCCGCCGAGTACAAGGGGTTCCACAGTGTTCTCAGTATCCTCAGCTACATGTTGAAGGCACCGCTCACCCCTCCTGGCACTCCGGTCATCAACTCGCTGGCGAAGCAACGCGCCGCCCTGACCAACATCTTCCGCGCCTGTATCGGTCTCCAGCCCGAGTCTGACATGACTCTCGAGCACAAGTTGTTCTGAGTCTTGGACTCAGACTCGGTCTCGGTCTCGACCTGGTGAACACAACCCCCACCTCTCCGCAAGAATGAAGAATCAGCAGGGCTGGACAACCTCTCGGAATTAGTGTAATTGCGATGGGTGGCTAGACTTGTTTTGTTCTTCTCTCTCTTGCATTGCGATTGGCGACAGGTCGTGCTCTTTGTTGTTGGTCTCGGTCTGTTTGCCTCTGCAACAGTCCCTCTGTCTTTGTTTCTTTTTGCTCCCAAGTCCAACTCTCAAGTCACTCTTTTGAACACCACAGATACCCTAGGTATCCTACCTATATAGTCTCGGCAACACAAATATATTGCTTTGCCTACTTTTATCTTTCTGGTCGGGTGTCGTCCTCGTCCTCGCTTCGCATGTATAAACGCGTTTCCTATCCTTACATTTCCAAATGTAAAATGTATTATTTTCCCCGGCCCTTCCGTTTACTAGCCCTATCGCATATGGTTGACTACCTTCTCAAAACACGACGCCCCTTCTGAGAAGTTGTTTCTCGTTTCCCTTTCTGGCTGATCAGACGAATCTCGAGATGAATACCCCGTCGTCATGATCTACGAGCTATGGCGATGGTGCTCTCGTGTGAATTGTCTACTGGATGCCTTGGGAGGAGTCCTATCCGCCGAAAGTATTGCCCATCTTATCATATCTTATCATATGACGGCATAATCTCATCTGTCGCCTCTTATCTCTCGATTTCGATATCAAGAAGAAGCAAATACTCTTCACGACAGCTGTACGGATATAAAATTCCACCGAGACGACACTACACTTGTTCTAACACGTCCTGATTTCTTCACCGCGTTCACCAACCTATAACCCATCGCAGGGCCAGTCCGGAATCCCACGCATCGGCGCAAAAGTAGAGTGTTGTAACGAGATCATTCATACGGGCTTGCTTCATCAGCTCAAAGACTCTCTCAACAACTAACCTCTTTCAATCAACGACCGGTATCAACGACGACCATGGCCAGCGAAGCGTCAACACCCGTCCGCATCCTGGTCATCAACCCGAACACCTCGACGCATATGACGGACGCATTGAAACCGATGGTTGAAGGCCTCGGGTTTCCTTCTGTAAGTCAATCCTCTTTTTTTCTTATCTGTCTTTTCCTTTTTTTGAACACCTATGTATCATCCATCCATCCAGCACCGCTCTGAGATGTATCCCTCAGTCAAGTCGAAGCATACCATAACCCCTAACAGAAACATGTCCTGTTCCCTTCTGATGACCGTCAGACCTTGAGAAGACTACCATGATTCCTCAGGTTCTCGGTATCCCTCAAGATATTGCGCTCTCTTGCCTATCCCATTTTCGCTTTAAGCTTCTTTTATGCGATCTATACTCCTTCACACTGTTACCTGCTCTTCCAACCAGAAATGCCTATCACGTCTATTCCAGCCAAGCATCCAATCCAATATACCAATACCTCCCCATCTATCTCAGGACGAACCGACAGACGAGAGACAATATATATATATATATATATATACAGAGGCATATCCCCATTTACATATCAACTTCGATGGTCCAGTCATACTAACGTATTCACCATCAACAACAGGTCGACTATACATACTTCACATCTCCCACCCCCGGCATCCCCAGCATCAATTCCCCCACCGACGCCGCCCGCTCCGCCGAGATCTGTTTCCCGGCTCTAGTCCCACTAGTTCCGCACCACGATGCCTTCCTCGTCGCTTGCTACAGCGCCCACCCTCTAGTGGGGATGTTGAAGGCCGAATGTTCTCGACTGAGTGCCGCGGCGGCGGCGGGCGCGGGAGGACGCGGAGCGCGGAAATATGTCACGGGGATTTTCGAGGCGAGTTGTTTGGCAAGTTTGGCGCTGGTCAGTAGTAGTGGTGGAGAGGGGGGTGAAGCAAATGAAGAAAAGAACAAAACCACCACCATCACTGCAAATGAAAACGACAAAACCACCACCAACACCGACATCGATAATGACAGTTTCGGCTTCGGGATCGTCAGTACAGGCAAAGTATGGGAAACAGCTCTCCAACACGCCGTCGACGAGTTTCTGGGCCTCCCAGTCCCCAACGGCAACGATTTGAACACTCCAAATTCCAAACCAGACTCTACTTCCAAGACTCAGTCTCAGTCTCATCAGTCCACACCGCAACGATTCTACGGATGCGAAACGACAGGGCTGAACGCAAGTGAACTGCACGACCTTCCGGCCGAAGAAGTGCGGAAGAAGATGATGGACGCAACGAAACGGTTGTTGCGGAGGGGAATGGGAATTATAGGCTCTTCCAAAAACACAAGTCCTGACGAAACTTGGAAACTGGTCAATGTCAAGGTCAACGCCAATCTGCAATCCCAGTCCCAGTCCCAGTCCCAGTCCCACGAACAGTCGTCGTCAACGGACAATGTCAGTTCCAGCTATGGATCGGAATCCACGACGGCATGTTCAGACCCGGATCCGGAGTCAAGATCAAAGTCATCGTCAAGAGTCAAAGCAATCTGTCTCGGCTGTGCGGGGATGGTCGGTCTCGATTCCGCCGTGCGCAGCGCGTGTATTGAAGAGTTGGGTCCCGAGGCGGGGAAGGAGGTATATATCGTCGACGGGGTCAAAGCGGGTGTTGGGATGCTTTATAGTCTTGCGAGATGTGGGTTTTGAATCTTGAAGAGAGAAAGAACATGTTTGGTCGTTAGCTATTAGCTATTAGCTACTAGTATGCAGAGAATTGGGGGATGAACAAATTGCAACGCAGTATATGAATCAACCCGGTGGTTATTGTTGTTCTTGTTCTTGCTCTGATCTGGTCTGGTCTGGTCTGCTGCTGACGCTGGACTACACTATACTACACTATACTAGATATACTATACCCGTCTTTTCATAAGCTGGCTGTGCCATGAAGGTCAAGTATCGGGACAGTAAGTATCTACCTAGACATACATATACACCACCTTAGCATTCATTGTTTACTACCAGTCAGTAGCTAGATGGGAAGGATTGGAACCACCCATCATATCGGGGTAAGGACGGGGTGGTGTGTGGCAATTGTGCAACTTCAACACCGACAAGGAAGACTAAGGCTCTCAGGGATCGACTGTTCGTTCCCCTGTTTCTTCAATTCATTTTCTTCATCTCTTTCAAATATAAATACATACTAGCCATGGCCCATCATGGTAAGTCAAGAGAATACACGCTGGTGGGTGGTCATGATACAACTGCAACTGCCGTGTTTACACCAAACAGAACCTTGCTCTGGACCATAAAATATCATCAACTCAACACCACATCAAGGTGAGACCCCGGTCCCCGACAACCAACTCCAAATGATCCGCTACAAACGAAAAAGCAAAGCAAAGGAAAGTAGACATGATGATTCATTCATTCATGATTCAATCTCAAAGTGCCACTCTAGGCATCGTTCGATTCGAAGTGAAAGTACCAGATCCAATTCATCCGTGGGTGCAAGGAGAATATACAATTCAATCCATGCTTTCAAGGAATAGCGTACCATCCCACCAAATCCACCACATCTACCAATCCATCAATCATGATTCAATCATTCAGGCGGACTACTTCTCAACCTTCTCCCGCCGCGACCACCACCACCACCAACACCAACACTCTGACTGAAATTCTCAACACCAACACCCATTCCCATCCCCACTCCGGGCATGGCACTCTTCGCCCGCCCCAGTTTCATGGGCAGTTTACTCTCCACCACGGCATTGGTGGTGGCATGTCTCTTCAAGGGCGGTTGCCCAGCTACACCGCCACTGCCGACGCTCTTGCTGAAATCCAGTAATACAGGTCGTTCCTTTTCGTCTGGGATAGCAGTAGTAGTACCAGCAGCGGAGGCCGGGGCCGGGGCCGGTTTTCCGGCAACATTGATGTCGATTTCCTTGAGACTGCCTGATTTCGTTTGCATCGGTTCGGCTGATCCACCGGCGACTGTGAAATCCATGTGCGGTAAATATTGGGACTGAGAAGACAATTGCTGCTGTGCGACTGTCGCCGAAGGGTCGATGTCAGTGAAGACTTTGGTCTTGCTCGGACTGGACTGCTTTGACGGCGATGCGGGTGGTTTGCGTGGAGATGTTTGTTGTTGTTGCTGTTGCTGTTTGCGTGGCGATCGTCCCGGCGTCCGGGCTGTCGATGGTGTCTTGGTTGCCAGGGCCGGGTCAGGAAGACCTCTCAGCCTTGCGATGATGGAGTCATGGTTTTCGGTTCGGGGCAAGGTAGTCGGGTAATTCCACTCCCGTTTCTGTGGCGTGTGTCCTGTCGGAACATAGTCCATCAATCCTGCTGTCGATATTTCCTCCGTCAGATCTCGGAGCAGTGGTCGCGTGCCGTCGTGCAGAGAACTGCTCAAGCCGTCGAGTTCTGCTGTTTGGAACTTGAGGTCGCTGTCCAACAGTTCGAGCTCCCCGGTGCGTGTCGCTAACTGATTTCCGAGGTCGGCGAATCCTTCTTGAGCGTGACCGACGACCTTCTTCAGTCCATTGACGCGTTCAGCATGATGAGATTCATTCTGAGATCTCGCTCGAGTCACGAATTCATCAAGAGCGGCCATTTGAGTGGCCATCTGCGTCAATTGAGCATCGACGATCTTGACTGTCTCCTCGTGGACGGCCTTGGTGGATTTTTGAATGGCGTTGTTCCGGGTGCTTATGGCCTGTCGAGAATTAGCTTTGTTCTATCTCAATATCATAGCTAGCACCTACCGTCCAATCTCCCTTCATCTTGGTCTTCAGATCATCCTTCGTGGTGACAACCTTTATCATCAGGTGACTGTCTTGAGCAGTCCATCTGTCCATGCCTTCACGATAGACCTTGTCGGCGTTCTCGAATTGTTCGGTCGCTTCGAGCAGGTGAGATTGAGTGTTGATCAACCTGCTGGAAAATCTCTCTTCTTGTCGCTCGTATGACGAGTCGATAAATTGGAGGATTTGCTCTTTCAACCTTTCTTTCTCCTTGGCGGCTGCCTGTTTCTCCTCGTCGCGAATGATTTCCAGCTGTGTTGAAGCTGCCAGTTGCGCTTCAATGTTTGCGCAATTCGCTTCCTGAAGTGCAAACCGCAAAGAATCTGCCACTTCGCGTTGAGCGGCCAGTTGCTTGGTCATGTCCTCAAAGAGGGCTTTGAAATCCTTCCCCAGTCCACTGAAGGACGAATGTAACTGGGTATGGAACTGTTCGAGCTCGGAAATCACCTCTGCTGATATTTTGGCTGCCGCTTGAGACAGACCCTGTAAACCCACACCGACCTTCTCTTTGACATCGTCGCGAAGGTCTTTGATCTCTTCGAGCACGTTGTTGACGGCGTCCTTCTGCCCTGAGCATTGGCTTTCTATTTCAGCATGGTTCTCACCAAGTTCTGCTGCTCTTGCGACGACCAGCCCAGCCGATTTCTCCAAATGCGCCTTCTCAGCGGACAGGAATTCCTCCAACCGCGCCGTGGTGGCGTCGACCATTTCGGCATGTGCCATTCGAAATTGTTCAATCCGAGCATCGACCAGCTGAGACACGTCTGTGACCCGGCCGACTGAACTCTCCCAAGAGACTCGGTTCTGGTGATGTAGGTCAGAGCGTCGTCTCAGTTTGGCATGAAGTCCGTCAACATCATTCAATGATGCGTCAACCGTCGAAACCAGCTCGGTCCCGATGCTAAAAAGTTGCTCTTCTGTCAGCTCGTGTGCTTGACGCAGCACAGCCTCTTCAGCCAAGTCCCTCTCGGTCTGTGCAAGGACTGCCTCTGTTTGGACAAGTATATCTTTCGTACTTTCCAGCGTTGCGCGCGTGGCCTCAGTATCTCGTTTCATGATTGTGAAGTTGTTGGTCAAACTGAACAGTTCCTGCACCTTGTTCCGCAGACTCACTTCCAAGGTCTCGATCCGGGCTCTCTGCTCTTCGCTCAATATCCTCCTCGACTCGCTTTCGACCGTGATCTCTTCGTATTGCTCGTTGGAGAGGTAGACTCCGTTGCGCTGTCGGGTTGCAATCAGCTCGCTCTTCAACTTTTCTATTTCTGATGTGAACTCTTTCAACAGTGTTTTCTTGGAAATCATCGAGTTGACCTGAGGTTTGTTGCGGATGTTCTTTGCACGAAATGCATAATCCAGGGTGGAAATGGTCTCTTCGAGATTGCTTTTGGCAGGTGAAACCGTTGCTATTATGCAAGTCTTGGTTCTGCCACCCAGGGAATCTTGCAGCAATCTCGTGAGTTTGGATTCCCGATAAGGGATATGCGAACCTTTGTCAACAAGGGCATTGATGACCCTTCCCAGTGTGAGGAGACTTTTGTTGATCAGGCCGGCTTCGGCAGCGCGTTTGTTCTCCGCCCCGCTTCGTTGAATGTTTTCACTGCCAGCCAAATCCACGAGGTTGAGTTTGCCAGAGCATATGTAATCTTCGCCTGTTTCGCTGGGTTTCTTCATGTAGGTTGTGATCGTAAATACAGTATGGCTTCGAGAACTGAGATCGTTACATTTGGTGGCAGCGACTTGACGCCGGTAACTTCCTTGTTGAAGCAACTTAATTCCGGCCGCTGCATTTTGGATGTATGATTCCTCCATGCCTTGAACAACCGTGGCGGTGTGGCTCTTTTTGCTCGAATCGTCGTAAATTTTGAGCTTGACGGTTTCATCCGGCGACAGTAGATCTCGCAACTCTTCATTGTATAATTCGATGAAGGAGCATTTCACCGAGCACTCCACTTCGTCCGATTCTAGCTTTTGAAATAGGGAGTAGAGGACTCGCGGTATAATGCCGGCCGCGTCGGAGAGCAATCCATATGTATCCGTCATGTCCCCGGACATGGTGTACGTCTTCCCGGTGCCCGTCTGGCCATACGCAAATATCGTGCAGTTGAAGCCAGTCAACATTTCGTTGAGTATGGGTGCGACCACATCGTCGTATATTATTGCTTGGTCTGCAGCCGGCGAGAAGACTTTGTCGAAGTAGTAGGTCTTGTTGCTGATCGCATTCGGGCCCATACATAATTCCACATTCTGTCCCTTGACACCGGTTGTTGACACTACCACGCCGCTGTTCTCGCGCACCTCTCGTTCGCTGCGACCTCGACACCGAACAACCACGTGAATATTGGTCTCCTCCCCATGGTCATGATCAAAGTCTCTTTCCTTCCTCTTGACACCGGCGCTAGAATTGTTACTCGAAGCGTTGGATGGTGCTGGCGATGCAGCTCGGCCAGTCATGGAGGCATAATGGGGCACATTCGGTCGGGCTGGAGGGCGCATTGAACTCCGGGAGGAGGAAATGGTAGGCCGCTGTGGCCCTGCCATGATGGCGACGAAGAGATTCCCGGAAGATGGTGTGGGGGTGATGCGGTGAAGCGCCTTCAATATGGGTGCGGGTGTGGCATGAAGGTGGTCAAGGATGAGGCGTCTGGTGTTTGGAGGTCTGCCAGGTACGTACTAGGTAGGTAGTCAGTAATGTGCAGGGGACAACGGACAGGCATGTACAGAGAGTATCTAAGGTAGTATGCAGTCGATGGACGAAAGGGGACAGGAAATAAACAATCGACGGCCGCCAATCAGAGAGTACCTCTGTAATAGTGCTAGGACTACTACTAGTGCTTTTACTAGTACCACTAGTAATACTAGTACGTACCTAGTTACATGCAGGCGGCGGCCTCGCACGTGACACGACTGAATGACGCCTGTCCATCAACCGACTTCCAACCCTTGAGCACTCTAACAACTACAAGGCACCACTGCCAGTGACTCTGTTTGGCTACAATGGTCATCCACACACAACTATCATCAATGTCCTCTTCAACAGTCTCTTCCTCTATCTAGAGAGATCAGTCAATATGCCTGCGCCATCATGACGGATCTCAATCCTCGATCCGCTCTACAAATCCAGCCTGAAAGGGGAATCGGCTGGATAGGTACGGCTTGCCGCTTCTACGCAATGTGTTTGACTGACATGGGAAGTTCTCGGATCGTCCCTTCACAGCGTCCTTACGAGGTTGAAGGCATCCCCACAGACTTATCGTAACCTTGAACTGTCGTACTCTGCTTCTGAACCCATCGCCAAACCAGTCATTCTCAGCCTTCCACACAATGGACTGAGACTTCGTTTCGATGGTTTGGACCAACGGCTGCGACTGATCGAAGTCCTGGATTTCTCGCTCAGTTCTTTTGCCTACAAGAACACTGAATTGGTCCGCCGGAACAAGAGCTCAGACGAAGGTCACCAAGATGAAACGGGGCCGGGTGGACCCTCATTTAGGCATGTCTACAATCGACTCTTCGGCCCTACGTACGCTGGCGAATACATTGGCCCCGAAGCAGGACAGTCGACGGGTACCTATGTTCTGTCATATCCTGGACTTGCATTTACATTCCCCATCAAACACAAATCGTGGTCTGACAAGGTCGATTTCGTCTCGATCCTGTCCTCGACGGCGACGGGCCCAGCCACGTCGATGGCTATCTTTCTGGGGTCGTCATGGACAGAAGCGCGGCAGAACTTGTACACAAGACCTCCAATCTACCCCCGGCTTCCAGCATTAGGGGGAAAGGCCTCGGAGACCATCCCAGACGAAATTGAGGAGGTACGAGTGTTTGGAGGTGGTAGACTCGAGATGGTGAGGAGAAGCTCGCCACCTTTAAGCATTACCTTAAGCGAGACTACACCTCAAGATCTGGTGGCCGAGCTAGGCCCGCCTGATGCCATCTACCGCAAGCATGACCGACGGATCTCCATTCATGCTTCCGGCAACCCGGCGAATCGCCGTGTCCCCAGCATGTCCCCAGGTCTCGACCCTCAAGCCTTGGACACCGACCAATCATCGATACAAAGCTACACCGAAGACTCAGACATTGAACAAGAGCGTGAGAGTAACATGGCTCTTGAATCCATCGACGAGTGCTTCTTCAACTACTTCCATCATGGTTTTGATGTTCTCATCTCTTCCTCTGCGGTAAGATCACCCACATTTCCAGGCACCTCGACATATGAGCCTTCCACATCGTCGGGGGCTCAACTGGTTGCGACGAAGATATTCTTGCACGCCAACATCCCCGGGTCCTTCTCGTTCAATCGACACCGCAGAAGTCGGTGGGTGATCCGCACCGGCGACGACACCTTGACCTCGGAGATGCCATTTTCCGAGATCTCGTCTTCGCTGAAAAAGGTGTGGCATGGTACCTACAAGGACGAGCATGAGGAGAAACAGATGCAACGGGGCATGGTGCTCAACAGGGGGTGGGCGGAGAGTCCTGAGAGTTCGATAGAACTGTTGGGTGATTTGGAGGAGGACAGTCCAACGCGGGACAAGGCAGAGGATCATGGGTCAGCCGAGGCCATCAATGGGATGAGCAATACGGAGTTGTTTGGGTTTCCGGGGATGTTGTTTGAAGTGCTCAAGAACGACATGGTTAGTTGTTTGACGGTGTTTTAGGGATGACCAACAAATAGATATCGTATGACACCGTCCTGGTTGCAAGAATATCTGTCTGGATGGGATCTAATAATGGATGTTATTTCTGGCTGGCCAGCATCATTATTGGGCGGGCGAATGGATGGTGGCGCTCAGACTCTTTGTGTAGCGACCAAAACCAACCTCCACTCCCTCCACTCCCTCCAAACTCCCTTCGCAGCCACACAAGAAACATTCGTCGACATCCTTCAATTCACCCAGACCACGAGCTGTAGATGTCGTCGCCGTCACCTATCCATGAGGTCGCTTGCTGCCATCATTCAGCTGTCGACCATTGCTAGCGAAGATGCCCGCGTATCTATATCACTACCTGCCTTCCGCCACTTTTATTACTTCGGGTATTGCGCCTTCACCCTCCCCAGTCATTCATTCATTCATTCAGTCACTGGTCACCGGTCACTGTTCACTCCCGTCCCTCATCTTCCACTTGCAGTCTTTGGCCAACGATTCTGTTACTGACATGTCACCTTCCGCTGCAGCTGTAGCGTCTAGCTACCTCGAGTTTCCCATATTGCGCGGATGAACCGTTCGCCTCGGCGCGCCCACAAACACAATCATGACCCGATCTGGTACCCCGACCACCACGTCGAGGTCACATGCCATACGTTGTCTTGTAGATGACACCGCCTTGACCAGAAACTTTGCAGAGATTGACAGTTGGGTCTCTGAGGGCAGGATTATCCTGGTGGTGCCTCTCTACAGTACGCGCACTCTGCGTGGAGACTCATAGCCTCTGATCATCTGCTAACCATGCGCTGCAGCAATCGAACGCCTACACCTGCTGAAGAAAGACTCGTCGCAGATTGGCGCCAATGCGCGCAAAGCTGTCAAGGCCCTCGACCGCTATACCTCTTCTCGCGGCGACCTACAACACGATCCGGTGATTTTGCAGGGCCCCGATGAACAATACCTTACTTGGGCAGACGTGGAGGCGCGCTACATCAATGAGAACCTGAAGACTGCCGGGACCAACGAGGAGGAGACATCACTGTCTGCAATGGACAAGAAACAGGAGAAGGATGCTGAACTTCCTTTGAAGGGGAACACAGGCGCGGGAGGCACACTCTCGCAAATGTTGTTGGATAGACTCAACTTCACCAAAGACCCCGCGGCAATGTCGCCCACGTCGACGCCACCCTTGTCTCCCGCTTCGTCTGAACCGCAGAGCTCCAAGACGAGTCCCGAGGTCAAGTCCGCCGTCATGATCGCCCACGATCAGACTCCCGTGCCACCGTCCCTGAAGCCTCTGCTTAATTCGGTGGTATGGTATGTTCACGAGAAGAAGCTGCCATCCGATGAAAGTGTCATCTTCTTGACCAATTCGGCCGATACAATGCATTTGGCGCGGGACTTTGATGTTCCGACCAAAAACATCCACCAATTGAGAAGTGCCCTCGGACTGGAAGAAACGAACACCCAAGCACAGGAAGATCCGAAGCGAGAGCTGTTGAAAAGAGATTCCGTCTCGGAGCCAAAGACACTGTTCAGTTACGAGGATGGAGAAAGTGACGAAGAAGAGGTGGTTTTCAAACCACGAGGTCGAGGTGCGCCACGCGGAGCACAGTCTTCTCGGGGATCTGGCACTGGTTCTTTGCGTGGTAAAGCGGCACGCGGCCGTTCGCCGAGGATGTCCTTCAGCAGTACCTCCGCCCAACCAGCACAAGTCAAGCCTCAGATTCCGGTCGAGGAGATCGACCCCGACTCGTTCGACCGTGGCAGCTTTGGTCGAGGCAGCACTCCTCTCGTCAACACCAGCAATTACGGCCCTAGCCAATTCAACGGTGGTCGTGGTTCGGGACATCGTGGCAACCAGAGTCAGGGCGGGGGACGAGGCGCCAACCATGCACGCGGTTCTGGTCGTGGCGGCGAACGTGGATCGACCCGCGGAAAAGGTCGATTGTTCATTCCATAAGCATGGGCAACTCTGTCGCAATCCTCTGCATATGCGACAGCAAGACATCACCACAACACCCTAGCCATTGAAACCATCGACTCAGACTCAGGTGCGCCTCGAAGCGCAAAAGAACTTTTCGGATGGTGGCAACATGCTCAGGAGCTCGACGGGAGAGGGAGAGGTTCAACCTATCGCCCCGACACAGTCACTCACGGATACGCCAGATCAACGGCGTTTGAGTCGTAATTCCGCAGCGTCCTTTCACTTGACTTGGAGCTTTATGCAGGGTTGAGCAGCCACGCTTTTGGCCAGAAATGGTCTTGATGGAAGACACATTGACAAGTCCCGGGTTGGCGGCATGACAATCTGGAAAGAAGGGGAGAAAAAAGCGAAGAAGATTCATTATTGCTTTCTTGGTTGCAAATTGGCTGGGTGATACCTCTCATGGGGGACGCCACAAGGCTACATTCTTGCTTGGGCAAGGTTCCACTCGTTTGAACATGAAGGTATTGGTTTTTCAATTCTTGGGATGCGGACTGGAGTGAGCAAGGTCGCTCAGCTGTCTAAGGTCCGGAGGATGCTCGCCGTCCTCGGTCACCCTTGACCATGAGTGGGAGGAGGATTCGATGACGCTTTCGCAGCGATCTGCTCGCTCCCATGTCCACGATGTCCACCTGTTGATTGTTTATGCTTTGTAGGCAATATATCGCTTTGGTTTGCTATATCAAAGGACCTTGGTCATTCATTAAGGAGCTTTCAATAAGTCGAGAGTAGAAAAGTGTAATCGACGCTAACCTGTTCTGTTAGAGAAGAACAGCGGGAGACCTCTATTATCATCAACCACCATCTACTATGTAGGTAGGTACCTAGGTAGGTACAGAGCATCTTTCACCTTTCATCTCCTTTCCAATTCTCAACGGGGAACGTGCTTGGAATCGGTAGACTCTAGTAGTAGCAGTCTACATGAAAGTATAGACGATAGGTATACATGCAGTGCTGGTGCTGCGTACTACAGTTTAGTTATTAGTAAGAACATACGCGTTGATACGCGGTCAGTGCGGCCGGTGATTCCGGAGATATGGATGTATTGGTATTTATATCCCCGCCATCAGCCCAACCAGCAATCGGACTCGCCATCTCGATCGAGTTCCGGTCGTTTTAAATCCGATTGGGAAGTTGTAGTACTGGTTGGGTATAGCTGTCATGATAGGTTAAATCCGGACATGTCCATGGTAGCAGGGACATAGCACAAAAAGCATTCGTCGTTTCTGAAGCACGCATTCAATCATAGGTATAGAACAAATATATAAGTTCCGTCGAGAACCGGAAACCCATCACTTCCTGCATTCATTCGGTCTATTCAATCCAGTACCAGAACTATCAAGGGGATAAGGCCAGTATCAACTACCTACTCACTGCCATCGTGGACCAAACAAGCGATATACATCCTACCATACTACTGTCACCACCACCAATAAATTAAACAAGCCCACCATGCCGTCGACATGGCTGATCACAGGCTCCTCGTCAGGCTTCGGATTGGCGCTTGTCCGCTACATCCTGTCGCAGGGCCACAACGTGATCGCGACATCCCGCAACCCGTCCAAGACTCCGGAGCTCGTTGAAGAGATCACATCCACATCCGGCCGGGGCCGCTGGCTAGCACTGGACGTGACATGGCCCAAGGCCGAGATCGAGGCGGTGATCGAGGAAGCGTGGACTGAATTCGACGGCATCGACGTGCTGGTGAACAACGCCGGCTACAGCGTGCTGGGCGCGGCCGAAGAGATCCCGGAAGACCAAGCGAAGGCGCAGTTCGAGGTGAATTTCTGGGGACTGGTGCGCACCAGCCAGGCCGTGCTGCCGCGCATGCGGGCGCGCGGGACCGGCACGATCGTCAACGTCTCCAGCATCGCCGGGCTCGACGCTATACCGACCTGCGCCATCTACGCCGGCAGCAAGTTCGCCGTGGAGGCGTGGTCCGAGTCGCTCTCCAAGGAGCTCCAGCCGGTGGGGCTGAAAGTGCTGGTCGTCGAGCCGGGAGCGTTTCGCACGAATTTCTTGACCAAGGATGCGTCGCAGATCGTGACGCCGGTAGCTGAGCCCTATCGGCAGGAAAAGGGGCCCGTGCGAGCTGTGCTCGATAAGTTCCGCGACTACGATGGCCAGCAGAAGGGCGATCCGGTCAAGGCTGCGCAGAGGATCTTTGAGGCTGTGGTGGGAGCAGGGATGGCGGGAAGTGTGGCTGAGAAGGGTCTGTTGAGGCTGCCGCTGGGCCCGGATTGCTATGCTAGAGCTGTCGAGAGTACGCGGTTGAGGATGGAGAATTTGGTGGCTCTCAAGGATGTCGCTTTAAGTACTGACTTCTCATCCTGAGGGGCAATCATGTCCCGATGCTCGTCGACCGTTCAGACTGAAGGTGTCATTTGGTAGCGAGGCCAGAACATTCTTGCCACGGGACGAGCTGTAAAAGACCAGAGGCATGATTATCAGGAAGTACCCATAGTGCCTGTCATGTGGATGACTCTTGTGCACTATTGGGAAGAGAAAGACGAATGGAATGAATGCATAGTAACTTGCTGGAAGCGGGATCAGAGACGTACTCTTGACGGTCGGGTAGATGAACATGCAGTGAGGCAAGGGCGAAGGTGACGGGAAGGCTGCAGCAAAACTTTGGATCATGCAATAGTGTTTCGTGAAGCTCGTGAATTTGATAAGTTGAGAACGAAAAGTCCGAGGAGTGGCTCTCAGATTAGACCGATGAAGCAGACCCTTGTTCCATCCATGGAAAGAACTCGTGAAGCCGATGGGCTGCCATATCCAAAAGCTGGGATATCATTGAGGCCGGTTCACTTTCCTCCCCCCTCTGCACAATGTCAGATCTTCCCTGGCCTCCTTTCCAGTCGCGTCAGGTGGGCTGTGCTACTTGTACTCGTCTCCGCCAATACCAGCACTGCCGGCAGCAGCAGCAGGAGTGACAGTAGCACTGGCACCACCAACAGCAGCGACAGACACAGTCGAAGTCGCATCCATGACCTGCCTGATATCTTCCAGTCGTCTCTGAAAGCGCTCAATCAACTCCTCCATACTCTCTTTCTCTCCACCAGGCGCAGCATCACCAGGAACATTCCCCTTCCCCTCGATCCGCAGCATGAGTCCATCTTCATCGTCAGTGGCTATATTCCCTTCATCTCCTATCGTCGGCGCTGTTGTGATACTAGTCCGTAAAACCTGCCAATCTGCGCTGAGGCTGTGCGCTGAAACGACTTCGAAAGCTGGCCCTATCGTCATTGAAGGGACGGGATCATCGTGTGAATGCGACTGCGACTGCGACTGCGACTGCGACTGCGACTGCGAATGAGATTGTAACTGTGATGGCGGTCGAGGCGGAGGCTGGGGTTGGAGCATGCGCGGCTGCACGTCGAGAACGAGATAATGTTCGCGAACGCCAGCTATGATGGGCGGCAGGCGAGGGTGATGTTCATCATCGTTGTCATTGTCACCCTCTTCCTCCTCATTCGAATGTCGCGCCCGCAGGCCGTGAGTGGGTGTTTGTGTTTGTGCCTGCGACGTCGCGCGCTGCGAGGGATCCAGAGCCTCAAGACTCCGGCATGCTGCTTCGGCTATGATTTCCGAGTCATCGTCGGCAAAGACATAGTGGACTGTAGGATGGTAGTGTTCGTTGGTCACGCTGTCCTCGATCAATGTGAAGAAAGGCTGGAAGGATGGGAGCGTGTCGGACTGGCCATGGCCGAAGTGCTCGGACTCGATGGCATGCTCGTGTCCATGCTCAGCCTCGATGTTGATATGCTGCTGGAAAGGAGACTCGTACGATGCTACGATGGGATCATCGTCGAAATGAGGTTGCGGTGAGCCTAGAATGCCACGGGCGACAGATGCTGTAGATGGGTTCACGGTCGACCCGCTGGTCCGCCGTAACGACGACTTGGACTTGGACGGCGGTGAGGACGAGTGTAGTGCGGGTGGCCGAGGCTGGGACATGTCCAAGGGAATCAAGTCCAGATGCCGGCTACATGATGGTGGCCATAGTGAAAGAGATGCGCGACGGGATTGCAGGTTGTAAGGAAGTCTAGATGCAGGAGGACAGGCGATACTCTGTAGTTGGGTAAAGCCGGACGGTCATAGGACTGGACGCGCGAGTGACGCAGATCGGAGGTTATCTTCCGCAGATAAGATGAGATAAGATGAGATAAGATAGCTTGATTGACATCTCTACGGCGAAGCAAGGGCGTCTAAATGGAGCATAGCTTGCAAATCAAATCATGACTCGAATGTTATTAATGTTAAGTTATACGACATGTGTATATATCAACATCCATCCTCGCCTTCAGTTCGCCTTTCGACCCATGATATGACCTGCTTTTCTCTTTTCTCCTCATAGTTTGGTTTGTTTTATTCTCAAGTCACTCTTGTCTTGCCTGGGAATGAACGGCAAGAAGGTTGTCGTGGTTGGCGCCGGACCGGTTGGTTCGCTCGCTGCTCTGTATGCCGCCTCTCGTGGTGCCGCCGTCGAAGTATATGAACTTCGTAGCGGTAAGTCACTTTTCAGCCACCTGTCCCTTGGCCATTCATAGCTTGCAACAATATTGTTTCCCATCTCATGGCATGAAAACTGAGTGGAAGGATACCAGATCTTCGGAATGCCGACACGACTCCTCTCAACTTCACCAAATCCATCAATCTTGCCCTCTCTGAGCGAGGCATCAACGCACTTCGGTCGACCGGGAACAATGAGCTCTTGGAGACTGTCCTCGAGCAGACCATCCCCATGCATGGTCGGATGATTCACACTCGGTCAGCAACCGGATCCTTGACCGAACAGTCACAGTTGTATGATGTCCATGGCCGATTCCAGCGCTCCGTCGATCGGGGCGTGCTCAACGGAGTCCTGCTCAACCATCTGGATTCTTTGCCCAACGTCACACTTCACTTTCAACATAAGATGACCGGCGCCGATTTCCGGAAGAGAAGGGCCTGGTTTGAAATCACGGACAGGACTGACAGCAGCCACCCAAATCGTCCGAGAGAGATCGAAGTCGACTTTAATCTCCTCATTGGAGCCGACGGGGCTCATTCAACCACCAGGTACCATATGATGAAATATGCCCGAATGAACTATCATCAGGAGTACATTGACTGCTTGTGGTGTGAATTCACCATGCCGCCCACCCAGTCAGGGGATTTTGCAATCTCTCCCAACCATCTCCACATCTGGCCGGCGGGGAGTTTCATGTTCATTGCTCTTCCTAATCTGGACAAGTCTTTTGTGTGCACACTGTTTGGGCCTGTGGAGATGTTTGTCCATCTTGAGGACTCACCGGATGCCGAGCTGGTCGCTTTCTTCGACAAGCACTTCCCCGGTGTGACGAATCACATCCCGCCGAGCGACTTGATCGCCCAGTTCAAGCGGAACCCGCACTTACCGCTCATCAACATCAAGTGCTCTCCACATCACTTTGGCGATAGTGTTGTGATCCTTGGCGATGCTGCGAATGCGATGGTCCCCTTCTATGGACAAGGCATGAACGCGGGAATGGAGTCGGTTCGGGTCTTGTTCTCGAAGCTGGATGCAATTGCCGACAGGACTGCAGCACTCGCCAGCTATACCGAGGAACGGACGAAGGATGCCCATGTGGTTGCTGATCTGGCACTTGGCAACTACATCGAGATGAGGTCGTCCGTGACATCTCGGCTGTACAAGCTGCGGAAGTATATCGAGGAGAGGTTGGACAAGTATGTGCCCAGTCTGGGCTGGGCCACTCAGTACTCGCGGATCAGCTTCAGCAACATGCGATACAGCGAGGTCATCAAGCACTCACAGCGACAAAAGCGCATCCTCACGGCGGTCTTGCTGGCAATGGCAGCAGCGGTCTTCACAGGCCCAGCAGCTGCCCTTTGGCTGTACGTCTTGCGCCACTCTCAACACAGGCGCCGGATCCTATACCTCATGATCCAAGAGGTGAAGTGGTAGGAGACATCAGCCCTATGTGGATCACATGCTCTGTCGAAGTGGGTGTGCAGCACATGTGTCTGCACCCCTCCCGGCTTTGTGTTAGAGTCAGACACGCTTGGTAGATCCGCCGTGACTGTTGTCATTGTCCTCTCGCCGCTTTTACCACTTTCGCCAAGCGAACCGTCCATCCCAATCAGGCAAGACAACCTGTATAAGGATATCCAAGATGGCCAAGCCTGTTCGTGATGTTGTTTTGTACAACCCAAACATCCCATGCTTGAGACCTGCTCCTCGAGACCCGAAAATGTCGAGTACCGGGCTCGCACCAGTCTTTGCTCGCAAACATCAAGGCTTCGCGCTTCCGAGATCGGTAGGTCCCGACCTTGACCCGGGCTTTCCTAATGCTGTCACATACTGATCTCAGGATCTATAGGCACTTCCTCCTGCTGGTCGCCGTGGCAGGAAACTCCAAGTCCGTCGCAGCAATGCAGTGGTCTACAATCCAACCAAGCCAACTCTGGCGGGTTTACCCAATGAGGTCCTTGACATGGTCTTTGAGAATCTGGATGTTCCCTCTCGCATCTCCCTCGGCCTCGTGAACAAGTTCTTTGCCAGCATGAGCCAGAATGTGTCTACCGATCTCACTGACCAGCCGTCTGTTGTTCGGTATCACGAGCACTGCCAGGCATTACCATGCTTGTATACAAACCATATTTCGGACAGACGAATACTACTCCTGCAACTCAAATCGTGGATGCCGCGAGGGTTTCGTCTTTGCTGGGTCTGCTTGAAATACACCAGAATTACCAGAGACAATGCCAACACCTGGACCTTCACAACCCGTGTCCGCTTCGATGGTTTTTGTCGCCTCAATTTGCTGGCATTGATCGATCTCCGCGACATCCATGCTCACAAGAGCTGCTGCAGAGGCGGCATCGAACTGGCAAGCTATGCGAACCACACTCCTGGCGCCTCGGGTGGTTTTATTCGCTTCGGCCAGATTCATGCGCCCCCATCAGGTGTCCACATCTACAATGCTGGCTTTTAGCCTGTCCACAACATCACACTACCCAATGGCGGGCAATCAAGGACCTCATTGCGCCAGATGACAAGATAACGTGAACATGGTGATGAGGACTGAGTAGTTGGCATGGCATGGCATGCATGGACACGATGGAAAGAAGAGTATGCAAGCATGGCGTATGAGGAACAAGAGGCATCCTACCCGAAGAAAGGACGAGCTTCTACTTCCAATAACCCCCATCCATGTGAGTCTCATCGCAGATCCAAGAGAAGTCACGAATCCAAGCTGACCAAGATCAAGGAAGCACAATACCCCAAGAGCTAGCACCCACAGTCACGAAGAGCTACATACACCACTGAGCTGCAACTGCAATCATAGCCACACCTCGAGCTTTTCATTGTCGACGACTTTCCCAGAATTAGTCCGCCAGCTGGTAGGCTCTCTCACTCTCACTCTTCGTCTGGGCAAGACAAGGAAGGAACCACAGAGGCAAGGGCAGAGAGAGTCTGCAGACATGGCCGAGCCACTGGACCTTGACCCTCCCATTAGCACAGCTTAGGTAGCTTAGCTTAGCATGCATGAACCACAATCCACATGAGCTCCCAAGTCCCCCTGATCTCCTTGTGATCTTGAGTGCTTCGTCCTTCGTCCTTCGTATTCTGGTATGTATCCTGATCTACTGATGACCGGGCTCATGCTATCTTCAGTCCCCATGCGGCGTTTGATGGCCTGATGTAAAGTAGGTGACATACCTACTTCATACAATGTGCACGAAAGACATGACCAATGGAAGGGTGAAAGAAGTAAGTATTCTCGGCCTCGGGGGCCGCAGTCAGACATTTGCTGCGCTATCAAACTCCAAAGCTACGACGATGCTTGCTTCATTGCAACGCAAGTAATACCCAGCATGATTCCCAGTGTGCTGAACTGACTCTCTCCAGTACTCCAATCTGTCATATGATATACTGCAGACACTTTTCGACTTCAGGTCTCCTCTAACTCAGAACCTGAATCTCATTCTCCCCCTTGTCGCCATCCTTGTCTCCCTCGATCTTCAGCGTCCTCTTTTCCAGCTTATTGACCGGCTTGAACTGGTACCAACAACTCGGCGCCTCGAGAACATAGCGGTTCATGGCCTCGCGGAACCGCCGCTTATATTCCTTCGGGCTGGTGACCGTTGGCCGGTTCTTGCCACCGCGAGCGAACCCGCGGTCTTTGATCCAACTCTCCAGTTTCTTGTCCCACGTGTAGGTACGGATACAGTCGATGATGCCGACGACCAGTTCCTTGCGCGTTTCGTCGATGGCAAGCATCAGACTATAGTCCATGACGTTCTGACGCGCCAAGAATAAGGTATCATTATGCACAGACGACCGAAGAAGCTTCTTGCTGTGTTCCCGGGTGAAGAGAGGTGATTCGTAGATGAATTCCACCATGTTCTCATCCAGCAGGACTTCGTTTCTTTCGCCGGTTGCATTGATCTTGCGGTTGCGCATACTGCCCTTCAGATCGAAGATGCGGGTGGGAATCCGGTCGTAGAACAGGTTTTCCATGAGAACCAGAAACCAATTATACTCGAGCCCAGTGACTGGGTTCTTGATGATGATCTGGTAGAAGCCCAACATCTTGGCAATCACGGACGGTAGTTCGTGGAAGAAAGCCTCGGACATGATTTGGAAGTAGTTGGGCGCGAATTTGAGGAAGGACTGCGTCTCGATCGGTGACAGGGACTTCAGGACAAAGCGATCGTCCAGAGTCTTCAGGAAGATGGATTTCGTCTTGCCCCCTTTCGAATCCCACTTCAGGCATCTAGACAGGGATTCTACAATCCTGTCAGCCACGCCACATTTCCTCCGCACCGCGTCAAATTGTTCGGCGAAGAAGATCTTGCACAGCATCTTGGCAGGACCTTCTTGGAACTGATATTTGAGATGAGTTCCCGTCTTTCGCAGCAAAGAATGCATGACATCAGCCTGCAGGTCATCAGCATGACGATGTCCATTAAGATCTGTAGCAATATTGTCGCGTATAGGACGGTTCTGCATGTCATGCAGCATCGTCTTGTAATCTTGCGAGTCCAAGGCAAATGCAATGATAGAACTTGGCTCATCTTCGCGCACAATAATGTCACAGTCTGCAAAGATATGCTCCGATGCACCCAAGGGATACTCCAGGGGTGTCCAGCCGCTTGAGGAACGTTCTGCCCAGAAATTGGTCAACATCTTCATCAACGAGGTCCGTTCATGTTTGGGTAGCTCCTTCAGGTCTACATCGCCTTGAGACAACCGTAGGAGGTCCTCAGGGGAGTCTGGCAACTGAATATCTTCCGAAGCTTCGTCATTGTCGCTTCGATCCTCGTTCTCATTCTCAGAAGCAGCATGACTTGAGCCTTGAATGTCGGCCTCGTTCTCTGTGGTGTCCGCCGGTCTCTCTTCGAGCGGAGAAGCATGGTCTCCCTCTCGGCGAGCCTCCATCTCGGCCATTCCCTGAGCCATGTCCGGCGTCTTGCCGGCGTCTCCCGTCATGTCAAGATCGAGCCCGAAAACGTCGTCTGAATCACCCCTTTCGTCCACGGCTTCGTCGACATCCTTGTAGACCTCAACAATGGGCTTTGAAACGGCCAAGGGGTAAACGTGGGATTGTCTATTTCTGGCAGCACGGAGTCTTCGCTCTCTGATTCGTTCCCTTTCAAACTCGCGGCTGAGCTGTTCGAAGTGTTTGGCTAGATTTGATACCCGGGAATCCTTGCGGTTGTTGACTGCCCGAGGAATCAGAGAGTGGCCTTTGGAGAAGGTATTCTTCTTCAATTGGGAGATTCCTAGTCGTTCGGACAGCTTCTTCTCGGGTAGTTGGAGATTTGAATCAGTATTGCCCGGGGACAAGGAAGAGCTCTGTTTATTGTGGACTGCTGCAAACCCCTTCATTGCATTCACGGCCGAAAGCGTGCTCGAAGGAGTCTGTGCCGCAATCTGTCGGAGCGCCGCCGAGCCCGCGGGTTGAGAGTGGGCGCGTGCCAAAACTGGCGATGTGGTTCTACCATCATGACTACGCCGTGTGGCGCGAGGGGAGCTGAGCTCGAGAGCCACAACCTGGGGTAGGTCAATGGGGCGCGCGGCCGAGGTTAAGGCAGAATCTTCTGGTTGCCCTGAGGCTTCCGCTGTCGCAGTGGGAGAGAGGTCGTCTCGTGCAACACTGACGCTTTTGGCATCATCAATTTCCAAAGCTGCAGAGGATTGTACAAGATTTTCATCCTCCGGATGTGTTGGACGCTGACTTGGCAATGCTATTGCCAAATCAAGATGCTTGACATCCTCTACATTCCTAGGGCCGTCTAGGACAGATGGCAAATTCTGCACATCTGACTTCTTAATCTCAAAGAGTGCTGTCGGGCCTTGTTCTGGTGGCGGTGCGGACGAGTGCTCCTCCAAAACCGATTGAAGAACAGTCTGCGTCTGCTCACGCGAAAGATTTGTGCCCCTCTCAAGCTCGTGGATAGACGCTGGGGGAGATTCCTTTTCGTCCACCAACTCTTCCAAAGGCGGCGTAGTGGTGCCCTCATCAGTCGATACCAAAGATGTGACAGAGGCATCTCGTTCAAGAAAGATCTTCCGTAGTTGCAAAGCGGCCAGCCTGCGGATATCTCTCTCGGAAGGAAAGTAATTTCTCTCGAAGTCGGCGAATGCATTGTCCCACTCGGACACTTTTTCTTGGGTTGCGCGGAGGATGCCGTTGAGTGGTATTGTCTCCCAATATCGAGAATTGGTATAGCGCTCTTGAATTTGTTTGATCAAATTAGCATGTTCTTCGGTGGCTTTCTTTGTCAGTCGGTCGATCTCGGCTCGGCATGCATCGATTGTTTCGGGGAGAACGGCGTCCAGGTTGATATTCTTCAGGCGAAGTTTGACAGACACCATGAATCGGGTGATTCGGTGTTCCAACCGAGTATAGACCTCATTGCGGAACTTGAGGTCGTTGTCCACCTTCCACGTGATCCGCATTCTTGGAACGATGATTTCAAGGAGATCGATGGGATCGTAGTGCACACGAAGAGCGAAGTCCTTGTAGCCGAAATATCTCAGGTGATCCCTGTGGAGATCGTGAGGGCATATGCCTGCACGCGCATGCAAGTCCGCGCTCCAGAACGATAACTCGAGATACTTCCCAAATGAATATTTCCAGGTGCTTGAGGACATCGGCGTGACAGTGGTTTCAACACCACAGATCTTGCATTGACTCCACATGAGAATTACATCCTGGAAACCACGCATTTTGGCCGGGTAAGGCTGAAGGAAGACGGTGATTTGTGCCTCTCCGTGCACATACTGCCGATGATGTTCAAACATTCTCTTTTCACAAGCCTCCGACTGGCAGACCTCGTTGGCTCGATAACACAAATCCTCAACGTATTGTCCAAGTGTGCAATCTGCTTCAAACTCGGCCTCAGTCTCGTGCTCGTTGTAGAAGCTGAAAGCAAGTAGGTCTGGACCAGAGCAGGGGACAGATGTTTCGGTTGACACTAGACTGAAGAGCACGACTATATTCTGATGTGCATAAGGATCGAACAAGTTGCGATTCCCAGAGAGATAAGTTTCCCACTGCTTCTTCTGGGTCTCATAATTGTGAAAAGCCTTGTCATATTCGGCATCGTGAACTGCATGAATGATTTCGCGGACCTTCTTACTGGCGCCGGCAAGTGGGCGGTGGACCATTTCCGGCTGCACCAGAGTAAACTTAGCAATCTTTCCCTTGTCGTCCATTGCCTGTTCTGCAGACAGATCTTGATCTCGTAGTCTTTTGAGGTAGGCAACGCGCCTCTCCAGCTCCCGCGCACGCATGAGGAGGTATGGCTGGGCGAATTTGACGAAAGGCGATGCAGACAATATCCGGGTTTCGTGCTTGAGCACAAGGTCTTCATAAAACGTGGGCACGGGAATGTCGTCCGGAATGGGCACTGTGTCTGCACCGTCCGTCTCGACCGTAGGAACAGATTCTCCCTCCTTTTCCGAAGAGGCCACATCGGCGTTTGAGACAGAGGAGAGATCTCTCTCCTGTTCCTCAACTTTTGGAGCCACTCCATCCGTGTTCTTGGGAGCTGCTTCACTTTCAGGATCATTTGAGACGTTCTTGATCATGGGATTGGCCGGCGTTTTGCTGGCGTCTGAGGCTTTCTCCGTAGGAGCGCTCGGTATCAGAGCCCACTCATCCCTCATCAGACACGTCTCAAGCTTGAGGTTGTACACCACGTACACCATAAACTCGGTAACACGTTTGATCTTGGACAGCGTCTCACGATCTGAGCCCCTCAGCGCAATTGTGCAACCGAGCTGCGGAGGACAACCTGTGAGGTAGACGTATGTCTTCTTCCGACCGTCAGCCACAAAAGTCTTCACTTCAAAGGATTCACAACGGCCCAATGGATCTGGTTGCGAAGTCAATTTGTCCATCGAGTGGGCGATCCGAGCTTGTGTACAACGTGAGACCGCCTCCAGAACCGACGACTTCACATTGAAAATGGTCGTGATCTTGGCTTTGTCGAGGAGCTCCAGAGCAAGACCCGACACATTTCGCTGGGCCAAAAGCACATCTGGTTTCAGGGTAGCAATACGACCGACGAGATTCGCCAGGTACTCTTTTTCCTGCCTGATGACAGGGTCAAGACTCATAAAGTGTTGTTCATGCCTTGCGTACTCCAGTGGGAATGTGATGATCAAGATCTTCGGGCTCGAATGAGACCTGGCCATGCTTTTCAAGGCGACATTTTTCGTAAAGATCAGTCCCGAGATATATGCTGTATCTCCTGGCTTACCCCCTGGTATCTTCTTCAATTTGACGTAGTTGCGTATGTCAATATCGTCTCCACCCTGGACGTCGGGGTCGACATCGTCGGTAGCCTTGAGCAAGATGGGGATCAGGGCATCTTCCCAGCTTGACACCTTCAGGACATTGGCATCTTTCAGCAGCTGTTGGAGAAGCTTGTGAACGTGTTGGATGCTCGCACGATTGAGTTCCATAGGAGGAGCAGCTACACCACGCATTGATGCACTCCGAATCATTCGTGAACCACCTCGATGACCGCTCGAAGCATCTGGGGAGCCGTTTTGCACATCATCCTGGCCTCCGGGAATGATTATGTGCAACCGTTCTCTGGCTGCTCTAGGGGTTCCACGTTGATGAATACTGCTTGATACGCTCAGATTGCGCCTCCGGGAATTTCTGACCATGTCAATATTGCGGGAGCTGGTAACACTCGCGTCATCGGCGTCACGCCCTAAATTCAGGAACCCAGCGATACTGCGGTCACCAATGCGAGAACGGCCTTTCCGGACAGCGGCCAAGAGGCCTCCCAGGGTGGATTTGTCGCTGTCGTGCCCACTCCTCGACAATTTGTCCGGGCTGCTCAGGGCCTCGTTGAGCGATTGCTCGTCTTCGCTAGAAGGGTCATCCGACAGGTATTGCGCGAGATCGGGATCGATGATGCTGTCGTGATGAAAAGCAGAAGCTTTGCCCTCCTTCAGAGTCTCGTCAGCAGCACGGCGTTGGAACGGGGCTCGGTCCTCATGATAAGCCTTGAAATTCCGGATATGCTGATGTCGCGAATGATGCCGCTTATGGCCGTGGCCTATGGAATGGCTTGCCTTCAACGACCTTGACGAAGTGGGTCGAGCCAGGGGGCGGTCGGTGGTATCGAATTCCAGCACCGCGGAAGTCCTGTCGGCACCTTCGAAAGCTCGACGGACCGGGAAACTCATAGTTGGAGTCTTGGCCATCTGTTCCAACGACTGCGATGTGATGGATACATTATCATCTTCAAACCGAGCGAAAGAATTTCGGTGGGAGTAGGGCTCCGGGGTGTACGGACGATTGGCAGAGTCTGGTTGGACCGATTCCTCAACGGAATAGTCGGAAGAGTCATCATCGTGAGAGGTGATGATGGATTCACAAGGCTTGCAGACTCTGACTGCACCATTGGTGCCAAAGTAGCCTCCGTTGATGAGCACTGTACATTTGTTGTCAAAGATCTGGCCACACGTGCGACAGTGATGCTTCCGGCGGAATGTAGTGAATGGCTCTCCACAATGAAAACAATCCTTCGCATTTTCGTCTCTCATCCAGAACTCCTTGCTCAGGAGCTTGCTGCGTAGCTTGTTGACCGGCTGCCCCAGGGAGGAACGTGCTCCTACATTCTTGGTGCTGTCGTTGACAGGCGAGTCTCGATCAGTGCGGCTCGATGATGGGGCGAGGGTCGAGTCTGATGAGGACGTCCGAGAAACTCGAAAGCCTGGCAGTTTTGATTGGCTTATCTTCGGAGCAGCCTTAACAGGAGGCCTTTGATCGAGCGTTTTCAAGAGAGGAGACTTCAGCCCGGACGCTTCTGAGCCTTTGCCATGGGAAACAGAGGTGACGGTCGATATGTTCGATACGCTATGATGATGCGTCTGGTACGGCAGAATGTCTTGTCTATTAGAAACCACTCTCGTCAGAGGCCTTTCGTCTTGCAGGGTACCCAACGCTTGAGCTGGCAAAGTATCGATGTGGCTGAACTGGCTCTGCACTGAAGTGGATGATAAGCCGCGTTCATGAGAAGGCGCAAGCGCGCGGGAACTTGGCTGCTGGCTGGCTGTAGACTGAGGGGAAGTGACGAGGTGTCCTCCTCGGTCAGCGAGAGAAGTTTCGTTGCTTGGTCTGGACAGGGCTCTTCGCAAACTCTCGCTGTCACCAGAGGACGCCAAACTCCTATCTTGTGCTGCGTGGGAATCTAGTTCAAACCCTGAGCCCGTCCTAGAGTGAGTTGCGGAGCTAAGTGCATGTATATTGACAGAGGTGACAGAGGGATCGGCCAGCAGTGATGAAGGGTGAGGTGGTCCCGTTGGTGACTTCAGCGCAGGCGTTGACGGTACCGAAACTTTGCCCACGCTTGTGGCTTTGGAAGACAGCCTTGAGGAATGCAAGGTGCCATCGTTCACGGCAGGAGTATCGTGAGGATGTAGTCGCGGGGACTGGGCCTTGGAAGTGAGGGCCGAACCGGACTTAGAACTGGCACGATCATCAACGTGGGAGATCGTGGCATGTCCTTCGTATTGTTCTTCAATATCCTTCGTGTTTCCAACGGTTGCAATCAGTTTGTTATATAACCCCGATATTCCACCTTGTATCTCTTCCGCCAAAGTCTTATTCTCCGTGCTCTGGTTCGAGGCCGGCGGATCGGTATACTCATTGAAGACAGTCAAGTTGTTAGACTGCGATGCTGCATTATGAATGGTATCCAGCGCTTCGCTGAGGGCGTCTTGATCTAGTTCCTGCGCCAAAGAAGACTTCGAATCCCGGCGCGGTCGTCGACCGAGTGGAAGGAAGATGGAGGATGCGGAAGGACTCGGACCTTCCTGGTTCGTGGAGGGCATGGCGATGGAGGCTGGCGGCCCTGTTGGCCATGGAAGAACCGGGATGATATTCACATGGTTTCATGCTGTTGAACTGTTTCTGGGAGTAGTATGTAGTGAATAGGGTGTCGATGTCAGTGTGTCACTATTTGGGGAATTGAAAGGCGCGGAGCCATTGACAGTTGTCGTTGACAGAAGTCATCATAGTAACATAAATGCCATGGTAGGCAGTAATGTGCACAGTGTTGTCCTGCTTCCGCCCTCCACGGCAATCCACTCCCTTCCGGTCTCTGGCTAAACAGCGGAACTCCACTCCAGCGGACGTCATTCTTGGCAGTCGCGTCGACGCGACCGTGACTTTTAGGCGTGTCTAATCGTTCTCCACATCGCAATCAATGGCAGATCGGATCCTCGATCCCCAAAGTACCTGAAAACAGGCAGAGGAATTGTGTATCCGCGGCTGCGGTGCATGAGATCGCAGCTTGAACTTCCCGACAACAGGCAATGGTTCCTTCGGGCAACCTCTTCCAATCTCCCCATGACCTATGAGCACAAATGGAAAGCCACCAGTCGTGGTTGGCAGACTTCATCTCCTCCGGTGTAGATGAATGGCTTCGGCGCAGGAAGGACGGCCGGCCTGTGGGAGGATATCACTACAGATCCGACGAGACTAACCTTGCGATACGCGACGTAACAAAACCTAACAGGCTTGTCTGGCTTCTCAAGGTATCTATGCTGGCCTGAGTACATCGTGCGGTTGATAACATGTGCTAGCCTCCGTCAGCCTCGTGCCGGCCTGGGAAGGCACTGGAGAGCCCAGTTTCCGACGGCGAACACCATATTCAAGCAGTATTCCTACGTGACGCCTACACAGAAATCTCCCAGTTATACTCGAACTCGAAGTTAGACGCGCAAACTGCAGTGGTAATTCGTATCCACGACCCTGTCATTAATGTCACTATCCACTGCCATCCCCCAAAGGCTGAATTGCACGCCGAAACGATTGATATTCTGGATCTTGAAAGCGCGTTGCGTGAAAGACTTCCTGCAGGCTCGAAAGTTCTCGAACAGGAAGCGGTGAACAGGAAACTACTAGATTACGGCATGCTCAAGATGGATCAGGATGATAGGAGACCAAGAATGACAGGCAGCCCACAATCCATCAAATCGCAGACCGGATACAGTCCGAGTTACGAGAGCAACCGCACTGTTCAAGATGATATACCTGTGAGTCAACTGCAATTCTGCACCCAGGTGTATAGTGCGGCACCGCGAGATGGGCAGTATGCGACAACTGCCGCGGTGGCTAGCGACAACACCAACGCTGCTCTTTTGGCACTGTTGCAAGGTCACAAACAAGTCGAGAAGAACAATTCCCCATCGAACGGCACCGACCCTTCTGACCAAACTCTTGCTGCTGCGGCACCTTCACAGGCTTCGTCGGTGTTAGTGGAAAATCCTGAAGTACTGGTCCCAGTCGCATCCGAGCCTTCATCGCAAGCCAGGTTACCGGTCATATCTGCACCTCGACCAGGTCCTTCAACACGTCTGACAGAAGATGGAGGAGGAAAACATGATAATGAGCATGAAGTGACCGAAGATTACGGCGGTACACGAAAGACCCCTAGAAAGCCAAAACAATTGCCGGTGCCGCAACAATCCACTTCTCACACTCAAACTCGACGTCCTATATTTTTAACTGCCCCCGCTAAACCACTGCCGGCTTTCCAGCGGTGGCGTGAGAAACTACAAGGAGGACGATATATCCCAAGATACTTACAGATCATTCCCAAGGACCAGGAGCAATTGTTGACGTCCAGCGACAGCTGGCAGCCACCTCTTGTTGGCCGCCCCAGTAGACTGGGGCAGGTTCCTCTGCCGCTTTTGGAACGCATGACCCGTGCGGCTAAGAAGCCTGCTGAAGTCGATGTCTCCCGCGATGCTTCTCCCGGGTCAACTTCGGCAGAGGAGCGACCCACGGCCGACAAGGCTGCGAACAAGGATGGCCTATCTGAAAGTGAAGAAGAAAAAGAAGCAGAAGACCTCAGCCAAGTGTCATCAGAAGCGTGGCCTCCAAGCCCTCCTACCCAAGACCGTAGGATGCAATTGCCCCCGAACAGTCCTCCGCTGCTTCTCCACCCACCGAACCCAGCCTTGAATCATTCAAATCATTGCTCCCAGGAGGGGGACGTGATACAAACACTCCAGGAACCATTGTCGGGGTCTCCACCTAGAGCAGTACGTACGCAGAAAGACTCGCCGGATCTTGCGTTTGGGCCCGATGCTCAGGGTGGTGCTCTTGCCGAGGCTCCAGGGCTGGAAGTGGTAGATACAACCTCGCAGAGTCACCACGGACGACCGTCCACACGCCCAGCCACGAAAGTTGAGAAGGAGGAAATTGATGCAGAAGGAAATGCCGCTCATTCTGTCTTTTCGACAGACCCTGAACCAACCCACCGTCAGAAGGACGTGCAGGTTGAGCGAACACCCTATTTCGGAAAAGATACCAATCAGCAACAGTTCCGGCGTGGAATACTACCAAGCGGATCACAGGAAGCAACAGTGAGGGAGGCCCCACCGGTATGGTCAGGCTGTGTTCCTGCAACTATCCCCGAAACCGGACTGCCTGGTAAATCGATTCCAAGGGAAGTTATTGATACCATTGCTATGAGCCAGGAGCACATGCAGACGCCGAACACAACAATTGCCCGGGATGGAGGTGGTGAAACGGGCAGCGAGCAACAAGATGTTGCAGCAGGGCCAGGTCCGCCCACGAACGGTTACGGCGCGTTGCAATCGATGGGGGCGGATGCGGGCAGCGCACGACTGGAAGAACCAACATGCTCAGATGACCGCGTGAATGATTCAGAAGAGCCCTCGGTTCAAAACCATCCAGATCAGCTATTTGGAAACATACTACCACATGACAGCACTTCTATTCCGGCAGCCGGGGGCTCTGAAGGTCTCGGACCTACTGCGCATTCGAGGAGCTTGGACGTGCATCGACTCAATACGGGGTCCCCAAGATCTAGCCACCAAGCCACTCCCTCAGAGCCAGTACCCGACATCAGCTCACGAACGTTGGGCAACGAGATGCAGACTCGGACCACAAGGAAAAGAGCGAACGACCAAGACATGGGCGGCCCCAGCAAAAGATGGCAGACTGATAAGACAGTTTTGGATCACAGTGTATCGGACAAGGACTACTCGCAGCTGGTCCAGGGGCTCAGAGCATATCGTCGAGACACTTTGTCGCCGTTGAGCAAGCCGAGAGTCTCTACAGGCCCTGCGGCGACATCTTCGCCGAAGGACGTTGGAACTGCCGATATTGAGCCACATGAAATATCAAACTCCGTCAAAGAGCGCCATGTGACACCAATGTCGGCAGCGGCGTCACAAGCATCGCAAAAATCAGCATCAACGCCAATCACTCATGTGTCCACATATGATGACGAGAAGGCGGAGGAGAGATCTCGGCCCCACAGCCCTCGTCAATTGGAAGCTGTTCCTCGTGAACCAGAGATGCTCTTTGCCACTTTCAAGGCAGCCTACCCAGAGTACGAGGGAGGGATCAGGGACTTTGCCGGCTCATGCAGTGTACTCAGCAAAATATTGGCTTCTGGTCAAGTGCTCCATCCATCTCTCTTTGATGATGCCATCTTTCATCACTATCATAGTTACCGAAGATACCTGAGCGAGGAGGCACTTGATGTTGCGGTTCCGTTGGCCTTCTATGACTTCTACAACGACCGCATTGAAGAGCCTTCACATGCAAAAAGAATAGTGACCAGAAAAACTCTCCAGAATCCAGTCACAGGGGTGCGCGACAACTCTAGGGATTCGGCGACCAGCATCGCCCGAGAACGCCCGTCCATTCATTGGCCGGAGGCTGCTAATGTGGAATCGAGGGCTGATAATCGCACGCCTGCCCGCCGGGAAGATGGACCGTATACCGATGCACATAAGCCAGCCGATGCCATCGTGGAGAGATGGCGTCAGGATGCCTCGCAGGCGGCCTCCCCAGAGCTCGGAACTCCTGATGTCGACCGAAGGCTGTCCGACATCCCAGCTCTCGACATCTCAGGTGACGGCGACCACACTCCAGCATTGACGAGGAGTATGGGTCCTCCAACGACAAAGAAGAAAAGAAGTCTCCCATGGGACCCGGAAGTCATGAGTTCAAGGGCACCTGCTAGACGCACCACTTCGTTGCCGTTGGCTCCTAAGAATCCGAAGAGGCCCAGACCATCAGCAAGTCCTTTTGTGAAGCCAGCCGGACCTCTCTCGGTGCAAGCCCCAACATCGAACAGGGAGCTGACATCACCCGTCGTCCCTATGCCTCAAACATGGTGGACAGATCCGGACACGCCGTTTAAAAGGTTCGTCGAAAGTCATTCGAAGTTGGAGTCCAGAGGCACACGACAAGAGCTTCACAGGCAGAACGTGGGCCCTCAGGACCCCAACGTGGGAGGAATTGACGTCTTCTCTTGGAGACGGTGAAGTTGTATATATTATTATCTTGGCCACTCTTCTTCCGCCATGTTGTGCGGGCGGAGCTATCAATGGTGACTGGTGGTCGAGCTGCTTTGGCCCGTTCACTGGGCCACCTGATATCCCATAAGAGTTATACCCGCTGTATATTACGATGATATTGGTCTACGTCGAACTTCTTTTTGCACCAAGTAAATATGCCTCGACCTCAACGAGCACACCATCGTAGTGTGCCGCGGCAGGTGAACCCATGATGAAAGTCGACCTGCATCTGAGAATTCCATCCGGCGACCATCACATGCCGGTGGTATGGTCGGAGAAGGTCGACATTGGTTCGCAGAGACCATGCATAGGCGGTGACCATGTCTGACAAGGCGCGAATGGTAGTGTGGGAATCACGTTGCCTACGCGACACCAACACCGACAAGAAGGTGCTGCAGACTCCACCAGGAGGTCAGGACCAGCCCTTCCATGTGGAAAGCCGTCACCACAGGTGAATCCAAGCTCCTTCGTCGGGAACAGATGTCTGCTCTGTACGAGACAACAGCCGGGACTGAGTCAAGTGGACGTCATGAACTGGTCCAGGTCGCGATTCAACTGGAAGCTCGATTCTATGGTATTTGTCCATGTCTCAACCTAGCTAGGGATTCCAATGTCAATGCCAGTGCCAATGCCGCGACTGGTCCCAATCCCAGTTCCAGTTCCAGTTCCAGTTCCAGTCAGTTTGGTCTCTGCCAGATTGTCGGACTGTTCGAGAAGTTAGATGGACAGCACATGGCCAGAGCGATATGCAATTCGCTCCATCCCACAGTAATACTGATGAGAGTGGGAGGTGGGAGGTAGTTGTGGTAAGGCTGAGATGGGGAGATGATAGACGCGGTAGAATGAGTCCTGGAGCCTTGCTCGCAAGTTGAAAGCCTAAGAATGGTCAAGAATAGTGGAGACGACGAGGTCGACCGTGCCAGTCTCAACTTGAAATGATCGACTCTCTTTCAAAGTGCGTATTCCTGATTAGACACGTGAAGTAATTTCCCCTTTCATGTCGATCCCTCGGAACGAAATACCAGTAGGTCTGCGTTGATGATGGAGACTTGAGGCAGGGTCACTAGGGCAGAGACCACCCTTCTTGGCTGCTGGCAGGTTGGAGCATTCTTTGGCCGTGAAGCCGGCGAATGAAACAATCTCATACACGTGGAAGCACGGGGATTTGCTCGCTACGTCGACCGTAGCTTGCGCAATCGTTCGCTTCTGCGTTGTGGTGTGGCAGGAGTATTCGACGCAGATACTGGCGGCGGATTACCCAAAGAGGCTTCTGTCATCACCTTGGGTCGGCGAAGCCCAGACCTCTTTTTGGCGGTGGGTTTCGAGACCTTTGATGAATGTACTGGTCCAAGAGACACGCTTGGGATAGGTTGAGATGCGGCGTCTTCAATGTTCGCAGCTTGTTGATCCAGAGACGTGTCCATCAAGTTGAAGACTTGTGGCTGTGGCTGGTCCGGGCCTACTGAAGGAGGGGTATTCAAGACTTGTCTTGGAGGGGTTGCTTCAGGGCTCTGAGTCACAAACGTGTACATTTCAGCAGGAGAACGGCCGGTGTCTTCCTCCAGGAGTTCCTCCCAGGGGTGTTCATGCTTCCAGGTCATTCCAGGCATGATCCCCCATCTTTTGTCCCAAATGTGCCGTTTCACCCAGATGTCCCTCACATTCTGATAGGCTGTGGTATTGATGTCCACGGGCATTGGGTTGCTGGCATCTCCTCGGTGGATTCGATCTCTTTCTTGTGACACTTGGTAGATGAATTGGAAGAAGGGTCGTGATGCCTGCCGTTGGCGCTCTCGTGTTGCTCGTCGCTCCATGTCTTGTTGTTTCTCTTGATCACTTTTGACCTGTCTCCGTTTTGGGTTGGGCTTACTCGGTCCAAAAGAGAAAATGGCAGCTGGAGATGCCTCGTCGGTGTCCACATCCGTGTCGGGCTCCGGCGACCTTTCATGCTTCCATATTCCGTCGGACGCTGTCCCATCCCACGGCCAGATGCCTTGCTCGTCCCATCTCTTTTTCACGTTCTCGCTTGTCAGTCTGTCCAAGTTTGTTTCAACAGGTAAGACATGTGTTCCGTTTTCATGTTCTTCCAGGATGCGTCTTCTCTCCACTATTTCCTGATACTCCAGTTGATCGTAAGGACGGGATTGCATCTGCGCTCGTCTCACCTCCCACTCTCGCTCCACCAGGCGGCGTTGCTCTTCCCCGCCTGGCTGGTCAGGACTGTGAGTTAAGGTTGAGTTGTGCGATTGATTAGACCTGTATAATGGCGGAGAGTGGCTGAACCGCCGTCTCACGCGGTCGAGGAGTCATTGGTCTTTGGCTAGTGCTGTCAGGGCTCTTTCAACCCTCATGAGCCCGTCCCCTCGAATGTCGGTGGCCATTTCTCCCAGAAGGCTAGGCGATGCGAAAAGGGAGGACAGTGAACGAAGCGATGAGAGGAAAATGCGGGTGGATGGTTGATGGACCGAGACCTGGGGAAAGCGGGATGGCCCATGTTATAGACACTGCCAGGTGTTGACTACTACTAGTACTAATACCAGTAGTACTGCAGTGGCAGTGCAGTTGGTAGTTACCAGCCAGGTATGTAGGTATCCAGGTATGTAGGTATGTAAGTAGGTAGGTATGGAGGATGAGACGCCCAGCCTGGGCGAATCGCGGGAACTTGAAACTCCTGCCAATGGTAGAAATCGCAACTGGATGAAATTGGAATGCGTTGCCAGGCGCAGGCGCAGGCGCAGGCAGAAGCAGTACTGAATCAACTGAATCAACTGATTCATATCCTGAATCATATCACCAGATCGACCTTGGCCTGGACACAGAGACGACGAAATGATGTGATACTCCAGCTCCAAAGGAAAAGGATGATACTGACACCCTTGACGCTGATGGTTCCAAGTCATGTCGCCCAAATGGTCGCTGTGCTGGTGCTCTTGTTGGATAAAGGGTAGTCGAATTCCGCGTTGCATTCCTCGCCGTCCATGCCAGCCGTCCAGACTCTTGCCCGGTCCAAAGCTCTTGAGATGCCTCGCTCTCAACCTCACCCTCTCGCTTTATTTTCCCTCGAGCCTGTCAATGACCGGGCCCGGGAGGTCATTGCTCATCCGATCAACCAGGACTTTGTCTCCGTACTCAAAAACGGCAGCCTTGCTCTCGACATTGGCCACATCCGCTCCAAGTCGGGACCCACGACTCTAACGACGCTGGGATGTGGCGACGCGGACATCTTTGTGCCAAACGGCAGCATCTCCAAAATTCAGTGTTCCTTTGAACTAGATCTCGATAATAAGGTTGTCATGCTCTATGACCGGTCACACAGCCAATCAACTCAAGTCTCCGGTGAGAATGCCACCCCGTTCGAGCAAGGACGTGTCCGCAAAATTGTTGTGCGAGAGGGGCTGAACACGCGGCTTGGAATGGGCGGCGAGCGGCGCAATCTTGTCCAATTCAAGTTCAACTGGCATCCTGGGGCTGGGATGGACAAGGTCAATGACCTAGTGAGAACTTCACTGGCTTACGAAGAAGATCCCCGATTCGCTCGGACAATCGACGAGGCGGACACGGTCTTGCCCACTAGGCGGGAGACTAGGCTTCACACGCCAGGGATCCGGCGATTCGCGGTGAGATACGTGAAGGTGGATTTTCTTGGAACCGGACAATTTGGCGAAGTGCACAAATCAATCGATGTCGATTCGGGCAGGCTCATGGCCGTGAAGATATTGAAGCCACCTGCGAACGCCCAAAAACAACAGCTCGAACACTGGGACCAATCGGTGCATTCTGCGCTGAAGCGAGAAGTCGCAAACCTCGCCAATATAAGCCATGTGAGTGAGACTCCAAAGGCCGTACACGTGAACTGAACTAACCGATGGCAGCCGCACATTGTCGGCTACATTGTATCACAAGGCTGGGATGGGCCCGTGTTGGAGATCTTCATGACCCTCAACGAAGACACCTTGGAGTCGTTAATCGAGAGCGGAGCCCGCGGACGTGTCGCCGAATCTGCTTTCCATCAGATGCTCAAGCGCTGGATTGTCTGGCTCTGAATGGTATTGTGCATCACGATGTCAAGCCAGACAACATCCTGTACACCACGAAACAGAACCACCAACACCATTTCCATTTCCAGCTGGGAGACTTCGGTCTGTCCAACCGTACTACGGTCGCTCACTCCTGTGCGGGCAGCCCACTTTATATGGCGCCCGAGATGTTCCAGAAAGTCATGCAAACCGACAAGGTAGATGTTTGGGCTCTCTTTGTCACCATGCTCTGGACGCTTGACCTCGGCGAATTTCGCCAGAATTCGAAAAGCTTGAAGTCTCCCGGTGAGGCTCATGTGATGATCCTATCAATGGCCTCGAACGAGGACGCTGTGTCAAAGATTCGGGAAATGGCATGCTTGAGCCCAGCCCAGCGTGCTTCTGCAGCTCAAATGCTTTGATGAAGCAGGTCTCAGCACTCCAAGGAGCCAGATTCCAGCCCTAAACACCGTTCCCACAATCAACTCCGTCAAAGCTCTACCTGGCGACGTTCCCTCCCAGGCAACTAGGGCTCTGCGTCAGAAGCCACATGATTGTCAAAAGACCGGGAATCCACCCTTGGCGACCGGCCGGTATGGATTCGAGAGCACTCGCCGCCCTTAACCAGGACAAATCTCAGAACAGCGATTCCTTCCCTCGACCAAGAAGCGTCCGGCGCCAGCCATCACTCCTCCACCCGTGGGCGACCTTCGGATTCCCGGTTCTTTTCCAGGTCATCATTACAAAGCAACCGGAGAGCGTAACTAGCTTGAAGAAATGGTTCATGCCACATGAACAGACCGTCAACAAAAAAGACCCCCCCGAAGTTTTGCATTTGTGTTGCTGTGCAGGGAGTATCGGATAGGTGTTTGGGCAGCGGTCTCGCAGCGGATTGCACCAGGCTAGCTGATTGGGGCAATCTCATTGGGAAAAGCGAAGCAGCATCTTTTGGAGTTATACCGGTTGGCAAATCCAGTGATAAGCCAGTGGTTTTGGTACGAGACCAGGATCAAGGCAACAGGAGACTTGAAACTAGGCATGTATAAGAAGATTGCACTGGCAGGGAACTGGAGATGACGTCTCCATTTGTATCAGGATCGTGTTGGGCATGAAGAGAGAGATTGTTGGAAGCCGAGAAACTTGTAAGTCATGCCCTGGGCAGCTTTTGGGAATTGTTGTTTGATGTTTACATATTCTCCATTGATATTAGGCGGTTATCAGATCCTGGAAACGTTGTTGGGACCCCATCCAAGTACACTCGCACAGGATGGACTGGTGAGGCTTAAAATGTCTGGACTCTGGTATCGACTACTGCAACCTGCTAGTGAGAATAGGTACAGAGCACCAGTTTTGCCCATCTGGGTCACGGCAAATCTTTCTTCAGACAATGTCAGATGATGTCGGACAATGCTGGCCAACGGCCAAACTCTGTCGACGTGACGTCTTCTCCCCTTTTTGAGAGAGACTGTGAAACAGATATGCATCAATGTCTACGACAGGAGCGTTTTGCTTGAGCACAAGAACAGGGCGCAAGATCCATCCTCTTGACGACCAATGGAGGCTGTACTCTTCCCGGCCTGCTGCTTTCAACACTGCAGTAATTCTTCGTCCGCAAGATCCTCCGTCACGGTCAACGATGACTTCCAGGTGACTAGGCAACGGATGGAATGGAACACTCTATCTACCAGCATGTCCTACGAGGCTAGAGCTTCTCCCGAGCCTTTCTGGCCTCCTTCGTCTTCCACTTCCACGGCTGTTGAATTGCCCGGTGAGGCTGTCTACCAGGGGCATCATCGTCGCCGAGAACAGGTAGGTGATAGATAGCGTTTGTTTCCAAATCGAGGCTCAGTGCCTCGAACAGGTCGAGTGGCTTTCCTATCTCTCTCCTCCGATTACAGAGTTGAGCACAATACCCTCAGAGATCATCCTTTGTCGGTTTCAACTAGGCTTTCACTTGTTGTGACAGAAGTCTCTTTGATGACTGTCAGTGAAAGACCGTCTCTTGGTCGTTGTTTGGTTTCGCCGTCGACCTTTCTTGATCAATGTTATGGGTACAGCTATGATGAGACCCAACTCCTCTTCTTATTGGGTTTCTCCCCACAGTCAGTCACTCTCTATACACTGAGACGATGATCCTGACAGTCCTCTATTCAACCGGCAATATCGACGTGTGTTTCTCGTTGGCGGATTTGACCCACCACTGTCTCATAGACAGTGACATGCAGGACGGGGTTTTGGTCAACAAAGTCAAGCTTTACCAGGAAACCCTGCGAAGAAGAAACCCCAAGGAGATCAGCCTCATTTTTTCTTCTATTTTCTTTCCTTCAGGGTGCGGGCTGGCAAGCTGGTACTTACACCGTACATGCGTGGAATCGGGATCCACATTTCAGGATTGTCCATTTCAGCCAGCACCGACAGTTGCGGCATATAGAAGACGTGGTCATCAATCTACCGACTTACGGATCAGCTAATCCGAGCTTGCCAGTTGTGGTGAATATGTACGCCGACTGTTGTGAAACTCACCAGATCTCCTGCTTTTTCTTTCATGGTTTGATGCAATTGGGTCTCAAGCTTCGCCAGCACATGAGGGACGAACTCGTGGACAAACTTGGGCCGAAGACGATCAGCAATTTCGAAGAGCCCGTTGTCACGGGCCATTTCTTCGGCAGTCTTTGCAGCGGCGTCGAATGATCGCAGAGACTCTTGGTGTTGTGTCAGTCCAGTCAAAACATTGTCATCACCATACCGCAGAAAGCCGAGATTGTTTGATTTGAACTCACTCCAGACATCAGGCTTTTCTGCTTCATGCATCAATTCGTCCCAGTAGGCAAGTTTCCCTTCATGTAGATCTGTTTGGTTGACAAGCTCATGCAGCAGGCTCAAGTTCTCCCCAACAACATCTTCATTTTTGACTAATGACTGTCAATTCTAGTCAAGGGTCAAAGGATTTGTGAGTCTTACCATGCAATTTCCCAACATTGAACCACTCACGACGCTTCCAATCATACTCTCTTGCCAGGATCTCTTGTGCATCTTTCCAGCGACCTTTGTGCAGAGCATGTTGCCATTTCCGGCGAAGAGATGCATAGTGTCGTGGATAACTGTCGACAAGAGCACCTCCGACCCAGACGGCTACCTTCGAAGATCTTGCATCGGCCAGGTCGGCATTCAGAGACACGTTGATGTCATCTTCTTTCCGAACCTCGACCAGTCTTTGCCTCTGTAACTCCTTGTACTCTTTCGCATCTGACTCGGAATATTGCTCTGATAACCGGGAGCACACCTCGAATTTGGATGCAGCCACGATGCGGTTGAAAGCTGCTCGCTGGCTCTGTTTTTCGCCCTCATCGGAAGCGTGCTCACTCCCATGATCTCTGTTCGCATTGATCATAGCAACCACAAGATTGACGATCTGAATATCATTGTGAGTCTCGGATTCGATGGCGATGAGCTGGAAGAAGGCGCCTCTCAGTAATACCTCCTTCTCACCAATGGGAGAGATGCGGCCAACGGGCATTGCGCATATTGATGTGACCACACTGTTTGGATATCGACGTCGGTATGCTCTGAGTAGATCAGGATCCAGGCCGTGGATGTGAATGGTCCAGTGCATTCGGACGAGCTGTGACTCCTTTGCCGTTGGTGCAGCAAACGTCTGCATGATCCTTTCGTCTGTCGAACTGGACAACAAGGCCAAAGGCACCGCAAAGTTGCGCTCAGCCAAGTTTGGTCTTGCCATGATCTGTTCATATTCCTCCAGCATTGCCTGAGGGATCCGAAGGCCACGGTATGTGACCCCTTGGAAATTGGCGTATTGAGGATCACCGATCTGGGACAGCCTCAGATTGTAGAGGTCAATGGTCAAATACTCGGTCAATGCCGTGGCGGTCAATAGCAGATCATCATGAGGGTCGCTTGCTCGAAGCGCCGTCGCCATGACTCCGAATAAATAGGTATAGCCTTGTGCTGAGCAATAGAGTTCCAGCGCATCGTATTGTTCCTGAGCCGCCGCATTTGACAGGTGGTTCGGCCCGCGATCCATGTCGACAAAATCATGAAATCCCGACAACAGACGAGACACGACACTTCTCACCTGCTTGGGTCGGTTTCCCAGCTTACAATATTCCCCCACGATCCGAGTGAGTTCTTCATACGTCTCCTTTGTGGCCCAATGCTGCCGTACCTGTTGAATCTTGCCGCGAAGCAACTTCATCCGTTCCGACTCATGCTTGCCCCCGAAAGTTGATCTGAGAGAGACATTGTCAAAGGTTTCGCCGAAAAACCGCTGTTGATCGGCCATTCTGGTTTCAATACACCCCAGGTAAGGCTTCAACGGCGCGGAAGCTGTGGACAGACGATATGGAGAGATGATCGGTAGGATACCTGCCTGAACCATGATCAGGCTGAGGAGGGGCCAGCACCTGGTTATTTGACCCTTTTCCTGGCTAAGAGACTCAGCTGGCTCTGAGTGCGCCACCTTTTGTGACTTGATGCACAGTGGCATCGTATCACATGTGATAGGCAGGGCATCGTGGTTGACGGCTCTGGTTGAAGCAGGTCGGCACCATGCAGTCACACAGGAGGGGTAAAGGAATACGATCCAGGTCTGGTCCTTTCGACCCAGCCTGATGTCTCTTCCAGCCTCACCTTCTCCCTTCAAAGTTCAGCCGCAGACAAAGACTACTTTTTCCAAGACCTGTGTCTCCTCTAGATTGATCGGAGACCTTCTCTCCCCAAGTCCTGATATCTAACCAAACCAAAGAAAGGCCGGCACTCTGAGACGGAGAGTTGACACTGGAATAGATGAGAAACTTGCTATCAGACTTTGCTCGCCAAACCGAAACTCAAGATGGACCCAGCCACTTGTCTGTCGCTGGCAGCCGAGTCTGCCAGTATCTGCGTCGAGGTGATGGGCCAATTGAAGCGCTTCGTGGAAAAGATGAAGAACGCGAAAAAGGAACTACAGCAGCTCCTGGAACGAATACAGAGGTCACGCAATTTCTTCGAGATGCTACGAGTAATGCTGAAAGATCTAATGAACGGGCCAGCCCGGGATTTTGCGCTTGCCATTGACGGGCAGGCATGGAAGACAACCACGAACGAGCTGCAAGAGGTGGCGGGTCAGATCGTGCAAGGCAAGGCCAGCCTGGATATCAAGGCAAAGTTCCATTGGGCCACAAAAGGCTCCGCCATTGGGACACTGGTGAAGAAGATGAAGGATCAGGAGGACGAAATCCTCGACTTGTTCACCTTCATCAACACGTGAGTTCGTTCGAAGTTCAGAGTTGAAGCCCTGTGACCCTGTCCCTCTCTAACACGCTGACATTTTGAAATATAAAGGCAGACGATAGCCACCACTAGGAGGGACATAGAGTCGATTAAGAATCACATAATAACTCAATCCACGCTCCACGAGCCCTTCAAAGATCTGCATATTGTGGAAGAACAACATGGACACACCCCCGAGCCTGCTCAGCCTCACACTCCTCTTAATATCAGGACTTGGCTAGGCCACATTCTCGTGGATGGCCACTCCGAGGAATATCTCGGTGAAAGAACACGACTTGCAGACGGCGCTTACTGGGGCAGATGGGACAAAGTACACCATGCCCTTCAAGTCGGGTGGAGAAATCATGGGGAGCTATGGGGGAACGCAATGCGTCTACGTAAGTTTGTGCCAGACCTCTCCAGAGGACAATGAAAGCAAGAAAAAAACTAACAGAATGCCTTGATCTCCTCTCCAGAGACGATGGAGGGGTGTCAGTATATGTCGGGCTTTACGCCCCTTCATCAAGCCGCGTACAATGGAGCGACGGTCGAGGTCGTCCAAACGCTTCTGAAATATGGCGCCTCACGTACGACATTGGCACCCCTTTTCTCATTTTGTTTTGTTGTGTTTTTCCATTTTCCAGGCTCCTGCGAGATGAGCGATCGAACAATCTAACCAGGACTTCAAAACATAGGAACCCTCCGAAGCTTTTCCGCACAAGAATTCAACTATCCGGACCTGACGGCCCTTGAGATCGCCATAGCGCTGGAACAGGATCACCTGTTTGACATTCTGGCTCCTGTCGTTCGCCAGCCGGTCCCTGCTCTCGTGCTTGACAAGCTAGAGATGCACTTCCACGGCCTCATAGCTGAACAGATAGGCAGTGGACGCATCAGAAACCACAAGATCTACCTGCCACCTCTGGAGCCTTTGACGGAGCTTGAACGAAACCAGTGCTTCTGGTTTCCGGTCAAGCTCTCCGTCGCCGAGGGGTTGAATGTACGTGGAAATCCCTCCTTGTTATTCTTCATCAAGGGGTCTGTCCCTTTCGACGCACCACGTGAGCTGATTTTGTCGTTTAACCAGGGTTTTGTATACCAGCTTGACGGACGAGACTTGGTGGTTGAGGTGAGGAAATCGCCGGACTCTGGCGAGAGCACCATGTGGCGCGTCACCGAAGATGGGTTCTTCGAGATTGAAGACGCCGTTCTATTCTAGCTCTGGCACAACCGGACATTTTGAGGAATGTTGTAGCTTCAGCCGATCATTCAATAGAGATTTCCAAGACTTTCATGTTTCTCAAGTTGTGTTCACTGTTCAATTTACAAATCCTACCACAAAAAGACCAAACAGCATCGGACTCACGGCAACCAATTGAGCTATACAGCCCGAGTACCACGCTTGCCGCCACGCAATCTGCTGGCTCACCAGGTCTCCATCTCTGGTCTTGCACCGCAGGGGGAAGATGTGGAAGCCATTCAAGTTGCCCAATTCCATGAACCACACGGTCGTGAAAAAATACAGGGCACTGAAGGTCGACTCGCTGTTTTGCGTACTCACGTCCCACAATTGTGACACATACTCTTCGATGGTCGAAGGCGAGCTGTGCAGGGCATACGAATAGGGCGGAGGCGGCGTGGAAGAAAACTGCATCGCATGGTCCTCAACTGCCATGTCGAAGATGGCGTAGATGTGTTGCACGGCTTCCTTGTAGCCGGCCATTCCAGGCCTGAAGCCAATCGTATGTGTATCTGTCTCGGAGTTTACTCCAGCTCCACTGCGCGAAAGAAGCCGTAGAGTGCCCAATTTGTCGCGAGTCACGGCTGGAAGGCGGCCTTGTTCCATGAAAACAATGTACTCGGCGTGACAGAGGGCGAACATCAAGTCTCGGCCAACCAGGTGTACGCCGGGGGCGCGGTCACAGTGGATGGTGCGCAGAGATGGATCGCCAGGTGCTTTCTCGGCATAGATCCACGAGGCGAGCAGTTGCACTTCCGACGTGGACAGGAGTGCGCGTGGATGATAGAGCGCCAGGCATTTCCGAAGATGTTCCAAGGGCTCGCCGACGGAGCAGCGCCCCGACCGCATCTTCGCGAACAAGGTCATCATCTCCTGGTCGGCCTCCAGGTGTTCGTTCTGGATCTTGGGTGTCCACACGGCGTCTATGCCCGTTCCTCTGCTGGGGAGGATGTACGTTGTGCCTTCGTGATGGCTGGTAGGCAACGCGATGCGGAGTCTGTCACTTGCGTAGCGGTGCGAGGCTCGGACGTAGGGGTTGTTCCCGACCCCGTTCACCAGGAACAACACAAGTCCTGCCAGGTTGAGAATGCCTGTCAAGGGATTGCCGACCAGGACGGCAGCAATGGCTGGAACGGAAACGGAAACGGCAATGACAACGACCAGTGCTCTGTAGAAGCCGGAATGGATCCCCGAAGCCCAGTCGAACGGACCTCGGAGACCGGCCAGCGACCAGAGATAGGGCTTATAGCCGTCGTTTCGATTTCGTTCTGCTCGAATCCCGTCTGGCCAGCTGACGAGCCAGAAGCCGAAGAGGTTTTGTGTCAGGAGAGGTGCATCAGCAAGGCCTGCTAGTGTCCGCAATACAGTCCCCTGCTCCCAGCTCTGCTGCTGCGAAGGCTCCCATCGTGTCTCTGTGTTGTAGAGGTGAACAAGTACAGAAGAGGTCCAAGCTGTTGCCGTAAGCCCAATGACCAGGCTGGCGATCGTGTCGGTGGAGAGTCCCTTGCGACGCAAGATGAAGCCTTTGTTCATCAATATGCGGTGTGTCAGCAGCCAGGACAAGCAGGCAAGTAGCCGCATGCTTTGCTGATCAAGTCTCAGCAAATCTTTCGAAGCTCCAATGCCTTATCTTGGTGAAACTGACCATGACCGCAAGGGTGTCCAATGTCTCAAGACTCCGAACTCCATCCCTAATCCAACCCATGTCTCGATCTCTCTGCAGAAAACTTGATGTCTCGATGGCTTGAACACCGATTCAACCACTTGCCGAACATGGAACAGATGAGGTCCATCTTAGAAGAGCTCCAACGATAGAAGGCTGACTGAGGCGTCCAGTGGCACTGGCATTCACACCGCACGCTCTCTTGGCATGCAGAAGGAATGTTGATGGCTGTCACACTGGCTGGTCCAGCAGAGAGTCGAGTCTTTCCTTCTCCAACCCTCTGTAGTACAGACGCAGGCTTGGGAGGCATGAGGGGAGTAAGCTCCCTAGGCCGCAATTGACTGGCATAGTAGATCTGAGGCTAGTGAAACATAAACCAACTAAAGGTCTAGACTCTGTTCAGCTGCACACCGGTTGAGGCTGTCGAGTCGCCTACAGAGGGCGTTGCATGACCAGATACGCAAATCAACGGAAACATTGAGACACCGGCTCTAGATTGCATGTTCCCACATGGTGAGCCGAAGACCAGACACCGTCTTCGTCTTCGTTCTCTGCCCCTGCCTCTGCCTTGTTGGTCTCCGTTGTTGTTGGTAGCATGGAACTTACCTGTGTACCTTTTTCAAACGGACATACTGTTCAAGGTTGTCGCCCATGACTAGTAGGGTCTCAGATCTGGATCAATCGGTATCAATATCTCGATTATATTGTGGATCGATTGCCGAGACATCAAGCGTGTAAGCTGCCAGCGGGTCTAATCCATCTTCGCACTCGCAGGAGCTGCACGAACAGAACAGAAATCTCAACAGAACAGATAAGCAGCGGACAGCATTTGGGGTAGTGTTGATGTAGCCATAGAATATTTAGTCCATGTAATTCTGGAATGGTTGATCTGGTCTGAAAGAACACACCCTCTCCTACATAGACCCAGCAAAGGGATTTCCACCATGCTTCAAATCCGGGCAAGCATGCTGTTCAGGCATTCCTTTCCACAACGCCAAACATGTCCACAGCACATCGCCCCAGCCAAGCAGGTATACACCGCCTAATGTCAATGAAAGACCACCATCGCCGTCGCGAAAAGCAACTCCTCGAAACCTTTTCGAACCAGGAAACCTCCGCGTCATTCACTCATTTTCCAATTGTTGCACATTTGACTCGTCATGTCCCTCGCCCGCCCAGGTGTGACTCCAGTACGTGATGGCATAGCTGGGCCAATGGTCGGTTGCCAAAAGCAGCTTGCATCTCTCGGCATCAAAGGTTTTCTGCGTGGCCCAACACACCTCGCGGAACGCCTCACCGTCTCGGTGCCATGAATAGGGGAAGATATATCGGAAAGGAAGGACCTCGATGGAATGGCCCAGACCTCTGCGAGGAGTGAATTGCTTGGCGGTTGGGTTCTTAGCCACATGCTTGTCGAGGTTTTCTCCGGCGTAGATACTTTCGGGAGCGGAGTATTCGTTGATCATGTCAAACAGTTTGACAGGGCCGGTGACCGCTTCTGGTGATTTGCCTGCGCTGGATCCATCCAAGAGACCCCTCACCACCGACTCGACGACGAGGAGGAAAAAGGGATGGCCGGGTGTGGAGGCCATCCAAGCATTGGGAATGGAATTCTCGAAGGAAGTGTCAGTTCCCATCCTGCCAAAGAACGCCTTGCGACCGCTCTTTTGCATGTCGTGGGTGGACACGGGTCGAGGTTTGGCGTGGGAGACGGTAGTAACGTTGAATTCCTTGAAGAGCTCGTCCGTTGGTCGCAAGCATTCCACATCCAGGTCGGCATAAACACTGGGTCACCAGTTAGTATGTCTGGGGATGTCTCGGTCGACATGAGCAGATCTTACCCTCCAAACATATACATGTACAGATTTCTCGCCAGGTCGGCCTTTAAAATGGCCCCTGGGAGGCTCTGATATGTCTGCAGCAGGTATGGGAAGTGCCTCTGGACCAGGTTTTCATTATCTTCATCCGTCCACAACACCCACTCCCAGTTGCCATGCGCTTTGCGACAGCTGTCACTCCATTCTTCGAATTTGTCTGGTAGGTCCGTCGAAGTCCAGCTCTGATGAAACAACCGCGGTATCGTCTGCAGGTCTTTGGAGATGGGTCTCTCCATCAACTGCGCGGGGGAAATGTATTTCGCTTTCGTGGACGACTTAAAGGGCCTTGACGTCGACGTTGGCGTCACGGTATTGTAGCTTTGCCCGGTGATGTAGAGCGTCACTAAGGCTGCGACGGCCAGGAAGATGATCCATCGTAGCGTCCTGCGCGAGCCATACAACTGGTGTAAAGGGTTGATATTCCGCGGCGAACTGGGAGACTCCATTGGTGGGCTCGAGATTGAATTAGGAGAGGGATCGAGTCGCGGCCTGCCGTCAAGGAGGACAACGCGTTATTTGAAGCCTGGCAGAGACAGAGCAGGGCAAAATGGTAAAGAGCGACTGGGCAAGGACATTCATTGGGAAGGAGCGCGGGCGCCGGGTCTAGCAGTAGAAGTAGAACTTGAAGGAGGAGTCGATAGTTCTATGCTGGGGAGCAAGGGCGTCAGCCATAGAGAGAGAGAGAGGCACGGTGGTCAGTGCCAGTGCTTACAGAGTAAAGAGCGCCGTGTCAGCAACGGGAGCGCGCAGTTTCCACCCAATTCAGTTCAGCCATTCTGACGAGTGGCAGCTGCGCTCCCTGCGACTGACATGTTCAGGGGGTTGAGACACTGGACACAGTGGACAGTCCACCGAATTGGTGTGAGCCAGAATCAAATAATTCACCTGGCTAGAGAGGCTTGTGCTTGGGCTTAATCTCAAATTGATTGCTGGTGTCCTTTTCAGATCCAGCATAGACCCGATCGTTGTGGTGCCTATATGCCTCTACACCCAATCACCAGTAGAGCAGACGCAGGCTCCCGACGACCTTTGTGGGTGGAGGATGGAGGATGGATGAGAGTAGAGACAACCTTCCCCACCCCCCTCTCGTGGGTCCTTCTGGTACTTTTCATCCCTGGCCGTGAGGCGTTAAGGCCATTCCAGGGGCGCACAGGGCGAATGAACTGGGGCGCGAAGCTCCTGGAAATCACTGATCGGATCTTTGATACAGGGGAGGAATCTTCCGACGCGGAGATTCGCTTCAAGCAGGGTTCAAGGGTCAGTTTCAAGCTGTTTACTATCGATAAGCACCTCCGTTTCAACGGTCGACGAGATCTCAGTTAGTCATCAAAGACTGAGTGGTGGTTAATCAAATACTAGTATAGACACAGAGCACGGTATGAAGACGCTTGACTGTTGTACACCAAGAAATATAATAGTCTCACCGTCCAACTATGCTGTGGGTGGGTATCTTCTACCAAATATTGTAATCCCATGCTGATCGTGTCATCCACTGTACCTGATATATCTCCAGATACTTCCTCCGTCGTGGAGGTGTCCTCCAAGGGACGTGGCATAGGAGTACATACACTGCATCCCCGGCATCTGCATGGCTGATTGCCGGCCCCATGCATCAACCGTAGCCGAGGGTCGGGCTCTCAGTCGGGACCAACGGGAATGACCCTCTCGGTCCCGATCTGTGGCACCACCTCGCTGTTTCAGTGATCATATCAGATCTGCCGATAGCCCTATCCTCTGGAACCAGCGGTCGATGTCGATGGTCCTTTGGCGTATCGGATGGGATGCCGGTGGGGCCGTGACTGAGTGACCAGAAAGACCCAACATAGGCGAATCTTCTTTCTGTTCCAAGTCTTCCAAAAGACCTTCAATATATGTCCCCCGTGACAGCCTTGGTGAGGTTTTGGCACCCTCAGAGGCCTGAAAAAGTGGTGTAAATGTAAAGAAAGCTTGAAGCCTTTCGACTAGGATGGTCGCTAAGGATCCAGGACCTCGATATGGCCAACAGCTCTGCCAATGTCTTTGATATCCAGTTGTGGAGGAGTCGAGTCGGGGTATTGACTGTCAAACACTGTCTTGCCGGCAAGGAGATTGGCCATGTTGAGCCGGGTCGAATACACCAGATGTTGGGCATTGGCAGATTCCACACCTCGGTTGGCATCGTCACCGTACCCGATATCGCTCCATTTACTGGTATTCGCCGTAGGCCGAGATACGCCCACGAGCTGGGGAAAGACCGACACACAGTTGAAGTTGTAGGCCTTGTCTTTGCAGAGATTGGCAAACCCCCAGTCGATCGGACTGTCATAGGGTTCCATGCTCATATGGTAGAGTGCCTTGCGAGCGCCCTGTTGCGAGATGGCGTAGGCAGCAGTACACACTCCCCCTTCGGCGCTGAACACGATTCGAGTCTGATTGTCCCCGTTTGGACCGCGTTCCCAACGGGACATGTCGGGTGTATCGACATTGCGGCGGAGTTGGGGTGGTTCGACGGTGGGATCGTCAGGTATCACGAAGAATCGGCCATTGTCGTCGGGGTGCACCCAGGTACCACAATGACCGATCCACAGCATATCCCAGCCATCGCCGTACGGAGAGAAGGGCGAATCGTGCGCCGGAGTCTTCAGAATGTATCTCGACCCTCTTGCGAACTGCACCAACTGTGTCTTGAATGAAACATCCCAATCGGCGTCATCTTCGAATATCAGAGCTGTTGAGACCTTTTCACGCACAATTTTCTGGATCACGTCGAGGTGAGCACGCCAACAACCGACAGCATTGGGGCTCTGGTTCATAGTCTGGAGGGACTCGTTAGCAACGCGACCAGTAGAACAATGTGCACTTTGCGACGTACGTAGGGCAGAGCCTTCTCCGGAACCGAATGGCCGTCCACTCCGTCCATCTGTGTGTAGGTCATTCCTGAAACGGCGGCCTGCAAAGCGAACGAATCTCGTTTATCTGTGCGGAGAGGCAGAGAGATCATGTAAATTTCTTGAAAGCCCAAGGTTTCATTCTGCACTCGGGCTATTGACTCGTCGTCGAGTTCTGCGGCTGCGGTCGCGGCGGGTCCGGCCTGCGAGCGATGCTGACCGGGGGCAAAACTGTCCGTGAAATCCAACACATCTTGTTCTTGAGGAGTTGGCGCGCGAAATGAGGCGTACAAGAGCACGCCGCTCACAAGGAGACCGATCAGAATGTAAGTCAGACGAGCGGGGAGGGCGGACATCATTGTCTCGAGAGGAGGAGGATTCGGAGTCGACGGGTCACTGACGGAAAGGACTGAAGTGCGAAATGTGACAACAAAGAATGATGAGTTGCAGGTCAGCGATCAAAGCAATCCGGCCATGGAGTTCTGGCCATCGTTGGGAAGAGTGAACTCTTGGGAGAACGAGAAACGGAAATGGAGACACGAGAAGTCAGCGATTATTGTAAATCAAAAATAGCTGCGCAGTTGGAGTGCAGTGGTGAGAACGACCACGTTCATTCGCCCGCCGCACCCCCTGCCATCTGCCATCTGCCACTGCATACCTTATAAGTTAGTATCCGCCATCCAGGCCCCAACTTAAAGAACGCTGCTGCTGGTGCTGCTGCTGGTGCTCCATGACCCGGAAAAGTGGAATTTGGCTGTGGCGCAATGTGCAAGGGAGTTGAAATCCGAGTCGCTAGCAAGAATTGCGGGTGCGACTGGTGGAAATTCCACGCGTACAACAGGAGGAAATGAGCATGAGTAACGAGGGTTCTTTTAGTTCTTCTTAGTTCTTTTAGCTCAAATGCAAGGAACCATCAGCCCTTTCACCTTCAATCTCCCTCCCTCGGGCGTGTTGATCGAATTCTGTATTCAGGCCCGCGTCCTAGGGACAGGTATGCGGAAGCGAAGGTGTACAAGACGGCTGGCGGTATTTCGAACCTGCGGAATCCATCACGTCGCACGAAGATGTTCCAGCAACAAAGGACTTTTCAGCTGCGGCTCGTCAGGGTGAGGTAGAGGCTAAACAGTACAGTCAGCAACGCCATCACGTCGTAGCATTGAGGAATGGTGACACCGGCCACTTCTTGCCACATCAGTCGACAGCCCTTGGCTGAAGATCTGCGGGTTGGAAAGATCTTTGCTATATAATACACTGCAGTGTAGGTGATGGAGGATCTAGGACAATCCGGGGATGCATTGCTATTCCAGGTACCAGAATACATCCTTCTTTAACTGCAGTTAACGGGATTGGTCCGGCGATGGGCAACTTTTACCGGTCTCCTCAGCCTCCCACAGCCAAGGAAGTCTAGACGCCTGAGCAGCCTAAGGAGCCTAGGGGGTCAACTAAAGAGGTCTTCTACTAAGGGTTACAGGCCAAGGCTCTTAGGCTAGAGCCTAACCGTCGCCCTTTACCTGTAACGCGACTCCTTGTTTCAGCTGGATTTCCACCTCTTCTTCACCTAAGTGAAGTAAGGCTTGACCCCGTGCAGCCTCTGGCCCCCGCCAGTAATCCATTCCGACTGGCTTCAGAAGCTTGAAGGAGCCGGAGGCTTTCTGGCTTCCATGCAATTGTCAGGAGAAGGTCGACTTCTCCAGGAATGGCCGTCAGCGCGCTGCTTATGACCTGGTCAACGACTGGGGATAAGTGAATGAGTGGATGAGTGAGATGGCGGCCCCCATGCGTTTCCACGATGACTGGCCTCTTACCACCAGATGTTCTGCTTGAATGTGAATTGTTTCGTGCTGCTCGCTTCTTTTCCTCATTCTACTTCACCGGCGTCGTTGCTTGACTGTTGTGCGTTGATCTATTTCTTTGCCTCTGTTGCCTTTTGGTGTCATCGTCCTGTTGTCGTCCTCGCCCGGCGGACTTCCTTGACCTGCTAAACTGAGGACTCTGTCGACTGCTACCTCCCTCTGCACCGACAGTACCGTCAATATGAGCCAGAACAAGGACCTAAAACTGGCTGTCACTGACTTCGCCTCTGCCAACGGCTCCCAGCCAAATACGCTGCCTTCTCCAGGCCGAAACCCGGATTTCAAGCCCATCGCCCTTCGAGCCCCGACCCGCAACTCCATTGACCTCGACGACTATTTCGTAGGCCCGCTGGACCTGAAACGTCATTCGAAATGGCCCTACTTTCTCCGTCTACGAGGGAGCGTGCTACCCAAGATGATCTTACCTCTCACTTTCGTCGCAGCTTGGGCCACAGCAGTCACTTGTATATCGAAATTTGTCCATGACCTTGGCATCAATTCGGTGCTGCTTACAATCACCGGCTTCGTGGTCGGTCTGGCGTTGTCGTTCCGCTCCTCCACTGCTTATGAAAGATACAGCGAGGGGAGAAAATACTGGGCGCAGTTGGTGGTCACCTCACGAAATCTGGCTCGCATAATATGGGTACATACGGGCGAACGACATGAGATCAGCGAGGAGCAAGGGAAAGCTGATCTGCTGGGCAAGCTGACAGCGTTGAATTTGATCAACGCGTTTGCTGTAGCACTAAAGCATCGTCTACGGTTCGAGCCATCCACGGAATATCCTGACCTCAAACCGTTGATTGGACATCTCCAGACGTTGGCCGCCCAGGCGGATCAGGCACAACTCCAACCGAAGAAACATACGCCGTGGAAAGCAGCAGGCGAGTACCTAGGGATCTCCTTTGCCCAGTCTAACCCACGGAAACTCATGAAGCGATCGCGCGACAATCTGGGCAACCTCCCCCTCGAGATCCTCACATATTTGTCGGCATACATGGACGAGATCATGAACAACGGTCAGCTCAAGCTGCCTGTCCATCACAACCAAGCCATGAACAATGTCACCGCTCTCGCCGACGTCCTCACCGGCACCGAACGTGTCCTCAATACTCCAGTGCCTACCGCGTATTCGATATCCATCTCGCAGATCACGTGGGTGTACATCCTCGTCCTGCCTTTCCAGCTCTACAAGTCACTGGGTTGGGTCTCGATCTTTGGCACGGTTCTGGCGGCGTACATCATTCTTGGCCTGGCCGCGATAGGGTACGAGATTGAGAATCCGTTCGGCAACGATGTGAATGACCTGCCGCTAGACAGCTTCTGTCGGGAACTGGCCAGTGACATCGATGCCTTGACGAGCATGCCGGCCCCCAGTGCCGAGACCTTCATTTCCACGGCCGAGAACAAGGTCCTGTTCCCTCTGAGTATGAGCGACTACCACAGTTGGAACACGCGGTCAGTGAGGGAGATCAGACATGCACTGAGGGCGAAGGCGACAACGGCAGCCCCATCTGTCGACTTTGAGCGTGCTAAAGCACAATCAGAGAGCACAGGTGAGAGTGCTGAGATGCATCGTGTGAGTGAGAACAAGCATGTGTCAGATGTGGATGCTGTTTGAGCCAACTTTCTGAACGGGAGAAAGCAACACGAGAAATCGTTGAATGGACCTGCGTCGTGCGGGTCGAAAAGGTTGGCTTCGATGATGTTTGATTGGGTGTTTCCTGCATATTAGCGGAGGGACAAAAGGATGCATGCCTGTATACACATGAAATGGAAAGGTGGTATGTTTATCAACAAAACTATTAATTGACACAGGGAGCATCTGACTCTGTTCGACATACAAAAGGACTTATCCAGAGGTTGATGTCTCTTGTCCAAAGTATTGTCTACTCCCTTGCCTGGACTCGGTCAATCTCGAGCAATTCCTCAGGATACGGTCTGACTTGTTCCACACAACGTCGGTTGATTCTATTCCTTGAGGTTCTCTCAGATCCAATCTGTCCCAGTCCCTGTTCTTATGATCTTGAAAAGACACCTCCAGCTCAAGCATCGTCCGGATTGGTAGCATCAACATAATGAAACTGATCTTCAGCTCTTCGATTATATACAATCACAGATTCCTACCGTATTGAGGTCCTGTCCTAGAAACCCAGGGTCCTTTGGGAAGACAGGATACTTGAGAGCAGACCAGGAGTCACCCGCGCCCGATCTCTCACAGACTTAGCCTCCAATTTCAACTTCAACTTCAAGCATCAGCACTCTTCCCTCCCAACTCCCTCGCCAACTCGCCACTCTCAGCCATCTCATTCAACACCCTCTCGGCGATCTTCATAGCATCCACCCCAGCCGGCACCCCACAGTACGTCGTCGCATGCAAGATGGCCTCTCGGATCTCCGTCTCGGACAGTCCGTTCCGCCTGGCGCCCCTGACGTGCACAGCCAGCTCCGGGCCCCGGTTCAACGCCATCAACATGCCGATATTCAGCAGCGAGCGATCGCGGCGGGCCAGGCCCGGCCGCGTCCACGCGTAGCCCCAGCACCATTCCGTCACGAGTTCCTGGCCCGGCCGCGAGAACTCGGTCGAGCCATTGGCTAGGGCGCGGTCGACGTAGACGTCACCGACGACGGCGCGGCGCGTGGCCAGGCCGGCCTCGAAGAGTGCGGAGTGGAGCGGTTTGAGGGCCGGGTCGGTCGAGGATTTCGGGCCTGACGACGAGGATGAGGATGATGGGTCCGACATTCTGCCCGGAGTTTGAGGGATGGTGCTGAGCACAAGCACAACTTGCAAGTAATATATGTTCCTTTCTTGGAGGTAGTTTGGGGTGCTAGATTGTGCCTGGCTATACACTATGATTCTTCTCTGCTTGACCCTGGCAATTCCACATATATATTTCCATTGCCCCCCGCGCTCGTCGCACCCCTCCTGACTCCGGTGTTTAAGCGGGCTCTCCGCGCTCGCTCGCAGTATTTCGCTCCGCACTTTTCCCCATACCCCAAACTCACTCCCTTCGACAAGATTTCCCCAATTTTGTGGGACCGCGATGGGGAGGGCGAAGGAAAGAGAGGGAGGGTGTTCGCGGAGTGGAAGAAGCTCTTCAAGTGACCATTGTTTCACTACGCCGCGGAATGAATCTATTCTTCTCTTCCAATACTCACCACAACCTAGATTCTACTCAAGTGTCTTCGCCGTCGAGTCGTCCGCCTCTTTCTTCCAGTCCTCGTTACCTCCCAGATACCTGAACACCACTCTCGAGTCCAGATCCTTGCACCGCGGATCATTGCTTGCACCATCGTAAGTAGCCAGCCCAGCGTCACCGAGAACATTTCGCGAACCTACCCTCTTCGCCATCTCCAAAGCCAGCGAGAAATCCTTGCGCATCAACTGCACCTTGAATCCGTTGGTATATCCCTTCGACGAGGGGGCTTCAGCATAGACGCCCGGCACGGGACAGAACCGGTCACAAATGGTGTTCTGCGCCGTGCCAGCCGCAAAGACTTTTGCTAGGACGCGCGGATCCAGACCTGATCGCATACCCATATCCATCGCCTCGGATACCGCAATCGCGATGATCCCAGAGAGATAGTTATTCGACAGCTTCGCCGCGAGTCCTTTCGACAGCCCGCCGCACGGGATGATGTCTTTGCCCATGAACTTCAACAGCTGCGTGAGGAACGGTAGGTTAGGGTCGTTGCCGTCGCAGCCTAGAAAGAACGCGATCATGCCTTTCTGCGCGCCCACAACTCCGCCGCTGACAGGGGCGTCGTAGAAGGATGTCGTAGGGGATTTCGTCTGGATGTACTTTTTCACGGCCACGCTGCTGGCCGTGTCGATCGTCGAGCAGTCGATCAGAAGTTTGCCGGATACGTCGCTCGCGCATATCGTGTCGGCCCCGCCATCCATGTATACAGACCGCACGTGTTTTCCTTCAGGCAGCATGGTGAGGATGATTGACTGTCACCCATCACATCAGTGAGCTTGGCTTTGCTGGTGATATGGATAAATTAGTATCAATTTGCATACCGATTTGTCTGCCACGTTTTTGGCGCTTGTGCATTTGACCACTCGTTCGGGGTGGTCCGTGAGTATTTGGTCCACACTGGCTTGGTTGATGTCGTAGACGAACAGCTTGATCTGTCCGGGCAGTTTTGTAGCGAGGTGTCCGGCCATGGGCAGTCCCATGGCGCCCAGGCCCACGAACCCGATCCCCGAGATCTTGGATAAGTTCATTGTCGTGAGAGGTCTTGGGCTCTCAGGAGGGCCGAGATGTGATGTCGAGGGAGTTCTCTCAGAGATTCAGAAACGTAATAGTCTCCTTCGATGTTCCTGATGTGATCAGCTTCATTGGAGAAACCGATGTTGGCTATGGAGCACAGTCTATAAGCCAAACGTAATCCAGCTCTACATCGATCGTCCATCAGAGTTGGTTCCGAGAACCGTGTTCCAATTCGCACCCCGGGCACCGAAGATGGTGGTGGTGGTGGTGCAATTGGGGTAAATCGACATGCAGCGGCAGCATTGGAGAAATGAGGGACTGATGGAGGAGGGTTGAATACTAGCAGCCACAGAGTGGAACACGGCTCGAGGGGGTGGGCTGTCTTGCATGGCTTCCTTCGTCCAGTCTCACTGATGATCATAGCCTTGAAGGATACCTATATAGTCAGTATAACTTCCTCCGGTAATAACGATGATGAAGTACGACAGAAGCACAAAGTCCCATTGCGGCGGTTTGAGTTCGAGGAGTTGACCAAATCAGACTCAAACATTCTCGATCGATTGTACGTTGCACAGGCTTGGCGTAGGTTGCTGTTCAGTCTTGAGGAGTCGAGCTCTTCAACCGACTCTCACAGTATAACATATCTTGAAGATAGGCGACAGTCACTGTCGAGAGGCATGCCAAACCACAATGTTCTGGTGGAAGAAGTCGGCCCGTCGATCCATGCTGAGGCAACAGTGAGACACAATTATGGCTGTCATCATGACAGGAGCTTTAGTAGGTCACAAGAGCTTGAAGCCGACTGTATATTTGTTTATCGTCTGATCTTGATATTATATCTGCAGCGCTGTTTCAGTCGTCCATTCGGCATCCTAAATGCCAGTGCTGCAACGGATCTGGATCATCATGCCATTGATTGAGAGGTGGCTTTACAGTCGTCGACTCTTCATCTCAGCATCATCCACTCCCTTGATCCATTTCATGAAATATCCCACATCCTTGGCCACCGCTCCAGGGACACCCATTTTTTGCATCCATAGGGGCAGATTTCCTTTGGCATCACTAGCCGTGGCCATGATCCATTCGATCTCATGTTGGTTTTCTGTCTTGCCGTTGGCTTGGGCTTGAGCTTGGCCTCTGGTCTGTTGTCCGGTCGTGGATGATGACGATGACGATCTGTTCCGCTTACGTCTGACTGTTTCGACGGCAGCGTAGGCGCCCATAACGACTCGTTTGCGCTGCTGTGGTGTCTTTCCTTCGCGGAGGTTGCGTTGGGTGCTGTACAGTGCTGTAGGAACGGGAATGCGACTGGATGTCAGGTCTACCGGGACCGTGACTGCGATGAAGCAATCCTCGTCGTCATCCTCATTCTCTCTCTTCGTCCTTGTGACAGGTCTGGAGAAATTTGTCTCCTTACTCAGGCTGGAAGAGTCTCGACAAATACTCGCCGTGACCACTACCACGGGAAAACACCTCGGACTCAACGGCGGCGGAATGACATGGCACATCTCATACACGCCCATACTGCAGGCCATGTATCCATTCCGTCTCAAAGTCTCTTGAACTTGAGACTGCTGCAGTACATCACTCCAATCGACCACACAATGCGCATCATACAATGTGGGTGTGAAGTCTGCTTCGTGCTTGCTATGGTCGTCGCGCAGGCCGTACACGAATTCATCCCACAATGCGTGCCCTGGGCGTGTGACATCTTTGCTGGATATGTCTTTGTGCACGCTCCGACGGGCGACCCAGTTTTCTGGGCCCAGAGATGAAGAGGATGGGGTAGAGCGTGATACACGTGGCACAACTGGAGTCGCTGACCCGTTTGGATCACCCACATCGACTGAGGGTGGACTTGTGCTGCTCAGACCATGACCAACACCAGTCACAGAGGCAGAAGTAGAGCCAGACCATTGGATTCGGGCAATGGCTGACTTGGGAATTGAATATCCCAGGATCTCGACAGGCACAGCTGACGGAGGACTTGATTTCATCGACTGGTGCTTGAAGGTGCTGGCGAAGGCGGATGGGTTGAGAAACGAGGCGCCGTTGTCGAGCAAGGCTGTCAAAAAAGCCACTAGGTCAACGCGCCCTTTTCCATCATCTGTCTCCGGCCGTGGCAGGTCCGGATGGACCGGTAGATCACTCAGTTGTAGCGGAGTGAGACGGACGAGGTTGCTTAGAGAAGACGACGACGGTGGAGGCGAAGATGAAGATTGTTGAGGCATTTCGTCTCATAGCTTTCGATTCAATAGTCCGAATGAATATCCGATTGATGATGACGGTGAATGCTGACCAACGACAATACCTTCATCAACATTGTACTGATATCATCATCCTCGAGATAATCCGCGCAGGTTAGTCGTCAGCGTCTATGCTTCAAGGGCCCATTGGACATGGGCTCGTGGCTGCTGAAACGCAGGAGTTGTCGCGCGAAGGGATCAAGGATGGAGTATGCTGTGCCTCGTTGCTTCACTTGCCGTCCGTTTCACCTACTACTCGTGGGCCAGTTCAAGCTTCGACGTTGCGTATCTCGCCCCACCACTCTTTTGATACTAGATGATAACAACCCGGTTCGGATATATCCACCGCCGCTTTTGGGAATCCCGCCCCAGCCTGATCTCAGCTCTAAAGCGGCGTCGCTTAGCCCCTGACGAACCCCACTATAGTTCAAATCCACACTCAGGGGCAACTTGCAGCTCACAAGGCTGTGGTGGTCGAGCATGGCTCCTCCATCTGCCAGGATTCTTTGCGTTCTCAACAACCTGTCAGCTACGCAATTGGCCTCAAGGCCTCCACAACACAGCCTGGACTAGCTCTGAAGTCCGATCACTACATCCCTTGAAAGATCGTCAAGGGCCCCTTTACGGGTCGACCCATCAAGACAGAGATGGACATTGAAGAGACATCACTTCTACCTAGGTCGGACATCGAAGCAGGGTGTACTGCTATCGATTTACATCCTCGACGGTTTCGACTAGACATGCTAGACACCAAACCCTCTGCTTGAGCGACTCACCACCACCGCTGCCACCACTCTCTGTCCCATGCTATATCTCTATTTCCTCTGTGGTGCATACTCGTCCATGACACATTAGTGTACTATATACCATAGACTCTATCATAGAAGGGATCATAGCTTGAATCGTGTACTGGACACTAACAACTCTAACTAAGAGTTTTCATCTTCGAAAATATTTCAACCACCACTCGGAAGCCATGCGATTAGGGTGATCGTCATTAAGGGCTCGTTGGCGGACTTCCACGACATGTCTCATCATTTCGATCGCTGCAGGATGCTGGCCAAGATCCCAGAACATAATAGCCAGATTGTGCTGCGACGCCAGTCGAGATGGATGATCCTCCGCCAGCGTCTGCTC